CTGTCGCCGTCCGATTTCAAGTGGACATCAACGATGATCCGCCTGCGTAAATATGAAAAGTCGCACAAGCTGCTTCAAAATTCTGCTTGCGTACGTACGAATGCTATGGTAGAGCGTGCCGATCTCGCAGCCGGCAAACGAGCCACGAAACGGGGCCGGAAGCGCCGGACTCCAGGCGCAGTTGTCGTAGAAACAATATCAATCCCAGATGTTTACAAGTTCCAGAATCGAGCGGAGGTTACTTTTCTCGCGACGGCCCTTGCATTACCGATGCCTGAATTAGCTGCTCGTTTTTTCTTTTTGGGGGGGAAAGGGAGGGGGGCCGGAAACCAAGCCGCTGTGGCCCCCGCCACCGCCACCGTTGTTATAACTTACAGCTCGTCACAGTTGAAACAATTGACAAAAACTGCAAAATATTGTTTAGACAAAGGGACTCTTGCATGATCATGCGCATGCCCGATATTATGCTTCCGTCTGCCTCACCATCACCCTGCTCACATCGAGCCTTGGCAGCCACGAGATTCAAGGGGACAAGATTCTGAAGCAACGCTTTTGGCTTTCTGCATCGTATGAGAGGTCACCTGCTGCAACCTTGAGGCAGTTTCGAATAGGGCATTGGCCTCGGCAGGTCAGGTGAACCCTTTGGAATGGTAAAATTGGATGTTCCAGGTTTAAGCTACCTTTGCTTTTCCTCGTCGTTTTTGGAGTGTCGTTCTTTTATTGACTGCTCACCATCCTGTGTGAGTGAGAGAGAGCGATGGTCTGACAGATGTGTTCGCCCGGCAGTCCTGCCTGCTCCACGCCGTGGTGCTCGTGGTTGAATGTTTATGTTTACACGGACGGTTGTTGTTGTTTTCATTGTTGTTGCTGTTGTTGTTGTCGTCGTCGTCGTCCTCATTTCGGGTGGTCGCCCTGCTTTTCTAGGTTATTGGGTACAAGGGGCGGGGGTGTCTCTAAGCGTGCCGCCTCGCTTTTCTCAAGGTAGACGGGCGACGGGGCTGTTTGTGCAGATCACATCGGGAGTGAGGGTCTACTGCGTATGAGTGTTCGCCTGGCCCTCTTCTCACTGCCGACCAGTGCCCGCAAGAAGCCAAGCAAAAGTCCCAAGTCTTTTTTTTTTGTTTTTTTTTTGGTGGCTATTACGGAACGAGGCTGTTTGTTTTTGGTTGTCGCTGCTATGTACCGAACCACCGTTCCTAGCCGAAGCACTACGGCTGTTCATGCATGTGGCGTCCTTTGGCTCCGAGACTGGATTCTATGTTATACGGCTTGTACGAGTCACGAACGTGTGGCCTGGGCTTTAGAGAATCTTGAAGGCACAGGGAAGATGCCGGTTTCCTCTCGGTATTCGGCAGGCCCGCAGTTCTTTGCGCGGACGCTCGGACTGCGTGGGCTACTAGAGAGCATGGCTCACCATATGGCTTGGTGCCGAGGTTTGGTCAACGGCGTTAAGCGGGGAGCGCGTGCAGGGACGATAAAAGAGCTTGCTTCTTGTGGCGGGATGGAGGCACGGAACAAGGACCGACTTGTCTAAACACACCGTGATGCGAAAATGTCGAGCAAGTAGAAGCATCATTCACGACTGCCGCGATGGTGATCATTTTGGACGAGGCTGCCGAGACCGAGGCGATGTCGTTATCCTATGGGCTCGAGAGTGAACCCAAGATACCTTACTCAGGGTGGTATTACTGCGCTCCCGCGGTTGGGGAAACCCTGGCCATACATCCCCCACACTTGCTTGGCATAGGCTAGCCGAGCAATGCAGTGAGTCGATCGGCGACAGCGACTCATGGACCGAATCAGCCGCAACAGACATTGTTCCGTGGGTCGCGACTCGTGTGAACACCACAAGCTGAAGGACGGACGTCTTTGACCAACCCGCTGGAAGCGCCCCGGATGCTCCTCGGCCTCTTCCCGTTCCCTCTCAGCCTACCCAGTACAGTATTTGACTCGAGCGGGCCGGATGAATGCAGGTTGGCTTATTTTGTGCAGAGAAATCTTTGGAAAGCTTAGGCTAGACTTGATGCGCCCGCCACGGGGAACACAACAGGGACTTGTCCAGGGCTTGCCGGACCCCCGGGGGAGAGCTACTGCATGCACTTTGAGCAGCAGGGCGTCGTCCAACGCCGGGCAGGGGATGACCCCCGGGATGGCCGGGCCGGAGAGAGAGAGTGGTCGAATTTGCGGGGAAGAAAAGGGGGATTTCATGCTCCATATTGTGGCGTGCAGTCGGACGCAAGACCATAATACTAGAATGTGGTCAACGGGCTCTGTTGCCATTTCCGGGTCACCGGTGTGCGATAATGTATTGGCTTGCAGCATTCTGGCAAGGGACGGACAACTCTGCGATGGGATTATTCCCCTTTCCGGCGGGGACGCAGCTGCGAAATTGTGGCAAGTTGTGAGCAGGCACATCCGTGGACTTTTAACCTTCGGCGGGGCCTGAGAACTGCCGCTACATCTGGGACAACTGTCGGGTGCGTAGAGCTAGCGTGTACACCACTTCAGGCGAACCGTCCTCGGGCTCGCGTTCCTGCAGCAGCCTTGGCCTTGCAAGCCTGCGCGCGTCGCTGCGAGTTTAAATTCCACAGTCGTAGCCAAGCGGCGAGCGATTGGCACCTGCCCCTTTCTAGCACAACCCCGCGCTGTCCCACACCACTTGACGCTCTGCATCAGCCCCTGCGAACCGTCCCGTTGGGACCGGAGCAACTGGCCGGTTCGGCCGCCAACATTGAACAGCTCTTGGGTCCCCTGCCTACTGCCCCAGCTCGCTCTATCGAACAACCCGGCTGCACCCTCGTGACTGGCGAGGCCAGGCAGCACAGAGTCGCGCCGCCCCTACAACAATTTTTTTGTGTCTCTGAGGCTGCTGCCGACCCCGGGAGGGATGATGGTGTGTGTCCCTCGACACACACATCCATCACTTCTCGGAGGATTTACAGCTTGGATGCATCTGTCTCAAAATAGGGGTTTTCTGCCTGGTTGCACGCGCCTGCTTTGCCTCGTGGATCCGGGGCACGAGTCAAGCCGAAAGTCCCTTCGAGATAGGCACAAATGCCGGGGGCGGCGCCGAAGTATTGATTTTATAAGCCCTCGAAACTAAGGTCGGCCTGTAACCGACAAAGGATCCAACCCTGAGCGCCTTCACCTTTATTGCTGGGTCTCGGCCGAGTGGTTTTTCGAGTCTCCCTTATCGACCAGTTATTCGCTAAAGAGACTGGTCCCGCCCGTGGATCGCCCCGAGGACTCCTTTAGTTGCAGGACGCGGCTTGATGATGGCGGCGGGCCCGGCATTCTTGGCCGAGACGGCGTAACGCCAGGAGGACCGGCTCCTTGCCGGCTGAGGCGGGACTTTGGTATGGCTCTAGCACTTTGAACCGGTTTTCAGCATTGAAACATTTAGCATCCATGCTAACACGACGCCCTATCGTATCCACGCGCTAAAAGAGTATACAGCTTCGATACGAGTAGGTAGACTAAAATGTTGTGTACATTTGGGTTGGCAAAGTCCGTGGCAACCACACTAAGAGCGTACACAAATTGACACTCTGGAGTCTCAGCCAGGCTTCGATCATCGAGTGTTCAGCAATCAGGACTGCATGGCCCACTTCTGCATGTGGTGACGGACGAGTATCGCTGGCTGGCAAAACCCAAGTCCCACTTCAGAGCAGCAATCTGCGTTCTGATAACTCTGGAATCATGCTGTGCTCTGCGATGAGACCTGGCTTTCACGTCGCCTCGAGGGCTACAACCCACATGACTTGTCCTGGGCGGACGAATGACTGACTCATGTTTCGGACCGTGTTTAAACATCGGCAGTCAGTCGCGGTTAGCACTGCAAGCGAGCCTGTGATCAGGTGAAAGGATCGACTTCTGGCTCTCGTGTTCCACGTGGATGACGGCGACTGCCGTTGTTGGATTGTGCTGCTGCGGCAGCATCGAGCAAGGGCTTTCTTTGCATGTTGACACCCTGGCCCAGGAGTGTTCGGATATCGCGTGGCGGAAATACCAGTGCCCAGCCCGTGCTCCAAATTATTGATTGTATGTGAAAAATCCTCGACGCAGAGGACTCCAGACTACAAAGTCGACTTGGTGTCAAAGGTGAGCATTCCACGTCTTTGACAACAGACCTGCCATACATAAAGTAGGCGGCCATGATCAGCGAGAGGGATCCTGGACAAGTGTCCTGAACTACACTCGAGCGTGCATCAAGAGCACGCGTGGTGTTGTGCAACGGTCAAGAGATTCGGCCTTTACGCCGGTCCATGGAAACAAGTTCTGACAGCGGAGAGAGCGAGGCAAGAGCTGACTGTTTAAGACAAAAGTGAGGCACCAGCTGAGGCCCTCTGTGCCCTTCGTGGGGGTGAGGGTGACGTTACAAGGTCACAAGCTCAGCCCTGAAGAGAGGGTGCTGGCAGGGGCAAGCTCCAGCGCTGCCCAGGTGTTCATGGGCCTGAACCAGGTCTGTGTACACTACCCCGCGAATTGGGGCAACCACGATGGGAGCTTCCGGAACCAGGCAGCTCTTTCGGCCGGGCAAGTGATCTGCAGCCAGGCAGGACCACATGACCAGATTGGCACGACCGTCGCACGTTGTTTGCCAACCTTCGGAGCACGACAAACACATGCTCAACGAATGATCAGACCACCCAAGCCCGGCACACCTCTCCGGCTACCCTCTCGAAACTTCTCGCCGCCTCTCCGCTGTCGACCACGCCTGACCTACACACGCTAGGCTGTCCTCACACACTACGTCACGCGTGAGCCGTCACTGCACAACGCCACATCTTCCCACATAGAGCCGTATTGTCCCAACGACCAGCGCCTCATTGCCTACCAGTGGTGCCGAGTCTCTTCATCACGCGTCAGGACCCTACTTGGGCTGCGTTGTACGTGCCAGCCTGAGACTGCCTAGCATCAAATAAGAGCAGACGCACTCTGCCATGGCCCCCGATCTCAACTCGTTGCCACCGCATGCATCCTCGACCCAATTGCCCAATATGGCCGCAAACTCAACCACCCCAGCCACGGTCAGCGATGTCCCTCCCGCCGACTCCTCATCGCCGCCTCCACCGTCTGCTACCACCTCTCTGCAGGCAGCTGCCACAATGAACGCCGGGCTACAGCAGGAGTTGTCTCGTCGTAAGTCTCACCATTCGAGAAACCAGGTCTTGGGTGTTCACCTCGCTGACTGACGTGTTTAGGCTCCTCGAATGGTTCCATCAGTCGCCAGCGGCAGTCCCCCTTTAGCGGACGCCGGCGTTCCACCGTGCTTATGAACCTGCAGCACAATGACCCTTCGTTACCTGCGCCGGGTGAGATCGTCAGTGAGGAGAGATCTGGCAGAAGCCCTCAACTCATGTCAGGATCGCCTCTCCTGGTTGGCGGAGATCCCCACCACAGCAGAGCCCCCAGCCTCGGAGAGCTACATCAGGAGCTTGAAGCGGAACAAGAGGCGCAAGTTGTACGTACCCTTTCGCAGCCGATCCGGTGACGAATGCTGACAGTGCCATACAGAATCGCCTCTTGCAGATGATTCGACAGCAGCAGCTCGAACTGCAACGTCTTCAAGCGTCACAGGGCCAGACTGTGTCGTCCATCGCTGCAGAAGACCCTCTACCTGCACCAGAGCGGCCCAATGTGGCCGTGGTATCACAGTCGCCGCAGCAGATCTCTGCGGCTTCCACACCCCGGTCGCCGATCACTCCCCATCATCGAGGGTCGCTGGATCTTGCTCGGGATGCGCTTCGCCGTCGCTCAAGAACTCCGAGTCGCGGGGCCCCCTCACCCCGACTGAGGTCGTCATCCATCAGCAACGAGGGTGGTGACCTACTCCCTATGGGAACTCGTGATGAAACCGCTTTCTATCAGGCTGAGACATCTTCACTGATTCGGGAGAACCAGATGCTACGGCACAGAATTCGCGAATTGGGTAAGGCCAACATTCTTCCACCAAGCTGCGATCATCGTCGACGGACTGACTAACCTTGTCACAGAACGTCAACTCAGTGAAGCCTCTATCAACTCACCGACGACCACTCACGAGCCAACGCAGCCGTCACAGCTATTGCAGTCAACATCAATCGCAGAAGGAGAAAACTCTAGTCAAGCGACCGGCACGGGCAATCTCACATCTACTCTGCCACATCGAGCAGTGGAGAGTTCTGATAGTACGCCGAAGTGATTGCAGAGGCATGGGGAGGGTGCGTTCATCGCACCAAAAATGGTGCTGTGAGCATCACGCCATATGAGAGTTTTGACCATGGCCAGGCTGGCCACCAAAGGGAAAAGCAGCATCTCTATCGAAATCGCTCTGCGTTGGTCGCTAGCTGCACGGCAGCACGGAAAAGTTTCGACACCGAAGAATCAGACAGGACGACAAGGGGACTTGCATCGTGACAGTAGTCTTAGTCCTTTGAGGCGACTAAATGTTTGAGTCGCAACTTCTCACGTGGGATCGCAGGAGAGGAATGCGCGTATGTCCCATTCAATACTGGACCTGCCTAGGTACTTGGCTCATTACCAGACCGTCACGGAGTGAACTGGGAGACTACGTATGCAAAGAAGCGTGGGGCTTCCTACAATGACTTATTTATTTATTAGCGATGAATCTCTTAAAGTTGCCATTCGTCACATCACGGGATATCAGCAAATACTCGGCAGGAATATGATTACCTTAAATGATGGAAATCTTGTGTGTAGGCATTTCACTTCATGTGAGAGGAGCTCTGTGGTGCGGTGCAGATAATGGCATGCTGCTAGTGCTTGATTGGCCAGGCGATGAGATGAGATGGGTTTCCACTATAAACTCTCACATGCCACCCGCTACATGTTAAACCATTGATTAGATTGGACATAAGTTACTCTTTGTCCACCATTTTAGCAAGGCGGCCTATTATCGCAAAACAAGCACCGGAGCACGCCATAATATCCCAGCACGTTTTCAGTGGAGCTGCACAGGTGCCGGCGGCAGACGGGCCATCTCATTGTCGTCGACTGGTGTCTCACTAAGCGTACATACGCTACTACACAAGACACTTGGGCCAGAACCCTGAGCCCGTTCAGCGCCGATCCGTTGCCCGTCTTGGAAGCATCGACAGCCTCTATCTGCCCGTCTCGACCGAGCAATCCCAATCAAAACGGCCCCCCTAACCTGAGTAGTGCCGGTTTGCAACAACGGCGGGTCGAGAATGGAGGTTTCCGTCATGAACACGGCCCGGAGAGCAGCCATCGTGGGCCGGCCCGCGGCCGCCTGCGGTAGCTGCTGCGCCTTGGCACGGCCTCGCTCGATGTCATCGGCTGCTACGAGCTTTGCATCATCATCGAGGCGAGTGGCACGCGCCAGAGGGCTGGAAACTACTGGCAGCGTCCTTGGTAGTACTCGGCTGTTCTCGTCTACCGGCCCGGCGAGGGCGGATTTCACACATGTTGTAAGTGGATGTGGTGTTTTGCACATGCTCATGTATCAAATTAGTCGCGCCAGCATTCATCGTCGGGTGTTATTGACAGAGCCCCCGTGACCGTGGCCTTCTTCACCAAGACACATCCCCCCCATCGTCTGAGCCTGCGATTTTCCAAGAAAGTGCAGCTAACATCGACTCCATATATTGATAGGTCATTGGAGGCGGCGTAGTCGGGCTGGCAACGGCGCGAGCGCTTCAGAGCCACGCCGCCGACAGCAGCAGCACGCTGCTCCTCGAGCGGCACGCCCAGGTCGGCACCGAGACGTCGTCGCGCAACAGCGAGGTGATCCACGCGGGCCTGTACTACGGCGCCGGCACGCTCAAGACGGAGCTGTGCATCCGGGGCAAGGAGATGCTGTACGATTTCTGCTCGCGGCACGGCGTGGCGCACCGGCGCGTGGGGAAATGGATCGTCGGGCAGACGCCGGAGCAGCGCGAGGCCATGCAGAAGGTGTATGACCACTGCGAGCAGGTCACGGGTGTCCCTGTGCGGTGGGTGGGCGAGGCCGAGGCACAGAGGCTGGAGCCCGACGTCCGCGCCCGGAGCGGCGTGCTCGAGTCTCCCACCACGGGCATCGTCGACAGCCACGGGCTCATGGTCACCCTGCAGGGGCTGTTTGAGGACGCGGGCGGCGTGACGGCCGTGGGGTCGCGAGTCGTAGACATCGAGGCCCTCGGAGGAGGAGGAGGGAGCAGTAGTAGTGACAACCTGCCCGGGTCTGGCGGCTACCGGATCACAGTCGAGGACGTGAGCAGCGGGGAGACGTCGACCATCGAGGCCGAGACGGTCATCAACTGCGCGGGCCTCGGCGCCGCAGAGGTGCACAACATGATCACCTCAAAGGCCTACCCGGGCCGCGAGCCCATGCGCCTCTACTACGCAAAGGGCAACTACTTCTCCTACGGCGCCTCCCACCCAAAAGCATCCCGCCTCATCTACCCGGCTCCCACGCCCGGCCTGGGCGGGCTCGGCACGCACCTCACCCTCGACATTGGCGGGCGCATCAAGTTCGGCCCGGACGTCGAGTGGGTCGACCACCCGGACGACCTGACCGTCAACACGTCCCGCTTCCCCGAGATGCTCGCCGCCATCAGGGAGTACATGCCCGCCGTGGACGAGGCCAGCCTCGCCCCAGACTACGCGGGGATCCGCCCCAAGCTCCAGTACAAGAGCGCCGTCGGCTCTGGCAAGGGGTTCCTCGACTTCCACATCGACAAGGAGGACGGCTTTGCTGGCTGGGTTAATCTGCTGGGCATCGAGAGTCCCGGACTGACGAGCTCGTTGGCGATCGGGGATCATGTACGACGTATGTTTTATTGATGGGATGTCTTTTTGAGGGGGTGAGAGGGTCCATTGGGGAATGCATATTGTGGGCATCTCCGGGCGATTCAATACTCATTTTTCATCGTCCCATGGGACCGGGCTCGGGAGAAGCAACAGTATCAAACATAGTTTCCATTCTTGCTTTGCAAGCGCGTTATGTTGGTCCAGAAACTCCCAGCTTTTCCAAAGTGAGACTATTTGTTGCTGAAAATGCAACCAAAGTAAATGTGCGAAACTCCTATTCGAACGCCTTGGCCTGTGGGATCTGCCTTTTTGTCCAGGCCCATCGCTTTGAAAACTGGAGATGACACGACAACGACAACGAGTCCAACGAAACTACTACGAATAAGAATATACACTCTCCTCCTCCAATCAGCGTAGAGTGATGTCCGGGAACAGCTTGCGTGCTTGCAAGTTGACTGCGAGCTGGTACAAGCCGTCTTCGGCCGCGACAAAACTGAAGCCAGCCGCCACACGAGTTAGTACTCCCTGAGACAGTCATTGCTTTATGCACAGAATTTGTAGCACTTACAGTTTTCGTCCATCCTCGCCCCACGCCAGACCGGCCGTGTCGTCAGGCTGCTGGTCATGCTCACGGCTGTTGCTCCTCGCGACCCGACGATAGCTCGACGCATCGTCATGCCAGGTACTGATGTTCGTGACAGGAATGGCCCGGCGGGTGCGGCCGGCCTCGCTCCTCAAAGGCTGACCATAAGCACCACGAAGCTCGGAACTGCTATAGAGAGCGCCGAGTGGTGTCCACTCTGCAGTGAACGCCTGACGGCCCCAGGCAGGAGCATCACGCGAGGCGCTGGCAGTAGGCGGCGACGACGCATCCTCGCCACTTGCGCCACGGCCATCTGCCGACGCGTTGTTCTCTACTTGAGTTCGTGCAAGGCTCCTCCGCAAGATCGACGTCCGCCGGTCTCGCTCTTGATCGGTCGAGGCAGCCTGAATGATCTGCGCTCGGCGTCGCCCAAGGTCATCATCGAGGAGCCTGGACAACGTCTGCCGCTGCGTATTGATCATATAGGTTAACAGCCGCCCTCGGTCCTCGGGTCGGACGTGCTCAAGCGTTGTGCGTAGGGCACTTACTCGGTCGAACCAATCGGCCGATCTCCATTCTGGTCCTCCCCGTGATGCCGCTGCTTGGTGCTCCCCGGACTCTCGGGCGGCGTCGCGCCTCCGCCGCTCCTGCTGTACGGCTTCGAGTACAATGGTTTCGTCCGTAGTGAAGGGTTGGTTGAGCCTCGATATGGCTGACTCGGCGTTGCCTGGGTTGGGTAGTGGCCGCCCGGGGTTGGAGGGGCTGAGAATACTTGAGAATGATGATGGGCTGCCTGCGGCACGTTCACTTCTCGGGTCTAGAAGCCGAGGGTCGATTGTGCTCCGGTCATTCAGAGCCAGAGACTCAAAGTTGTCGTGGCTGTCGATCGAGATGATCTGCCTCGACCTGAAATTGGACCGAACATCGGCGATACCTACGCGGCCCCTGTGTTCAGTCCAAGCCAATAGATCATGGGATGCGGGGGAAAAAGCCATGTCCCTAATAGCGCCACTCTCGTGCGGTGACCTCGATGAATCAAAGTAGGCGAGCAGCGGATCCTCGTCTCGCGCCAGGGCAGCCGTGTCGAAGATGCAGATCGTGCCGTACTGCGTGCCAACCGCCAGGTAGTTCCCAGAGGGGGAGAAGGCAGCAGCGAAGCTTCCGCGAGTGTCGCTGACATCGGTCTCTGTCTGCCCTTGAAGCCTCACTGGCAGGAGCTGTTTCCACTCGTAGTGGCCCTTGTCGCCGTCAACGGGGGCACGGATAAGCGTGTACAAGTATGGATCATCGCAGATTGCTGCCAGCATCGTGCCATCAGGCGAGATCACAGCACGATTGACCGCGTCTGGAAATGTAAGGTGGTCGAGCTCCTGGTTGTCAAAGAGCGAGACAATCGTGACCGACTTGTCATTGTTGGCCAAGACCGCCACTGGTCGCTGATATATGCCTGGCACAGGTGAACTTGATGAAGCCTTGCGGGGTAGCCATATGGTGATGCAGTTGACACGGGCGGTGCCGAACTTGTGATTTGATGTAGACCAGGTCTTGTTGTTGATGCGCTCCATTATGCCCAGCATTTCCTGGTGCAATTGCAGCATAGAGGCTTCGGCCAGGTTGGCTGGATCTAGGGACGAGAAGCTCGCTCGGAACTCGTCGCCGAGCAGGTCTTCTGTGCCCTCGGTCTGCCCAACGTCACGAATGACGGCGAACTCGCCCTTCTCACCCCCACAGCATATCCAGCCACCCTTGGCAACCAGACATCGTGGATGAAAACTGATGACTTTGACCGTCTCACACTCACGGGTTGTCGTGTTGAGCCGTGTGATATGCGTGTTGTGAACACCGGCAGGGTAGTAGATGATGTCGTTGCGTTCGGCACTAATAAGGGATCGAAGCTGCCAGTGGCTGACACGCAGGCAAACGTCAGCAAATGTGAAGAGGGACGAGTGTATATGACGAAAGGGAGCATGGATGGAGCTCACATGGGCGCTACAACGCTACGATAGTGCTTCCGGTTGGAGTTTAGGATGAGATTGTCGGTCGGCCAGTAACTGCATTGCGAGCAAGTGTCAGCCGTGTACAGCGCGGGATCGAGCCCAAGGAGGAGCAGGTGAGAGTGGCGGGCATCCGTCGCTGCCCCAGGACATTCTTACGTGGCTGGCCCGTCAACGCCATCGACGGCCATGATGCCAGCAACAGGTGGACTGTTGCTGCTGGCCAACCATGAAAGCCCAGGTCGCCACAGCGCAAGGCGCGGTGTGGTTGTGGTTGAAGAAGAGGACTTGAGCTCCGGGAGGATGGGTCAGTTCTTGCCTTGCAGGCAATCCGATTGGACTCTTGGACCAACAGCAACAGGCGGCACACGATGCTATCTTGGCGCAGGGCGGCTATCTCTAAGGCGGCGGTATCGGCAGTCGCCGTCCTGGTTGTGAGAGAGGGGAGCTGAGCTCAGAGTGGTGATCGTGACGGAGTGGGTGCTGAGCAAGGCTGAGCTGGGCATGAGCAAGCAAGGACTGGACTGGACTGGATTTTAGCTTCGGCGGTGGTGGTGAAGCGGCCTGGCACCGGTTTTGGTTGAGCTGGAGCGGCAGGACATGGCGGCGCGACGTTCAAAGACGGGTTGGCGCCCGCCCGCGAAATGACGTTTGCGCAGCGCCCGCCCGGCACTGGCTGGGTCTGGCTGGCGCACACATGCACGCTCGGCGCCTCGCTGCGGATCCGGGGGAGTGGGCACTTTGTGCACCCAGGCAGGCAGGACAGGACGTACATGCGCCAGTTATTACAGCAGCGTGCAATATAAATGACAGGCAATTGTCTGCCTCACAGTCTCAGTTCGTACCCAGGGACACGAGCAGGCAGTCTGGTTGGTGAATATTGGCCTGGTAGGCAGGGCTTCTGTGGCTTGACCGACATACTTGTCAGCCAGAGCTGATGCCAGAACCTGCCTCCCATTCGCCCTTCAGCTCGTTGACTGCGTCACATGAGTCGTGTCGCAAGGAGGCGAGGAAGCATTCTGTGAGCCGCCACGGCTTGCAATGAGGTTCAAACGGCCAGCAAGCAATGCCTGAGGATACCAGCCTCGCCACACAGCAAACACGTATACATAGATGCAAGGCTGCAACAACGCCGTGCCCAGTCAAGTGCCCGGCTCGCCCGTCTGCCACGACCCCTGTCCCTGGTCCAGCGGAGCTCGATCTCGGTCTTGTCGGCGACAGGCCGGCCATAGCCGCGGCCTCTGACTGGTTCAGGCGCCCTTGGCCATCAGATCAGGGTGCCTCTGTCGCTCAAGGCAATTGCACAATAGTCGTCTGCAGATGCTGAAGAAGACCATGCGCATGGCGCAACCAAGTACCTGACCAGTGGATTAGCCGTCGAAGAGTCGAGCACGTCCTCGAACCTAACACCACCCACCTCAAGGTCCAGCGTGCCCGTCGAAAGCGGTTGCGGAAGCTGCGGCGGCGGGGCGACTGTAGTGGGCCCCGGCCGAGCTAGAGGCGGACCCCCGGTTTTCTGCCGGGCGGTGACCTCTGAGCTTCTTACAGGTTCTATGACCTGGTCCGCCCCAAGTGAAAACGCCCCGGAGAGAAAAGATTTCGTACGCCATTATAACCCGCTCCATCCATCACCGCCCGTCTGTACAATACCCTCCTGCCTTTTGTCTTTTTCTCCCTCTATACCATTCCTCACCCCACCCCCTCCTGTCGCATCACAGTCATCATATCGCAAACATGTTGGCTTCGCGCTTCTCCAGAGCTGTGAGTAATACTTGCCGTTTATGCTTGCATCGTCGGCTTGCCGCCCGCGTCGTCGCAAGTCACCCCCCCGGTTCCGCCAGCTAACATTCTCGTCTACAATCACAGCTTCCCAGAGCAACCTCCACAGCTTCCAGATGGGCCGCCCCCATGCGGAAACCGCTGGGCTCCAGCTTCGCCCGCTATGAGTCCACCGAGGGCAAGGTCCAAGGCGCCGTCATCGGTATCGATCTCGGAACCACAAACTCGGCTGTCGCCATCATGGAGGGCAAGACACCCAAGATTATCGAGAACTCAGAAGGTTGGTGAAGAATCTCTTCCGTCAAAACATGTACGCTGTATCCAGCTAACACGTCTATTCAAGGTGCCCGGACAACACCCTCCGTGGTCGCTTTCGCCCAGGATGGCGAGAGACTGGTCGGTGTCGCTGCCAAGCGCCAGGCCGTCGTCAACCCAGAGAACACCCTGTTCGCTACCAAGCGCTTGATCGGCCGCAAGTTCACCGATCCTGAGGTCCAGCGCGACATCAAGGAGGTTCCCTACAAGATCGTCCAGCACACCAACGGCGATGCCTGGGTTGAGGCTCGCGGCCAGAAGTACTCTCCCTCTCAGGTTGGTGGCTTCGTCCTCAACAAGATGAAGGAGACTGCCGAGGCCTACCTCAGCAAGCCCGTCAAGAACGCCGTCGTCACCGTCCCCGCCTACTTCAATGACTCCCAGCGTCAGGCTACCAAGGATGCCGGTCAGATCTCTGGCTTGAACGTTCTCCGCGTCGTCAACGAGCCTACCGCCGCCGCTCTTGCCTACGGTCTTGAGAAGGAGGCTGACCGCGTTGTCGCTGTTTACGATCTGGGTGGTGGTACCTTCGATATCTCCATTCTCGAGATCCAGCAGGGTGTCTTTGAGGTCAAGTCCACCAACGGTGATACCCACCTTGGTGGTGAGGATTTTGACATCCGCCTCGTTCGCCACATTGTCCAGCAGTTCAAGAGCGATTCTTCCATTGACCTCTCGAACGACCGCATGGCTATCCAGCGTATCCGTGAGGCCGCCGAGAAGGCCAAGATCGAGCTGTCCTCTTCCCTCCAGACCGACATCAGCCTGCCCTTCATCACTGCCGACGCTTCCGGCCCTAAGCACATCAACACCAAGTTGACTCGTGCCCAGCTTGAGCAGATGATGGACCCTCTGATCACCAGGACCATCGAGCCCGTCCGCAAGGCTCTCAAGGATGCCAACCTGACCGCCAAGGAGATCCAGGAGGTCATCCTTGTTGGTGGCATGACCCGCATGCCCAAGGTTGCGGAGTCCGTCAAGAGCATCTTCGGCCGTGACCCCGCCAAGTCTGTCAACCCCGACGAGGCCGTCGCCATTGGTGCCGCCATTCAGGGTGCTGTCCTTTCCGGTGAGGTCAAGGACCTCCTCCTGCTCGATGTCACTCCCCTCTCTCTTGGTATCGAGACCCTCGGTGGTGTCTTCACTCGTCTGATCAACCGCAACACCACCATCCCCACCAAGAAGTCCCAGGTCTTCTCTACTGCTGCCGACTTCCAGAGCGCCGTCGAGATCAAGGTCTACCAGGGTGAGCGTGAGCTCGTCAAGGACAACAAGCTCCTTGGCAACTTCCAGCTCACTGGCATTCCTCCTGCCCACCGCGGTGTGCCCCAGGTCGAGGTCACCTTCGACATTGATGCCGATTCTATTGTCCACGTCCATGCCAAGGACAAGAGCACCAACAAGGACCAGTCTATCACCATTGCCTCCGGCTCTGGTCTCTCTGACTCCGAGATTGAGCAGATGGTTCAGGACTCTGAGAAGTACGCCGAGCAGGACAAGGAGCGCAAGGCTGCCATCGAGGCTGCCAACCGCACTGATAGCGTCCTGAATGACACCGAGAAGGCTCTCAACGAGTTTGCCGACAAGATCGATAAGACCGAGGCCGAGCAGATTCGTGAGAAGATTGCTTCCCTCCGCGACTTCGTTGCCAAGAGCCAGTCTGGCGAGAATTCCGCCACTGCCGCTGAGATCAAGGAGAAGACCGACGAGCTCCAGAACGTTAGCTTGAACCTCTTCGACAAGATGCACAAGGCCCGCTCCGAGTCTGGCGAGCAGCCCAACCCTGAGTCTTCCGAGACCAAGCCCGAGGATGAGAAGAAGCCGTAAACGTCCTAGGCGGAGAGTTTTATGCGCCTTCTTCTTGTAAGCTATGTATTTGTTTCTCAGACCACGACGAGGCTTCAGCATGACGACAGGGGAGCTGCCACTCGAGTCCGACGAATGCCCATGTAACCTACTTTGTACACATATCTCCACATCCATTGTTGCGCTCAGCATGTTTTTACCACACCACCACCACCACAATACGACCCATCATGTTGTTTTTTGTACGAGTTCCAACTGGGCTGGTTTAGGGGCGTTTTGAGACGAGGTCATTTTTTCACATAAAAAAAGTTTTTACACGGCAGGAGCCTGTCTTGTCTGCGGATGGAGAGGGCCAGCCGCGACCTACCCGTCTCGGGTGAGGCTTTCGACGTGGATTGTCATGTCTTGTGTGTTCAGTCATATACCAGCGATCTACCTGAACAAGAAGTCTAATACAAAAATTCCCCTCTCAAACTATGATGTTGTCTATCGTGTACTGTGCATGTGTGCCCCCGTGTTTGTGCAGCTGACTTGAATCGAGACAAAATATCATTTTGTTACTTTGGTTTCAAGTCCGACTTTTTGTTGTTTATGCGTCTCGAGGTTTTCCGTGCTCGCAGAAGCTCTGGCTCAAACTGCGTGTCGCTGGGTCCATGTCATCAATGAGCTTCACCAGGGCATCTGGTCTTTCAGCAAGCGAGACAAACATGCCGCCTAATGGGGTGTAATCACATGTCAGCATCGACTCTCGAATAAATCAGAACTTGTTAACTCTTTCCTGCTCGGCCAGAGACACACACCAAGCAATCACGCAAGCCAGGAAACATGAGCGATCATTGCCCTCTTGCAAGGCGAGGATGGGCAGTGGCAGAATGTTCCGTTTCGAAAAGGATGGAAGAATAACACACGAGATAAAAAAAAGTGAAGTGGAAGGGAAAAACCAACCTTCCATATGCCACGCAACGTGGCAGTGCAGCGCCCACATGCCCGGGTTGTCCGCGGTGAAGCGTAGCACGACGTGCGTGAAGGCCGGGACGGTCACCGTGTCCCTGCGCATCGGGCGGTCCAGATTCCATGTCGTGACGTTCTCTGCGTGTCCAAAGTAGCCCGGCCCCCAGCCTACGATTTGGAAGGAGTGGCCTGTGTTTCGAACAGGTAGTGTGTGACCTTTGTGTCAGTGCAAAATCCATCAAAATCGTGCAGGTAGGTCGGCACAAGCAGCAGGGAGCGGCCGCATCAGGGAGATAAAGCAGAAGTGTGCAAGCTGTCCCAGAAGAATGTATGTAAGAAAGAGCTGGCGTACCGTGCAAGTGCCACGGATGTTCCATGACGTCTCTCGAGTTGATGACAATCTGTGCGCCGCGTCCGCCGTCAGGCAGAAGGAGAACCTGCTGGTTGAGGTCGAAGTTCCAGCTGTTATACGAGTTCTGCGAGGCCTGCGAGAAGGTCTGCTCAGTGGCCTTCCACAGCGTGGCGTTGTTCATCAGGGGCGTGTAGGCCGTCTGTCATCTCGTCAGTTTAGTCATTCAGGTTTGTATGGCCATAGTTTGCTGACGGGGAACTATGACGAGCATAGCGAGCATTGTGTGTAAAGAACTATACACACCTTATTGACAAAGATCCGGTTGACGTCCTGCGACTGTCTGAACATGTACTCGATGTAATGAGCGTTCGCCTCGGAGACATCGACGGCCGGCTCTGGCCGCATCGGTACGGGCTTGTCGAAGGGCATATCATCACAACCCTCCCATACATCGCCACGGTTTGCATTGTTTTCGACACCGTACGGGTTTGATGTGTTGCCCGCGACTCCGATCGGGGCTGCATCGACCGCCGTGCCGGTGTACGATAGGATGCCGCGGACCGCGTAATCTGCAGCTTCAAGACCAGAGCTTGTATATGGCGCATACGGCAGATAGCACGTCTTTGGTATCGTAGCGCGCATGTAGTAATTGCCGGCGGTCTGGTTGGCGTGCACTAGGAGCGACACCCGCTGGCCAATGTTGATGTATACACCACGAGAAGGGATAGGTTCGATCTCGACGCCATCGAGCTCGACGATGGAGATGTTGTGGTTGTCTACGCTCAACCAGAAGGAGAAGAACGATGATGAATTAATCAGGCGCAGGCGTATCGTCTGTCCTGGTTCGACCTGGGTAGTGTACAGCTTCCCTCCGTTGCAGTGTGCGGTGTATGGCTGGTCCGCTTGCGGTGGATATGTGGAGGACTCGATAGAACAGTCGTAGACGTTCTGTCCGTTCATCAAGAGGTTATCGGCAAGCGGCTCAACGCCAGACATGGTTGGAGCCCAGCTGGAGGCTGGTTTGAGGTAGCTTGCAAGGAGCTGATAGATGACGATGGAGGACTTCGTTAGTAGGAAGGAGTATGATGCCATCGATATCAGTGACAAAATACTTACGACGGAGCCATATGTATGATAGACGTCACCAAGAAACACAATCTTCTCATCGTCGTAGTGCGGAACCGTCTCCTCATGGTCATGTATCACCTGCTCGAGTCAGCCACCCAGCCGTGGCACATACAATACCACTCCCGAAACCAACTCACCAGTGGCCCATAGATGCCATCGGTATATTGAACACTCAAGTGTGCATGCCACCAGAAAGTGCCCCGCTGCTTGCCGACGGTGAATTCGTATGTGAAACTCTGCCCCGGTGGAATTCCACATTGACTAACACCCACAACCCCGTCCATCCACGTACTATTCACTTGATCAATGCCGTGCCAGTGAATAGTCGTGCTCGTGCTGGACATATGGTTGTGCACATGGACGCGGAGGGTGTCGCCCGTGTTCGCCTCAATCAGAGGGCCAGGAGACTGTCCGTTCACGAGGATCATGGGCTTCGTGAAGCCGTCTGGCGCGGCGAGCGCCTGAGTAATGTTGAAAGTGTACTCGCGGACCGCGCCGCTTGTGGTGTTGAGCTGAGTGCGCTTGAACTCCGTATCAAGGTTTAGCTCAGAGGCATTGATCAAGTCCTCTATCTCTACGAAGGGTAGTCCCTCCGGCACACCGTACTCGGCGCTGTAGTTCAATGGGGTCGCAGACGAGCTCATCATGCTGGTGATAGTCCGTGGCAGCCCGAGTCCGAGGCCAAGGCCCATGCCAATGGCCATTATAGAAAAAATAGCAATTGTTGTCAAGAAGATGCTCAGTGGCACCGTCTGTCGCTTTCGGTTGTTGACGCCATAGTGATACTGCAAGGGTTCCGAATCGGACCTGCCGATGAGTGCAGTTTTGAAGTCGCTCTTGCTACCTTCGGCCTCGAGTATCCATCTCTCGTCCTCGGTGGACTCGTTGTCCAGCATTGTGCATCTTATCGTCGAGTCGAACTCTGGAAGAATCGCCATGCAGAACTTTATCGGTCAATCGTTTGGGGAAGCATGAAGAGACGTCGTCCACCGCAGGTCCTTACAGCCAGGCCCTGTGTGGCTGGGATGGCTACACTCTTATCCCCTTCGAAGCGTGCCATCGTGGAGGCTGGCGTGTGCACCACGCATGACTTACGTAGCACATAGTAGAAGAAGGGATGTGTGTAGTGCGTGGTCCAAGGGATGCGGGTGAGGGATAGGTGGCTCCGTATCGATGAATCTAAGACATCTGATGCGGAGCCGTTGAATTGAAGTGGCCTTAGCAATAGTTGTGGCGTCTTATGCAGGGCATCAGCGGATGGTCCATTTTCAATTGATGTAGACAGTTTCCCGACACGTCTTTCATGTCACGTCAGATTAAAAAGGGTCCTGTAAAAGCCTTGTACAATCAAATTCTTTTCCTCTCATCAAAGAGATGGTGCTAGTACTACCTTCCGCCAAACCCAAACCAACCTCTCTTCTGTGCACGAGCAGCTTGCTCTGGCTGTGCAGCTGCTGTCGCCTTAGCAGGTGAGGCTGCTGCTTTGCCGGGGTAGTCGATGTAGTTCCAAGCCACATCGAAGAAGAGTGGTTTCACTGGGATCGGCTCGATCTTTGGAGGGTACGCGACGAGATTCTCCAAATCGACACCGCCAGTCGGGTATTCCGCAAGCCTCTGTACCAACGGCGTAGTCGCCGCAGCCTTGTTGCCTGCTTTGTTTCTCAAATTGTCGATCTCCACAATGGCCCGTGCTCGTTGCAGCTCTCCTTGCAGGAGGCCCTGGAGGAAGCTAACATCATCCTTCCGGATCTCGATATCCAGTGGCGCGGTCTTCGATGATGTGACCGCGCTGCTAGCCAGGACAGAGGCAGACTTTTGGCCTTGATCGAAGGCGTGTTTCGTCAAGACGAGCGCATTAACCGACTCATCAATGAGGGAGTACGATCTAGCCAACGAAAGAGACCTGCACAATGGTGTTAGCGGGAATAGCCCGGGGGAGATGGATCCGTAGTGCAATATGAACAGGAACATACTTGAGTGCCTGGAAGTACTGTGTGGTGGCCTCCAGCTTAGTGTTGAGCTCTTCATCCATGGCTACGCCTGGCAGTTCCCCGATTGTCTCGAGACTTTGCAACGTAGAGTCGTACAATACAACCTTCTCTCTGAGGCGGGCGATCTGGCGCCCTGGTGTCTCGGTCTTGGTCTTGTGGGCACTAGCATCCTTCTTCGACTTGCGCGTAGTGTTGGGAGCGGAGTCCAGCAGCGCACCATCGTGCTCACCACTGAGAACCCGGTTCCGGCCTATTCTCCAGCTGATCATTCGATAATTGACTGCTGTGCGTGTGATTTGCAGACTTTGTATGCGAGGATCGCTCTGCGGAACACCCTCTTCCTTCAGCTCGTCTATCGCGTGCTTCGTAGCATCTGCGGCGTCTTGACTGGCGATCAAGACGTCATCATACGCAGCCGCCATTTCTTTCGGCAGGACAGCATCGCCAGATGCCAGCTTGTCTGTCAGAGCCTTGGTCGCAGTCTCGGCTGCAGCAAGTGCCAAAGCAATCGCGGCATCCTCGATCTTGACCTCGCGTGACCTCCAGGTAATTGTCTGCGGGGCATTGGGAGCTCCGACTTGACCTTGCTGGGCATCAGAACCGCTCTGCTTCAGCAAGTTAGGATCCAGCTCATCCACCTGCTCTACCAGTGCCTTGTCCGACATCGGGAATGCCTTGCGAGCAATGGTAGGTATGGCCATGGTCCGGGGGATCTTGTTTTGGTATGCGGCATAACGGATCGAGGGGTCGATTGTCTCGGCGATGAGATCCTTGATGATGTCTGTCTTGAACGCAGGCGCCAGAGCCGTGTAGATAATTCTTGATGTCGCATAGCTCTGGACGCAGCTTTCCCAGTGCTGCTTTTCGAATTCCGTAGCTCCTTGCACCATCGACGCATATGCACGAGCCTCCAGGAGGTCGACAGGGCTAGCATCGCTCGCAGACGTATCCGATAGCAACTTTACAAGAAGGTTGGCGGTGCGGGCGCCTTTATCCAGCCTTGAGATGATGTGCGACCGAGTGCGCCCAGTGATCGCTTTCGTATCGGCGGCATGGATAGCCTTGTAGCGCATAGCCTGTGCCCAGTCTCTTTCGGCGGTCAGGAGCAAGAGATGGAGGTACCTGTCGGGCGGTGGTGCGGTGGTCAGCGAATTGATGCGCCGCAGAGGGCGGATTGGGCGAGGGGTTGAGGTGCTCACTCATGGTTCTCCGAGATTTGCGCTGCAGTCACTGGAGACTTGTTGGTGAACTTGCCGCGGTTCTTTGTGATGATACCAAGCTTCTTGCGGCAGTTATGTAGCTTCTTGGCGAGCTGCGAGTGGTAAGTGGAATAGTCGCCGTAGAGGAGCGCCTGGTTGCGCGCCGCAACCACAAACGTCGTGATGTCCATGACTGTGCACACTGCTCGTGGTCGAGCCCGCGCAAGTACTCTGTTCCCTTGTCTACAGTCTGTGGCGTTCCCGATGTCCCACGTCGGGTGCGATTGGCGGCGATTGGGGAAGCGCTGAGGTGCTAAGGAGGCAGTCGAGAGGCAGCGGTTGACTCGACGGTGATGGATGAGCCTGGTGGTGAGGACACTCGGGGTTGGTGGGGTAAAATGGACAAGTGCTTTTCAGCCAGGTGCCCCAGCTATGGATGGTGGGTGTGGGTGGGCAGTCGTCGGCCCACTTCAATATGAAGCTCACTTGACGGTCAAGGTGCTGTCAAGGTGCTGTCAAGCAGGGCCAGCCCAGAAACGCTCGTAAGAAGCACGGCTTGGTGAACTAAGCGCGTCGACCGCGGATCAATCAAGTAGCCAAAGGCTGCTTTGACGGCGATCCAATCCTGAATAGTGGTTTGGCCGTGCAATCTGTGGGCTGAGCTCATGAATACCTACGCTTAGGTACTTAGGCGGTTGTGCTTGAGCTTGTAGGCCAGCAGGATTGCTTTCGTGCCAGCCCGAGACTTCAAGATAAGCGTAGGCCATGGCCACATGAAGGCAAAGAGGATTTCCTAGATGCACGAGCCCTGCCTTATTAATCGGGACATACGAACGCACCTAGGTATTCTTTGAGGTTGAAGAACATCACACGATCCGACTAAAGCCAGCCGTAATAAGTGCCCAGGTGTGGGCCTTGCAGGGTCTCCCCCCAAAAGAGACAGGTACGTACCTCTGGCAGCGGCCAATCGACCGACGGGTTGATGATGCTTGCTGCTGCAAATCTGGACTGCCGGCGCGCTGCTTCCAGACGGTCTGCAACCTCGAAATTTCCAACGCCCACGCCCCGACAGCCCCAGCTTCGATCGACCCAGGTCTGCACTCCTACCATTCTGCCAGCAGCGTCTGCAGACTGTTTTGCATGCAGCAACCCCCCGGACTTATTCTTGCGGCGTCGAGAGCGAAGCTGCTGCACAGATGGCCATGAGCAACTGTGAGTGTGTGCTGCTCCAGCACAGGAACAGGTTCGCCAGGCACCTCGAGGGCCGAACGACTAATTCTTGTCTCTTCTAGTCCCGACTCTTTCCTGACGACCTCTTTCCCTGTCTTTGCCCCTCGACTTGTGCCGCCAATCCATCCACCTGTGCCGTCGGCTGCTGTGCGCCACAAATTGCGGACGCACTTCCTCCAATGCTGGAGAAGACGGCTGCGAGCCTCGACCACTGCGGCCTACAGCGAGTGTTACCGTCGGCCACCAAGCCACTCCGCTCGACCAGGAAATTGCACACTGCGTTTTGGCAACATGGCGCCGTGGCCAGTGTCGAACTCTCCCAGGCATGGCAATCTCTAATGCACGGCACTCTCTCCCGGGGTGAGAATGCCGACGGCAACGATACTCAGAGAGGTGTCAACCTGACAGCTTCGAGCTTCCTACTCGACTTTCTCTACCCCAACGGCGCTGTTGCCCTCATGCGACGGTGGGCATCAGCTTCGGATCGATCTGCCCGGTATTCATTTGCGCCCACGTCGACGCGGCTCTACACATCAACAACTGCTCGTTATGCGCCTGGCGAGAATGAGGCTCGGCAGCCGGCGGCCCATGATGTCTCTAGGTCGACTGAAGACGGTTCTACGCCATTTGCAAACCCTTATGAATCTATAACCTCCGATGTGGGCCATTCGCCATCGACCTCGACGCAACACCAAAATGCACTGCAAGAGCTTCTTGCGGCCAATAGCGCCGACCAGGCGGACGACCTGTGGCGCCATTATAAGGCACTCGGCGCCGATCTGGCACTCCAATATACCTCCCGTGTCATGGAGTTCTTGGCAAATACGGGCAGGTTGGCAGACTCGTGGAAGGTCTCTGAACTGTTTCATCAAATTGAAGCTGCTGAGTGGGACGACAGGATATTTGTGGCTGGAGCTTCTGCCGAGCTCAAATTGCAAAACACGCAGCACGGTCTTGACATCTTCAGGAGGGGCATAGACAATGACAGGCTGGGCGATGCTTCTCTTGTCCATGTCCTGGATCTACTTCTGGATGTCTCGCTGCGATCATCAGACCCGGCTATACTCGTATCTTTGTGGTCCTCATATCCCAGATTTGCAGCTCGACTGGACCTGAACGAAGTCACGTCGCAGCTCAAGCTCGTTGGGGTAGTTCCGGGCTTGGCTGAAATGGCGCTCAATCTCGAAAACTCTTTGCGATCCGTGATTCCGGATCTTGACTTCAGCAGCGGGAAGGACCATGGCTTCGGAATTCTGCAGAGGATGCTAGTGAAGAGCGCTGTGACGACTTGTGCCAGTAATCTAGTTCTGCCACTTCTAGAGTCGACCAAAGATCCTGCGGCCTTTGAAGAGTTTCTCAAACGGAGCACGGAACGTCGCCAATATCGCCTTGCCACAGAGGTTTACGACATTTACCGTACGCTGCCGGGTAGTACTCCCAGTCGGATGGTGATGTATGAAGCTTTCAAAGGCTACGCCAACCTCAGCGCAAGTCACAACACGAAGACCGCCGGCATGGATCAGCTCTGGGCCGACTGGCATACATTCCACGAGCGCCCTAGCCAGCGCGCATATCAACGCTTTCTGGCTTACTTCGCCGACCTGGGTGACAAAGCCAGGGTGCATCAAATGTGGATAGACTATGTCCAGATCTATGCTGACGCCGATGTTTTGACGAGCGGTTCAGACACATTCGCTCACCTTCTCCACGTACATGCTGTGCTCGGAGAAGCAGGCGAGGTGCAGCGCATCTTTGACGACATGCGGGACAAATTCAAGATGCGCCCAAACCTCCATTGTTGGAACATCCTTCTTCACGGCTATGCAAGCACTGGGGACTACGATAAGACGTCTGAGATTTTTGAGTTGTTAAGCGCGGAGCATCGCCCAGACAGGTACAGCTACGGCACGATGATGCAGATGGCCGGGTCGCGCGGTGATCTTGGCTATACAGCCGACCTCTACCGAAAAGCCCGCAGCCAAGGCCTGCGAGCTGATGCGGCAATTCTGGGCAGTCTTGTGGAGGCTTATTGCCAGAACGACATGTGGTCGGAAGCACAAGACGTGTGTGTTCGGGCTGCAAAGCTAGGCACGTTGGCAACACGTATCTGGAACAAGCTTCTGTATTATCATGCACTCCGGCGCGACCTTGCAAAGGTCAATGAATTGCTTCAGGTCATGGCGAACCATGGGGTGCCATACAACAACTACACCTACCAGCAGCTGCTCTTGGCACTGTCCTTGTGTCGTCAGGCTGACCATGCCTTGCACATGCTGGTTATCGGTCTCAAGGACCATATATTCGAAGTAACCACGGACCATTTCTACATTGTCATGGGTGCGTTCGTCCGCACGGGCGACACTCCACAAGTCTTACGCTTGAGCAAGCTGATGGAAGAGTACGGATTCCACAAGTCTTCCAAAATTGCCTTTCGTTTGGCGGAGGCGCTTGCGCAGTGGCGCCTGACTCCGACTCACGCACGCAGCAAGCGTATCGAAGAGTCCCTACTCAACGCCTTACAAGCATTTCGCCATATATACGAGCCCGTTCCGCCGAGTCCAAGCACGAACGACGGTCACTTTCATCGCTCAACTGTTCCAAGCAGGATCACCGAGCGTGGCTTAATCACATCTGGATCCGTCGAGAACCAGTTTGGTACCTTGAGCTACCTGCTAGGTCAGCTTCGAGACTTTGCTGCCGGGAAAGATCTGGTTCGTCTTTATCAGCTCGTGTTTGGAGAATACAACGGCGAGAAACACTTGCTTCCTGTGCCGCTGCTCAACTCAGTGATGGCGGGCAACCTTGCCGAGGGCAATCACGAGGGAGTCAGCACAACATGGAACTTGTTGTTCAGGAATGCTCGCAAGAAGCTGCGATCGAAAGACTTTGCCGATCCTGCCGATCCGAATAGAATCTCTCCGAGATATCAGTACATCCTCTGTACTGGCCTCAAAGTCTTACTAGAGTCCATGCTCGTGAGAGAGGACGGTGCGGGTATGCAAGAGGTCGTCCAACGAGTCCTCGCTGACGGGTTCTTCCTCGACAGCAAGACGTGGAACTACTATGTCCAGGCACTAGTCAAGCTGAACCAATACCGGCCAGCATTTGATGCTTGCGAGCAGATGCTGATGCCAGGATGGCGCGGCTGGTTCCGAGCTCGAGCTCGCGAGCCGATGCCCAACCAACTCTCCCTTGACATCCGGAGAAAGGGATCCTCGCCTCGCCATCTAAGGCCCGTCACTACCACCCTGTACCGTCTGGCTAGAGGCTACATGGAGCTCGACAAAATGGCACCGTGGTCCCAGCCTGCCGCCAAGCTCTTGGAAGAGATCGAAACGTCATGTCCGATGACAATGCGAGCCATCAGGTCCATTCTACGGGTACATTCACCACTTGAATACGAGATCTTTGGCGAAGACGGATTCGCAGCAGACCAGATGTCTGGAGAGGAGGGCACGTTTCAGGAGTCAGGAGAAGATGAGCTAGACAAACAGGACGAGTCTGAGCAATGGAATGCTCCTGGTGCTCAGGAGGACGATGTCCATCAGGATGTCCGGCCATGATCCCGATCACTATTGGAAAGCAGATGCTCTTCGGAAGAGCGTGGTCACCCCAATGTATAAACTTGATTGTCTTCATACCTTGTACATCACACGTTACGAACATATTAGAACGAAAAAAGGGTAGAACAGCTATATAGACTGATGAGCAGGAGACAGCTCTCGACTGCTCTGTATGATAAAAGACTTGATGACGAGCACATATTCTCTGCCAGGATGCTCAGTATTTTTCATACTGAATGAGGCCAAGCGGATCAGCCAAACTACTCCAGACCAGAATGTTTCGTGACATGGAGAAATTGAATGAGACAAAGCCGACTTGCACAGAACACGCAAACTCAGTAGGGGGCTTCCGGACCAGCCTGACTCTCTCTTCCCCGGGATCGGAGAGGCGCGTGCGCGTTCGTGGGTTCCAATTGATCCACGGGTCCGACTGCCCCGCATGCTCGATGAGCACCGGGCCCGGGGGCCGGCCGTGGACCAACACAGGACAGACAGGCAGGCAAGGGGGTCGATGCTCGGTTGACTGGCTACCACCCAGGATGTCGCCGGCCCACGGAGAGATGCATGTGTGTATATGACTTGCATCTCGGACAATGGCTCCAAGAATGGCAATTGTGAGAGGTGTGCTGTGCATTGTTTCGCCTAGTTGCCCCCTTGCGAGCGGGTACTATTAGCGGACTTGGACTAGGGTGACTCACGTGGGTTTCCACTCCGCGGCGGTGGCAGACGACGTGCTCATCCATGCTGGAGGTTTTCCCGATCTCTCCGGTTGTTGTCATTGTGTGGGATGACTATCTACCTAGGTAAGTAGGTATGTATAAAGACTCCGGACAATGTAAATAGAGCGTGGCTTCCAGGCAGCTTGTTTTAGACTGTTCAAGAATCCAAGCTTGTACGCCATCCGCGATCCCGTTTGGGTGAAGTCCTCGGGCATCTCTGTACTAACCCGGTACTTTGTTTCGCCTCCGGCCCTAGACCTGAATTTAATCCATAATTCGGTCAGACCATATCAAGTGGCCTGGCTTCGCTCTGACAACCTTGATAGAACGGACAAAATATCCAAGTGAGTTCAACTGGACAAGCACTTGGCTTTACGATCCAGCGTGATTAATGACTTGCAGAGAACCTTCTTTATCAAATCGCCGTCCATGCTGCAAAACACATGACAGCAACAGCACATCCTCGGCAACCTGAGCCCACAAGATCATCTAGCTAGCTCGAACCACGTTTGTTCCAGGTGGTCTGCCAACCGGGAACCGTGTCCAGATCTCCCAATCGCCAGCACCAGCAACAACATCCAGCTAGTTCATATGAGGCACGGCGCGGCAATCCGAATTAGCAACATGGCAGCTCCAGGTAGAGCCGGGGTGACGGCGGGGGCCTCATCCTCATCTTCACAACGGACACCGTTCTTGCCACGGGTGCTCGAGCTGTCGAGACCAGTAGTAGTAGTACACCGCAAGCCCGCCACAGCTCCAGCAGCAGCAGCAGCAACGGCTCTTTCGACGCCGGCGGAGCCGCAGACGCAGCAGGAGCCCGCCACCGCCAGGATCGTCCGGATGCTCCCGTGCGACCGCGGTGGCGCACACGTCCGCGCCACGATGGATGTGTACATGTCCGCATTTGCGGGCGGCGCGTTCACGTACTGGTGGCCTGCGGACCTTGGCGCCATGAGGGTGTGGCAGGAGCAACGGGCCCTGAACCGGTGCCGTGACGAGCGGAGCGTGCAGTACATGGCCGTGCTGGACTCACCGGGCAGTGGTGGCGGTGGCGGCGGGCACAAGGCAGACGGGCACGGCAATGGCAATGTGGAGGTTGAGGATGTGGTTGCGTACAGCAAGTGGACGCTGCCGAGCCCGGCGACGGAAGCTGGCAAGAGGCAGTTTGAGGGACTGCGACGGGCCCTTGTCGACTTGGACCAGGCGGGAGAGATTGGCTCAGGCACGGCGACTGCAAACAGTAGTCTGGCTGAGGCGTCCACGATATCGGCAGCAGCAGCTGGCGAGCAAAGCGTGGACGGCGGCGGCAAGGCACACAAGGACATCCGTGGCGACCACCCAGCTGATATACCAGATGGCAGCAATGCTGCTTTCTACAACGAGTTCTTTGACGGGATAGAGCGCATCAGCAAGAAGTGGCGGTGCGACGAGATGATTGGTATGTTGGCACCACTTACACGGATATATGCATGGACAGGAAGCACCGGCTGCAGCCATAATCATGATTCCCGGCCGACGCTGACCACCGAAATAAACAGAACTGTCTCTCATGGCCACGCGACCATCCTACCACGGCCACGGCATCGCGGCCGCCATGATCCGGCATGTCCTCGATGTTGTGGACCAGCATGGTGTCAGGGCGGTGCTGTTGGGCTTGGAGCTCGCGACGCCGCTGTACCGCCGTCTTGGGTTCGAGACGGTGGAGACGTTCAGCTTTGAGCTGGCAAAGAGGGAGGCTGGCGAGGATGGTGTCATGCATGTCATGATTCGGGAGCCACGAGATGGTGCAGGGGACGGCGAGACGTCGTAGCGGCGTGGAATGAGGTGTCTACAGAATGGACAAGACCCTGGAACGACACCAGTCCCTGAGAGAACGATAATGGCCTTGATATGGTAGTCGAGTCTCGATGACGATACTGCCTCGAGCGATGGATTTAGCGAATATAAATGAGAAGACCGTGCTACGTCTGGGCGGATCGAATGTTGGACCATTCAAACACACACACACACACGTTGATATTATTCAGGTGGACGGCAGTCATTTCTTGGAGCCCCGACGACGTTCGTCCGGATGACTCGCTGTCCTCTGTGTTCTGCAGCGACAAAGACCTCACGCCTGAGTCTGCCATACGAATGCAAATGTTCAACTGTGGTGGATGCCATTGCGGCAACTCATAGGCACGATGCATTCCCCACATATACCCCGAGTACAGTCTCCCATCGTTCTTGACGATCTAACATACTCGTTTTGTGACTGTCCACTTTTCTGTGTATCTCCACAAGCACGGTATCACGCAGAACTAGAACAAACCTTGTCCGGACGGGCTATCCTAGGTCTTCCTCACCAACGACTTTTACTAGTGACGATTGACTCGTTGCACACATGGTGCTGCGGATCCCTGGTACTGGAATCCTGTCTGGCGGCGGAAGTTCCTTTGATCCCGTGCCCTCCGCAGGCCTGGAGACTCGGGAGAGATGTGGGAGTGGCGTATGCACAGCGATGGATTTGACGCAAGGCATCCTTGGACGTGGCGTTGCAGGGGGGGTATGTAGGCGGGAGAGGCATGTCATGTCAGTTTGCTCTCAGTTTTGCGGAGCAGGTCATCAGTGCCGTGTCGCGCGGGCCATGATTAAACCTGTGGAGATTTGACATGATGGCTCTGCATCGGCGCAAGGAGATGCCTTCCACGGCAGAGGCTTCAGTGTAAGCAACATGTATGTTTGAGTCGTTTCTTCTTAGCCCAGAGGCTGTTTTGCAACGCGCATGCAACAAGGGTGACGACGCTACACTTCGATTCGCTGACAGGCCGCCCGATCGCGGTGTTTGTAATTACTGCGTAGGAAAAGAGGGACCCAGACGCGGGTCATGACCAGTCGCGTGTTTCGCGGTGCTGGACTGGTGAAACGCAGCCACGTGTATCGCACGCTTGTCGTCCGCCTCGTAATAGCATTCGGCAGCTGCGGTTTCTCATTTCGCGGAAAGTGCGAGCGCGGGCAGAGGAGAATCGTGCTCAGTACGACAGCTGACGCGGGATTAGTGATTGTGTCGCCCGCTGATGTGTCGAGATGTGCCGCTGACTCCCCGAACCTCGAAGGTTTGTGCCAACAGATCAGGGTCCAGGACCTGGCCCCTCCTCGGGTTCCACAGCGCCGTGGATGAAACAGGCATGGACCCACTCCCGCAACGCTGCCTGCCACTTGAAACATGGATGCCAGAAGTCGCAATTGCCGCACCGGGACCTAGACTGTTCCTACCTAGTAATTAGCGAATGCTCTGTCAACCTTTTCTTCGTCGCTTTCCCTCTCCCTCGGGTCCGGCGACTGGAGCCGTCCAAGCAGAGGGAATCCGACTCGTATCATGGTGATGCTGTGCACAGTATGCACAGTTGAGCGAGTCCATAGTGGCGTGCAGACTAACAGCCGCGGTGGCGGCAGGACCACCGACGCCAGACCCGGGAGTCTCGCGGATGCAGATGTGTGCAGATGATTACAAGCCCGGATGCTCTGCTTGGTAACAAAGGCGAACTCTCACAGCCGACCTACAGGGCAGGTCCCCTCAAGAAAAGCCTGCTCGTGTCACGCACGCACTTGCTACCGGCAATCGGAACGGGCAGCCATCAAGTCCAGTCCAAATGAAACGCAACGCCACGCCGCGCCGCGCTGCGCTAGAGAATCGAGAATTACCAGCACTTGCCTCGCACACCGCATCTTTTATGTCCTGGTGGCACCATCCGCAAGAGGGAACGGGCACCCCTGGCACCCTTACGCCGTACGCCGGTGGGATCGACATCCACAACGGTCCAACCTGTCAAGTCCCTTTCCGTTTCTCTGCTGACGTGGAAAGGACGCATGGGCAGAGCACCACCAACACCTAGACTCGTCTCCATATTTGTAGCCCCTGGCTGCCACCCCTGGACCCGGCCTTCGGCCCCCCTGGGTTGCGCCAAGTTGGGGCGTTTTACCCCTGACGTCGGACCTTTCTTCTCTGTGTTCCTGGCCCCGCGAGGTTGCAGATTCGATGCGTGCCTTGCGAGGAGCTGACAAGCTTGGGGTCGCTCCCGGATAATGTGCGCCCCCACCGGCTCTGCGCTGCGGGCATCAACTGGTGTTCTAGTCAGGATGGTACGATAGATCGAAACTTACAGTCCTCGGCCGGCCGCATACCGCTTTTGGCATATGTCAGCCTGTCAGGGGGCACGCATCATTATCCAGGTAGCCAGGCTAGGCTTGGTCCCTGTATGGGATTGAGTGTTGCGCAGAGATGATGGCGTGGGAATCCACTGCTGCGCCTGACTGGGTTTTGTGAAGGGTGTTTGTTGGCAACTCTTGCCAGGGCCGGCCATTTGCTCCTGGGCGGGCAGCCCAGACACATAGATACGGACGAAGATCGAATACAACTGGCACGGCCCCAGGAGTCAGAGGGGGTTGACCCTTCATGTTGCGTCCTTGGGTTGTTGGTATGTACAACACACCTGCTTTCCTCGTCGCCCACGCATCGAGTCAAGGGCAGCCGGATCCGGCACTCACTCGAGGACTATGCCACGACATTGGACACGGGTAGCTCCGGCAATGGAGGATCAACCATCCTCGCCAGTGACGCGGCACGCCTTGGAGACCCAGGCCAAGTGCCTCGTACCAAGGAGGGGTGGCGCCGTGCTAATTGCGTTCGAGCTTGGATCACGGTACGAGATTGCTCCACCATCATTGAGGATATTTGGACAACAATGGCCATGTCCGCACCCCTTTGGGAGTACAGGGGCTATTAGCGACGTGCTCTGGACATGGGCAGACGGACAGGCAATATCTCTGTTGACACCCAGCCTGCATCTAGGATTCGGGGTGCCTGGCTGCCCTGCCGTTGTCGATCTGCCAATGTCAATGACCCAACGCGTGCGAGGGCGAAGCAGGGAGTTTTGGGGTCCTGGTCGTGATTAGCCTTCGTGTATCCCCGTTCCGCAGCGTGATGCACAACAGCATCCTCCGTCATTCCGCTTGCTGGCTCTGTATGTGCAGGTAGCTCTTCTGAAGCGCAACTATAATGAGGACGCCAAGACGCACAAGACTGACGCTTGCTGAACTGTATCTCGCGTGTCTGCCTATACCTTGTCGCAACAGAGTTCCCTCCTGCCATTGCTAAGACCTGCAGCGTCTGGCACCTCCTCCTTAGCTTCTTTCCCTCCACCCTTCTGCTGCTCATTGCTTCGACCTCGGATCCGCCACCACAAACTGCTGAATAGAACTGGACCGGCGCCGTGCGTGACCAGCCTCCGCCTGACTTGTTTCCCCAGCAGAAAGCGCTCCCTCGCCGTGGTCGGGTGCTCCAGCTGTTTTAGGCGGCGCCGCCAGAGTTGTCGACCAGCCCTTTGGCACAGCACCCACCTGGGGCACACGCCCGCCCCTCCTGCTAGCCGCAGCTGAATCTGGCCGCACTCTAGTCCAACTGGACTGACAAGCCCAAACCTCCTTTCTTTCGTGCCTCCACTGCTGCCCGCCCGCCGCAGGCTAGCTGTCCAACCCACAGTTCCCCCCCGACCCCTCTGTCGCCTGTCCACGACGACAACACCAAAGTGGCCATTTCTTCGTGGGCTCACGCATCGCCAACCAGGTCGCGACGGCTCGTTTCTCGCTCCACTGCACCATTGCAGCTTCTCGTCGCCGTCCTCAACTCTCAACCGTCAGCTATTGCAAGCTGCCACGGACTAGCCACGGCGCAATTGGCTGGCAGCTTCTCCAGGCCCGTCTCGACAACACATCGCCACATTCGACGCTGCTGACGATTTGTCAGATGCGGCTGCGCGACTAGCCCGCTCCCACTTCTGCGACGAGCATTCAGTATACGACACAGCAAGGCTCCTGCAAGAATTGCGCTTTCCATGGTCTTCTCGCCACACCAACACAAACCATTCCTTGTTTCGACTCCATGGCAACTGCGATGGACGACTTCATAGAAAGCCCCGGGGCGGACAGCGAGGATGTCTTTCCTTGCAAAGGCTGCGGCGAGGTGAGTTTGGCCTGGCGAGTACAAGGAGCACAACAATGTCGAAAAGGCCGTAGGTTGTAAGCTGACCCTTGACTGCTACTTGACAGATTCTCGAGGAAGGCAAAGCATTCGAACTGGGTATGTAGTTCACGATCGGAAACTCCCGAAGCTGGTGGTGCCATGCACTGGCAGCACTCGCGGTCCAGACTGCGCTCCAAATGTGCTCGCAATATCATGTGGCAGGGCAGGACTAACCCGTGGCTTATAGCGGGCAACCGATGGCATCTCAACTGCTTCCGTTGTAACACGTGTGGAACGCTTCTCGATTCGGACGCAAACCTGCTCCTGCTTGGGGACGGCTCCCTTATTTGCAACAACTGTACATATAGCTGCAGTGCCTGCGGTGACAAGATCGAGGACCTTGCCATCTTAACCGGTGACCAGGCCTTTTGCGCAACGTGTTTCCGATGCCGAAACTGCAAGCGAAAAATAGAGAATCTGCGATATGCACGCACCTCACAGGGTATCTTCTGCATGAGCTGTCACGAATCACTCATGGCGCGACGGCGAAAGAAATCAAAAGCAGCCGCTCAGGCAAAGGCAGCGCGAGATAAAGAAAGCTCACCGATGGTGCAGGAGAAGTCGTTACCGGCACTCCCGCCAAATGCCATCCCACCCAATGCCTTCTCCGACGATCGCGTTGATCCAGAGTCTGACATGCCAACGACGCTGTCCCCACGGCCGAAGCCTTCATACCAGACAACCGAACCCTCATCAAGAGGCAGCTCGCGGCCTCCAAGATCACCGGATCGGCCGTCGATGGACGCGGGCCTGAACATTCCGCCTGCCTCGTATCGAAAGAACCGGAATTCGTCCATTTTTACGGGCAGCGATACTCAGAGCGCTCATAACCACAACGTCAATGCTGACGATGGATCATTTTTCATTCCAGTCGCCCTCGATCCTAGTCCTGCACCATCGGTCACCCCAAGATCGACCACTGATGCTTTCCCGAAGAGCAAAGAAAAGGACTACTTCAGCATGTCAAAGTCAAACGGTGGCACTGATCGCAAAGGCGAGTCGCAATCGAGCACACCGCATATTGCGTTCCAGGAGAAACCACGCAGGCCCTCGTCCGAGTACGAGGCATCGCCAGTCAAGGAAGAGCCAAGGAAGGCACCAAAGCAAACAAGGAGCGAAAGCCAACCGTCAGTCTCGACGACTGGGCAGGCTCAGAATAATGGAGGATCCACCGACAATTTCAAGTTGCAAGACGCCCCAAAGAGCAAGAAAACGGCAACCAGCCGTAGCGAGTCAAGCCCGAATGTCTTGCAAGATGCCGCGGGTAACAAGGCGGCTGCGCTGGCAGATCGGAAAGATCGAGACAATCAAGGACTTGCAGACTCCCCGCATATTGGTGCGCAACTTGCAGACAGACAGACCGCTCCACGAAGCTCACATGATTCTCGGCCACGCGATGAAGCGGAAAACCGATCCACAACCACTTCAAGCACTGCCGCGAACGGTTCGCAACGGCCAATTGCCAGGAAAGAGATTGCTACGACGAACTCATCCCGGAATGGTATGTGTGCCTCTGTGTATCATGATGATCACAAACTAGCCGAGACTAACCAACATGCTCTTTCATAGTGAACGGTACAGCCGCCAAGCAAACAAAGTCGGAAGATACAACATCGCCGCCTCGCAATCAGGTCAACCAATACATGACACCGAGAGCACCTCCTGCACCTCCCAACCAAGCAGGCGATGCCACAGAGCCCAAGACATCCCCTAAACTGCCTAGGTGGAGCTCAGGCGGCGACTTCAGCATGGACGAAGATATGGCTCGTATACTGGGCACCGATGAAGGCTCGTCGTCGATACTGCGCCGTGTGTCGAATGCTGTTCGTCATGGCCGAACTAGTAGCACTGAGTCTGCCATGCAACAGCCGCCACGGGTCTCTGCGCATACTCGCAGCATAAGCGAGACGACACGGACAACCATGTCACCCCGCTGGCCCAAATCCCCATTACTCGACGAGTCTCTCCTGGAGAGGCCGACTAGTCCTGCGCCACTTGGTCTGACGGATGATCCCAACTTTCTCAGGCGCCAGCTCCGCACCTCGGAGCAGCGTGTGCTGGAGCTGGAAAGCCAGTTCACGAACGATAAGGACCTGCAGAGTCTCAGCCAAAAACTGGAGGAGAAGCGGAAGACGGTCTCCGTGCTTGATACTCAAACTGAGATTATGATTCGGCAGCTTGAAGTTCTGGCGGGATTCGTCGAGAAGGCAAAGGAGACAAAGCGACCGATTGACCCGCGTGAGCTCGAAGAATCTGCGCTGCGTGACTTCGTCGCCAAGCTCGAAAAGCTGAAGCAATCCATGACCGCATCCTTGCAGCAGCTCCACGCGGAGCGAGATCAGGTTTTGGAAGAGAAGATCCGGGCTGTTGCTGATCGTGATCGTGCGCGACAGGAGTTCGAGCAGCTGGCCTCCAAGAATGCACAGCTCGCGGATCTGAACAACGACCTGACCCATCAGATCCAAGAGAGATTTCGGAACAACTCTGACGGTCGCTCTCCTGGCCCGAACGGCCTTGGCATCTATCACCAGCACAAGGGCACATCCAATGCCTCCATTAGTCTGGACAATGCTAGTATACACACTGGAACGACTATGGTGGCTGCTGACAACGATGAGCCTATTCTTGAGTCTGGGCCGACTGTCATCAAAATTGGCAAGGGCCAGGTCAAAAAGTTTAACTGGAAGAAGGGTTCCAAGGCTGTTGCTCAGAACATCGCAAAGGGTATGAACAGGACAGCGGCTGCCTTCCAGCAGCCAGAGAGAGGCCACGGCATGGCAGGCGACAACCTCGGAATGCCGTACAACATGACCGTTGTTCCTGTCGAGTCACCGGTCGTGCCAGCTTCAAACCAGGCACCACCGATCCCGAACCGGCATCAGCAGGGTGATGGTGGTCGACAAGGATTTTTCGGCTTCAAGAAGTCCGCCACAATGCCACGGACTGTGATGGGTGGACCCAACATGTCTACGCACGATCTGGCCGAGCCACCGACAGTACTGTTCGGCTCCGAGCTGGCTGATCGTGCCGACTACGAGCGGCGTCAGATCCCATGCGTTGTCACACGCTGCATTGAAGAGGTCGAGTTGCGCGGAATGGACATGGAAGGAATATACCGCAAGACTGGTGGAAACTCACAGGTCAAGATCATTCAGGAGGGGTTTGACAAGAACGAGAACTTTGACATCTCGGACCCTGATTTGGACATCACCGCCGTCACTAGCGTGCTGAAGCAGTACTTCCGCAAGCTCCCCAACCCGCTGCTCACGTACGACATCTACGATCAGGTTTTGGAGATTGGCAGTAAGTTGTGGCTCTCGTCGTCCTATTCCAGTATCGCATTTGCTGACACGGACACGCAGATCTTCCAAATGACACAGAGAAGTGCGCTCATCTTCAGCGCGTCTTCAATGAACTCCCTCGCCAGCACAAGGACTGCCTCGAGTTCCTCATGTTCCACCTTTCTCGGGTCGCTTCGCGTGAGAAAGAGAATCTGGTAAGCATGACCCTGTCGCGTTATCTGGCCGAACTTGATCGAAGGCGGCTGACACCATGCAGATGACCCCCAAGAACTTGGCCGTAGTCTTCGCCCCAACGATTATGCGGGCGACCGCCGTGGAGCGGGAGATGACCGACATGCACGCCAAGAACCTCGCCGTGCAGTTTATCATTGACAACAGTGCCTACATCTTCTCCTAGGAGGGGGATGTGTACTATTGGCCATGCCCGGATCCTTCGACATATCAGTGGCGGCTCTATGTGAGGCATCTTGAGAGCGTAGCGGCACGCAGGGTGCGGGTCAGCAGACGCCGCGCAGCTTCGTCCATTGCGAGCCTGGGATCATATTCGCGAGCTGCGCTGCACTAGAGTAGAGGGTGGTTTTGGTTTGTGGTAGGGACTAGGTAACTCGTGCCTGGAAGGAGTCGAGCGCAAGGATATGTTTGCGTCATTGCCACTGAACTGCCTTATCATTTTGTTTTTGGAAGGGGGTCTTCTGATTCGTACCTGTTGCCCAGGGGCTTGTTTTATTTCAAGAAAGCGCGTGGTTGTGCTGTTTAGCTTGGCTAAGGAGACTTTATGTTTGTTGTGTTTCCAAGTAGTTATGCGACTTCACTGCCTACGGGTGTGAAAACTGGGGTTTTTCTTATGAAGAACTTTTGTTCACTGTCTGCGTCCCGCGGCCGATTTTCATTCTTGTCTTCGTCATGGCACCTCTGTGAAGGATTATTCCGTGGTGGTACAATTCATGGCCAATCGACCAACATGATTCCTTAATGTCTATGTGAGTTTGCTTGACCATATGGCTGCTGAAAAGGGACAGGATTAGAACCACGAAACTACCCTCGTCGCGTGATTTCAATTCTTATATTTAACTAGATGTGCTACGGAAGACCGCCGTTAGGTTGGTTCAATGCCGTGCAGTTCGGAATTCCGAGCGCAGAAGGATGGACCAGGGAATCTACTCCACTGGGCTCAGCTGCACGGATTGACAGCTGGTGAGGGTGAGGGATATGGGGCGTGCGCGTGTGGTTGTGGCCCAGAGCCGTCATGCTCATCGCCGTGTCCACAGCAACCACCTCAGTTTATGATTGGTAGGTCGAAGTCGCCTCCAACTGTACGCGACGAAGCTTTTCATCATTCCCATAATCGCTTGGTCCTCGGTATATCCTTGGCTTCCTAGGCATCAACGCCGGCAGTCGTAACGGGGAGTACGGGCAGGCTTCCACCATCAGGAATGGGTCCAGCCTCTCGCGAGGACAGAAGCGGGTGATCGGCATAGAAGTTTGGTGCGTGTTCGTTGCCATTCCTTTCCCATAGTCTGGCGATGATTCTCTATGCACGCGTGTCTGAATCGTGGAGATTCGTCCTGCCAAGTCCAGTGGAACAAGAAAGACGCCCACGAGCTTCTTCCCTATGTATATGGGAGCTGACATTTGCGCTATGGGACCGCACCCCACGGCAAGGCAATGCGGCGACGGCCCGATGTTTCCGGTTTTGGGCTGGCCTGCTGCTAGATCAATCCTTTCCCCGACAGCGCCATTGTGCCGAGCAGCACACATCACTACTCCTCAGCAGACCAGGTGGTGCCTTTGAAATCTCATCTAGCCTACTTCGCATCCCCGACCATCCTCTTCACCTTCTCGAGAAGCAGGCCAGACTCTCTGCCGAGTCTACGCTGCCCGTCACGACCAGGTGTCCGCGCCTTCTTCAGCGCACGGTTGTAGCGCTCGCGGTCGGCAATCTTTTTGGCGCGCTCTGCGTCGCGTCGCTCGAATTCGGCATTGCGTGCCGCTGCTGCGGCCTGCCTCCTATCCGCCTCGGCCTTGGCCTTGTCGAAATAGCCCGGCCGACGCAGTTGTTGTTGGTTTCTGCGCCGCCTCTCCGGGTGCTGGTGTTTGTCTTGGTTGTTATCTTGATCTTCGTTGTCGGCGGTAACATCGTTGTCTTCAGCCCCGGCAACGATCTTTCTGGCCTTCTTCGGGTCTTTGCGTTGGCTTTCGTCCTCGTTGTTCTCGTCATCGTGCTCCGGTCCCGCCTCGTCGGCTGCCTCGTCCTTGCCTGATGCTAATTGTGCAGCGCCTTCGTTATCGCCGTCGCTAGCGTCTCCGCCACGCACCATTTCCTCGTCGTCATCGTTATTGTCGTCGCCGCCGCCGTCGCGGCGCTTGTGGTGTTTTGAGCTCTCGACTTTTCGGGGCTTGCTCTCGCCGAGCTCCGTGGCCCGGACCTTCTTGTAGGCCTTGCGGACCTTGGCCTTGTGGATGAGGTCCTTTTTGATGCGGTCGACTATACGCGCACAGATATATGCAAGGTCAGCCGACTAGACGTTCGTATAATAAAAAAAGCCCTGCCTTTGCTGGACTTTGCACCACCCAAATCGAGTCCATCAACAACAAACCTTTGCGCTTCCAGGCTCCGTCGGGAAGGTTCTCGGGCCCCACACGGAACCCTTTTCGGTGCTTCTTGGCTGCTGAGGCACCGGCGGCAGGGTCCGCCGGGTCGCGAGGGCGTTTCGTGGGTGCCATTGTCGCTGCGATGTGAGCAGGTGTACGGGTGTACAGGACCTTGCGTTCACGCAGCACAGAGAGAGAATCACATGGCTTTGGTGGAGCCGGCGTAAAAATACAGTGGGGATGGAAGTATCGATAACTACTTAAAGTACCCACCTTGGGCAGGCAGACGATTGGACGATGCCTCAGCCAGCCAGGGCGATCAGCCCACTTGCACCACCACCGACCTTGACGGCCAGCCGTGGAGCACTGCAGACGGCTCAGCTGCTTGCATGCAGAGAAGAATCGGTAGTGTTTGTTGGGCACTTTTGCATGACGGGGGTGAGACTCTTCGGGAATGCCATGAGGAGAATTCACCTGCAAGAAAGGCGGTGTTCATCCTAAACCAGCTTAGTCCACCCACTTTGGGGACACTTCCCCAATCGTTACATAATCATCACGCCTCAAACCACATATATAACCTCATATACAACCTGAGGTCTCCTCCTTGTACTTGGGACATTCTCTCCCTCTCACAACTCAATCACCCTCTCCCCTCGCTCATTTCGTTCTCGCCGATCTCTTCCTTTAGTCTGACATTAGTCTCACGACGCCACGATGGGCCCCCGCTCGCGACCTACAATATCGTCACCTCAGAGGCTTGGGATGTGTAAGCCCGGTATGCCTGTAATTGACTCTAACGTGGATATGGTTGTTATGAGAACCATTGGGGGAGATATTTGCATTGCTTGAACAGCTTGCCATTGATAAGCCCACTGCTGCTCATATACAACGTTTCCGACTCGAAGCTAGGTTTTCCACAAAAAAGACCACGAGAATTTCGTCTTTCATCTAGCCTCGAAGATGAACCTGTTTCCCTATGCCCGAGGGAACTGCAACGGCGGCAGGGTTAGAGATGATGAGGTGGGATAACAATTTGTACCACGAAGATGACCGTGCCGGGTAGAAAACAATATTGCCGCCAGACTGTGACAATGCCATGGTCCTGCAAGGAATATGGTGATCTAGACCAGCCCCCACACTCCACAGATGCCGGGGTCGACAAAGAAGCTCCAGGCTCGTCCTGAAGCTTGATGAACCCCTGCCAAGGATCCCGGCATGGCCACATACCTAAGGGACCAACGTCCGACGACCAATAACCAACAACCAACTTAAAGCAGCTTTTCCCTCTTATACTGTCCTCTCTAACGCCATGGCGTCCACCAACATCACCAACAACACATTCCCATCATTTCCGAAGCTGCCCCCCGAGCTCCAGGTGCACATCTGGTCCTTTGCCGCCATGCAACCACGGCTTGTCGTAGTGGACGCGCAAAGACTCGAGGCGGACTCCGCCTGGCTGTCGACGACCCCGGCGCCTCTCATACAGCGGCTCCGCATCCCGTTCGCCAACGACTGCGAGTGGAGCTACGAGGGATTTGTCAACTCCTTGGAGTCCAAGCTCAAAAACTTCCATCGTCTTAGAGAGCTGCAAATCGCCCTCCCCCTGTGCGACCTGGAAGGCCCGCGTAACTGCATCTCGAGGACGGTCTCGTACGGCACCTGCGACACAGAGAATGTACGCTTTATAGATCTTGAGACAGGCATGCTTCTCACCGAGGGAGATGTTGCGGTCCTATCACATTGGGAGGTCCACAAGGGCGGACTCATCGAGGAGGACGAGCTTGAATATTTCGACCGGTACGCACACTGGTATGATGAGTCATGGGTGGAAAAGGTAGAAGGTGCATACAACTTTTGCATCTACAGCTGAGACTTTCATTCCCATACTGCGGCCCGCCTGTCCTTTGATTTGTTCTCTGAGAACATTGAAATCAATGATATGATTGTGCGGGCCAGTGTCCCTTTAAATAAGGTCGTGGTTGGAGTTGCTAGCTACGGTCGAACCTTCAAGATGGAGCAGGCTGGCTGCGACTGGGCCATGTGCAAGTTCACCGGCAGCGCGCGGAAGTCGCTTGCTGCCAAGGGCCTATGCACAGACGCCGCCGGCTATACCTCCAACGCCGAGATTAACGAGATCCTGCAGAACAAGCGGGTAACCAAGACATGGACCGTCAACTCAAACTTTATAGTATACAACGATACCGGGTGGGTTGCCTGGATGGGTGATGAGTTTAAGAAGAAGCGAGAGGGTATCTACGCATGGTACAACTTTGCCGGCACAAGCGACTGGGCTGTGGACCTGCAGTCCTTCTCCGAGTGAGTACAGCTTCAGCCTGGATACTTGATCTCCCAGAGGGCCGGAACGAGATGCTGACTATATTTCTCTGTACCCACGATGATGAGAACGACGAGGACGATGGCGAGTATAAGGCATGGGTCGACCCTAACTACTACGCGCCGTGTAACGCCGACTTGACTAACGTCGACAACTTTGTTACACTTGACGACCGCGCCGGGTTAATCCCGCCGTACTGCCTGAACTAGTATATCATCGACGTTAAGCTGCGCATCATAACCATCGCTATAGGTAACTATAAGCGCCTGCTAGTGGACGGCCCCGATGCCAAGTTTGATACGTTTGCGCGCTACACGGCGGAGCAGGTGCCCTTGTAGATCAGCAGCTTTATGGGCAGCGGCCGGGCCGACTAGTTCTTTGAGTGCGTGGACACGGGGACGTAGCAGTGCTGCAGAGAGTACCGGCTCTTCTGCGACCTGGACAAGTGCGTCACAGGGCAGGACTGTGTCGGCGGCTTCGAGTCGCGCGACATTGGGTGTCCGAAAGACGCCGTCCTCGGCATCCACTCGGTCGACTGGTTCGGGTCCAAGAAGCCCAACGCGACCTTCAACCTGCACGACCGTGATGGCTTCTTCAACGCCATCGCCAACGACTATGGCGTGGACAGGGACTGGGTCGAGTTCTCCAGAGTCCTCGTCACCTTTGCCAATGGATGTCAGACTCAGGGCTCCGACGTGCTCAACTGCATGAGCGCGGCCAACTCGTACTTCTGGAACTACCCGACGCTTAAGGACCGGATTAGCGTCTTCAACCCCAAGGACACCATCGCCAGGACCTTTGACCAGTCCCAGGACCTCGTGCAGCGCACGCGGCTCATCAAGTCCATCGGCGACATCGACCCGACGCTGCGGATGCGCGACATTGCCGACTCGGCCTCGCTGCCCGCGCTGTCCATGGGGGGCCGCCATCCAGAGCATGCAGCGCGTCGTGGACAAGGCCGACGAGACCGACCGCGAGGAGCGCGAGAAGGCCATCATCGGCTTCATCGCCGGCATCCTCTTCGCCATACCATTCCTAGGCGAGCTTGTCCCCGCCAGCACGGGGCGCGATCCGCGGCATCATCGCGCTCGCCGAGGGTCTCGGGTCAGGCGGCATGGCCTTGTGCGATGTCATTCAGGATCCTGGGAATGGGCCTATGGGCATCATGCTTGGGCTGGTGGGTGCTAAACAGGCCAAGGGGAGATGGAGGAGGGCTGCCGACGGCCGGAGGGCGATGAAACTCGGCAGCATCAAGACGGATCTGGACAAGATTGGTAACATCCGGGGTAGTGCTTGTCGTCGCCGGTAGTCCGGATATTGCAAAGAACGAGGAACGCGACAGGGGAGCTTAGTCTCTTCGAGCTACCACAATACAGGTGAAGGGCACGAGGCAATCAAAACTTTAGGAACCCGGCGATATAGAACCAACAATTCACAAACAGTTCCATGACATCGAGTATTCCGCAGCCTTGTAACAGGGCACCCCAACACAGATAGCCTTTCGAAGCCGACTACGGACTCCCACACGACGTGGTCGCACGAAACGCGGGAGCTAATCAACATGAGAAGCCCTAGAGCCGTGAGACTGTGAGAGACAGCAAGACGAGTACTTTGATTAGTGACCCAGTCCGCTCCTTTCAAACCCTGGCCGCTTGTTCCTGTTCTGGGTCTGTTGCACTTGGAAGTCTTGGGCCGGGGCTGATCGCCTTGCTATGGTGTCGGCGTCTGCAGGTGCTCACATGGTCAAAGCCGTGCTCCAGTCCGCAAGGGTCCACCCCACAGGCCTGGCAGTCAGGAAGGCGAGGAGGGCTTGCCCGGGAGGTGACAGGCGCTGATAGGGGCTGGATCGTGCACCTTCAGTGGCTCTGGTGGAGCTGCAGTAGCGGTCTTGGTGGGGGCCCGCCCAACGCCATGCAGGGCGTTCCGGCTTTCCCATGCCATGCCATGCCATGCCGTGGGCCCACCTGCAGCCAGCCCCAGCGATGACTCCATCCTGGGCAGTCACGCACGCACGCTCCAGCGAGCGTCATGGCATATTACTTACCCGCTCACTTCTACCTCTTCATCACTCATCGTCTGCTTCTCGACACCACGCATCTCACGGCAGTACAGCTTATATCTGTACCTGCTCCTCTGAGGCTTTTCCGCCAGTGCATTCGCGAGGCCCCCAACACTCAAGGGTCTCATTCGACGTTGACCTGCCGATCTCGCAACAGCACGTCACACTGACGATCGCCCTGCAAAAGCATCCGGCAAATTTCTAGCTGAGACCAGCCTCGGGCTGTCGTCTCGTGGCAGTAGAACTCGACATCGCAAGCTCGCCTCCCCGCCCGCAGAACGCTCACAGGAGAGCGAGAAACTTGAGAGGTGCGTGGACTGCGGCTCGGTGCACTACGGAGCGGCTACGGACCCAAAGGCTGGTGAAGATGGTGGCTGCAGCACCGTAGTCCAACGCCTAAGCTCAACCACTCTTCCTTGGCTCGGGTGGTTACGCTATGCCTTCGCTCAGTCAAGACTCTTGCCCCCCCGCCGGTGACGACACTGTCTCAGCCTTGCCGTCGTCCATGGATCATCACGCGCCGGCGGCACTATCAGATCCTCACTCCACGAACTACATTGCTGCCGGTGCTCGTCCCTCGGTCCATCGCAGACTCTCCGAGGAGAGCTTACCAGTGGAGCTCTGCGACGGGCCACTTCCCGACTTTTCCAGCCGGCCGCGAACGCCTGCCCGTGCTGATCAAGGCGTCTGTACGGATCGTGCCGAGCTCATCGAGCGTCTGAAACGGAGCCAGAGTCCAACATGGACATCTACTGCCGATGTAAGCCTTCATCGCCATTCGCCCGCTGAGTCACTATATCCTGAATCAAACTGACCTTGCACTGCAGCACAACCAAACATGGACTCAACCAGCGGACTCAACCGCTCCAGGGATAACTCCAGAGAGGCGACCAGTCTCTCCGGTCATGTTTCCACCCATCACCATTACTCCAGAGAAGGGGAAAGCAAAAGCTCCAACGCAAGACAGCCCAGAGGCGACAGCCAAACTTCAGTATGGCCTAAGCATCGAAAGGCCACGCTCAGCACTACACAGTGGCGACTTCACTCAGGATGAGCGCCCTTCCCACCAAACCATCACAGGACAATTTGCTAGACCACGGCATGGATCTGGCGCAGCCCAGTTTGGCAGCACACACGACAGTCCTTGGCTGGCCACGTCTCCACCTCGTGACTTCACCTCATTCCATTTTGAAAGAAGACAGTCCAATGTGAGCAGCCGAGGCCAGCCTTTGGCTCTATCGACCTCATTGTCATCTTCAATCACCTCCAGCTTTGCATATCAGCCGCCCACAAGTCCTTTGGTCCAATCGGAAAGCAATGACGAGAATGATTACCCTTCATCGCTAGCAGGGATCGACATTGGTTCCGGCTTCAGCAGGAACAATCGAAGGCATACGCTCATGTCTACTCACTCTGGTGCATTTAACTTTTCGCCTAGTCCCGCCTCGAGGCACCCTCCTGTCCTACGGCAAGAGAAGTCCTTCCCTTATCAAGCGCATCAACCACGTCGATCCTTGACCTCAACACCCAGCTCTTTACCCTTCGAGAACTTTCGACAGTTCCCCGCTTCAAGGTCAAGACGACCGTCACTCGGTTCAGACGCGTCACCAATCCAGCATGCGTCTATGGTCGGATCTTACGAGGAAAGCATCTTGCGCGGTCGCATGTCCACAACACCTTCAAAGCCGCTTGAATTTGTCGCTCAGATTGGTGTCCTGGGCCTAGGAAAATGCAAGTCAAGCTTACGATGCCCTCCGCACGTTACGCTGCCGTTCCCGGCTGTATTCTACAGTTATGCTTCCTCTGCATATGGCCGCTCAAAGACAGAAGATGGGCCCAGCCCGTATGTGGGACAGATCGATCTTGAGAATGGCCTGCCCAACCAGGAAGGCAGTGCTAGGGCAAAGCGAAAGATGCAAACACGTACGACAGATAGAATCGCTCTGGGAGATGACGGGAATGAGCGGTTCGACCGGGCCAGGGCCGACGGATCAGACTTCGAGACTCGCAGAGCGCAGCGCCAGAAGCGTCGATCCGGCTCACCGCGAGCTCCCCCTGGTGGCAGTTACCGAATACCAGAAAAAGGTCAGATCCAGATCATCATCAAGAACCCCAACAAAACGGCGGTCAAACTTTTCCTGGTGCCATATGATCTGGCCGGTATGGAGGCTGGCACGAAAACTTTTATACGGCAGCGAAGCTACTCCGCCGGACCAATTATCGAAAACATGCCAGCGGCAGCAGACTCAGGATCGGCGGAGCGACCAACCTTGCGATATCTGGTGCATCTGCACATATGCTGCCCATCTAAAGGACGGTTCTATTTGTACAAGAGCATTCGTGTGGTGTTTGCCAACCGCGTGCCAGATGGCAAGGAGCGGCTACGCAATGAAGTTTCAGCACCAGAACCAAAATACTCAAGCTATAAGCCGATCCGCGTCATGCATCCGCCCACGACTGGTGGGTCAGGGCCTGCAGCTAGCATGGCCGCCGAGAAAGCCTTTAGACGGCGCAGCTCAGGATACTATGCTGGAATGGGCACAAGTTCTGCTTTCGATGCCATGGATGGAGTCGTCACTCCTGGCCAGGCACAAATGCCATTCTCCTTCAGCTTCGGCAATGGTACGCCCATAGAGCCTGTCCCGTTTTCGTTGGCAAGGAAAGACATGAAGAGTACGGCCCCTGCTGCCAGTTTGTCGCCCGAACATTTGTGTTCATCGACACATGGCTCTGAGGCCGCTGCCAACGGCAATGCATGGAACGATGTTGAGCGATACAACAAGCTCAGCCCCGGCGACAGCGGCTATGGCGGCAACGCCTTCTCGGGACTCATCAACGGCAGCCCTGCCGTCGCGGAAAGTCTGCTATCACAGAGACTGCGAACACTCGGGGTCAGGGGACTAGATCGAGCAGATTCTACCTCTGAGAGTTGCGACCAAAATGATGCGACGGGGAGCGACTGAGCGGATATGCGTCGAGGAAAGAGCGAGCCCGACTCACAAATCAGCATCCAGTGGCAGAATGCGCATGTACATATTCACTTTTTAGTCAAATTACGCAGCGTCCCTGCGGGCTGGCGTTTGGGGCAGTTGCAAATGTTCGTAGCATCTGGGGGGTTTCTGCCACCCTACTAATAATTTTGTTTGATTCTGATTTGGATCGTTTCATTGAACCTTTATGTACTGCTCGGCCAATCTATAGATTCCCAGGGTCGCGACGTCCACAGGTAAGCAAGTCGCAAATCATCATAAGTCGTACAAGATGATGACTCGTTGCTTCCACATGAGATAAAGGCACAATCAAGGGACAGAGAGCTCAAGGCCGTTAGTATAGGTTGACGTGGGCTTTCCCTTATCACCAGCATCGTCATCATCAGATACTGGTCATGGTGCATGTATGTGTGGTCCACGTCTATACGCAACAGCAGCACAACGACATCACAACATCGAGCTACTTGATCATGCCTTTCATTGCGCTTGCTGTGTGCTCCGCGCTGAGATACGAATTCCGCCTTCGCCTCTTCTGAAACAAAACGACTACAACTATCCAGACGCTCTAGGATCGGGACCGGGGCCAGGCGTGTTGGTCCTGGCTCCTCCTGCACCAACACCGCCGCCGCCGCTGCCGCTGCCTCCGTTGCCTGCCGAGGTAGTCCCGCGAGGCCGCTTGAAGCAGGCGAACTCGCCCCTCGACTGGTCCCTGAGCTTCTTGAGGATCTCGCGCATCCCCGGCAGCTCCTGCTGGAGGCTGGCGCGGGCCTGGTCGTCCGTCTTGGCGTCGAGCATGGTGTATATCTCGCCCTGCAGCGTCGAGGCCTTCTCCGTGGTATACTGGCTCAGCGTCTGCGCGGCAAACTCGACGTCCAGGGTGGCCTGCATGAGGGCGGGCAGGTCGAAGCGCGAGTGCTGCGCCTTGAGGGCGTCCAGGAGCTCGCGCGACGTCTGCTCGAGAAGGTATGAGAGCACCTGGCTCGTCAGCGTCGGTGCCGTGGTTGACACCTGCGTGTGCACGAGGACAAGTGTCAGCAGGGCGTCGTAGACGTAGGGCTTGACTTCTGTGGGCTTGCGGCCTGGCGTGGACCACGACGGGTCGGCGAGGCCTGCGCGGATGATTCTGCGCAAGGACTCGACGGAAGGGCGCGTATATGTCTGGAACAGCCGGGCGTCGATCTGCCCGAGGACATCACGAATAGTCTTGGATTCGTCGGTCAGCTTGACCGAGAACGCGTTCTCGAACTGCCCATTCAGGTTGGGGACCACTTGTGATCGTAAGGCTTGCAGGTTGCTTAACGTCAACAGCATGCGCACGTTCTTGAGAGCGATATAGTTAGCGACGGCAACAATGACAATATCATGACTAATGCTTGAACATGGGAGCTTACTCGATCGCCGGCGTCGACAGCCTCGGCGCCAACCAGAATAGATGCTTCCGTGCCGGAAGCGTCCTGAGTTTCAAGGTCCTTTGCCCACTCATCGTCCGTCTTCTTGACTGCCCGCTCGGCATTTTCGACCATACCGCTAAGGGCTTTGTACAGCGTCGTGACGTACTGGCTTCGCACCATTTGCAGGAGCTTTGTAGGAGGGGGCAGGACAATATCTCTGGCGCCCGGTTTGGATTGGGCTTCTGAAATATAAAGAATCTTTTGCATGCCTGCAAGAAGCGCGCCCTCAAAGGCCGAGAAGCTCGCTGGCATGCGCGTCACGTCTCCCATTTCTTTCGATCTTCTCCAGTCCTCGACGAGTTTGATGTTTTGAGCATCGGCATTCCACGCACCACAGAGGGCGGTGACGCAACGCTCGCGTGCCGCGCCAACCATGTTTCGGAGCAACTCGAGTTGCTTGCCGTCGTCTCTTGCCACTGGTGCCATACTGGCCATTTCTGAAGCGCCCGAGCCTACGAGCACGAGCATTTTGGAGAGGTAGTGCACGCCACTGAGCGAGTTGGAGTTCGGCGGCCAGAAAGCAAACTTCTCCCACGATTCGCCCCTCTTGGGCGATGGAGGAGGAAGATTGTTGTCATCGAAATTGAAGCGTGGGTCGCGCATCGAGGGTGTCATACCGCCTCTCGGTGTGCCTGGCGACGGCGGCAGCGGCGAGAACAGTAGAGAAATGTCTTCTGGAGGTGGTCCGGCAAAGAACTCAAACACATGCGTCCGGATCATGTCCACGAGTTCGACCGCGCCCTTACACAGATCGACTCTGCCCTGTTCTGAAAGTGTATGATGCACTTCAGATTCTCCATTGTAGCCTCTGGGCAGCGACTTCTGTGTCCTGCCTTCGATGAAGCCGTCCACGATCTGCCAGAAGTCGACAACCTCTCCAAGGACGCCTTGCATAGACAACAGTCCGTTGAGAAAGCCTTGCATCTTCTCCCACAGTTCGATGACGTCTGGCGAGTCCAGCCCGGCGGGATTACTCTCGATGGACTGCCGCCCGAGTATGCGGAGGTTTGCCGCGATAGTCTGTCGAGATGGCTTCTCACCGTGCGCTAGGCGTCGGCGAAGGACCTCGATTTCCACTTTCGCTCTCTCCGCCAGCACGTTTATCTTGCCCTTGAGGTGATCATATCGGCTCAACAGCCAGACCCATATGGGGTTGTCCTCGACGCCCAGCTCGAGTAGTATACTTATGAACTCCATGTGCTGATCTTGGGATTGCCCAGACAGAGTATCGGTCTTTGTGAAGTTATGTGACGACGTTAGGCGGCGCCAGATATCGCGCTTGAACAGCTGTATCTGCTCCTCCACATCATACCACATACGGGCTGATAGGAGGATCTGGTATGTCTGTGTCTCGCTTGGTGGTGTTGACCCGAGATCTTTCACTAGCTTCCGAGCGTCCTCGGCGAACTTGCGTGCCCTGTTGTACTCCTCCACCAGTGCCTCATAGTCTTTGCGTTTTATGCTGTCGGCAATGGCCGAGCTCGTCTCCACATACTCCCGGTAACGTTCCATGCTGGTCATCACGGTTTTGAGGTTCTCCTCCTTCTCTCGACCACCCAAGGCTGGACCCCAGACATCTTCGGCTTTTGCGGAGACGTCCAGCAATGGGGCCTTGATGCCCATGACGCCATAGTCGCTTTCCTTGACCAACGCATTCTTTTTCCGCCCATCCGTGGTCGTAGGTGTTACTGGTGGCTGCATCATGGCCGCACCACCGCTACTACTTCGGAAGCTGTTCCGGCTTGCATGATGCGAATGGCCTCTCTGCTGCCGTGGCGAAGGCGGCGGCTCTGCACCACGATATTTCATCTCTTTGTACACATTGTCGATGGTGGCCTTGGCTCGCACGAATCTCTCAAAGTTGGACTCGACCAGCACTTTGAGTGATGCCGACTTCTGATCGATTGACCGCGACAGGACATCGAGACCGTTCAGCAGAGCTTCCGTGTCGGCGTTGGCGTGCATCTGTGAGAGGAACAGGGCCGGGGTGAAGCTTGTCGACGATAGCAGGAAGCGGTTGCGAAGCCTTACGTCGTCCTGGACTGGGACCCCGAGTTTCCGCAGCGTCCGCACGACGCTGTCGGTGCTGCCGAGAGGGTCTGGCTCGTCCTTCTGCACCAGATTACTGACGCCACTCGCCGACTTCTCGGAACCTGACATGATGCTTGCGCGCGTGCTGACCGCCCGCTCCAGAGCCTGGTACCTCGACTTGCGGCGATTCAGCTTGGCCTTTGGCTGCTCCTGCTCACTATCTTCGTCATCCGTGTTGTTGTCCTTGTCGGCGGGCCATTGTGTCGGGTACGGGTTCGTAAGCCCGTAGAACTCGAGCACGTTTCGGTCGAAGTCGGCCATGTTTGTGGCATCGGTGGTCGTCGCAAGGATCGTAGAGTTGCCAGACAGGTGCGGCGAGCTCTGGCCTTGGGAGGATGGGCCGGTCGTGATTCGCGGCGGCTGAATGTGCCCACAAACAAATGAAGCTTAGACGTGCGTATGACGGAGCGGGTGGTGCGTTCTGCAAGCTGCTCGAGCTGCGTGCTCGCAATGGCGACAGGTATGCGTAGAGCAACCTCCACTATCGTGGGACCTCGATGGCCGAGCTATCGCGACCTTAGCGCAGGCACTTGCACATCAACATCAGGGGTCAGGGACGCAGTACAGCAGCTTTGAATGGCGCCTGCCTTAGTCATCCATACCTGGAACGTACCGTGGAGGGGTCGCGAGTGGTGTACGGTGATAGTCCCGTATACTGAATGTGTGGGGAAGCGCCACGATATGGGACGCGCGGGAGCAAAGTTGGGCTTAGTTGCATGTGTCGTTTAGAACAATACAATATCTCCTTGCCTGTCCAGATCCAATAATGACTGTGGTGAATTGGAGAAGAGACGGCGGCACGCGGGCGAACGGCTGCAACTCCAACGACCCGCATGCAGCCCGGCGACGCAAACCCCACAGCTGAGAGCCTGCGTGGGGAACGATGAGGTACTGAGAACCTCCCCGTCAACGCCCGGCACGCGCGCCTGAGCTCGTACCCTGTACGCAGGCAGGTGAGCGATTATGACGGACCCCACCCCCTGCCCGCCGAAACCAGTCTGCTCCGTCATGTCCGCTCGGGTCTCCGAGCTTGCTTGCTCTTGGGCGAAAAATTGCCTTGACCGAGCCCTGCCAGACCCGAGACCTGCATCTGTAACCTGCTTCACCTTGACCTCTCTCGGACGGTTGCCAGTAACCAGTGTCTTTCAGCGTCAATTCTCTCTTGCTCCCAGCGCAGCCCTCGCCTCCACGAATCCTCCTCTCCTCCCTCGTCGCCGCTGCCGCCCATTCTCACGACAGCAGCCCACAATGCTGTCCCTCCGCGCCGTTGCCGCCCCCGCGCGGCGCCAGTTCGTCGCTGCGGCCCCCCGTGCCGTCTTCTCTGTCACCTTCCAGGTAGATTAAACCCTTCCCCGCGTGCGGCGCTGTTCTGCCTCTTGCGCTCTCGCTGACCTGTGCCTCTTAACAACACACAGAACCAGAGATTCTACTCCAGCAAGGTTGCCAAGTTCACCGGTACCAAGGATGCCAGCGTACGTTGTTGCTCACGCCCAAGCTCATCTTCCCCGCCCACAAAATCGTCCAGCGAGTCGTTGCATGTGACAGCTCTGCACCAGCACCAAAAATGTCTCAATTGCGCGCCAATCCACAACACCACCCGGCCTTCAGCAATACAAGATGCGCGAACAGCAATAGTAACAAACATCATCTTTCCAACAGGGCAACTTCCCCGTCAGCATCATCGAGGGTGACGGTATCGGCCCCGAGATCTCGCAGGCCGTCAAGGACATCTTCGCTGCCGCCAAGGTGAGTGATCTCTTGACCAATCCCTCTGCATCCCTCAGACCCTGATACTGACTCATTATTACAGACCCCCATCTCTTGGGAGCCCGTTGATGTCACCCCCAGACTGGTTGATGGCAAGACCACCATCCCCCCGGAGACCATTGAGAGCATTCAGAGGAACAAGGTCGCCCTTAAGGGCCCTCTTGCCGTAAGTCCCTCTCTTTACCTGACGCGATGTGGAACGGGCAGGCACCTAATTTGAATTGCAACATAGACTCCCATTGGCAAGGGCCACGTCTCCCTGAACCTGACTCTCCGCAGAACTTTCAACCTTTTCGCCAACCTGCGCCCCTGCCGCTCCATTGCCGGCTACAAGACCCCTTACGACAACGTCGACACTGTCCTCATCCGTGAGAACACCGAGGGTGAATACTCCGGTATCGAGCACGTCGTCGTCGATGGCGTCGTCCAGAGCATCAAGCTCATCACCCGCGAGGCTTCCGAGCGTGTCCTGCGCTTCGCCTTCCAACAGGCCCAGGAGATTGGCCGCAAGAAGGTCCGCGTCGTTCACAAGGCCACCATCATGAAGATGTCCGACGGTCTCTTCCTCAACGTCGCCAAGGACATTGCCAAGGAGTACCCCGACATCGAGTTTGACGCCGAGCTTCTCGACAACACCTGCCTCAAGATGACCACCGACCCCACCCCTTACAACGACAAGGTTCTGGTCATGCCCAACCTGTACGGTGACATTCTCTCCGACATGTGCGCTGGTCTCATTGGTGGCCTCGGCCTCACTCCCTCTGGCAACATCGGTGACGAGTGCTCCATCTTCGAGGCCGTCCACGGTTCCGCCCCCGACATTGCTGGCCAGGGTCTTGCCAACCCCACTGCCCTGCTTCTCAGCTCCCTGATGATGCTGAGGCACATGGAGCTCAACGAGTTTGCCGACAGAATCGAGAAGGCCACCTTTGCCACTCTGGCCGAGGGCAAGTCCCTGACTGGTGATCTGGGCGGCAAGGCCAAGACCCACGAGTACGCTGCCGCCATCATTTCCAAGTTGTAGATACCTCATTTGTCTTTGACGAAGCACTTGCGCACGCATCCAACCATGACCATAACCACCATAAATCAACAAGCAACCACCACAAAATCAGTCAGCTTTATCAGTCCTATATACCGCATTCTCAGGAGGATAACTGCACGGCCGGGCGACACGATGGATGACTATTTCAGTATAGGCCGCCGTAGACTGTACAATAAGCCAATGAAAACATGAGTATAAATGATCACGACGACAATTTTTTGCAACTTTGACCTGTGAGCTGGTCCGTCGGAGGTATACCGTCAAAGCTGGCCCTCCATCCTGTCCTCCGCTTAGCACATGCTTTTGTGAGAGGGAATTGCAGCATCATAACAACGCGCACCTGGCCTGGGAATCCTCGGCAGGATCGAGGTGTGGGAGAGAGGACATGGCTCCGAGAAGCAAGACGTCCAGTATGTGAGTGGCCGCGAAGCCACCGCGAGAGTCATGCCAGGAGTCTTCCTCGTGCCTCCTGAGCCCCCTGTGAACTTCTTGGGCTCCTCCGGCTTTTGTGCGCCCATGCCTCTGGGTTGACGCCATGTAGGTGCGTGCGGCTGTGGTTTTTAAAGACTCCTGGAAGTGAACAAACTCTGCTGGCTTCGGGTTGTGCACGCGAGGGACTCTGCGGTATAAATGAATAGACTGCGAGCACCGAACTCGCGAGAGAGGATCTGCCTGCTTGAAAACGCACAAGCTCGAGAGAGAAAGTCACACGTTGATAAAGGATCTATGGAGACAACACCGAACCCTGGATCGCTGCGCGTAACTTTATGGAAGTCATTTTTGATCCCGCGGCTCCTTTGCAAATCACTTCTGACCGAACCCCGAGTCGCCTCGACATCTCAACCTCTATCCCTCCTTATCACCCTATCCTTTCAAATCCCCGGCCCTCTGGGACCTGCGGGAGCTGAGCATTGCAGACTTGGGGGCTTAACTGCGGAGGCTTCGGCGAGGGCTTCTCTGTCGAGATGTTCGACTTGAGCCTCAAGACGACGTCATGCGAGGGAGACTGCCTTGCGCTGTCGCATGCGGTAGCGTAGCGGAAGCTCCTGCGATGGCTTGGTGTTGGGGAAAACTTCGTGCGGGTGAGCAAGGCCAGTTGGATATGCGGCCACCAGTAAGTAGTAGGGCGGGGAAAAGATGAATTTCACACCTGGAATGCTGTGCTTCTTGCATGCATTGGGTCACCGGAATTTCACCGAGCTGCCGTCATAGCTTAGTCTATCTTTAAGTGCTAGTACTCCCGCCAGGCACTGTTTCTGTCTATATTGCACCAGCCAGCGAGAACCTTTGCGTCACCTGAAGAATTCTCTCGGGTTGCGAGCAGGATGGGCTCAAGCTGGCCATCTGCCATGTCCTTCATTCAGCACGAGCCTGTATTCAGGACCATGGACAAATTCCGGGCTTGATTGATGTGTGCATGGAATTCACAATAATCTGGGCATGTGCACTTATAAATTTGGTCGGCCTTGAGTTAAAGCTTACGGCCACCAGCTGGCACCACGGACACCTATATTGCGACATCCGCAGCATCGTTGCCTTCACTAGACAATAAAGATTGTTGAGGACCCATCTTCTTTACCCTTTGCATATCATATTTCGGACCTCGGGGTCTGTTACGGTCATCTTCCACCCACTGAGCTTCTTGATATCGAGTACCCCAAACCACCACAAATGACACCCGAACAACAAATGCATGGTCACAATAGAGTTTATCAGTACAGTGTTTGCCCGGGGAGGTGAGTATGCACGGGGGTACCAGGAGGCGTGGGGCGATCCGGGGGGAATAGATTAGCCAAAGTTGGGGGACGAACGAGAGGCCAGCATGTTAAAACAGCCGTCAAGCGCTGGTGAAGTGACCGTGTCTCCTGGGAGTTTCGTGTGTGACCCCTGTTGCTGGGTACTTCTAACCTCATCGGGGCCAAATGTGAGGCCGGGCTCGTGAAACATCTGTTTGGTCAGCGGAATTGCGTTCAGCCGCTATGGCGTTCGCCTGGGCCTGCAAGCGACAAAGGGATGCTTGGACAGCAGTTGTCGACAGCGATGATTTAATTCCATCAGACCTACACGCTCGACAGCCGAATGGTTGGTACGAGAGTTGGCAGCAAGGCGGAGGGCATAACAGTTTGGTCAGTCTATCACTAATGCCGCTGCGAGGTGTGCAGACTTTTCTGCTCGCCGCGTCGGCTGTCGCTGCCGAGGGCCCATGTTCAATGGAGAATGACATCAGCACACCCTGAAGGAAGATCTGTGGGGAGGGCCGAGATGAGCGTTTGGAGATGTGGTTGAGCAGTGTCGAAGTGTCGCGTAATGGCAATGACCGGACGGATGATGGAGGCCGGGCTTCGTCAGTGGCGCGGCGCTAGGGAATAGTTATCGGCGGCCCAAACTTCTGGAAATAACCGGGCAAACTGGCGGGATTGCCCTGCCCAGTCCGGTGGTCCGGGATCGGGACTCGCGTCGTTGGGCCCCGAAGACCGCGACTCATTTGAGCACGCCACCAGCTGGGGAAGCAAAACTGGCTGCCGGGTGGACCAATCTGACCCGGAAAGGATAGTCATTTGCGCCGCGGGCAGAGTCCGGAGCATGCTGTCTCGACGGCAGCGAGGGACGTGTTGAGCTGGCTTGACACGTGGCCCGAGCTTTAAAACTGCACGGCTTTCCTGTCTCTGCATGCAGGCCAGCTGTGCAGTCGTCGCCAGGAAACCGGAGGGGACCCTGACCGGAGTGGCAGATGTTGTCGAGGACTGCAGGCGTGTGCCATATTCAAGTGCGCCAACTGCGACGTGCCACCACAATGCCAGCCGGGCCGACTCTGCCGTGGGGCATGGGCAGGGGCCGTCGGCGATATCTGGCCAATCACAGCCCGCGGGCTCCTCGATTGGGGCAGGCACGCACAAACAAGCCTTTTTGCCCAGCCCGGCAGGCACAACCAAGCATCCTCAAGCGCCCACGCCACCAGGCTGGGTTGCTTCCATGGCTTCCTTTTGTGCGTCCTGTCGTATGCACTCTGAGGGACCACCGCGCCAGCAAGAATCGAGATGATGATCCAGTCTACGTAACTTCGAAAGCAGTGCCCAACAACTGGCAAAGGCCCAGTCTCGTCTTGGTTGTTGGCCACGCGACAATATGCTGGGCAGTCCGATGCATCCGACGGACTGGTGGGATGAATAATCCTAGCAACAAACCAACGGGCACTCGTCCGTCATTGGGGGCTCGACGCAGTCACGTATCAGCGAGACAGGCGAGACAGGAACCGCCCTCAACCCTGCAACACTAGTCCCTCCATCCATCCCATCGGCTCGAGCCCTCACTCGCCCAGGTTCCGCCCTCGCAGCCGCTCAGCGTCCCGACTTTTCTTCCTCGTCGGGCCCGACCCACCCTATCCGGAATAGCGCCGTCATTGCGGCATCGCGACCCGTGGGCCACAGAAGCTCGCCCAGACGGTACCTGCGACTTGCACGCCCTGGCACGCCCCGCGACAAAATGCCGCAACAGACCTTGTACTCGAGACCCCTTCTCCATCCTGCTCGTGCCCCAGAATTGGATGTCCACTGATAGGCACCGTCCTTCTGCGGAGATACTCAAGACGCGATCCCCGTCAAGCCCCAAAGTGCGGGTGCGTACGTGGACACCAGCCCTGCTTACCCATCGTCGGCCAGTCTGCCGCCGCCCTCCTGATTCCGCACTCGTATAAAGGTGTAGATTCCCCTTTGATTTCGACGCTGGGTATCCTTCCTCAACCTTTCCAGCTTTCCAACAAACCACAGCTCTCTCCAGACCATAAACGGACCTCATTTGGCTTTACACACCAATAACACCGACTCCAGCCACTAAATTCTCGTCTCTTTCGACAACCCTTCCAGCGTTGCCATCATGCCTTCCACAGATATCAAGACCTTCCTCGACTCCAAGCCCGTCAGCTTCAGAATCCAGACTGCTGGCCGCACCTGGGCATGCGAGCTTCACAGCGACAGACACTCTCTGTAAGTCTTGCCGGCTGAATTCCGTGTTGTATAAGTGCCTGAACTAACTAGCCTTCTCTCCATCCAGTGAGCGCAAGCGTGCCGCCCTTGCCGCTGCTGGTGCTTCCACACCTGACCTCGAGGGTCTGCCAAGCCTCCCCCGCACAGACTCTGGCCTGTCCAACTCCTCGTCTAAGGCTTCTTCCATTTCCCACGGCCACTAGATCATCATATCCCACCCATGATGCTTTTCCATTTAGCGACCACTGCATTTTTGTCGACCTAGTTCGGGACTTGACTACATCATAGACGGAGTTGCCAGGGCATGTTGAACACTACACCAAGAAAAGTAGTGTATCAAGGCTCGACGCGCTACGCGGAGGTCATCGGCGACAGGGAGTTACTTGCCTTTACATCGGAATACCACGACAACATTCACCACTATACCACTGCCGGGAATGTTTGACGAACTTGATCAATAGAGACTGAGTATCAGTACATATCAGATCATTTACCTTGCACACCAAGCTATCTCTTATGACGAAGCTCACGTGAAAAGAATTGTTCGCTGCCACCGATCTTTGTGCTGGGTCATACTTGACTGGATCAGTCCAGTCTTTCAGAACAAATTCGGATTTTCATGGCGCCTTTTGGCACATGTAGATTATCGGCTCTAGGTATGTGGGAGTAAGATCGAGGTCGACTCCCAGCGAGCAACTCTAAGCTCTGAAACGCAACCGCCGTGCCCTTCCCGCGCCTTGGCCCAAGCGGCGAGATGCCGTTTTTGACCTGATAGCAAGCCAAACAAGACCATAAAGGCGAGCACGCCGGCCTCTTTGGCGATGAGCATCCACCTTGTCGAGCTTGAAAACTCGAGATGCCGGAGAGCAGGGTGATTTGTGATCATGACGTTGTATCGCACCAAGCCGTTGGCCAGGACTCCAGAGAGGAAGGGCCCAAAGCCTTCGGCCCCGTGCAAGATGAGGAGCAAGTTAAGCACCAGGAGCATGGAGCTGATGATCCACGATACGGAAGAGGGTGGGTAATCTGATAGGGCCTTGTGTCACGAAAGTAAGTCTGGAACACGCCGACGCTTGCTGCCAGGCCAAATGTGCTGAAGAAGACACCTCAGGTACCGAGCGGCACTGCCCATGCTTCGCCGGTGCCGCCGTTTGGGAGGTGATTTGCAGTGATGCTCCAAAGACTTGTACTGCCTGCATGTGAGTGTTTGTGGTCGTGGTAAGTGCCGCCTCGAGAATTACTGGCTCATCCTTGCAGCCATCGAGCGTGTACTCATTATCACTGCTGCTGGCACTATGTCCAGCTCAGGAGATGACCAATATATGATGGTCCCACCAGAAGGATCTGGATTGTCCGTATCATGGACGCCAGCTCAACTGGTACCATGCATTGCCTTTGTTGGACTCTGGAATTGGCCAAACAAGCACGGCACGGTTCAAAAAGGTAGGAAGAAACAGACAGGACGAAAAGATCAGGCCCCTGTTAGTCCGGGCCGGCCATGTTCGTTCCGGCCGGAGCCCCTGTGGCCGCTCTCAGGACGCTTTCATCGGAGTGAGGACAGAGATCGGTACGCTAGGACCGTAATTATTGGAACGCAACTTGACAACCCGAATTCCTCAATTTCGTCAGCGGGGCCGGGGTTCGAAGCACCACTGCAAGTCTCACACTTTCCTGCTACAGGCAAACTGGTGGCTGATCTACAAAGACAATTCCCATGGTCGTTGTTGCAGGAATACCCCAATGCCGGCTGGGAAGATTTTAGGGTCGATCTACTGTCCAGGTGCGCTGCAGCTCGCCGGGGCCATCCCGGTCCTCGTCGGAGCATTTTCTCAGTTGTCCTTTGACACGATCCAGCGGGACTTGTGATGCATCGCCACCACGAGTCAACCGTCATGCAAAGCGAGAGACGGAACACACAGCAAGATGAACCCAGTCATGGTACAGGCCCATAGACACTGCTCGCAACACTTCCTGCGAAATGAGTTGGAGGGGAGGAGTATTGGCGTGAAGTGTCTGGTATGGCATAACTTAAACCCCCCAGAGAAGCTCACATGGGGGCTCTTTAGCTTGGTGGTCTTTCCAGCAAACAGCATGAATCGGTCAGCCCACAAGGTACAGGCACGCGACCATGCAGAATATGGTGTTTATAGGCACCGGCTTGGTAGCTGGGTGTACCTAGGGGGGCAAGGCCAACCAGAAACGCACATGTCATGGAGCGGCGGGCAAGATGTGGGGAAATGGGCGCCTAAGGCAAGCAAGTTAGCGTGGCCAGGACTGGAGCGCCCCATCATCTGACAGGCAGCAGCAGCAGTGGACAGCACGGCGACCTCTTTCTCCCACATCCAACCTATCCATCAGTACCGCACCTTTGACGACGTCGTCATCAGACCTGCTCGGCTGTTTCTGGAGCAGAGGCGAGACGTCTCAAGCAAGCCCCGACCGACATCGCCAGGTCGCTGCCTCCCTTGTGGCAGCTGCGTGCAACCATGCCGGTCCCCGTTGCCGCCAAAGGTAAGCCCGGTTCCGCCGCTCCTTGCTCCCATCATCATTATCCATCCCCGCTGCCCACTGTGACCTTCCGCGCCCCACTTGTCAATCATCCGCCTCTTGCGTCTCGCACCATCACCTGCCGACCTCTCTGAGGCCGTCGCAGCAGGACTCGTGGATCGCGAATCAGAACGCGGCTGCCTGGGTCGATGGCGGGCGCCGCAGTGGCAAACTCAACACCACGCAAGCTCTCCCCTTGGCGGCCGCCTGAACAAACACCGAGCGAAGCCATGCTACCAGCACGTGCTGGTGGTGCCTTGTCCCTGAGGCCAGCACATGGTGCTTGCATGTCGCCACCGGCCTCGATATCCTCAAAGAGCCCCCCTTTCTGTCTGGGCGATTATTTGTAGTTGCAATCCAGCCTTTTGACTTGTCCTATTGTTCTCTTTCCTCTTCGCGATTCACGCCGCTATCATTTCAAGAATGCCTCCCATTAACCACCCCATTGCGACAGTCGGCGTCGTCGCCCTCTCGGTCGCCGTTGCGGCTGCGATAGCCGTCTACGAGTCCCCAGAGCTTCAGCGCATGGCCGCAGACCTCCGCAGACGCATCGCCATCGCCCTCCACTCTTTTGGGGACAGCATCAGCCCGGAACAGAGCGAGAACCTCTTCAACCGTCCCGAAGATGCTGAAGGCTTTCTGATGTCAAGGGGCCTCGGTCCTGGCTCTGGTGAGCAGGGCGTCGATGCGGACGAAGAGACACGCCGACGACAAAGAGAGGAGCTCATGTACTGGAATGCAGTCATGGAGGAGAAACGCAGAGAGAAAGAGCCTTATGGAGCAGAGGCCGAAAAGGCGGCCGCCGAGCCCAGCCGCCCGGTCGGAGCGATGCACCACCGTGGCTCCAGCTTTGACGACTTCCTTAGGCAGGACGAGAACGCCGAAAAGGGCACATTCGTGGTGCACACAGGGTCCATGCACCACGGGGCTGAAGGAATGCTTCGTCGTCGCGGCGATGGTGCTCGCGGCTTGATCGCTTCTTCGACATACAGCAATCCTTTCCTCGACGAGCACGCCATCGATGAGCACGTTCTGCTTGAGAACAGCTTGGTCGACCCCATCAAGGACGAATACTCGGACATTTACAGCGCTACCGATATCGGCGAGAAGGATGTGCCTCTGAGCGCGACCCTGTCGCCTGCACGACTCGATTCAGAAACACCTGCTCCCGTCAAGCAAGAGTCAGAGCCCGAAGCCGCGGCTGAACTTTTGGAAGCACCACAACCTCTGTCCATGGCCTCGTCGGCTTTTTCGGAGAGAGAGCTCGGTCCCGACGAGTACGTCACGGCGGGACAAGACCGCGACGAGGCCGACCAGCACAACGATGCCTACAGCTCTATCCAGGCGTGGGCACAGACCTCCCACCCAGGCTTCTACTCGCCTCTGCCCGTCACACCTGCGGCTCCGATCTCGGAGCCCGAGCTCATCAGCGACGGCCAGCTCACGCCCACTGACACTGCATCGCTTGCGGGCTCGGGAGTCGACATTGTCAACGATCTCGCCTCGGTCCGATCCGGCAGCCAAAATGCGAGGTACTACGATGTCCTCAGCGAGGACGAGGGGATTATGACCCCTGCGAGCTGGAGCGAGGTTGGCAGCGTGGCTGGAGAGAGCGAGGGTGTGCCCGTTCATGCTTGAACGGACGTCGCATGCCTTAGGACATTCACCGATCCACCTAGAGGCTCCCCGGAAACAGCGCGGTGTTTGGACGGTGTAAATAACTTGACCAATCGCGAATGCCCTTGGTTCTCGCTTTCATCGGCAATACCTGCACTTTCAAGATGGCATGTTGCCATATATCATTTTTGAGGCGTTTGGGTAAGGATCGTTCGGCGTTCACGAGACATTTGTATTGGATGTTTTGGGGTTTTGTACCGCTCGAATCTCGAGGTTGTTTTTTATTTCTCATGGGTTTTATTCTGTAGCCTGAAAGTTGATTGCGCTTTGCGCTGATGCAGTCCCTAAGAGCATGGCTCCTCGCTCATATCTTGCAGCTCAAAGAAGGCGTGAAGCCATTCTCGCATCCCCGGCGTGTACTCTAGAATCCAGAGATGGCACAGCTCATGTCTATTCGCGTAGGATTTATCTGATATAGCATGCCCGCTTGGAGATCTTGTTCCGTGAAAGTCACAATGACAACACTTGTAAAGATTAAGCCTCCGTGGCCTTGTCCTTGATGTGCTTCTTGTATTCCTCCCACAGTTGCTCGACCGGCCTCCCCACGAGTTCGGTCCAGAATGGCTTGTCCTCGTACCTCCTCGTCGTGCGGAGTTTCTCGTTGAGCCGGCGGACCGTGTCCGCGCCGAACCGGCCCGCGAGGTACTCGAGGAAGAATGCCGTCTTCTGGTAGCCCGCGTCCCACCTGCCGCCGTTGCTGTCGCCATCGCCAGTGCCGTCCCCGCGCTTCCAGTGCGGCGGGGCCAGCTGGCACTCGAGGCGGACCCAGTCGGCCACGCCCTCGATCAGCCCGCCCGGGCAGGTGCCGTGCGCGTTGTACTGGTAGCAGTGGACGAGCTCGTGGGTGACGACGCCCATGATCTCGGCGTGCCGGCGCTCGGGCGGGTTGATGCCCTGGATGTAGCCGAGGGAGAAGTGGATCTCCTTGTGGTCGCTGTCGAGGTCGCTGCCGGTCGTGTAGGCGACCCCGGGCATGTCCCGGAGGATGAGGGTCACGGAGCGCGTGGGTGGTGGGTGGTGGCGGAGCTGATGTGCTGTTGTCGCCGAGGGGGACTTGTCGGTGTCGCTGTACAGCTGACGGATGACGGAGCGGACGCAGTGCTCAAAGTCCCCCGAGGCATTGTAGTTGCCGAGGAAGATGGAGGCGCCAGGGTGTGTGATATCATCGATCCGGAGGCGGAGCTTGGGCAACTTGAAACCATCCGAGCTTGGCTCCGAACTTGCTGCCGGCGGAGTTTCACCGCGAACGGGTTCGTGTGAAGATTCCTCCCTGGACCCGGCCGGCTGGTTGGGGCGGATCGGCAGAGGCGTGGCGGTCGCTTCCGGAGCTGGCGCCGGCGCTGAGCTCGGGTGTGACATTGCGGGCGTGAAGATGGGTGGAGGGACCGGTGAAGAGCCTGGGATGGCCCCCATGGTAGAAGCCAGAGATTCAAGAGTTTCCGAGTCGCGGGTATCTATCTCGATGCTAAGCACCGCCGTTTCTGCAATAGCGGAATCCGAGTGGCCGGGAACGCTCATGAGGATGCCTGGGGGAGACTACCCAATTGGGTCAGCTCTATGACGACTGAGGCTGCCGGGCTATATGGCAGAACACATGTACTCAGGCAGCACCGATGAGCTAAGCTGCTAGAGGCGAGATTGAGTTACGTGTTATATCACGAGGCTGGGGTGCTTGATGGTGTTGCAGTGGATGGAGGCTCCCAACGAGGTCCATGTCTCGAAGCTCTGAGACCCAGGTTGGGTGGGGCGGCAGTGGGGTAGCATCGAATCGGGAATATCTGCAGGTGCCTAAGGTACCCTCTCCTCTATCATGACTGAGTGTAGCCAGATCATAAGCTTGGTGACACCGTGCCAGGCGCAACTAGGAAAGTCTATTGGCCTCAATTGCGTAACTCGGTAGAGGTTCTTGTCCAGGTACCGTACGTGTCCTCCGTGACTCGCACTCCGAGAAAGCTACCTGAGTCGGGCCCAAGGTCAATTCGTTGGGAGATTCCCATACGGTGTAGATAGGTGGAGATACTGCTTCCAGCCTTGCCCATGAAACCTGGGGATCAGGGAGCGCTCCCGAGGTCGCTCTTGACAGGCACGGGCCGCGTGCTTCGAACCCCGCCCACGGTCTTACTGCAAGAGAAATGTCAAGACACAACAACGTCTGGCTCCCTCAAGTGCGCGGTTGCCCTGGCAAAAACAGGGAAAACCTAGCTCTCAATTACGTTGGCCGGGCTGCAAAGAGGACCTCGAATTGGGCGTAGACAACCCTATGCGTAGATATAGTTGGGCTTGACTAGCGCATCTGCAGCACTAGGGCTTTTCGAGTCACTCCCGGGGTCACCACTACGCGCGTGGAGACGGGCTGGTTGCCCCTGGCCCTCGACCCGCGCGCAGCCAGTGGGTGGTGGGAGTGCATGGTGGTGGGTGGGCTGCATGTTTACATGTTTGTCAACCATCGGCAAGCTGCCAGACACCCATCCACCCACCAGCCCTTCCTGCAAGCTTGCTCGCAGCACGCACACGCACACGCACGCACTTTGCCTCGCTTCAGAGAGCAAACCAGCGAATCGCCGCATACGGGTGATTCTACGACAGCGGCTTACGCGACTTTGTTCCCGTCTTGCGCGCGTTTGCCCCTGAGCGAAAGCCCGGCAACAACTACAGCAACCAACCTGTCTCGGACCTCGACCTCGACCAAAGTTCCACTACGCCCGAGCGCTGCACCTGGAAGCAACATACCCCACGCGCCGACGACGCCTTCCTCAGAGCTTACCTCGACGACTGCCACCATCGCAGGGTCCTCGCCGCAACACCAAGATCAACCGACACCAATGATCGTTGCCACAGTCTCCGAAAGTCCCGCATCATACACCTCGGCAGCCGAATAACACGTGCTCCCTCCTTCGAGTTCAGCTTGCTGCATTGGTAGCACGTCGGTCAAGCGACATTTCTACCGCAACAGCATCCCACCTGCTCATTTTGTGCGCAACCACAGCTTCCAGGCCTCTCTCTCCCTCCTCGGAGCACCATGGCCGAGAAACTGTCCGACGAGCAGGTTGCCAATCTGCTGGTCCTTCTGCGTAAGGATGTGTCCGTCGAGGCCAAGGTCCAGCAGGTCACGGCCACCAAGTCGGCAATCAAGCAGCACAATGTCCCAGACAGCTGTATTCCTCAGCTATTTGAGGCATTGCGCCTCGCTTCCAGCTCTCAGCACTCCGCCATTGTCACCGCTGGCTTTGCCGCTCTCAACCACCTCTTGACGCGATTGTCCCGTCAAGACCCCAAATTCATCGTTCGGGAGGCAAAACAAACGCTGCCCCTGATCGTCGACAAGATGGGCGACCAAAAGGACAAGTTCCGGACTCTCGCGATACAAGCCATGGCGACGTACTACACTCAATCTCCAGCCGATGCAGAACGCTCCGTGCGCAATATCGCGCTGGTGGGTAAGAATCCCAGGGCGAAGGAGTCTGGCATGCAATGGCTTCTCCAGGTAAGTCATGCACTCTCCACGCAGGCCCAATTTCCGCTACTAATAGTCATGGTACAGATGCACAAGGAGCATGGCCTGCAGTTCAGGGCCTACGTGCCAACACTCATGGATCTTCTTGAAGACGCAGACGGGATGGTCAGGGACGTCGCCAAGCAGACGGTGATAGAGCTCTTCAAAGATGCACCCAACGCCGCCAAGTCTGACCTAAAGAAACAACTGAAGAATTTCAAGGTGCGGCCAGCCATTGAGAGCGCCATCGTCAAAGAGCTCAATCCCGTGGGAGCTGTGAAGCGTGACCTCGGAGAAGCCCGCCCAGCTTCTGCAGCATCTACCAGACCGAACTTGGGCGCCAGTGTCTCGTCAATGTCAAGCGAGCGACCTACCACACCAGCGCCGCCACCAGAGGCCACAGCCGAAGCGGTCGAGCCGTCCTACGTCAACACACAACGCGAACTAGACGAAATCTTCAAGGACATGCACTACTGGTTCGAGGGCAAAGAATCGGAACAGAACTGGCTCAAACGTGAAGAGAGCGTTAGGAAACTGCGGAAACTCACTGCTGGCAATGGGCCATCAGACTTTCCGGATGCCTTTGTTGCGGGTGCCCGCGCCCTGTTGGACGGTATCATCAAGGCCGTCATATCACTGCGAACAAGTTTGTCCAAAGAAGGCTGCTCGCTGGTTCAGGACCTTGCCAACACGTTTGGACCAGCCATTGATCCCATGGTGGAGCTTCTCATGCAGACATTCATCAAACTGTGCGCCGCCACCAAGAAAATCGCTTCACAGCAAGCCAATATGACTGTCGACACGATCATCGGCAAATGCACATACACCCCTAGAATCATGCAGCATATATGGGCGGCATGCCAAGACAAGAACGTACAACCCCGTACTTATGCTGCGGGATGGCTCCAAACCCTGATGAAAAAAGAGGCTCATCACAAGAGCCATATCGAGCACGGTGGTGGCCTGGACCTCATCGAAAAATGTCTCAAGAAAGGCCTCGCAGACTCCAACCCTGGTGTCCGTGAGAGATGTCGCGCGACTTATTGGCAATTCGCCGGGATCTGGCCTGCAAAAGCAGAAGCGTAAGTCCTTCCAAGACCGCAACAGCTTGATGTGGCATGAGCAAGCTAACAAGAACTCGCTCCTCAGGATTATGGAGTCGCTGGACGCTGTTGCGCAGAAACTCTTGCGCAATGACCCTCACAATCCCAACTCGCCAAAGAAAGCCGAGGCTGCCGCCCCTGCCCGGCCTGGTTTAGGACTCTCAAAGAGCACGATGGGAGGCACCAAGCCCTCTCTTCGCGAAGCGATGATGGCACAGAAGAGACAGTTGGCGGCCAAGAATCTGCCAGCGCGGCCTGGATCTGCAATGGCAACCATCACGCCGGCACGACCAGCAACCACGACCACAAGCACGACACATTCGGCAGCTCCAGCCACCAGGCCGCGCCCAGAAGCGTCGACCTTGTCCACTGGCGGCATGTCTCATGCACCGATGCGTCCTGCCCGGAGACGACCGGAGATGGCTGCGCGCCCTGCTACTGCCGGACCCTATTCTGTCAGATCCCACGATGCAGCTTCTACAGAACGCACGAGCCCGTCAGATGCGGCGAAGAAGCCAGTGCTCAGCAAACCGATTTCAGGCTCTCCTAAGAGGACTGCGCCTCGAGCTCGGCCTGGCCACCAAGCGACTGCAAGCGAGTCAAATGTGGCAACCATAACAACGCCATCCAGGCCTCCCACTGCTCCCAAGGCGGTGGCACCACCGTCTCGTATAAGTCCCTCCAAGTCGCAGACGGTGGCAAACGCGATTGTCTACACTAGCCCTTCCAAGTCCTCGGAAGACTTCACGTTGGTCGTGCCGGAGGTTGCCAGCTTGAAACAAAGCGCGCGGCCAAGCTCTCCAAGCCCAAACACGACACCTGTTGGCACCCCAAGATCTACAGTAAGATCTACTGCGGCAGTTGGGGAAAAGACCGCCTCAGCACCAGCAGAACCACTACTACCCCAGCCTGAAGCAACCGAACTACCACAGCCCGTTGCAGAGCCTGTGCTCTCCACGCCCTCAAAGACACCCCTCAAAGTCTTTGAAGATCCTTTCACGGCTGAAGCAAAGGAGACGCCTAGGCCGACCAGTTCTCCAGAGGTGGTGCAACGTCCAGTCCTGGAGGACAAGCCCGTCAATGAAGACGCAGCTGTCCCTGGGCGAATGAGCAAGGACGTCGGAGAGCAAGCACTGAGCCCAGCGTCAGAAGTGTCACCGGAGAAGGCCCGCCAGTACGCGCGGTTGCTTGAGAGCGGAATTACACGAGTAAAGGCCCAAACACTGGATGTGCATGGCTTCCGCAAGCTACAGAGTGTGATCCGGGACAACAAGTCCCTGTTCTCAGACGAGACTTTTGATGCCCTGCTAGTTGGACTCTTTGAATATCTGGAGTCGCCGCTCGCGGATCTGGCTCCTGAGAAGATCCAGGATGTCAAGGCGCAGATACTTGCAACAGTGAAGCTGATGCTGAAGAAGACGCCCAACAACTTCCAGCCACACATATCGAGAGGACTGGAGGCGCTTCTTGCTGCGCGTGCTTGCTATGATGCTCGCACACACATTGTGAGCGGTCTGGAGCTACTGGCCGACGAGCTTGTTGTTCTCGGGGATGCTGATGAGATCGTCGTAACCATGACTAAGAAGTTGTCGAGCATGGACGCGACTGACACCTCGGGCAGCCGAAGTATGAGCATGGGGTTGCATATCCTACGGCAGCTGATTGAGACTAAGACGACTTTCGTGCCCACCGAAGCGGAGATTGAATCTCTTGCTGCGCTCTCAAGCACATGCCTTGAGAGCAAGGAAAGTGGTGTAAGGATGGACGCCGTGCAGCTCTGCGTAGCTCTACACGCGCGAGTTGGCGAGACCAAGTTTTGGTCATGCATGAAGAACGTCAAGGACGATCCGAAGAGCCTCATCACCTACTACGTTGTGAAGCGGCAACGGGAGAACCAAGCTGCCCGAGCTTAAGCACGTCATTATGCGGTAGCTCTGGTCATATCCAGAGGGGACAAGATATCCCCTCGTTTTACGGCGTTTGGGGGGCTCATTCAGCGCATTCATCGCGCAACCGTGTAACACCGAACTTGTCATTTGTTGTACGGATCTTGTAATTAGATAACCCAAGTCGTGAGAGAATTCTACTTCCTGCCACCTTAAAGAATGCCCGTGAATCATAGGGGTGGGAGTTCTCTCAAGACGACCCTCAGTAATTAGGTGGGTCGCTGCTGGGCGCGCCAGGTCCTAGTCGCCTGGGGTGAAGGCGGTCTGTTATCGGGTCCTTATCAGACCCAACGAGGCCCGCTGCCAAAAAGGTTGGCTCACTTGTGGCAGACATGCCTGCTGTTCCATGACGCCAGTGAGCGAACCTTTTTGCTGCTCGTCCCACCAGAGTCCCTACTTTAATTTTCTGCACCCGCAGTCCGCCTAATATTTCAGAAATCTGCCACCAACAGTGTCCGACCCGTATCACGAGACGACTCTACAGAGCAACGAGCGAGCGCGGGGTACCTTTCCCGCCCAGTCCGCTGGCGTCGAGAAGATGGGACGCAAGCAGCATCCCATCATTGCCCAGTACTTCGACCGAGGCGCCAAGCTTGCCGACAATTCCAACCGCTACGAATACCGGTGCCGCAACTGCGGCGAGCACTTTCCCAAAGGCCGCCTCGAGACGTTGACCCTGCACATCACAAAGCGATGTCCCGCGATCACCGAGGCCGAGAGGGTCAACGCCTGCCTGGCCCTGCATGGCATCAATAGTGCTGCGCAGGCCAAGGCACAAGCAGCGCGTCTTGGAGATGCTGCTGCTGCGGCGGCGGCCGCCGCCGCCACTGCTGCCCAGCAAGCCAACTCGAACGCGCCAGCCCACGGCCCTCAGCCTGCGCCCTTTGTCGAGAACCAGAACTGGACGCCGCTCCAGACTCTTGCCGAAGTCTCCCGGCAGATCGAAGCGAGCGAAAAGCACGACGAGCCGGCCCCGCCGCAGCACGATGAGCTTGTCGACCTTTCGGTCCCCACGACCGAGCCGCCCACAACCATGGCAAACTCGACTTCGAACCTGTTTGAACTTCACGACCAGCTGTCGTTAGAGCATCCTGTAGTGAATTATGAGGACATTGCGAAGCGCGAACCTATAAGTAAGCCACAAATTCCACTGTCAGTTATGCCGTGGTCAATGTGGTTGGTGCTAACACAACTCCCAGGCGCAGACGAGCCACCTCAACACTCTCTCGATGATCACCAAGACTTGACGCCCGAAGAGCGAATCGCGAAGCTTCTCCAGGGTACCGACTCGCCATCTCAGACAGCACTGTCCGTGGCAGTAGCAGCCACTGCACGCTTGAACCCTTCCCTGCTCGACCCCCAACTCCTAGCCGACGAGCCAATGACGGATACGGTCTCGACGCCTGCTCCAAGCACAGAGATGCTGCTTGACTATTCTCCATCAAGCGCACTTTCGATGCCACCCAGCAGTCTGCCGATGCCTGCGACGAGTCTCCCGATGCCATCCACGCCGAGCTTACCGATGCCGACGACCCCCACAATCAGCACTGGGACAAGCGACGCCGACATGACTTCTCACAGCGGTACTCCAATAGACGATTCCGCGCCGTGGATGGGGATGACCTACATGCCTGATGTGCATGCTCCCCCGAGCTTGAACAACCATGCGCAGCAATTGATGGGGGCTCTCAATAAGGGCGGCTTCCGAATGGACGCTTTTCATGGACCCAACGGCATCAGACATCGGCACAGTCGTGCGAGGTTTGACTCGGATCGACGTAGAGAAGTGCAGGAAGTCCGTCGGATTGGAGCATGCATCAGATGTCGAATCCTGCGGAAAACGTGCTCGAAGGGCACTCCGTGCGATACCTGCAAGAAGGTCCTGTCGCCTCGGGTTTGGCGCACCGGTTGCGTGCGGACGAAGCTCTCCGAGTACATTGACTTGTACTCGGCCGGAGTGCAGGTGGTCATGGCGCAAAAACGATACAACTCATACAAAACGTCTCACACTCTTTCAAACACCGGTGTCGTGGTGGAGGCGTCGCATTTTCCAGAAACGGGGCACAACATTGTCTTTGAAGTCCTCCGGGGCTGCCCGAAAGAGGCCGATGTGGCGACTTTGGCCACGCTTGGGAATGTGGGATTGAATCCAGTAGTTCTTCTCGACAACGACAAGGAGGACGTTCCGGCGAAGATTGAGGCTTACATGAGGCAGATACTTCCAGATCTCATCAGCAGGGAGCCATCATCTTATGTACGAGTGACGTTGGAGACGGCCGTTCAGGTGGCGAACACGACCAACGATGAACTGCTGCGACGATCTCTCGAGCTGTGGGGGATTGTCGAGATCATGGACCGCGAGCGACAGTGGAACATGCTCGCGAAATCGCCCGCCGACGATTTTGAGGACCATTGGATCAAGGATGAGTCTGAGAGCGAGCCGTACACAAACATCTGCATGCAGCTCAATGCCGGGGCGGAGCGTAAAGCAGCAGCTGCCAGTAAAAGCCTACTCAACGGAATCCAGCGCAATCTGCAGGATGGGAAGCTGAAGCTTGGGTTTCCAATGTTCCTGACAGTTATGCTGTTCATGAACTGTGTGGAGAAGACCACCTGGGCTTTCAAGGCCTGGGACCAGGAGAACCTGCGTCCGAAGTGGCCCCTGGAGAAGCAGCCGAGCAGCTTCACCAACCAGGGTCATGGACTGTGCGAGCTTTTGCGCATGCTTTTGTCCATTCGACACATCCTCCCAAAGACCACAAGCACTGATCCTGCGGCGCCGATTGTTTCGGACGACCAGGATCCAGTTGTGCAGAAATACTTCCAAGACTTGAGCATCACACGTGAGTTCCCCTTCAGAAGAAATCAAGTTCCGAGACTAGAGGGCTCTGTACTGACATTCGGGCGCAGCTACATATTTACGGGCACGACATGAGCAAAATCACTTCTCACCCACCGATTCACGATCGCTCGAATTTCTATATTGCGCTCCGCTGCTGCTGAGCCCATCCGCCATAGCCGTGCCTGTGACGGTATGAGCGGTGTGGGACAGCATGAGAGCAAGATGGAGAATGCGGTCAGACGCAAACACTGAGTTCGGAACCGATGACACCAATTACTTGAACAACGGCGTATCGGCTGGGATAGGGCAAACGAATGACGTCTCACGACGGGAGTTAACTAGGTTGATTCACAACGCGGCGCGTCTGGAGGGTATGAGCCGCCATTTTTGTGCGACCAAAGGAACTGGAGAGTTGTCCATTATCACGTACTGCACAACCCGATTTGTGGGGTGGATGGCCAAGGAGAAATGACGAAACGAAAACAGCGACTGGAGCTTGAAGCAACCTAGATACCCTACTGCATTTGCAAGAAACAAGTACAAAATATCAATAATTTACATGTGGATGAGCCTCGCAACGAAGGAGAATCACCCGATGCGCCACGTGTATGGAGGCGTCGTCTTGGCGGTGGATATATTCCGCCCTGGCGGAGCCAATCTTTCCTGTGCCGCTGGCTAGCTCAACCATCATCCTGCCCATGAGAGCCCAGCTCTGGGCTCTGTTCCGCGCTTCCACCATTTCCCTATCAAGTAGGAAGGGCATCTGGAGCCGCGCACATTTCTTTCTTCGGGCGAACAGAGGGTGTGAGCCTAGGCGGCTGCTGACAGCATCAAGTGGTCCCCAGTCCATGAATAGTACATATGCTCGTAAAGCCCCCCTGCAGAAGATCGTCATCCCGCAGGGCTACGACCCCAGGATCCCCTGCTAGGCCAATCAAACGCAAGTCGGGCGAATCGGCGGCGTTGGGCGGAGATGGAGACACGCCGTGACCGGAAGGTTTGGACCACCCACCTCCAAACTACCATTCCCTTCGAGAGAGGATTCCCCAGCCAAAACGTCTGGGCGGTGGTTTGCAAGGGAAGAACCCGGTAATTCTGGTATAGCACTCTGTGCATTCTAACCCTGGGCAGGCGGCAGATTGGGCTGATGACTTGAATATCCATGAAACGGGCCCGGGGCAGGCTATGCCTGTACGTATGCATGCATGCGCACCGCGGCACAGGGATCTGCGAGGAAGGTACGTACTGTGTAGTCTAAGCCGGATGACGTGCCGACGGCCGGTTCCTGGCCACTCGCATGTTCCCCGTGGAGAGATCACCGTCTTTGCTATTAATGTGCAGTCATGGCCTGGCCTGGCCTGGCCTGGCCTGGCCTGGGGAGATGGACTGCCTCTTACGTCGCACACCTTCGTCCTTCGTTCTGGAGTGCAACTCCGGTATTGAACTGCTCTTGCGACAGCAACACATTGTGATCTGTCGCTGGATTCGTCGTTCATCACTGGGCACTTTGCGATAGAGGACCTACCTCTGAAGCCCGACTCCACCTCTGGTCTGGTCTGCTCGACGACGTCGTGATGTTGCACAGATTCTCGACCGTGGTCATTGTCGCCAGCACGTCCTTGCTGAGCCACACCGTCGCTGCCAGGCAAGTCGGCAATGTCGACCTTACGGACTATGTACTGCCCTTGGTGAGCCTCCTGTCTCCTCCTCATCTACTTCTTCACCCCGGCTCTGCCTGCGTACACAGAAACAATGCTGACATACTGGTTGGCTTGGAAAGACGGGCTCAATCAACGGCGGCAACACCTTCCCCGGCGTCGCCCTGCCCATGGGAATGGTCAAGCTTGGCCCAGACCTCTACACAGGCTCCGACAGCTACTCGGGCTACCAGCCCACAGGTGCCTTCGTGGGGTTCAGCATGTTGCACATGAGCTGCACCGGCGGCGCGCCAAAGTACGGCGTCATCGCGCAGATGCCCGTCGTCGGCAGCCTGGACAACCCGCTTGCCAACATCAGCGTTGGTCGCCGTACCGAAGACGGGACGGTCGTGGGCGACACCGCTCGTGTAGGGTACTACAAGGCCAGCCTGGCCAGCGGGGTCACTGTCGAGATGGCCGCGAGCTCGCGCGCCGGGATGTACCGTTACACGTTCCCACAGAATGCCACGGAGGCTGCGATTGTGGTCGATGTGTCCCATGTGCTGCCTTCCTTCCGGGGTCAGGGGCTCGGCCAGAATTATCTTGGTGGGAATATCTCTGTCCAGGCGGATGGCGAGGGCAGGGCCGTGGGGTATACGGGTAACGGATCATATGACAACGTGAGCCTTCTCGAATCTGAGAAGAGGAGAGACAGTGGACGCAAGCTGACGTGCAAGAGCAATAGGGGTGGAACCGCTCTCCTAAGTGGACAGTCTACTTCTGCGGCTACTTCGACAAGGCGGCGACATACAAGACGTTTCTGGGAAACGACACAGCAGGCGACACCCTCGAGTCGTACGACGACACGCCTCAACGCGACTCGGAAAATCGGCTCGGTGCAGTGTTTGACTTTGGCGGAGAGCAGGAGGTCGCGTCAAGGGCTGGAGTGTCCTTCATCTCTGCCGAGCAGGCTTGTGAGAACGTCAACAATGAGGTACCAGAGGACGCCACGATCGAGAGCCTGGGCGAAGCGGCCAAGGAAGCTTGGAACAGCAAGGTGCTGTCCAAGATTACAACGACAGACATGCGCAGTGAAAGCAACCTCCAGCTGCTCTACTCGTCCCTCTTCCACATGACGCTCGTGCCCAGCGACAAGACTGGGGAGAACCCAAAGTGGTCGTCGCCAGAGCCTTACTATGATGATATCTTCACTTTCTGGGACATCGTAAGTTCATCTTGTTCATGTACCCTTCTGCAAACTGGTGACCTTTCATCACGATGCTGGCAGTATTGACAAACCTTTCGCCAAGTTCCGCTGTACGACCGCCCTCATCCATATCGTCCTCCCGGACGAGTACGAGCAGTTCATCCGCTCACTCGCCGATATCTGGGAGCACGACGGCTTCCTGCCCGACGGACGGTCCTCATTCTTCAACGGCGCCACCCAGGGCGGGTCCAACGCTGACAACGTCCTCGCCGATGCTTATGTCAAGGGCGTACGTGGCGCGATCGACTGGGAGAAGGTATACGAGGCTATGGTGACAGACGCGGAGGTGGTGCCGCCGAACAACAACGACCCGAGAGACTCCAGTTCGTCAACAAAGGAAGGCCGTGGTGCTCTGCCGGACTGGCTTGAGCATGGATACATCACAACAAAGTATGGCAGGTCTGTCAGCCGGGCTATCGAGTAGTAAGTGAATATTCCCCAGACATAGGTCAGCACCATTCGCCGTCGTATCCGCCCCGCGCCGCCCGTCCCTGGTTTCCTTGCTAATTCGACGTTCTTTCCTCCAGCGCGGGTAATGACTTTGGCTTGTACCAGGTCGCCAAGGGCCTGGGCAAGACCGAAGACGCAGCAAAGTACCTCAACCGGTCCCGTAATTGGCGGAACCAGTGGAACCCGGATCTCGAAGCCCTCGGCTTCAAGGGATTCCTTGGGCCCATTGCGGAGAATGGCAGCTTCATCGCTCAGGACCCCCTGAGTTGTGGCGGCTGTTATTGGGGTGATGACTACGTAAGCCTCTTGTGCCAGCCGTTCCCACCACCTTTGCACTGAGAATAAATCAATACTCACTCCTTTTCAAAACACCACAGTACCAAGGTCTCCCCATAGAATACTCCTTCAATGCGCATCACGACGCCGCCACTCTGATCGAGTACGCCGGTGGCCAGGAAGCCTTCCAGTCCCGCCTGGAGGCCATGTTCGAGCCGGACCTCAACCCGGGCGGCGACTCGCGCTTCAACAAGACGCTCTTCAACCCGGGCAACGAGCCGAGCTTCAACACGCCTTACATGTTCCACTACGTGGGGCGGCCCGACCTGTCGGTCGAGCACAGCAGGCGCATCGCCAAGGCGTACTTCCGCCCCACGCCCGACGGCGTGCCGGGCAACTCGGACGCCGGCGCCATGGAGTCGTGGGTGCTGTGGAACATGCTCGGCCTGTACCCCGTCACCGGCCAGACGACGTTCCTCGTGGGCTCGCCGTGGTTCAACGACCTGCGCATCACCCTCGGCGGGAGCGCTGGGGTCAGCAATGTCTTGCACATCACGACCTCGTACTACGACGACGGCGGAGACGGGGATAGTACCACCGCCGCGTCCACAGACGAAGAGGAGGACATGATCTACGTCCAGTCTCTCAAGGTCAACGGGCAGGAATGGAACAAGTCCTGGGTCACCTGGGACGACATCTTTGCTGCCCGGGCCAACGGCGGCGGCGGCGAGAGCACAATGGATTTCGTCCTCGCTGCGACCCCGGGTGCTTGGGCGACGGGGGAGGACTCGGAGCTACCTCCCAGTCCGGCTTCTGAGCCTACCTCATAAGAACGAGGTGTAGGATGAGGTTTCGTGTGCGCTAGACGTGGTGCTGCGATCATCCTAGTCTGTAGGTACGATGTTCTCGAGGTCGTGGTTTGTCTCTTTCTCGGCGTTTCCAAGGCTTGCTTGACGCCAGTCCATCGAGGGATTAGACGGACACATAAGCACGAAATACATCAGTGTCTTGGAACATGGACAACGTCGCAACAGCGCCATGTACATGCATGGCCTTCCCACGAACACTACCCCAGTTCCGCTCGGGAACGGAATTATTTTCCCAACGGTTTTCTTCACGTGTCCAGATATGCTCGAGTGCAAAATGGGAGATGGCAAGTGATGGCAAATTTGGGATCAACTAAGTCTACTCAAAAGCGGGTACTGAAGGCGATGTTGAGAATAACGCTACATCACGGTAAGGAGGGAAACAGGGTCTGAGCACGACCAAGTGAGCTGCCACGTTCAACTCATCTCCTTCCCCCACAAGTCCGCATTCCGTGCCCACCCAAGGCTTCAGCGGCCTGACGCCTTCTTTATGCTCGCAGTCTGTTTGTGTGAAATGGTCCTGTCATGTCACGGGGTTTGCTCTGAACACTACCACAGGCGGAGAACGCCAACCGCCTTGGAGTAGACCATCTTCTCGACTGCAGCACAAAAGTCCCAATGCCATCTCTTCACGGTGTTAATGTGTATCTCATGTTGTATCTGAGTGTGTATCGAAGAAACAAGAAAAGTCATAAGTCTCTCTGTGGGTAGCAGGGTATATATCGACGTAATCTTCGTGCAGGATTGACCCGTGAGCATCTGCCGCCGCAGGTGGATATGGCTTGGAAAGTGAGAGCGCGCAGGCTCAGGGCCTGCCATCTCCGGGGCTGGTCCTCGTAATCAGGTGTCCTTGATGTCTATATCTCTTTCTGAGTGAACCGCCGCCAACGGCTCGATGCTTTCACGCTCGTTTTATGATATATCGTGCCTTTCTCTCTATTTCTGGAAGAACCAACTGCTTCTCTTACTAGTGTTGCCTTCGTTCTGCAGGGATGCCACGGTTGGGACAGGGACAGGGCCGTCGCCGCCGGCCCCACCGCCACGCAGCGGCTTCGCGATCCTGCTGCCGGCGCCGGCAAAGCTAAAGCCAGCACCGGGTCCGCTGAGCCCGCGTGTCGACCCCGCCTTGGCTGCCTCGAGACGTTCCTTGACAGCTGTAAGTTGTGATTCGAACCTGTTTTGATGGTCAGTAAAAGTGGCATGGGCGGGCGGAAAATTATGCATGACGCCGTACCTGTGGTTCGCAGCTGTAAGCTTTTCTTGGCTATCTTGCAGCAAGCTCTCCAGACTAGAGATGCGCTCATTCCGTGCAATCAATTTCCTCTCTGCAATGGCGACCTCTTTCTTGAGCGAGCTGTTCTGCTCCACAAGTTGGCGCTGAACTTGCGTCAGCTGCTCGAGATTCCTCTCAAGGAAAGCCATCTTCTTCTGCTGCGCACGGTTGTTGGATGAACGCAGGACATTGTTGTACTGCTCACGGGTCTCGTCGAGAGAGATTTCGAGCTCGACGACACGCTCGCATCTGTTCTGGAGATCGCGCATCAGGCTCTTCTTCATAACATCAAATTCGGCAATCTGTTGTTGTATCGTCTTGCCATTCGCCAGGCCCGGTGCCGAAGTGGTGGCAGCGCCGGTCTTGAGTCGGCTTTGTAGGTCGTCAATCAGTGTCTTCATTCGGTTGTTCTCGGCAGACTTCTGTGTAATCTCGAGCTTGAGCTCATCAACAAGCTCAATCTGTGTGGTCGTCTTGTTCGCATACGCCTTCTGCAGGCGTTCCTTGACTTCTTCCACATCGGCCTCGCTGAGATTCTGCGTCAAGAGGTCCTCGTACTCGTTCTGCAGCGCGTCAAGGCGAGCCTCGAGTTCTGCACGACGCCTGGCATCCGAATCGCCAGAAACACCACTGTAGAGAGAGAGCTCGGCTTGCCTAATGATACCCTGGGTTTCGACAAGCCTCGTGCGAAGGTCCGTCAGGTCGTCTGGAGGGATCGGATCCCCGGAAGAGCTCTGCTCGAAGAGTGCATCCACCCTTTGTATCGCATCAGCGATAGATTGCTCGTTGGCACTAAAGACATCGCTGCCCAGGTCAAAGCCAGCCATCATCTGAGCCATCTTCTCGGCCTTCTTCTTCTCCTTCTCGTCAAGGACCGCACTAGTCTCCTTGGCGCTCATCTTGACATCGAGAAGCTGCTGCTTGACCTCGTCAAGCTCAGTAGTGAGCTCGGAGTTGGCCTCCTTGAGCGCATCCATCGTGATCTGGGCCTCCTTGCTCTCAAATGCGAGGCGCTCAAGCTGCATCCTGGTCTCGTTGGTCTCGCTCGTCAGTCGCTCATTCTCCTTGCCAAGCTTGCTGTCATGCTCCTTGATGAAGGCCAATTCCTCCTTGGATTCTTGCAGGCTCTTCTCGGCGGCCACAACGGCTGACTCTCTCTCTGCTAGCTGATCTTGCAGCTCGTTCTCTCTGCGGAGGAACTCTTCCCTTTCGTCCTTATCCAGAGGGAGACTTGGAGTCCCGGCACGATCGGTCAAGGCCGGTGTTTCGGAGCGGCTGTCAGGTATGAGTCTGGAGGGCGTAGACGGTCGAGCGGCGGCCGCTCTCGTGCTGGCGACACCATCTGCAGACATCGGTGGAACCCACTTCTCCTTGGGCACGCTGTCTCCGGAACGCCATTGCTGTAGTTCGACCTCGAGATTCGAAATGTAGTTCTCGAAGTTGGTCATATTTGACTTGGCCTTGGCCAGCATTGCTTTGAGTTCTGCAGGGCTGAGTTCTGCGTTGACCTTTGCCTTGTTCTTGATCGACTTGGCGCGCATGCCGAAGCGGAGGGTGCTGAGTGTTTCCTGGTCGTTGTAACTGCTGGGCGAGCAGTTGATGATGAGTGTTGTCCGACTGTTTCCTCCGAGCGACTCTTGCAGGATTCTTGTCAACTTCGAGTCTCTGTAGGGAACGTGAGATGATCGCCCATCGGTCAGCGCGTTGATGACCATTCCGAGAGCACTCAAACTCTTGTTGATCTTCTTTGCTTCTTCAAGAGTCTGTCCGCTAGCACCAGTCTTGCCAACCTTCTCACTTCCAGCCAAATCAACCAAGAAGAGCTGGCCACTCTTGGACGAGCCGGTCTCGAGGTTCTTCTGGGTGACGACAATGACGAATATCGAGTGGGACCGAGACGATTCCTGGTTCATGTTGGTCGCGGCGACAGCACGGGCGTTTCCTCCCCTCTTCATTACTTCAAAGACCTCGTCTACACTCGAGACGTAAACCTCGAGGAGGCCCTTGACGTACACGCCCTTATTCTTCTCCTCGTGAACGGGCAGGTTGTCGTTCTGGGGAGCGAGCAAGTCGCGGATGCGCTCCATGTAAATCTCCATGTAGCTGACGCGGACTGTGTATTCGATTGTGGCTGGGCTGGACATGATGCTGCTGAAGATCTGCTCGATGATTCGCGGGGTGACACCCTTGCCCACCTCGTCCTCGATACTCGTTCCCATCATGGTGAACGACTTTCCGGCACCGGTCTGTCCATATGCGAAGACGGTTCCATTGTAACCGTTCAGGATGTCGTCGACAGTGGGCTTGATCGAGTATTCGAAGATGTCGCGTTGTTGTCCCTGCATATCAAAGACACGGTCGAAGGTGAAGGAGCCCTGGGCCTCGGCGGACTGGCGACGGGAAGCATGGTCAGAATTGTTTCCTTCGAGACAAGAAGCGCCACGTCGGCAAGGAACGCACGGCAAGGGGGGCAGGCTTACATTCAGGATACAGGTATCGTTGCCCTCGAACGAGACGATAGGCTGGCCGCCCGAGGCCAGCTCGACTTTGTTCTGCGGCCTGAACCGGGCGACGACCTTGATGCTGTTGGCTCCCGACATGATTGCGGCGGACTCGACGTGTCGGCGAGGGCGGGGTGCGTGTCAGGAAGGGTGAAGCTTAGACACGGTAGCAGAGCCGGGCAGACGATAACATGTTAGGACGGGGCCAGGCGGTGCGACCAGGAGTGAGTCGGTCCAGCACGGCGGGGGGTGGGGACGGAGGAGCGGCGGTAAGGTACAGTCGATCCAAGGGACACGCGCGGGCGGCGGTGGGTAGGCCTACGTCGAAGTATACAAGGGTTTAGAGGGGTTCGCTGCCTTTGCACGCTCGCTGGTCGCGAAGAAGGGTGAGGAGCAGACGACAGGACCAAGACACAATGCCTGTCGTCTTGAGAGTGGTGTAGGAACGCTGAAGGCCGTCTGGGCTGTGAAGAATGGCGGCTTGCAGCAGGTGTGAGGACGGTGTCGGTGGGTGTTTGTTGCTCAATGCATGCGGCAGGCAGAGTGGGCTGGCTGCTGGGCAGCGGTCGCAGCGTGCCTGAACGAGAGGGGACGGACTTGCAAGTGCCAAACAAGAAAGGGGACGCTGGCGTGGGGCAGCTCGTGGCTGATAGGCCGGGCGCACGCCGCCGTTATTTATTCCTTGCGTCGTGTCAATGCGGCACTGCACGCGTTTGATGATGCCATCTCCGATTCAGCCATGTCAACACTAAGGGACCGTTCATCTCGGCCCAGCGAGGCCGATACGGTCCTGATACTGACTTCGGCATGCGTAGCAGTCGCCTATCAGGTCACACCCACGACCCTTGTGCAGGCACTACTAGGCATACACTACGCTATCCAGATTCAGCTCAACTCTGATTGCTACCACCAGTGACGGCACACGCGGGAGCCTGGCACACGCAATGTGAATATCACCAGCGAGGAAGCTCTTTGCAGAAGATCTCAGGAGGCCATATCACACTCAAAAACACTTTATAAGTCTACAGATCGGCCGGTTGTGACAAGTCTAGTTGCTCAAGACACGCATGCACATCGTGGTGGATGCATCATGTAACAAGGATCCGCAACTGCTTCAACCCGTAATGACTAGAACATTCGCAAACAACGTCCAAAGTAATTTAACCCTAACTCCGGCAGCTATGCAGACCCAACCAAATCAACACAGACGCAGACCCCCTTGAAAGCTGTGGCCAGATTTGCCGCTTGCCAAACACCCAAGTTAATCAGTGTGGATGGACACCGCTCCCTGGTACACCTGCGGCCGTGATGACGCCTTAGGCACGCCGGGTGCAGCTGGCTCCTACCGCCCGGTTGACTCGGCAGGGTCTCAAGGTTTTGGAGCGACAGCACGTCTAAGGTTGAAAGCGCTATGATGATTCACTTGGGCGAGAGATTGTGACCATGAGCAACGGCTCTTCGTGTACCTTAAACCATGTGTGGCGGCTCACACATCAGCGTCAGGACCAACAAATGCCTTGTGGTGACTATAGGTCTTTAGTCTTCCCAGCTCTTCTCGACCGTTTCGCGAACTCGCTTGGTGTACTCCTTGCGGTTGTCTTTGTAAAGGTTCGAGGCCTCGACGTTGGCTGGAGAGCCCGTGTTGGGATCGTTCAGGAGACTAATGAGATGAACAGAATGTGTCAACTTGACGGCTCATTGAAAGGGCGGTGGACTTTGGCGACTGATGGACATACCTTTGAATACTTGTGAGGATCGCTGCGACGTCATATGTCGGACTCCACCTGTTCTGCAGGATATCGAGACATAGCTCGCCGGTGGCATATACGTTTGGATGGAACATCTGGCTAATGAACTTGACCGAAGGCGGCTTGTTTGGGTACTGTTCCTCAAAATGCATGACGAGCCGGAATGTACCATCCTCAAAGGGGGTATCTGCGGGACCGATGATGACGGCGTTCCTGTAGCGAGAAGGTCGGACGGTCAGGAGAAGTTCGTGGACTCGCGTTGATCGATCGGCGAGTCGAAAGGCGGGACTTACCAGGTCATGACATTGTCGGGCACGGGCGAAGCTGAGACTCCTGCTGGCGGATCTGTTTGCATGCGCTGTATTTGCGAAAGACCGAGTCAATAAGGCTTCACAGCCAAAGAGCCATCTCGAGTGGAGGAATGCGACAAACCTTGAAGTCACGCATCAAGCGGCGACGTGCTGCAGTCGACATGATCGAAGGCTGTTGGGCTCGGAGGGGGGTGCTAGCTTGGAGCCCGAAAGAGACGGTCATCAGCAGATAGGGCTGTGCGGATGTAGAGGTCGTCGGCAGCACGAGGTCTGCGATGCGATAGCAGAGTATTCAGCGCCAGATGAGATGATGGAGAAAGGTAGATGGTGGACTAGAGAGCTTGACCGAGGCGGATGATGCAACCTTGGAAGCAGGCAAGCGCAGGTCCGCCGTGATGGCGAGGGCGATGGCGGCGTTCCTATCGGCGGCGATACAGTCTAGCACTGTAGGGTCCAGACCCGATAGCGCACGCACGATAACTGTGCAAGGGGTTCACGCCGCTGCGCTTACGTGATGGAGAATCAAGATGCGAGACCGGCATGCCGATGTCGATGCTGCAAAGCGCATGTAGGCCTGCGCCCAATCAAGCAAAAGGCAGGCACTGTTGCTCTGGCTGTCGAAGATTTTCTCATCCATTCGATGGAAAAGTTGGGTTTGGTGGCGGCAGCCCATATGTCTCGTGCCACCGAAGCTAACATCGCTGCATGTGCCGTGGCTTGATCGTGAGCCACGGACATCGTTCAGAGCACACTGGACAAGCAGCCTCCAGGGGACTGGTTCAGCCTCCATCATTTATGCGCTTGTTGTGTACCGAGGCTGGGCGCGACAGTTGCCCTGAGTCTGAACCGCAGCACCATGGTGGCGGCAAGGCTGCGCGCCTGGACAGGTATCATGTCTGGGGCCAAAGCTGCCACGGTTTTCTTGTTGTGCGTGGAGGACTGGACGGCAGCGTTGGAAAGCAAAGGTCGCCACCACGATGCACAGGCATCGAAGGCCGTGGGTTCCGGTCGTGGTTCAGCCTGTGACTGCAAGAAGTGCGTCCGCCTTCGACCTCGCCGCCCAGCCGTGGTCGCCCGTGGGAAGCCGCCGTGGGCCGGGCTTGGGAGATGGGCAGGCACATGCCAGGCTCGGCAGCGCGGGGGGATGGGGCGCTGGCCCTGGGGAAAGTTGTCTAGCGCCTCCTCGCACCGCGCCGAGCAGGCATTCCGCCCACCCGGCCTGCTGGGCTCGGCTCGGTGCCCGCGCTTTGGAGCGTCATGCCCGCCCTCCTCCACATGCTTCCGGTTCCGTGCTGATGCCGCCTGTCAACTTTCCTCTCTTGTATTCTTCCGACTTTCCCTGTTCTGTGCTGTGCTCTCTCGAGAACGCTTAGCTGGTCCTTGGCCTCGACTCTTCTGCAAACACACAAGTCACATCGATAGCATCCTTTCTGCGAGGCTATTTACGTCATGGCTCTCATACACTTCCGGTCTGCCATCCGAGGGTCCCTTGCAGGCTCTCGAGCCCTCACCACCCGTCAATTCTCGGTACAGAGTTCGTTACGGAAGGAAATACAAGATGCCTACATCCTGAGCGCTTCAAGAACGCCAACGGCAAAGGTGTGTGCTTACCTTCACCGGAGCCGCGCCCCCACCATAACTAACAGAGTCTCACAATCCCCAGTTCAACGGAGCCTTCCTCAGCGTTCCAGCCCCCAAGCTCGCCGCCGTTGCCATCAAGTCCGCCCTCGAGAAGTCCAAAATCCCTGTAGAGAAGGTGACCGACATCTATCTAGGGCAGGTCCTGCAAGGCAATGTCGGCCAGGCGCCCGCGCGGCAGGCCATGATCTATGCCGGCCTGCCCAAGAGCATCGAGCCCACGACTATCAACAAGGTGTGCTCGTCCGGCCTCAAGGCGGTGGCCTTGGCGGCACAGAATATCCAGCTCGGACTGGCCGAGGCCCAGATCGCTGGCGGGATGGAGAACATGTCACAGGTCCCGTACTACGTACCCCGTGCCAGCCAGAATCCTGCGTTTGGCAACATCAAGCTCGAGGACGGCCTCATCAAGGACGGCCTGACCGATGTGTACGACCAGTTCCACATGGGTGTCTGTGCCGAGAACACTGCCAAGAAGCTCGAGATCAGCCGCGAGCAGCAGGACGAGTACGCCATCCAGTCGTACGAGCGGGCCCAGGCCGCCTGGAAGGCCAAGGCCTTTGCCGACGAGATTGCTCCTGTCACGGTCAAGGGTCGCAAGGGTGACACGATTGTCGACACCGACGAGGGCTACCTTGATGTCAAGTTTGACAAGGTTTCGACGCTGAAGCCCGCGTTTGTCCGGGACGGCACCGGCACGGTCACCGCTGCCAACTCGTCCACGCTCAACGACGGCGCCAGTGCTCTGGTCCTGGTCAACGAGGCACTCGCCAAGGAGTACGGCAGCGGCTCCCGTGTCCTCGCGCGGATAGTCAGCAGCGCCGACGCGGCCGTCGACCCCATCGATTTCCCAATCGCGCCGTCCAAGGCGGTCCCCATCGCGCTTGAGCGTGCTGGCATCACCAAGGACCAGGTCGCTATCTGGGAGTTCAACGAAGCGTTTGCAGCTGTCATTAAAGCGAACGAGAAGGTAAGACACAATGCACCCACCATGGTAGACTTTTGTGGTGAGAGTGGCGAGCTAATTCGTCGTGCGGCACGCAGATCCTCGGTCTCGAGAACGCCAAGGTCAACCCTCTCGGTGGAGCCATCTCCCTAGGTCACGCCCTGGGCAGCTCAGGCTCCCGCATTCTTACCACACTTCTGCACCAGCTGAAGCCGGGCGAGTACGGTGTTGCTGCGATCTGCAACGGAGGTGGTGGTGCTTCTGCGATGGTTGTCCAGAGGATAGAATCCGTGTAGGGCGTAGTAGTACGAGGATTCAGGAAGAGGTCCACTGTGTATATAGGCCACAAATGTGCGCAATGAAATACCCTCAGGCACGTCGTTCCGACAAGCCGGCTTGATTCACGACCGATTGATGGTGAAGACCAGGACCATGAAAGTCCCCTGCAGTGACCTCGGGACTCTCCCCGATAACCTACCCCACACAGAGCTTTATCTTATCGGTGCTTTCTGGCGTCGCTCGCACGCAGGTCCCGCGGCCAGCTGCGCAATGGAAGTGTTGCGCGTGGAAATACCCCGTGCCAATCACGACGACGACACCGTTTCTGAAATCCCACAGACGATTACATTGCATCAACTCACCAGACGACGACACACCACGTCACTTTCTAAGCGCCCGTACAACCAAATCGGTCCTACCGCGCCACGTCCCCTGCAGCTAGCCCAGGTGTCTGGCGCAAGCCAGCGCGCAGGCCTATGTCACACCACGACGAGATCTCATAGCACGCCGGACAACAATGTCCCTGACCATTAAATTCCTGAGCAGCATACAAGGCTTCCTCAAGTCTCGCGATGGCGACTCATTACGAAGCTGGCTGCGCGTCGAGCCGCCTGTTCCGCAGGAGTACCACAACTTGACTGCCGAGCTCCGCAATGGCTACAGGGACAGCGCTGCTGTGGCACGGCTGGTCGAGCAAAATCTCCCGATTGAAGACGACCTGCCCGAGGACCAGGGCACGGCCTGGCCAGGCTTCATATCGTTCATGAAGGACTACCTGGAATATTGGCGGGATGTGGATTTTGACAATCTGCTCAACGCGCACCAGCTGCTGGTCAGCCTCACAAAGTACGACACTAGCTATCAGAAGTTGTCAAAGCAGAAAGTTAACCACATTCCTCAGCTCATGCGCCGCTGCGCTGAACAACCCGACGTATGGCTCTGTGCTCCTGCAAACAAGCATTGGCATCTGCCACTCGCTATCGAAGCTGTCGATGACTCTGAATAAGCGTCCTGACCTCGTTCGGAAGCTCGAGACGCTAAACGCCGGCGACGACGAGAAGAAGTCTGTGATCGAGTCGACTGCAGAGATAATACAGAAGATATTTGTGGCCTGCTTGTCGGACCGCCTGAGCCCGCGCAATGCCAGACCAGAGGGCAAGAAAGTCGGCGTGTACATATTCGCCAACATCACCCTGAAATTGCTGTTCGCTGTAAGACCACGACAACCCTAGAGAAGTGTATGTTTGAATGCTAACGGACGGGCAACAACTCCACAGTGCCATCGGACAGTTCTGGCGAAACAGATGTTCACGAACATATCAGCAAAGTCACCGCCACTATCATTCTACCCTGCGGCGCAGCGAGTGACATACCTGTACTATTTGGGGCGCTTCCACTTCATCAACACACACTATGGACGTGCCGCGAGGTGTCTAGAACAAGCATATCTGCAGACACCGCCGCAATTTCAGAAACATAGAAGTCTGATACTGACCTATCTCATACCGGCCAACATGATCCTGGGGCGTCTGCCATCAAACGCTCTGCTTTCGCGGCCTGAGGCCCAGTCCATGGCCACGGCGTTCAGCCAGTTATCAGCGGCCGTCCGCACCGGAAACTTTCTTGCATTCCAGCAGACCCTCGCTGACCACGAGCAGTGGCTACTGCGCAAGGGTCTCCTGCTGCCACTCTCGTTCAGGCTACGCCCGCTAGTCTGGCGCTCCTTCTCGCGCAAAGTCTTCATCATAACGTACGTCAAACCCGAGGCCGACCCCAGCAATCCGACAAACGCCAGGCGCGCCATCACCCTCGAGCTCTCCCACCTGCTCGTGGCCGCGAACTACGTCCAGAAACGTCTCGAGGGCTACATACCGTACCAGCTAGCGCCGAAGCGGCCCGCGCCGCACACAAACTCGATCTTCATGAAGGCAGTCGCGAACAACGCCGCGACACTGGTGGCTCCGCCCAGCGGCAAGCCGAAGACCCTGCGCCCCAACGAGGGTCTGGTGTGGGGCAACCTGCCCGTCACCGCGGAGCACGTCGAGTCGGTGGTCGCCTCGCTCGTGGCGCAGGGCTTGCTGGCGGGATACCTCGCGCACGCGCAAGGGCGGTTCGCGCTGCGCAGGGCGAAAGGCGACGAGGGCCCGATCGCGGCTGGTTGGCCGCGGGTCGCGGAGGTCACAGCCAAGGATGATAATGATGTCCCTGGGTGGGTGTCTTCGCTGTGAGGCTGGAGGGGGAGGTGCCTGTATGTATGAACTGGAGCTGTAAAGGCGAAAATCCGCATATAAAGCACCGGTGGCGGCGGCACTAGCGGATGTGTCTGTGTACATACACGCGCCATGCACGAAACCTCAAATAATTATTTTGAGGGCCGGTGTACTTTTTTTTGGCGCTCAGTCTTAAATTAATCTTGTAAGCTCGTCATGGTACAATAGATTGAAGACTCGGGGGTCTTGTGCCGGACGAGAAAGCTGAGCTGGTCGATAGTCTTGGCTGGCGTAGTAGAATATTTGATACCCTTTTCCTTGACGATTGGTACCTTACGAGGATATGCTTTCGCTGTGCTGGCCTCGTCATTCTTGGGCTCATACATCTATTTGCATTCTTTTCGTCGTTCTGGCAATTGCGGCTCTCTCCCCCGTCCCGGGTGTGATAATCATGTTTATATTACTTCACTTTAGAGGACAGCGGCAGCCAGCCAGCACATCTGCAAACCCCATAACTGGACCATATTGGTCCCTTAGTCCTTCGGTTGAAGCCAAAGTGGAAAAAGTTCTTTCATGATACCAAAACTGAGATTTTAGGTAAACTCGCTGTACAGAGAGATCGGGAGCGTGGCCTGTTATTTCACGGTCGGAAGAATGGGTGGGATAGAGTCGACATACAGGTTTTATGTGAGCGGGCTACCACGAAGAGCTCATCAATGTGGAATGAAGATGAAATCTGGCTGATTATATAATATATTGAGGTCGTTATGTTTCCGACAAAATCGAGGCGCAGAGCGCGACATCCAATGAGCGATTGTGAATCATTTGGTTGTGCTAGAATCCGCACTACAGAAACAACTCCTCGACCAGAAAACCGTTTCTCTATTTCAATAAAGGACAGAAGGTCCCAGATGAAGGGCGTCTCCGCGTTCAATGTGATCAGGTTCTTTATGTAAAGCACGCTAACTCAGCCATGTCAAATCTGCACTGGTGATTGCGGAACAATTTATAGTCCATTCATGTGAGTTTGCTTGTCCGGGTGTCATCGTGCGCAAGATCATCGAGAGAAGTGTTCCCCGAGACTGGAAATTCAAAAAATACTCGCTAGATCATAACGGTAGATGTCATGCGTCGTGCTATGCGACAGAGGGCGTGGCAAGGGCTGCGTGTATCAATGAGTACAGTGTTTACCACTTCTCCCGCTGTGTGAACAACACCTGTTGTGGTATTTAATACAACCGTCGGCCAGTTTAGTACGCAGGAAACCACAGTCCTCTCCTAAAAACGCAAGACTACATGACACAGCCGCGCGGGAAGATGAACCTGCTGCAAGAAGGGTCCAACGGGCGGAGTAGGGGCACGGGCGTTCCCAAAAAGGGGTCGACGCTCTCCTGTGTGAATCTGATCAGTGACTAAGACGAGCCATTCCTGACCAGCAGAAGCCATCATCCTGGTACCAGTACAGAGAAGGGCCGCTTAGACCAGTAGGGCACGAGCCAGGGTCGTCACTGAGACAACCTAGATGGGCGGCTGGGCAGGCTGCCAACAGCACCAACTGTGGGAGTATGCATGTTTAGAACGGCACTAGGCCGCACATGTGGAGGTAACTCATCGGTCAGCTGCGAGGCGTGCGTGTAGTTTGTGTCGCAGCCATGTTGGAGGAGCTGAGGTTTGCACGAGGCTGATTCGAAGCCTCGACGTTTATAGAGCCGGGGTTGCTGCTTCGCTAGAGTATCCTTGCCCGCGGATCTTCAGAAGCCATGGCTGTCGTCTTGCACGTTAAAGAGGAGGGGCGAAGGGATTGTTGAGTGAAGAATTGCCAAATTGTTCCATGAGTCCCTGGGTTGCTGGCAGCAACGAAGGCCCGTCGATCAGTAATGTTCGACCAATACCAAGTTCTGTCACGCCAAAGAGATTGCTAATCTAGAATGAGCTTGCTGGTTCAAGCTTGAGCCATAGTCCAAGGCGAGAGCCTCTGGCGTCACCACATACCGGCGTTTATTCATGTGTGTTCAGTCGTCCACTCAGCTGAAGAGCTTGCGAGGCGATCTGAGGCGTTCTGAGGCTCACCTGCTGGAGTATCAGGGTCCACCTCGAAATTACCCAGTCGTGGCACCACCCATCTTTGGGGTGCGTTACCACTGTGCTCACATGGGCCGATAGATTGCTCCAAACATGGCACAGGGAACGAATCATACGCAGGTAGAATCCAACACCAGGCCAATCTTGCGGGCGCTGTATGCGCGTAAGCGGCGACTTACACCAGTCAGCCCATGGACGACGGGCCTTTGCATCGACGCACACCCCCAAAACTTCATGTACAGTACTCTGCATATGCGCCAAGCCCCCGGCTCCGAGACGACAAAAGGGCAAAAAGCGGTTGCTGGTGAGCGGGCGCGATGTGACCGATGGGACGATGCGACCCTGCCAGAGCTGCTGCTCTGCTGGCCGACGGCTCGAGGCCGACATGTGAGCGGACGTGGAGCACCCACGGTTATGGGTCTGCGAGGTGGTTCCCGCATGGCACATCCATGTGGTCTGACCCGCTGTGCTGACGCTAAGTACGTTAATTTCATCGTGAGCTGTGCCGTGCGGAGGAGACCGACAACAAGGACCGGTGCAAAGCGGCAGGCGTGTTCGAGGAACAGCAAGTCGTCGTCCCACCGCGGTGTCGAAGAACGGTCAGGCGAGAAAAAATTTCGGCCTGTAACATTAAGGGCCATCACGAGATGAGGAATGCGGCGCGGAGGACTGCCGGTTGAGGACTGGGGAGATTTCATAATCGGGCCGACCTGGCAGCAGCATGTGGGGACGCGCTCCTGCCTCGAGGCGTGCCCCGTGTTGGCCCCCGACGCTGCCAACTCCAGACTCCCCATCCCGCATCATGTGCCTCACGTGGTCGGGGTCTTCTGCCCACTCAGCACCAAATCTCTCCGTATGGCTCGCCCGGGGCCCCAACTTGTTGCGGTCGGTGCTCGTGCTGTGCCCCGCGCCTGACCAGGGCACTCCGCAACTTGGACGGCCGTCGCTGGCACCCTCTCCAGGACCCTGGCCCTTCCTGGCTCCACCGCGAAATGGCATCCTCAACACGTATTAACCGCCTTCCGTGTCATATTCGTCAACCCCCAAAGCCCATGCTGTTTGCTTTTCCGGCCCATCCAAGGATAGCCACTCACTGACTTGGTCATTGAGCGTTTTCGCGTGGCGCTCCTAGCAAATTTCGCTCAGAAGCCGATTCACCGCTCAAACCAGCCCGCCCGAACCGACTTCTACGGCATCACTAGCCGGGGATCAAATTGCTAACCGCCCTAGTCGTTGTCGATTGTCGAGCTGCGATGGGGTCATTGTTGAGTCAGGACCAACCCTGCTCCGACTGATGCCTTGGCAGCCTCGTAGAGCCAGCTGAGAAGTCGCTGCAGCTGTCCATCATTGGTCCAGGGCTGCACCTCACCCAAGGGTCACTCATTCACAATACCGCCTAGCATACCGTAGCTGGTGCAGATCGATCCATGCCGGTACACCCGATACGGCTGGATTGTCCGTAAGGGTGTAGGCCGGTTCCCACGGCCCAGACGGCCGGCAGGTTTGAGATACCACCGGAGAGTCGCTTAACCACTTGGCCGGCGATTCACAAGTCAGCACCTGTGGCAGCGGCAACAATGGCCCCCGAAGGGGCATCGGCGTCAGCACGACAAAGGCTACCGGCTCCTGATTCTGACATACCCTCGCTCGGGCAAACAGGGGGGACGGATCAAGGCATGGCGCTTTGTGGCGCAACGCCGCCAGGTCACAGAACTCGGCGCTTCTCCTAGTCGACCCCAGCCTCCCGCAAGCCAAGGTACGCCACCCCCGAGCACCTTCAACCACTCAAGACGATACTGGCACGAGGCGGGCGTGCCAATGACTGGGGGCCGCCCGGCAGTCATCGTGATTTCTATGAGGTTGACCTGCGGTCTAGAGGGACTCTAGAGAGTGCGCGGCGCCGCACCTCTCCATGGCGAGCACTCGCGGTCCGAATGCAGAACAATGGTTCTTTCCCGAACGAGAAACTTTTTACGTTGAAGCATAAGCTAGCGAAATGCCCATTCGGCTCTATCTTCCGCTGCGTCGAAAGCTTATGGCACGTGCTCGAATCAGGAAGCGTACCATCCCTCTCCGCACTGGCGCTAGCCTGTTGAACCACGATGCACACGAATGCTTCCACTCGACCCCTACGACAGAAGGTAAAAAGATCTTGCACGTCCGGAAGCTGCCATAGTGTGGCCCGCCCGAGGTCCACTCGCATGCGTGCGCAGATCCTTCGTGAAGGCAGTGTCAAGGCTGTCGGCCAACTGCGAACGAGAGAGAAGTCGCAGGGACGCCGTATGTAACGTTAACGAGATTATGCAACGGGAGTGCCCTACCTGACTTCAGGGCAGTGATGCTACTCTATTGTGATTGGAGAGCAGTTTCTCGTTAAGATTGGGACCAAACTCGCTGGATCCTCACCCCTGTTCCATCTACCACATGCACAAATCCTCGCGCTACTCGAGCCTGTACGATCCCGAAGTCTTCGACTGACGAGTAGAAGCGTCGTTGCTGCGAAATTGCCAAACCTGCCAGGCAGGATTCTGCCCATAAAGCTTCGGCGAGTCCATCTCAGCAACGGCATTAGCTGGCAAAGTTCCTAAAAATCTGGCTTGCATCCAACAACAATCAAGCGCCCGCACCTCCGCCTTGAGTCGAGCGCTGAGGGGCGGGTGAACATTAAACCTGGAGTCAATTCAACGCCTAGGCCTTTCGGCACAGGGCCGATGCCCGGAATCGGCGGTGGCCGGCAGACTCACGATAGGTGCACTCCTGCGGGACACCGACCTAAAGAAAAAGGGTTCATGCCGATGCGAAGGTCATATGTGGGTATGAGGATGGCATTTGGCTTGGTCTGGAGCACGAAATCCCCATCGACGAAGTGGAAGAAGGCTTTTGGGGCTTAGGGAGCTCCAGTACTTTTTTTTTTTTCGCCTTGGGCTATTTGAGATTAACCCCTGTCTGCGGAGACCTGCGCATTTGGCATCTTGGTAATTTAGCGTCCTGGGGGGGTGGGAAAACAAAGAACTGGGTCTCTTCTCCCATGGGGAATTGGGCCACGCCCTGGTGACTCCACACAATAAGCACCTGGCCTAAGGAAGAGGAGCCCCAAGCGGTACTATGTGGACGACGCCCAGCTCTCCCAGAGCTCGTGTACCACACGCGACCTGCCAACAGGCGCACGATGCACCAGGCACGGGCGCGCGGCCGGGAAGCTCTGCATGGAAGAGAGCCTCTACCATGGCACCCGCGGTTACACCTGCATATTTTTATCTCGTCTGTGTGGCGATGTGATGCCTGCGGCTCTGGTGCAACACGACCTCTGGGAGCCGGAGAAAGCCAGAATGGCCAGATGCAGATATGCTGCAAGGCGATCGCAACAAAACCAGATCACCCCTGACTTCAGCTAAGCTAGGCCCGTCGGGCTTTAGAGCCCTCTTCCCAGGTGGGTTCTCTTCCATGAAAAGTCTTTTGCGTGTTCGGATGGACCCCCAGCAACCAAGACCGGAGGTTGCCATCCTAGGTTGGTGTCTTGCAGCTGTCTTTGTCTCACAATTTGCCTGCGACGCTGGTCAAGGTCCTTGGTGGGCGGTCCCGCGCACAGCCTTTTCTCTGGGGAGCAAAAGACGACGTTGCAGAGGGATCGGCGGCCCTATGCTGTACGGGAGTCTGGGGATGCCAAGCAAGGCCACGCACGCACAAATGGCGAGCGAGTATCGTCATGTGCGTATCAGGTGTTAGCTTGTCCTTGCTTGGCGCAGATAACCCTCTTGAAAAGGATTCTCGCGCGGGGAGGGATCCTCCAAGGGAATGCTTCTGAAATCTGGGGATACTTCCCGCGTGGGCTGTCTCATCTTGGCAGAGGCTATCCCCGCGGCCGCTCTCTAAGTTCTGAAAGGGCCGATGTGGTGCGCCGGGCAGTCGGCAACAGACACCAGAAGTTCTTGCCCGGGTGACTGATGATGCCAAGCCGTGTGGCAAGACCAACAACGAGACCAGAGAGATGGACGGACTAACACGACGACCAAGAGACCGCGCGAGCTGCCTGGTCAGCGCCGAAACCACAACTGCGTGTGTGGCTGGACTGATGGGTCATGATGTCCTGCAGCTCGGGGTTCTTGTTTGCCCAGCAGCCACTCTTGCAACAGGCCCGACTCCGGCATTATTCGACGATGGATGAAGCAAGCCCCTGGCGACGAGCTTCCCCATTTGACCTGAAGTTGCAGTGGTGCTGAGGCTGAAAAGTAAGGCCGACCAGAAGGTAACATCCCCCCCCTCCTCCGCCCACGCGCCTGGCATGGCTGCTGGGACGGTCGGCCGAGCAGAGCAGTTCGGTTTCCGTCTCAGGACGGACGACGAGGGCGTCTGGCGCCAGAGGGCAAGGCCTGATGTTCACGTGCAGGGCCAGCCCACCTCAGTCTAGAAAGAGAGACGGCCCTTTTCGCGGTGTGTGTGTGTGTCCTGCGTTGGTCTTCGAGGCCCCTGTTGAAGCCCGGCCTGGGTTCCAAGGTTGGTTTGGGGAGCCTGTTTGGAGCAGAAGGCCCGTGGCGCCTTGCCTCGCGCTCACCCGAGGAGAAGCGATGCGAAGCACCTGTCGAAATGCCTGCTCCGTGGCCCACCCTGGGGTCCGCCGGGGCACCAGGGGAGAGGGGCCAAGGGGGGGGTGGCCTCCGCACTCGATCTCATCTCGAACACCTCACTTCGCGTCTGCCCTCGCCCGCACGCTCCACCCGTGACTTGGCCGGTACGCCACCGGGCGCCCGTCTGCTACCCCAACAGCCAGGTACCTCGCCGGCGTGGTGCCATGTACACGATAGCTTGCCGCGCTCGGTCTCATCGCGGCGCAACCTCGAATGCCTACAGCCCTCCCCGCCAGCACCCCGGAATATCGACTCGTCGTCGTGGGTGCTGCCCCAGGGGGAAAACCCGCAGGGCCATGGAGCGTCTCCTCAGTCATTCATTCAGTCAGTCAGTCACGACGCTGGCTCCACGGCCCAGGCCAGCCTGGCCCTGCTGGGGCCATCCATGCACACAACGTGACTTGGGGACTGATTGAGTCGTTGACGGACTGACTGCCTCTGTGTTGTCTGTGACACTCGGCTCCGTCCTGCTGCTATATAACCTCTCGACTCTCCCCCGTCGATCGCCATTCCTTCCTGCTGCTCTCCGCTTGTCTTCTCCATCCCTTTCCCTTCAGTGAGCATTTCTGCCCTGAGCCAGCACGCCAGCTCCTCGAGAGAGAGAGAACGTCAACCAACACACCCCCCGGACCAAAACATCCAACTGCAACAATGGCTGGCGGTGTTGTCGTCGAGGGCACGACCAATGTCGATCGGGTCGAGGCCCCCATCACATGGAAGGCCTACCTCATCTGCGCCTTTGCCGCCTTTGGTGGTATCTTCTTCGGTTATGATACTGGTTAGTCCTTTCCGCCGCGGTCCTCACGAGGACCTCACGAACCATGGCTTTCAGGGATCACGAGCTGACCGTTCGCTTTTCTTCTCTGCTCTCTAGGTTGGATGGGTGGTGTCTTGGCCATGCCCTACTTCATCAACCTCTACACCGGCAAGGAGTACAACTGGGTGGACATGAAGCCTGTTGGCCCCAAGGAAGACTTCAAGCTCCCTTCCTCGACTCAGTCCCTCTTCACCTCCATCCTCTCTGCCGGTACCTTCTTCGGCTCTCTGATCGGTGCTGATATCGCCGACTTCATCGGCCGTCGCCTCACCATCATTGGTGGCTGTGCCGTCTTCTGCGTCGGCTGCACTCTCCAGATTGCCAGCACCAACCAGGAGGCCCTCTTCGTGCTCGGCCGTCTCATTGCCGGTCTTGGTGTCGGCTTCATCTCGTCGGTCGTCATTCTGTACATGTCCGAGATTGCCCCCAAGAAGGTCCGCGGTGCCATGGTCTCTGGCTACCAGTTCTGCATCACCATTGGTATCCTCATCGCCAACTGCGTCGTTTACGGCACCAAGGACATGAACAACACCAGCTCTTACCGTATCCCCGTTGGTATCCAGTACCTCTGGGCCGTTGTCCTCGCTGGTGGTCTCTTCTTCCTGCCCGAGTCCCCCCGTTGGTATGCCAAGCAGGGCCGACTTGAGGAGGCTTCCCTCGCTCTGTCCCGCGTCCGTGGCGAGGCCGAGTCGTCCGAGTACATCAAGGACGAGCTGGCCGAGATCATTGCCAACCTCGAGTATGAGTTGCGTGAGATCCCCCAGACCAGCTACGTTGGCTCGTGGCTTGCCTGCTTCAAGGGCAGCCTGCTCAAGGGCAACAGCCCCATCCGTCGTACCATTCTCGGCACTGGTCTCCAGATGTGCCAGCAGCTCACGGGTATCAACTTCATCTTCTACTTCGGCACTCCCTTCCTGACCCAGCTTGGCACGATCGAGAACCCTTTCCTCATCTCCATGGTCACCACCCTCGTCAACGTTCTGTCGACCCCGATCTCGTTCTACATTGTCGAGAAGTTTGGTCGCCGCAACCTCCTGATCTTCGGTGGCTCCTTCATGGTCATCTCCCAGTACATTGTCGGTGCCATTGGTGTTACCCAGGGTGCTATCGAGGCTCACAACAATGCTGCTGTCAACGCCATGGTTGCCTTCATCTGCCTCAACATTGCCGCGTTCGCCACCACCTGGGGTCCTTGCGCGTGGGTCGTCGTCGGTGAGGCTTTCCCTCTGCCCATCCGCTCGCGCGGTGTTGGTATCTCGACCGCCTCCAACTGGTTCTGGAACACCATCATTGCCGTCATCACCCCGTACCTTGTCGGCGAAGACGAGGCCAACCTCGGCTCCAAGGTCTTCTTCCTCTGGGGCTCGCTCTGCATCCTCTCCGTCACCTTTGCCTACTTCCTCGTCCCTGAGCTCAAGGGTCTCTCCCTCGAGCAGGCCGATATGTGCATGGCCGAGGTCACTCCTCGCCAGTCTGGCAAGTGGCGCCCCAGCCACACTTTTGCGGCCGAGATGAACCACGTCGCCGTCAACGAGGAGAAGCCTCTTGCCAGCCACGCCCAGTCTGCCGTCTAGGGTGGCTCAGCTCAACGCGTTACTGCTCCTCGGGAGCCACGTGCGCAGTACGTCTCGTTCTGATACCGGGCCGAGACTGCTGGGAGGATAAAGTGAGACATCCCATCGAGCTTGAACTCCCTTGCATTTGCTGCTTTATGAGATCTACACGCGAGAAATAAAGAAAAGAAAAGAAGCCTTTAATACCCCCTTGTCTTTTTTGAGGCCTTTGCAGTCTCTCAGGAGCCATGTTTTCACCCATCACAAGCTAGTTCACTTAATGCAGGAAGGCGAAAGATATCTGGTAGATAATCTTTTACGAATACCTATTGCTCTTCTCTGCAAACATCTTATCTCTGTCCCATCTACCCTGCGTGACGTTAATGAATGTTGCTTATCCAGAGTGTTACAGGATGTGAGTGCTTGACCTGGACTTAATTAAGAGTCGGCCGCATTGAATAGGAGACTGGCCTAGTTCATGTGAGCGGGTCAAGATGATCAGGTAAGCTGCCCATGCAGCCACATCAGATAAATAAATAAAAAAGGCTGCAAGGAGGCTGACTGACCAATCACGATTTGATTGCATGGCAAAAGACCATTCGCTGTATTGTCACCAACGATAGAGGGTTTTATCGGAGAAGGGCGATCACCAACAAACCCCCCAATAAGATGTAGTACCAGGCCATACATTTCACAGACCCATGAGGTGGGCCAATGGTGCGAAGGTGAAAAAAAGCAGAAGTCTTGAAGTCCGCTCGGATCGTGAGGCCCTGAATACACGCTCATACGTCGTCCGTGAAGCGGCTATTAAAAAGATTTCGATAAAAAGAATTGACCAAGACTGATGTGCAAAAGAAGATTCAAGCATGAAGGTTAGGAAGAACGGAGAGAATCACCATGAAAACACTGGGCATCGATGATGCTGGGAATTTGATCCTACAGCAGCTGGATTTTCGCGAAAAGATGTAAAAAGTGGGAATTGGTGAGAGCTCAGTGTTGACGAGGAGTGGCCGAAGGGAAAACTTCAAGAAAGAAAGAAAGAAATAATAAAGAGGTTTTCTTATAAAGAAGATGGGTGCTTCTTCCTATTACCTGGAGATACCTCTTGTAGGCAACAGCCCTGCGACACAAAAGCGGATTCGCAACACTTGGCTGGTACTAAGCTTGAGGACGAACTGCTACCGAGCACACGAGCGCCTCGGGGGAAAAAAAAGAAAAGAAAACCTCGACACAACGTGGAACCACAAGCTGACCTGGCTGGGCTGGGCTCAGTCTACAACCCCCGCGATTCAGGCCTCGCAAGCGCCGCCTTTCTCGACCGAACTCTGACAAAGAACTGATGCCGGGAGAGCTGCCTCGCAGCAAACGGCTTGGACTTTGTGGCGGGCCCCGAAAACAAGCAAAACCCCTTTCTTTTTTGGGGCCGCCACGTGTCTGGTGGTACCATATGAGGCTGTTCCTGGTGCACAGACATGGATTTTCTCTTTGTAATCAGCTCCAAAAACTCCATGTGCAGCGGACAAGCAGCAGTAGGGCTGCTGCTAAGCCTTGGCTCTGAAGAGAAAAACGAAGACGAGGCCCGTTCGATGAGAGAGACTCTCGATGGGCAACGGCACAACCCACATATTTTTGTTGATGGCAGCAGCAAAAGCAAAAACTTTAACGGCATAGACTGTTCGTTTGCCACTCAAAAGTCGCATATATCCCAGGACTCGGGGTGAGTGTGAATCTGCAGGGTGTGTGTGTGTGTGTGTGTGTGAGTGTGAGCCCAAACTTGAGGATTCCCCAGTTTCACCTTGAGCAAAACCATGTCTCAGCCAAGTGAGTCAAGTGGAGGAGCCTACGCGATACTAGAAGTGTTTTTTTGGAATAGATAAAAAGGTTTCACTGTATATAAGAGAGAGAGGGGGGGGGGAGAGAGGTCTCGCGCTGAGTCTCTAACCAGGGTCTGCTTTGTCTATTCTTAGAAGTAATCCATGTAGGTAAGCTGTAGGCATAGGCTTTGTACGAAAATAATACCTTGGAATCTATACAAAGGCCAGAACTCATGACACAACAGCCAGTCTGCTTATAAGGAAGTCGACAGCCATGCCATCAGCCACGAGACGCGTCGTTGTTGCCTATCTGAGTGGATGCCTCTGACCCTCTGTGGACAACGACCTGTAGACTTCTGCAACCAAAGCTTGCTTCAAGATTCAAAACGTCGTCCTCCGAAGCTCTTGGCTTAGCACTACTGGAGCCCACAACCCCTCAACAGGGCCTGTGCTCTTTCAACATGAGGTCCTGTGCAAAACTTGCATGGTATCCACAAGCCCACACGCAACTACCCACATCCAACTAATACAGAGAAGTCTGTCGCATTCCGCTGGCGCTGGCGAATGATTACCGCATCCGATAAGAACCTGGTTTGTTCAATCAAGGCATTGTGGCAGAGTGGTCTAATGCGATAGACTAGAAATCTATTTCCTTCGGGTAAGCATCCGCTCCGTATCCATACAATCGCAGAGTTGAAGTGTCCAGAAGACTAACAGGCCATGTAGGAGCGTCTGTTCGAATCAGGCCAATGTCGCTTTAAAGCGGGCGTCAAAAGGCGTTCATACTTTTTTGGTCTTTTGTGAACCTCTTCCGAGGAAGGTTGTCACATTGGCACGTTGTGTTGTGTGAGCGGTGTAACCATTTTTTGGCGGGGTCAGAGCTCGGGCCGGGTTGTGCAGTGCTGGATCCATCGGACAAAACACCGGCTGGATTATTATTCCGGCATTATCTGAGCTGAAGACTCGGTGTGCGAGAAAGGTTTTCTTGTACAATTATACACGCTCGCGGAGCCTAGACGGGACAGTGGGGATAGGCGACGGTAATATTGTCAGGTTCTGACAGATATACCAAGAATAGTGACTGGCTTGCCTTGAGATGTGAGCCAGCTTGGGCTGTGCAATGAACAGGCCATGTGCGACTTCACGTTTCTGGCCGTGGGACGCAAGATTTTGGCGTCAGATTCTTCAAAAACTGCGCGTCTGCCTTCTTCAGAAGCCCGGCGGTCTTTGCGAGTTCATGAGAGGGTGCATCGCCTCGCCAGGCCTCGAGGGCTAACTGGGGTTTCGCTCCGAAGCCATCAGCAATGTAGGCCCGGAACGCAGCACGGAGGGCGTCATTGAGTTTATCGCCGTCGCAGGTGCTCATTGAATGGTTATGTGTGCCGAAAAAGGTAACCGTTACCTGTCAGTGTTGGTTACATGTTAGTACTCAGTTAGCGTATCTACGGGGGGTCTGCGTTACCAAAACAGACCGTTTCTTGAGTGATGACGACGGAGCATCGGGTCTTACAGCGCGGTGCGCTGTTCCCTAGCCTCCGCCGTTTACCCGTTGACGCCGAAGCGTCCGGTGCACGATGGTACCGACAACGCCAGTCCCTAGCAACCGACTGCGTAGGGCTGCCGCGAGTGACCTGCCAGACGTTTGATACATATGGCCACAGCGCGGTAAAGTCGGCGGAGGTGAGGGTAATGGTACGCGGAGGCTCGAATCCGCCGAGCTCACTCCTGCGCCTGCCGATGTCGGCACAAGGCAGCTGCAGGTACGCGCCCAGTTGGCGGGGATGGAATGAGGTCTCTGCTGCCATCGCGTGCAGTTTTTCAACTGACTGCAAATGTGCAATGAGGTCGCTGACGATGGCTTTAATAAGGTGCAGTACTACACTGGCAGTACCGTACACAGGCAGTACCCACACATATGACTAAGCCAGCCCGACCACCGAAGCGACCCGTGTGATTCAAGGAGAAGAAGAATACTACCCACAACCTTAAGGATACCGGTGGTGGTGACGACGACGACGAGTACCCGCCGTCCAGCGACAAGGTAACGAACGCTACGAAAAGGCTAATAATAATTAGTAGACGAAGGAGTCCGGCGGTCACTCTACTACTGCTGTGTTTGACCCGACAGGCTTATAGATAGGAAGATCACATATTTAAATACTCCTACATAGTTGAATGACAGCCCTACCGGCACGAGGGTTTCAATTCTGATTTTGAACGTGGCGATCGACGTCTCTCGCCGAAGTGCCTACGCGCAAGTACCTTCATACATGAAGACTGGCAGGCAGGTGCGCAGGTGGAGTTTTTGACATTGAAGCACGCGATTTGACTGCCTAAAACATAGTGGAGTGGGAACATTTATGGGTACTGCCAGTGTAGTAAAAACAGTACTGCCAGTGTAGTACTGCACTTAATAAGTGGGTGCAGGTGCAGCTGCCCAGGTGCTTGTGCAGGTGGTGATGTTCAGACTTTGGTGCACCAGGTCAGTTGAGACGCGCGGACGCGCCGCACTTAACTGCGCTTACATAATCAGAACTTAACTGCCACCTACACAGCTCGAACCGACATTTACTCGTACCGCGATAGCTTCATCGAGTGGACGACGACGGCGACGCGATCAACGGTTGCATAACTGACGGATTCCATTGATGCAGCAAGACCGGGTGGTTGTGAGGAAGTCGGTGGTGTTGACGCAGTTGCGGTGTGCAGAGTGATACGGTTTCCCTGACGAGGACCCTCACCATCAGCAGCAACGTTATCCTGGAGTCAAAAGGGCTCATCTTGATTCAGCTCGAGTGGTCTCTTGTCACGGGAATTGCCTTGACCCAAGAACGTGGTGTTCTTCCGTACCCACAACCCGAAGCCACATGCTTATGCGCATGTCATTCGTGGGAACGTGCTCACCGCAATCTCCCACTACACATGAGACCCTTTTCTTATCGATACTCAACGCCCGGTTGCTGAATATAGATAATGTGAAAACAGGTCCAAGGCGAGAATCCTTGGACCATGTCTGCCATGCCGTGCCGTGCTGTGCCGTGCTGTGCTGTGCTCAGATCAGTCATGAGCCACGAGACCGTGGTGCCAAACCATCAGCTGGCTTCCAGGGCTCGGATGCGGAGCCATCAATCTGACAGAAGCAATCACCTGCTGTACAGATTTCTGGCAGTTGCCACATGCGTTCTCCAAATTTAGGGGCGGGGGTGGATTATGGTTTTTCTCTGTGAAAGTCTCATTCCTGATCCTTCGCCGCCGTGCGTGCCGTAGAGACATGTGCTCTCCCCGAGTCTGCTTTTCTACCACAGTGAGGAGCCCCATTTCGACTGCCTCATGCCTGGTAAGTGCGGCCAGCAGCTCGCCAGCCCGAAGATCGGAGCAAATCTATCTGTATGTGTGTCTGTGCCTACTGACATTTCGGCCCAGCATAGGCGGCCCGCATTCACGCGCGAGAAGATCTTTGTTCCCACGCACCGCCTTGACTTCACACAAAGACCCAAGCCCAGGTGGCCCTAAAAGTCCTGCGTGTAAGCCAAATATACCAGCGTGAATCAAAGCTCGTCAGCTGCGCAATGCGCTGATTGGCACACGGGCCACGGAAGGCCGATGATTGGCTGAGGGGAAGCCACCAAGGGGATCCATGGATAGCGTTGGCGCTGGCCGGCGCTGATTGGCTGGAGGGAAGTCGTCAAGACCCAAAAGCGGTAAACGTGGCTGGCCTGCAGGTCAGCACTATTTTTGGACTGCGCTAGTTGGCCCGTTGTTCAAGCCTTGGGCTTGCCGTCAGCTTTTGGAGCGAGTTGATGGCCAATGGCTGGGAATGCAGGCGGTTTGTGGCTTTGCTGACGGCAGCACTGCCAGGCCGCAAGTGGCCTGTTTTTGTACGGGTCAGAGCGTGTCTGTTTGTCTGTCTGTCTGCCTGTCTCTCGGGCTGTCTGGCTGTCGGGCTGGCACTGGCAGCGGGCCGGGTGAGCGAGGCCAGGCCATACAGGCCATGCAAGGCCACGATTAGGGCCACAGCAGCTTCATCAGCATCATCAATCACTGCACTGCACTGCCACGCCCAGAACAGCACACAACGCAGCGCAGCGCAGCACGCACCTGTATTTGGCCGCCCAGCCACACAGTCGGGGCCCATGCTTTCTTTATTGGGTGCCCACGAGGCCAGCCCTACGCTGCCCAGTGCTGCTCAGCCCAGAGACCTCGCTACTGCACCACCCGGCCCTCCGGTTGGCTGCCGTGCAGTGACCGGGTCCCGGATCAGATGGTTTCCGGACGGCCCTGCGCAACCCCGGATCCTCTTTCTCAGCGGCACAGCCCTACAATCTGCAAGGGCATGGGTCCCAGTTTTTGTTTGTTTCCCACGGCCACGCTGCTGGCGCCGGCAGATGACAGACCGCCGGCCAGGATACTGATGGGGCTGACAGCGGCGGGAAACACGGTTGGCACCGCCGTCACGCATATAAGACGACAATGTTTCCGCTAGAAGGGTTACTTGTTTGTCTCTTCCACCCTCATCCACAGAATCACAAAACCCATCAAAACAACCCTTTTCCTTCCGTCTCCTTTTCCTATTATTTCCTTGGTTCGGCTTCCAGTCTCATCTCGGCTTCCCTCGCTCCCAACTGCCAAACCAACTCCAGCAACTCCGACTCTTCGACACGAACTCGTCATAGACTCCAGTCTTTTCCACGCCTTCATCCACAACCCTACAACTCCACATTCATAATGCAGTTCACCAAGATCACCGCCATGGCCATCCTGGCCTACACTGCCCAGGCCGCCCCTTACTGGAACCACCCGGGCTCTGGCGAGCACGCCACCGGTACCACCACCTCCGTCTATGTCGCCTCCAGCACAAGCAGCTCCGTCGCTGCCGCGAGCAGCACCGCCGCCCCGCCCGCGCCTGCCGCGCCCACCGGCCTCAGCAAGACGGCCCAGATCCTCCTCGCCGACACCCGCGTCGACGGCATCAACAACGTCCTCAAGGACAACAAGGACTTTGTCTTTGACTTCAACGCTGGCCGCCCGGCCGCCTCCATCGGCAAGGGTGGCCAGATCGTCGCCGCCAACCGCAAGACCTTCCCTGTAAGTCACGCTGTCTGCCTCTTTCTTCGTCCGCCAGTAAACAGAACCTTTGGAAAGCAACCCGTTGACTAACACAAACATCTCCCGCACAGGCTCTCACAGGACAGAACATTGGCATGGCCGTCGGCTTCATCGGCCCCTGCGGCTTCAACACCCCGCACATCCACAACCGGGCCACCGAGCTGCTCATCGTGACCAAGGGCCGCGTCATGTCCGAGATGGTCATCGAGAACGGCGTCAACAACGCCGAAGGCAAGCCCCGCAACGTGGCCAACGAGATCAAGGAGTTCCAGATGACACCCTTCTTCCAGGGGTCCATCCACTCCCAGTTCAACCCGGACTGCACCGACGCCGTCTTCATCGCGCCCCAGAGCAACGACGACTTTGGCGTCAGCCAGGTCGCCAACAACTTCCTCGCCCTCAACGGCAACACCATCAGCGCCACCTTTGACAACTTCTTCGACGGCGCCCAGATTGACGAGTTCAAGAGCAAGGTTTCCATCAACGTCGCCCTCGGTGTCGAGGAGTGCCTGAAGAAGTGCAACATTTCCAAGCGCAGCCTCTAAATGGGGGGGAGGGATTTAAGAAAGTGATTTTTGAGTGAACGGAGCCACTTTGCATTTACACGGGGACCATCATGGAGCAGGGCAACGACTGGATCATGAAACGGGCAACGTGGGGTTTTTGGGAAACGGGAGTCTTTGGTTTATTTGTTTCACATTGGCATTTTCTGGGGACACTTGGGAGCCTTGATTCTTTTTTTGAGACTGCTAGCATTTTTTGATATTACTCTACCCTTCTTCACAGAAACCCCCCCTTATTATTAAATTCTAAAACCTTTTTTGGTTTCCCCCAAAGTCATTCTCTCACTTTTGTGCAGTGACGATTCTGTACTGGGTTACATGTCATACATGACCTCAATGCGAATGCCACACTACATCATCATCATCGCCGTCGGTGGCGTCCAAAGAGCCTTGTCCGGGCACGTCTTGTAATTCTCATGAGGCACTGCTGCCAAAGACACGACCATCAAGTCACGATGGCTTGTTGTTTCCGAGGGACAAATAGACGAAGGTCTTGGACCCGGAAAAGTTCCCTGAATAGACCCCAAAACAATGTGTAGATATGAGAGGTTCTTGTCCTCTGCAAAGCAGTCTCCCTCAAATGGGGCTGCTGTGGCGCATGTGTTGTGCACTGGACGGGTTGCTTCGTTGACCTCTGGGAAACATTTCTCTGTCTCCAGGCTTAAATTTCTTGCTGGCCATGTCTTGACCCCTTCTCGCCAGTCGACATCCCTGGCAATATCCAGCATGTCACTGTCGAAGATAGATTTTTATTATCCTGTTGCCCTTCTAGTCTAGAGGAGGAGAAGAGGACGGCTGGCCTTTACGTATTCGAACGGTTGACATTATTGCCCCAACAATTCCAACAGTCACTATCCGAAACCTCCCTATCCCAGGAACAGTCTCCCAAGAACACCATATTTGACCCTCAACAGGGCATAATCATTCCGACTGTGATGTTTCTCTTGTACATGGAGCAAGACATCCAGACAGATCCTGGAAATCCACAGTGGCTTGCACGGCACTTTCAATGAACAAAATCTTAACATGGGGGCATGTCTCTTGTTCTACCGTCTTATCTGCAAACACAATCGCAAGGCGGTCACCGTTCCCTCAGAGTAACCATGGCAGAACCAGTGATTATCAAGTCAGATCTCACTGTGGGCACGGCGCAATGATTGCTCTACGAGGGCGGCTGCCTCCATGAAAGACAAACTTTCAGCAGGCCCGATGCAGGGGAGGGTCCGTAACTGAGAGGGCAAAGGATGGTCGGCCGATCTGTGGTTCACACTCATTCATACCATCATGGAAGTGCTTCGGCCCATGCCGGCCGCAAGGGCATGGTAGTACAGGTGAGCCTGCCGAATATGTCGCGTTGTTCAGCAGGCGGTTGTTGACGTAGAGGGGAGTGCATACTGCTTCCACTTGAGCTGTCGAGGACGTGCAATACGGCGGAGAGTCAATCGTTCTCGAGACTTGGACTGGCAACGCCGACGCTGACTGCAATTCCAAGCTGCTTCTCCATGCTCGAGCAATTTTGATACAGCCCCGGCCTGTGTTCTGTGCAAGCCAGCCTCTACTGAGCACATCGATCACGTCCTTAGGTTGAAGTCTTCAAACCTGAATGGCCCTCTGAGTATAGCCTGCAAATCGGTCTTATGTATTTGCACGAATGGGGCTTGCACACGTCTTTTCTTTAAGGTGCCAATAGCGACGTGGTGCAAGGATACGTGTAACCACCCAACCCCATCCACGTATAAGGTGATATCCTGCTCTTACTGGCACCTCATACCTCACGATAAGACTCTACCGTATGTCTGGCGTGACGCAGCGATCACTGCTGACTGTAGTTGCGACGGTATCGCACTTATGTACACTTGGTCTGGTGATCGCGTCCACCCGGCGCGTGGCAGGAGCTCATAAAGATGATGGCGCGTCGGTTTCTTCTTTCTTTTTGAGCCGCGGCTGTCTTACTTACTGCGCGTTACAGAGAGGTGACCATGACGAAGATGGCGTCTATCTGTGGCGTTTGTTCGAGTGGTGTAAATACTGATGTGAGACAAGCCAATGAGACAAGGCGCCGAGACAAGTGGTGCTCACCGGCGTGTTTGTGCCCACTTGGGCATTTTGACTGCAACTTCTAGAAACGACTGAGCACGAATTGGTCCGAGTTGGCCTCGGATCGGCCCATCCGGGCAGGTGGTTTACAAGCACTTCAAATCCAACTTGCTCGAGGCCAATAAAGGGACCACGTCGCAAAAAACCGTGATCCAGAGCTGCAAAGATCGAAACCCAGCGTCAAGAGTCGACATATGCTGGTGGAGCGTGACTGATGGTTGCCCGCACAACAATTCCAATGTGGCTGGCGGAGATTGGACCGCCAATAATTTTGAGGCTATAAGGCACCAAATCTGTGGCCAATGATTTGCGACATGGATTGTATGTATGTGGAGAGGGGGAGCGTCGTCTTGGTGCCGTTCGGTCCAGTGACTGGTCAGCGGTTGTGGCAGAGCTTGACGTGCTGGATCCGCTCAGGGGACTGTGTACACAATTATGTGTCACTGGGATTCTTGTTGCTGCTTGACAAGACGGAAGTCGACGATGGCCCCTTGTGCACCCGATCTGGGAGGGCGGTGCAGTGGAACTGGCGATGAGGCTAGAACGATTATACGCCGTATGGTGTATGTCGGCTGGGCGTGGCGCAGCGCCAACGGAGAGACGGCGCCGACAAGCGCGGGTAGTGGCAGATTGTGCCTGGACGAGCTGTCTGGGGGAGGCGCGCTGCTTGCATCGAACAAGGCAGTTGCGAGTTGTGAGAGCGGCAGGCGCCCCCTGACAAGTAACCGTCTGACTGCGTGACCGCCTCGACCGCCACGCTCTGGTTGGTGCATGACGGCCTCGCCTCGCCCCGTCTCCCCCCTCCACGCCTCGATGCTTCTCCCCTCGTGTGGATGCATGAACCTCACGTGTCTGTCGCCTTCCATTCCATTTCCTTGATCTCTCGACAAGCCAGCGAGCCATGGATGGCATGGCATGACCAGCAAGCACCCTTGCCTCAACCACTTTAGCCTCCCCCCGCGCAGCGTCGCATGGCGCCTCCGTCTCGACCAAGGAGGCAGCACCAAAAGCCCCGTCCCTGGGCCCTCCCCTGCCGCGCGAGCTGAGAAGCAAGCAGATAAACGGTTTTCTGCTCGTCCAAGCGGCGGGCAGAGCCAGGGTATGGGCCCACGGCGCGTGGGCACTGGGCACCGGGCGGGACCTGCAATCTCCCCAGAGGCCCCTGCTGCTCATTTCGAGGCACGCCCTCATTGGCCCGCAGCCCATCACCACCTCTGCTCTCGACCGCGCCGCCCACAGGCACACTGGCGATGGCCCACTCTCCTCCACCACCAACGGCCGGCCTGGGCTGGACTCGCTGGGCCTGTCCTGTCGGCATGCCCACCCGCCCGAGACGCTTCTCTCCTGCCCAGCCAAACCACAGCCCGGCAGTCGCTCGTCGTGGGCCATCTCCTTGTCGATCGCCGTCTGGCCGCCCCTGGAAACCCTCGGCCCTCTCCACCAGCCACACAGACTGCCTGGGTCCTGTCCTGGGGCCCGGCTCTTCATTTTGCTCTCTCTCCTTCCTCGTCCATGCTGTCGCTCCCTACCGGTTCTGTGCCGACCGTCACGATCGTCTGGAGATTTCTCTCCGTTACACTCCTTTGGCCCTCTGCCTACGCGCTCAGTCACTCTCTACACGAGGACACTTGTGTCCCGTCTCTTCGAACAGCTCGACGCTGTCACGCTTCGCGAAGCCCTTCGCTCTTCTCTCCTCTCGAGGATCATCAACTCGACTCGGCCACGACTCTCTCAGAATCTGCGCCGCTAGCTACCGACGCTCTCGCTCTACTCTTTTTGCTCAAAACCTCGACGATCTCTGGGGTGTCCTCGATCAGCAGCAGTTACCATGAAGATCACCACATCCCACGCTGCCCTCGGCACGGCCATTGCTCTGCTCGCAGCTGAGGCCTCGGCCGCGCTCGCTCACAGGCACCACAACCACTTCGACCTTCACAAGAAGCATGCCCACAACCACCTCGAGGCTCGCGCCGCCAAGCCCAACGACACCGGTGATGTCTCAGTCGCCGAGCTTGTCGCGCGCGACCTGACCTGCGCCTTCCCGACCAACAAAGGCGCCGTCGCTGTCACACCTGGTTCTCTGAATGCCGGCTGGGCCATGGCTCCCGATAAGGCCTGTACTCGTGGCAAGTGGTGCCCTTTTGCATGCCCGCCTGGTCAGGTTATGGCCCAGTGGAAGCCCAACACGAAATACGCGTACCCAGAGTCAACTGTAAGTGGCACATGAGCGGCATATCAATGCACATCGTCTGACCTCGACTCGAATAGTTTGGCGGAATCTACTGCGACGATGACGGCAACCTGCAGGAAGGTTTCAAGGGCCAGCCCTGGTGTGTGGACGGCACTGGCGCTATCGAGGCTGTCAATGATGCGGGCGCCGTTGTGGCATTTTGCCAGACCGTGCTGCCTGGTGATGAGGATATGCTTATCGCCACCGAGGTGTTCGACCGTGCCACTCTCGCTGTACCTGGCATCAGTTACTGGGACAAGACCTCCGCGCAGTGAGTAACGCACTCCCGGAATTTACGTCTCTCCAAAACTAACGCCAGTCATAGCTACTACGTCAATGCGCCGGGCGTTACTGCCGCCGAGGGTTGCCTGTGGGGTACCATCACAAAGCCTGTTGGCAACTGGGCTCCTTACGTCGCTGGTGCCAACACGGACGCCAACGGCAACACCTTTGTCAAGCTTGGGTTCAACCCAGAATGGACCCGCGCACCCGCGCTCGTCTCCAACAAGCCCACTTATGCCATGGACATCAAGTGTGCTGATGGTGGTTGCAACGGCCTTCCCTGCGGAATCAGCCCTGACGGCATCAATGGCTCGGGCGGCGCCCACGAGTCCGACTTCTGCGTCGTGACTGTTCCCAAGGGTTCCAAGGCCCAGATTGTCGTCAGCAGCTTGAACGGTGGAGGCGGTCCTGCTGACGGATCAAATGACACTACGTCTTCTGTGCCTTCCAGCTACCCAACTCAGACGCCGGAGCCGGAGCCGCAGCCGACCCCAACACCAACTACTTCTTCGTCCATCGTTGAGCCGACCACTTCCTCGGTACCGACCACCTCATCGGTTGCCACTACCAGCTCCGTGGTGTCCACAACATCGTCACAATCCGCGCCTGTCTACAGCTTTGCCGGTATCTTCCAGGAGAACGGCACCTACCACAGCTCACCCTACCAGAGCACAACCACGACTTCCAGTGGTCCCACGCAGATCAGCAGCACACCAACAGAGACCAAGCCCAACGACGGCGCGGGCACCTACCAAGGCAACGGCGCCATGGCTGGTCTTGTCGTCGCTCTGGTCGCCGCTGGTATCCTGCTTTGAACCAGGCCGACCTCGATCATGACTTTCGCTTCTCTTTTATTTTCGTACATATGTCAACATCATCATGGCTTACTTATACCAGCCAGCCACATATTGTCTATTGTCTATTCCAAGACCCGAGTCGCGGGGCTTATACGGCTGCATTGCTACGCTTGTTCAGTCGCTATTTCTTGATACCATTTGAGGAAGCGCATACCTGCTGCTGTCTTTTGTTGTAACATTCTGCGATACCCCCTTTTGTCAATTGGCGGTTTGGAGCATTTTTGAAGGACTTATGGCGCAAGGCCCAGTTCATCATTAGGAATGCAATGGTTAGGGATTCGATTTTCAGCAAGGAGCTATTTGGAGGAACTTCTACAAAAAGATGTCTGGTAGTTTGGGGCAAAGGTTGCGCCATTTTGGGCAAAAGTGCATTCGAGGAAGTTGCTCGAAGCAGCACCGCAAGCGCGGCAGTGCACTTGGCCTGTCGCGCATTTACAATTTATCACGATCGTCGACGAACACGAAGCATAGGGCCGATGATTTCAAAAGAGGGAAGCAAGACGGCCTTGGGTTATTACATATTCTTCGACCGACCATATTTTTATCTCCTCCAACAGGGGGGACACGTATTTTCAAACAAACATAACATTGAACTTCGCCCGTCTACAAAATCTTGACCATGTTTGTCCGTGATCATGCAGCAGGATGATGCCATGGAAGGCTGCGTGAGGTGATGATTGAAGGAGGACATCAACGCTGGGCTTTCGGCCGTCTTGGGTAGTCTTCATCGTCGCAACCTCTGACCTTATGAGCAGCCTAGGATGTTGATATATGCTGTATGTAATGTTGACAATTATAGGATCATTGCCGTCTTGCAACGTCAATAAAGATCTGAATTGCGAAACGATGTTCGCTGGTGAGAATGTTGTCTCTCCTCGTATTCCCAGCTATTGAGGCAGGTTGTATCGCACAAGTCCCTGGGTAACCTGGTTAACCTAGGTATCCATTCTGCCATTCGATTTCTTGTGCTGCCTTCTCTGCAGCACTGTGTGACGTTCGTCGAGAAATACCGGCAAAGTCTCCTTCCATTTACAGCGAGCTGTTGCCATTACATTACTGGAGGTGATGCTCTCGCTTCACTGGGCGGGGGCGGCCCTAGCCCAGCCTCTGATTTTGGACAAGGGATTTCTTTTGTCTGCTAGAACCGTCCTGCAATGTTTATGGCAAGTGACCTAGTGTCTTGAAAGCGGTGTCATACATCACTAAGCAAGAGAACGCAAGGTAATTTTTTGCAAGAACGAGGACTCCCCGCACAGAAAGGGAGGAGCATTCTCACTGGCTGTGTGAACACAACCCCAAAATGTCAACCACACCGACGATACTTGTAATATAGTATTGTATGTAACTAACGGATCATGATCTCCCGTGAATATCACAAGTACACTCTACGTATGCCTGTGCCTCCGAGGGCGAGGAGGGGGGGGGTGTTGACTGTCTAAGGGGAAGCGGCGGCGGCAGCGGCTTTGATGATGTCGGCGGCCTTCTCGGCGATCGCATATGTTGTCTGTCAATCTCAAGTTAGCATGTTGTTCTACTCGTGTACATTACCGGCGGAGGACCAAAGGAAGATTATCGTACACTCATGGTGTGAGCCGACGGGTGCTGGGGCATGATGCTGGCATCCACGACCCGCAGGTTGCTGGTGCCGTAGACCTTGAGCTCCGGGTCGACCACGCCGCCGAGCCTGCGCGGCAACATGGCGGACGTGCCGGTCGGGTGCCACGCGGTGAGGAGCGAGGTGCGGACATAGGCCTTGAGGGCGTCGCCGACGTCGAGGACCAGCGGGCCGGGGAGGACCTCGGTGTGGCCAATCTCCTTCATCGGGTCGGTCTTTATGAGGCGGCGGATGAGCCTCACACCCTCGACGATGAAGTCGAGGTCGGCCGGGTGGCTGAGGTAGCGCGGGTCGACGGCCGCGGGGACCCAGGGGTCCCTCGAGACGGGCCGCACCGTGCCGCGGGAGAGCGGGTTCATGAGGGTGCTCAGCATCTCGACGCCGCCCATGAACCAGATGGTCTCCTCGGCGGCAATGGTGCCCGCCACGTGGCCGCGGTGCACGCGCTCCACGATGGCCTTGTACCCCTCGCGCACGTCCGGGTGCGTGTCGGGCGCGAGGTACTTGAGCGACTCCTCGACCGTCGTCGTCGCGATGACGGCGTCGGCCTCCTTACGCGAGAGCGTCGTGATGTTGTACCACGGCAGGAAGGCCAGGCTGTCGCCGCTCTCGGTCCACCGGCCCTCGCGCGACGCGTAGTACAGGTCGCCCTGCTCCTTGTCGAGCTTGGGGTTGAGCGTAATGTCGACCAGGCTGGGAACGCCGGGCTTGACTGTTGTGTGGTGTGGCAGGGTTCTCCAAGTCAGCACAACAAAAGTCGGGAGTTTTGATTCATGTCCAAGAGCCAAGTACTGGAAAAGTTGGCCTGGTTAGAGAGTGACTTACCAACACCAAGACTCGGGGCAGCAGCGTGGTCGTGGAGGTTGGCTCCAACACCGGGGAGATCGACAACAGTCTTGATGCCCAGCTTGTCGAGCACAGACTTCTGACCGATACCAGAGAGCTGGAGCAGCTTGGGCGTCTGCAGAGAACCACCGGACACGATGACCTCGCGGTTGACCAGGACGCGCTGGACGGGGCTCTTCGCCGAAGCCGCATACTATGTCGACCACGCAAAGTTAGCCAATGCTTGGTCTTTCCTCCTCATCATGTTTAATGATGATCAAACCACGCCAGGACAAAGGCTCTGCGGAAACTCACCTCGACCCCTGTGGCGCGGACCACGCCGTTGACAGTCTCGGTTAAAATCTTAGTGACCAGGTGCTCGACGAGAACGTGGATATTGGGCCTGGGCGTGCCCTTCTCGCCAAAGATAGGGTCGTAGTAGGCCGTCCGCGGGTCACTGCGGGACTGGTTCTTGTCGTCAATGCTGTGCAGGCTCATGTGGTATCCCAGAGAGTTGCACATGGGCTCCGCCGTGTGGCTGAAGCCCAGGCTCGCCATGGCGTCCTGGAAGTTCCCTGTGGTCGGGGCGTGTCAATAACGCTCTGGAGGCGAGAATTCCCCCTGAGACGGAACCTTGCGGCACTCATTGCCGTTGACTTGTAAAGACTTACTGTTCTGCGGATAGTTGTAGTGGCTGTAGCCGTTCTGGATTGGTCCTCCGGTGCCGTGGCACTCCGGATCGTAGGTGATGCGGAACTCGTCGACCTGGCTTTGTCTCGGAGGCGTGAAATGCTCAGACTTTGCTCGCTCTGCCTGTCAGCTCCCCATTTCTGCCCTGCCAAGGGCCTATCCGGAATACAACACTGACCTTCTTGAAGTACGGCAGCAGTCCCTTCCAGCCCCAGCCGGGATTGCCCAATTCCTCCCAGGTGTCGTACTCGGTCGGCGTGCCACGGCCCCAGACCATAAAGTTGAGCGACGCGCCACCACCAAGCAGCTTGCCCTGGTTCAGGATCACGGGCCTGTTGAGCGCGAGCTCCTGCTGCGGCGTCGTGAGCGTGCCCCATTGGTAGCTGAGGTCCAGAGCGCCAAGGATCTGCCAACGAGGGATCATGATTTCCTTCTCATACTTGTGTCTGTTGTCGCGCGGTGAGATTAGCGTGCTTGTCTTCCCCCAAACTGGAAGACTCTTCCAGGCCTCTGCTCCAAATTATAGGAAAGCTTACAATGGGCCAGCCTCAATCAGTAGCACGGTTTCTGCGGTTTGTCAGTAACTTGCCCATCCTCGCCAGAAAGAGACACCAGAGGCGGCACAACATACTTGAACTATCCTCAGACAGGCGGTTGGCAGTGACCATGCCTCCTGGTCCACCTCCAATGATGATATAGTCGTACGCATCGAGCAGATCTCTGGTTGCAACCGGCAGACTGCTGGCAAGAGGCACGGCCGAGGAGGCCGCAGCCACTAGCAGCGCGATCGAGAAGGGCGACTTCATCCTGATGTGCTCGGACGATGAGTGCGATGGTCGACGAACACACAACGGACACGGGACTCCTGAAGATTCAAAACGAGAGACAAGGAGACCAACGGTAATGATCCGTGGGCGGGTCGACTGGTTTGGTCCGGGTGGGGAGGCAGGCTGCACTGCCAGCTGTATTTATTATGGACTAAACCCCACGAGAGCCGTGGTTTTCGCCGGCAAGTCTCAAGCTTGTGATATGCCTGCCATAAGGCAAGACGAGGCTTCTTGCTTTGCTAACTCGAGGACGGCACACCCCGGCATCCACATGCATGTGCCAACGGCTGCGGGGTTTCCCCCTTCCAGGGCCCGGTTCCTGCCTGGCGACTGGGGATCGAAGGTCTCTTTGGACGTCCTTGTATGTACCAAGGCCTCGCACGGGCTCCGCTGGTCTTCTTCAAGGTCGTATACCTTGCGTCCGTGCGGGGGCATGATGTAAGTGCACTGCAGGCCGCGCTCGGATCTTTCAGAGTTGTTGCATTGCTTCCGATCCCCGGGGGTGTTCAAGGCGAGCAGGGAAAACTTGGACCGGGGCGCTTGGCCGGGGTATTTGTTCCTGTCCGGGAGGACAAGGATTCCCAGGAAAGGCAAAAGAGGAGCTGGATCTAGACCTTCAAGGTTGTTCTGTGTCAAATCGTTAGAGAATGACGGAATCTTGTCAAATTCGCCTTTGTTCCTTTGCAACTCGTCATGCTGCTCATTCATCATGGTTATTCGATCCCCTAGCAGTGCACATTGGTCTCGAGGCTGTCTTAGACAACTCCTCAGCTCAATCAAAAATTGAGAGCAGTATCTTGTTCAACCACTCACTGGGTATCAAGACCGGCTGTGAGCAAAGAAGCATCTGCATTGAGCAAGCAGCTCGCCGCCGAGCGCCTTGAGGGACAGACACAAGATCGCCGCTGCCAAGATGCGTCGCCAAATTGCAAGGTGTGGTGGATACGACGTTGTCTTATGCCAGCTGCGGTTGACGTTCAGGGGCAAGGGTTGTTGTGAGAGTTGGGTACAGTAACTGGAAGAAGAGCCCGCCCCCATGTGCAAATCCCGCCCGTCCACCCGTGGGGAACATCGTCACCAGCGTCATGGGCCTTTCCCTGTTGAAGTCACGGAACAAGTGCGACTTTCTCCAAAACGGGCAGCGTATACCTTTGAACGAAGGACTGCTTGGCTGGTATCTGGCCTTCCACTTGCCCATCGTGGGAGGCACCACGGCTACCGCTCGAGATTCTAATCGCAGTGGACTTGCAGTCCATGAAATCGAGATCCCCCCCTCGAGCCTGGCAGCAGCTCCACACAATATGTTGGCTGCCAAGTCCATGCCGACATTATCCATGCTCGGACAACAGAGTCGCTGCAGAACAGATCGCACGGACCGAGAAACATCTTGGTTGTCGCTGTTGCTTAAAAGCAGCGACGGCAATGCGAACCCCTGCATCCGTCCTTTCTCAGAATTCCTTACAGCCGGCATAATCATCGTGAGCCAGCGCCAAGCACTGGATGCCTTTTTTTTCTCTCCCTTGAGCATGGTAATTACTGACAATTGTACAAGCACACATCACACCTTATGGCACTCGGGGAAGCTCGAACCTTCTTCCTCTATGAATATGTATATTGTAAGCCGCACAAGAAGCCGTGAGAACGCCCGCCATGGCTCTTAGGTGGACATGCCGAGGTTGCAGGGATATGACCCATGATTATGATGCCAGGGGCCAGGAACAACAACAACAGCAGCGGCGCGCCGCAACTGGACATCTCGGCCAAGGATGGTCTTGTCCTATGAGAGCAGAGGTGGACGGGGGTACTGTGCCTGCGCATTTTTTAATCTCAAATGTTATTACTTTAAAAATGTCCGGCTAGCTTACCAGATTCTACAACCTGCTCGCCGCAAGACAGGGCCCGTCCGATTTGCGAAGACTCCTCTCTTGGGGCCGCTACTTGGAAGAGCAACAGGCGTCTCGTGCCAGTAGTGCATGTCCACTGCTGTCACCGCATACGCTGTGTGCCACAGTCACGGCTGGGTGGTTTAGCAACTGCTCATTGAGAACTATCGACGTCGTCCCAGGTCTCAATTACGCCTGGGGGTCCCGGTGAGCAAGCTACAAAACCACAAAATTCCAGCAAATCAGAAAACACGCCTCTTTGGATATTCCTCCCAATGCTCGCTCCGTCCATGCACTATATACCGTTTTTTTCTTCTTCTTCCGCAGATGAACAGAAATGTCGGCAAGTCTCTAATCTAAGCTCTGTTGACCCATCGAGAATTATTCTAGCAACATAATTGTCGTATATCCAAGCTCTACTCAGCCGGTAAAGCGGAAACGAGAAGCCTCCAGCTGCCCAAGTCCATCTCTGGGCGCCACATTCCTCCTCCGGTAGGTGTTGGTGAAGTCCTGGAGTATCGAGCGCACCTGTCGAAGGTCACCGGCATCTTCATGATTGAGCTTCTCTTTGATCTTGAGCATCAGGCGGTCGACTTCGGCCGGAGTCACGGTGCCAGGCGGGAGAATCCGCATTGTGCGGTCTACCCACGCCACTGTCTGCTCCGGCATGTTTTCAAAAAGCGTCAACAGTGCTCCGCTCCCGTCAGCGAAGCAGTCCCGTGGGAATGTAATCATCATGCCGGCAAGGATGCGCTGGACGAGCATCTCGCCCTTGGCATTGAGAAGCTCCTTCACCGTAGCGATTAGAGCCTGGACAACATCGCCAGGCAGGTGCTCGTACGACGAAGGCGGGTACTTGCCACCCCACATCAAGAGATCCCGGACAAAGTGAAGCGTCGCCGACACAGGCTCGCGCTGCTCGAGCCCAAGCACAGAGAACGTCGCCTCAAAGATTGGGCCCAGCAGGGGCGACGGGATCAGCTTTTGAGGGTAGTAGAGCAGCGCATCGATTAGCAGACGAAAGAAGTCCTCCATGACATCGGGGAACTCCCGCGGAGGAAGGTCGTTGAGGAAACGGAGAACATTGGTGGCCTGCATCTCAAAGAAGGCGTAGATGCTGTCCGTGATCGCCTGGTTGACGTGTTCCCTGTCGTCGGAGAACTCCCGCAGAATGGCGCCAGTGACCCAAAGGAAGCAGCCTTGGCGCGTGGTTGCGAAGCCACTCACGAGCTTGTCCGCCATATCCTTGAGAAGGGGTGTCATCGCTCCTCTGTGGTAAATTACCATGTATCTCCAGCACTTGCAGACACGTTCTAGGATGGGCACGAAGTCAATAAAGCCCTCGAGAATTTTGGCTAGAACCGGGAAGACTTCCTGCCAGTACTTGACGGCAGGATCTTCTTCGCCAGCCTCGGTGGGCGGGACGATGACAACCGTCTTGACGAAGCAGGTAATCAGCTGCAGGTGGTCAGCCACTGCAAGTTTGCCAGCCTCATCTTGTGCGTTGTTGGCTTTTGTCATCAGCCTCTGAACAAGAGGATCACAGTAAAGCTTCAGGAGCTTGTAGATCTCTGCCTTGGGTTGGACTGCAACGAGACTCGCCACACCCTCAGTGACCTCTTCCTGGCTAACCTCGGGTAGGGTGTCGAGGACCTTGTCGTAGAATGACTGCACCTGAAGAACCTGCTGACTCAGTAGGTGCTTGCAGTCGGTGCAGAAATACTTCATGGACATGGCTGCCGCACGAATGATCTCCTTCGAATCAGTCTCAAAAGAAGAGGCGATGTAGTTGAACTGAGGCTCCAGGAACTCGGGGTGAGCAGCTGTCCACTCAGTATAGCGACCGAGAGCCATGATTGTTGCGAAGCGCAGCTTCTCGTGGCTGGGGATCTGCACGAGCAGCGGCATGACCTGGGGTAGAACGATGTTCTCGTCCTTGTCGACCATGCGTCCCATGGCTCGCAAGGAGAACAAGGGCGCCTCCAGCTTTTGCCAATGAGGCACCGAGGTGCCATTAGCCATGGCGGCATACTTCTGCGTCCACAGCTTGATAGCATCAAGCACCTTGGTCAAGCATTCCGTAACGCCCATAACCTCGCAAGCATCCTTGAGTGTGTCGCCCATATGGTGTCTGAACTCGCGGAACTTCTCCTCGGCTTCGCGATCGCCGTCGAAGAGGTCCTTCTCATTGCCAGACTCAGATTCAGGAAATTCGAGGTGGCTGAACAGGATGTCGACGAGCTTCGAAAAAACGTCGAACAGTTCCGTCCGTGCCTGGATATAGATGTCGAGCACGATGTACTGCTTGAGCTCATACCAAAAGTCGAACGTGTACTCAATCACATCTCGGTCCTTATCCCTCGCAGCGCATTCGAGGATGGCCTCAATGATTGGCCGGAAGTGAACAGGCTCCCTGGCGATCGCGACAACCCAGGCAATACCAGCATCGGCCAGTAGCCTAGTCAGAGACTTGTACGCTTCGATGTCTTCCTCTTCCACAAGCTTTTGAATTCGGGGCTGCAGAGCAATAATCTTGGGCAACAGAACCTGGATTGTGTCGATGTTGTCGTCGACGTCTCTCGTCTCCCGCACCATCGTGGAAAGGCACTCGGCTGCTGCCTGGAAAGAGTTGTCGTTTTCCAGCGCGTGGAAGATCACGTCCAGGAGGGGCGAGCCGACGATGTCGTTGACTGGTACTTCACGCAGCCAAGAAGTGATGCATTCGAGCAGTTGTGGATTCGTCGCGGCGGCAGCTGTGATAACAAGTCAGTAGGGGGCCAGGTCGTTACCCATGGCACATCATGGACTTACGCGATGATTGAGCGTAGTTGATAAGTAGTTGGACGACCTGTGCTGCATTATCACCGAGCAACTCGCTTGTCCGCTCGCTAAGCTCTTCTTCCTAAAGTGTCCATTCGTGTTAGACTGTGGACCTCCTGTCGCCTGGGCATATGTGCGCCGGTGCTCAACCAATGTGAAGATGGTGTCCCTGATGCTGTCTTGCTGTCCACGTACTGTCAAGGTGATCTTGCGACCTTCGGTAACTTCTTCCGGCAGGATTCTGAGGAAGTCCAGAATGCAGGCGTGACTTTCAACTTCGTTTCCGAGAGAGCTGACTACGACTGGGAGGACGTCCTTCCAGTCTCTCATTTGGATCGCCAGATTCGCCAAACAAACACAGAGCTGTACTCTGATGGGCCTAGGCCCAGAGGCAAACTGTTTGAGTAGTGAAAGGATCTGGGTTCGTACAGCTGGAAGCTCGGCGGCAGAGACTTGGGTGGAAAGGTCATAAACGATCTGTAGATATACGGCCACTATGTCAGAGATTGTGCTCGCTCCGTGTGGTGGTCTTGCTGGGCAATGCTCACCTTGCCCCTCAATGTTGTCGCTGCAAACAGTTTCGCGTCGGCTTCAGCTTGAGATTGTAGCATCGTGATGGTTATGGTCCAGGCTGCGGTCTGTATATAGCGATCGGTCATTTAGTCGCGCCGTCCTTTCAAGGTGTGCCTAGTGCGTCCGGAGAGCAACTGACGGATTTCTGGAAGCTTTCGAGATACTCGTGAGCTCTTTTCTTCTTGTCGGAATCGCCACCGCGCATCGTGGCCATAGCCTGGAGAACATCCTCTGGCGTGAAGGCCTGCTGAGACCCGTTGGCAGCCATGGCGCCTGTAGTTTGCCGATTTTGTGAATGCGCTTGATCGCCAGATGTGGCGGGGTCGAACTCAGGAGTGGAGGGATGTCGATGTGGACGGCCCCCTGAAATCGCCGCTCCAGGTTCCAGAGGCCAGAGGCGTTGTTGGCTTGGCTGACGGAGACGAACAGTGCGCACGTTGAAACCAGCAGTGAGCAGTTTTTGATGTAGGCGATGTGGTGGGCGCGGGGAAAGGAGCGTGCGGCAAGGCTCTGAGGTTGCGATGATGGGATGAAGCAGGCTCCGAAGAGGCGGGTGGCAGTGCCGTCACAGCAAAATTGCATTGTTGGCGGGCCACGCAGCGCGCAGGGCGTTGGCGGTCGTACGGGGTGATTTGGGTGGTCTGGAGGGGTCGTGGAATTGTGGGGAGCTGTTGGCAGGCTCACTTATCGCGGTACCGGCTGCCCAAGCTGCTCATACGTAATTCTGCATGGCGATGCTTATCCACAAGCTTGTCTCGTTGAGATGCACCTCCGAGCTTCCACGTCTCTGCAGTTCTCTGTGCCAACGTACCTTATGGTATGCATCAATACTTCCAGCAGACAAGGATGCGGTTGAATTCTACGAGTCAGACAGTGCACATGCACTCTCTGGGAGAGCTACCATGTGGACTTCGAGAGAATTGCGCATCAACACATTAGACCCAGAGGCCAAGGAAGCCAGCAGCAGGTTGAGAATGAAAAGGACAGTCCCGAACGACCCTATCTGCACCAATATACCCAGAGCCTTGCGGCATAGTGACCATTGCAGTGACTGTGCTCTGCCACGGACATGGCGTCCTACCAAGCCGCTTTCAACCAAACAAGAGCCGCCCTGCTTGTAACAACAGTACTGTGTGCCCTAGTCGGGAAAGTTGACGGGAGCGAGATGAATATACGACTGCAGGTGACTAGCTATACCACTTTCGCCATTTCTCAAGCATGGCATGCTAGAGGTGCCGTTCACGAGGGTAATAGCTGTGGAAGATGTTCGCAGCAACCTGCAATCAAGGCTTGGCACTCAACGATGGAGATACCCGACCTGAACAGACACCAGCCAAAGTGGGTCACAGCCTTGCCAGTGCGGCCCGCAAACCTCCACGAGGCAGACCAATCCTTTGCCGTCTGGGATTCTGCCGAGCCCTCAAACATTTGGCGACCACCCAGTCACTCCCAGGCCCACGCCAACGACATCGCTTTCCTGGCCACCTCGAACTGGTTGCTCACCCGCCCACCACTGTTTGCGCGCCGTATCTTATCGTCGCGACCTCCTCCGAACGAACCCGACACTCTCGTCACCGACTACCTACGCAAGAATGACCGGACGCGGTGGCGGTGGACGCAAGGTCCTGCTCCCTCCCATCAACTTCATCTTCAAGCTTCTCCAGTCGCACGCGACGGTCAAGATCTGGCTGTACGAGCAGTTGGCCATACGCATTGAGGGAAAGATTAGGGTGCGTGTGTCATTCACGAGAGGCTTCCTACTGCAAAGGCTTGCATGCCTGTCTGCGACAGGCGAGTCTACCCATGTTGCAACGAATGCTAATGAACGGTGGACTTTGCCTGATATTATAGGGATTTGACGAGTTCATGAACCTTGTCATTGACGACGCCGTCGAGGTCAAGCAGATCACAAAGACGAACCCAGAGGAGAAGAGGAGACCACTAGGTCAGTCTGGCACCCAACACTCGGGGGCGCGACCAATGCTTCGGTCGGCATTGCAAGACCAATCACTGATTACTAGGAACACAGGTCAAATTTTGCTCAAAGGCGACAATGTCTCTCTAATCCAGGAAGCTGTATGATACCCGCCCACAAAAAGCAAACTGATGGGGTTGGATGCCAGGGACGAGCGAGCGATGAGAGTCAATGGCATGGAGCATGGGCGCAGAACCATTCTTGACATCCGCAAACACAAAGAGAACCGATTATGAGGAACGATTGCTCCGCGACGCTATTTGGGTATTCTCGGGCGAACGGTTAGAAGAACATACAGGACCGGTCACCTTTGCGACTGTTCAGTATGGCCTGAGTTCGCGGACAATTTGACCTGCCCGTCTCCCAGAAAAAGACCGTCTAGAGGCTGGTCGTGAGGGCCAACAGGGACAGTGCTCTCTTGCTGGCCAGCAGACGTGGGCGCAAGGAACTGCTCCCGCAGCCCCAAAGCATATAGCAATACAGCTGCGCGACCATCAGACACATCCCCCCTGCCTGCGCACTTCAGTGCATACCGATGGAGAAAGTAATCGTAGAAGCCTTTGCCGTGACCAAGCCTCCGTATCACACCCGTGTCTGGATCCTCGTCAAATGCCACTCCAGGCAGAAGTATCAGGTCAAGAGTCGCGTCCGCTGCCGCATCGCCCTCGAGCTCGCCCAGGCTGCGCTGTCTCTGGTCGACCGTGGCCGCATCAATGCTCGGGATCCCCCACTTATCCGGCCTTAGAGACTCGTAGTCATCGATGCCAGCCAGGCTCACCATGTCCATAAGCCTTGCGGGGCCCTCTCCAGGAGCGAGGCCAGACTTGTGCAGGTACGGTACAAAGACTTGCTTGCCTGATTGCAAAGCGTGCCGGACGATCAGATCGGTCTGAAGCTCGCCGCCGGGCATGGCGAGGTATATACCCACCCTGTTGGCGTCGACATAAGGCCTGAATGATCTTAACGAGTCGAACACAGCTTTGCCTGGCAGGCGCGCAGAGAGTGCAAGTTAATATCCTGAACGATTGCGAACCACGATTGTACTAGCATACTCGGATTCATGATGCCGAAAGAATCTGGAGGCTATCTGCAGCTTGGACATGGTGGTGAGCGACTCACTTTGTTGCAATATGGAATCGTTCGAGAGGCCCTTGAGCCGCTGCTTCATGAGCGAGCGGAGCTGCGTCTTGGCAGCGCTCAGCGCGGCAGAGTTCATCGGGTCGTGCGAGTCTGCTGCCTGCATCACTTGCTATGATGTGGCTTTCTGAGCGGGGAAGGCTGGATGGTGCGCCTATCGAGACAAGGAGACAAGCGTAGTGTGAGTGGGTTGTCGTCAATGTGTCAGAAAGTGTCACCGTGAGTCAGAATTGGCAGCATCACGGCCCTTGATGGTTGCGTCTTGCTAGTGGATCCTCCTGCAAGGAAAGCTCTAGGGTGTTGGAAATCTTGGAAGCTGGGAGGTCAAGCCTCCCCGTGGACAAAATGCTAGCCACCTCAATCTCCATACTGCCGATGGCTTGGCTTTTTGTGCATGTTACATCTCAGTCATGAAGCCTAATGTAGCTGCAAATCTGGGAGAGCCGGTTCTACTTCCCTCAGCGACCCGGCCGCCAAAGTATCGTGTCGACTACACTTGGCCATCCATACGGTGGACAGTCGTCGCCCTTGTGTTAGCTACAGTGCGGTTTGTGGCAAAATGATCATCAAGTCATGTTGCACTAGAGACGTGACCCCAAGGCCCATGTCCTGGAAGCTGCATGTTCTCCTGCAAGGTTCAATTATTGACTCAAGCTCATTGTTTATCTTATCCATCTGCGATGCTGAGATCTTATCAATCACACCCGAGTGTCATGAATGTGCGACTGTTGGGTAGAAACCACGCAGAAAACATGTTGCGCCCCTCGTGATCCACGTTGGTTACCCCTCAGATCAGCAAGGACCCTAGGGTCTGGAGAATAATCATGAATACAGAAACACGATACACACTGTCAAAACCTCGAGGATTCACCAGACACTCCGGGACGCTGGGGCCCAAGGTGTCACATGCGTGACCTCTTTTTGTACAGCGATGTTGTCGAACGGGATGGGTATGCGTACTTACCCTGGGCTCCCTTTGTCCGTCTGTGAATTCCAGCCAGAGGTCAGCTCAAGACCCTGGTACAAAGCTAGCAAAAGAGGGTCCTGGTTCCATCCAAATCCTGGCCGCGACAGCCTTCCAGCCCACACTGACAGCATCATCATTCTCTAGTGAGCAAGGAGGGGCTTTCAAAGATGTCCGTCGGAATGCAAATGACAATATGCATACAGCGACAGATCTGGAATAATCTCATACTCTGCGCGAATCCAGAGATGATCCAGATCTCTGAACATGTCCAGGTCCAGCTGCTGCCTGCCGCAGCATCGTTATGCGATCTGCAGGCCTGCTGGTAGTGTCAGCGGGAAGGGTGGTTGCCGCTAGAGACCCCTGCCGTCGGCGCCTGCATCATCCTGCTTTCTCTTACGCTTGCATTCGCCCCGATCCCGCCATCTCCCCACGTTGCGCTCGCACTGCCGTCTATCAACCGCTCCTTGCCGGCTCCCACTTGATCCACGAGCCCACCCAGTTGCCAGCGACTCCCGCGAATGCCGCCTGCTGGCTCGTCGAACGAGGATCATGAACCCCCAGCCCGTCCCCTAGCTGGGCCGCTGCAGCTCGATCGGACCTTCCCGTTACAACACCTCCTGCGAACCGCCCACCCGAGCTCCACTGCCTCCACGCCGCAAGAGTCGTTGCGAAGCCATGTCCATACTCTACATAATATCCCGCTCGCTCAAAGTCCTGGCCCCTCAGCATCCAAGTCTTCGCAGGACGCTCTCGCCTCAGCCGTCGTCGTGCCTCTAGATCTGCTGCCACCCCACGCGACTACTGCCTCTTCCTCCCTCCGCACAAGCCATGAGCTCAACCCCTCCGATTTTGATGACGAATCCGACCACAGGGATGCAGAGTTGGATCAGCGCGCGCTGAGAAAGAAAATGTCGAAAGCGCCTCTTCTCATTCGCTCGAGCCCCGGATTTGGCACCGGCTCTTATGGCGCTGCTCCCATCCCCCCAGAGGCCGTCGACACAAACGACGACGGCGGCCGTGATGCCGATGGCCTGTCAAGGAGGCGCAGTGCCGCGAATAGCCGCCGCTCAAGACGACGAAAGTCCCAGAGCACTAGCCGCTCCCACAGGACAAGCACCTCCTCTATAAATCGCAGACTGAGTCTGTCAGAAGAAATGGGAGGTCCCGCCGTCGCGGGCGGCATCGAAGGACGATTCGGCACAGATACGGCTCTTGGGGATGACGTAGAGGCACTATCTGACGCCAAGTCTGTCGCGTCGGATTTCGATAGCGACCAGGACTCGGATAGCGACAGCATACTGCATGAGGATGACCCTCCCGACAATTCGCCATACCCCCAGGTCCGAGCTTCGGTTGCCCCGACCGATAACACCACGCTATCAGTAAACACACCCCGGATGTGGGTGTTATCCATTCTCTTCTCAATACTTGGTTCATCGACAAATTTGTTCTTTTCCCTGAGATACCCCAGCGTTGCTATCACTCCAGTTATAGCGTTGCTTCTCGTACACCCGCTCGGTCTTTTGTGGGATTTCGCGCTCAAGCGGTCAGGTGACCCTGAGGAAGAGTTCTCCGCAGGCACTCGGGTGGCGACATTGTCAAGAAACCATGCGACCTCCAGGAGTCGAGTGGACGGACTGCGCCTTTGGCTTGCCCAGGGCAAGTGGAACGAAAAGGAGCACACGTGTGTCTACGTTAGCAGTAACGTCTCCTTTGGCTTCGCCTTCGCCACCGATGTGATCGTCGAACAAACGCAGTTCTACAAGCAGGAGGCCACCATCACCTACCAGCTATTGCTGACGCTCTCTACGCAAATTTTGGGCTACACATTCGCTGGCCTTACCCGGCGGTTTCTGGTACGCCCCAGCGGCATGATCTGGCCTGGCACATTGATGTCAGCTGCCATGTTCACGACTCTCCACAAAGAGGAGAACAAACCGGCCAATGGTTGGACGATGAGTCGCTGGAAGTTTTTCTATGTCGTCTGGCTGTCCGCGTTCATCTTCTACTTCCTCCCCGGCCTCCTCATGCCTGCCTTGAGTTACTTCAACGTCATCACATGGTTTGCGCCGGACAATGTTGTCGTTGCGAACCTCTTTGGCGTTGTCTCGGGCCTAGGGCTGTTCCCACTCACATTTGACTGGGCCCAGATCGCATACATTGGCTCTCCACTCCTCACGCCATTCTGGGCAGCCATGAACGTCGTGGGCGGCTTAGTGCTGGTGATGTGGATAATTGCGCCAATCGCGTACTATTTCAATGTCTTCTACTCATCTTATATGCCCATCCTATCTGCTTCGGTATTTGACAACACTGGAAAGATATATGACGTCAGCAGGATTCTGGGCGAAGGCTTTGTCTTTGACCGGGAAAAGTACGCGAGCTACAGTCGAGTGTTTTTGCCCATCACTTACGTTCTGAGTTATGGCCTCCAGTTTGCTGGCTTGGCCTCTCTGCTCACTCACACTGCCTGTTGGCATGGCAAGGACATATGGACACAATGGCAACGGTCACTGAGAGAAGCAGAGGACAAAGGCAAGCCTGCCTATCAGCCAGTCGGTGGTGAGAGCAATGGACGTTCGCCCGTCGCCTCGAGTCCGGCGTTTATGAGGAGCAATTCCAACCTTGATGGCATCATGGGCCGAGAAGATGTGCACAATCGCCTGATGAAGAGGTACAAGGACGCACCAATTACTTGGTATCTTCTCACATTCGTGTCGATGACGGCCGTGGGGATGTTTCTCGTCGAATAGTAAGCCTCAAGTCTCATCAATGCGCAGCGCAAAACATGCACTGACATTTGGGTACCAGCTACCCCATTCATCTACCCTGGTACGGGCTGTTGCTCGCGCTGGGGATTTGTGCTGTCCTCTTCATCCCTATCGGCATCGTGATGGCAGTCACCAACCAACACAGCAGCATATATCTGATTTGCCAGCTCATCTGTGGCGCCATATTCCCGGGTCGGCCAGTCGCAAACATGGTCTTCGTGACATATGGGTATATTTCCTCTGCTCAAGGCATTAAATTCGCTGCCGACCTCAAGCTTGGCCACTACATGAAGATCCCACCACGAATACTCTTCCTGGTGCAAATGGTGGCCACAATCGTCTCGTCGTTCACCCAGATCGCAGTGCTGAATTGGATGTTCGTCAACGTTCCCGGAATATGCACGCCATCCGCCATCAACGGCTTCACATGTCCCATAGCCCGTGTGCACTTCAACGGCTCTATCTTGTGGGGAGTCGTTGGCCCAGCCGAGTTCTTCGGGAAAGGGGCGACATATCATCCCCTGGTATGGTGTTTCCTGATCGGTGCCATTGCGCCCATTCCGCTATGGCTCTACGGCCGAAACAAGAAAGCCAGCATCGTGCGGAAGATCAATCTCCCCGTGCTATTTGGCTCTCTCAGCTGGATTCCACCAGCCACGGGACTCAACTTCTCAGTATGGGCAGTCGTCTGCTACGTCTTCAATTACCTCATCAAGAACCGCGCCGCGGGCTGGTGGGCCAAGTATACCATGACTCTGAGCGCGGCTCTCGACTCAGGTCTAGCATTCGGGATCGTTGTCGTCTTCTTCGGCTTCATCTACCCAGGCTGGATGGACAATTTCAAGTGGTGGGGCACGGAGGTGTACAAGCAGGGCTGCGACTGGCAGGCTTGTGCGTACAGCACGGTGCCGAATGGCAGTCACTTTGGTCCGGATCAGTGGTGATAGAAGGAAAAGAAGCAGGCAGCGACTTTGCGATAGTCAATCACGATAGGCACCACGTTGCGATAACCTGTACATACAGCATGCTGGGCATGAGAGTGGCTATGATATCATGATTATTATCATGAGCTTATAAACGCCTCACTCCATGTTCTGAGGTGATATCTTTTGGCTGTAATCAAAGTGTGGTCCTTCTGTCCGCACGAAAACCATAGATTGTGGATGCTACGACTGTTTCAGTGTTGCTCATCACAGACGGTTCTTTTTGGGTCCGCATAAAGCACTCAGTTGCAGTGGCAGATGACGCTGTCATTGGATCCGAAATCTATACGAACGTTCTAATTTAACACTCATAAAGACCCCTCCGCCTGTCATAATGATAAAGTCGACATGGTGTTTGGAGAACCACAGTGGTAATCCGCTACATGATGTGTAACAAGTTCTGGACGCCCGCGGCACTCCCAAGATAGGTGTAGTCTATTTGAAAACAGAGAGATAATGGGTAAAGCAAAGCACAGTAACGTGAAACTGAACACAACACACTTCTGGTGCTTGAAGTAAGGTGGCCTTAGGGCCAGTTTGTCGGATACCAGGTCCGTGTAAATGCTGGTGCAGAAGTGCGTGGCACTCATTTGGTCGAAGGCGAAGCTGGCGGCGCGGACAGTTGAGAGTTGCGGCCGCCTTTGGGAGGTGTCTGCTGACCGTTCGTGGGGGTTGTGTATGTGGCTGGAATGTTGTTTTGCACAGTCTGTCGGGCAACTCTGAATCGGTGGAAGCAATCTGCCAGAACATCATTGACGCTGTCGTCGATTGGGACAAGGGCAGTGTCGACAATAAGCTTCAGATGCTCCTCCAACTTATTGAACTCGTTCCTATTGGAGCGGTACCGATCGGGGAGTCCGCCGTTGTGCATCAATGCAAGTACACCAGAAATGCTAGTATTGATCGCTGCAATGATTGTCTACGTCGAGGTTGGCGCAGCCAGTCGCTCGAGTTAGATCCGCGACTTGCAAGGTTTTGCGGATGCAATTCAGTAGGTGGTGAAACTTACGATAATCGTCCCGTCTTGGTCCAAAGAGCCGAGAGCTGTCATGGTGGCATTCATGGCGAGCTGCACTACCATCAAAGTCCAGCGGATAACGGTAAGCGACTGGAAGTAGTATGAGTACTTGGCCTGCTCATGGAGAACGTCCTGCATGCCGGATCAGTCTCTAGGCAGAGCTTGTAGCTCCAGTACGCTACAGCTACAAAGCCAACTAACCTGGTATAAGCCATCTCGAAAACCTCGTGGTGGCCACCAGGTGCTGGTAGGGCGAGTGACCTCTTCACTTTCGTCGTCCTTGAATACGCCAACACCACGGCAGAAGAGAACCCATTCGTCGTGAGACATGTGACGGTAGGCGTCCTTCTCTGGATCCGCCGGCGGGAGTTGAGGGGATTTGCGAGGCTTTGGACTCATGGAAGCCGGTCGGTTCATGAGGTCCTCGATGCCCCCCATGCCAATTGAGTGGGTGGCATGCGGGTCAGCTCTGTCTGGGGGAAAGATGGTTGTCGCCATGGCCAAGGATGGCTTCCAAACAGATTATCCCGGTGGTAAAAGGAAAGCGACAAGTTTCCAGTGCAGGCAAAAAGAGTGTAGAAGACCAAAAGAGCCAGCGAGCAAAGCAGAGAGAGTGTGTGGCTGTCGAACACAACGAACCGAAAGATTGACCTCTGGTCTGCTCTGGTAGAGACAGGTCTAATGCAAAGGTTCTCGAGAGACAGTCTAACTCAGGCTTCTGCGAGCACTTGAAGCACTACACGCTCGGCAGCGCATGTTGTGCAACAGCACATAGTCAGATACGGCAGGAGCGATGAGTCCAAGCGCGCAGCTGCCGCTGGTAACCAGGCTCGCTCTGGAGTGACTGCTTGCCTCGATATGCAGTCATCTCTGACTTGGGGGCTGCGACCATGATCAGACCGAGTTTCGGGTACTAAGGAGGCAAGTAGTACCCGAGGGTGAGCTCTGTTGAGTGTGGCCGTGCTCCTAAATGAGGCCATCAGATCCGTGAGGACCCTGGCAAGTACGACCACCTCCGTCTGACCATAGCCAGTTCTACCGATGGACAACCTTAATCCTTGCACAAATGACTTTGGCAGAGTTTTGGCGAAAAGCCTGAGAATCACAGGAGTGAGCCTCAGGACCATTCGAGTGATACTGGAAAAGTCCAGTTCCATCACTAGAGGCGTGAAACTCGCACAAACTCCCACTTATAGCGGAGGACGCTTAGCCTCGGGTGGTTGTCCTGTCCTGTAGCCTGATCCCTGTCGTGGTGGTGGTGCAGCGCGGCGCGGCGCGGCGTCAGGGCCTGTGGAGCATCGACAAAAAAAAGTTGGGGATCCGGCTTCCATCTCCAGCTCGACTTTGTGTATACATCCGTCCACCCAACCAATGGTCGTTCCCAATTGAGCTGCTACCTCGACTGGAGCCAGCTTTTGCCGGATGCGCACAGCGTTGCTCGCCATCACTCGCACGGCTAAACCAAGGAATGTGGCCGTAAGCCGACCCTTCGCCTTCACCTTCGAGCATTGCACCCTTTGTACCATGTCGACCAAGCCAAACAAGAAGCCCGCCGCCGCGGCCCCGGCCACCGACATCAAGATTGTCACGCGCGACGGCAAGGAGTTCAGGGAGATTCAGGAGGGACTGGGGCGGATTCTCGTGCCCTTCTCGGCTAGCGAAGCAAAGGGCAAATCGGTCAAGCAAATCGACGAACAGCAAAAAGTCTTCTACAACCCGATCCAGCAGTTCAACAGGGACCTCACAGTCCTCGCCATCAAGGCCTATGGCGAGGATGTTGTCAAAAGCCGCAAGGCAGCCATGGAGAAAAGGATTCTGAAGGGCAGTCAGAAGCGGAAGCGCGACAAGTCCGATATTGGTGAGGGACGGCCAGCCAAGCATGATGGTGGCTCTACTGCGGCGCCGTCAGAGCAGGAGCAGGCCACTAACGGTGGCGATGCAGTCATGAGCGAGACACACGCGGCGGAGCATGGATCACAAGAAACGGCGGCGGATAGAAAGGACGCGATGGACGATGCTCAAGAGAGACCTGCCGAACAACCGACTGAGCCAACAAAACAGGTCCAGGCAATCGAGGACCAGAATGGCCACGAGCTTGAAGCTGAGCTGCAAAAACCTGGCAATTCAGGCGGCAGGCAACTCAAAGAGCCGAACTTCACGATCCTCGACGCGCTTTCGGCGACTGGCTTGAGAGCCATGCGCTATGCTCAGGAGCTGCCGTTTGTCACGTCAGTCACTGCCAACGACCTGATAGCTGATGCAGTCGAAGCGATCAAGCGCAATGCTGAACACAACGGAGTTGCTTCCAAAGTTACCGCTACCCAAGGAGACGCGAGAGCGCACATGTACAACCTGGTCGCAGAAGAGCTTGCCCGTGAGCACAAGGACAACCCCAGAGGTCTTAAGACCCTCTCCTTGACTCCAAGCAAGAGATATGATGTGATCGATCTGGACCCCTACGGCACGGCTGCCACTTTTCTCGATGCTGCGGTCAACGCTGTTCGTGATGACGGTGGGCTTCTCTGCGTTACTTGCACAGATTCGGGAGTCTGGGCCTCGCACGGTTACTCAGAGAAGGCGTTCGCTTTATACGGAGGGATTCCCATCAAGGGTCACTTCTCGCACGAGGGTGGGCTCAGACTCATTCTCCATGCGCTAGCCACCACAGCTGCGCGGCATGGGCTGGCGATCGAGCCCCAGCTAAGTCTGTCTATCGACTACTACATTCGCATATTCGTCAAGGTCTACAAGTCTCCTGCCAGCGTCAAATTCTTGGCAGGCAAGACCATGGTGGTTTACAGCTGTGATCAAGGCTGCGGCGCCTGGCAAACGCAGTTGCTGCTTCGGAACAGGAAGCAGATGAACAAAAACGGCCAGGGGACTTTCTACAAGCACGGGCTCTCCCTTGGGCCGACTGTCGACACCCACTGTGAACATTGCAAAACCAAGATGCACATGGGAGGGCCCATGTATGCAGGCCCTTTACACAATGCCGCTTTCATAAAGAAGATCCTTGACGACCTTCCCCAAGCATCGACTGATATCTATGGGACCACTGCACGGATAGAGGGCATGCTCAGTACGGCCTTGGAGGAGCTATCACTGCCGGAACCAAAGGACGAGCTGCCGCGCTCAAAGGAAGATGCGCTTGCGGCTCTGGACCATTACCCTTTCTATTTCCATGTCAGCGCACTTGCAGGTATCATCCATTGCATGTGTCCCGATGACGAAAGCTTCAAAGGCGCATTGCGTGGCCTGGGCTACGAGGACACCAGAAGCCACTGCAAAGCTGGAAGCATCAAAACAAATGCTCCCTGGTCAGTCGTCTGGCATGTGATGCGTGAGTGGGTGCGGCAGAAATCACCCGTCAAATTGGCGAACATTAAGCAGGGCACGGCAGCTTGGAACCTCCTGAAGCTGGACCAGGACAACAGTGGTGAGCCAAATGGCGTTGGCCAAGACAAGGCTGTGGGTGACAAACAAGTGGTCTTTGACAAAACACTCGGCCGTGATCGGTCAAGGAAAGGCCTGGTCAGGTATCCAGTCAACCCTCGTGAGAACTGGGGCCCAATGGCCAGAGCTAGTGGTCATTGAACGCTGTCACTTCTGATATATTGCCTGGGCATATATGGAGTCCAGCTGCGCGTCACACAGGTAAACACCAGAGAAATGATGTCTTTGTTAAATACCAATGATACCCTTCAAGCCGCACATGCAAACATGCCAGCAAATACAAGGTGTCACCTGAGTTGAATAGTTTGTGGCCGGCACCTCACGCAACAAACTCTCCACGGAGCCACCGGGCAAGGATACTCGTGCAAGTTACCGTGTCTATTTGGAATGGCTACTCATGCACACGGCGAAGCCGGTGGACACAGGCTCGACAAGCGGGATCCGAGTCGACCGTTGAGAGAAGGTGCCGGTCAAGTGCGTGTACTCTGCGCTTGCTGCCTGCTCACAGATAAAATCACGATTGTGATGGTGATTGCGCAAAGGAGTGCATACAATCATGCCCCAATGTCGCCATCCTGCCAAGTTTGGTGTTGTCAGTGTCAGATAAGGTGGGGGGCGATGGACACGCCGACCCTCGCAAAGCACCTCTCCAGGCACTTCACGTTTCTGCTTACCACGCCGCGGCCCACGAAGGTCATTCCTTTCAACTTTCTTCGAGGCCAGTCAGTCTTGGATCCCGCCATATCGTTATTTCTGTGGAAACATATTCACATCATGGCGACCAGCACCGCCACGCTACCTGGCAGCACCATCCCGGTCGAGTCGATCATTTACATCCGCAGGCGGCAGCCAGAACAGCAAGATCCCGCGGGTTATGATGTCTACGGACTCGAGGAGGTTGCCAAGGCTGCTGGCGAAGCCGGACAGCAGCAGACTGGCTACAGACTCCTGCACGAGCAACTAACTTCAGTTCCGCAAACTTGGATTGATGAGTTGCTGGTGTCCGAGATCCCCGCGTATCTGCGGAGCGAACGGCGCGACCGGCAAGTACACGTCGTGGTGTCCACAAAGTCCGGCACGGGCCGGGCGTCGGACTTTGAGCGCAACGTTTTGCACAAGATCTTCCACGAGCTCGGCTTGCGTGAAACCGACGATTCGGGCCACGGCAGCGAGACGGCGTCTGAAGAAAGCAAGACAAGCTATTATCACGTCGAGAACACCAGTGGCCCGCAAAGCATAGGGGCTTTTGGCAGTAGCCTCGGATCGTCAGGCAAGCACACGATCGTCTTGCTTAGCGGCGATGGTGGTGTCGTGGAGCTTCTCAACGCCATTGACACGAGGCAAGAGGCGGACCACGAGGCTGGCGGTAGTCAGCCAGAACCACGGCAACCTCTGATTGCCGTCCTCCCTCTAGGCACTGGCAATGCGCTGTTCAACTCCCTGCATAAGCAGACGGTCTCGGGTACCCCGGCTGTCTCTCCTCTGGTCCAAGGACTCCGGACCTTACTTCGTGGAAAGGATGCGCCCCTCCCGTGCTTCCGGGCAGAGTTCTCGCAAGGCTCGCACTTGGTCCACGGCTCCGACCGTGGCGAGCTCGTATCTAAGCTCTATGGTGCGATAGTGGCCAGCTATGGGTTTCACAGCCAGCTCGTCTGGGAAAGCGACACGGAAGAGTACCGGAAGCACGGCGACAAACGTTTCCAAATGGTTGCTGGCGAGCTCCTCAAGGAGGCGCACGGATACCAGGCCACTGTGGAGCTGCTCTCGTCGACGTCGTCGGACGGCAGGCCCGGCTCGGCGACCAAGATCGACCGGGACCGGCACGCGTATATCCTAGCAACGATGGTGTCCAACCTCGAGAGGACGTTTACCATCTCTCCACACAGCAAGCCGTTGGACAACACGTTGCGGCTCGTGCACTTTGGCATCGGCAACGGCCCAGAACAGGGCAAGCGGATCATGGATGTCATGATGAAGGCCTATGATGACGGGAAACACATTGGCATGCGGTGGACCGACGCCGACGAGGCTGCGGAGGGCGGGGATGGTGGTAGCGGGCAGGAGTATGCCGTGGGCTACGACGAGGTTCCGACGGCGGTCAAGATCACTACCCACGAGTCCGACGACAGATGGCGAAAGGTGTGTATTGACGGGACGATTGTCGAGATCCCCGAAGGCGGAAGCATGACTGTGTCGCGCGAGACGGCTGGGCGGCTGCGTATCTTGGTAGATCCGGCAGCTCTCGAGGAGTAAGCTCAGTTGGCATGGTGCCGCTCTGGTTCGAGAGACTGTGCATAGCTGTGCTAGTCAGTGCCGGTGCAGGATCCGTTGCATATACTTTCTGTTCTGCATATAGAACAATCTCGAGTCATAGAATGAACCCGATACAGTCCAGCACAAACAATTCTCCCTAGACCAACCAGCCTCTGCTCCGCAATTTTCTGTGGAAAAGGAAGTCATTGTTCCATGAGACGAGATACGAGACCTGTCACTCAACATGGTGCCAGCCCATGTACTTCCCAGTGGTTCCCGAAACTCCAGTTGCAATCGTACATGTTCCAATTTACCAGGAATACCCACCAAACAAAGAAATATCAGAACCCATCCCATTTCATCGATCCCAAGGTAGAGGATCGCCCACGAGCTGGAGAGTGTTGGGGGGGGGGGGCCGCCTCTAGTCTGGTGCAACCCAAGCGCCAGCGAATCACGGGGAGTGAATCAGTATGATTCATTCTGCGCTAAACCCGCGCTGGAGTGGAATGGGTGCGTGAGGATGGGGCTGCTGGAGTTGTCCCCAAAATGGTGTCACAGCTGAACCCAATTGCTCATGTAAAGTAAATTGTCTCTCCAAGTAATCCCAAGATGCCTTTTCTTGAAAAGTTGTTTCCTGTTTCCCATGCACCGCTGTAGTTGTCGTTCTTGTCTTCCCAACTTGTGTTGAAACTGATCACGAACAACAAAGGGTTCCAGGCCAGGCACGGAAAGCAAAGTAAGTGCAAGTCCAGCGTCAACTGACGGACTTATACGAGCCACACACACGCATCTTGCTACACGGCATTTTTGCAGCCACCGAATCCTTCCTTCCCACGGGCCAACATCCAAAGAGCGTTTTACAAAGCCCGCCCTTCTGGAGATCTTTCTGAAGTTGCAAATACTGCGCAACTGCGTTCCCAAAGTCTTTACGAATCGAGATTATTGTTCACTGCCATCATGACCTCCATGGACGCCGAGTCGGTCGCGACGATACTGTGCACGGCCAAGCAGACGAGGTTCAACATTGCGACGCCTAGTTACCGCGAGGTAAGTCCCCAGCAACACATCAGGAGTCCGCAAATCATATGAATATTGTTTTTCTTTTTCTTTTTTCTTTTCTGGCAATCGGGTCAAAAGAAAAGAGTCTACCTATCACATGAATCCCCACCTAGTTATAAGTGTCCCCGTCAAGAGCATAGTTGTAGATTAACACAAGCATCCGAAAAACAGCTTGACATCGAAGGACTGAACATCACTGTCAAATCAAGCCCCAGAACACCCTCCTCCATCGACGGCAAGAAAAAGGTTTCGTCGAGGGCGGCAAAAGCAGAGACGAGCAGCGTCGAGATCCTGAGCAACGCCAAGCTGCGGCTCAAGGCCGGGCAGCGGTATGCCCTTGTCGGGCGCAACGGCACGGGCAAGTCGACGCTGCTGCGGGCGATTGCCGAGAAGCTGATCCCCGGGATCCCCGAGGAGACGAGGGTCGTGCTGCTGCAGCAGACTGCGAGTGCTGCAGCAGACTCTGGCAAGGAGGGCAGCAGTGATCAAGAGACTGGCGGCTCGGGTGCCGGTGCTGGTGGTGGTGAGGAGGCGAGGCAGAGCATGAATGTGCTCGAGGAGGTGATTGAGCGTGCGACCTCGAGGGAGAAGGTGCAGAGGGAGATCCAGCGTGAGTGCTCTTTCCTCCGCGCCCTGAGAGACGGGACGGGACCGGTCGTGTGGCCCTGAAGTTCTCTTACCAGGAAGATGCTGACATGCACTCATTGCGGATAGTTCTCTCGCAAGCAGTCGACAGCCCGAGTCCCTTCGGAGCACTGAAGGGACTGCGCAAGCTCAAGTACGATCGTCTCCAGCAGGAGCTGTTTCTCAAGGACAAGGATGCCAGGTTGCGCAGTGGTGCCAGGGGCCTACAGGCGAGGAAGGCTCTGAAAGAGATGGAGAAGAAAGTCCAAGAGTTTAGGACAACCCAGTCAGTCCAATGTTGAACTTTCCCCCCTGTAGTGTCGACGACGGAGAACACTGACAAAGACCCCCGATCCATCTCGCAGGTTTGAACAACCGGACGATGAGATATCTCCAGATACGCTGGCCCAAGAGACGGGCGAGGCTGCAGACATGCTCGCCGACTTGCATCTCCAGGTCGAGCCGTCCAGGATGGCCCAGGTCGAGAGCCGGGCGAAACAGATCCTCGCCGGTCTCGGGTTCACCGACGCGACAATCCAGAAGCCCGTCAGCAGCCTGTCGGGAGGGTGGCGGATGCGGACGGCTCTCGCAACGGCGCTGCTCCAGGACGACACGGACATGCTCATCCTTGACGAGCCCACAAACTTCCTCGACATGCTGGGCATCATGTGGCTGCAGCGTTACCTCATCGGGCTGGCCGAGGAATCATCATCCACCGGCAGCAACGATTCGTCAACACCGTCATCATCACCACCGCCGACGCTGATCCTCGTCTCCCATGACCGCGCCTTCATCTCGCTCTGCACAGACCTGCTCATCATCCGCGACAAGGAAATCACCTACTTCCACGGCAGCCTGCCCACCTACGAGGCCTCCCGCGCCGAGAAGAAGCTCCACCTCACCCGCATGAAGGACGCGCAGGAGAGGCAGAAGGAGCACATGCAGGCGACGATCCAGCGCAACATGCGCGAGGGCAAGGCCAAGGACGACGCCAACAAGATCCGCCAGGCAAAGTCCCGCCAGAAGAAGCTCGACGACCGCATGGGCCTCGAGGTCAGCAGCAAGGGCACCCGCTTCAAGCTCAACCGCGACCTCGTCGGCTACCACCTGACCAGTCGTGCAGAGATTGACATCCCCCAGGACGACAAGACGGTGCGCTTTGTACTCCCCGACCCTCCAGAGCTGCGCTTCCCCGGGTCCCTGCTGAGTCTGGAAAACGTCTCCTTTCGCTATCCCTCCGCCACACGCGCGGCGGCGGCGGCGGCCAAGTCCTCGACACCGCTTGTCCTGCAAGAAATCAACATGACGGTCCAGATGGGGGACCGGATCGGCATCCTGGGTCTCAACGGCAGCGGGAAATCGACCCTGATCAAGCTCCTCGTACAGCAGGCCAAGCCCACAACAGGGAACTTCACCGCACACCCGCGTCTGAGGATGGGCTACTACTCACAGCACGCCGTAGACGACCTTCTCGCCCTGGCCAGCAACTTTGCTCGGCAGCCACAGCAACAGCAGCAACCCGGCGAGCTTACAGCCCTACGCCTGCTAATGTTAGACCAGTCCTCCTCCTCGTCAAGTATACCCAGCAACAGCAGCGGCAGCAGCAGCACGACCTCCTCCGCCCTCGACGAGGGCGCAATCCGCAGCCTCCTCGGCACCCTGGGCCTCCCCGGCCGGATCGCGTCCGACGTGCCCCTCCGCAAGCTCTCGGGCGGCCAGCTCGTCCACCTGGGCATGGCACGGATCCTCGCCCGCTCGCCGCAGCTCCTCGTCCTCGACGAGGTCACGACCCATCTCGACTACGAGACCGTCACGGCAATGCGCGACGCGCTCAGGTCCTGGCCGGGAGCGGTCGTCCTGGTCAGCCACGACAGGTGGTTCATGAGGGGCGTCATAGAGGGCATCCTAGGCGATGGTGCAGGTGGCGGCGGGGGAGACAGTGGCGAGGACGAGAGTGATGAAGATGACCCGAGTGGTGACGCGGTGCCGCGTAGAAGGTTGCTCTACCGGCTCCGTGCCGGAAAATTATCTTTTCTGTCCGGTGGAGTGCAAGAGTTTGAAGACAGCATGGAGAAGAGAGTCCGTAAGTTGATGAATGGTTGACAAGCGCATAAAACGAAACCAAAGGCCGGTACTGTAGCAGCTCCGCCCTCCTTTAGAGAGCGTAATTACACACCATCCAACATTCACCATTCACAAATGTGAGCATGTACAGACTTGTCTTAACATGATTCAATTCGTCATCACTACGGGCATATAAGCATAAGACGGTGTCTGCTAGTCCAATCGCGTTTGTCGCGCCAGAACGTAGCTTTTGCGTATCCGTTTGCACCTTGGCTCATTTTGACAGCCTCCCTGGCCTGCCCTTTTCTCTGAGCATACCTACCAAAGGAGGCCTGCGCCAAACCACTTGGCGATGCTGTCGAGGCATCTGCCAGGCTTCTTTTCATTCTTGGTCGACGGGAACCGCTTACAACTTGTCGTAGTACTATAAAAGAGACTGTTAGCATTGTCAAGCATGGCAAGACGTGATTGTTGATAATAACTTACGTTCTCGTAGCCGGGAACCTCGACCTTGATACCCTTGCGCTTGCGGGTCTCCTGGACGATCTTGCCGGTCTTGGAGGTGGGGTCGAGGGGAGAGCCACCGGGCAGGATCTGCCAGTGGTCGAAGACAAGCTGGGGGAAAGCCTGGCCGGAAGTAGCCTGGCGCAGATCGGCGTTGAAGCCGAAAGACTCCATGACGGGCAGGTAGGCCTTGATGGTGAAGAGAGGAGTACCAGGGCGCTGCTCCTCGTTGAAGACGTGACCTCTCCGGCGGGTCAGGACACCGTAGACACCACCCATGGTGGCCTCGTTGACCTGGATCTCAACCAGGAAGACAGGCTCCATGATAGCCGGCTCAGCAAGCAGAGAGGCGGCGTACAGGACACGTCTGGCGGTAGGGATAACCTGGCCACCACCGCGGTGGATGGCATCAGCGTGCAGGGTAACATCGAGGATGTTGAAGCGGACGGCACGCATGGGCTCCTCGGCAACGGGACCCTCGCGGGTAGCCCACTGGAAACCAGAGACGACGGAATCCTTGATTTCGTTGAGGTACTGGACGGCCTTGGTCTGGTCGACGAGCAAGTTGGCACCGGTGGTGTCGGGACCGAAGCACCAAATCTTGCGGGCATCGGTGACATCCCAGCCGTGCTCGTCGGCAAGGAGACGGGCGCGGGCCTTGAAATCGTCCTTGGGGCTGATCTTGCCATCCTCAATGTCCTTGGCGAGCTCCTCGGTGATGGGCTCGGCAACCATGTAAAGACGGTTGTGCTTGTTGGGCGACTTGGACAGGGCAGTCATGCTGGACTTGCCGGCAACAGTCTCACGGTACTGGACGACGGGGTCCGAGAAGATGAGAGGCACACCAGCGTGGTCGTGCTCGAGATCGTGCAAGCAGATCTCCAAGTGCAGCTCACCGGCACCGGCGACGACGTGCTCACCAGACTCGTTGGAGCTGGTCAGGACACAGGGGTCGGACTTGGAGAGACGCTTGAGACCTTCGACGAGCTTGGGAAGATCCTGGGCGTTCTTGACCTGGACGGAGCGGGTGACGACGGGCGACACGGAGAACTTCATGACCTTGAGGTTGTGGGCAGTGTCGATGGTGGTAAGAGTACCAGACTTGAGCAGGAACTGGTCGATACCGACCAGGCCGACAATGTTACCGGCAGGCATGTCGTCAATGGGCTCGACCTTGCCACCCATCATCAGGACGGTACGCTGGATAGCCTTGATGAAGAGGTCCTCCTTCTTGCCGGGGACGTAGTTGGGGCCCTGGATGCGGACCTTGAGACCGGAGCGGACGGTACCTGAAAAGACACGTCCGAAAGCGTAGAACCGACCCTTATCGGAGGTCGGCACCATCTTGGAGACGTAGAGCATGAGGGGACCCTTGGGGTCACACTCACGGATACCGACAGCGGCCTCGTCGTCCTGGGGACCCTCGTACAGAGTCTCAACACGGTAGCGCTGAGCAGTAACAGGGGAAGGAAGGTGGAGAATCATCATCTCCAAAAGGGAGTCGGCAGCAGGAAGGAAGGTCTTCATGACGGCCTTGAGGAGCTGCTTGCCCTCCTTCTCGCGCTCGGCGGTGGGCAGCTTGAGGTCAAGCTTGGTAAGGAGCTGGGTGATCTCGTCCTTCTTGAAGTTCATGACGGCAGCGAAGATCTTGAAGATGGGGTCCAGGATGAACTGGTTGAAGGCACGCTCAAGCTGCTGGCCCTCGTGGGTACCGTTCTTGGTCCACTTCTTGGTCTTGGGGTTGAAGTAGCTGTCACCCTGTTGCATGTGTTAGTGTTTTTGGCCAAGACACAGACTTTACTTGTGGCGGCAGGAGCTTACCCAGAGACGCTCCATCATCTTGTTGCGGTCGACACCGAACTTCTTGGCGTAGCGGGTGGCGAACTGGCGGATGGTGAAAGCCCAGCCGTGGAGACCGGAGCCGAAAGCCACGGTACCCTTCTCGGGGTAGACCTGAAGGTCACCAGCGGTCTTGTCGGTGTAGGTGGAGATGACGACGTTGACGGACTCGATGGTACGCGAGAAGGACTGGTACAGATCCTCCTTGGAGACCTGGAGCTCGAGAAGAGCACGGTCGACCTTGTTGATGACAACGACGGGCTTGATGCGCTCGGTAAGAGCCTGACGCAGGACAGTCTCGGTCTGGACGCAGACACCATCGATGGTGTCGACGACGACGAGAGCACCATCAGTGACACGGAGGGCAGCAGTGACTTCGGAAGAGAAATCAACGTGACCGGGCGAGTCGATAAGGTTGATAAGGAAGTCGGAGCCGTCCGTCTTCTGGCCGACAATGTCCTTGATGTCCTCGGGGTCATCGAGGGTACCGTACAGGGAGATGGCAGTGGACTTGATGGTAATACCACGCTCCTGCTCGTCGGCACGAGTATCGGTGGCACGGGCATCACCAGCCTTCGCGGTGGAAATGATACCAGCCTTGGCGAGGAGGGAGTCGGTCAGGGTAGACTTGCCGTGATCGACGTGGGCAATGACGGACATGTTACGGACGTTGGTAGGCTTGTCCATAAGCGCCCGGATCTCGTCGATGGTGAAGCTGGAGACGAGCAGTTAGCATGACTGATTGCAGGTGAATGTGCAGAGATTGCTTGTTATTGCGCAGCGTAGGACTCCTCTCCTGCTCAGTAGTGGTGCCTTGAAGAAATCGTGCGGCTGGGGCCTGCCATCTCGAGATCTTGAAGTCATCGCCAGATGACACGACCTCTGCGCTCGACCACAAAGTAACCCACGAGGTGACTAGCCATTCTTGCGACGACGTCACAAAATTCGGACAGCGAAGCCGGGACGAAGCAGGCCTCCGGAGAGATGAGGAATGTGATGCAGATGCTTTTTGGGGAGGGTTCAAGACGGGGATGGACCTACTTGACCATTTTGACGGTTTTGCGAGAGAACTCGACTTGTTAAACTTTTGTTGGTTTTTTTTTTTGTGAAGAGCAGAAAGCCTTGACACCGCGCAGAGGAGCGGGAAGGCGGGGTATTATCGACGAGAGTGAGGCCTCGTGAGATCGATAATGACACCAGCCGCGGACTTCTTCACCTGGGTTCGGGAAGAAGAATCGGTGCTTGGAAGGCAGCTTGCGAAGAAGAGGAAGAAAATGAAGAGTGGATGGCGAGGGCGGGTGAGGGGAGAAATTGGTAATGGACGGCAGACTGAGGGGAGGGGCCTGCAGAGTGGAGCACGGGCGAGCAGGAAGCGCAGCCAGCGCCAGTGAAGCTGCCCGGGTGTGCACCAGAGCAGTGCGTGCCAGTGGGTGGTGCGAGGCAAAGACACGATCAGTGGCGGGCGGCGCAGGAGGAGCTCGACCTGCCTTGCATGGAGGGGGAGGGGCAACCTTGCACCAAGACGAGCAGCAAAGAGGGGCCGGCAGCCCCAGTCTGACGCTGGCTCGTCCTCGATCAATGCTGGGTGGATGTGCCTAGCTGCTGCTGCACACGGCCAGCAGTCAGAAATTTTTATTCTTCCCCCCACTTGATCCAAACCAGGCCAGGGCACTGACTCCCACGGAGCAACGGACTTAGTGCACCACCGAGGCCTGGCCTGGCCAGCCAATGGGCGTCATGCGGCGAGGGCAAGGCATCCCCGTGCTGCCCGCTCCCAGCAGCACAGAGGAGGAAGCCCTTTTGCTGCCCGTCAGGCTGGTGCCGAGCGTACTCACTCAGCACCTGCGAAGAGCCCAAAAGTTTTCCCTCGAGGTGGGGCATCTGCCGGTAGCCTGGTGGGGCAGTCCCGTCGAGCGACTTTTGCCGGGCCCCGGCGTGACTCAAGTCCTGCACGTCACAGGCAGTGAGCCACGGGTACATTGTGGGGCATGCACATGTACCGCGTCATGGCCGACGCCAGTGGGAAAGAGGGGTCCTATGTCCGTCCTCACATGGCATGCAACAACCAAATCTCTGAATCTCTGTCTCTGCGCTTTGTGTGTCCATTTTCGACCAGGGCACGAAACCCTTCCGGTTTGCCCCCTCAGCGGCAGGGCCAGTGCTGGCCAGCTAAAGAGTCACCTGCGCCACCTGCTCGTCCGTCAGTCCTCCCCGTTTCAGCAAGCCTTAGGTGGGCCTCGACTTGCAACAGGCCGATCGCTGACTGACGTTGTTGCCGTCATTTGCGCAGTCAACAGGCCTGCCGTCGCTTCGCGTTTACCATACATACCACCGAGTCGTTGTATCTGGGATGTCTGGGATTGGGCAGTGTGTGAATCGATTTTGCTCCTAGTCCCAAGCTCATCCAACCTCTGGAGCTTTGGAGCTCCCCCAAGCTTGGAGCTCGCAGCTCGCAGCTGGTGGTGGTTGGCCAAACCTAAATCTGGAGCTTTGACATCTTACAAAGGTTGCCCCATGAATCACATTCGCCGCTTGCCGCCCCTGAATTGCCGCTCCGGATGACTCCCGTCGTGGCGCGTTGTCCTCGACGCTGGTGTGGTGACGGTGCAGAAGCAGCTGTAGTGTGTGCATCTCGTTTCACTACTTCGCAGAGCAACTTGCTTGATTGTAGCACGACCCACACCCTTTCAACGTCTGACACTTTTGCTGGGACAAGAAACCTTGGAACACGGTCAGATTGCGGCTGGACAAGCTCGCACTGACCTGTCTTATCGTGGAAGGGCTGATGCAGAGTCTCTCGCCGATTGACTCACAAGTTCTTGCCACACATCGATTCGTCGGGCAAGGCGGTGTTTTGTCACAATCATGGCAACATGGCCAGAACAACGAGCCCCGGAGCACTCACTCCCCGGGGCTATGCTGCCAGGTAGCTCTATCCGGGTCAACTTCAACCCTCCCCGTCTGATCCTCAACGACACATGGAGAGTGGTCGTCAACCGCTTCATACCAACAACCAACATCCGCTTAATTGCGTTCCACTTTTAGACGATAGACCGGCAGCAGCGACATTCGTAGCGATTTGCTCATTCCCTGCGAGATAGATATCAAACATGTTCTCCTCGTATCTCGACATCATAAACGACTGTGACAAGTATGGTGCTCCTGCCCTTTCCACCTCGTTTCTTTTGTCCTTATATTCAAATCCGCAGCACATTTCCGTGCCGTCTTCCCGCGGCCGCTCTGGTTCTCATGATATGGTTGCAGTGTGAAATGCTCTCATCAAACTAACCACATTCACAAAAGCTTCCCGTACATCGACCTGGCCACAACCCCTTACAACGAGCCGCCCTCACCACACATCTACTACGAGCTCGTCCTGCCCGGCAGCGACACCCAGGCTCATGGCTACATGACGCCGTCCGTCGTCGAGGCGATGCCCTGGACGCCAGACTTCTCCGTGAGCCTCCCGCACGAGCGGCCGCGGCGGGTGACTCTGCTCGACAGCTCCGGCGGCACAGACACGGCGGCCGCCTGCAACGCGGCCTTCCTCAAGCTCGTGCTCGCCGCGAGGGAGCGGAACGTGTTCCAGGCCCTCGCGTCGAAGCGCATCGACGAGCACTTCCGCGTCATGGGTGTCGCCTATCCCGCCATGGTTCACCTGCCCCGGTCCGCGACCGCCCTCTTCGGCATCGCCAACCGCGGGGCGCACATGACCGCGTACACGCGGGACCCGGCCACCGGCGACATCAGGATGTGGGTGCCCCGCCGCAGCGCCCACCTGCGCACCTGGCCGGGCAAGCTCGACAACTCGGTCGCGGGCGGCGTCCGCGCCGACGAGTCCCCGCTCGAGTGCATCGTCCACGAGGCCGACGAGGAGGCGTCCCTGGACCCGGCGCTCGTCAGGGACAAGGTGCTGCCGTGCGGCGCCGTGTCGTATGTGTCTCTGAGCGGCGCGGGATCCGGTGGGGAGCACGGACTAAGTGAGTTTAGCTGGCCGCTCCTTGATCTTGGCTTGCAAGTCTGATGGCCTTCTCATGCTTTCGTGCGCTACCCTGATCTGAGTTCACCCACCTAAAGATACGAGAGTAAGTACATGCTCCAAAGGGGAAAACGGCTAACCTCTGTCTCGAACCAATAGTCTCCCCGGACGTCCTCTACGTCTACGACCTTCAACTCCCTTCCACGGTCGTCCTCTCGCCCCAGGACGACGAGGTAGAAGCCTTCTACCTCTGGGACATGGCCCAGGTCAAGGCCGCCCTGTTCGCGGGGGAGTTCAAGACAAACTGCAACCTCGTGCTCATCGACTTCTTCGTCCGGCACGGCATCATCACCGAGGACAACGAGCCAGACTACCTCGAGATCCTGAGCAGGCTGCACAGGAAGCTCCCCGTGCCTACTTCTCCTCCTCCTCCTCCTCGACCTGCTGCCTAACGAAGCTTGGGGGGTGGGGTTTGATGATGCTGGTCATGTGAATGATTGAAGGGGACTACGTCGAAAGGAATCACGCATGACAAGGAGAAAGTCTGATTCGCTCGTCTCAGCGTGTGAACAGAAGATTTAATGATCACAAAGGACGACTCAGATGAAATAAAGGCTGCTACTTGAATCATTCTTGTTGGGGAACTGGACGGGAAGTCTTTCAGTTCTACTTCAATAGGTGATATCCTAATAATAAAAAACACAAAAAACACAAAAACGCCAAGCTATGCCGATGGTGCAGTCTATCGAGAAGAGGAATAAGAGAAAAGCGAATAAAGAGTAATGAGGTGGTCAGATACTCAGTAGACTGCTCATCATGATATGCAGCCTGGTTACACAAAAAGGCCAAGTCTCGCCGGCTCCCGGCGGCCTTCCTACGACGAGCCCAGGATCTTGGCATACGCATCCTCGACCTCTCCCGCGAGCTCCAGCAGACTCACAATGACAATCTGGTGCGTTAGGTTCGGCAGCCTGTCCCTGTTGATGCCGATCCACTCCAGCGGAGGCGTGGCCTCGCCCATGTCGCGGAGCTGTGGCGTCTCGATGATGGGCGGCTCGAGCGCAATATACTCAAACTTGCTCTGGGGCACATTGACTTCGGCCGTGATCTTTTGCTGCTGCTCCTGGCTGCCGCCGTTGTTCTTGTCCTGCCCATCTGCCTTGTCCAGCTCTGGCACACCAGTGACTTTGATGGCGCTGAGGGCTGGAATCTCGCGGCCCCAAGTCTGGGCGAGCAGTCTTGAGTGGTTGGCCCACATGCCGCGAATAGACACGATGCGGCTGTAGTTCCAGCCCACTTCAACCTTGCCCTCAAAGGCACTCTTGAATATATACTCGATGGTGCGCGAGTCTGGTTTTTGAAAGGTTTGCATCACGGCCTCGACTCGGGGTACTTTCAGAATCGTTCCACCTCGACTCCCCGTGGCGCTCTGTACGACATCTTCCACGGACAGGTCGTTGACAGATGGAGAAGTCGTGGAAGTGCTCCGTACACCGGCCAAACCGATTCTCAGCTGGCCCAACGTGAGTCCCAACACGCTGTGAATGCGCTGCGTCTCCATGCTGGCTGCAAACCTCAGTTGAGCGTTCATGGCTTCGAGTTTGAAGACTTGGCGATCGGAGAACGTGCTCGGGAACACACCGAGATTGAGCGCCTTGAGCACCACAATCACATCCGTGTCCAGAGATATGGGCGACTTTGACACGACTTCAGTCTCCGGCAACTTCTTCGGCGTGGGAGGGACTGCGCCTGTCGCGGTAGTTGAGCGTCTCTGTATGAACTTCTCAATGTCCTTGAGCGAACTCTCGAACCCTGCCCTTCTTTCCGCGATGAGCTTCTGGATGGCCTCCCAGAGTGCCACAACCTGCGCAGCTGATGACGTTACGCCGAATATCTGAACCGCTCCAGCGTCGACGATGGCCACAAGCCGATCTCCTCGGCCCTGGCGCACATTGTACATCAGGAACTCCATCGAGGTGATGTCGGCAACAAGGAACGCCTGGTAGTCGAAAGCGCCCTTCATCCTAAATTGGCGGAAGCCTATTGAAGCCTGGATTCGTGGGGTCTTGTTCAGGGCTTGTTTCCGCTCAGGCCACTCAATGGAAGTGCGCAGCTTGAACGTTTGCAGTGTGACAAAGCCGCTGAGGCGACCCTTGAAGTCCACACTGATCTCGCGGAAGCCAAGGCAGAGATTTTGCTCCCAATCGGAGGTCTTCTTGGAGGAGATCCAGAAGTTGTTGATGGAGAACTCCGACTTGCCCAAAGACTGGCCCAGGTCGACCTTGATGTTCAGTGCCTCGATGGACAAGCTCGCGGTCCAGGGGAACGCCGCTGTTGCTGCGACTTGCTGATATCGTTGCATGAGATGCCCCTGCGACATGTCCGAGGTTTCCTTGGCAATTGGCACGGCTGGCGTGGCGCGGACATCTCGTGGGAGCCAAATCTCTCTGAAAAGCAAGAAGTCTTGCAGCTGCCTCGCATTGACTGCCATCGCCATAGGACTGACTTTGATGATCGCAGATATGCCACTAGTGCCACTGACATGCTTGCTGTTCATTAAGCTGAGGACAATGGAGTCGACCTCGAACTTGGCAGTTGACTCGCGCGAGTAGACGTGCTGCACGGCGGTCTTGAACTCGCTGAACACACCTGATATTGCGAAGAAATTCCCGTTATCGGGAGAGTGCACGGTGTTTGCCGTAAGATAGATGTCTCCGAAGGACATGGTGGCCGCAACTCGTCCGATGGGCTGCGAGCTGAGTGTGAACTCTTGCTGGCAGATCCGGAGACCGAGATTGAGCCTCACGCCTCCAAGGACAGCGCTAGGGTCTGCTGTGAGGATGTTGCTTTCCTCTAGACCCTTTTCCGAGCCTGATTTGTCGCTCGCTGGTGACTGAGCGGCCCCCGGCGTCGGCGGTGGAGTATCGCTGCCGACTACATCTTTGATGCTTGATGTGATGTCAAGAATAAGGGGTACGACTGACGGATACAGGATGTTGCGGGATCCATCGACCTTGAGTTCACCGTAGACCGCAGGCTCTTCTCTGCCACTGTCTCGGTATTCTGCCTTGAGCGCAAGGCCGGGCGTGCGCAAAACGGTTCCACTGCCACCGTCTCCACCGCTGAACTGTCCGTACTTGCCTGCCATACTGATGCGTTTAGAGTGTCCCCAGTTTGCACCGTTTCCGCTGTCAAGCTTCTTCGCTGACAGATGAACCACGGCACCAGCGAAATCAGCATCGATCAGAAGCGATTCAAGTCGTTTGCTGCCGAATATAGACTTCCTCGGACGAGAATGCTCCTCCAAAGTATCCTCGACAGCCTTCTCACGTGGCGGAACAATGGGCGCCCAAGTCTCAGATGCCTGCTGAACGTTCTTCATGGACAGGCTGATAGAGTCTTGTAAATGTTTGACAGGGATGATAAAGTCCGATGTCAGGCGAAGGTCGATGGACTTTCCAACTGCCTGGAAAGCGAGCCTGCGGGTATGGTCCGTCGAGACATACGCAATATTGAAGACAGCTTCAGGCATGAGGGCCGAGTTTGCACTGCGCATGATCTTGTCTTGCTCTGGTGGCACCAGCTGGAGCTGGAGGTTTTCGATGAGCAGCCTGGCCATCTTCTTTTGCCTTGTGCCAAATTCGACCCTTTCAAAGGACAGCACGAGGTCCTCTTCACCCGTAGTCGACTGGTGGCCTGCGCCACAGACGAGCCAACACAGCTTGATGTTCTTGACCTCGAAAGAGTAGATGATGGACGATAGGAATGCGTCAAAAATATCGGTCTCTGCCTCATCAGCCTCGCCTTCGTCATCATTGATGATGATCTTGGGTCGCGACTGACGGAGCTTTCGGAGGTATTCAAGCTCTCGGGAGGTGTCCAGGTCTTTGATCTTGTCTCCCATGTAGCCGATGACTTCGATGACTGTTGAAACAGTGTCCGATGAGAAATTAAGCTCAAACCCGTCAGATTTGAAATCAAAAGACCTCAACTCTGTCCCATCGTCTGCCTCGCGGTTGCTCGCTGTTAGCAAAGCCGCAAACTCCATGTTGCCGCACGAGTTCAGCTCCCCCATGGGACCCTTTTCAATGTTCAGCATGATCTTTCTGAGGTTGATGTGGAATGCTGGACTGGTCAAGACCTTTCCCTTGTCTGCCTTGTTACCAAGGTGGAGGTGCACACTTTGCAGACCAAACATCAAGCCTGCAGACATGCCGGTGCCGGTGCTGAGTGGCGTCGCGCCGAATATCTTCAATCCAGCGAGGGTACCGTGGACCTCGTAGACGACAGAAGGACTTTTCTTCTCAGCCGTTACTGCTTGGTCTGTTTCTGTCCTGTCGAAAATCTCATTCAGGTGCGCCTCAATTGTTTTGCCCTGTTGCTGCAGTTCCGACAGGGTGCTCGAGATCTCTGGTCGATTGAGGGCGCTCAACAAACTGTAAACATTCGAGGCATCCAGCTCCACCTCTTCGATAGAAGCAAAAACGACTATGGAATGTTCTCCTGCCGATTGTGTACTTGTGATGCGCCCATTTGTTGGCGGGATCTTGAACAGAGAGATATGTTGTGGCTTGTTGTTCACCTTGACCTGCACGTGGTGCTCATTCTGTTTTATGTCAAAATCAAACACCATCTCTCTGCCGAGCTCGCCAGCGACCTTTGCACGAGCGACGTCCCCAGAGACAGTGTAGATTATTGACCGGAGAAGAGGGGCTGTGATCTTATATGAGTTCATGAACATTGTCAAGGTAAGCTGTGTGGGGGCGGGCTTCGACAACATCGGCGGGTTTGCCCCTGAGGCTGCCCGTTTCGGGAACTTTTTTTGCAGATAGTACAACTGTGAAAGCTCGTCGCGCACAACCATATCTGCGATCTCCGTGAGCGCGAGGGGGTCTTGTTTCACAGCGAGTTTGAAGTCGTCGCTGCTAGCCACAAGCTTGATAGCCTGGGCTGTGCGAAGTTCCGACGACTTGTTTGCCGTATAATCTGCGTAGATGCTTGGCCTGTCGAATCGAGAAGTTACAATCGGCTGTGCATGACTCCATAGCTTGACAGTGGCGGTATCGCTCTGGAGTAAAGCGTTGGCATTCCGAGGTGTCCCTGCATCAGTGTCGACGATCGTGGACAGTCTGAGTTCCTCCATTTTACCCTCTGCAGTGATATTGATGGTTTCGAAAACAATGGAACCTAGAGCCATGGCAGTGACGACATGGAGCACTCGGGGTCTCGAAACTCCGTCGGTGGATGGTGTCGCTGGCACGTCTGATTCCGATGCTTCTTGTTTGAGCATTTCAGTATCGCTAGAAAGTTTCAGTATATCTTCCAGCAACTCGCAAAGCTCCCAATTAAGATTCATGCCAGCATGCCCACAGTATATGTTGACATTGGTGACCGATGTTTCGGAACTCGGCATCGTCGAGCTGGCAACAGCTTTGTCCTCGACTCTTACAGTCAGGTCGACAAGGAAAGCGTGATTTTGTTTGGGCCCAGGATCAAGCACCAGTTGTGCTTGTTGCACTCTCGCAACGGCTAAGAGCGGAAGGCTTTCCCTACCATGCTCTTGCGACTCTTTGCCAAATATTTCGGCCAGAAGAATCGTAGTCCTCAGGTTTGCAAAGTCCCACTGTCTCCATCGCTCAAAGGCGGAGGTGACTTGCTGCCGCAAGTCAGCGCTTGCCTTGGGAGGTCCGTTGAGACAGTCTATGATGAGATGTTCCCGGGACTGCGCATTCATGACGGCCCACAGCTGACGGAGTCTCATCATCATTTTCCATGAATCGTACGTCCGCAAATGATCTGTGGCCACACGCAGAATGGTTGATGGCCGCACTAGGAAAATTGGATCGCCGGTGGCTTGCATATGTGCCGTCAACGTGCTGATCACATGTTGCGTTCTGTGCTCTGCTTTCGCCATTGTGGTTGAGAAAAGTTTTCCCATCTCATCCGCAAGGCAGTTGGTCCGATGTATGAGTGAGGCAAGATATTCCACATTCCCGGAAGTTGAGGTAGTCCGTAGAGCACCAACCTCTGCATCCACGTATGTGACATCCTTGGATCCAAGCGTGACCAGAACCCTATCAACTGTGGTGACAACGGCTGCCTGGGTCTGATTAATCGAAGCAATGCGTTCTGCAGCAGACAACTCGGCGGATTGCATGTGAAAGTGTACCGACGATTTCACGTCGTTCTCGCTCTCTTTCGAAAGGTCAGGCTGTGACCTTGATCGAATCGCTAGCGATATCGATTGTAAATCCAAGTCGTACTGGTCCTGCCGGCGGTCATCAAGCTCCGATTGATTACCAGTGTCATTGAGGAAGCGGAAGTTCGCTTGTGGTAGCCGCACTGCGACATCGGTGAGTTTCCCGCTGACCTCCCTTTCTTTTCGCCAGTCGAGGACGTCCGTGATTGAGGAGACTTGTAGCGCATCGAGAATATCTTCTGGGTTCGTGGGTTGCATCACTGCCAAGAGCCCTGCGATATGTCTGAGAGCTTGGGCGTTGCAGAAGGCCGTCAACCCATTCGGCAGCTCGAGTATCAAGCTCTGATGCGCAACATCTTGCGGCAGCGATTCGGGGTCGATGTCTTCCAGCGAGAACACGCCAACGGCGTCTTGCCCTTCTCCACGCCTTCTGCCGTCTCTCATTTGTTCTTGCATGGCAGGTAGCATGGTTTCTTTGAAGTCTGGAACAACATTGTCAAGAGGAAGATAGGGCTCAAAATATAGGCTAGAGAACGCAACAGTGCTATGCTGCGGGTCTTTCTTTTCGGGAAGGTCACCATGGGCACTATAGAACGCAGAATGTCGCCCAGTAGAGACGGAGAAGTCCCGAGTCGATCCAGACGGCCGCGACTTGTTGCCCTGCGCCAGAGGCACGCGCAGAGTTGGTTTTTCACGCCCCCGAAGGACTCTCGACTTGGCCGGAGTTGAGGACTGGGTGCTCGTGCTAGAAAGTGAGAGAAATGAGCTTTTCTTGCGAAGTTGATTAGGCTCCCAAGATGATTTGGGAGACGTCGAGGATGTCTCCTCAGCCTCGATATCGTCAGGAGACAAAGGCTGTGGCACACTGGGCACACTTTGGGCAACAGGGTCGATCGTATCCGGAACAAGTGGCTCAAGCAATTCGTCTAGCAGTAGGAATTGGGTTCTCTGGGTCCGTTGGTCATGTCGGCGAATAAGCTCCTGCTGCAACCGGCGAGCCTCCTCAAAGTCATGTTTCCTGCCTACAAGCGCGAAATTGACCGTGGTGCGAAAAAATGCATCAGTCCTTGCGATTGACCTCCCCTGGGATCTCTTTCGAGTGGCAGATTCCGCATCAACGCAAGCCAGTTCAAGGTTCGGAATACTGATATCCGCGCGCTTCGAGTAGTGAGTTCGAGCCCAGTCGTTGAAGTTGACATGAATTGAACTTGTTGAGCATAGAAATGCTGCCTCATCCACGACCAGCCATACCGTGATGGACTCGATGGCCACTCGGAGGAAAGTAACATCGAAAACCACGATGGAGGAGAACGGGACGAGTGCATTCTCGTCATCATCAAAGGAAAACCCGAAGGCCTTGCCACCATGTATGAGAGTCGTGAGGAACTCTGGGGAGCACTCGCCACTGATCGCGCCGACAGAGATATCCCAGTTACACATATATGTAGGCTCAGTCGGCGGAAGGCCGAAGACACGGTGGCCATATATTCTCAAGCCGTCGATGAAGAGCTGGGTGTTTGTGCTTGCGCTGAACGGACTCGAAACTCCAGTGGCATCCATGTCTGCTGAAAGGCTCAAGGGGCTCACGTCGAGCTCCAGATCCATATAGTAGTTGGTGAAGCGCAAGTCGATGGCTATTACCGCTGTTTCGATCACAAGATGACGCTGCGATGAGTAAATGTTTGCAGGCAACAGTACTCGTGGATCAGCTACTTGAATGTTGAGCATGACGTCGAGATCATTCGATTTCTTCGTCGGCGGTCGAGTTGCAGCCGCAGCTGCAGGGTCGGTAGTCTCCAAACGGAGTGATTCTTGATATTCGTCCAGTGTCCGGAAATGGACATGGTCACCGAAGTAGTTGTCCTTTAACTGCAGGAAGTACCGTATGTGGAATCCGTGGATGCGTGCGTTCAGAGACTGTGCACTGAGATTCAACAAGAGAGTATCGGTGTTGGCTGGAGAGGTGGTTGCGAGATAGTGGTATTTGCCGCTAAGAGATAGATTCTCCAGATGACCAATTTCCTTTCTTGTTAGGAAGCTTGCCTGAGTGTTCCATGGAGGAACGTGCAAAGCAAGGGTGAGCGAGTCTGCATTCACATTGAAGGGGATGCTGTTACTTTGGGGGCGGAATCTATCCAGGGGGATACAGCTATCCACTGCGAGGGATGGACTCTCAATGATGAGAAAGGCGTTCTCATCGGGCTCGACTGGATTGTCAATGACGTTGAAATCGTTGACGTTGAGGAACAACTTGACGCGACGTAGCTGCAACGTGAGCATATAGCGGAACGGTGTGAAGAGTAAGTACTCCCCTGGCGGCCCACTTCCCCAATCGTTGACCAAGTCTGTGAGCAGGAAGATATGGTCTCTGAGAAGATACAACTCAAGTCCATCGCTTTCGATGTCAAAGCGCCAGGTTCGAAGTGCATTCCATTTCAAAGGCGCCGATAGATCACAGCAAATATGCTGGTGACCAGACTTCCACAAAATGCCATGATTGACACTGGTGGAGACCTCTGTGGAGGGGATATCAATATTAACGGCGTTCGAGTATCCAGAAGGGCTTGCAAGCATATCCATCGAGTAGGAAACAGTTGTGTTGCGGGCAATCTTGACATCGAGCCAGCCATAAGGGCGCGTCTGCGTTGAAGGCGCGGCGGCTGACTTCTGGTTACGTCGACTTGACCGTTGGCGTTCTGCTTGGAGCTGTTCCCTTTGCACATCGGCGTGCTTCCTCCAGCGCCAGTTCTTGGAATCTTCTCGTGTCGGTATTCGAAGTGTGACCTCGTCATCCAACTCGACAAAGACCTCAAACACTGTAGGTACCCGAAACTCTCCGACTGACAGTTTTTGGGCTGGGGTCGCGTCTTTGCAGATACCTGGGAAGAACACTCGCTGAAGCTCGGCACGGTGCCTGTCCGCCCAAGGGCCATAGTTGATAGTGCCTCCGTTGATGGAGATGCGGATAGCCCAGGCGGGTGGTGTGGCACTATTAATACGATTGGTGGTAGATTGGATATTGTCCAAGGCCGGAGCCAGTACTTTCCCGGGCACATCCCAGAACATGGTGAGTGTGGCCGAAGGACTATCAACGATGGTTTCGACAGCAGCATACTCCAGCGACGCCCACCTAAGCTTGTCGTCTTCTTCGTCGTCGTTGAGGTAGCGTGTGAGACCCTGCCAATTGTGTGCCCCTGGAACCTGCCCATCAGGAATGGTAGTTCCGGCGTGTCTCGATCCCAGCGAGAACGACTCGACCGACTTTCTCCAGTACGGCACGAGGTTCCGCAACTGGCCTAAAACCCGACGTCGATGCCTGCGGAAAAATGGGCGTTGAGGTGAAGGGTCTTCGCCCAATGCCTCCTGCTTAGCACGGACAGCCCCCGTGAGTTGGTCTTCCTTGAAATCCCGATTCGGTTTGATCTGTATAATGGGCTTCTCGAAGTTGAGCTTGAAAAGCTGGCGATACGGATCCGGACCCTGAGCGCTGGCAGCATCGATTTCTCCTGACAAGGTATGCGTTTGGACCACCAAGATAGTACGCGTATTCTGGTTGCCCATGACTAGGGCAGCCTTGTCACAGTCGAAATGTATGGGAAACAACTGGATGAGAAACGGAAGGTCGTCGATTGTGGCGGAGGCCGTACCTTCGTCCCGAGACATAGACGTTGAGCTTGGTGACTGAAATTTCAGATCAGGAACCGCAGCCTTTTCGTCCTGTGCGCTACGCTTCGTTTCATGAGCAGGACCGTCATGGTCTGACGGCCTCGAAGTCCGTTGCCGGGGTCCTTGACTCGGTTTTGAAGAAGCCTGTGTGCTGTGTGCAGAGTTGGCGGTAGTGCTCGAATTCTGGATGATCGCACTCTCGATAGAATTATACGCAGCGCTACGATTATAGACGAACCACTCAACACCAGAGACTGCCACATTGATGAGGCATGGCAGTTTCGTGTTCTTCTCTTGGTTCGTATTGTCGTTGTTGGCGGGACTGGCCGGCTCCTTGATATTATTGTAGATGCTGGCATCCCTGACACGCCGCTGCCAGTATGACCAAGTGATGTGGCCATGCTGGATCAGGATCGTTTCGTTATGTCCATGGTAGCGGAATCCTATAAAGAAGAGACGCCCAGCAAGTAAGGATATCTGCAATGCCTGAACGTCCACGTGTATCTTGTATATCCGCCATGTATAAGTTCGGATGACGGAGGAGACAATCGAGCCTAGGATGCGGTTGAAGTACAGGAGGAAGACGACCGAGCTATGCGCATCAGTCAGTGTAAATCCAGCCACGGCCATCGCAGGTGCGACAAAGGATCGGGCAAAAGACTTACAGAATGCCGCTCAGGAGACTGAAAGCGAGGAATGCCCTGCCACACCGTATCACGAGTCAGCATGAGAATTTGCGTACTCATGGGAGATAAAGTCGGTATTTACCCGTCGAACTCGCCCCAGCTTGCCGGGCTATTGTTGTCAGCCATGTTGCCAGGCTCCGCGATCACTATTACCAGCTCCTGTGTGGTGGTCGCATTCAGGTCGGCCTGGTTACAGTTGAGAGTGGCGGCTGGCCAAGACACTGCAGACCGCTGAGAAGGCTAGCCCAATTCCATCATGTTGTTGCGCCGACCGTATGCCACGCCGGTCGTGTATGTGAGCCTGGCAGCGAGGATTGCACGTCGTCAGGAGCTGGTGCGGCGATGGGGTTGGGCAATCGCGAGGAAGTTCTTGCGTCGAGTTGGATATGTAATTTCGAGGTTGCGAGGATCGTTTGGCGCAAAGCTGTAGGATACGGAAGGCCGGGTCGTCAAGCGGCAATCGTCGGCAGGAATGTGGAAGCGTTGCTCGTGGGTGAGGTTGTTACGATCGCGAGTGTGGCTACAGGGGTGTCAATGATGTTGGCGACGAGGGATCTCGAGATTGGTCCTGACCAGGATGCTTTGAGGTGCCACACCCACCCACCCAATTAGGGCCATCCAATCAACCCCGTAGCGTTGGGGCTTGCACATGTTGGGGGGCTTTGGGCTAAGACTAGCTGGCCCACACCACGTGTGTGCACTAGACCTAGGGGACAAGGTATTGTGCATGCATGATGATGCGCGTCAACACAGGCTGCCGACCTGCTCAGTAGCGTTCAGTAGGTGTCTCGAGCATTGACAGCTGCCTGGAGCTGCTACATTCGATTACGTCGTCTTGCTCCAGGCAACCAGAACGAGGACGAGGTATGAACGACAACTCGAAGTCGTTCCACCTGCAGCCCTGGAGCTGCTTGGGGGTGCGTCTGGCCCACCCTGTGTCACCTGCAGTGTGCGGAGAAGAGCTCCGACATGAGCTAGCGAGTGCAGCACCAGCTCCTGTGCATCCATCTCATGCGGGTCTCTCCTACAAGCTGCGCTCCTCCCACCACAGCACTCGAGCAACATCGCGACCCTTGGCCTACAAGCAGCCTGGCCGGTCGCTTCACACGCACACCCCAACAAGCCTGGCTATCTTGCTCGCCACCTTCCACGGCGCGCGCCCCCGGTAAACGTGGTCGCACACAGCTCATGCTGACCGCCGCCATCCAACAGTCTCGCCACTAGACCTGGCCTTCCAGCATCACCGCGTTCGTCCAAACACCGCCTTCTCCATACATCAGCAATGACGTGCTAGCAAGCTACCCTACATCCCTCTCTATCGACCCGCGATCCTTTCTCGAGTCGAAGTCCGCACACACGGCAGCTCGGCGCCATGGCTGGAGGAACAGGGCAGAAGTTCCAGGTCGCGACGACTATCACAGCCGGCACCTTTGCTCTCGTGTCAACCCTGTTGTCGATCGTGTAGGGCTCCTCAACTACCTTCTGCTCCAAGACACTTCTGTCCCGCTGACATGAGGACTTGTGCTTTAGGTCCATATGGTTTCAGCTCAAGAACTACCGCAAGCCGCTGCTACAGCGCTATGTGGTCCGCATTCTGTTAATGTGCGTGAGACATGTTCTTGCTCCTCCACGTGTGGGAAAGGGCATGGCGCTGACCTTCTTCCAGGGTTCCCATTTACGCAATCAGCTCCTGGGTGAGCATGATCTCGCTCACCGCAGCTTCTTTTCTAGATCCAATTAGGGATATCTACGAGGTGATGAAAGCTTCTAGCTCCCCCGAGATTGGCACGAACACGCCAGACTGATTTGTTTGCACTTGCCTAGGCTTTCACGATCTATACCTTCTTCCAGCTACTGATAAACTACCTCGATGGCGAACGTGCGCTCATCATCATGACCCATGGGCGTGCTCCTGTCCACCATCTTTGGCCGCTCAACCATGTACTTTCAAAGGTTGACATCTCGGACCCCCATACATTCCTCGCTATCAAGCGCGGCATTCTCCAGTATGCGTGGTTGAAGCCCATACTTGCTCTCGCTGCCATCATTATGAAGGCCACAGGCACCTACCAGGAGGGCTACATTGGCCTCAACTCGGGCTATCTATGGAGCGGCATCATTTATAACATCAGCGTCACCGTCAGCCTGTACGCACTGGGCTTGTTCTGGGTCTGCATGCATAATGACCTTACGCCATTTCGACCTGTGCCAAAATTCTTGTGCATCAAGCTCATCATCTTCGCCTCCTACTGGCAAGGGTTCTTCTTGTCGATCCTCGTGTGGCTGGGCGCTATCCCTGACGACGTCGAAGGCTATACCTCGGACAATCTCGCAGCTGCAATTCAGGATGCCTTGATCTGCTGCGAAATGCCTTTTTTCGCAGCTGCTCACTGGTACGCGTTCTCCTGGCACGACTATGCGAACAACACAGTCTCGTCCGCCAGACTGCCAGTCAAGTTTGCACTCCGAGATGCCTTTGGTATCGTGGATCTAATCGTCGACTCAAAGGATACGTTCAGAGGCGATCATTATAGCTATCGGGTGTTCGACTCGACCGGCAAGGTCATTGCACACGAGGACTCCAGTTCACGTTTCGCTAGAATGAAAGAAGGCATGCGCTACAGCAGGGGAGGCGAAGCCAAGTATTGGCTTCCCAAACCCGGCGAGGTCAGGGGCGAGATGAACGCGAACACGCCGCTCCTCAACTCAAACGGGGGGCCAAGCGGTTCAAGTGATCCTCCAAGACCACAGTATGGCGAGGGAGCTCTCGAGGAAACCACTCTGGATAAATTCGATGAGCGCCTTTATGATAAGGCGCGGGAGCTCGAGTTTGGCGATTTCAACGTAAGTCAGGTCTGGCCATGCTGAACAGTTTCCAATGGCGCGAAATACTAATTCTGGCGGTTCAAACGCAGTACCCTGCGATCACCGCCAATATACCCAGCAGGGAGATATGGCGGACGCCAGCGCCGGCAGCGTACCAGGCTAGTTCAGGCGCATGGCAAGTGGGACGAACCCCGTCATCGACCAGTGTGACCAACAGACGCGAGGTGGCGAATTCGCCACCGACCGCAGAGGCCATTGCACCCAAGAAGAGCAGGAGGAAAGGAAAGCAGCGCGAGGAGCTCGCAGCAGCGAGCAAGCCGAAGAAACACCACAAGCACGCCCCCGAGCCCGCGGCGCTCGCCGCCCAGCATGAGCAGGCCGACGGCCCATTGGGCGCACCGCACATTGTCACCTCGGAGCCGCAGATCCTCGAGGAGGAGGCCGAGGTGGAAGAGGACATCCAGCTCGAGGAGGAAGAGGCGGCAAGGGAAGCCGCCGAGGAGGCCGCCCGGCAGCGCGCCGAGAGCAACGAGGAGCAAGGCATCTGGGACGAGCCGGTCTCGCCACCCGTCCAAAGTCCGGCGTACGAGTCCGGCAACGATGAAGCATTTAAGAATGTCTGGGGTGGAGGTGGTGGTGACAAGTAGCCGGGTCTCAAACGCTGCTGTCATTCGCCTCCGAGTGACTAGTTATTCTAGGAAGCATTGGGCCAGATATGTCGAGCTCCCTTTTTTGGTTTTCTTTCGAACGTTCGTTTACATATTTGATACCCGACGACGGTACGGTACTTGCCAAGACTTGGGGGAGGAGGGAATTTTCATGTTTTATTTGCCCGGGTTCCAAGTGCATATCAATTTCGGTAGTCATCGTTGCAAGCGAGCGGCATAGCGAACATGACTTTTTTTTATAACCGATCTCAGGCACGGCAACATAGGTCCTCCTCGCTTATCTTAACTGGCTTGTCCTTCAAATGCAGATGGGTGACTCATGCTATTTACACACAAAATACAGATAGCGCTAGTCATTGCACTGGTGGCTGTAAAAAGGAAGGGATATGTGCTGAATAAATCATGTTCATGCTTGAAGTGGACAACTAATAAATAGGGAATGTTCGCTATCAGGTAGCGCTCGGAATAGCATTCGGCAAAAGCCATGGTGAGTGGAATAATGAGACAATGAGATAGAATGGTCAATGACAGTCACTTCCTTCGCGTCCGACTCCACAAGGGCCCATTACTCAGGCTTCGCCGTGACCCGAGACACCAACCATGATGGCAATCTCGGGGATCACCACCGCGAGCCAGAGCAGCCACGTGGCAAAACCGACGAGGAAGATCTTGACGTAGAGCTTGATCAGCCGGATCCACGACGCGCGGGAGAAGGTCGCCCATGCGTCCTTGATCGTGACGTGGCCGGCGCCGCCAATGATGGCGGGCTCGAGCTTGTTCTGGAAGGTGCGGTCAAAGGGCACGATGGTCTCGTCGTCCTCGGGGAGCAGGGAGGCCTGGACACGGACGAGGACCACGTGGGCCGGGATGGCGATGAGGACCTTGAGCACGACGGTCACGATGATGACGACCAAAGCCTTCCAGATGTCGTGGTGGTCGGGGCTGCGGAAGGTGTTGGAGTCCGGGCTATTCTCGAAGATGGTCATGCCCAGGGCTCTGGCGAGCAGCATAGGAACGAAGGTGCTCGTCTCGGCTGCGAAGAAGTAGAGTACCAAGGGCAGGGCAACGGCCCGGAAGATCTGGCTGAAAGGCAGAAGGCGCTGGGTGAATGTCTTGGGGCTCGGGGTCGAGATGACGGCGTGGATCCAGCCGGTCCAGAGAGGGGCCATGGCGATGGCCGCGATTGGGGCGGCGATAGGACTCGGGATGCCGAGTCCCGCAAAGAGACCACTGCACATCATAGAGGCGATCACGGCTGGCAGGTAGAGCTTGTAGCCGCGGAAGAGTGACTTCCAGCCATCGATGGCGTACAGAGTGCGGTAAGTGGCACGGAAGGAGCTGGTCGTCGCTGAGTTCTGGCCGAGCGCCTCGTCGGCGTCAGGGGAGATGGGATCGCGGGTCGCATCGGTCGGTTCGTTGAGGGCGACGGGCTCGTAAGCAGGGGGGGAGGGGTCTTCGATGATGGCGAGGATCGGGAAGACATTGTTAAACGTGTAGCTGATCTGGAAGGGGAGATGTTAGATACTCGCAAGATTGCAAGAATACGGCAGGCTGGTCGTATGTATGCTTACCACCAGGGTCAGCGGCAGGAAGACGAGGAAATCCAAGAAGAGGACACCCCATCCCCACGAGGGGATGTCATAGCCGGCAGAATCGCCCCGTCTGTAGACGGCGTGGGCGAGCTCTCGATACATGGTGATGGTTGCGACGACGGTGGTCAGAGTTGTCGAGAAGGAAGTATTACTGCGTAAGAATGGCGAATAGGATATGAGTCGAAAGAGCGACAGGAATATGTATAAGAAGGAAGGATGTCCTGATGGGGGGATTATGGTCGGGACTCACGGCAGAGTTGGCTGCTACGCGCACGGCAGGGTGGGTGGCGTGGACAACAACTGGTTTGATGCTGCTCCCTGCTCGCCTGGGCGCAACGGCGATCCTTCGTGCCAGTGCGAACCCCTGTCCCGGCGGTTCAGGCGCTCCCAAAGCGGGATGTGGAGCGCACCACCAGCAACCTCTCTGCAGGCAACAGCCAGGCACAGCCTCAAGGCCCCATCAGTTTACCTGCGACCACCAGCAGCCCCCTCCATATCCCTGCAGTTTGTGCCCGCCACATTGCCTAAACACGCTTCAAGACATGACAATGCTGACCTCGTATGGGACACTGGCCGAGAAAGAGTGTTGCCAGATGACAGTGGGAAGCGCGCAAAAGCTACCGATCCCCCGGATAGGCCATCGTTTGACACATTCGACAAGCAGTCAGAGTCATAATCCGAGAGAATCTTGCTGCACGTCATCCAGCCAGTGACGCGTGGCACAGTGTATCCTCCCCATGGAGGTAGGTCAACCCTCACACTGGTATGCGCAAGGCTCAGCTTTGGCGCTAAGCTGCCGAGTTCCATCTTACACGACTTTTTGTATCTTGTTGCCCGCAGCCAGGCAGCCGCCTCACTAGACACACTCACGCCATTCACACGCACAACAGACCGCCATGTCTGCACCCTCCATACCCAATCTGCTCTCGTTGCGCGGGACCAGGGGAGGTGCCCGTGGCCGCCTGCAGAGACGAGGAGGTGGTCCTCCAGCCGCCCAGGGTACCAGCCCAGCACCAAGCAACGATGCCGTCGTCCAAGGCACAGACACTGATGCCGCCCTCTCCCGCATGAGCGCAGTGGACTTGGGCTATCTCCAAGACCCGTATGCCGCCCTCTTTGTCCAGCGCCCTACCGTCGGCCTCGGCAGGCGTCGGCTGCCCATTATCAATCGAGGTGAGGACGACGCCCGCCTCCGGCATGACCAGCCTCACGCCGCAGAAGCGCGCCCTTGCTAAAGGATCAAGGTAGGTACCTATGCGAGAACGACAGGCATCGACAGGCTCGTGGACTTGTTCCTGGCCGAAGCCGGCGGGCATGCCCGTCAGATCATCTCTCTTGGCGCCGGCACAGACACGAGAGCATTCCGCATGTTGGCGCAAGGCCAGCAGTCCCGCCTCATCTATCACGAGGTTGACTTCCCCACTACCTCGGGCAGAAAACTGCAGCTGGTCCAGGCCGTGCCAGCGCTGAGGGCAATTCTGCCAGAGGCACAGGGGAGTGAGGTTGACTGGTCCTCTACAAAGCTGCCCAACGAGTGCCAGTATTGGTGCCATGGTGTTGACCTGCGTGAACTGTCCGTAGATGGAGGCAAGTCGCTTGAGGGTGTGCGCTCAGACGTGCCTACCTTGGTGATATCCGAGTGTTGCCTCTGCTATCTCGAGGTTGGCGAGGCCACGGGCGTCGTCAAGCATTTCACGGACAAGATTCCAGACCTCTCTCTTGTCTTGTACGAACCAATACTTCCGCACGACGCGTTTGGTCAGCAGATGGTGTCGAACCTCGCGGCGCGGCGTCTCAGGATGCCGACGGTGCAGACATATATAGACATGCCGCAGCAGCAGAAGCGATTGAGGGACGCGGGCTTCGAGCAGGCGCGGAGCATGACGATCGGGGAAGTTTGGAAGCATTGGACGTCTCCGAACGAGAAAACACGCGTGGACAGCCTTGAGGGCCTGGATGAGGTCGAGGAATGGGACCTGCTTGCCAGCCATTATATGCTCGCCTGGGGATGGCGAGGTGATGGATTTGGGGGCTGGAATAGATCTTGAGCTGAAGACATCACTAAGGTGGTATCCCGAGGCAGACGACGTGCTTGACGGCTTGGAGTTCTCTACGATAGTATGGAGGTATACCCATGTGCTTGTCTACCTTGAGTATTCGAAAAGCATCCTCGGCCCTTAGGCATCCCGAGGTGAAAGCGGAAGGCCAGTAAATGCAGGTGAGCACTCAGATATCTGTCACGAATGCAGACATTGCGAAACAGACCGTCTTGGGGATTGTGGGGGAATTGTCGTGCATGCGCTTCCTTCCACGTGAAAGTGCCTGCATGTGGAAATAAATGTTAGATGCAGCCCAGCTCACCTGCTGGCACGCTTATCTCGAGATGAAAATAGAAGTGGACTTACATGCCCTCGGCCGGCCCCACCCCCAGGGATGACATCCCTAACGACGTTCACCCTCACTCGTTCACTCACTCTCACTTGACGCTTGAGTGTGTTCACACCCCAGCACGCTCACCAAGCAAGGCGGAGCGCGCAACTGCGCTGCATGCGCCACGGCATCTGATTACACCATCTTGCGTTTTGGGCAACCCATCAATACACCTGTTCCCACGCGCGCGCCTCCCTGAGCGCCCTCAGCCACCGCCAAGATGGGTGACTCCAACAAGCAGCACAAGTACCGGCAGGAGATCCAGCAGATGATGTACGTCTCTGGCGAGACGGGGGAGCCGTCGATCGAGACGACGGCCATGATTGAGGAGATTGTGCGGCAGCAGGTGATTGAGATCCTGCGGCAGTGCACCGAGCTGGCCGCGCGGCGCGGGTCGCGCGTCATCACGATCAACGACCTCATCTTCCAGATCCGCGACGACGCGCCCAAGGTGTCGCGGCTCCGGACCTTCCTGTCGTGGAAGGACGTGCGCAAGAGCGCCAAGGACTCGGACGAGAAGGGCGGCGACGCGGACATTGGCGTCGGCGACGACCCCGCGGGCGGCGTGATGCCCGGCGGGCCGGTCGACGAGGGCGCAAAGAAGAACAAGAAGGCCAAGGTCAAGCTGCCATGGGAGCCGTCCTCGTTCTACAACCAGGAAGTGCCAGAGCGGGACGACGAGGAGGACGAGGAGGAGGAAGAGATGAACTTCATCACGCTGCAGCGGCTGCGCAAGGCTGACGAGCGCACCAAGGCAATGACCCGCGAGGAGTACGTGACGTGGTCCGAATATCGCCAGGCCTCATTCACGTACCGCAAGGGCAAGCGGTTTAGGGAGTGGGCCGGCTTTGGCATCGTGACGGACGGCAAGCCGTCGGACGACATTGTCGACATCCTGGGCTTCCTCACCTTCGAGATGGTGCAGACGCTCACGGAAGAAGCGCTCAAGATCAAGGAGCAGGAGGACCTGTGGAAGGAGCGCAGCGGCGGCGACAACAAGGAAGGGGGCAGCAAGAAGCGCAAGCTGGCTCAGGGACTGTTCGACCCGCCCAGCGAGGGCAAGACGCCGGTCGAGCCGCGGCATATCCAGGAGGGTTTCCGGAGGCTGCAGACGAGGCCGACCAAGTCGCGCGCCATGCTCAACTTTACGAGGCTGCAGCAGCGGACAAACCTCAAGCTGTTCTGAGGCTGCCTGCTGTGGTCGTGCACGCACTGGAATGCGCCATCTCAAAAGATGGTCGCCCAGGTTGGCGTCAGCCTTTTGGATTTCTACGGGCGTTTTTGGCACATGGTACTCTAGGCTTGTTGACGGTGTTGGATACCCGGCGTTGATATTGCATGGGCTTTTGTCATGCTAGCACTTGCACGACCACTTTTGTCGAGTCGAATTGCATATTGACTTTGTTTCCATGCTTCTCGTCACACATGACCAAGTGGATATGACCTGCTGCACATCGATGATCATGCACAAGCAAGCTTGCACGACAAGGCATGGCACCATCCCAGCACACAAACATGTTTGCAACGCTGTCTTTGTGTGCTCGTGATTGACCACAATCATTCTGGCCGGGCAGCAGCAGCAGCAGCACCGCCTGCTTTAATCGCCAGCAGGTGACGCCAGCGTCCTCGAGGCTCTTTGTAGAAGCTGACAAGCACCGAGGCTGGTGGTGCACACGTGGGTCGGGCAGTCTTGTACGCAATCAGGCAGGCAGGCAGGCAACCCACTCGGATGCCAACTGCGGCTCTGCAACGTCTTACATCGATTCCAAATTCCGCATTTCGCGACTTTTCCTTTGATGTTTGTTTATTTCCGGGCGTTGCCCGTCGTCGTCAGCAAGGCTTCCACATGTGTTTGTTCCTGTGCACACCTGGGAGGCTTGGTGAATAAACCCGGGTATAATAACTGGTGCTCAGCCCACACTTAGGCTATAACTTCTCACGAGAGACTCATTCTTTGACTTATAAAAAGTTTTACCGTTTTCTCATATACACTTGGCGGCCTTGAGACTTTCAAACGATTCGGCATACAACGCTGTGCCAAAGTTAGAAAACAATTCAAATCTAAGAATTAAAGGCCTGCTACAGAGACATCAGTTCACATCACCCACAACTTTGGAAGACAAATATATCCACGCAACTCGAAAAGACAGACCACCAAGCGTACGAAAGAATGCCAGCACTCCTAGACAACCCAGGCCAGTACCGCGAGCGGATCTACGCCCTACCTGGACCCCAGCCGTCCCCCTCGTCGCCGCAGAACCTCCATCCACCGCCACAGCTACACACCCACGACGCATCAGGATATTGCAACGTCCAATCCCTCTACAGCGGCGTCTACATCGTCGACGACCTCTTCTCCTCCTCCTCGACCGCGATCTCGCACTCCGGACAACCGCCCCGGGGAGTGGCAAGACCAAGAAGGCACCACTACTGCATCACCACGCCACACCTGCTCACCCGGCAACCCCCCCGCGGCGCGGTGGCCGGATCGAGCTGGCACTTTCGGTTTCCGGGCTGCGTCGAGTTCGGGCAGGTCGTCGCGCACAGGAGCTCGGGCAAGGACTGGTACACCATCATCGAGGTATGCGAGGCTCAGTGGCCGCCGGAGCGGCAGTCGCAGCAGAGCATTGTATTCCCCAATCACGGGTTGTGGTCTGCACGGGTCGAGTTGAGCATGCTGGAAGGTCTTGAAAGGAGACGGCGGCAAAAGCAGCACCAGCAGTACCAGCAGCAACAAAAACAAAAACAGCAGAAGCAGCCGACAGATGAGCAGCAAGACCAATACCAAGACCACCAGGAGATCCGGATATGCCACGGCGCAACAACAAACGAGCAGCAGCAGCAGCACCACCACCACCTCACCCTCTGCCGGCTGGGCTCCCGCTCGCGATCCCTCGACACGGTGCCCAGCGTGAACCATCTCGGCAGCTGCAAGACGCCGGTGCACAGGGTATACAGCTTCTCCGTCTCCGCCTCCGCCCCCACCACCTCGGCCTCTGCCTCTGCCTCCGCCTTATCACGGAACGGCCTCCTACCGGCGCCGCCGGCAGTAACAGTCGGCCATAACCAGGAAGGGTGCCTCGTGAGTCGACACAGGGTAGCAGGCAGTAACAGCAGCAGCAGCAGAAGCAGGAGGCAAGGTGGTGGCGTCGATGACGACGACGACGACGACGACGACGACGACGACGACGCCGTACTAGGGATCATCCTGTGTTTCAACGAGAAGCTATCTGCCGTGCTGGTCCTTCCCGTCGAGACCATCATCGAGGCATTTGCTCGCTTGGCAGAGCAGGATGGGCAGAAGCGGTCGAAGTATAAAAAAAAAAAAAAAAAAAAAAAAAAAGAGCCGAGTTGCGACCTTTGAAAGACCGCTGGAAACCCGACCCACGTCGGTTTTCTTGTTTTTACTGGTGGGCTTCGCCTCATCGCCCGCAGTGCCGAGCGCCCGCCATGGGCGGTGGCAGAGACAGAAGGCGATATGGCGGTGTTTGTGGTGTAGTTGTGTCCAGCACTCGAGGGCATGTGGGCCATGGTCAATACCATATTGGCCCAGAAGACAGGGCAGGGTCAAGAGATCAAGACTGTATATAGTACAGCGAAAGCTATGCAAGCTGAAGAGACCAACGCTTCGTGCTGCATCCTGTAATAAGGACCAGTAATCTAATGGAAATCCCCCAAAACGCCCTCCAGACCCAGCCATGACGCCAATGATGAAAAACGCAGAACCCATCATGCCGACTTAAGTACATGCCATACTTCTTTTTCCCCCATGAAAGTCTCCCATCTTGGTAAGCAAAAAGCCGGCATGCATACGATGAAAACCAACCCGCCCTTTTTTTTTTTTGTCATACTCGCCCAATTTGATTTCATGCTAGCTCAGCCGGCCTATGCGCCGCATTCTCTTTGGCTTGCCAGTCGCTGTGGTACTCTGTCGGCATCTCCTGCACGCCTGCGTGCGGGGCGTGCGGGTACCTTCCTCCAACTCCGCCTAACTCTGCCACGTAACCATTGCTCGTCGTGGTGTAGTTGTTGCCCAGCTCGGACACCGGTGGATGGTGATACCCTGGGCCTCCTGTGGGCGACGCAGGTAGTGGTTTGTTATAATTCAGCGGGGCCGGCCACGGGCTTAGATCTGGGTTGCTTTGATGCTGTGGGTATGTGGCGTATTGGCTGCTCGTGTTGTAGTTGCCCTGCAAGCTGTTGCTGTATGGAGGTGTCGAGCTTGGTCTATCGTGGTGCGATGGCGCAGGGGCTAGGCCTGGCGCCTGCTGGTACGGATGCTGTGGTTGCTGCTGTTGTGGCCGGCTAGGATTTACCAAGACCTGCCCTGAATATGCAGCCGGTGCTCCGGGAGCCGGCCATTGCTGGGACTGGTGCTGGCTTCCTAAAGTGGGCGGGCGGTAAATGCCGTTGATGCCACTGCTCAACGAGCTTGTGTGATGAGAGTATAGCTGCGACGTCTGTGTCGAGGGCGTCGACGCTGCTGTGTTGGTGGTGCTGTTGGAGGCTGACGGCGGCATGCTCTTGGCCCTGCCAATCATGGTGTCGACGAGCTTGCCATGCGACTTTGACAAGGTCTTTTTCACAAAGGAGGACATGAGAAAGTTGCACTTGAGCTCGACGTCCTCGCGGAGGTACAAGCCCGTCTTTGGAGCGTCTAGGCCCAGCTCGACGGGCTGCGGAGGCTCGCCCGGGAGCGTGCCCGCGACGGTCCAGCGGTCGCGGATGTCTGTGCCCATGGGTGCGTAGCAGTGTGTCTGGAGGCCGTCGGGCATGTCGTGGAAGGCGCAGGTGTAGGTGACGTCGCTCTTGACGGCACCGCCTGGGATGTACTCGATCTTGTCGGTGATGCTGTACCACGTGCAGTGCTTCTCGCCGTCGAGGGCGTGGGCCGGAGTGTCGATGCGGTGGCGCTCAATGACGAGCGGATTGAGGTCGATCATCTCGAGGTGGTCGTGGAGGAAAGTCAGGGCCTGCTCCCGCGTCATGCTGCTGGGCAGCGGCGATATGTTTGTGAATGTTGTGCGCTTCGACATTGTGGGTAGTGAACGGCGGGTGCCTGTGCCTGTGCCTGTGCCTATGCCAAGTTGGCGTGTTGTTGGGTGGGAGAAGCCCAGGGTATCGGGGCTTTTCAGTACCGCGTATGCGGGCGTCAAGAGTGCAGATTGCCGTGCAGCTTTGCAGTGACGTCAAAGTCGACGGAGGCGAGCTCCGAGCCGAAGGGGTTCCACCAGGGCTCTCTGTGATCGAATGATTATATCACGAAGGCAAAAGTCGGCCTGCGGTCTGTGGAATGTTGCGAGTTGGTGAGGAGCAGGCAAGCGGACTGCCTGCTTCTTTGATGCAGTCGAGGACAAGACAGCGGTTTGTCCAGGTCGTGGAGGGTGCCAGCGAGAGCGGGCGTCAGGGTGGAGAGGAAGTGTTTGGGGGTCGGCGGTGCAGCGGTGTTGGGCGGGAGCTGAGCAGCCGTTGCTAAACTTAAGACGGGCGCAGGTGCGCTCGCCTCACAGATGGGTTCGGGGACATACAGTTGGGGCCCAGAATAATCCGGCCCAACCACCCCACCGACGCGAACGCGTCGCGCCACCTGCAAACCCTCCCTTCTTCAAAACCACCATTTCGAGCGCATTTTGAGGTTATCATGGATGATTTTGTTGCTGGAGTGTGCGCCGATAGGCTGCCGAAGCAGGATTTCACTCCTAAGAAGAAAGCAGCTATCTGCGCCGCCCATTTCGCAGGTGTAACGCACCGCCGCATTGCCGAGCTTACGCGGGCCTCCAAGTCAACAATCACCCGCATTATCTCGGACTGGAAAAACAACGGCAACCTAGCCAAATCGCCTCGGAATGGTCGCAATGGATTCACAAATGCCCAGAGAAGGCGCGTACTAACTATCGTCAAACGCAAGCGAAAAGCGACGTGGCCAGAGATCATACAAGCCATGCCCTTCCAGATCTCCAAGACATCCATAAAGCGCATCATTCACGAAGCTAAGCTACGTAAGTGGAAAGCTCAGAAGAGGATTCCGCTATCTAAAGAAGCACGAAGAGCTAGGCTTGCATTTGCAAGAGAGTGGCTACCAAAAGTCGACGAATTGCAGGAGGTACGTGTAAGTGAAGTTGGTGGGATTATGCTGACTTGATCTAGGTGATTTTCACGGATGAGTCGTCCTGCCAGAACTCCACAAACGCACCCGCGCAATGGGTATTCCGCTTCCCAAGCGAGAAATGGGACGACCAGTTCGTCAACCTTAAATCGCACGTTAAGGCGAACCTATCCATTATGGTTTGGGGTGCCATATACCTGAAGAACGGCGTGGGGTGCCGGTCAGAGTTGGTGATAATGCAGCGCGAATCGCAGCCAGATCCCAACAAGCGAAAGAAGGGCTATACGGCCTGGAGTTATCAGAAGGCATTGCGCGATGGCTTCATCCCAATATACGACGATTGGCAGGTATTTCAGCAGGATAATGCAGCAATTCATTGCGCAGAGAGTACTATGGATTGGCTCGCCGTCAGGGGCATTGCGGTACTACCAGACTGGCCAGCACACTCGCCAGATCTCAACCCAATTGAGCACATTTGGGCCTCAATGAAGCGCCAGCTAGTAAAACTGTTTCCAAACATTATGGCCCTCAAAAGAAACGACGGTGATACCTCCCAATTTGAGGAGTGTTTGAAGTCGGCGTGGGCAGCAGTGCCGGAACGGCTGATCACAAAGGTCCTCACTACAATGGACCGTCGCCTTCGCGCAGTGGCCCGTGCGCGCGGAGGATACACCAAATATTGAAGCCGCCATCGCCAGCTTCAAAATGCAATAATTACTACTCGATTCTGACCTCGTTTGACGGTTCTGTGGCCTTTTGTCGTGTGCAAGTACTGTGCAGCCAATTTTGGTGGGGGGGCTTGGGCCGGATTAATTTGGACCTGATCAGTACAGCGTGGACCTTGCACTCCAGGCCTGCCTGCAGGGGGGCGTGGAGGGAGCAGCAGGGAGGCGGCGTCGAGGCGGCGCACGGCAGCGTCAGCCTCCGGGCTCTAGAACAAACACGACCACCCTTGAAGCTCTGCCTCGCGCTCGATCAAGCTTTCCAGCTCGCCTGCAGCCCCAAACCTTTCCTGGCCCGCCGCGCGGCAAATCGGCCTACTAAAGTCCACGCTCGCTGCGTCGAACTATTACCTGCTGGGGGCGTGAGGGAGGACACGCTGCCGGCGCTGGTCAACTCTAGCACACGCCGGCCTTTCAGCTTCAAAGGTTCGTTTCAATGTTTGCCTCTTGATTGGAGGTGCCGCAAACCTGCGCAAAGTGCCGCTAGCTGTCTACACGTAATCCTTGGCGCGCAAGGGGGATCCTGTGTGCCCAATGAGCACATGCCCGTTCTTACCGTCTTACATACAACAATCATTTGTCCCTCGATCCTCAGGATTGGCAGCAGTCATACTTACTGCCGACCAGGGGCTGGTCGGTTCCGAGATGCTCTGCGCGCTAGTGATCAAAGAACGCGCAGGCGGGTTCACCAGTGGCGTTATTTGAGATTCGCTTTGTCCTGCAAGATGTCGTTCTGGTACCCCGCTGCGCAAGGAATCCCCGGGCCGGCCGCCGCGGGTCGGTGTGGTCTGGTATCGTTATTCCAAGTCGAGCTCCCAGCCGAGCTTTTTTAAATCCGGTCATCTCGGCTTCGTAATGGGCATAGTCAGCCAGTGCGGCGTCGACCCGGGCGAGGCTGCGCTCGAACTGGGCGTCGGCGGCATAGGTGAGGCGGACGATGCAGAAAGCCCAAGACCCGGGCCGGTGAGTAGTTGGCATTTCGCGTGCAAGCTCGTCCAGCATGCGGAAGTGCCCGCGCAGCTCGCGTGATGCCTCGGGGTCGCCACGAAACCGCTCTGTGTGGCCTGTAAGTGGAACAGGTGCGCCTGGCAGCCATTGCGGATCGAGTGCCGGATCGGCCAAGGCTCTTTCTTGACCCTGCACATTATCCATCATGACAGAAAAGGATGCTACTGTCATTTTTTGCTCATCTTATGCAGGCGAAACAAAGCGAATTGGCTGGCAACTACAGTGAGTGGCATCGGGACCTGCTTGGCAGTGCTGGTACTCCTGATCGCCCGTGGCAAGGCCGCCTGATAGACGGGCGGTGAACGTTGTTCCTACGGCTGTGTTGAAGTTCGTTTTGCTGCAAGGGGGGGGGCGGCTCAAACCTGTCAAAATGTGGAGTACCTTTACCTACGTGTACGTTTCATCTAATTATGTGCTTCAGTACTAATAGGCCATTTGCAATGCTGAGTCACCGAGACGCGAATCTTGACAATCATGACTGTGCACTCGCCTCGCTATAATGGTGATGTATGCTAATAGCTGCCCCCACGGTGTAGTTGGCCGTGTCCACCTCCACAACTGCTGCCACTGCGCCGGGGACAGAGTTCCACCCACCCCCTGCAGTCTTCCTTTTCTTCAGCAAACATGGCTCTCGCATCCAGTAAGGTGGGAGCAGCTCGCCTTTCTTTATCAAGGTACCAATGGAAGGCGCAGGTAGGGCGACAAGGATCCTAGCAGATGGGTTACCCCAAAGCCGTCAGTCAGTGGCACTGTTTCATCAACATGGCGTCAGGCATCAGACCCACAGGTATGGCTGGTCTAGGTATTCCCCGAGTCTGGTCGGGCCCTACCATGGTAATTATTTGGAGTGCCGTATGAATTAGCAACAAGGCCCTGGCACCTCGACCAACCACACACGTCGATGGACGACCCGGGCGAAGCAAACCTCCGAGGCGGTACCCTACAGCTGAGCAGCCGGGATACACCCCTGCATTGCATCCTGCGCCCCCCTTCCTCCAGGGGTCCAATGTCATTGTCCCGAATTAGCAAACAGCCTTTTGTGGGCGGCGGCAGCAGGGCGCTTGACATAAGCACTAATCCCCAGTCCAACTTAGACTGACATCATCATCATCATCCCACGAGTCCCGTTTGCTGCCCTCGTTTCTTCGCGTTTAAAACAAGGCGCTTCTCTTCTAGATGCGCACGGATACAGCAACAAGGAGCCTAACGACTTCCGGCTCCCCCGTTCAAAAAGAGCACCGGGAAACGCACATATAGGAGGCTCTCCTTGCCGACATTACTCGGCAAAGCTCGACATGCTACTCTTAAACACTACCGTGGATATTGTCTCTTGATCTCTATTATTGATCTCAAGATACTCTTGCAGAAGTCAAGCCTATCGTGATTGCTACTAATGTCATGCTTCTACTTTGTCTCGGGACGGGGACTTGGTGTGTCCGCCTGAGCATTCGGTGCCGTCGTCTCCAGGGCCTGGCACTCCTCACGGGGGTTGTGGTTGTGGTTGTGCTGCTGCCGACGCTATCCGTCTTCTGTTCTGCGCCGCCTCAAGTCTGAGCTGCCTACTGACCGCAGACTGGGTGCTTCTCTCGTCAATCAACTGCGCCACCTCTGCATGCCCGAAGCGCTCCGCAAGGCGTGTCCAGTCCTCCACGGGCATCTTGTTCCATGCCCTGCATCTCCGGAGAAGCACCATCGCCGCGTTCCCGTGGCCTCGGATGATGGACCAGCGCACCGCCTCGTTGTAGGACTCGTCGTTGACCGCGGCGCCGAGGTCGAGGAGCAGTTGCACCGTCGCCGTGCGGCCGCTCTCCGCAGCCCGGAGCAGCGGCGTGCATCCAAACGAGTCTGTGGACGCGACGGACACGCCGTGCTCCACCAAGAACCGCACCGTCTTTGTGTGGCCGTTCCGCGCCGCTCTGGATATCGGCGTGTACCCCGGTTGGTCTACCCGTGACAGAGAGTATGCATTACGAGCTAGCACCTCGAGCAGCTCTATTCTACCTTCCTCGGCGGCCCAAGACGCAGGGCTGATGCGGGCCACATTCATCGCGCCGTCAAGACCCTCTAGTAAGTCTTTGCCCTGATAGATGGAGGACGGGAGACCTAGGAGGGCAGCAACGAGCCTTTTGTTGCCGTTCGAGGCGGCTTCCACAATCAAGGAGTCGCTGTGGCATAGATAGTGGTGGGCTTCCTCCCCGAGCTGCCTTTTACGATCCAACAGTGCATAGTTGATTGTGCACGTGGATATGAGGTTGTACAGTGTTTTGTCAACCAAGACATGTACTCCATCCGCCCGGTCGCCGTAGCGTCGATTCTTGACGGGCTGACAGCAGTCCAAGGCTGGAGCGCCCAACCTGCCGAAGAACCGGGCGAGGAAGCTGTGCTGTGGCGTGTACAGTGCAGCCCGATCGGCGTGGTAAAGGATGTTCTGGGTCGCGTACTGCAAGAATCTGTAACCCTTTGCGAGAGCTGCTTCGAAGCTCGGGTTATCTGGGCTGTGTCGCTCGATCACGGTGAGAACAAACCGAGTCCACTCATCCGTCACAAACGCTGGCTGTCCGTTGTCGTAATCAGTGCCCATCCCGCTGTAGCCCTTGATTATCTCCAAGATCCGAGGATGGTTTAGATACGACTCGCAGCAGGCCCGTAAGATCTCATGGCTGGGGCCCTCCCACTCAAACCCGAGATCTGGCCACAGCTCCTGCAGGCCTCTCTCCTTCACGAGGTAGTCAGAGACAGACTCGTGGATGAACTGGACCACAGAGGTCTGCTTGTTGCGCACGCGTATGACCTCGACCAGGCCCTTGGAGGCGCTCGTGGCGAGAGCCACATTGAGCTCCTGGTCTTCCGTGTCGGGCAGCTCTTCGTCGTCCACCTCGCTGCTACTCAAGCCGCCTGCCCACATGGCGTGGCAAAACTCGCTGGGCGTGAGGGGCCGGTTTGCACACAGAACCCACAAGATACACCGCCGCAACTGTTCTGGCCGTTCCTGGTCGCGCGTGAGTATCTCCTTGAACAGCTGGCTTAAGGTGGGCGGGATCTCGGACAGCCGGCGGCGAAGGGCGAGCCCGCCACGACTGGCCTCTTTATTAAGGATTTCGACGACGAGAACGACCCACATGAAGACACCAGAGGCCATGGCAAGGATGAGGTGTTCGAGCTCGGCGTGCGTCTTCTTGGGTACCCTGAGCCGTTTCGCGACGTACTGGACAAGGTCGGCGGCGTGCCCTTCCTCGTTCTCGAGAGTGATGAGATGGTCCTCGTCGACTTGAATGTACGGATATGGCCGGCTTGAGAATGCCACGCGGAAGTGAATGCCCGCCTCTGTTGTCGACTCTGTGAGATCATCGAGGAACTGGACCATGTCCCTGACGTCGTTTTCGTCGCACTCGTCGAGTGCGTCTATGAAACAGACGAGCCTTCGCCTCCCCAGCATCATGATCGCCTCTTGGAACACGGTTTTGAGCGTCTGGAGATCCGGCTTAAAGTGCTCGCCAGTCAAGGGCAGCTCTAAGCCATCTAGGACATGTTGCAGGTTCTGGGCTAGTGTTAGAAGCTGACTCAAGAGGGAGCGGTACATTCCCGTGATGGACTTTTCTACGAGCTCGCCGCGGGCATTAAAGAAGTAAGAGATGACAATGTCTGAATGCCGTTTCCTCGCTTCCAGGTCCAGAAATCTCATCATAGTCGATTTACCTGTCCCTGCTTTGCCCCGCATCCACAAGAACGAGCTGCGATAGGAATCATGGCCGTTCTGGCCGGCCCATCTTGCGTACTTCGGGTGAGCCAGGAACCAACGGCAGGTCTTGCTCTGCTCGGCTTGAATCGCAGACTTGCGCGAGTTCATTCGTGGGAACTCGAGCAGTTTCAAGATATCCTTCCTCTGGTGAACTGTGCGAGAGATCGAGCCGCTCGTCGCCGGCTTTTCTGTTGCAAGTGATGGGCTCTGGCGGGTGGTTGCCAAAGGCGGAATGTTTTCCAGCAGCTCCCTTGCATACGAAGCTGCCGTTGCCGCAGCATACGGCTGCCAAACCTTGTTCTTGTGGGAGTCGGAGTAGTCGCATATCCCTCTGATCGGGAGGCATGCAAGGCTGTCCATAATACCTGCCGACTCCATCTCGAAGCACTTGATGTCGAGCTTGCGCGCTACTGTATCTCGCTTACGAGCATCCTTATTGACGCTATCGCCAGACGCTACGCCACCGTAGTGGATCTGGAAGCTGTCTCCAAGTCTTTGCCTCCGAGGCTGTAGCCTGCTGAGGTCGCATTGCTGGCATGTGTTAGCGCCCGGAGGGTGTGGGTAGCTCGCTTGGAAGAGTTGGTCTGGCTGGGTAGGACGAGGAAACCGGGAGAGTCGTGTTTGTAACAAGGCAAGAGCTCTGGATGACCACTGGTCGTGTTCATGCTTGGACCTTAGGTTTGTGACGGTGGCGAGCAGCAAGGGCGACGGTTGCTTGGGGATGCCCGTTACCTCGAAGCCCCCGTTCTCCATGGCCTTGCCGAGATCGTACTCCATAACTCGGGTCCCGACGACCACGTCCCCCAGGTACAAATCGGCCTCTCCAGGTGCTCCACCGCCGATGCCAACCATGAGGGTCGCACGGATGTTAGGAAAGGTTCGTTTCAGATCCTTTGCGACACCCGCCGCATTCACTTTGCCGTAGACTCCTGGGAGGACGGCCATGACGACATTGTGGTCCGCAACGCGACCAAAGACGTAGCTGTTGTCGTCGGCGTCCAAGGCGTCCAAAGTACCGTGCTCATCGTCGAGCATCAGCCGCGAGGTCGCGAGCTCCACAGGAAGGGCGCAGATCCAGGCGATCGTGTAGTCACGATGCGACAGAGTCGAGCCTAGACCATTACTGGTGCGCTCGGCGGGATGGGTCATGGCGGTCCCATCACTAGCTGGCAGCGCTGAATGCCCTGACTCGGCTGACGCATCGTCTAGTGAAGTCCATGGCCGCTTCATAGCCATGTCTCGGGTGCGAAAGCGAGTTGCGGGAAGTGACAATGTCGCATGGTGCTGCCTAACGTTTCCATGTTCAGCCTCGACGAATAAGGACCTGCCTGTCCGAAGCCTTGTCGTCCATGCGGCAGGTTGGGGGCCGTCTCACTTAATCCTGCAGGGCGGACGTCTAGCCACACGCAGCCCCCATCCTCCAGGGTCCATGTCATTGTCCCACGAGAATCCAACCTTTTGCGCTTGATATAAGCACCACCCCCAGCCGATATCACCCCGCGAGTCCGTTTGCCCTCGTTTCGCGTTCGACGAGGGCGCTTCTCTAAATGCACACGGCTACAGCAAAAGGAGCTTGTGGCTCCTGCTTACCGTTCAAAGAGCACCAGGAAACGCACATGGGACCGAGGTAAAGAAAGGTGAGGCTTCAGCTTGAAAATGGACCCCTCATTATTATATCTGCGTACACCATTTCCCCAAGTAAGCTGGCAGGTCGACTGCTGTCGGGATTTCCTCCAGCGACACGTCCAACTTCCACATCTTCCCCTCGAGGCCAGCGTGCGCTGCATTGCTTCTAGTCCCAATGCCTGCAGGGATGAGCAAGCCCAGCAAGACCAGGCGCTCCCACGCGACTGCTGACACCCCGCGGCCCCATGCTTTGGCTCCCGCCCCAAGTGCGAGCATCGCTGCCGAGCCTGCCGACTGTACGCGCTGCTTGCCCATCTGGGATGTATATTCATCGTACGCCATGGCAAAATTCACCGTGTCTGTGTGAGCAACGATGTCTAGGCGGGCAGCCGATATGAGCATCGCTAGTTCAAGATCGGAGAGGCCGGCGAGCAGTTGCAGTTTGGACTCTACGAGATCTAGCGAAGAGACAGTAGTGCTGGACGACGGCAGGGCAATGTTTAGATCCGTTGGGGAAAGCTCTGAAAGTGGCAAGATCCAAGACGTCAGGAAGATCTGGACCGATTTGGTGGCGTAGTATTGATATTCCAGGTGATCTTCGAAACCCGGCGTTTTCGCAAAGGCCTGGAGGATGTCAGCAAGAACATTGAATAACGAAACAGCTCTGAACGCCTAGGGAACTCACCTCGATCTTCTCTGTCCACCATTTTTGGAAGGCAAGGGCGCCTTCCACGGCCGTGTCGAAGCCTTCCTTCTCAAGGTCTTCATGATCTACGACCAGACCTTGTCTACACACTTTCCAGAACGCCGCCAGGGTCTTGGGCTGTGACATGTAGACATAGCGGTGGCTGAAGCGACTCTTGACACGCTTCTCAAGGGTTTCTACAACGTCTATCCTCGTCGTCAGACCAAGAACCGCAATGGGCGCCTTCTTGGCCTGTGCTATGTCAAAGAGATTGTAAAGCAGCGTCTGACGGGCGTGTGTGGCAAACAGGTCGAATTCGTCTATGATGAACACGACACTTCTGGAAGTCAACCCCTCCTCGGCATCCGTGATCTCCGCAGGGTGAGACAAGAGTGCCAACAGTGATGCCATCGTGTCGGCGTAGTTGCTTGTCTGCATCGTGTAAGTTGATGTGGTTTTAGGAGAGCGAGTGGTACGCAGCATACCTTATTGACCTCGTCATCATCTAGACTCATCTCTTTACCGAGCTGACGCCATATGTCCTTGAGTGCCAGTTTGTCGTCGGTGTGGATGAAACCATTGAGGCGTACAACGTGAAACTCTGTTGCGTGCTCGGCAGCAAGGTCCGAGATGATGGTTTCGACAAGCTGCAATCAACGTCAGTCAATAGGCCACAGCCTACAATAATCGAAATCGCGCTTACTGTTGTCTTGCCACAGCCCCGAGCCCCGATGACCATCATCGAATTGCCCTCGCCCGCCAAGATAGTCTGTTCCATGAGCTGGTACGCTTTGTCATACGCTTCCTCCTGATCGCAAAGCTTGATTCGACGTGCGCCGCTGCAGCGATCAATCAGGATACGCTGCATGCTTCGCAGGTGGGCCTCGAAATTAGGAATTGTCGGGATGATGGAACTGGCTTTGACAGTATCCTTATCCAACACTTGGCCCTGGCGTCCATCTTTTGCGACTGCATCCTCCTGTGAGCAGTTCCTGCAGATCCAGTCGCCTTCCGGGATGACGGGAACATCATGGCACACCTGGTGGTAGCCGAGGTCGCAATTCTCACAGAACAAGATCTCGTTGGGAGGTTCCGAATCCGGCTTGGAACAAAGTACGCACACTTCGTCGTCTTCGCTCTCAGTTCCCGTGCCCTCAACAATGCTCTCAGGCGGCGGGTGGTCTGGCTCGCTACGCTCAGTCGGCGCCGGGATTCGTGGTTTCCGTGTCGAGGCAGTGTGTTTTGGAGTGGCCTTGGCCTTGACCGGCGGATCCGCGAAGAAAATCTCTTCTTGTGTGTCCTGGGCATTGCTGTCGAAAGCCACGCTTTTCCTCGGCGTCCCAACCCGTTTCTTCGACGGCGACAGGATACCCTTGAGTTGGGGAGGCCTTGGTGGCGCTGCGTTGATAGTATGTGAGCTCTCGTCGTGCCCGCTCTCCTCTGCAGACTTCTTGCTCCTTGATACTGGCAATTTTTCCCGCGAGCCATTTCGCGCAATCGACTTTTGTATTGTCGTTCGGCGCGTCGGAGTCAACTGCTGGGCTTCCTTTGAAGCTGAATCGTCTGATGCTGCCTTTGGCTTCTGGATGTTTGGGACAGACTTTCGCACGTTGGCGGCGGGCTTTTTCGGTGATGTTCGGGTATCGCGGAGGGTTTCCTTGACGACTTCGCGGCTGAACTTATTGTACTTGATGGGCAGATCAGCCTTGGTTTGCGAGATGTCGTCACCCGAGCTGGGAATGTCGTCGTAGAGTGAGTCGGCATCGATCTGGGCCTTGGCTGCACTATGCTTTGTTTGTTCTCGACCAAAAAGGACGTTGCCGATGGCTGAGGTTATCGCCCGGAAGCCCCTTGGTGTCGAAGGGGACGGAGCCGTTGCAAGACCCCCATATCGACGCTTTTTAGTGGCATGACCGCTCGTTGTCGATGGCGACGCCTCTGTTTCTGATTGCGGGAGGCTGCGCTTCCGTCCGGCGGAGCTCGGGGGCGGCTCATCTGCCATGTTACCGGGAGGAGGCGGCAGTCAGGAAGCTGGTCAAATGCAACGCTTCCAGATCCAACATTCTGACGATGTCGGGCAGTGCATAAATTAGGGGAGACGCGCCGAGACGCGCTCTCCCAAAGTGCTGGAGCTATGGAGCTAACTAATCGATTACGGGGCTTGCAAGCCTGGCGCGGTGGGGTTCTGTGAGTGCTCGGATACTCCTGTGTGATTGGCTGTCCCCATGACAATTGAACTGTCGATATGCCAACGCTGAACCCAAGCACATTTAAGTTGCATTAGGCAGGCGAACACTTATTGAACCTGATACCCGGATAGCACAAGCTGGCATGCATCATGTGGAATCGCAACGCCACAGCCAACCCTGACCGCAAGTCTAGGCCGTTGTAAAAGAGCATGTTGGGCGCAAGTGAGCGTGCTGCTGCCTAGGACACGGGCGGACTCCTCCATGCCTAGGCCAGCCGCCCCGTATGCAGACAAATCTAGAGCGTATGACCCGCCAGAGGATTGGGCATAACCAACGGCCAAAGTGGATGGCCTCCAGTCACTCATCCTTGAAAGGTCCGTCGCCCGCGGGCCTTATACGATCCGGCCCTGGTCCCGCTCCTCTCGGACCGGGCTGAGCCAGGCAGCATTTCCCAGCCAGGGAGCGGGCAACATCCATGTTGCCCCTGTCGCCAGCGCCGGCGCGGAAGAACCCCTGTCTGGACCGTAGCGCTCAACCAACACACGATGCTCCATGCCCGCACCACCCTCATTCCGTTCAGAGTTCTTTTCTGCACTTTCTCTATTACTCACCTCTCGCCAACCTTGTCGTTGTGGCGGGAAGTCCGTTCAGTCATTCGTTTATTGTCCCTCGTTCAAGTCTGCTGCTGTTCTTCTTCTTCAAGCAGAGTCTTATAGTATTCACCACTTGCGCCGCAAATTCCTGCTTCTCGTCCTAGGTCGATTGTCCTATTCACAAAAACAGTCGCCAGGATGGCCTCGACCGAGCAGCCCGTCCATGGGCAGGCAGCTGGCGAGCCAGCGCACGCATCGACCTCGCCCGCTGCTCATACCTCAACATCTGTCGCAACACCATCGTCAGTGTCGCCCGTATCGCAACATGCACGTCCTGCGCCACCCTCCGAGAATGTTCAACCATCAGCACCCTCGAGCCCTCGAGTCTCTGCTCCTCCCACGCAAGGGGCACACGCTGCACAGCAGAACACCATGGCCCCTTTGCCGGCCCCTTATAATCGGCATCAGCAACCTCTGCAGGCTTTCCCACCTGCAGGTTTCCATGGCAATCCTGGGCTTCCTGTGCCGCCGCAGAGCCGGCCCTGGGCGTATGCAAAGCTTGTCCTGCACACCTGCGCCTTTGTGGCGGCCGCTGCGGTATTTGGTCTCACATGCTCGTACCTCGCCTACAGCGTGGCGCGGTCCGCGATCCATGTTATCAACTTGCCAGTGTCCATTGCCGCGATGGCTTGGACGCTGGGCAATGTGATTACTTTCACGGTCTGCAATAAAGGAATCCGTGTGGGCAGAAACTTCCAGGAGGGCGTTCATCCTGGCGCAAACGTTGGCTTGCACCTGGTGCTATGGATGGCTTGGGTCCTGGCGCTTGTCATCACTGCTTTCACTGGCGAGTCCATTCAAAACGCGTACGATCGTTGCGTTAATGCGAGCAAGGAGGACGACACTTTCTACGGGTACAACAGCGATTACTCGTATTATTGCAGGGGTTCATACCAAGGCAAGGAGGATCGCATGATTGGTTCGGACATTCCTCGCCTCAGGGCCATGCTCATCTTCTGCATCGTGGCGTTGGTTCTCCATTTCGCCCTCTTCGTTGGGGCTTGCGTCGACACTCATATGCGGAACCGGAACAAGCGTGCTCGTATCATCTACGTGGCGGCTCCGCCTCCCATGATGGTACCGCCGCCGCAGGGCGGCTGGAACCAGCATTTCCCGGCGCCTCCGCCACCAGGAATGGTGTTCCCCATGGCACCAATGCAGCAACAGGCATATGGTTCGCCTCAGCCTGGTGCCTATCACTTCCCAGGTCAGCCACAGCAGCAGCAACAACAACAACAAACACAAACACACCACGGAGAGAAGACTGCGGCGTCAAACCCCTCTCCCATGATGGCGGGATACTATACCCCGGCTCCGCCGGCGCCTGTTGCGAGACACCCTCAACCTACGCAACCGCAAATTCCGCTTGGAGGTTATTATGCACCGTCTGGCCCAACACATGCGAATTCCCAGTGAGCCGGTGAACAACACTCGTCGAGAGTCACTGGATTCGGGCATCTAGTTGCCGGTGGTCTGGCACAAAATAGACATCAAGTGTCCAGCCAAGCGCATTGCTTGCACGTCGACTCTGACGCCACTTTAGAAGGTTGCGGGGAACTTTAATACTTAATAACCAACGATGTACTCTCCAACTGAACCGTGGATGTGGTCCCCCGGAACTCAAGTGTGAATTTGTTCTTCCAGTTCCCAACCTACGCCTTGGGTTTCGTGGTTCAGCCCATTCCTGGTTTCGTGTGGGTTGTTTACCGACCCCTCCAAGGGTTAAGGGTTGTGGCGAGTGGTCAAGTCTGAGAACGAGCTTGCAAGCTCGTGCCCAGCCCGGTCGAGCACTTGTGATTTTCCTGTTTAATTCAATTTGAAAGAGCTGCAGGAAGAATTCGGCTGAAACATCGATGAGAAGGAATTTCGGAGGGGTGGGTCAATGAATGGCTCAGCTCTGCTCCCAAGTCTGAAAGTGCCCGGAATGACATGTGCAAAGTGTGACTTCCAACCTTGAAAGTGTCCATGCTCGGCCGTCTCTCGAGCGGGCTATGTACGTTACTGGCCCCACTGATGCCACCGTGCGAACTAGCCCAGTGCCTGCAACACGGAAGCCCCTCTACCGCTTGGGCAGCTTGGTGTGGCCCGCCCCTCCCCCTCCCTCCCTTCCCACTCCTGAAGTCCGTCCTCCCCAAGCGCTCCGGACGACGTATGTTTCATTGTCGGCGCAGCCGACTGACGACATCGCTACCTCCCCGCCAGACTCCTTGTTGTCGACGCTCTTTGCCCTGCTTTGCCAGATCGATCTTGGACGTCCCTCTCTCCCAGGCCGGCTAAATCCTCCCGTCGGTCATAGCTAACTGCAACCACCCGTAGCAGTCACATCTGCCCTGACTTTTTGTCAAGCGGCACGCTCTGCCAACAGACTCATTCCATCACCCTTGGTCTCCTGCTTGGAACGACCCACTCGGCTCCCACCAGGACCACCTCAACTTGCTCTCGTGTTGCAGTCTTTGCCCCAGTCGAGCCATCGTGAACAGCAGTCACGCCCAGGCAGCGACGCCTGCTTGATCAACACCTGCTAGTCTCGTGCGCGTCGAATCCGTTCGTGACTAAGCCGAGCAGATGCTCTCGACCTCACTTTGATTTGGTTCCAGACTGCTGTGGCATTTGACAGCTGTCTATTTACCCAATACACGGCGGGACTTCCTCTTCTCCACCCCGCGCAGGCCTTGTTCTCCCACTCGCCCGCTGCCCCTCCCGACCAACCAACGCCTAGCTCTTCCATCTTGCTTGCAGCTTCACCAGAACACCTCGTCCTGCCACAGTCGGCACGCCAGCAACAACACTTTCCCCTCCACGGCTGGTCCCGCGCGTGACGACGCGCAACCGTCTGCATGATGAATGAAGACGAGCAAATTGCCAACATTCAGAAGAAGGTCGACAAGGAGAGGGTCCTGCTCAACGCTGCGCAGGCCATGCTCCAGCAGACACCAAATGCCGACGTTCGTTCCCGCCTCAACAACCAGATGCGAGATGGCCGCCGCAACATCCAGTTCTTCGAGGAGAAGATTCGAGACCTGCAGATGAAGCGACTTGGCCACAATGTCGACAACATGAGCATCAGCTCCGGCTCTACTGCCGTCGGGTCTGGCAGCGTACGCCCGGCAAGCCAAGGAGGCCCGCCTCCTCCTCCGAAGGATGCAGGCAACTGGGGAGGAGACAGGGGCTCTTATGGCAGCGGCTCCGTTCAGTACAGCGAGATCGGTGGGCACGGAGACATGATGCCGCCGCGGCACCCTTACGCGCCTCCAGGCCCAGGTGCCGGCGTTCCCAAGTCCAGGCCTAATTTTACTAAGCTCGGTTCGTCGCTCATGATACCCATGTCACGATCCAAGTATCCAGAGCCTGCTGCTAACTGGTTCACGTCATCACAGATCTGATCAAGTACGACAGCCCATATATGGGCCCTCGTATTCAACTTATGCTTTCTCAGATCCAATTCAAACTAAACGTCGAAGAGCAATACCTCAAGGGAATCGAGAAGATGGTTCAGCTCTATAATATGGAAGGCGATCGCAAGAGCAAGGCCGATGCTGCCGCCAGGCACGTGGAGTCAAAGCAGAAGATTCAGCTCTTGAAGCAGGCTCTCAAAAGATATGAAGAGCTTCACATCGATGACATTGAGGTTGCCGATCAACTGGATGGTGCGTTGGCTTCCTGTGGCTTCAGCTCCTTTCTAAAGCTAACCTTTTGCTCAAAACAGATGATAGTATCAACATGCCCAATTTGCGGAAACCACTCACGGGTCAACTCGCGATCCGGGTAATCCAGGTTCGAGATGTCGACCATGCCAGCACCGGCAGATTTTCCCGGGGCCCGGAGACGTTTGTTGCCGTCAAAGTGGAAGACAACATTGTGGCAAGAACCCGGATCGCGCGTGGCGATCGTTGGGAGGCCGAGTACCACAACATCGACGTCGACAAGGCCAACGAGGTTGAACTCACAGTCTACGACAAGCCGGGTGAGCACGCGATCCCCATCGGCATGCTGTGGATCCGCATCTCCGATATCGTTGAAGAGATGCGCCGAAAGAAGATTGAAGCGGAGATGACAAACTCCGGCTGGGTCTCGGCAGATAGGATGGGAGGCCAAGATGCAGGCGGCCCGCCATCCCAGTTTCCCATGAGCCCAACACAACAGCAGTCATTCGGGGCCGGTGCTACAAGTCCTGGACTCCAGGGAGGTCAAGGTCAAGCGCAGTTTGGTCCACAAGCAGTTCCTCAGGTGACTTCGCAGCCAATCGATGCATGGTTCAACCTAGAGCCGGCGGGCTCGATTCATCTGGCCCTCGACTTCATCAAGCAGAATAAAGATCGCCGACAGGTCGACCTCGGCCTTGGAAGAAAGGGCGCCGTGCGTCAACGAAAGGAAGAGGTCCACGAGATGTATGGCCACAAATTCGTGCAGCACCAGTTCTACAACATCATGCGCTGTGCTCTCTGTGGCGATTTCCTCAAGTACTCTGCCGGCATGCAGTGCGAAGACTGCAAGTACACATGCCACCAGAAGTGTTACGGAAGTGTCGTCACCAAGTGTATCAGCAAGAGCAACGCGGAGACAGATCCAGACGAGGAGAAGATCAACCACCGGATTCCTCACAGGTTCCAGGCCTTCAGCAACGTTACGGCCAATTGGTGTTGCCACTGTGGCTACATGTTGCCTTTTGGAAAGAAGAACTGCAGAAAGTGCTCTGAATGCAATCTTACAGCGCACGCAGGCTGTGTTCATCTGGTGCCTGATTTCTGTGGCATGAGCATGGCCACAGCCAACCAGATCCTTGAGGGTATGCGAGTACAAAGGCAGAGACAGCAAAAGGTCACGTCCTTGACCGACAAGACTCTTCGCCAGGGCAAGGCAAGCCCGGCAAGCTCGCAGACGCCTTCGTCCCCCTACAGTAGCCATGCACCTTCGTATCAGCCAAGCGTGTCCTCACAAGAGGCCACGGAGGCTGCTAAGGCCATGTATGGGGCACAGATATCGCCTCAGCGGCCCACGCATCCTGACAGGACATCTTCGGGTCAGAGTGCGGCTGCGGCTGCGGCTTCGGCGGCCATGAGCGGCGCTTCCGCGTACGGAGGTCGCCCTTCACACGGTCAAGACTATGCCAGTGGCCGGACTGGCAGTTACAGCTCTCCAGATGGACAGGATGACCCGTATAGCAGTGCAGCGAGCCAGAACTATAACAAGTCCACAGCGCCATTGCCCTACAACCCTGCAAGCTTCGCCAACGTGGACAACAACTATGGCCAGCCACCAGTGCAGCAGCATCGCCCTTCTGCCGGTCCCATTCCGCAACAGCCGACATCACCATCGTATGGCTACCAACAGCAGCAGCAGCAGCAGCAGCAACCGCAACATGACAAGCCGGCGTACGCCTCCAGCCCTGCGCCGCAAAAGCCCCAGGCTGTTGTGCAAGAGACGCCGTCACTATCGTCTCCCCACGGCATTCCCGGTGCTTCTCGCAAGCCCTTGCCGTCAGCTACGGACCCTGGGACAGGACAACGTATTGGATTGGACCATTTCAACTTCCTTGCTGTACTGGGTAAGGGCAATTTCGGCAAGGTCATGCTGGCCGAGACGAAGAAGTCGCGGCGGCTCTACGCCATCAAGGTTCTCAAGAAGGAATTCATTATTGAGAACGACGAAGTTGAGAGCACTCGATCCGAAAAGAGAGTGTTCCTCATTGCAAACCGGGAGCGTCATCCCTTCCTCACAAACCTGCATGCTTGTTTCCAAACGGAGACCCGGGTCTACTTCGTCATGGAATACATCAGTGGTGGTGATCTGATGTGGCACATTCAGCGGGGCCAGTTCGGCACTAAGCGTGCGCAGTAAGTTCTCAAGAAGCCTTGGACCCGTGGATAGCTGTGAGAAGCTAATCATCTCGACAGGTTCTATGCTGCCGAGGTCTGCCTCGCGCTCAAGTACTTCCACGAGAATGGCGTGATATACCGTGACCTCAAACTTGACAACATCCTTCTAACTCTTGATGGCCACATCAAAATCGGTGACTATGGTTTGTGCAAGGAGGACATGTGGTTTGGTTCAACTACTAGCACGTTCTGCGGAACCCCCGAGTTCATGGCTCCTGAGGTATGTCCCTTTCCAAAACTTGCAAATTGTCTCGACAGGATCCGGTGCTGATTCTGTGATTAGATCTTGCTGGACAAGAAATATGGTCGTGCGGTTGATTGGTGGGCTTTCGGCGTCCTGATCTACCAGATGCTGCTTCAGCAATCACCATTCCGCGGCGAAGACGAGGACGAAATATACGATGCCATCCTGGCAGACGAGCCGTTGTATCCAATTCATATGCCACGCGACTCTGTCTCGATCCTCCAGAAGCTTCTCACTCGCGAGCCCGACCAGCGTCTTGGCTCAGGTCCCACGGATGCCCAGGAAGTCATGAGCCAGCCTTTCTTCCGCAACGTCAATTGGGAAGACATATTCCACAAGCGCGTGGCACCGCCCTTCATGCCCACGATCAAGAACGCCACTGACACGAGTAACTTCGACTCGGAGTTCACTAGTGTTACACCCGTACTTACTCCGGTCAACTCTGGTAAGCAAGCATATATTTAGACAATCTCTCGATTACGTTCGCTAACTGTACTGTAGTCCTGTCGCAAGCCATGCAAGAAGAGTTCCGTGGCTTCTCGTACACGGCCGACTTCGAATAGGATGTAGAAAAGCCTGTGAATGAAGAGAGCTCCGACGAGTGACAGGGAACCACCATACATAATTATCTCACCCTTGTACTTCGCAGGAAAGGAGTCAACTTTCATGCCACCTCTATAGCGTTTCTGAATGCCATTGGTAATTGTTATAGATACCCAATCAAACTGGGCTAAGTAGGTGCATCGAAGCGCACCGACCCAGAGATGCAAAGATGGCACGGGCGAGGACAGGTCATCAGTGCGAGCATTCGTTGGATGAGAGACGCGGACCACAATTACCTCAAGCATCCTCATCATAGCCAGCAGCGAGTACAAGAAACATGCTTTGCTTGAAATGCGTCTCTTTGTCATGTTTGTCTTGAACATCTACAAGCACCATTCTCGAATCACAAACAGTGCCGACAGACCATGCATGACGTACACGTTTATCACCCAATGTAATTTATTTGATTTTCTTTCTCTTCACTCCATTTGTAGCACAGCACATCTGAACGATCACGGGACCTTCGTGGCCTTTCTCCTCAAAAGGGCCCAGCGAGGACATGCTTGACGGCAACATGTGCCAATGTGCCGGTTCATCAACGACCCAGAATCTCAGAGTGGCGGCACTTGCTTCACAGAGCGGGGGAGTTTTCTCAGGTCAATCTTCCCGTATTAAATCACATATCCACAATGAATAGCGGGTTTCAACTGGTGGAGGCCAAGTTCCAGAGGGCCAGGGGAGCATTTGGCATGGCCAGATTTGCATTGGCGCCGTCTAAACATCTTGCGACTGGCACAAATCTACATGAGAACGCGTGGTCATGAATTTTCCCGGTGGGACTTTTCTTTGTTCTCCAGTTTCGTTTCGCGTTGCATTTTATTTTTATTCCCCGTTCTATGTGTCGGCTCTTGCTCCAGTCTGAGGTTTACATGATTGATCCACAAAAGAATCCATCGGGATTGCCTCGAGCCAGAGTATCTCCGCCAGGTCCTGTGTAGGAAAGGCAGTGTTGGAGAATAGTGATCATGCTTCACTGAGAGGCTAGAGATCTTGTGTGCTGCGACGATGAGACTGTGGCAGAGAAGACGGTACAGTATCCTATTCTTGACTGGCCGCGCTGTTCATTACCAACGGCTGTCTGATCAGATGCACGCCACCCCTGCGTGTCTCGAGAAGATATTCGTTGAGTTGCCGCAGGTCAACGCTAAAGCCAGGCGTTGCTCCCTTTGACCGTCGTCGTCTGTGGCTTAGTTGCGCCTGAAAGGTCCATTGGCGGTCGGGGGCGGCATGCCGCGCCCATCAAAGCCGAATCCAAGTCCTTCAGGGCCCTGGAAGCCACCCATCCCTGGAGGAGGGCCCATGAAGCCTGGTGGTGGAGGTCCGCCAAAAAAGCCCGGGGGAGGCGCCATGTTACGAGGAGGCCCCGGAGGCATGCCCTCCGGCGGTGGAAAAGCGCCCATGGGGAAATTGGGGGGGAACATGCCGGGTACAGGCGGACCGTTGCGCGCGTTACTTCCAAGGCCTGGGGGCGGGATCATAGGTCGCCCTGGTGGCGGCATCTGCTGGCCAGCACCGCCTTGCTGCATCCATGCGCTCGGATGCATCTGGTCAAGGCCGGGAGGACCCTGTCTCTGAAGGATCTGAGTGGGCTGCTGAGGCCCGCGGCTTTCTGGCTCACGATGCTGAAGATGCGGCTCGTCAAAGAATGCAGGCAGTCCGCCTGGGCGGCCGCCTTGGTGTTGTGAGGCGCTGCGCTCGCGTTGATAGTCAGGCTCCCGGTCTGGAGTCTGGGGAATCTGTGCGGCCCGGGATGGTTGAGGCATGCGCATAGGGGGTTGGTTGTGCTGAGGGTGGTCCATGCCTGCACGAGCCGAGCCTTGCATAAGTGTCATGAGAAATTCTGTGTTGCTGTTGCTGTTGCGGCTCGACGGCTGCTCGTTTCGCGGAAGTCCTTGGCTATGACTGTTTTGGCGTTGTCCCAGCAATTCATGGAGCATCTGCTCTGGCCGTCCTGCGGCCATGTGCGCATGTTGCTGGGGGCGAGGTGCGTGAAGTTCTGGGTTCTGAGGAGGGCCTCTGTGCATGGGAACGTCACGACGCTCTTGTCCATACGGAGAGAAGGCAGCCGGCGGGCCCAGAGCGCCTTTGGGAAGGCCCAGCTCATGGCTTGGAGGCGGCTCCGGGAATCCGCCATTCGGTGGTGGAGAGGAGAACGATTGCTTCTGGAGCTTGGTGAGCAGAGCCTGGAAGGCAACCTTTTCCGCAACATCGTTCTGGGGCGGGCTTCCGAAATCCTGGCTGGCAGGGCGTGGCGCAGTAGGTGCCGGTCCTGCGCTAAGCAGTTCGAGGAGTGGGTTGAATCCAGGCGGAGGTGCTTGACGAGGAGCAGGGGGAGGTGTCGCCTCGACTTGACGACGAGTCTCTTCTTGAGTTGAGAAGAAGTTCTGGAATCTCGACGCCTTGTGCTTGGAAGGCGCCATGTTTTCTTTGGAAGCTTCGGGGGTTAGGGCTTCAAGCGCCGAGCCTTGGCCGTAAGCAGCAAAGAACTGATCAGGACCAGTTTCGAGGACTGGCAAGGACTCTCTTGGCGCTGTATCTCTGTCGTGTGGTCCGGAGCGAGACGCAGGTTCGCCCTTGGGCGCGGACGAGTCTGGCTCAGGCTTTGCTCCGCTACGCGCAGCCTTCATGCTTTCCATGAACTTTTGAAAGTCCTCTTGAGTGTGCGCCTGGGCCTTGTCCTCAGCAGGCTCGTCAAGCCATTCTGGCTCGCGCTCCTGGCGCTGGTCACGATCCCATCTCCGATCATGACCCCGCTCGCGAGGTTTGTCAGTGTAAGTATCATTGGGCTGTTCGTCAGCAGTGGCCCGCTCTCTCCAGCTCTTTGCCCGGTCGAATCGTTCGCGAGCCGGAGCAGGAGCGCTGTCGCTTTGGTTTCCTGCTTCGCCTCGCGTCCAGTTCTGGTCTGCCCGTGTACGCCCGAGTCCGTTGCGTCGGCTGGAATCCTCGGCATCTTTGTCTTTGCCAAACTCGCCGAAGTTGCGGCGAGTCTTGTCACCTTCGCGCTCATCTTGCTCACGCGGTCGCCGGTCTCCGACGAGGCGGTCAGATCGCTCACCCAATCGGCCATGAAATCGCTCGGCACCCTCGGTGCCAAAACTCTTGCGCGGCTTCACGGTGCTCCAGCCATCAGAGTCCTGATCGGCATCACCACGACGCCGAAACTCTGTCCTCCCATCTCTTTCACGAACTCGGGCTCCACGGTTGCGATCGGCTGACTCAGTCTCGCCAGCTCGAGATCGGAACGGGAAGCGGCCGTCAGAGTCTTTAGTCAAGGATTTATCGGTGGCAGAGGTGCGTGAGAAAGTGGAGGTCGAAAACGCTGGTCGAGGTAGCCCAAGGCCAATGTCTTCAGGGTCTGGAAATAGTTAGTTTCCATGCTACATAAAACAAAGAATGGGAAACTGTGTGGACTGTGAAACCTACTCGTGCTGTTGCGGGACAGATGTCTGTCTGCGCCGGCGCGGCGATTGCCCTGATCTAGCATTGAGCCGTCATCGTGTCTGTTCCGGTTGCCGTCTGTCCTGCCGCTTTGGGTGTTGTTGCGAGGCGCTTCTGGAGGTGCCCTGTGGCTTTGTGATCAGTAGGTGGTGATATGCCGCAATGCTCCCAGTAGTGATACTTACCCCATCCATTCCTCGGCGGGAGGAAGGGCGTTTGGCTTCACACATAAGGGGGATTGGCGCAAAAATACAAGCTCTTCTTCAGTATATCGTAGTGCCATGACATCTAACGATGGCTGCTGGAAAGCCCGAGTCTTTATGTTGTGGCAGTGGGCGATTGGCTCGGTTGCATGGGGGTTTCGAATATTGTGATTGCCGCTCTGACAAGTACGATGTGATGTGAAAGTCGCGCGAATTGTGGATTATGGCGGGCAGCACAGCGAGGATATCGGTAATGGGGGTTTGGAGATCGGAAAGGCGCACGGTGCTAGAGCCGGTGCACGTGGACGAAGGTGTGAAGAGCCGTGGCGGATGTGAGCCGTTATTGTGCGGGGTGCTGGGCAGGGCGGCGATGTCTTGTGGCGAGAGTACTGCTGTGTGTGGTGTGGGTAGAATCTGGGGGTCGCAAGTGCCGTGGTCGGGCTCAACGAGAGCGACTCAACGAGACTGTCGGCGCCAAGGTCGCGATTGCGCAGACAAGGCGCGTGCCCTGTTGCGTAGGATCAACAGGCGATGCTACGCCTGACAAGCGCTGGGTCCTGGCAGGGCCAGCAGGGCCAATGGTGAGGAATCTGGTGAAGCCACACAGATTGCAGGCGACCTCGAGGGGCAGCGAGAGGGCTTCGGTGGTGCTGAAATGTTGCGGACGTGAATATCACGGGAAAACAGGCGCACGAGATCGGATGGTGGTCAGGCTTGCGGGGCAGGGAATATCAGTGGTCACAGCTGGTGCTGTCAGGCCTGGTTTGGATGACGATGCTGAAGCAGTGCGTTGCGAGGATGTGCAGATGATGTGTGTGCGGGTGGGCTGTACCAAATGACCACCAAGGTCGAGCCCAACTTGGCCTCTGAGCAGGGCAGAAGCGGGCAGCTGGAGGTGGGACGTGATTGGTACTTGCGCCCCAACCAGCGCGGCCTGCTTGCCAGCGTGCATTTGCACACGACGGGAACAACCCAATTGTTCTCGTGTACACCAATGGACAAGCATTCATTCATTCATTCATGCCGAACAGCGACCAGCAGGTCACAGCATCCAAATATATGCGAGACGGCGTGCCAATGTGCCCCTGCTTCCACTGACAACTACATCAACAGTGCCAAGCCTCAGGCACTTCACAGGCAGCTCTCGTAGTCGGGCAAGACTTTGCGCCTCGTAAAAACAGTATCTCTTCTCAAACCGATTCGGCATGGCCACCCCGACTACAAGAGAATGCGATATCTCGTACAAATCCGCGCATCCTCTTGAATGAGCCCCTCCCGCCACTCATAACCTGTGAAGCGTCATGGGTGGCGTGCGGCTCAGTGCCATGCTGGAATATACCTAGGTATGTTCGAGAGCGAGCCCAACGTGGCAGCTGCCAATCAGAACAACCACAAAACTGCAGCTGGCGGTCGGCTGCCGAAGTATAGTGCACGAGACACGCCTGACGCTTTCCCCATTGCCTGCCGTTGGCGCCAGCCAATGACCACGGGATACACAAAGCTATGGAGCACCTCTTTTTAACTACGCCTGCGGTGATCTTGGACTCGAAGCTCCGATGTACCCAAATCACCGCAATAACTACCTCCATGTGTTCGAAGGGATGCTCTGAATCAGCAAAAGAGCTCTGGATGACTTTTGTTCGACGATCAGACCAGAGGCCTGATGATATGAGCCTGGCAACAACTGATTGGTTCGTGAAAGCTTCACCATGGAAGGCCGTCCTGGTAGACGGTGATGCTCCTAGATATCAACGACTGGACTTTGCTACGCGGGCAATAACTGGTGCGTGGTGCCCATTGGTCCTGGCGCTGTATCTTGCCCTGCCTCTTGATGATGCGCGAAATCGACTCGGCACAGCCTTCCGATCCCAAGGTTTTTCGCTGCATTCGGGGAGTCCGCGATCCTCCGGAGCAAGTGATCTTCGTGTCCACCACTCCGGACTGCTCAGAACCACCGTGGGCTGCATGCAGTGGCCATTGTGCTGTGGAGCTTCAGCATGAGTCAAGCCATCAATCAGTTCCTGCAACCTGGGAGGGAGCTCTGCGAGCTGCCTTTATGAGCCGCAAGCGGCTCCATAGCATACTGGGAATAGGAGACGGACGATCCCATGAGTCTTCTCGATTATCTGGCCGTGTGTCATCATCAACGATGTACGCTAGAGAGGACAAGGGCCACCCGACGGCTTGGGAGCCAAGACGGCTGACCATTTCCAAGCCGCCTGAACGCAATGTGTGAGATTAGGTGCAAGAACCTCGAGTGATCGACATTCATTACTGCGCAGCGGATCGACGTGCCAAAGGCAACAACGGCGTCCCAACAGTACGGCCTCGCTGCAGGGCGGCCTGGAAACTATTTACTTATCGTTCGACTGTCGTGATTTACGACAGCTGTGGCTTCTGTGTGCTTCGCCCTTTTACGGTTGGAGCCACAATCGCAAGTGGGCTTGGTTGGGATGGACCCTAGCCAGCGCAATCTTAAAATCGCCTGTAGCGCCTTGCCTGATTTGCCAACCTGCTGCCGCCAGGGTCCCATGATCCTTGCCGGCCGCTGGCCATGGCCTGCCCATGACCCTGACACTGCATTGCGAACCAGGATGCATTCGAAACGGGCACCCTGCTCTTTTTATGTACAGTACGGTAGTTATGTCTGGAGACGAGGCGAAGGCAAGGGAAGATAAACGCGTCGTTGTGCGCCATGCGGGCGGCACCGGGCGCAACCTTGGAAACGGAGAAGCCAGACAGAAGACAAAGAAAGGTTACACTCACCGATACCCGCGGAGAGATGGCAGGCAGGGGGACAGTTGAGACCTGCCAGCGGCGGATTTGTGGTCAATGTCCATCCCGCAAGGTTGCTTTTGAGCGCAGGTCGAGTTCAGGGAGACAGGCAGGCAGGCAGGCAGGCACAGTAGGAAGACGACGCCGTGAAACAGCCGTGCTGGCCATGGACGGAAACAGAGAAAGAAAGTGCTGCGCCCGCTGTTACCCCAGTCCGCGTCCGGGACGAGGGCTTCTGCAGGCCGCAGGTGCGGGCGGCGCCCATCCCACTAGCTGGCCGGGCTAATGCGAGTTCAAATCGCGTGTACAGGCCGGGCGTGCATGGCTCCAGCCCGGCGCCCCTGCCCTCTCTGGCTGGTCTGCCTCTTGCTTTTGTTGTTCCTGCGTGCCCACCACCACTACCAGCGCCTGGCCCCCTTCCCTCAACTCGATCTCCTTCCGCCCACACCAGGTCGTCGTCCTGTCAAGAAGCCTCACGACACCACGTCGCCAGCTCGCTGCCGGCCCTGGCCTGTCGATTTCCCTCCGCTCTCCGTCTTCTGCACAGCGAATACGCGCAGCCGTGTCTTCCTAATCATCCAACAGACCCGTCTTCCGTGGTCCCGTAATGTCTATGTAGCCACGCGCACTTCGTAGCCAAGTCTCAAAGCGCTCCTTGCCGCCACGCTGCAACCACCCAGCAAAGACCATCCGGTTGGGACGCGACAGTCTTTTACCAGCTGGACTCCCACATCTGCTCGCCAGGCCTGCTGAGCCGTTTCACCGCGCGTTGACCGTGTCGTACAGGCCCAGCTGCCCTCGACAAGCTCCGGCGCGAGACATTGTTGGCCCGGCCACGCCTTCTCCGCCGACGGCATTCCTGCTGCTCCTTCCTCGGCAATTCTCCTGCAGCTTGTCATTCGAGACTCTTCATCCCCACGATCGCGCCTGCTGCGCGATCGTCTGTTTCGTCCTCCGGCTTCTGTGCCCCTAGCCTTCGACGGTCTCTCGTAGTAGTCCAGTCTTTACAGCACTTCATCCCATACAGCGCGCCACAGGACTTCTCTCCTTCCATCCCTGCGGAAACACCTTCTTTTTGGACCATTCAGCAGATCACCAGACGCCCAACAGCCCTGTGTGCGCAACATACAAACACTCATTCCCTGATTCCCAGCTCTTACTGCAAGCCACTCGTTCGCCATCGAACAATAATAATACGGCCATATCACACCAACGCTCGCCTTTAGTCACGCTTTGGTCGTGGAGATTTAATCCTTGACGAGTACTTGAACGCAACTCATTGAGCCTAATCGGAACAAATCGACCGCACCTAGGGAGAGTCGGCACCATGCAGCTTCGAAACGCCCGCAATGGGCTGCCTGCTGCGGCGCCAGGGGCGATGGCCTTGGTCACTGTGTTGTCACTAGCTCCCGTCGCGCTGGGACAGAGTAGTTGCATTTCGCTCGCCGGTTCCTCAGGATGCAAGGCGTTTTCTGGGGCCTCTGTCGGCAAGACCGAGTTCCTGCTCAACCACTAGTAAGAATACCTGCGTGATCTACCTTCAAATCTGCAGAGCTCTGACATGTGTCTCACAGTCCATTCCTGCAATACGTCTCGGATACAGCCTCTTTCGATCAACAACTGGACCTATATGTCCGGGACACATATGTACAGCGACAGTAAGTTTTCTTTGGCGGGTTGCGCACTGAACCAAAGCTAACCCATGACACAGGTTCCAAGGTCGGTTTGGGTGTGACAATGTTAATCTCGCCAATACATCCGATTACTATGCAAGATTTACAAAGTCTGTCATCTGCAACGGCATTGTACAAAACTCAATCCAGGCTTGCGGACTGAGCACACAACAATCCGCACCTCTCTGTGCGGCTTCGTGTGCCGAGTATGCTCAGAGCGAGGCCATGATTGTTGCTGACAACAATCTTTGCGCGAATCCTGTTGGAAACATCCAGGAACTTGTCAGGGCTGACTTCGCCGACTGTGCCGTGCCTGCTCGATCTCTCTCAAGTGGTGGCTGCATCACCGCGATATCAAACGAGCCCGACAACTGTGGATACGGATCTAGCACACTGGGCATTTGTTCTTACTGTGCTTCTGGCGGCATCAACTCGACAGATACCTGCTGCTACAGCTCCAACACCGAGAGCCTGTGTGCAAACGTGGTTCTTCCCACTATTGTCCCGACCTTGACCTTCAGCACCCCTTTGCCGACCTCAACCTCTGAGCCAACCTCGACGAACTCGGCAGGCGCCTCTGACGGCAGTAACCGCAATATGGGTCTGTCTGGTGGCGCCATTGCAGGCATCGTCATTGGCTGTATAGCGGGCATTGTTCTTATCGCCCTCGCCGTCCTCTTGTGCATGCGGTCTCGTCGCAACAGACAGGGAAGCCAGAAAGGCAGTGTCTTCAACCAACCCTCGCCCTCCAGGAAAGGCCCGCAGACCACCAAAATTCCCGCTTCTAACACGCCTCCTCAGGGTTATGAGGTTCTTCCGGGTGGTCGCATCGCTCGCATGTCAGCGTTGGAGGGTCATTCTGGTGATTCTCCGTCGAGACACAGTGGTTCACGACATGGAACTTCAACTGGCGCTGCAGCTGCCGGTGGCGCTACCGGATACATGCTGGGACGAAGACGCGGCAACTCGTCATCGGACTTTTCTGGCGAAAGCCCGGGCCCCGAGACAAGGTCTGCTGTCCTCCGACCTCCTCCCACGAGCAGACGACAAGGCTCGCTTTCCAGCAATTCGATTCTTGCCGGCGACGATCCATCCTCACCCACTAGCGCTGGGGGTTTGTCATCAGCCGCAGGCATGACTAGCCAGCAGTCCGAACAGCTACCCTTTTTCAAGGACTACTACTCTCAAGACGACATACATCCTGGCGAACGTGTCGCGGTTCTCTGGGCTTATCAACCACGTGCTCAAGATGAGTTCTCGCTCGAGCGTGGTGACATGATCAAAGTCGTTGGAATCTGGGACGACGGCTGGGCCACGGGCATCATGACGGATGAGCGCGCCGACGAATGGGAGATCAGGCGACAAGCGCAACGCGACAGCGGTGTTTCAAACGCCTCGGGCAGGGGACGGGACAACTCTCCGCCAGTCAGTGGCGAGATCAAGGCTTTCCCCCTTGTCTGCGTCTGTCTTCCTGACCACTGGAGGAAGACGATCGAGGGCGATGGCTCAACAGAGACCGGCAGTGGCCACTAAGGCTAAGAAGGAGGATCTTGCCTCCCCTACGGCCAGAAGACTGAAGTCCACGACAATTACGACCATGCACTAGATTGTTTTGCCTACTTCCACCACCGAGTCGAGCCTAATCAGCATTTATCGGCAATGTTGAATCCTTTCGAAGCCCTGCATATTTGTCATGACCAGAAGACACGCAGACTCGCCATCATGCGACAGCAATTCAACCCCGGTACCTGGCCTTTTCTATTCCTCGTTCTGTGATACAGGATTGCAGGTGCGCGGGCGTGTAACGCTTGCTGACCGATATACCCCGGATAGCGCCAGACGATAATGGTTTTTTTTTTTCCTTATTTGAGCGTCTTAGCAGTACCCCTTTGTGCATTTGAGGCGATGCAGCAGGGCGTCGTTTTGGAGGAGGAGAAGGCGCGTAGTCCTTGCAGTACATATTTGCACATATCATGGGAGTGTCCATATTGTATTGGTCAGCTCTCAGATTGCCCTGTGGCTGGCAAAGGCTACGTCATAGTTGCATATTAGACCAGTTGAAAATGATTCACGGTTTGCATACCAAATTCTTGTCCGTCATGTGTGATCGTCGGACCAGCTATGGAGCGGTCATAATCCAGAGATCGTGTATGATGACCACCTTGGTGCCAGGCATTTTTGTGGTCTCACAAGCCCAGACCCCGGGAGGTCTAGAGTCTAGGCAGTGCCCCGTACTTGCGTGCAGCTGCCCCAGTCAAGGCAGCCCCGAACCCGCCCCACTGTTGACGCATGGTGCGCATGGCATGGGGAACCGACGGTTGCGCAGTATGGAGCTTCAAACACCAACCCGTGATCACTCCAGACCATTCTCGACTGCGCAGATCTGCTGACCTCTGCCACCCTTCAGCAGCTTCGACCGCCTCACGAACGCCTCGCTACTTTTGATTTCGCTTCTGCCCCGTACCGCGTCCGCTGCTTGTGCCTCCCGAACCATGCCATGATCGCGACGCGACGTCTAGGCGTGTCATTGTGCAGTGGCCCAGACCTTGCTCAGCTCCTGCGCCATGGGTAACACTTGGTCCATCACTGCGCCGTCTGCGGGCTCGGCCGGCATCGACGTGCCAGAGCTCGCAGACCTGGTCTATGAGAGAACAATAGGTGGTGCGCGGTTCATGAAGAGCATACGAGCACGCCATCATGACGGCGTTGTGGTGGTCAAGGTGACCGCCAAGCCGGCAGCGAAGCTATCACTACAGAGCTATGGCGAGCTCATCTTGCGTGCGCAATCTCTCCATTTTGACATGGCTGTGTCGTGTGCTGACTGTTTTCTCTGCGACAGGCGAGCGGGCGTTGCTGCGCGATGTCCCAAATGCTCTAGGCTTCGAACAAGCCTTCGAGACCGATGAAACTGCCTATCTTGTTCGGCAGTACCTATACAGCTCCCTCTACGACCGCATGTCGACACGCCCTTTCCTAGAAGATATCGAGAAGAAATGGCTGGCCTTTCAGCTACTGTGTGCCCTTCGAGATTGCCACGCAAAGGAGATATACCACGGCGACATCAAGACGGAAAATATCATGGTGACATCGTGGAACTGGCTCTATCTGACCGATTTCACTGGATCATTCAAACCTGCGAAGCTCCCCGACGACAACCCGGGGATGTACTCGTATTTCTTTGATCTCTCGGGCCGACGGACAGGCTACATTGCGCCGGAGAGATTCGTGCACCCCGATGACGCGAAGGCTGGTGGAGGCTCCCTGACCTGGTCCATGGACATCTTCAGCGCAGGCTGTGTCATTGCTGAGCTGTTCTTAGAAACGCCGATATTCAGTCTCAGCCAGCTGTTTAAGTACCGGCGCGGCGAGTATGACCCTGCGATCTCCCTCCTCGGCCGAATACCTGACAACGATCTGCGGGAGATGCTTTCGAGCATGATCCAGCTCGACCCGGAGAAGCGATATTCGGCAGAGCAGTACCTGCACTTCTACAAGGACAGGATATTCCCCGCATATTTCTACAGCTTCTTGCACCAGTACATGGAGCTCATTACAGATCCCAGCTCCGGACGCGCTCCCATCTCGAACGCTACCAAGAACCTCGGGGAAGCAGACGACAGAATCGACCGCATCTTCTTCGATTTTGACAAGATTACTTACTTTCTGGGCTACCACGGTGCCAACAGCGCCCAGGAAGCACAACGCTTCGCTCCCCGACTGGGACTTGGCCTCTTTCCCGTGCGGCTCAGCATACCTAACAACGAGAATCTGGTCACTCGTCCAGGCCAACCGCTTGCAGATGATGGCGCCTTGATCTTCCTCACCCTGGTGGCAGGTTCTCTTCGAAGCACGGCGCGAGCGACATCCCGGATCAGGGCGTGCGATGTTCTGCTCGGCTTTGCGGAGAGACTTACGGATGAGGCGAAGTTGGACCGTGTCCTCCCGTACCTGATCGCGCTACTGGGGGACAGCGTCGACCTTGTCAACATTGCAGCTCTGCGGTCCATTACGCAGCTTCTGGCGTTGGTCACAGTTGTGGCTCCGGTGAATGCCCACGTCTTCACCGAGTACATTATGCCTCGGATACAGAATTTCATGTTCGGCCCAACGCGTCAAGCGGGTGCCGCTCTCGAACGCAAGGAACCTAGCCCCCTCGTGCGGGCAACTTATGCCTCCTGCCTGGGGAGCCTTGCAACCACGGCACTCAGATTTCTCGAGCTTGCTGTGATTCTAAAAGCTGAAGGCACCATGCGATCCGAAGATCCAGAGCTCGAAGCTGGACAAGATGCGGAGGCCCTGGATGATCTATTCGACAACGCCCGTGCTGAGCTAAACCTCACTTTCGAAGCGCATACCAAGGCGCTGGTTGAAGATCCAGATGCGTCTGTTCGTCGCGCATTCCTGAGCTCTGTGCCAGAGCTCTGCATGTTCTTTGGCAATGCCCAGTCAAATGACATCCTGTTGACCCACCTCAATACATATCTGAATGATAGGGATTGGATGCTCAAGTGCGCCTACTTCGACACAATCCTGGGCATCGCACCATTCTTGGGCAGCACTGGACTGGAGGAGTTCAGCCTGCCGCTCATGGTGCAAGCTGTGACTGATCCTGAGGAGCACGTCGTTCAAGCTGCGTTACACTCGCTTGCTGAGCTCGCCAAGCTCGGCATGCTCTCAAAAGCGAAGACCTGGGAGCTGGTCGATGTTGTGGGTCGCTTCACCATGCATCCCAACCTATGGATCAGGGAAGCAGCCTCAGAGTACCTTTCCAGCGCAACTAGGCTTTTGTCGCCTGCCGATATAAGATGTATAGTGCTGCCACTCGTCAAGCCGTTCTTGAAAGGGGCGATCATACCAAGCTTTGACGAGCTGACGCTCCTCGACACGCTTAAGAAGCCCATGTCACGTACAGTATTTGATCTGGCTCTGTCCTGGGCTCAGAAGACCGATAAGGGCCTATTCTGGAAGAGTGTGCGCCAACAGAAACAATCGACATTCACAATCGCATCGACAGCGTTGTCGGTCAAGTCATCACGCGAACCCCAGCCAAGGACGTTGAGCAAAGTGCCCAAGAATGACGAGGATGAGAAGTGGCTTGTGCGTCTCCGTAATATGGGCATGACACAAGAGGACGAGTTCAAGCTACTCGTACTCAGAGAATTCATCTGGCGTCTGAGCCAGATGAAGAACCGTGATCTGAATACACAGGAAGCCTCGACAGTGCCGCTGAACGAAATCATACCTCTAAGAAGTCTGGATGTCAAGATGCAGACTGTTATGTTTGACGAGACGGCGATGGACGGTGAACCGTCGTGGGCACCAGATTCGGCAAGCGATGCCGATAAAGGTCCGTACACCATCGCAGATGCACTGCTTGATGCCTCGATGACAATCGATCAACCCGTTGGTCGGCGGCGGAGGGCGGCTATGAATAGTCACCGCTCCAGATTGAGTACCAGTGGTGGAGCTGCATCACCAACAGTGGGTGATCACAGGGCGCTCTCACCGCTCGGCCTTCAATCAACTTCCTCAATCGATGCTCGCGGAGGCAACGTTGCAGGTCTTCGAGCATCGTCGACGACACGGTCGCAAGACGACGATGCTTCTGTGTCGGACGCTCCATACTCGACAAGGCGGGCCATCCGGCCACAGTCCAGTGCGCTTCATCTGTTGAACCGCAAAGATAGTGGGAGGTCCGGCCCGGAAACAGGGACCACCCAGACAAATGCAATGGGCCAAGTTGAGGGTCCCTTCACACAGGCACCAGCGCCACGGATCACGATACCCGGCGACGATGTCAGCGAGGGTAGGTCTAGCTCTAGACTGCGGCTGGCGCATACGTATGAAGGTAACGACCCAAGCATCACGAAAATGCTTGACTACATGTACATCGACAATTTTCCGCATGACGAGAAAGAATTCGGCCCTATGGTCACTCCTGTCTCGAGAAAGAAGACGGCTAAAACTGGGACTGGGGCCGAGGAGATTTGGCGACCGTCGGGACGACTGGTGGCCACATTTGCAGAGCATGTTGGCGCCATCAACAGGGTCGTGCCGTCCCCCGACCACCAGTTTTTCTTGACAGGAGGTAATGACGGGTGCGTCAAGGTGTGGGATTCGCTTCGGCTCGAACGAAATGTCACACATCGGGCGAGGCAAACTCATAAGCATTCCCCAGGAGCCAAGGTCACAGCGCTGTGCTTTATTGAAAACACACACACGTTCATCAGTTGTGCTACGGATGGCCGGGTACACATCGTCAAGGTTTACACGCAGGTCATCAACGGCGCTCTCAAGTACATCCGCTTGCGACTCCTTCGAGAATACCAACTTCCTGCTAACGAGCATGCTGTCTGGTGTGAGCACTTCAAGATCGAGATGAGCTCTGTGCTCATCTTGGCCACCAACCGCTCGCGTGTCCTCGGCATCGATCTCCGCACCATGACACTACTATACGCCTTGGAGAACCCCGTGCATCATGGAACGCCCACGTGCTTCGTGGTAGACCGCAAACGCAACTGGTTACTGCTGGGTACTGCACATGGCGTCCTCGACCTCTGGGATCTCCGCTTCAAAATGCGTCTCAAGAGCTGGGGTCTGCCGGGCAAGTCACCAATCCACCGACTCAGCTTACACCCGACCAAGGGCCGTGGCCGGTGGGTGTGCGTTGCAGGTGGTACTGGGCTTGCGGAGGTGACGGTCTGGGATCTTGAAAAGACGCAATGCCGGGAGATCTACCGTGCTGGCGGCAAGGACGGACCTAAGGAGTACAAGCCATGGGACGTTGACGAGGACAGACCAGAGGGCATGCTGGGATGGTTTGCCACGAGCGTCGAGCCTACTACACACTCGTCGACGACGACGACGGCAACGGGCGCGAACGTGGTCTCTGACCGTGGAATCCGAGCCATGGTGGTCGGCTGTGGTGCTGTCGAGGACCAGCGCGATGTGCGGTACGGGTACATTGTGACGGGTGGTGCGGACAAGAAGCTCCGCTTTTGGGATCTGTCACGGATCGAGAACTCGAGCGTCTTCAGCGGGCTCAACAATGTCGCCGGGCCCGACATCGGTGCGACCTCGACCACATCCGCGCGGCCTGTTTTCGTCACGACGAGTAACCCGGGCGGTTCCTCGGGTTGCGTGCTGCACGTGGAGAAGCTGCCCCCGAGTGCATCGACATCAGGTGCAGGAGGTGATAGGAAACACGGCCACCATCATCATCATGGCGGGTCAGCAAGAGGCACCAGTGGTGGAAGCAGCCGAGAGAAGCCGCCGCGGCATAGTGTGATTAGTGCCGAGCAGGCACAGCTGCTCCGAAGCCACCTCGACGCGATCCAGGACGTTGCGGTCCTGGAGGTGCCGTATACCATGACGGTTAGTGTGGACCGAAGTGGCGTGATTTTTGTCCTGCAGTAGTAGTTGGATCTGGTGGTGGTCATGGTGCCCACGACATGTATATAATGCAGCGAGATGTGATACGTGGCCGGCTGGCAGGCAATGACTGAGCGAATGAACGCATAGATCATAGACACAATGATACATCATAGGGCAATTATGGCGGCCGGACGACATTGGTGCCACAGTCATTGTGAACCATGCAGGAGGAGAAGATGTCCGCTGCAGGCCGCATGTAAGCTCCCCAGGTGAGCGGGTTGACCACGCAGACGATATCCTGAGACTTCCGCTTCTGTACAGAAGGAGCCAAAGGAGAAGCACCCAAAGCTATTGCCAAAAGATGATTTTGCTTCTTCTGTAACAGAAAGCACTACAGCCAAGCACAATCCATGTGGTGCAGGGTTATCGTTCAACCTGGAAACTCTATGGAAAAGGGCAGCCCACGCACAGACAAGAGCCAAGACAATCCGTCGGAGGACGGCCCCAAAAGGCACTTGCAGGATAGCAGCATGACCCCCCCCTGCAGGTGCCTGAGCGGATGGTTCGATGTGCACGTGTTGTTGGGCGTTGCATGCAGCATGATGACGGATCAGATTTTTTTTTTTTTGGTCCTCCTTCCCTCCCTCCCTTCGTTCCAATCCTCTTTTGGGCATGTCCAACCTTGCAAGCCTCTGGCATCCAATCCGTGTTATGTATGAATTTCTGCGTCTCCATGGGAAGCCTGCGGCCTCTCTTGCAAGCTTGCGGTGCTTGGTCGAAGAAAGAGATGGCGCTGGCCCGTACGTACTTGCGTTCCCGCCCGGGCCTTGATCCGAGCTCTGCATCTCCACGGACTGAGAACCGTGGTCGGGAATGGACCCTGTCGAGGCCCGGGGTGCCAGACCGGAATGCAACATGCGGAAACCATGTATAGCAGCAGCAGCAGCAGCAGCAGCAGCAGCAGCAGCAGCAGCAGCGGTGCGAGGTGCGAGGTGGTCGTGGTGGGGGGAAGTCGAGGACGGGGCCCGTACACAAGTCCGCCCTGCCGGGCTGAGCTTAGCAGGCTGCCAAGGCTTGGTGGAAGAACCGTCGGAAGCTCTAGAATGATTGATTTTTCGACGACGGGGCATGGAGTGGGTTGGTCCAAGCCCGGACGAGCGGGATAGGGAGGAGGCTCGCAGACGACTTCTTGCACAGCTCGCACTGCTTGCACAGTCACGCCTGCTTCGGCAGCACCAAGGTTTGGCTTACGCTTGTGTGTGTGTGTCTTCATCGTTGTCCTCAAGTCTGCATCTGACGAGTCGCATGCGTGCTAGCCACTGCATCGTTTTGTCCTGTTGCACAACGTCCTGGAAATCAGCAGAGGAGAAGAAAGTTGTCCAAGCCGCCGCCCCAGTGCAACCCTCCCTCCCAGCGGTGGCCCGGGGCGGCGGCCGCCACGTTCCGGGACCCCCCTCCCCCTGCCCTAGCCAGCCGCTGGACCCCTTCCCGCAGCTCGCGGCGCCCCCCCACCATCGCCTGTTGGATCGTATGACCGAGGGTTTTCACTGCGGCGAACACGGATCACCGGCGCGTCATGTGTCATGTCTTTACGCAGGTCTCTCTCGCTTGTGTCGAGCGCAGAGCACAGACGCACGCTAGGGCGAGAAGCCGTTTGGAGTATGCCAGCAGCACCAGTACCAGCAGAAGAAGCAGCGGTGATGTGTCATCACGGCTTGCTCAAACGGGCTCCCCCCGTGCGGTGGCTTTTTATACATAGCCCAATGGCCACGTCTCTGGGCTCTGTCGCGCTGAGGAACCCTCTAACCGATCATTGTCTGGCCATACGGTAGAGAGCACCTGTCGGCATACTCGAAAAGACACCAGCCATGGCGCTCAACCACGAGCAGACGCGCCTCATAAAGGCGACGGTGCCCCTCATCCGCCAGGATGGCGAGCGTATCGCCACCCTCTTCTACACAAACATGATCAGAGACCACCCGGGCATGCACGCCTACTTCAACCCCATCTCCATGCAGCGCGGCCACCAGCCAAAGGCCTTCACCATGATGATGCTCGCCTTTGCCTCGAGCATCAACGACATCTCTGGCCTCGTCGCCCGCATGGAAAAGGTCGCCCACAAGCACGCAAGCCTCGCCATCACCCCAGACCTCTACGACATTGTCGGCGACTACCTCCTGCGGGCCTTTGCAGAGGTCCTCGGCCCCCACTGCTGGACCCGTGCCATCCGGGAGGCCTGGGAGCGCGCCTACTCGGTCATGGCCGGCATGCTCACTCGCCGCGAGGCCCTCATCTACCGCGACTTTGGCAGCTGGGTCGGCTGGCGCCGCTTCGTCGTCGCCCAGCGCTGGACCGAGCTGGCGGACGGCAACGACGGAGAGGGCGACATTGTCACAATCGAGGTGCGGCCCGAGGACGGCAAGAAACTGCCACCCTTCCAGCCTGGCCAGTACGTCTCTCTGCGCCTATCGGCGGTACCGGGCAGAGACCATCCACAGCTGAGGCAGTACTACCTGTGCGGCGATCCTGCTTCGTCCTCGACGTACAGGTTTACAGTCAGGCGCGATGCCAGCCGTGAAACGGAGCACTTCAGAACCGAGTCCAGGCACGTGCCGCAATCGTCGTCGTCTTCAACGGCGGCAGTAGCACCATCGTCGCCATCGTCGAGGACAAGGGTGGCTTCGCCCGGCGCGGCTCGGCGTGGGGCAGGCAGCTCGTCTGCGGGCACGGGTTCTGCCCCTTCAACCCGGCCTAGTACTCCGTCGTCGGCAACAAGCTTGAGCAGCAGCGCCGGCATCGCCAGAGTCAGGCCTGGCGTAGTCTCGTCCATGCTGATCGACCAGGTCATGGTCGGCGATGTGCTCGAGCTCACCCACCCCGCAGGAGAATTCAGCCTGGAGCCGGCCTCGTCAGAGAATACTGGCAACGCCCCGATAGTGCTCATCTCCGCCGGTGTCGGCGCCGCGCCATTGCTGGCCATGCTCAAGACACTCCTGCTGACTCCAACCACAGCCGACCGGAATCCCCCACCACACCCTTTACAACAACACCCGATATCGTCACAGCCGTCCATGGCGTCCCTCTCGTCGTCTAGACCACCTTTTCAAAACGACACCTCCGCACAGACGCAACCACCACCACCACCACCACCACCACCACCAGATCGGCCGATCTCTTGGGTCCACGGGTCCCGGCATCGTCCGCTCTATGGCAATCAAGTCCGCGATCTGGCCAAGCGGTTTCCCGAGAGGCTGGGCACGACCTTCTTCAAGACGCGGCTCGCGGACTCGGATGTGCTGTCGTACACAGTCGACTTCGTGACCGACCTCAATGTAGGCCGCGTGCGGCCAGTCGAGGATCTGTATCTGCGCGGGGGCGGAGGCATGTCGGGCCAGCCAGCCGAGTATTATGTCTGCGGTCCGCACAGGTTCATGATCGAAGTCAAGAAGTATCTCGAGTCGAACCGGGTAGATCCATCGAGGATCAAGTTTGGCATGTTGGAGATTGGGTCCATGGATAAGAAGGACTGATCGAGTGGAGAAAGTGAACGAAAAAGAAAAATCGAGGAAAGGCCAATTGGGTTCATATTTAATATCGGAGGACATTACCCGGCATGTTTTATGTTGAGTAAAGTGAGCAAGCTGTCTGTTATTCAAACAGACTCCAAATTGAAGGCAAATGGCATAATCATTATGCCTACCAGGAAGTTCAGAGATCTTCAGAGTCTTCTCAGATTTATACAAGCAGACGAAACATCGACCAGCAATAGCTTATTTGTGACGGTGGAAGAGCATGCGTACTCATGTTGACTGCAAGGCTACTGTGGGGTAAACACAGCTCCGGGCATGCCCGGAGACCGAAGCTCCGTAATCCGGAAGACCTACCCTGGAACCCGCCGGCAGCCCCTCCCGAGCAGCCAAACCACACCAACTTTGGCCGCACTGAACAGTGCAGGATGCGGCCGCCCCCGTCGACTTACACCTCCTACGAGCCTTCAAAGGTATCGACCTCACCTTGACCTGACCGAGTCCTTCCGCCACTCGAAACCATCCTTGTCTTATCTGAATACCTCGGGGGGCCTGGGCACAAACAGCACCAGGACAGGCATTCGCGAAGGTTTGCCGATGCTTCCGCAAGTTCTGCGGGGCACGAGGTACCTTTCCATCGTCACCGGCACCGTCACCACCGGCACCACCGGCCCGTTTGCGAGTTTGGCGAGGTCCAGGTCTGCTACCACCACTATCTCTAACGGCATAAACACCATACTCGGCGGCGGCAGCAGCAGCGCGAGTCACCAGAGTGCTCGAGGCATGGCGACACTTTCAGCATTTCTGGTACAAGCCCGGGAAGCACTAGCTAATCGGCCGGTGCCTGCCGAGGGAAGTGGCAACAATGGCGGCTCCAGCAGGCCGTTGACGTTCGTGGTGGGGAATGAATCGGCTGGTAAGTCTTTTGTCTTTGGAACACCTTGGGCTTGTTCCGTGCGACTGTCCTCCCCAGGGACTTTTTATTTCTTTGCTGTTTAGGAAGGTATATCAGGTTGTCGTACGATGCACGTACTAACACGTCCATTGTAGATCTCGACTCGCTCTGTTCAGCCCTCGTGTTGGCATACTTCAAGTCCCAAGCACCATCATCAACACCTGGCCAAGGCGGCCGGCTTTCCAACTTGCACATCCCGCTCTGTAACATCCCCCGCGCAGACCTGGCGCTGAGGCCCGAGTTCTCGGCAGTCCTGCGAGAAGCAAACGTCACGCCCGACGAGGTCATCACCCTAGACGACTTGCCTTCCCCTTTCCCTTCCCCTGATGACGACAATGTCGCCGCTACCCGGCGGCAGGAGCCAAATGGCGAGATACCTCCACCACGGCGGCGGGAGATAGACCCCGGGATGACCCGCTGGATCCTGGTCGACCACAATGTCCTCACGGGCCGGCTCGCCCGGGACTTTCTGTCCGGGTCCGGGCGGCGGGACGATGACAGGACGGGCAAGGTGGTCGGGTGCATCGACCACCACGAGGACGAGGGCCGCTTGCCGGCGGACTGCGAGCCCAGGGTGGTGGAGAAGAGCGGGAGCTGTATGAGCCTTGTCGTCGAGCACTGCAAGCCGGTCTGGGAAGCCCTTTCGTCGTTGTCGTCGTCATCCGGAGAACAAGAGCATGCCGCGAAAGGCGACACTGGCGATGCCCGGGACGAGACCACGAGGCAACAGCTAGACGACCAGCTCGCGCGCCTCGTCCTGGCGCCGATCGTCATCGACACCAACAACCTGCGCGACGGGAACAAGACGACCGACCACGACACGGGTGTCGTGCGGTACCTCGAGGAGACCAAGCTGCACCACCACCGGCGCAAGGGCGATCCAGATGCTGGCGGTGGCGGCGGTGGCGGCGGTGGCGGTGGTGATGACGAGGGATTTGACCGCGCCGCGTACTTTGAGCGCATCTCGCGCCTCAAGAACGACATTTCGCAAATGTCGCTGCGCGACATCCTGCGCAAGGACTACAAGGAGTGGACCGAGGCCGCCTCGCCTGCTTCTGCGACAGGCACGAACACGACAACAGCGCAACAGCTGCGCCTCGGCACAATGTCGGTGCCCCAGCCGCTCGCGTACCTGCTCGAACACACCTGCCACAACGACACGGCCCTGTTCCTCGGGGGCCTGCGGGAGTGGGCCGACGAGAAGGAGCTCGATGTGGCAAGCATCATGACCGCGTACGAGGACCCGGAGAGCGGCGGGTTCAAGAGGGACTTGCTCGTCTGGGCTCCTCCTCGTCCTTCTTCAGGACAAAGTACCGTCGCCGCTGCTGGAATCGCCGCTGTGAGGAAATTTGTAGAGGACCACGAGGACACGCTCAAGTTGATACCCTGGCAGGACGGACGTTTGGACTCGACTCCGGGCGACAGTGGTGTTGGTGGTGGTGGTGGTGGTGGCGACGGTGCAGAGGACGGATTCAGGAGGTGCTGGACCCAGGGCACGCTCAAGAACAGCCGGAAGCAGATCGCACCCATGCTGCGCGAGGCTATGCGGAGTGTTTTGGGGTGAGAAAAGGCGTTGGTGATTGCCTTTGTCTTGCCTTGAAGTCCTGCTTAGAGTCCGTTCATGATCCCTCTTGGCCAATCTACTGGTAAGAGGATTTTGCGTTGATCCCTACAAGGCAGTGGACACTGGAATACCCTCACCGCGGGATGAGTGACTGGATTATCCGGTAGTTCCTGCACCACATGAACCTATTGCGGACGCAGCAGCGAGATATATCACTCTTAATTGATGAGAAAAAGGTTCGCCGCTTCACATTATGCATGTTCAAGTATAAGATTTACAGGTATTGTACATGTACTCTACAGCGATGACCGACAAGACCGAGGCGATGGTCCCGATGAGCCCGTTGAACTTCCCGTGCTCTTCACAACGCAGCCTGTTGCTCGGCAGCATTCAGCTGCAACAGCATGATAACAAACTCCCGTCCCCGTGTCAACTTGATGTCGTTGATCGCTCCGGGCGGCAGTCTCGCCACGATTTGCTCCGCAGCTGGGTCGGCGACATTGATACATTCCCGCAGGGCTGCGCTAAGACGGCCCTGGAGAGCCACGGCGGGTCGCTCATGGGGCATATCGAGCAGGCAGCGCCGGATGACTTGGCCGCAGAGATTGGCGTCGCAGGTCTGCATGGCAGTGCGAAAGAACTCGAGGTACATCTCGTAGGATCGCGCCTGCAGGTGTCGCGGTGACAGCTCCCACACATTCCAGAGCATGGCATAGTCTTCATCTGGGACCTCGACCGAAGCTTTCAGAAGATGAATGAGAGACTTCTCGTTCAAGCAAGGCTGCTTCGTCTGAGCTAATAGATCCCAAAGATATTTGACCAGAGGCGAGTCCGATGTGGCGTCCGACTGCGAGAAGGCACCGTCCAACATGGATACTACCACGTCGTTGGCGAGGACCTCCTGGCCGCGCTGGTGCATCGTTTGCAGCAGTGATAGTGCAAGATCTGTGCGTGAGGGTGCCGCGTCGCTATATCTGGCTCTGCAGATTGCACCAAGAAGCTCGAGGTACTGCTCTCTAGTGGCTGAAATCCCATGCAGCTGCATTTCCTGAAGTAGCTTCTGACTGATTGCCTTATGTGCTGCAAGATTCGGATTGATGTCGACGCACTTTGCATGAAAGGTAAGCCGGCAAGCCCAGCTCTGAGCCGGGCTCAGTTCGGCCGTGGTACCGTCATACAGTCTTGTGAAGTCCGTCTCGCCGGCATTATCCCCAGGCCGGCCGCCAGTCGCCTTGGCGATCTCCTCGGGGGGACCGTATCTCAAGAAGTTATGGAGCAATCCTAGGACTCTCGACTTCTCCTCAGCGTCACTACTTGCAGACTCAGCGTCCACCCTCGAGGGGGGGCTGGCCATGTTGCGACCCAAGAGACTTGCCGAAAACTTATTAGCTCGCACCGTGGAGAATGATGCCGTCTGCTGTGGTGATATCTTGCGTACCTGCCCATCGCTCAACGTGGGGCGTGCCGGGGTTTGGAGAGCATCCGCCGCGCGGCTACTCTGCACCGTTGCGTCAAGAGCAGGTGTCTCGGCCGGTTTGCTCAGCGCCCTAGACTTCTCTAGACTGGATAACCACAACGCCTCGAGATTCATCTCAGCACGCCGAGCCTCGGTCATGATTTGAAAGACGATAGAAGTGCCTTCTTGTGTCGTACCAAAGCCTGTAAGACGCCCGTCTTCGCCGAGATTGGCTTTCTCGGGACCAGAACGACCGATCGTGCCGAGATTGACGCAGATCCAGCCTGTCCGAATACCGTCATCGGTCTCGTCAGTGCCCATGATCTGTAGGAGCTTCGCCTTGCGAGCCTTGCGGCGCAACTTGGTTTTGCGCTCGTTGGGTCCGAGAAGGCCGTCGGCGTCGGCGTGTACCCGGTGTTTGGCACGCAGCCACCTGACAAACCGGCCAGCGGAGACATGGAGGTGGCGTTCGCTTCGCGCAGTGCCGAAGAGCATGAAGAGGTTCGTCCCTAGCGCCGGAGCAGGGTCGAGCTCGCGGAGGTCGAGCAGGGCAAGCTCATCGAGGCCAAGCTCTTCGGCCGCATACTCGAGAATCGATGAGAGGATGGGTGGGCCGTCGGCAGGCACAGGCGGGAGTGGCGGAGGTTCGAGGGTCGCGATATGTCGCGGAGGCTCGACCTGAAGATACCACGGGACAGAGTCTGCAGGGGTGCCAGGCGAAGATTGCTGTGAAACGTCCTCATGTTGGTCATTGCTGGGCACTGTTTCGACGTCCTTTGGCAGTGGACTTGCCGTGCCGGTCGTATCTGCTGAGGATTCTGGTCGGCGAGCGGGGGTCGAGTAAGGGCGGGCGATCGTGGGCCCAAGCCTGTTTCTTCGGGCCAGGACGAGCTCGGGTGCGAGTCGCGAGGACAAAGGTGCTGGTGAAGCGAAGTCTGCCGCAAAGAGCCTGAGAACAGCTGAGCGGCAGCTGGAGCAGCCTGCTGAGGCCAATGCTGTCCTGGACGCCATTGTGGGTGAGGCGCAACTGTATGGGGGTGACACAGTTGTAGGGAGCCTGGAAGGATGTCGACCTTGCTCGTCCAAGTTGCAGGCAAGATGTATAACCTTAGGGTAGTCACGAAAGCCGAACAGTGGTTCAATAGTGGAGTCCCCAGTTGCATTAGCGGGTCCGCCTCGGGGCTCTACTGCGTAGAGTCTTTCTTTCCTGCTGTTGCCACTTCCACAGTCCGTGGTCCCTGCCTCATTGGGCACATACCTAATCCCAAACCCCTGAAGCACATAGTCATCGCCAGCTTTGAGCCGCAGGGCACTCTACAACCTGCCCCCCCCCCCCAAAAAAAAAAGTCAAGATGCCTGTGTTTGATGCAACTGCGACGCAGTGTCTTCGGCACCTACACACCGCAGTGGGCGGGAGCGGGAGTTGCGTCTTCCGCGTCCCCGCCTTTATTCTCTGGCATGGGTTATTCTCTGGAAAAAAAATTGGCAGGGCCGGCCCCGCTTTGGGGTTCCAGCTGCTCTTTCCCATTGGCTGTCCTGGACAGACAGCTCGAGTCGCCTCCCCGAGCTGTCGAGTCGGGTCGAGTCCTCAGAGGGTCATCATGCTAATGCTCGACACTGTGGGTGTGGCACCCCTGTGCGCGATGTTTCTCTGCTAGGCCGCCCTGGCTTTTCTCACAGCTTTCCAACCACACGTGCCTCATCTTGACCGCAGCTCTCTCTTTTTTTCTCCCCGCGTCCTCCCCCCAGCGCCCGCCGAGCACCTGGCCACAAGGATTCTCTGCCTGCCTGGATCACTTTTCCGGCCTCTCGTACTTGTCAGCATATAATTCTACGTTCCTTTATCCTTGCTCCCGGGCTTCTGTCCGGCCTGCCTTGTTGGCAATATCTACAAGGCGCTGGCATTTTCAAGACCGCCTCCGCATCTCTCAACAACCACCTCTGCCACGATCAGCTACGACCGACTCATGCTATTCGGAAGTGGTCCAATCTGACCGACGTCGACGTCGCCATGCTTGTCCGCACCCGGTCGTTCCAGCGCGGCGTGTCGCTCTCCAACATCCACAGCCAACTCCTACGCCCGACCCTCTCCTCCCACAACCGCTGCGATGCGTCAATACATCCTCCGTCCACAGCGACCGGCTCTAGACGTCTCGTCACCCGCACGCCGCTACTCCCATGGCGACGCAAGGCGGCCCGCGCTCTCCCTGGCGCCGCGCCCCAGCGATTACTGGCCACGGCCATGGACGACCCCATAAACGAAATTCCTTTCGATCGTATGCAGTCTCCAGGCCCTTTGGGCTATCCGAGTCCTGTATCCCCGCCGCCGCTTTACAACTTGCGACCTTTCGACCCGGCGCAGCCTTTACATGTGCGCCCCCAAGTTGACCACTTTCCACGGTCGCGAGCCACACCTAACGGTGTCCCCGGTGGCGTTGAAGAAATGTATTCCGTCTTTGATGCCTGTCTGCTTGTGGATAAGCTCGATCGAGCTGCGCTTGTTCTCGAACGCTTCAGCAACATGGATGCCATATCCGGTACAGAACTAATAGCTTTGCACAACCGATACCTGCGGGCCAACCTCGATCAAGTCTTTAAGCAGTCCAACGCCGCTTGGGCCAGTGCCATGCACAGGTGGTACGAGCTGCACATCCGCAACAAACAGCTGCCGCAGACTCCAGAGACTATTGCCTGCATGCTCAAGGTCTCGCTTCTCTCATCGCAAGGAGACCGGCTAGAACGACTTGTCAAGCGATACTTGGATATGATGCCGGACGAAGAGAGCATATACCATGTCCTGTCCGAGGAGGCCATTCTCACACAGCAAGACTTGGGTACAATCATCAGCATCTATCAGCCGGCCTCCAAGCTGTCTCTGGAAGAGATTGAGACGAACATGGACGATGCCAGCTATCAAGAACTACACCAAATAGAATTGCCAGCCATGCCCTCGACTTCCGCGAGCTCCTCAAATGCGACGACAGTTACCTCGACCCCTCAAGTTCTCGGTGTTCCACAAAAGGGCTTGGGCCTCCAGTCACTACGAGGCGTGCTCTCGTTCTTCAAAGATATTGAGGACAAGGATCTCTCGACTTTACCGCTAGCCGAGCGCAAAGAGATTCAGGCTCGGTTGGAGCGGGATTGCATAGACGCAGCCATCAACCGCTGGCGAGAGGAGCACCAGCAGCTGCGCAAACTCGGCCGTGCCAATGCCGCCCACGGCCCAGCTTTGAACTCGCAACTGTACGACTGGCACACCTCGTTAGAAGCCAAGATTGTCGAAGAATTTACAATGCTCGACGTTGCGGAAGAGAGCAAGTCTAAGACGCAAGCCGACCAAGATCGGTGTTCCTACGGGCCATTCCTTCGGCAGTCAACCCCGACTAGGTTGGCTGCAGTCACGATTCTATCTGTCCTCAACACCATCGTGACGCAAGGTGCGGACAAAGGTGTCACGCTCGCCACCGCTTTGCAGTCGCTTTCCCGTTCAGTCGAGGACGACGTCAAGTTCTTCGCTCAGACACGAGCCATGGCGGAGAAGAAGCGGCTACGCAGGCGTCAGTTCCGCCAGCAAGCTGCGGCCCAGGCAATTGCTGAGGTCTCGGAGAAGGCCGACGCCGACAAGCAGCCGATCGAGATCAAAGCACCTCTCTTCGAACGCGAAAACTGGCCACCCACAATCAGAACCAAGGTTGCGGCTGTGCTGCTATCGGCCCTGATAGACACAGCCAAGGTCAACGTCGTGCGCGAGCACCCTGAAACGAAGGCGCTTGTTAGCCAGGTTCAACCCGCAATGGCCCACACGACCGTTCACAAGAAGGGCAAGAAAGTTGGCGTGCTCATGCCCAACAAGTTTCTCACGGATATGATGAAGCGCGAGCCACGAGGAGACTTTCTGGCACGCCACCTGCCCATGCTTGTTGAGCCAGAGCCATGGTCTGGTTTTGAAAAGGGTGGGTTTCTAGGCACACCGAGTGCTCTCGTGCGTGTCAAGAATGGCGAACGGGAACAGAAGATTTATGCCAAGGCCGCCGCCGAGAGGGGCGATTTGGAGCAGGTCATGAAGGGTCTTGACGTTCTTGGTCGTACGGCTTGGAGGGTCAACAATCCCGTCTTTGACGTCATGCTCGAAGCCTGGAATTCGGGAGAAGAAGTTGCAAACATCCCGGCACTACACCCGGACATTACCATCCCCCCCGAGCCCGAGGCATCGGAGGATGGCAATGCCAGAAGAGAGTGGCTGAAGGCTGTCAAGGCAGCGGACAACAAGAGATCCGGTCTGCACTCTGAGCGCTGTTTCATGAATTTCCAGATGGAGATTGCCCGCTCTTTCAAAAACCAGACCTTCTACTTTCCCCACAACATGGACTTTCGTGGCCGTGCCTACCCTCTGCCGACCTATCTCAACCATATGGGTGCTGATAACGTCAGAGGTCTTTTACGATTCGCAGAGGGCAAGGAGCTCGGCGAGGCTGGTCTGCGTTGGCTCAAGGTGCACCTTTCTAACGTCTTCGGCTACGACAAGGCTAGCTTGAAGGAGAGAGAACAGTTTGCCGTTGACCACTACGCTGATATCGTGGACTCTGCTACGAGTCCTCTCAACGGCAGGCGCTGGTGGTTGACGGCCGAAGATCCTTGGCAATGTCTGGCTACCTGCTTCGAGTTGAAGGCGGCGCTCGAGTCGCCCGACCCAACAAAGTTCGTGTCTCACCTACCTGTCCATCAGGACGGCACCTGCAATGGTCTGCAGCATTATGCAGCATTAGGTGGTGACACGTGGGGCGCACAGCAAGTCAACCTTGAGCCGGGCGACCGACCAGCAGACGTGTATTCAGCTGTGGCGAATCTGGTCAAAGACAGCATCGCGGCTGATGTCAAGGAGAATAACATCATGGGCTTGGCTCTGGACGGCAAGGTAACCCGAAAGGTCGTCAAGCAGACTGTCATGACGAATGTCTACGGTGTCACTTTCATCGGTGCCAAGGCACAGATCCAGAAGCAGCTCGACGCAGCATACCCCGACTTGTTCAACGAGCATGGAATCCCTGTCCCGCTTCTGTCGTCGTATCTTGCGACCAAGGTTTTCAAGGCACTTTCGACAATGTTCCGCGGTGCCCACGATATCCAGTTCTGGCTGGGTGAGTGCGCCGGACGTGTGTGTCGTGCTCTGACGCCGGAACAGCTTGACCGCCTGGCTACTGGCAAGGAGGCTGAACCTACAAAAGGAAAGAAGAAGGTCACAATGGCAGCCAAGTTGCAAGCAAGCAAGAAGAGGTCCAGCACCGACGAGCTTCTCGACCAATTCAGATCGACAATTGTCTGGACCACTCCACTGCGCATGCCGATCGCGCAGCCCTACAGGAAGACCACGACCAGATCTATCGAGACTTGCCTACAAGATCTCAACTTGCAAGTGCCCGAGCGGACCGACCCTGTGCACCGTCGAAAGCAGCTGCAGGCATTCCCTCCAAACTTCATCCACTCTCTCGATGCCAGCCATATGCTTCTAAGCGCCTTGGAGTGTGACGAGCGCGGGCTGTCTTTTGCGGCGGTCCATGACTCCTTCTGGACCCATGCTGCCGACGTCGACACCATGAACACAGTGCTTCGCGACTCCTTTATTCGGATTCATGGCGAGGACGTCATTGGCCGGCTGGCATCGGAATTCGAGGCTAGGTACAAGGGTTCTTTGTACCTCACCACAGTCGAAAAGGCCTCGCCGCTCGGCCAGCAGATACTGGCGCTGCGCAAGGAGAGCAAGCTCAACATGCGTGAAGAGCTACTGCGCGAGTACGAGCGAACCCGCCTTCTCAACTCGTCTGATCCTTTTGACATGCAAAAGGCGCAAGAGATGGTTACACCAGCTCTACTTTTTGAGCGAGCTGCTGCTCAGGCGCCAATCGACACTGTAGATGAGATGCAGGAAGTTGGCCTGGGCAGTATCCCAGCATCTGTTGGCCATGATGTTCTGCCATCTCAGGAGGAGTCAGCCGAGGATGCCTCTGAGTCCCACGAGCACAGCTCAGCAGTCCACTGCTCCGAAGATGTTGAGCATGTCAAGGAGCTGATGGAAATGTCAAACTTTGAGTTGACAATGGCTAAGGGCTCAAAGCCGAAGAAGCCGTCCAAAGTCCGCGAGGCAACCATTCAAGTGTGGCTGCCGCTCACTTTCCCTCCTATCCCCAAGAAGGTTCGTCCACAGAAATCATCCAGTCCCTCGTAAAGCTCGCAATCAATTGTATACTAACAGCGCATGTTTGTAGGGTGATTTTGACGTCAGAAGACTGAAAGAGAGCAAGTACTTCTTCTCTTGATCTGTCACTGAGACATTATTCATACCCATACCACGATACTCATCTTGTACTTATCCGCAACCTGTACAAATCATCCTTTCCACGACACTTAGCGACATGCATTTTCCACGGCGTTAGCAACTCACAAAAAATCCACGGCCAACAAGGAGTTGTCTGCATTGAATAGTTGGGAAGCCCTTAGAGTCGGGCTCTCTGTATACTACTTGTCTCACATTTCTTGTATCATTAGCGACGTCTGCATACAATAGGGGAGGATGGCGGCCATGTCCCTGTTCAAGAGGGCCCCTCTGGACGGAGGGCATGCACGGTTTACGAGATATAGACTTTGCGGCACGCTTTACCGCCTATATACCATGTAGAAATGTCGAATAAGAGGAAGTTACGAAGCACACTACGTGTAGAACATGGGCCTAGGCTACCGTCACTTCCCGTCCACGATGCTGCGGGTTCTGTTTGTACACTTGGGTACTACACCGTTGTCGGTTGTCGCCAGCGGCGAGACTGTGATGACGACATGTGGTCCACGATCTTTGTGTCGGGCAGAGCGCGCAGGAGCACCTGAACCATATGATTACGCCCGCCGGTTACTGCGTCTGCAACGTGACATTGTCTCGACACAACGAGCCGCCTGCACAATAATTCAAGAAGTGTGACGGCACGGATACCGTAGACTTTGTGTGTGCGAAGCGAGAAACGGGAGGGGGCGAGATGAGACAGCAGAGACAGATAGGAGCAAACCTTCCTCTCCTCCCCCCTGCTGCGCTCAGGCATGTCTTCTCCCGCACGATATCTTTACAATACAGTAGCGCAGCAGCCCTGTCTCGTGGAGGTGGTGGTGGAGGTGGTCAAAAACAGTGAGGCGGCAGTGCAGCGGAACGGGCCGCGAGCTGGTCTCTCTTTGTATTTGTGTGCGCGGGAGGGCTGTTTGTCTGTTCTATTCTGGGGTGGTGGCTGTCTTGTGTCTGGCCAGCTTGCAGGAATTGTCTGTGTCTCTACCTCTAAAGACACGGCTCGTGGCTAGGTTTTGTAGCATTGGCGGCGTGGGTTCAAGTGAGTATCGGGACTTGAGAAACAGACTGCGGGGACGACCTCCATGTCACAGTAGCCTGTCTCGTACTTGAGGAACTTGCCGTGGTGTCTGAGCAAGTTGACGATGTTGCACTAGAGAAGAGGCTGGGACACGTCCAGATAGTCCATCCATCCGTGTGCTGCTTGTCGAATCAAAGAAAGGAAATGAAACCAGGCCAACATCATGATTGGCTCTTCCCCGAGCATCCACGCAAGGGTGGGCAGCCTTTGCATCTTTTGACAGCACAATTAAAGTTCCGTCACGATGTTTTTTGACTTCCCAGCTAGCACAAAGTACCGAGGACCTTGCGCGGGCAAGGCATCTATCTCGATCCCGGCCTGTTTTCCCTTCCTTTGCGGGGTGGCGCAGCTTGCGGGATCAACGCCTCAAGACCCCTATCACACAGTATTGAGACCAACACGACCTCGAGACGAACCCTTTTTGCTCCCAGTGTAGACGTGGGGACATGGTCGTCGGCGCCGGTCATTGTCTGGGCAGGCTGGGCATCGTCATGAGTAGGTTTGACATCAGCCTGCCCTTCTACCCCCTTTGGCCTTGGTCTTCCAGTGCACCACCGGACGAATCAATAGATGGACCTGGCCGAGAGGGAGCTTGCTGCAGAATTTTCATGGGCGCGTGACGCTGTAGCTGCCTCGCCGTTGTGTGCTCGTGTTGCGCAGAGAGCGAGAGCGAGCGTGTCGTGTCTCAGTGCTGGCGGCTTGGCTTGTGTAAGGGAAGACCAAACCCACGCTGGTATATCCCCTCCCTTTGCTGCCTGGCGATGAGTTCTTGGCGGCCATGTCTGGGAGACACCAACTCGGAGTTTTCCTTTGCCGACCGGCAGGTGAATCGAGGTTGCCATCACGAGCGGTCAAGCTGCGGCAGTGCTACTGGGCAATTGCGAGAAGATTTTGTCCGCAAGAAGATGCGTGCCTGGTGACTGTTATATCGATCGAGGGAGCAGTGCTCTGGCAAACTTCATTAGAGAAGAGAAATAAGACGAGGACACTATCTCGAAGGCGCTCGAGCACTTGCGCATGCCATGAGCCCGAGCTTCGATCCGAGGGCCTGAGATATCTGGAGGGAGTCCTACATCTCTTACAAGAAACCTCGTGTTGCTTAGAGTTTGAGACCTCGATTTCCACTCTCGACCGACGATCCCCCACAATGACTGACTGCTGGTAGACGAGGCCGTCATTGGCTGTCGGCAATGGCACGGGGTGTTGATGGTCTCTTTGGGAGGGGGGTTCTTTTTGGCGGAGTATCATTGGCAAGTAACACAACTCTGTGTCCGTCGGTCTCTGGTGTGATGCAACTGTCGTTGGCCACATGGCAGGGCTCGGGTATATATTCACGGGAGCCACTCCCTCGCAAGTTTGATACAGTCAAAAGAAAGTAAGTACAGGTAAAATCACCAGAGACGAGAGACTTATGCCAACTATACAGCACTCGGCCACAACCTCAACACATCTCAGCATATTGTAGACACGAAACAACCGGCGTCATGTTCGTGACCATGAACTCTGTCCTCGCGGCGACGGTGATGTTGCTGGGTTTCAGGTGAATATCCCACATCAGTCCTGTTCATCATCTTGTCTATTGCTATCCAGGTCTATCAGCATGGGAAATTAGTGACTCCTAACCACCATTTCAACAGCCACGCCGCTCCGCCGCACACTCCAGCTCCCGGCAAGCCGCCTTTTCCAACCGTGGTCCCCGGCTTTCCCGGCCCTACCAAGACACGCCCTAGCTTCACCAAATGCCCTCCCCCGATCGTGCCCCCACAGCCGGACATTGGCCTGCCTGCAAGCTGCTTCACCACCTGGGATGACTTTGAGCACTCGACCGCGGGGGTCGACGGCCCGTTGTGCTTCACGTGGACTACCACGGCTCCGGCAGGTGAGTCCCTCCTCCTCTACGTCCGCTGGATATACATCCATCCCACTCCCGGCTGACGGACATCATCATCGACAAAGTGACATGCCCTCAAATCCACTGCGCCTCGCCTCCCCCAGACCTGGCCTGCCCGCTGTACCTCAGGGTCAGCAGCACCACGGTCCCCTGCGCGACCGACTGCTGCCCCTTCACCCCGACCGCCACGTACTCGTGCGGGCCCTGCCCGACCTGCAACCCGTGCCGCGTGCCCACCATACTGAGCGTCTTCACCACAGGATGCCCGGGCACGCCGACCGTCACTTCCGTCACGACCATTACGCCTCCCTTTTGGTGATTGACGTGGGGACGGGAGGAGACTGGGGTGGCTTGTTGAGCTCAAGAGGTTATGGTCTGGTTTTTGGTAATAGATCGGGGTGATGCGGCTTGTTTCGGTTGTGTTGAACGGTAACCGGGAAGGCTTCACGCTGCGTAGGCAGGAAAAGGGTCTGATTGCTTACTTGGTCGGCTCGGACTGTGGATGGTTAAGATTGATAGTCGATTGATAGCCAGTCCAGGGACAGAGTTGTACACTCCTTCTCACTACGTAGTCGTTTATACGTTTCAGAAATAGGAAATCACCATCGTCGGCATACAACCTCGTACAATTCCGAGCTGAGAGGAGAGCACACTGTCAACCTTGGAAATTCTCTTTGATTCCATTTCTTTTTTACATGTTGGCATTTAGCATCATCTATTTGGACACGCCCATTTTACCGGACGGTCGCGCCCTTGAGGCTCTTGACTGTGCACACACCACCACTCGCGGTCGTGAGCTTGCCGACTTCCTCCTTGCCAGCCTCCTTCACGACCGTGCCGTCAAAGGCAACCTCGAGGTTGTCGTTGGTGGTGAAGCCAGGCTGGAAAGTCTCCCAGATCTTCTTCTTGGGGTTCAGGACACCCTCGGGCTCGCCGCGCCACCCATCGAAGCAGACACGCTCGCCGGCCTTGGAATCGGCTGGTGGGGTGACAAGCTCTACCGGGCCCTTGTGGTCATCGACTTCACCCTCCTTGAGTCTCGGCGACGCAGCGAGGACCATGGCGCACGACTTGATGCCGCGCATCTTGACCGGCTTCAGGTTGGCGACCACGACGACCTTGCGGCCCTGCATCTCCTCCAGGGGAACCAGACCGTTGAGACCAGAGCAGACAGTACGGCAGACCTGACCCTCGTAGACCTCGGTGTCGTCGGTACCCTCCTTGTCGCCCATGGCGATGGTAGAGACGTACAAGCTGTCGGCTTCGGGGTGCTTGATAGCCTTCAGAATGTGGCCAACCCGCAGGTCGATCAAGTGAGGCGCAGGAGGTGTGGCAACGGCGGGGGCCTTTTGCGGCTTGGGAGCCTTTTCTTTCTTCTCCTTCTTCTGCTGCTTGGGGGCAGCAGCAGCCTCGCCGGTGATGCCCGCAGCGGCGGCGGCGGCGGCAACAGTCTCGCCTGCCTGGACAGCGGCACCCTTGACAGCCTCCACGGCAGCACCAGCCGCAGCGACAGTCCTGTCCACCAGTGTAGCATTACCACCAGCAGCAGGAGCGGCGGCAGCGGCGGCAGCGGCGGCCTTCTCCTTCTTCAGGCGCTCCTTCTCGGCTTTGGCATCGACCGGAGGCTTCACGTAGAGGATCTCATCCTGGTCGACGTGGATCTTATCGGAGTCGGCGACCTTGAGGTCGAAGACGGGCGAGTGCTGGACAAAGTCGAGGTGGCGGACAATGTGCGGGTGACCGTTCTGGCCGGTGCGCTGCTCCGGAGACCACGCCTTGACGGCTGGGGCGAGCGACTCGTAGATGGCGACATCGGCCTTGGACGGCGTGGTGCCCAGCAGAGTGGTGCGGGAGGAGAGGTGAGAGTTGAGCTTGTCGAGAATGGAAGCATCCGAGGGAGCGGCCTTGAGGCGCTCAGCCGTGGTGAGCCATTGCTGGACCTCGGTCTCCTCGTTGGACGACAGCTTCTGGGACTCGAAAGCGGCCATGATTGCGGAAGATCGAGTAGAGAGGCCTCGAGCGAGGGGTCGGATGGTACGCAAGAGCGACAGTTTGGCGGGGCTGCAGACTGCCTGTTGACTGACCACCACACAGCAGGCGGAGGTCAAAAAACAGTGATTTTGAAGAAGGAACAGACTTCTTTGAGGCGGACTGGGGCTCGCTTGCAAGATTGTGAAAAATGTGTTTTCTTAAAAGTCAAGCCTGAAGCTTTCGAATTGGTTATTTTGCCCCGCCATGCGCATCCCCGAAAATGTTTATGACTGTACCACCAGCTGTGCTGCTGCTGCATGGCCAGGGCCCCACTGAACGGAGTGGGCTGCTGGGTGGGATTTTATGTAGCACCGTGCCAAGCTCATTATGCATCAGTTATGCAGCCTTATGCACGACGCGGCCAGGCAGTCAATGTGCGTGCAGGAGCCACCACGCAGCCACGTCCCTGACGACAGACTGGGTCTGCTTGTGCAGCACTGACATAGCTCCGGTACCTCCAACAAGGCTGCCTTGGCTCCGTCCAACCAACCACTTGCGGTCGCGACATCCTCCATCCAGAAAGCTCCAGCTGGTCGAGAGCTCATCCTGCCAACCACCATCGCCCATCGACGACAGCGGCGCCCTCTCCTCCCTTCCAGCCTCGAGCCCGAGCTTCCCACGCATTACAGCCTCCGGTCCTCATCTCCTATCTCGATTCTCGTCCGCCGTCCACGATGGGGTACAACTTCCTGTACAGCACCGGCTATGTAACGTCCGCCCTGGTCGTTGTTGGGCTTTGTACGTCACGACTTCTCGACCTCCATCTTTGCGTCCGACACGGGGCGCGCTGCGCGCAACACCAGCTAATCATGATACAGACATGCTCTTCACCGGCAGTGGCGAGCGGTTCAATGTGCGTCATGTCCTTTCAAATCCTGGGCAGAGCAAGCAATGAATTGGACGCTAACCACTCGCTTACGCAACCAGGTCGGCGCTTTCCTCGAATCTATATCACCTCACGCGTGGGCTGATCTTGGTATCTCCCTGTGTATCTCGCTGTCCGTCGTCGGCGCTGCATGGTACGAAGAAGCAAACCCCTCAACGAAGCAAGACTTCGCGATCGAAGCGTCGAACCGATACGGCGCACACGGAAGACTGACTTGCTTGCTATGATAGGGGTATCTTCATTACCGGCTCCTCTATCCTCGGCGCTGGTGTCAGAGCTCCTCGCATCCGAACAAAGAACCTGATTTCCATCATCTTCTGCGAGGTCGTCGCCATCTACGGCGTCATCATGGCCATCGTCTTCTCTTCCAAGCTCACCTACGTGAATGGCGCCGAGATGGAGTCCGCGGCTGCCTACTACACTGGCTATGCCCTCTTCTGGGCCGGCCTGACTGTCGGCGGCTGCAACCTTGTCTGTGGCGTTGCCGTTGGCATCAATGGTAGTGGAGCTGCTCTTGCCGATGCGGCTGACCCTTCGCTGTACGTCACATCTTGAATCTTGGCGAGATCCATCAGAAATGACTAACAATTTGCACAGCTTCGTCAAGATTCTCGTCATCGAAATCTTCAGCTCTGTCCTTGGCCTTTTCGGGCTCATTATCGGTCTTCTGGTCCAGGGCAAGGCTGGTGAATTCGGCGCCGTCGCGTAAATAACGATCTTCACGATTAAAAGGTATCGGTCGAAACACTTCGGTACGAGAACCACTTGTGTGAAGCACAAGAGGGGCGAGCAGATGACGGATAATCGAGCTGGCACGACATGGGCACAAACACGCCCATGTTGTGGAAGATGTCTCGCATTTACAATCCCACCGCAGGATTGATCGGCGTTTGGAAGACATGGTCTGCTTTTTCTCAGATGGGGCAACGTGCATCGTGGTATATAGCAAATTGTGCACTATTATTATTCTGTAACAACACGTTCGAACTTAGCTAAGCGCCTGTTGTCATACTTGAAGTCTTGCTCCCTGTATTTAGCTCACCACTTTCCACGGCCATTCTGGCTTCTCGCGTGCTCGCAATATGCGTGCGCTCTGTGCCAGCTGGTCCCTGCTGCCTGGTGCGTTCTTAGCTGGTCTTATTATTCCTATCGACCACCTCTTATCCAGCGACTTAAGCCGGCGGACAAAGCCGGGTAAAGTCCGTTCAAGACAATCTCTCGAGAAAGACCCTGGAGAAGTGAGAACGCAAGCCCTCGCATGTTTCCCTTCACGATTCCCGATTGGTTTGCCTCAGCGGTATGAACTCAAGTGCGCGCGATATCACAAGCCCTTACAGGTGCCAGGTCATCGCCCGGGCAGTACTCTCGTTTACAGACTAGCATTCGGTACGCTTAGAACGAGTCTGGGGTTTGTTGCCTTGTTTTCCCGGCGATCTCTGTCATATTTCGTACGTTCTGAGAAACTGGCCTGCGTCTCTCGATCCGGATGTTTCGCTATGTTGTGTCGCGCGATAGGCTTAGATGAACCACCGGTGGCCACGAGATCAGGGGTGGGGAGAAAGTGCGGTGTCCGTGGGTTCTCATGGGACCACAGCATAGTGGTATTGCTGAGAATATAGCCCTCGTTACGGACCCCGACTCGGCGATTCACGGTGTCCAAGTAGAACCCGCGAGAGATTTATGGGAAACTCTCTGGACGATTTTGTGTCTAGCTGGATCTGAACACAAAGTCGCCTACACTGTCATGCAGTCCGTGAGTGCATCGATTGATACTCCGACTGGGCGCATTTCGCGCTCTTGGAACTCAGTCAAGATGAAAGAAGAGCACTCGCTACGAGAGCCAGCCTCTCTAAACATGATGCCGTCAAATGGGACTGGAAATATTCTTGTTTCCTGTACATGATTTTGCCCTTGAGGGTGTGCCGCCAGTGGAGAGGAGAGGGTATATTTAGTCTGCCCCTCAGCGGTTTCATGGGATTACGACAAGATCATTATTTTTGTCGAGCAAGTAAAGCAGTGCATTATCGTGCACCAAGGAAGTGATAGACGAATTTATACAGCGGGAAAGCAACCTCACGCGACTCTATTTGGGGATCGGGACTTGTTCTCGCACTGCCCGAAGGGCTCGGTCTCTTCTGCAAAAATGGGCAACTGCTCTCGGTGCTTCGACTCAGCCTGGTCCTGGCAGACTCGTGTAGTCACTCGGTTGATGGCATACTGGTCGCCGACAATGCGATTGTCGTTCTTTTTGGGTTCAATAGAGTTCAACCCGTGTCAGCACTCACAACCTGGCGTATTCCAAGTCGTTGCCAGTAGCTGTGTTTTAGCGTCCAATTGCCGGCGTTAGCTTCACTCCAGAGCGCCATTGGCTGGATTGGCCACTCCGGGAATGCAGGCCGGGGTCCAATCGATAAGTAGCCTGCCGGCAGAGCATGCCTGCTGGCCGCCCCGGCTGCGCTGCCGCATGTGCATGTGCATGCTCAGAGCTGTCGATGGATGCGCCGGCGGGCCTTGATACTACCGTGTTCAGAACACCCACGAGAGAGGCTGCGCGAACAAGCCTGAAGGCACAGCAGCAGCAAAGAGATCTGCAAACAACCTCACAATCGCCTACACCTTGCTCTGTCGGCGTCTCTTGCTTTCCAAGCTTGCACACTTGCATTGGCCGGCGCACGACTCATGCGGTTCGAGAACCCCTTAAGTCGACTCTGAGTTCAGCCGCTGCTGAGCTGCTACTGCTGCTGGTAGCTCCACCTCCACCACCACAAGTTAAAAGTCCCCTTGACAATCTAGGAATACCACCGACCCGACTGTCCCTTTCCTGAACACGAGGCATACGCAGGCTGCCAACACTGCGACGGTCGACGCCTCCGGAGAGCACTGGCACTCTCGCCTGCGCCGTGCTTGCCGCGTCCTCCTCCTCTTCAACCTCACCACCACCAAATGAACGTTCGCGACCCCTTCGGCCTCCACCAGAAGCAGAAGAGCGCACTCTCGATCCTGCGGACCACTGCGGTCAACACCGCCGCCCAGATTGCCGAGAAAGCCGTCGACGCGGGCATCCAGGCCATCGACAAGGGCAAGCAGGCTGTCCAGGACCTCCAGGACCTCCACCAGCAGTCCGACATGGCCTTCTCCTTGCCAAAGAACGTGCCATCCTTCGACCACCCCCAGCGGCACCTCGAGGACCGCGTGTGGGGCAATCCGAATGCGTCGTATCGCGGGTCGGCGGCCCGCGGCGGAGGCAGCAATGGGAACGGAATCCTAGGGGGCGTACAAGATCGAATGGGGGACATGTTCGACCGCAAGGGCGGGCTGCCGATGTACAAGGACAAGCCTTACGGGTATGGGCCCGGGCGTCCGAAGCCACTGTGGAGGAAGAAGCGGTTCCTGGGGTTCATACTTGTCATCCTGGGCCTGCTGTACTTCTCTGGAGTACTGGGAGGTGGCCAGCACGACATACCCAATGCGCAGCGGCCGCTGTGGGGCTGGCTCAACCAGAACACGGGGGATACAAAACATGCCAATTGGGACCGGAGGAGGGAGCTCGTCGTAGAGGCTTTCGAGTTGAGCTGGGACTCTTATAAGCGTTATGCATGGGGTGAGTCGTTTCCCTGCGAGCCGGCTGAAGAGGGGGGCGGGACTGCTTGCTAACAGCCATGCACTACAGGCTATGACGAGTATAGGCCGATATCCAAAAAGGGCGGCCAGATGACGCCCAAGGGCATGGGGTGGATCATCGTGGACGCGCTCGACACCATGATGATAATGAATCTCACGTCCCGCGTTTCCGACGCCCGCGGGTGGATAGCAAAGTCGCTCACATACGACCAGAACCAGGACGTCAACACCTTTGAAACGACGATACGAATGCTGGGAGGTCTGCTGTCTGCGCACTACCTCTCCACCGAGTTTCCAGAGCTGGCACCGCTGACGGATGATGACCCTGGTGCCCCCGGCGAGGACTTGTACCTTGACACGGCCAAGGATCTGGCGGATCGGCTGGTAGCCGCGTTCGACTCTGACTCTGGCGTGCCTTATGCTAGTGTCAACATTGGCACGCTAGAGGGCATCAAGTCTCATGCCGACTCTGGCGCGTCGTCCACTGCCGAGGCGACCACGCTCCAGCTAGAATTCAAGTACTTGGCCAACCTCACTGGTGAGAAGTACTTTTGGGACAAGGCCGAGAAGGTGATGCAGGTGGTCGATGACAACCAGGCTGAAGCCGGCCTGGTGCCAATCTTCATCAACCCCAGTACTGGCAAGTTCCAGGGAGAAAACATCCGCCTTGGAAGCCGAGGAGACTCTTACTACGAGTACCTGATCAAGCAGTACCTGCAGACGAACAAGGCCGAGCCAATCTACCTGGACATGTGGGAGGAAGCCCTCGCCGGCACGCGAAAGCATCTCGTGACTTATACCGAGCCGTCTGGCTTCACCATTATTGGAGAGCGGCCGTATGGTTTAGGGGGCGAGCTGTCGCCCAAGATGGACCATCTTGTCTGCTTCATGCCTGGCACCATTGCACTTGGCGCCACCGAGGGCTTGACAGAAGCCGAGGCGAAGAAGCTGCCAACATGGTCGAAGAAGCAAGAGGCAGACATGCAGCTCGCGCGAGAGCTGATGCAGACATGTTGGGGCATGTACAAGTGGATGGCGACGGGTCTCGCGGCAGAAATCACCTACTTCAACGTTGCCAAGCCCCCCCTGGCCGAGGGCGACCCTCACCCGAAGCCATCGGACGAGTTCGAGGCTGACCCGGAAGCGACGTGGCGGCAGGACTATGATGTGCACCGGAATGATGTGCACAACCTGCAGCGGCCGGAGACGGTCGAGAGTCTGTTCTACATGTGGCGTATCACGGGCGAGGTCAAGTATCGGAACTGGGGGTGGGAGATGTTCAAGTCGTTCATGAACCACACTGCCGTGGAAGACGGTGGCGGCTTCACAAGCCTGTCGGATGCGAACGTTGTGCCGCCGGTGCCGAGGGATAACATGGAGTCTTTCTGGCTGGTGAGTTTTCTGCCATTATTGGTCTTGTTGCGAAACACTTGCTGCTGCTGCCTCGACACATTTGCTAACCCCTGCTCCCCAGGCCGAGACGCTCAAGTACTTCTACTTGCTCTTCTCCCCCAACGACCTGATTCCGCTCGACAAGGTCATTATCAACACGGAGGCGCACATTCTGCCGCGTTTCGACATGGGCAGGCTCTTTTCGACGGGCTGGGAGCGCAAGCCACGGACGCCGGCGGCAGCCACAGCGGCGGGAACAGAGTAAGTTTGAGAGGGAAGAAATCATGCCGGCCAGGAAGGCGCCCGGCATTTATGGAAGCGACATTCCTGGGACAAAAAGGAGCTGGTGTTGATACTCCACCCATACTGTATATATCACCGATGATTTGCAGGGCCATGAGTACGCCGCATGAGCATAGCAACGAGCGGGCCGTGTCCATTGACCAAGGACTCTCTGGCCATGGTTTTCCAAACCCCCGTCTTGTGTGCTCCGTGAATGACTTGAAGAATGCCATGGCTGAGAGAGCCCATTTGGGTATGCGACTCTGTGAAAGATAAGGCAATGTGGCGGACCCATGTTTAGGGCTCAGCTGAGATGCCAGGATTGACTCCGAAGAGGGCTAGCCTGGGGGGGCCCAGGATTACCAAAACAAACTTGGCGCCATGCAGCCTGGAAATGGGGGCCCTAGGCTAGCCTAGCGAACGTTGGGCGCGTGGGTGCGGGCGCCGCGGGCTGGCTGCTGCGATCCCCGAGGCCGGGGCATTGCCACTCAGCACTTTTCATCAACCCATCCTTCCCAGTCGCCCGGCTCGACCAGGTGGCCGATCCTCGTTGGGGGGGAACAAGGCGCCGTCCGTCACACAGAGAGACAGACAGACTGACAGAGAGAGGAGCAAGCAGACGAGCTGAGGCACAGGCAGGGCAGGCCCCCCCACTCCACTCAGGCAGGCGCAACTTGACTTATCAGCAGCATGTCCCCAGGTCGTCGTCGACCTGGGCTAGGCAGGCAGGTGTTGCAGGATGCCATCCCCAGCTGTCCCGCGCTAGGTCCCTGTGGCACACCGACCGACCAAGATAAGCTGCCGTCGCAGGCGAGACGGAGACCGGCTGCTGCTCAACACACCAGACTCCCTTCCTGCATCCCCGACACTCTGTTGCGCCCGCTGCTCCCTTTTCGAAAAGGGCCTTCTTGCTCTCTGCCATTTCCCCTCCAGAGAGAGGAGAGGCTCGTGTGCGCTAACAGCCCCCGACCACCCTCCGCAATCTCTGGAATCTATGTAGATTGCCCCCAGCGATCGCGCGTGGCTACCTTACCCACACCCGCCCACCCGCCGCTCACTGTCCGCCTATACCCACATCCAGATCGCCGCACACGACGACCACGACCACCCGCACTTCCGACATCACGGCCACCCGCCCGCCTGCGACCACATGATTGAGCTGCAATTCTTCTCGTCTCAATAGTGCGCACGCGTCGTATCTGTGGCGACCATTGGCGACTATCCATCTTGACGTCTCTAGCACCGACGCACACAGTCATTGCACGCCACCATCCGGTGGTTGGGTTTCTGACACGCCTTCAGGCCGGCTGGCTGCTTTCCTCGACAAGCAATCACCACCTCGATCTACACCACACCACGTCTTCGCCTCTCCTATAGCTTTTCGAGTGTCACGCGCTTGCGTCTCACAATTGTAGTAACTCACACACACACGACCCAGACCCTGTGCTGAGGTTCACAGGCCCAGCCGCCCGCCCTCGGCTGGCACCACCACCACAGAGCCCCGCCCGAGCGGCGGATGTCGAACCATGCCGGCGCGCCACCGCGACGACATTGAGATGAACATCTTTCCGATCAAAGAGGACCCAATGGATGCAACAGGAGGGCGCGGAGGCTATTCCGCCAGCAGCTATGGCCGTGGAAGCGTTGGCCGTGGAAGCGTTGGCGGCAATGGTGGAGGAGGACCTGGGGCGGCACATGGCAGTGGCGGCTACATGCGGCGCGAACCGAGCTACGAGGACGACGAGGAGTCACCGCGCTTCCTCGCCCGGTGGGCAGACGGCTTCCGGCGTGCCGAACACCCGCAGCGGTCCCCATCGAAAGGGACCTTTGATGAGTTCTCCTTCGCCGACCACCATTCGACATCCCTGCGCCCCATGCTGAGCCGCGGGTCCGAAGCAGAGTACTACGACGTCCGCACAGCGAACATGCAGACGGCGCACTCGTTCCTCGCAAGAAAGCTCAAGGGCCGCCACTTGCAGATGATTGCGATCGGAGGTTCCATCGGCACAGGGTTGTTTGTGGCTTCGGGCCGCGTGCTCGAGGTGGGCGGCCCGGCCTCCGTGTTGATTGCGTATAGTTTCATTGGATGCATGTTGTACTGTACAGTGCAGGCGCTCGGCGAGCTCGCCGTCGCATTCCCTGTGGCGGGCTCGTTCTCATCGTACTCGACGCGGTTCTTGCATCCGTCGTGGGGTTTTGCAATGGGCTGGAAGTGAGTTTCCCTTATTTTTCACTTCGTTTTGTTGCCTTCTGCCACATGTTTGCTACAGGCTCATGATTGCCGCAAGGAAGCATCAGCTTGCTAACTTTGGTCTCATTGCGATTCTTCAGCTACGCAATGCAGTGGATGGTCGTGTTGCCACTCGAAATAATAGCGGCATCTCTCACGATAGGGTACTGGAACCACGATATTTCACGTTCGGTATTTGTCTTCATATTCCTGACATTTATCGTGGTAATAAATCTGTTCGGCGTCAAAGGTTACGGAGAGGCCGAGTTCGCCTTTGCGATCGTCAAGGTGACGTCAGTCATTGGTTTCATGTAAGTCATTCCTGCCGCAGAAGTAAGTGGTTATCGATGCAGCCCTGACTGAGCTAACACCAACCCACTTCGCAGACTGTTGGGTATCGTCCTCAACATAGGCGGCACGCAGACTAGTGGCTACATCGGTGGCAAGTACTGGCGCGAACCGGGTGCCTTCCACAACGGTTTCAAGGGCTTGTGCAGTGTCTTTGTCGATGCAGCCTTTGCCTTTGCAGGTACCGAGCTCGTGGGCCTAGCGGCCGCCGAGACGGAGAACCCTCGAAAGTCGCTGCCGACAGCGATAAAGCAGGTCTTCTGGCGCATCACGCTCTTCTACGTCGTCGCGCTGACGCTTGTGGGCCTGCTCGTTCCATACAACCATCCAAGACTCCTGAACGCCAACGAGGACGGCCGGCCGAGCACAGCCGCGGCCTCGCCGTTTGTCATTGCCATTGACAACGCAGGTATCGAGGTTCTGCCCTCCGTCATGAACGCCGTGATCCTCATCGCGGTCTTGTCGGTTGGAAACTCGGCGGTGTTCGGCTCGTCCCGCACGCTCGCCGCGCTTGCCGACCAGGGACAGGCACCTTCGTGGCTGTCCTATATTGACCGCGAAGGACGGCCCCTGTACGCCATCATCCTTGCTTCGTCCATCGGCCTCTTGGCCTTCCTGGCCGACTCATCCGAACAAGCCGTCGTGCTGGATTGGCTGCTGGCCATTTCGGGTCTCTCGTCAATCTTCACCTGGGGCTCCATTTGCCTCGCGCACATCCGCTTCCGGCGCGCGTGGGCGCTCCAGGGTCATTCTCTGCGAGAGCTCGCATTCACCTCCCAGTGCGGCGTCTTCGGCTCGTACCTGGGCTTCTCGTTCAACGTGCTCGTCCTGATTGCGCAGTTCTGGGTCGGTGCCTGGCCCGTAGGGTTCCAGGAAAAGACGGCGGTCGATCTCGCGCGCAACTTCTTCCTCCAGTACATGGCGGTCCCCATTGTCATCATCTTCTTCCTCGTCCACCGCCTCTGGGCCAAGACGAAGCTCATCCGCACGCGCGACATGGACGTCGACACGGGGCGCAGGGGCTTCAATCTGCCCATCCTGGTTGCGCAGGAGGCGGAGGAGAGGAAAGGCTGGCCACGGTGGAAAAAGATTTATAAATTCCTCTGTTGAGAGACTTTTCAACTCACATGTATATATACATACATGGGTGTGTGAGTAGGAAGGATGGATGGCTTGTTTCTTTTCTGATTTTTGTGTGTTTCAGGCAGGCAGGCTTTGCGTTTAGATCAATTTCCTCACATGTTTTGTTTTGGTTTTCAATTTTTCGACCTGGATTGCCGGGTTGACGGGCTTTTGCTTTATTTCGGCCTAGATATATATATATCTCCTGATCTATACACTTCCCGGTTCTTGGATAGGACGCTCTCTCACCGTCTCCTACGGTATCTGTGTCAGTAAAAGCGTAGTCGCTTTGTCGACCATGTGACTGCTTGTGCGTCTGGACAGTGGAACCATAAAAGAATACTAGAAAGCGGCGCACATCCTAAGGGGCGTCGACAATAACGCCTGCATGGTACTTTATGTGCGATGACAGGACACTGTGCATTGCGCAATGCGCCACCCTCAAGCGCCGAAAAACTTTTGCACAATGTTTGGTCGTGTTTGAATCTGACTCGTTGAAAACAAAGCGCGAGAGAGAGAAGTAAAAAAAAAAAGACAGTCTACAAGGATCTCCACAAGCAGATCCGCTGTCGGCCGGACCTGGACCTGTGCTTGACTCAAAAACTCCTCCAGTGGGAATCAGGAGGATGATATGTACATGGCCAACACTCTGTAATATGCCTTCGGCACTCCCAACGCTAAGGAAATGGCTCCTCCTTGGGGCGATTTGATCTCGCTCTGGTATCTATGCAAATACATGTGTCAAACTCGTGTCGTCGTTGATGAAATGCTGTATCGTGTGCGCTGCGTCATGTCTCCTCCTCGTGGGGGAGTGCAAGGAACGAAGTAATGAGGCAACCGGTCCGTCATAATGCAGTCCGAATCCCCGCACCCTCCTGCGCGTCTATCGGAAGCCATTGCCTGGGCTTTCCTAGAAGTCCCAGTCAAAGGTCCGGTTGGTGGAGACGTAGCGGTTGGCCTTCTTGCCAGGCACCGGTTTCTCCTCAGGCTGGTCGTCGTTGCCAAACATCCATTCCCGGTTCGAGCCCTTGCCACCACCCATGCCGTCGCCGCCAATGGCAATGCCTCGCTGCTCAAGGCCTGCCGCGGTCTGGCCCTTGCCACCGCCCATCCCATTACCTGCAATCGCAATACCACGCTCGGGCTTGTTCTCCTTTTGTGCAGGAGACGTATCATAGCTGGACCAGTTGGCGTCCATCATCTTGACGGCTTTCTTGCGATCATCGCTGATGGTCTGCGGCTTGGTCGGCTTCTGTGCAGGAGAGTTGTCGTTCATGTCAAAGTGGGGCGCAAAGTCCCGACCGCGGTCCTTGAGGTTGGTGACGGCACCAAGTGCCTGCTTTTCGGGCTCGGCAGGCGCGTCACGGCCCTCCTCGTCGTACAAGTTGTTCTGGTAGAGGCTGAGCTTCTTGTTGTGCAGAGCACCGCGAGGGCCATCCTTGCGAGGCTCGGCACTCTCAGGGCCGTCGTCCACAAACTCAAAGTGAGTCTCGGCGTCCTTGCGAGGCTTGTTTCCTTGGGGCGGTCGAATCGGGCTCTCATGGTCGCCGGCCTCGAGACCCCAGTGTCGGACCTCTTGCGCACGCATGGCTTTGGCCTTGGGCTTGGCAGGGGTGACAAAGTCCTCGAAATCCCACTGGCTGGTGTGCTTGGTCTTCTTGGGGTTGGGGTTGGAGATGTTCTCGACCGCATCTGAAGGGTCCGTGGCATCGCCAAACTCAAAGTGATTGAACTTGGCAGGGTGAGGTCGGTAAAAGCGGTTCGGGGAGCTCTCGTTGGAGTCGGACTCCTCATGGTCCTCGTTCTCGTCAAAGAGTCTCTGAGCCTGGAAGTTCTTGCCAGCGCCGATCTTGGGCGCAACCGCTCTGGTCGACGACTCTGAGCGGTCCCGACCCGCGCTGGGTGAGCCGGGCTCGTCGCCAAGAATCTCGGTGAAGCTACGCTGCCGGGGCCGAGTACCTCCAGCCTTGGGAGAGATGATGGATTCTATGCTCTGATCCTCCTCGGGCTTGTGGGCAAAGAGCTCGTGCGGGTCGCGAATGGGCCGGTTGCCAGCGGTGCGTGCTCGGACAGGCAGATCGTGGGAGTTGTCCGAGGCGGGGAGTTGCTGCGCGGACGAGGCGATGAGGCGAATCTGCTCAGTGCTGTCGCGTATCGGCCAGTTGCGGCCAGACTTGCCAATAACGTCGCATTGCTTGAGCAGGCCACCCTGGTCCCACGACTGACGGATTTGGAGAATCTTGCCCTGTGAGTCGAAGGTGACAACGTGGGTCTGGAGGTTTGTGCAAGTCAGTACAAGCTCGGCACGGGCTGGCTTACAACAGAAAAGGAAAGTCCACGGATGGATGGCCAGGCGCGAGTGGTGGTTCGACTTACAATGGGGAGGTGGACAGTGCGGTCAGAGAGGAAGTTGTCGTCGAGGCCAGGGAGGTAAGCACCGCCACTGGTCAGGAACTTGAGGGTTGTGTCCACCTCGATGACGACGGCATCGTGGCCTTCGACGACAGTCAGGGCTTCCTGCTTGTCTCTCTGGAGCTTGTTGGCCGTGAGCTTGAAGTGCTCCGAGATTTTGTCGACACCCTTGAAGACAGTGCCCGTGGTGACGTAGACAAGGCTGGCGTCCGGGGCGAGCAGATCTGGGTGCGGCGCAGCGAGGAACTGCTTGTACGCGTCGGCCAGGGCCATGGCGAAAGTAATGCGAAAGGCGACGAAGGGGTGAATGTTGGTGTGGCGAGGAAGCACGCGTGGCAAGGACTGGTGGTCGAATTAGGGAGGGGTAGAAAAGAAAAGTGTCGCCAGCGCGCGCGCGGAAGAGAGAGAGGGAGAGTGGGAGAGAGAGAGGGGTGGTGGGTGGGTGGAAGGAGAGGCAGTCGTCGAGGTTGGCTGGGTGTGATGACGAGATGGTCGTGGTCAAGAGAATGTCTGGGGCGATGGAGGAGCTTGTGATGGAAGGAAAAAGGATGGAGAAGGACGACAGCACCCGGGGCGAAGCAGGCAAGCGAGCGAGAGGGTGGTTGAGACACTGAAACGTCAAACAATAACAAAGGAGCGCAAGCTGCCAGGACCCTGGTGGAGTGGGCCAGGCAGTGAGGCACAATGCGGGCAGGGGGGTCAGTCGATGAAGGGGGCGAAGGAGGGAGAGAAGAAGCCCTTATTACTGCGTAGAGGGCGACCAGACACACACCAACTCGAGCATTGATTGATTGATTGGCGCCATGCCATTCGTGGATGCGCGGAGGGAGGTGCATTCCACAGCAGACAGGACGGGACATGCGTACCTTCAAAGTCACGTAAGTACGTACTTTGCATCGCAGCACCAGTGCGTGACGAAGTCATCAAGCGTGCGTGCAGTAGCTCTCTCTGGCCCCAACTTACCTCGAGGTACTTTGCGTAGCCCATGCAGGCAGCCTGAAGGTCGCACCGGGGGCTCGGACGGCCTGGGGGGGATCGAGCCCCGATCCACCTGCCATCGCCAGCTGCAGGAACAGACCCAGTCCGGCCCCCGCTAACACTGTTAGCATCAGACGAAGGCGGCACCGTCTGTCCATCTGTCTGTAGCAAGGCGCCCCGAGGTAATCAAGGAGCCCATCATTCCCAGCGGGCAGGGAGGCCGGTGTCACTCTGTATGTACCTAGGTAGTCTTGGTGGTGCACTGGCACATGTTTGAAGCTCTGCGTACTTAAAATAGGGACATCTTGTCAGTTGGCACGGCTGGGCTGGGCACTCGATGACCAACGCTGGTCCGAGAAGGATCTTGCAGTCTTGGCTACATGGCCCTGCACGGCAGCACATTTGGTTGCCATTCACAGACGACCGGGGTAGAAGCCCTACGGCCATGTCCGGGTAATATATACATGACAGAAACGAGTGGGCAGCCCTTGACTAATCAGGACGCCGCCCGTGAAATTGTTCTGAATGTCTTCCTCCTCTCCCCAAAAAGGCATAAAGTGGGCCCGTCTCCTATTGGCCCCAGGCGTCGAAACATGCCCAAGTTGGGAATCGTTTGTTTCACCCCGGCCCAAGTGAGGTTTCAGGTCCTGCCCAGGCATCTCTTCATGGCCGAAACCCTGAGACTAATCAGATGTGCCCTTCTGCCGAGAGCAAACTTCTGATGTGTCATGCGACTCGTCGTGCCCAGCCAATACAAATACAAATGAAAATAAAAATAAAAATAAAAAATAAAATAAAACAAAGTCGTGCAAGGCAGCTCTGTTTCCCACCAACAGCATCAACCCGCGGCGTCGCATGTTTGCCTGTCGCACGACCACATCCACCGCTGACCGAGTGACCGTCGTCCTCGTCCCACCCGCTGCACTCGGCGCGCGCACCAGCCTGCCTAGTCGCAGCGCCACATCTGAGCGTCGTTCGACAGTCTCCCAACCTTCGAGGTCAACTTTGTATTTGAACGAGCTGTCCCCGCTGGCCCTGTCGATCTCCCGGATCTATTCCTCTCAGTCCTGGGTTGAGCATCACCAGCCCAACAACCACTCCACTCCACTCCCCTTTCTTCTCTTCCTGCCCATTCCTTGCTGAGCAAGACGGCGCTGTGCGCGTTTCCAACTCATCTTTGATAGACTTTCCAACCATCCTCCGCCATATTCAGCTCGCCTCCGCTCCCAGGTTGTCTTGTGCCCTGCTGCGAGACTCAAAATCCCAACTCATCATCTTCAATTATCCCATCGATATCTCCCCACTCCGTCTTACAAGAGTGCCGTTACATACACACGAACCACTTCAACCACCATGCACATCCCTACTCAACTCGTCTCGGCCCTCCAGCTCGACCGCCCCCAGGTCCACTCGCGCAAACACCATCATGTCTACAACGGCTCCGGCCGGCTGCCGCTCGCGACGTGGGTCCGGTCCCCGACCATCATCACCCTTGATGACCCGACCGACCCGGCCCACTGCGACATCAACCACATTCTCGTCTACGAGGTCGTCCTCTACTTCGGCAGCAACCGCGCCTGCACAATATACCGCTCCCGCGCAGACTTTGAGCGCCTGCGTCAGACAATTACCCCATGGAAGACGGGCCCGCCCCAATGCATCCCGCGCGACCACAACGATGCTGCGGTGCTGCACCAGCTTCTGCGCGAGGCTTTGCTCCACCGGCCGCGGGACTGTGCGCTCGAGTATTTCCTGCGACGGCGCATGGAGGATTGCGGTGGGCATCGGTGTTGAGAAGGACGCGAGCGTGGCGTCCTTTTTGGTCCATCCCGGGGCAGAGCGCGCGTAGTGTCACCCTCGGATACTTTCTGTTCAGTTACCTTTTTTTGTATTCTCACCACTTTCTCCGGATTATCGCACAGTGGCTGCTGTGCGTGCGTCCTACGTACGAAGACCATGATTTCATTTATCGCGCCCATAGCCTCATATATCCCACCTCACTCGGCGCACCCAGCGCAAGATTGGAGTTAGCTTGAAATTGCAATTGCATCTCTCTTCACTTCTCAAACCCTGAAAAAGGCCCACGAAAAAGTAGCAGTAGTCAAGCCTGTGGTCATTTACTATTGGTCGCTTCCACTCTGCGCTTATGCGCACAGCTGTGCGGGTGCAAGAGCCAGAGTCGCATCGTGGTTGTGCTTCTGTGTCGTGCGATAGTAGTCCCACTGAGCAGCTCAAGCGGACCCTCCTCCCCCTGGCCGGATGACGCAAGCGGATTGTAGTTACCCGGCGCGAGGGTGGAATGCAGTGAGGCTCCGGGCCAGGCTCCAGGCCAAATGCCTGCCTGCACTGCACCACGCCTTGGGGGCGGGGAGCTATTTCGAGACAGCCCGAGTGTGACAGGCTGGACAGGCTCGATAACTCAGCAATCAATCAGGACTCGTGCAGGGTTGCGTGGCCCGCCCACCGCGCGCGCCGCCGCGCCAGCGCAGCAGCTCCAGGCGGGCCCGCCCAAGGCTGTTGTCATCACTGCCTCAGCCTTTAGACTCAGGCCACGCCACGGAACCGGAGTTGGCCTAATCACACCCAGACCTCACTGCTTGCGAGTCCATTCGACAATCCTGTGCAGCCAACAATCCTGCAGCCTGCTCCATCAATCACCCACGACAGCCTGTGGCACGTCCCGGGCATTCCACGTTTCCTGCTCTATCCGTAGCAGCACAAAGATTGTCGCCGCGCCGCAGCTCCAGCCTGGTTGACTCCCACAGCTACCCGTAGACCCTCGAGCTTCAGTTGCTTGCCATCAACCACCATCGCGATAAGTCTCTACCACGAAACAGTCTCCTGGGCCGAACCATACCTCTATCCGTCCTCTCGAGCCCTCCGCACGTGCCCATCTGGGTTGCCATAAGCTCGGCCGCGCTGCTATGCCCGCTGAGGCCGCCACACCTACACCGAGACCATGAGGGTGAGCAGCGCTCTCCGGGCGGCAGCCCCGTCATGGGCCGTTGCCATCCTGATGCTCGCCGGTCTCGCACCGGTCACGGCAAAGGACGAGCCCACCATCGAAGCCCACGAGTTCGACAGCCTGCCGAGTGGGCTCTACTACTTCCCGGGCTCCAACGTCATCATGTTCCAGGAGAGCCGGGACGGCACGGTCTGGCGGTCCGAGAATGGTGGCTCGTCCTGGGAGAAGCCCAAGGGCGTTGACCAGAAGGAGGCTCTCGTCTTCGTGCCCCACGAGTTCGACCCCAATCGCGCCTACATCCTGACCGAAGGCAAAGAACACTGGCAGACAAAAGACAAGGGCAAGAGCTGGGACAAGTTCAATACTGGCGTGCACACCAGCCAGCTGCGCAAGTACGGCTGGCTGGTATTCAATGCCGGCAACCCGGACCACATCATCTTCCACGGCATGGAGTGCGAGAGCATATTCTGCTCCGGCGTGGTCGTCTACACCACCGACGGGTTCGAGAAGCCGGGCAAGTACCTCCGCGAAGACGCCGACGACTGCTGGTGGGCCAAGAGCTCGGAGCTCTTCACTACCGGCAAGAAGGAGGAGGATGACAACAGGGTCATGTGCATCGTCAACGACTCCTTCTTCTCTGGCAAGGAGGCCAACCACCTCGTCATGTCCGATGACTTCTTCCGCGAGAAGGACGACGGCTCAATCAGTGAATTTGAGCCCGGCATCAACAGCGGCGAGACAGTCGAGGGTGTGCTCAACCTGGTCACCGTCAAGAAGTACCTTTTGGTGGCGACGACGTCGAAGAACACCGACGAGATGGCACTCTTTGTGACCCAGGACACCCATGAGTGGCACCGCGCCGTCTTCCCCTCTGATCACAAAGTCAGCCAACGAGGCTACACCGTGCTCGAGAGCACCAACTACAGTGTCCAGATCGACGTCATGAGCGGTTCTCGTGTGTCTCAGCCAATGGGAAGCCTGTTCTCGAGCAATTCCAACGGCACATACTTTACACAGAGTGCTGAGCACACCAACCGTAACCATGAGGGCAACGTCGACTTCGAAAAGGTTTCGACAATACAAGGCGTTTTCCTCGTCAACCAGGTTGATAACTGGGAGGAAGTCTTGGAGGAGGCAAATGAGAAGAAGAAGATCAAGACCAAGATCACCTTCGACGATGGCAGAACCTTTGAAAAGATCACCGCCGGCGACGACGAGATCCACCTGCACTCGGTGACCGAACTGCATAATCTCGGTGCCGTGTTCTCCAGCCCAGCGCCTGGCCTCGTGATGGGCAATGGCAACACAGGAAAGTATCTCGACAAATACGAGGATTCCAACCTCTACATCTCCGACGATGGCGGTCGCACCTGGGTAAAGGGTCCAAAAGGCCCACACAAGTACGAGTTTGGCGACCAAGGCTCGATCTTGATTGCAGTAGAAGATCGCGAGAACGGCGCCGTTGGCGAAGTCAAGTACTCTCTGGACCACGGTCTCGAGTGGAAGACGGTTTCGCTGCCCAAGGACATCAAAATCACCCCGTGGGTTCTGACAACCACCCAAGATTCGACTTCTCTCAAGTTCATCCTCACTGGTTGGTCCGGCAAGGACAAGAGCCCCGACAAGTTTTACGCCATCTCCATCGACTTCGAGGGCCTCCACGAGGACAAATGCTCCGATGACGATATGGAGACGTGGACTGCCCGCTTGGACAAGGACGACAAGCCCGGCTGCATCATGGGTCACACTCAGACCTACCGGCGCAGGAAGAAGAAGGCTGAGTGCTTCATCAAGTCCGAGTTCAATCTGGCCGAGCCTGACGGCGAGGCTTGCACCTGTTCCGACGCAGACTTCGAGTGTGACTTTAACTTTAAACTTGACGGGAAGGAGTGCAAGCCCGTGGGTCCCGTGAAGGCTCCCAAGGACGCTTGCAAGAGTGGCAAGGATGACGAAACATTCATGGGTTCTTCCAGGTGGCGTCTCATCCCTGGTGATAGGTGCAAGCGCGGAGACGGGGAGCAAAAGGACAAGGAGAAGGAGTGGAAGTGCGCCGATGCTCAGACACCGCCAAGCACACCGGGCAGCGGCGAGGTCGATCACGAGGTCAAGTTGTTTGAGGGTGACTTCAACGGCATTGAGAAGCACTATCTGGAGCGCGGCGAGTCGAGCTCGTCAGACGACGAGACCATCATCGCCAGACCTTACAAGTGGACAGCCAAAGGGCTCGAGAACTTAGGCGACATCGTCATTACTCACGACTCTGGCAAGACATGGAAGAAGCCCGAGGCGCTCAAGGACGTTTCCGTCGCCTACATCGCCCCGCACCCGTACGTCAAGGACATGGTCTTCTTCATCACAAGAAAAGGAAAGGTCTATTACAGTCCCGATCGTGGCCACCGATTCGACTCGTTTGAGCCGCCTGTGCCGCTGGATTCGCTGCAATACGGCCCACCCCTGGCTTTCCACCCAGATCGCAAGGACTGGCTCATCTGGCATGGGCAAAAGTGTACCGGCAAGGACAACTGCTACAAAGAAGCCGCCTTGTCGACCGACCGAGGTGACAACTGGAAGACGATCCAGCGATACGTGCACCGTTGCGAGTTCACGGGTAACTCGGCCTACAACTTCCGCAACGAGTCGCAGATTGTCTGCCTTGCCAACAAGCGGGAGGACAATGATGAGGGCGGTCCTCTCCAGCTTCTTTACACGGACGACATCTCCAAGTACGACATGAAGGTCGCTCTCGACGACGTCAAGGAGTTTGCCACCATGGCAGAGTTCATCCTCGTAGCCGCTGAGAACAAGACGTCAGGTGACCTTGCCGCATACGCCAGCATGAACGGCAGGGATTATGCCCCGACTCAGTTTCCTTACAACTTCAAGGTCCCGCACACCAGCGCTTACACAGTTCTGGATAGCTCGACACATGCGGTCAACCTCTTTGTCTTGACTGGGTCCAGTGACGGACGCAACTACGGCAGCATTCTGAAGAGTAATTCTAATGGAACCTCTTACGTGCTGAGTGCGCCCGAAGTCAACTGCGACAAGGACTTCTATGTCGACTTTGAGAAGATGATGGGTCTCGAAGGTGTCGTGCTCATCAACACGGTCGAGAACGCAGAAGATGATTCTGCCAAGAAGCGTCTGCAGACCAAGATCAGCCACAACGACGGCGCCGAATGGGACTTCCTGCCCCCACCGGCCAAGGACAAGGAGGGCAAGTCTTTCAGCTGCTCGAGCAGCAAGGGCGATGAGTCGTGTGCGCTGCACATCCACGGCTACACGGAGCGCATTGACCGCGCAAAGACGTACTCGTCCGAGTCCGCTGTGGGAATCATGTGTGGTGTTGGCAATGTCGGTCCCATGCTCGGAGATCCCGAGGATGCCGATACTTTCATGACAGTTGACGGGGGCCTTCACTGGAAACACGTCAAGAAGGGGCGGTGGATGTGGGCCTTCGGTGATCAGGGCGGCCTTGTCGTCCTCGCTCAGCGCGAGGAGAAGACCAAAATTGTTTCGTACACGACTGATCAGGGCGAGACGTGGACAGACTACAAGTTTACGGACGACGAGGTTGTCATCTCTGACGTGACCACTGTCCGATCTGGATCGTCGCGGAACTTCGTCGTCTGGGGTGTCAAGGGCAAGGAGCTGTTTGCTGCCAACATTGACTTCTCCGGACTTACCGACACCGAGTGCAAGCAGGACGAGGATCCGGTCAAGTCGGACTATGAAGTCTGGTCGCCCGAACATCCCATGCAGCCCAACGGGTGCCTGTTTGGCCACAAGAACATGTTTCTGCGCAAGAAGAAGGACCGGAAGTGCTACAATGGCAAGAAGCTGAAGTACCTGTACAACGTCGAGAACTGCGAGTGTACTCGACAGGACTTTGAGTGGTAAGTCTGAGAGGCGTGATGTTTGCGCCAAGAATGCATGCTGACTCGATTCACAGCGACTACAACTTCGAGCTCAACTCTCACCGATACTGCGAGAAGGTGGAGGGCCTTCCGACCATCTCCAAGGAAGAGTACTGCAGTGCTCACCCTGACGCCACCGAGTTCTACGAGCCTAGTGGCTTCCGCCGCATCCCCCTCACCACCTGCAAAGGCGGCCTGGAGATGGACAAGACGCAGCAGGTGTACCCATGTCCAGGTCACGAGGAGGAGTTTGAGAAGGCGCACGGCGTCTCTGGCGTTGCCATCTTCTTCGCCGTCGTCATCCCCTTTATCCTCGCCGGCGGCGTGGGCTGGTACGTCCGCAAGCACTGGCGCGGCAATTTCGGCCAGATCCGGCTGGGCGAGACGAATCCGCTGGACAACGACTCGCCGATTGTCAAGTATCCCATCATTGTGGTCTCGGCTGCCGTGGCCGTGGTCGGCGCCATGCCCCTGCTCATCGGCAGCCTCTGGCGCACCGTCAGCTCGACGCTCGGCAACCTCAGCGGCCGCTCCAGCGGCGGTGGCAACTACAGCTGGCTACGGGGCTCCGGTGGTGGCGGGCAGCGCAGGTTCACGACCAGGGACAGCTTCGCGCGCCGCGGCGGCGATTACGCGATTGTCGACGATGTTGAGGGTGAGCTCCTCGGCGATGACAGCGATGAGGATGTCTAAAAAATAAAAAAAAAAGGGTTGGATGCGGGGGATGTAGCTGTTATTGTAACTATATGGCCGAAATGTCGAGCCTGGGCCATCTCGAGAGAGAAAGCCGGTCTTTGGAGCCCGGTGGGTGTGGGCGGTTTGCTCGGCCGCGTGTGAGCGAGGAATAGCCAAGATATAGGATTATACAAGATTATTTCGTTTCACTTTTTTTTTTTCCTATATCCTCTTCCACAGTATCACCCAGCTGGTGAGGACGACAAAAGTCTAGACAAGGTTGCGAGCAGTTGAAGCTCAAGAAACCAGCGCCGCGCCATGTAACCTCACTTGTCCGCGATATTGTTGTTATCATTTGTATATACTTGTCCACTTCTGGGGTTAGACTTTTCGCAACGATAGCTCTTTTCGGGGAGCTATTGCGGAATTGCCTCGTGCCCCCCAGAGGGTCCTGTATGTACCTGACTCGTTTTACGGCATCATTGTTGTCGTCGCCGCCGCCGTGGCTCCTTCTAGGGGTCTTTTCTGGGTAAGTCTTTTTTGACCCCCCCCCTCCCCCTTTCGCGCTCCTTTACTCCCGTCTCTTTTCGATCCCGATCCGCCCACCACCTTCTAGCGATTCCTCCCGCGCCCGCTCGAGAGACGTGGAAAGACGGAGGTGTAGGGAAAGACGGAGGAAGCTCGTCGATGGGTCCTGCCTGCGCCCTGTCCTGGCTCACTCGCTCACTCACCTGAGCGGGTGATTGTGGACTGTCGCGGGTGGGGGAGGGGGGTGGATGATGGGGGATAATGAAAATGGGGGTCAAATGCTGCTGAGAATGCTGCTGTGAAACGAACTACGCGAGAAGAAGAAAAAATGTTAATTGAGACTACGGGTGCGGGTATGATCTGGCTGGAGTTGATGATTTATTGTTTCTTTTTTTGATGGTTTCTGCCATTCTTTCTGTCTTTTGGCCTCGTTCTCTCCACCTTTATACACCCTCCGTCTTGACTGATGTTTTGTTCCCGTTGGAGAGAGGGGTGAGCGAATGGAAAGGCACCCCACGGAGATATTCTGAGGCTTTTGGCCGGGTCGGACAGACAGGGAAGGAAGGGAGGAGAGAGCCACAGCATAGCACACGGGCGGCTGAGTGGAGTCAAGTCTGGGTAGACGCTTAAGGTGGGCTGACAGGCGAGTGACGGCAAACATCATCATGATGGTGCTAAACAAAATATCTTGGCAGATGCTGCTGACGACGGCGACTGCACCCAGTTTCAGGCATGCAGAAATTGGAGCACGCCCCCCCGCGCCCTCAGGGTCTTTGGTCGTCGAACCTTGGGGCTAAAACACACCACGCCGTTGAAGGTGCACGGTCTTCCAAGCGGCACGGACGCGAGGTAATAGAGAATCGTCCGTTGGTGAGAACGCCTCTTCATTGCTGGAAGAGCCCGATGAGCTGATAAGGGTTCCCTCTGACAAGCCATATCCCTGCTTCGGTTTTTTTGCTCCGCACGGCCGGGCTGGGGCGAGGAAGCAGGGTCTACCATGCTTCCACCAAACCTCGGTACCCTCTCTTGTCGTGGGGTCCGATGAGGGTCCAGCATGAGTCGGGGCTGCCGTTGACATACGAGGCCACGTGGACGATTGCTGGGATGGTGGTCGTTATTGAGTTGAGCCTTTAGGCGATTGTATTGCAACATGTTATCTACAGAACCGACCCAGACCTGTCTCCTCTTACACGGTTGCCGCCAGGACGGCGTTTCTGTGGGTCCTCCTTGGGCAAGTAGCTCTTTGATATGACGGGTGAAATAAATACACAGAAGAAGCGAGATGGTTTTGAGCAAAGATGCAGAACGCCTAGCAGTGCCGCGTGAAGGAAAGAAATAAAATCGCTAAAGTTTCAAAAAGGTTCCGCCCTCCGGAGGCTGAGCTAGGTATAGGCGCATGTCCCGCTCCAAGCTCCCAGTCGTGAAGGAAAAGAGAAAACACGTAGATAAAGTGGCACAGTTGGGCAATCTGCGTCGTGCTGATTGTGCAATATGCTCCGTCGTTTTGTCACACAAAGGAAAATGCCTTTCGTCATAGCGATGGGGCCGATTGCCGCCAACGACAAAACAGGTCGAGCTTGCTCTCTCAGGAACGTCGCACCTTCTTCCACAATCGCTTCATTGGTCCGCCTTCTGCAGGAGTAGGGCCCAGTTCCTGGTCGATTTCGGCAAAGATCTTGTCGATGCTCTCTTTGTGGAGATCGCGGGCCTGGCTTGTGGGAGGGGCGAGCTCCCAGCGCGACTGTGTCATGGCTCGGGAATGCCGCCATGCAGGCTGCTCTTTGGGTGCAGGCTGCCATCCGTACATCTGATCTTCTTGTGCGCGGAGATCCGGACGCGTCAAGGTCATGCGAAGCGTCATCTCCCGAGAGTGTGCCGGGGCATGCAGATACCCGTCCGAAAGTTTGAACTGCTTCTCGTCAAAGTCGAATGGCAGCTCCAGTGCCTGTATAGAGTCCTTGTCGAGAATCTGCGGCGTCTTGGGCGATTCTGAGTCGGGCATGGAGAGGTCTTCGCTATACGTAGACGATCGGTCGTCGGACAGGAATGTCTTCAACTTGTCCGCTTCGTCAGACACAAGATGACGGGACAGGCGGGTCGATGTCCGCCTAGGCATGGCATTGGCTGCCTCTACAGAAGGGAAACCAAACTCGACAGCCTCGTCAAACTTTTGAGGCGAGGCGAGGTATACTCTCAACTTCGCGCGAGCCTCGGGGTCCTGGTAGTGGGCAGCAGCGACATCAATCGAGGCCACCGAGGCCTTGGCACTGTGCCGAGGTCCCATGATGGAGAAGGCCCGGGACCTTCGGCGACCATGCTGGGTGCCCTGAACAGGACTTGCTGATCTTGTGTCTACGGGGCCATATGACTCTCCCGTTGGGGGCCGAAACGAGGTTATCGATGATCGGCTGAATGACATTTTCGTGAGGGAAAGCCCTCTCCGAAAGGGGTGTGACTCTCGCTTGGACAGTGATGAAACGGATCTGGGTACCACTTGAGGATCTTCGACGGCGAAGCGGAGATCGAGCTCGTCGTCCTCATCAAACCACCTGAAGCTGTCCCCCAACGGTTCTTGCTCGGCTTGGTGGTCCGTCTTGGTCGATGTGGAGGCCATGTTTGTTGCGACTGCTGCCATGATGGGAGCTTCTTGCGAGGCGTGGTCTGGGGTGGGATTCTTGTTTCGTCGCTGGCCTAGGCGGCAAAGGGCCTCGTCGGCAGCATCCAACAGTACGCTTTGGCGAAGCTGTCTGGCCAGCAGAAGCTGCTCCTCACGGGTGAGGTGCTTCTCCCGAATCTTTGCTGGAAGATTGGCGAGTACCAAAAAGTCTGAGGGACCCTGGAAGTCCGGCTTGACTGGCAGGGGAGAAGTGACGGGTCGTTCCTGCGAATAGTCACGCCCTATGTCGAGCTCGGCAGCTCGGGATCGGAAGTTGTGAAGATCGAAAGCAGCGGCCCAGCTGCGCGTGTCAGTGGTGGAGAGGAGGCGGGCGGAAGTGCCTGCTGGTCGAGGCACTCGGTTTACCTCGGCCTTCAGGAATTTGCCGGAAGACTGAGCAAGGCGGAGTCGTTCGGCGGAGGAGAAGAACTATAGAGAGGCGGCCAAAGGCACCATATCTTAGCCACAGGGAACTCTAGCTCTAGGCAGAGACAATGATCACAATAAGACTACCACCACTCGAGAAGGCAGAACGAGAATGAGTAGCGGGGACGGCGAGGAGAAGGGAAGTCTCGCGAGACGGAACGAGAAGTTTGGACGACGAGGGGGGAAGGAATGCAAGGCCGGCTGCGGGTATATCTCTCTGGGAACTGGTGCTGGCCTGTGGGCAGGGCCATGGCATGGCTCTCGTCTCTTGTGTCGAGCACGCCCCTTGCCCTGAATGCGGGCCACCCCGGCCTATCGCAAGGGGGAGTGGGGGAAGGAGCTCCTGTCGAGGCCTGTCACCGCTGCTGTCACTCGTGCCTTCCCTGTCGCTGCTGAGGGCAAGGGTCTGCACGCACAACCAGCGGTTCCTGCTCGACTTCCAGGGTTGTTCCAACAGCCATGCTCGAGCACGCCTGATGGATGGACCCGGGCCAGCTCTCGACCAAGAAAGAGACTGTCGATGCGATTCCCTGGACGAGGGAGAAACACAACAGCAGCAGGAACAATGCCCCCACGATTCGATCCGCCTCAATCAGTGATGGGCGGCGGCGGACCGCGGACGGCGCACTTGCAGCCAAGGTGCCTGCATGTTGTTCGCAGGCCGGCCCACGCAATGCGTGCTGCAGGAGGAGCACCGCCCCAGCTTGGGGGTCAGGCCAGCATGGGAGGGGGGGATGTGCCTGCGCGTGCATCTGGGCCAATGGCCCAACGCTGGCTGCTGCTGCAGGGGCAGTCTCTGCGCTGCATGTTCGTTCGCGTTGTGGGCGCATTCCAATGAATTGCTTCGTCACCGTTGTGCAGGCTGCAGGTCCTGCAGCTCCTCCAGGGCGGCTGGTCTCAGGAGCGACGCCTCTTGCGCACCCGTCGCTTCGCGCAGGCCCCGACGAGCGGGCACTAGCCCTAGCTTTGCCAATAGTCAGGCACAGACCCCTCTCGTCCTCCTTCTTTGGGCTTTGGTCCTCACGCCGGTCCACGGGACGCTGGAGATGCTGAGCCGCCCTGCCCACAACATGCCTGACCCGCCTGTCCGGAATCATGTATAAAGCCGCAGTGGGGGAGAGGGGGGAGCTTGCAGCTCTTTCGTCTGTTGTGGGCTGGTCTGTTGACTCGCCAAACGACAGGATAGCAGTATTGTGGAAACAGGGGGCATGGGGGCTTCAATGGCCATGCGAAACGTCCCCGTGTGAACAACCCGTCGCGAGACCATATTTGAAGTTCCGCAGCCGGGGAATGGCTGTGTCTCGCACACAACTGGCGCGCAAGACACGTGAACCAGATCAGAGGCGTGACGAAGCCGGCGCGGGCAGCTCTGGCAACGATGGCGCTGATAGGCTGCAGATCCAGTCCGCCACTCGGCGAATTGGACAATACCTGCAGCCGGCTCGCCGTTCTCGATCGCCTAGTGGGATGTCGGGACCCAAGGTACAAGACCCGGACAAGGGATTGTGGAATGTCGATAGAGCCAGCAGACTGAAACATGTGTCTCTCCTACCGGAGGATTCTTGAGGGGTCCGAACAATAAAGGAAGAGAAAGGCTCACCTTGCGCTGAATGGCCAGCGGCAGTGCTTCGTATTCCTCCACATCTTGCCTCGTCGGCTCCGTGTGTGGGACAAGAGGCAATGTTTTCGGCGCCCGCTCGCCCTCGCTCATCGTAGCCATCTCCTTATTCGGCGCGCCCCGCGGGAGTGTCCTGGCCGGTCCTCCATTCAATCGGTTGATGCGTCCATCTTGAGTGCCTGATGATTGCTGGGCGCCAGGCAATCCTGGGGTAGTACTGCTGGAATCGCCAGCAGCACCGGCAGGCGCCCTGCTTCCGAATGGGATCCAGCTTCGGAGCATCTGTCCCTTGCGGACGTGAACGTCGTCATCGGGCTCAGGGTTGCTCTTGCAGGTAGCAGGCTGGAGCTGGCGGTGCTGGTCGATCAGTGTCCGGTGGTAGGCGACAGAGCTGGTCAGCTCTTCTGGGGCTTTGTTCTCATGCGCCGTATTGAGTTGTGGATAGTTGTCGTTCCCGGACTCGGTGCCGTGAGGCATCGTGCTTGGTTGGGCCTGGGCACGCTAGGCCGTGCTTACTTGTGCTTAAGCGGCGAGGCTGTCTCTGCTCGAGCTGCAGGTATTCGCGCTAAAGATTCCTGAGTCGCAGAAGCAAGAAAAAAAAGGGCACAAAGCCAAGGAGGCTAACAATGCGAGTGAGCAGAGAGACCAGTCGGTGCGGATCCGCCGCGAGGTGTGTGCGATGGCTCAATGTAGATCCGATATATTTGAGCCGTGACGGCAGGGCAGTGGAGCTGAGCCGTCTGTATGGTCGTGCCGTCAGTGTGTCGTGTGCTTCTTCCAGCGATAGGACAAGGACGAAGTCGCAAAAGAAACCAAAGAAGAGCAACAATGATAATCTAGGATCGGCCGGCACTCGAGGTTATGATGAGGATGGATTGCCTGGGCATGCCTGCGCGGCCATCATGGCCAAGATACGGGCCTGGGCCCTTTGGCCACAGGAGAGCGCGGCCGCACTGAAGAAGGCAGTCCTCGGCGCCGTGCAGGGCGGATCTGCTCTCCAGGGTGAGCCGGTGGCAGCATCAGGCACGACGACCTACGGCAAGCTTACAACCCAGGGTGGCAGAGCACGGGGTGGCCTGTGATGACGAGCAAGCCCGGCTACTGGCTCGACCGGGCAGCCCCACGACAGGCGCCCCTGGCATAAGCAGACTGCTCATCCCCCCTGGGATGTGCCGGCTGGTCGAATCAAGCAAGAGATCGCCACTGTGCTGGGAACCACATGAGCGAGGATGCGCGAGGGATACTCGTCTGGAGCTGGACGACTGGCGACGGAGTCCCTGCCGCACTCGTCAACACCCGACACATGAGCCCTGCACGACTGCTGAGCTGCCGAGTCGTGGCCTGGTGGTTCATGTGCTGAAGGGAGGAGAGGAGAGATGAAGGGTTCTGGCGAGCCTGGGGTTCGCCAGCACGGCTCCAGTGTCCGCCCTGGTCGTTCACCCTGGCCTCGGACGGAGAGGCGCCAATGACGGGAAACGGCGCCAGGTTGAGGCTGGCTGGGCGATAATGTTGTGGCATCTCCAAACCGGGGACGGAAGATGTGATATCGGCTGTGCTGGAGGGAGCCTGCTGGGACTGCCTCAGATGAGCTGATGTGATCTGACAGGGTGCTTTGAATATCACTTTATGCCGTCCGTTGCTTCCACCTTGCCATGGCAGCTGCTGACTTGGCTTGCCTGTCTTTTGCTTGGTGTCGGGTCTCTCTCTCTCTCTCTCTCTTTTCCTTCGACATTATGGCCTTACAAAACCCCCCAGCGGATTTGGCTTCCAGAACGGCCACGCGCACTGCACTGGGGGATCCGTCCCATCCATGCCTGCTCGAGAAGCGAGAGCCGACAATCTCCCAGGATCTCCCAGGGTGCAGGCACGCACAGCACCAGTGTGGCAACGATCGGCCCCCAGCGCGGCGCTGTTCCTGACCCGCCCGCTGTCGCGCCCCTGCCAGTCCCCACAGTCCGTGCTCCAGACCAGCCCTGCAGTCTCCAAGACCGACCAGGCACGGGCTCACCACCATTCACAAACACCCGACCTACACTTTGTCCTGTTGTACCTGCGGTGACGATTATGGGGTAATTTACCTCGGCGCCCACTCCGCGTACTCTCCAGTCTCTCCCGCGGGCGTCGCACCGCCTGAACGAGCGACTGGTTCCCAATAGTTCGGTTCATCACGATCGTGATCATGATCATCATCATCATCATTATTTTCTTCTTCTTCTTCCTCCTCCTCCTTCCGCCTCCACCCGCGACAGCGGCACAGCAACGTGGCATTTTGCGCGCGTCATCCTGGATGCACGAAATTAACCTCTTCTCCCCCATGCAGCAAGGCTCGTGTAACCAGTTACCGGCGCCCTGGCTCAGAAGCTTGCAGCATACCGGCCACTCTCTGACGTTGGCTCGTCGATGTGGCGTCGCCATGGGGCCCGCCCGACTCGGGCCTTGCCCTCCTCAGTGCTCAAACTCAACCCCCAAACGCTGGGCGGGAGTTGCCCGCGCCGCCTGTCCTTCGAATGAGGCTCACGGCTGCTGCTGCTGGGGGTGAGGACCTGGTGCGATTAGTTATCCCGAGGCTCTCTCCTGGCCAGGGACTGCTGTACAGACGGCGCGGCGAGCGGTTCGTGCGGTCGTGTAGACCCTCAAACTTCGTCCTTCGTTTTGTTTCTCCCCCCTTTCGAATTTGCCAATCCGTCCTTTGCTCTCAATCGTCAGCTTCTTCGCCGTCGCCACGTGAGTTGTACGGGCCGAGTTGACGCACGTCCTCCCTTTCTGGACACACTCACCCGCTTGATAATAGATCTGGACTGAGCCGGCCAGCATCACTGTGCAGATCTTATCTGGCCGTGTTAATAATTGTCATTGTTCCCAATAGTTGGTCATGATTTCCCGTCTCCCTGTGGACGCAAATCGGGCCAGAGTCGCCCACGGGGCTGTTACGATGCAGGCCACTGTCCAGAATGTTTCCCGGACATTATCATCACCCAGGATTCCCCTGGCAGTCTGCCTGAACCCTGCGGATCACGAAAATGGAGCTCGCGATAATAGCTGGACCCAGTGCGCGCAAGACAGGGTACCTACTTACCAAAGTGAGTAGAGGTAGTGGACGGTCCACAACTGCGAACTCCACACGCTACACACGGTCCACGCACAATGAACGAACGCCAGGTTCATCCGATAACCCCCCATGTCCGAAGAGACTCACCCTGTATCTCCGACGGTCCTTCCTGTACTGTAGTGCTAATTACGTAGTGACATTGCGTCTCACCAAAAAGATCTGGAGAACGTGACATGGTTCGGCGGGTCTGGGCCTTGCCGGGCGCCTCTGGATGAAACCCGGACCGTAATCCACCAGGAAGGGGGCCGCGCGCGGGATAGCGCCAGAAAGTTCCATACAGGCTTCCATCAAGGTCGGCTACCAGCATCCTGGAGATCATCACTTTTCAATAGTGCCGCCAGGTTTGTGTAGGACCGAGTGGTTTCCACTTGCACAATCGGAGCCGCTGTTCTTCCCCTGGCTGCGAGCTGAAATCTTCTGCTTCTGACTGGCATGCCATTTCTTCCCCTGAAGCTTTAGAGACATCAAATCCCACATGTGAGGATTTGGCAGGATTCGGGTTGGTGGCTGTGAAGATGAAAGATGCTATTCTTGGACTGTTTATACAGCGCAATGCCGAGCGTAGATCATGTGAAAGTACCGGATTGTTTGCAAGCATTATGCTCCGAGCTTCAGACCACCGCTTCAGGCTGCCAGACTATTGGGCAAGGCAATATCAAAACCAGGGCCACAAGCGAGACCATCATGTCTGCGATTCCCGCACAGGATCGTAGTACTTGTAGATCTTGCCTTTCTTGTCTCTTCCTTCCTGCGTACCTTGGATCGCTGGTGCTTTCCATGTCGATATGCCCGTGGTCCGATCGTACGTCTCGTAGTCAGAAGCGATCCGCTTCCCACCACCGCCCGGAAGATCGACGACAAACTTTGGAATGAGAAAGCCGGCGGTTCTGCCCGTAATCTGATGCTGGATGTCCAATAGTGTTTGCAGAGGCGTGCGGAATCGTTCCACACCTGTCGTCATGTCACAAAGGTAGACATAGTACTGTGCGAGATTGCCCCAATGGTTGCGTCAGCGTGCTGCAATCTACTATGTTCCCACCTCAAACACACGTCTCGTAAAAAGGGGAAAGGATGGTCTTTACCGGAGTGATGCCCATCCTTGCAAGTTCGTGAATCAGCTCGAGCTGACAATCGACTGTGTCGTTGATGTCCTTGAGCAGCACGGTCTGGTTACGCACAGTCAAGCCGGCATCTCTCAGCATCCTCGCGGCTTTCCGGGTAATCCAGGTTACCTCGTTGGGATGATTGAAGTGTGTGTGCAGAGCCATGTCCTTGCCGGCACGCTTCGCGGCCTCGTTGCATCGCAAGAGTGCTCGGGTCCAGGGGTCACTCAGGTCGGCCAGGCGATGTGGTGCAGCGTTGAGACCTTTGGTCGCGATGCGGAATCGTTCAATGTTGGGCATCGCGATCAGTCTCATGCAGATCTCCTCCAGCTTGACGGGATCGATCATGTACGCGTCGCCGCCAGATACAACAACGTCGCGGATCTCCGGTTTTTCTTCAATGTATGCCAGCGCGTTGCTGATTCTCTCCGCTTGTGGCTTGATTGATGTCTGATAACAAAACCACATTAGGTTAATTGCAAGGTCTACGAAACAGTTGTCATCTCGTGTGGATGGCAAGCCTTGTGGCTTACTATGGCATGTATAAGAACAGTCATGTATGTGTACGAACTCACTTTTTCTGTGACCGTCTCCGTCGCCTCGCTCACAGCGTACCCGCGGGTGCAGAAGCCGCAATAAAGCGGGCATACATCCGTGACTGTGACTTCGTCAGCAGGATTCGGACTCACACGCCGCACGCTTCGCGACATACCAAGGAACAACACCTTATTTGGGTATCTATGAGCCAACCCAGGCACTGGCGAGTCCTTCTTCTCTTCAAGAGAATCCAGCCGCACCTCAGGATGGTCTCTCACGAGGTGAGAGTGCTGAGCCAGAAATTGAAGCGCTATCGGGTCGTTTGCCGGATCGTCCCAGTTGATGCAACTCCACTCATGCGCTCTTTAGACTTGTCAGTTAGGACTGGAACCACAATGTTTGAAGCACATGTTTCGCTGCCACGTACGTCACACGGATTGACATGGATGAGTTTCTGGCGCCGAGAACAGCATCCTGAATGAAGTCTTCACGACTGACCAAAATATCTTTATGGTTTCGCTTCGGCACGTAGTCTGGTAAGACACTTCGAAGATGCTTCTCGAGATTGCCGGTCCATTTGATAGCAGTTGATCCATCCTCGTGTTTGTACTTCCTTGACGTGTAAGTAACCGAGTTCTGGACGGCTTCCGAGTTAGTCAGAGCGCATGCCTGGTGTATGGTGAATCATACCATGTTGCTCCACCAATAGGAGGTGAATTCCTTCTCAGATGTCTCTCTCCAAATGGGAATTTTTCGCCAAAATTCCCTCTCAATGTTGATAACGGCAGTCGGCTGCTGTTGGGCGCCCAGGTCGTGGAAAGTGTGATCAGGCATCGGCGCTAGAGCAGCTCCTGCTTCTGCGGACATTCTTCGGATCCCGCTACTCATATGCCGCGTTTGAGACAGGCCTTGATGCGAAAAGGATGCGGATTGCTTCGATAACGACATCGTGCAAGGCTGGCTTCCTATCAACGGTTTCAAGTCATGGCCAGGTGCCGAGCGACTCCTGTTAGTAGTAGTAAGAAGAAGTCTTGGCCGACTTCCCTGTACAGCCTGAATTTTCATCCTTGAAGAGAATGTGGTAGACAGCATCGCTCCTTAAAGCAAGCAGAAGAGGTCGTTGCGGCAGTTCGAGCCCTCAAGTGAAGTGAGGTTGATGCCGGGTGGAAAACAGTGGAAAAAACTTTTTGGGATCTGGAAAATCCAGAAGGATCTCGTCGCGATGTGCAAAGAGGCATCACACTTATATAGCTCTGCGAAGATGCCGCCGCGGCAGGCGAATCTAGCAAGCAAGATGGTCCCTGTAGATCGAACCCATCGATCAGAACGCAGTAGAAAGGCCGCAATGATTCGACAACACTTGCAATGTCCCTAAGCCCACCCCTTGCGTTCGTATGGCCGGGGATTGACTCACGCCCCAGGTTTGATCCATTGCAAATCATATGCGTTCATGACCGATTGACCGGACCCCATGACAGCTGAGCTTGGGTCAACACATGACGCAAGTATCGCAGAGAAGGGTTTCAAGCCGACGCCCATCTTGGACTTGCCAGACGCATCAGTTAGCTCAGTCACGCCTATGTACCCTGCACGTGTGTTTGCAGATGAGTCTAGCCATACTCACACCAGGTCTTTCGAACCACACTGTCGCGTTAACATTTTCTTCTTCTAGTCACCCCCTGCCTAACATCAGTCCAAGTAAGGAAATCGCCAGTCTGCACATTAGCGTGCCTGGGCAGACTCTTCGAGTAAAGAAGTCCTTGCTTCGACATAAGTCATCCTCTGGAGCTGGCCGCAACTGGGACATTGTCAGCCAGGATCCGTGAAGAATCAATGCCGTCGAGCGTTTGTTGGCGGGGCGCCGATGGTGGTTCAAAGCAGGCTAATATCAAGTCACAGGAAGTCCTCGGCGTGGTCAGCAGATTGGCCATACGCCGAAGCCTGGCAGGTCATTTTGCTGACTGTCATCTGCCTTGCATGTAAGCCAACGACAGGCGGAGTAGTTGGCGACAGCTCTCAATCGAGTGCCGAGCATGAGTGAAACTCCATGTCATGGTGACAGTGGGCCATTGGTTATATCATGCGACGTTTGCTTGATCCTTGCTTCGGCATGGGAGATGAGAGGCTGATTTTCTTGGCGGTTCGACGACTAGCAATCAGTAGTTCTGGGAGCCGGATGTCGTCCGCGGAGAGACGAGCAAGACCTAGGTAGCTGGCGATTATGTAAAGCCGTCGATCTTGGAGCTTTACGTCTCTCGCAGGGATCCCTGTGGTTCAAGACCAGCCCGCGTATAACCCTATCCCAGCAGAATCGGACGATAAAAGCACACACGACCAGCCACCAACTTTGCCGTTAGACATCTGGCCAGCGTCTGCCACAGTCAGGAGAACACAAGACTGAAGTTGATCAGTCACTTTGGCTGGTCGCCGTGTGGGAATCGGGGCCGGAGTGCCCGACAAGAGACTGCAACCCCTGGAACCAACAACGCCACCTGCTTCATGTTTGCCGGGACTGGAGCTCCACGGGCATCACTGCCGCGTACTGATGTTCCCGACCCAGGTCATGCCGTAGGCAAAAGGGATCGCTGGCGGCCCGGGTGTTTGCTGTAGGTTGTGGGTTGTGCTGGATCGGACCGGGTAAAAGCAGCTGCTGGCTGCGTTGTGGGCAAGGTTGGCCCGTGAGCGAATGATCTGGAGAGGCTCGGGAGACGCAGCAGAAGCCAGAGAAAGCTGGCCATGGGTTCGTTGCCTGCCGGAATGGCACACTTGCCACGAGCCACTTGGGCGTCCGCTGACTGGTTATCGAGTGCAGCGAGTTCGTGGCAGGCACGGCCGGCAAGAGTGCCTTGGCTCGTGCAGCCCCAACAGGGAACCGTCTTGGTGGCAAGTAGGGTTCTTCACATACTTGGACACTTCTCGCAATACTCGACTTCGAATTTGCCAGTTCGCTACCTAGGTACTTACTCCGCCCGCACGCTGTTGGCTTCGTGCTTGGACCTGGCATGGAGGACCCACGTGAACAGGCAGACCACTCGGCACAGCATGAGACCGGGCCGGAGCCAACGTTGACCCATGGGATAATCGGTCCAGACCAACGTTGTGGGTGCCTTTTATAGGATGAGTCAACGCACGGGCACATGAGATACGAGTTCGCGTGGCAAGAGACAGTCGCAGCTGCTCCGACAAATCAACTTGGAGCGTCATTCTGCACGTTCCTCACCGCATTGGTCATCTTGAATTCAGACTCGGCGAGGTCGTAGATGAGCTCGCCATAATTGCAGCACGACTTCATGATGGCACTGCGAGGGGTGCAGTCTCGCGTCCTTTGAAAGCCAACACTTCCCTCGACCCTTGAAAATGTAGGACCCTTGATCCCTGACCATGTCTGGAACACTGACACAAAGCCAGCCAACCAACCACGAGTCACATCGCGCAATAATAGTACCCTTCAGGACTTTTTCCACAAAGAGTTCTAGACTCGCACGCCCGCACGAGCGATGTCCCTGGCTTCACGGCAAGTCCGCCGTCCACCTTGGAGCTCGCTCTGAGCCATGACGCGACGGTCCCATGCGGACTAGGATATGCCAGTTGCAGCCAAATGCCGTGGGTGGGAATTTCAGAGATCCAGCATATAATCGTGATCCAAGCCCGGCCCTCCTCATTTCCGCTCGCTGTTTCCTTTCCCCTTGCGGTCGGCGGTGCATATTGTTTGCTCTTGCTGTCAGCTCGTCAGCTAATGAGCTGCAAATCCGATTCGTGGTTGGCTTTCCCAACGGACGCAGATCTTTCGAGCTTCTACCCTGGTGTACGAGGAACAAAAGCCAATCGAAAAAGGGGTTATAGATTATCGACTTTGGACTATATGATTTTGACGGCCTGGCAAGTACGGCCCCTGAAAGAGCCGGATTTGGAATCAAGCAAGACCAGGCATCAGGGATATCAACGACAATAAACCTACATGCTGGTCAAAGGACAACTCACTCAGGACAGAATACCATGTAACAATATCCAGGTATTTTTCATTTGCTCTTTAATTTTACATCTTGTACACTAGGCTGAGCGTGTAGGTGAAACTGAGGCGAGCCGTGTTCACGACTAGCTGCCGCAGCTTCTTTGGTTTCGTCAATATAAACCTCATTCATCAATCGGAATCATACTCTTCGTCATCATCTTCGTCCCCAAAGTCGTCTGGGTAATAGTACAGGTCGTCTGGGAATCTTGTCTCGTCGTCCGTGTTTGTCACACAGAGGAGGGGGCATCCCTCTCGGAATATTGGTCTTTCGAATAGGCTCCATCTGTCATGCCCGGTTGCCAGTCGCAGGGGTGATGTGGATCGCGGTTGCTGCCGTTGCTGGTGCAGATCCAGCTGTGAACGCTCTTCCGTGTCATTGCAGTCTTCCACTGAGAGGTGGACGTTTCGTGGTGAACTGCACACCTTGCTAGAACTGCTGGTGCTGGGCTGGCGACTTCGCATGCAGGCTGGTGGTGAATATCGACCGCGCTTTTCTGGGGCGCTATCAGCCGTCGAAGGACATATTTTCGAGTATGTGGTAAGTTGAGAATGCCTCGTCGTCTCTATTGTGCTGGCAAGCACCATGCCCTGGGTTTGCCATTGATCGCCTTCAGGCGGAGAAGTCACCAGCACGACTGGCGCTATTGAGACCTTGGCGATGTCTGGGTCATCCTCAGACTCAATCTCCTTGCTCTGTTGACACGCCTTTGACGGAATGGTGGTTGTGGTCGCGGTGACGATGGCTTGTGATCTGGCTCCCAACAACGCCCTTTGCCGTGCTGTGAAGTTGCTTTCTCCCCGCCCATTTCGGTATGCGACAGTAAGGCTGCGGCGCGAGCTAAGGCCGTGGCTGTGTCAATCTGGGCATCTAGATCTTGCGTCATGATGATTTGGTCGTGGCTGTGTTGGTGCTGATGAAAGTCCTCGATGCTGAACTGAACGGCTGGCACCAAGACTTGCACACGCGAAGTCTCGCGGCTGCGGTATGCGAGGAGGCCCATCTTTGCTGCGCTCTCCCGATTTTTCTTTTAAGCAGCCGTTCTCTGGCATTCGGAGAAGACTCTGGTTGATTGGCCGTGTGGACACACGCGTTGGCTCTGGATGGCCCTCTGCGACCGTCGACGAGGAGCGCTTGGTACAGTTGATGACCCAGCGAGTCGACCTGACCCAGCATAAATTCGAGGCCGGCCAGACGGTTTTGCACGTGCTGATCTCGTCGTAACCGCTCCCCCAAGGGCGGGACTAAGGCTCAAGGATGGCTATTTGACTCCATGATGGCGTCCGCGTGGTATCGATAGGCAGGTGCTGTTCTTGCGTGATGTTTAATATAGAAGAGGATGCCGCTGTGATTAGGCGGCTTGCACACTTAGCCCCGCGATCGGCAAGGAAGCTGCTGGTCGTCTTGCGCCTTCGAGATACCACGCCTAAAAGCCTGGGGATTTCCGGGACGGAAGGAACGAGCGGACGGACGGACGAATGAATCCACGTTCCCAGCCGTGCAGCTTGATCCGTTGATAGTGCGCAAACTGCGAACGATTCCAGTAGCTGGTGGCCGGAGCTGTGTGCGTTACTTCGCTGCTCTTTGTTTTCGATGTTGAATCGGCTCAGCGCCCTGTTCCAGCAGACAACCTCGAATCTGTGGTAGTAGCTGTGCACAGTCTTTGGGTCATGGGGAGCCTGCAAGAGCACACGACACCATGAAACCGGTGATGATCAGGCCTGGCTGGTACGATCCACCCACAAGTCAGACCCACGAAGAAATCCTCAACAAAAGGAGACGGGGTAACACTACGTCGAACGAGGAGCCGGGCCACGAGTCCCCAAACTGTAGAAAAAAAAGAAACCGAGATGAGATCACCAAGAAGATTAGCGACAGAAGGGCAACCGCAGGAGAGAAGGGGAAAAAGATCAGAGGAATTTGAACGCGAGTGAGCAGCGCTCACGATCCTCGTGGTTCGGCCTGGGGTTCAGCCGGACCGATCCCCATCACACTTGCACCACCAGCCTTGGAGCTAGGCTGGGCCGGCCGGGCCAGGAACCACACGGTGAGGTAGGTAAGCGGAGATGGTGGTGCGGTGGAGCTCGGAGATGGGCAGGCAGGGAAAAGCTTGTGTGGGGCCACTTTATTCTTTGTGATTCGAAATCGGCAGAGATGAAGATGTCCCGTTGGGGACCGGGGAAATGCCAATTTCTTACGGCTCGTGCCGATAATGTAGCAGAACCAGGGGTGGCGTGAGGACCGCATATCCAGCGAGTGACCGAGGTTGGCAGGAGTTTAATGTAAATAGAACAGGGCAGCCAAACTGTCAAACATGCAGGTTCAGAACCAAGGCCTGCTCTGACGACAACGTTGCGCCAAAGTTGCAGCCAAAACGGGGTCATATGTCTTGGGTGTAAAGCATTCAGAATCTCTATGCATCTCGCTCGCAGCATCTACAACTCTGTGACTGGCTATGGATTGGGCATTCTTTGCTCCTTTGGTCACTTTATTCCAGCCTCCCTTTTAGCATGACCTTCCTCAACTGTGAAAAGATAGAGCTTCCGTTGCGCAATGCCCGGACCTAGGTTGTGTTCGCCTTACTGGCTTTGCCGCCCGATCTCGTTTCCTCAGCAGAAGACCGATGCCATCGTCTATGGCAGGCCAACAGCACTTCATGGGAAACTGCTGACGGCGTGCGCCCAGTATAGAAAGCCTCAAATGGTGGTCTTGACTGCTGCCTAAGTTTCGGGTGGCGGCTTCGACGCTCTTACCGCTGGTCATAGGGATACATACAGCGGCCAGGGCTCGCATTTGAGCAGGCGACATGATCTTCTCAGAATTGCAGCGTGCTTCAAAATTATGTGTTAGCAGGGCAACCAATAGTCCTGGGCAATCAAGGGAATAGTACCCAAGGTAATCCTCTTTTATGCTGCCGATGGCCCAAAGCTCACCGACCTCGGCACGTGTACCGAGGATTTTTACCCGTACGTGGGTGCCAACCTCAATCGTGGTGTCCTCGTTGTTTGTGAACTGCGGAGGAGTCGCGTTGGGATCCCACTTGACTTCTTGTGGTATCAACTTTTTGCCGAGTGAGGGTGTCAGCTCATAGACAGCACAGTGGCGCTGGATCATCTCAGCGGAAAGCTTACGTGGGTCGAGACGAAGATGCGCAGGGGACCGGCCTCAGCGAAGAAACCATGCTGGTTGACAGAGACAACCATAGCATCGGTCTGTTTACGGGTCAATACAGTCCATCAGACACGAAGCAATAGGCATCATTACCGTTTCGCCCTTGAATGGCCTCCAGACGACTGCTCGGTAGCCTACTGTGAACTCGGCGAGGCCGCTGCCCGGAAGGATGCGACCTTCTGAAATTTCAAAAGTATCCATGATGGAGATGATGTAGTAGCTGCCTGTGCAGGTGCCTTCGACGTCCTTCAAGAGCTTGCCTGTCACCAGTTCGTGCATGTTTTTGCCAAAATATGAAGGGTGCAGGGTCACCCTGCGCTCGAGGTTGTACAGAAAGAACATGATGAACGTGCTGCGCGATGTTGCGCTGCTGGTATAAATCTAATAGGTGTCGCCTGGCCGGGCCTCTCTTGACCTGGTCGCACACTCGGCAACCTGGTACTATCGCACGACCGTCGATCTGGGCAATGCTCGAAGAAGGCTCGTCGGTGCGGTTTGAGCCTGAGGCAAGATGGAAGTGCGCACCACAACCACGGTCGCGTGCTGACGCCGGCTGGTCGTGCCGAGGGCCGTGACAGCGATCACGATTCCGCGCAGGCGTTTGTATGTCTGTAAGATACAATACAGAGTCGTGCGAGATGCTTCGTCGGATCGCGCGCAGCCGTGCGCCGGGGATGAGCGAATGAATCGTGGAGCGAAAGGGGAGGTCGGGACGTCGCAAAGCGCGGCCAGAGGGTCGTCGATAGCAGCCTTGACACGCCGGCAGCCAAAGGCAAACAGCACCACTCGGGAACAATCCAAACTGACAGGCCGTGCTTCGCGATTGGCGTTGTCGTGGGCGGGCGGATGGCGACTGCGAGGCTCAGAGATGAGACGCAGTTGAAGCGCTCGAGATGCTCGAAGGTCCGTGGTGCGCGTGGCCAGGCAGGCGGTGGTTGAAAAAAAGTGGATGCGGCACAATCGGCTGCTCAGTGCGCACGCGCGAGATGTGGTGTGGTTTGGCACCACCCTGGCTGGAGTGCGCTGGAGTGTAATGTGATCTCTGAGCCCTGTGCAAGTGACAACTGCAGCCTCTTCAGCAACGACCAGACCTTTTCAAGTCCATCTGGCGGTTTTCCTGTCGGTGAAGGTAGAAGCCCCTGGAAAAGAATGCAGACCATCGAGGGTGCTGTACCAAGGGCTCGCGCCTGCTGAGCACAGCACTCGTTCCCAGCATACCCGTCTCTGGCGCACCTGAACGCATCCATCACTTTGCACGCATGGCTACACGCCTGGCTGCCAAGATTGACTCTCAACGCGACTGTTCCATCCTTGCCAGGAATTGTTCGTCATCCTGGGCAGCCGGAAGCTTGGCTATGGTCAGGCCCTGTACCTCGGCGGCTGTAACAAAACATACGATATCCTGCATATTGGAGAAGGGCTGGCCTAGATGCAACTGCGTGGCACAGAACAAGGTCCCTGCCGTGGTTTAACTCTAGGATCCCCGAACCAGGTGCCTCGGCGGAGGAGCTCTCGTGTGGAATGTTCTTTGGGCACGCGTGGGGAAGCCCGCTCCTTACCCCCTCCACGCCGAGCTAGCCTCGCCCTCCACTTTAACGTGTGCTCTCTCACGTCCGTGTTCCCTGCTGGGTGCCGTCCAAGCGTCGAGCCACGATATTTACTGCCTCTCACCGTCCACGTCTTCGTGCCCTGTCCCGTGCGGTCGTGAGTAGCAAGTCCTGCGGCACACTGACTTCGGGCTGCCGCATCACCGACCTCGACGACTGAGCCTCGGCCTCCACTGACGGTCTGCCATCATGGCGCTCAATCTTGAAAAGCAGTTGACCTTCGTATGAGACCACCCACCCCTTTCGCGCTGCCCCTCTTTGCGTCCTGCCTCTGGTAGCCCCGTCTGCTGACTCGAAGCCGTTGGACCCTGAATACAGTATGGCGCGTACCACCACAATGCCGTCAACATCGGCATACATTCTGTCTGCGTGCCTCTGATTCTCTTCTCTGGCTTTACCTTGGTAAGCCCACCATGTTCATCCCTGGCAGGCAATTTGTTGCCATCCCGTTCAGCACACTGACTATTCGCACCCCGTTATTCAACCACAGGCCGCCAACTCGGGCACGCTGATCCCTCTGCCGAGCTACCTTACGATCCCGAACCTCGATCTCAACCTCGGAACACTCGCAGCGATAACATGGGGTGGTCTATATGTCTTGCTCGAGCCGGTAGCCGGCACAGCGCTGGCTTTGCTATGCCTCGGTGGCGCTGCCGGCGGTAACAAGCTCCTCGCCAAAGATGCCGCCATGACCAACAAGGCAGCCATCGCCATACAAGTGGTAGCCTGGATTGCGCAGTTTGTCGGCCACGGAGTCTTCGAGGGTCGCGCCCCGGCTCTGCTCGACAACCTCGTCCAAGCCGTCTTCCTGGCCCCTCTTTTCGTGTGGCTCGAGACACTGTTCAAGTTCGGGTACCGCAAAGAACTCCAGGCCCGTGTTGGCAAGGCTATCGACAGTGAAATCAAGAAGTTCAGGAACAATAAGCAGAATGGCAAGACGGAATAAAGGGGCTGATGTTGGGGGGGCGAACGTAACTTTGAACGGCCATCGTCTTGGCTTTCAAGGTGCTAGCTGGCCAAAATCCGAGACCGGTATATTGAAGATTCGATCAGAATGTGAAGAACAGTGAAAGGAAAAGGGAGACGCGGTTCTTTGGCCAATATTCTGCCACTCTAAGACGCGCAATTCTCCTCAAGACCGCGGTGGCATGAAATAGCTGAGAAGAGCCGCATGCATCACCGAGAGAACAGCCATGCCAAGCCGAACAGACACGGATGGCGAGGGGGGTGCGGCGGGTGAAGAAGAGAAGGAGCGCACACTGCAAACAAGTCTGTGCCGTCCATCACATTTACTATACCCCGTGTTGCAGCTGTGGTTCTGAAATACCAAACAACGAAATCTTACTGGCCACGAAGAGGCAAAACTGTACATGAGCTGTACATGGTGTTCGAGTTCTAAGGAGTGTACTGCAGTCGTGCCATGGAGAGGCCGATTGGCCTTTAATGTCGATCAAGCCATGTGCAGCCCGGTGCGCGATCTGCTCGTTCTCGATCCTGGAGACGATTTGTGTCAGGCATCGCCTCGGGGGGCTTCCAACACCAACTAAGTCCACAGCCTTGATACGAAAGCAGCTGCGCTGGCTACTAGGACGGGTTGTAACGGGCGCCTGTTTATGGTTCATCTATTGCGCTTTGCCACCTCGGCACAGACCCGAAGGCACGCAATCTTCCAGTACTACATACCAACGGGCATGGCGCCGGGAGTTTGTGATAGCTTTCTCAGCATCGGCCGCGGCATCCTCGGAGCCGGCCCAACCCTAGCTCTGAACTATCCTGTGTCGGTTTGAGCGACTGAGGATACATAGGCCGATGTGCGCATTGGTAGAATGTTGGCGAGCCTGACGGCTGCGGGTGGCTGTTGGACGGTCCCCTTTTGCGATGAGAAGCACGGCGCGGCTTTGCGACAGACTTGATGGGTTATGAAAATAGCAAACGGCTGGCGGTCTGGACGGCTTGAGAATGCCTTGGCCTTGTAGAAACGTGCCGAAGAAGAGAGAGTCCAGTCTACTAGAAAGGAATAATTAGACCAACGAGATTCAGGCGCGCGTGACGAGACAAGTCTACGGGCGGCTTCCATCACTTTTTCCGCAAAGGACTATCTCTGTGTCGTTGTGGTTGATGTCCGCCGGCACATGACAGAGGAATTCGAGAGAAGCCAGGCGCCTTACCGGCAAAGTGAGCATCAGGTCGGATAGGACTGCGCGCGGTGGGAAGAGCTCGATGCGGATAAGTGTCTGGTGATCCCAAAGGCAATGAAGTATTATATCCTTGCCGTGACGAGCGTATTCGCTCAAAGATGCGCTTGTGGTCGCTCAAGTTGTAATGGTGGGAGGAAAATCATCGTCATCACAATCACCACTATCATAACCTTCAGGAGTGTTCCTCATCTGATCTTGTCTCCTAATAAGTCCGCCTGGGAGGATTGATTTTCCATGTGAGGATGGCGCACTCGACATCATGGAGGCTTCATATCAAGAGGCAATTGCTATTTCTTGTCTCCTCGTGAGCAAGTAACAAGCATGTATGCAATCACAGCCCTGATTCCCCTTATGAGCGGACGATCACTCTGAGGATTGGGAAGCGAACGCATCTTGACTACATAGCCACCATTATGGAGAGAAAATATGCTTCCATCTATGTTTTGTTTCAAGCCAGTTTCTTGTTGTGCCACCACAAGCCCATTCCATATCTGTAAGGGAGAGAGTCCTTTGACAGACCATGCTTCTCCACCGGGGAGACGGTCCACTTGCTTGCCTGGTCGTGCTTTGATGTTGTTTGACAATGATTGGACTCTGCAACGCACCATGCTGCATGTCTTGGACTGCTCAAGTATTATTCTCACTCCTGTGATTCCATGCTGCGAGACATTGGCCCACGGAAGTCGTCAGCAAGAATATCCGGACCGTTCGAGGTCGCGTGCTGGCTCCCACGACCTTGGGAGCAACAGCAGATTCTGTCTAGCCTCGTGGCTGCGGACTTGTCTAAACCCCAAATCCAGCATGTAAACAAGATGGGCACAGTTGCAGACTTGAGCAGAAATAGTGGCAGAAGCCTTCTTGGCTGGGTTACACTGCATGCGAATTGTGGAGGATGACACAGGAGGCAAACAGCCCAGAAATCAGGATGGGTCAATGGTCTTGTTTGAAGGGCGGTGTACCCGGCAAAGGGCCCCACGACGTCATTTCCCAGTCCGAGGGCATGAAAGTGAGGTTGCGTCTCTTGATCCCGGATTGAGGTGCTCTAGTGACTTGGGATATCGACCCAAAGAAGCCGGAGGGGAGGGGCAGAGAGCATCACTGTCCAGAGCTCTGGCCAAGCCACGCGGGAATTTGCCGCTTGTGCAGGATATGGCCTGAACGACTTGAGCCTCTTCGGAGACGTTTCCGTGTCTTTCTGTGCAGTGTTTCCGAAGAGCCCTGCACGGCAACCTAAGCCGCGACCAGCAGCGTGGGTTCAGTCGCACTGCATGGCCCCCGCCAATTCCCAAGAAGGACTTAGCCCGGGAGTCGAACCAGAGAAAAAGCAAGCATCCTAGCTACTGCACGGAAAGCTAGGTTCTCCTGCATGTATCAGTCCTGGTTCTCCACAGCTTCCTTCATATTCCAAGGGAGGAGGGGGGGCAGCACCAACAGCAGTGCTGGGCCATTGTCCTGCTTCTTTAGTTGCTGCTGATTGCAGGCGTAAGGTCCATTCTCCAACGAGCTCTGGGCAGGACTTGCCAATGACGTCGTGGCAAGCCCCGGCGCGGGGGTGAGGTCATTGGCAAGTAAAGGGGCTTGACCAGACTTCGTGTCGTGCCTGATCTTCGATCGATTGTTATTTTGTTGCCATGCGCACGATGTCGCGACTCAAGTCCTGGTCTTTGTCAAGCCAAGGGGACGGGACTTCTGAAAACACCCATGCTCGAAGACATGGCGTAACCTTGCGCGTGGGGCCAGGAGGCAAGAGAGAACCACTGACAAGACACATCCTGGGCGCTATCGCAAGGACAGGGCCTTGAGCTGAGGCCTAGAACTGGCGCCATGCCCATTAAGAGGTCATGGTGGCTTGCTGGCGCATGGGTGCTGCTGCTGTACTGCATCCGTGTTGGTGGCTGGGATGGGGATGACATCACGGCTGGGCGTGAGTGGTTACCATGAGCATTTCCAGAATGCCATTGACGAAAGTTGCTGGCGACCTCAGCGGAAAGCTCAGGGACGGGGACCGCCACACGGACGGCTCCACTCGCGTGCTGGATCGTAGATCTGCTGCTTACTGCCGCGGGATTGTGCACAATGCACATGACCCGACCAGACGGCCGAACAGTTCTAGAATACCAAGAAAAGCAATGAGACCTCCCGGCCAGTGTCATCTGAGACCTCAGGGTGGGTGCGGTTGGAGGACGTAATTACTGGGCTTGTCTCGCTCTGGAGGGCTCCCAGCACTCCATTCTTTGCACGGCTACGTTACGCTACCGGAGGGTACTTACCTAAAGGAGGTAGCGTAGAGGGCCTTGCTCCAGTCTCCAGCTTGCCGCGCGGGGCAGACGGGCGAGGCACGCACGTTTCCCCACGTACTATGTTTGGGACCGCTACACCTGCCAGGTGCAGGCATCCATACGCGTACCTTCCCAACCCTGGGAAAAGGTTGAGTCGGAAAGGGCCACCCAATGGCAGCCCTGGAAGGCAGCCCACTGAGCAGCAAACGAGCAGACTGCCAATCACCACGACCAGCTTCTCCATGAGCTCTCAGACGTGCCGCGAGCACAACGACCTGGTCGGCCGAGCCAGGACGTGTCATCCGTCGTTGCCTAAGTACGGGAGTTGAGGGGGACTCGCGGACATAGCAACAGGAACGGACCCCTCAGCCTCCGCTTGGCCCAGACTTGACGGGGTTCTTGTTCCCATAGCATCAGAGAGTCGCATCCCACAACCTCGCCCTCATGTTTCACGACACCCTCTGATGCCTGCGATAACACAAACCTCGCGCTCCAGAAGAAAGGCTTAGAGCACAATTGGGCCATCTCTGCATCTCTTGCATCTGCCGCGTCTCCCTCCAGGCGCCCCACCGCCCATCGCAAGCCGTCGTGTGCTGACATTGCAGTGTATGCCCACGGCAGCAATGGCTGCGCAGGAGCAAAATGGCAAGTCCTGGACCATGCTGGGTAAGTTGTCGCCCCTCAGCCAGCTCGGCTCCTCGGCATCGGCACTAACCAAGCTCGTTACAGAGAACAACCCGGAGGTCATGAACAAGCTGGCATCTGAGCTTGGACTGTCACCCGAACTAGCATTCCATGATGTCTGGTCCCTAGACGACCCACATCTGCTCTCCATGGTGCCCCGCCCGGCGCTGGCGCTGCTCGTCATCATGCCATGCACTCCTGCTTGGGCAGAGGATCGTAAGGCAGAAGCAGACGCTCGGTCAGAGTACGATGGCTCTGGCCCGAGCGAGCCTGTCATCTGGTTCAAGCAGACTATAGGCAACGCTTGTGGCTCCATTGGCCTCCTTCACTGCGCCATCAACGGCCCGGCTGCCGAATTCATCTTGCCAGGTTCGCCTTTGGAAAAGATCCGCAATGCCGCGATTCCTCTGAAACGCGAAGAGCGGGCTGCAATGCTGTATGAAAGTGCCGATTTCGAGAAAGCCCACCAGGCTTGCGCGTCCGTCGGAGACACACAGCCAGTCAATGCTGAACACCTGGGTCAGCACTTTGTCGCCTTCGTCGTTGCCCATGGACGTTTGTGGGAGCTCGAAGGAGACACAAAGGGCCCGGCAGACCGTGGACCTGTCACAGAAGATGAAGATGTGTTGAGCCCCCGTGTGCTCAAACTTGGTTTCCAGCGCGTGATTGATCTTGAAAACGGCTCTGGGAACGACTTGAGGTTCAGCTGCCTCGCATTGTCTCGAAAGGAATGACTGTTCCAGGGAAATTTAGCTCTCACCACCACAGTCTGACACAGTATCGCAAGTATTCTCTCGGAGAAACCTGTAACAAGAAGACCGAACGAGGCAGGCACCGTCCAGCTTTGGCACTTCGAGTTTTCAATGGTACACTGGTATCTGGCACGTTTCCAAGAACAAGTGCAAGTGATAGTGCCACTACTTTCTCACGAATTTCTGGTGGCAATGCCATAGACCACGAGCATTTCTAGGCGGAAATCGGGAGTACACGCGTACAATCGTAGGAAATTCGCAAGACGGCAAATCAAAGACTCACAACAAAGCAAGCTCCCTTGTATATCCGGACTCGAACCACATTGCCAGCATTCTCCCGGCTCATTCTTGTTCTGTCCAGCCATGACAAGGATAAGCAGCCAAGAGGGTGGCGCCACTCGCATGGCATACCGACATGCAGTCTCGAACTTTAAACCGTCCCCGGTGAGAGACAAAATGATAAGGAGCGTCAATTCATTTCGGCATCGAGCGACCAGCACAACGTGGCTGCCGTGCTCCGGCGACTAGCTGTCATAAAAGAATGGCTGTTGGGCTCAGGCACCAGGGAGGGCTGGAATGTCTTGCTTACCAAGATTAATGACGCGACTGATAGGCATGGCTCCGCGCCACCATGAGCTAGTGCCTGCGTCTCATGTGAATAAGCTATTTCTCTGTTGATTCCGAAGCCTTGGCACGAACCACGAACCACAAGCGTTAGTGCGCCGCCAACGAACTGTGAGGCAAGGCTCGATCAACTATAGTTGTGACAAAGGGACGCCAACTCGAGCTCAGGGCAGGATGACGTCCATGAGCCAAGCCCATATCAGGAAGAATCCGAGCAGCTATGGTTGGAGCAAGCACGTTTTCGCCGCTCTTCAAGCCACGCAAACTGTAACTATCGGGGCCAGTGGAAAGAGGCTGGTGGAAATCTGCCAGGCGCACGCGACCCCGGCTCGCCATCTCCTGGGTCTCCAGTCAGCTGGCAGGCTTGGATGCGGAATGAATTGCGGCCAACAAGCACGCCAAGCGAACCCTGGTGCCGTCGCCGAAGCCGAAGGCATACTGTCTCAGAACCTGCAGCGCCAAGATCTGACATGAACGAATCAGGAGAGTTCCAGCAGAGGTCCGTTCGCCAGGAATTGACATGTTGAACAGGGGTGCGAGAGGGGCAGGTTTGATGGGGAAGGCTCTTCCCCCAAGCGCAGAAAGCGAGGTTTCTCGGCACTCATCCCGTGGCGGAAAGTCTTGCCAATGGGCAGAAGGATTACATTCACACCTAATCAGTTATCCACAACCTTGTCTAGACGCTCCATTGCAAGGGTTACGCCATGCCGGTCACACCCCAAAAATCCGGAACGAGGAAGATCGCCTGGACGAGCCGACGGATCTTCTGCAAATCAGTCGATTGGCAGACTAATTCCACACGGCAGTTTCTTGCCCCCTTGGGTTCAAGCCCAGCGAGGCTGCCTCGTCCGGCTACCAGCAAGTTAAGCTTAGCCGTCGGTGACAATCATCACCGTGTCGAGCTTAGTCGGGAACATAGGCGTCGTCTTTCCTGCATGCTGGACCGGTCTCGCCCTCTGCCAAGCAACCCCTACTGACTGACATCCCTGTCTCTGTTGGTGTGGCATTTTGAGCGGATCTCCACGCTCCTTGTGTACGCCGCCAAGTTCTAACCCGTCGGCCTACTGAGCGACAACAGGGGAGTAGAAACCTGTAGGGGTCGTGCACGTCACTGTTGCACTGTTGCAGTACGCAGTTGCGCTCTGCTTGGGCGCAGTCACAAGTTAAGTTGGTGGTAGTAGTTCCTGGACTCCTCGAGATTTTCTAAGACACAACCGCTAACAGCTGCGGAGACGCGACAGTCTTCTCCGCGCCTGGAGTCTTGCCAATGGACAATTGACTACAAGCCGATTAGAGCGGTGCTGGTCGATATTGGCTTGAGACAATTCAATGATGCTTCGATCGGACAAGCTCTGGTCATGGCCGGGTACCCCTTGAAAATAAGGAGCTCGTGCGCCAGGGTTAGGCTCGACAACAGGGTGCTGCGGCTGCGCAGAAAGATCGGCAATTTGAACCTAATCGTCGAGTACGTGGTTTCAGCACCAGCTCATCCTCCACCGACACGAGTGCTTTTGCTCACCTAGCGCGGAAACTACTGGGACCCGTAGCGCGCCTGGGAGCAAAGCTCTACGCCTTGGCAAGTCCGCTATACAGACTTTCATGCCGACGTGCCCCCGGGGGAGCCTCCTGTCTTCTAGAACGAGGCGGAGGCGGGTGCTACCCGTGGTCAGCCCTGATGTCTTGGGGACAGCACAAACACGCATTTTTACAAACAGCTTTGGACAATGCTAGACCGGTCACTCAGTCAGTTTCGGGATGCAGTCAAGTGGAGAGCAGCGGCACACAACCGTCCAGCCATCACCTCCAGCACCGCGGAAGCAGGACGCTGCTCTCTGCACAGCCGGCAGGCTGGTTCACCAACGATTGAAACACAAGCTGGACGAGGCCCTTGAGCTTGTCATCCAGGCCGAGGGCAAGAGGCAAGAATGTATTCGGCGATCCTATGTCGAGAGAGGCAACTGTTTGGAGCAGCTGTCTCGGGCTTGCAGCAATTTTAGCCTCGAGCGCCTGCCTACGAGGTGCCGCTGTGGGACGACCCTATGAACGGCTTAGAGGCGCCAGGACGCGCCAGCGATTCTGCACATCGTGGCAGACCTGGATGTCTCAGGACCTTGGAGTTGATGCTGTTAGTCCTTGTGCCGACATGCGCCTAGCGCGCGTGCCCTAGCAGGCATAGAGGAAAGACTTGCCGTCCGACCTTGATATTATGGGGCGATGACGGACTACCGTGCTTCGGGGCGCTGCCCGGGCAGACTGCTTTCCGCCATACCGGTGTTGAAGCCCTCGTTCACGTTTCAACAAGTGCATATAAGCTGGATACTGGTCGATTCACAGCCTGCCTACTCTGGTTGCTTAGCGAGCTCGTGCGAAGCACCCCTGAATCCACACCGAGACTTGACATGGGACGCAGCAGCAGCAGCACCACCACCACCACCAGGCAGAACGTTACCTGTCCCTCTGCCCTTCGTGGACGCCTGCGGAGGCGGAGCAACCTCCGGACTCAACCCGGCGCACACGACAGCACAATCCGGTGCCCCAGACGCCGCAAAACCAGCAGGCGGATCGAATTTCGGCGTAGCTAGCGATTTCATCGAACCCGGCAGGGTCCCTGACCCGCGAAGAGCTTGACTTTGTAGTCATCCATGCGGAACTGCGGCCTCCCGCACACCACGCTCGCTCCCGCGGCGCTGCCTTGCCAAGTGCTGCCGACCCGAGCACCCGAGTACACCACGTTCTGAGCCGATCACCATCAACCCGCTTGGCTCTCTCGCCACCAGCAGGTCACACTGCTCATCCAGGTACGAGACAAATCCCCCGCAGCGCCAGAATTGCGAGTTTCCACCCTGACACGGCCAGCCAGCCCGCCAGCGCGGCAGAGTGTCGATCGACTTGGCCGGGCTCCTCTGCGCCGGTGGGTTCGGTCCACCACTCAACTCAACGCCTCCGCATCATAGCCTGGACTGTCCATGTCAATCACTTCCACGAAACAAAGCTTGATCTGACGTTGCTGTCATGTTCTCTTTCGGCCCAGCTCCTGTCCAGATCTTTGCAGTGCAATAACAGGCGACCACCAGGCTTAGGGGAGGCTGCATCGGTACACCGGTTCTAAACTTCGTGGTTACGCCCAGGAAGGTTGGGCATGGAGGCAGAGCACCATGGTTCGGCTTCTGCTGAGCCAGGGACACCAACAAGCAATCACCGAAAGGAGCGAGGGGCGATTGCCGCCCAGGCTTGTGAGAATTGTGAGTCCTTTTGGTCATGCTCCTCCTTCGCAACTCGCCAATCAAGTCTAACGCCGTTGGTCAGGTCGAGCCCGCAAGCAAAAGTGCTCAGAAGCGCGGCCGAAATGCGACGGCTGTGTTCGAGCTGGGGTATGCGTGTCTTCCTCTGTGTCTCCCGTGTGTCTGTGAGGATGCTAAATCGCGTAGATTCCATGCAAATACCGAGAGCCGCAACCAACAAAGTAAGGCCCGCCTAACCAAAGTGAACGTCTAACGAACCATGCCAAGTTTCACCGTGCAGAGCTTCTTTACTGACTTGAATATAGGAAAGACAAAACGCTGGTCGAGATATTGGAGAGGCTGAAGATACTCGAAGGGGGCATCAAGGCACTCGACGGCAAGGTGGATAGTATTGGTGTGCAGCCTGGGTTCTCATTTGCAAATCATGATCAACAACTCTCGGCGCCGACAACCTATGATCCGAGCCGCTCTAACTCCTGGGCTTCGTCCAGTGCGCATCTTACTACTTCTTCTATTGGCCCCGCCGCGGTCAAGGACAGTCAGTACAAGTACGCCTCTGCGGCGTTCAAGATGCTGTCGTGGCCGTGTCTGAAACCGGTCCTGCCCGCGGTTGACATCCCAGCCCTGGAGAAGGGAGGAGCTTCAATCATCCTCGGTCAAGGTGAGAATGGGTCCAGTCCGTCCCTGGATGCTCTGAATGCGGCTCCAGCCAACTCATCCCAATCTTTGATGAACACGCACCTTGGCTCCACAAACGAGCACCACATTGGTGCTTTTGTTCCGAACCACGAGACCCTCGACTGGGAGACCATGTTACGGCTCTCGAAGGCGTACTTTGACTCGTTCAACTTTTTGTTTCCAATCATCGACCGTCAACATTTCGTTACGGCCATCTTGCCGACAATTGCGAGACACGGATATGACAACAGCTCCTTTTCGGCACTGGCACTCTTGGTTCTTGCGCTGGGCGAGGTTTCGCTGGCTGGCACTCAGGGCACCCCGATCCAGACGCATAAGGGACGGCCAAGCGGGCTTCGGGGAGGGAGCGCCGGCCAGCCTCCTGGGCTTTATTTCTTTAACCGCGCTCGGCGGAACATGGGTCTTGGCATCGCGGAGTCAAGTCTTGAGAACGTACAGATCTTCTCACTTGCCGCGTAAGCCATCACATTGTTCTGTACAGCTACGGCGAGGCCGCAAACGTCTGACAAGCAAATAGTCTGTATTACGGGACATGCTGTCAACATACGGTGCGTAGAGCAATTAACGGTTGTGGACCGCATACCAGGGAATATTTTTGAACTCGCTAACCGGAATGTGCCTCAAGGGGTTTTGGCGGATGACGATATACGCATCTGTTGCATGCCAGGCCCTCTTGATAAGGTAGAGCTCGTGCCACACCTACGTTGGGGAGGAGAGATTGTTCTGACGATATCACAATGGCAGTAAACCGGATACCCTGCGAGGGGCTGCCGCTGATCTTGTTCGACGAGCGTTCTGGCATTGCTCCATCATGGAGACGTAAGTGTCATCATTCAGATCAAGTACAGGTTGGGATTCCGGCTCGCTAATGTTGGATGCAGACTTCTATACCTCGAACTTGACTTGCCAACGACTGGGCTTGAGAAATTTGAGGACATTGTAGGCCTCCCCGACTTCAGTGGATCATATTCAGAGGAGGACTACGTCGGCAACCAATCGACACATTACCAAGAACATTTTGCTTCGCAGATCGTGTTGCGTCGATTATCTGTCGAGTTCAACAAGACCCTCAACAACGGTACGTCTTAAAACGCGCCTGGATTCCTGCGCACTGAAAGCCCATACTCACAGTGACGCCTGCGGCAGTTCTAGCATCCGAAAACCTCAACGGCGCACATCTGTTTCCACCAGAGACGCCTCGAGGCCAGGTGGTTTCCACAATCAAACAACTAGCAATGCAACTCGAACAATGGCGGGGCATGTTACCCTTACATCTGAGGTGGCAGGATGATGAGCGAGGAGTGTTCCACCTTGGCGACGACCTCTACGACCCCACGGGATATCCTCATGGCGTGCCACCCCAGCTGGGGACTTTCAGTTTCACGACAAATCTCGACATTCCACCGGTCAACTACCCATATGCGGCGGATATCCAGATCTCCATACTCCGCTCACGCTACTACTACGTAAAACACATATTATATCGCCCATTCCTGTATAAGGCTCTCCACCACCCCGAAGACTTTGGGCAGGAGGATGCCGAAGGGGTGGCCGAGTGTTTGCAAGCCGGCTTGAAATGGCCAATTGCGATGTCTCCAGCCTCCCGTCGCAAGCGGCTGATCCCATGCCTTTTCTTCTGGAGTCAAAACCTCTTGAGCGTTCTCGTGACGCTACGCCTTACGGAGAGAGTGCCGCTTTTGGCGCGGATCCGGACAAATATGACTGGACCACGCTTCAACGAGGATGCGAGGGAGACGGTTGCATTATATATAGACTGGATTCGGGACCTGAAGGACGTCGACTCGACAGCAATGTGGTGCTGGACGGTTCTGCAAGATATATACCCGCTGGACGACGATGCCTGAAATGGAGGATGGTATCATTGCGAAATCTAATCAGCGATGACTTCGAGTCACACCCAGCACACAGCAAACCACTATATTCCAGGAAGCTGCTAGGCTTACATGTACCACGAGCGGGGATTTTCCCCGCGCTCAAAGTCGAAAGCTAGGCAGCGCAGGGGCCGGCTGTTGGCAAGAAAAAAGCACCATAGATGACATAGACTACGAGGTCACGATCACGATGGTAAAGACCTGACGAAAGATGCGATACTTTTTCCTTCTTCCCCAATTTCACTGTTATGCATAAGAGAGACGTCTATATAGTACACGAAGAGAGTCTCACGCTAGAATAAACGGGGAAACCGCCATGCAAGTAAGCAACCCGTGAGGATGAGCGTCGTGTCAGCGTTCTAGATGGCGCCCGACATGGCCATCCCGTTCTCCCTGCATCGATGAGCGTGACTCATGTTTGACACGTGAATTCACACATGGTCTTTTTTATGAATGGATCAAGACGGGATTTCATTTAGTCACGTCCCAACCTAAAGATTAGGTCGATCGCCTTTAGCGTGCCTTTCAAAGGTGAGCAGTAGAGGCCTATGATATCCAGCGAGGCACATCAAGTATTTAATAGTTCTATCAGCAGCGTTCGGTGCCATGTATATCACGCAGTTGAAGGGAAGGGTATACCTCGAATTTTGGTGTATACGGCTCCGCTGTCTCTGAAACAAGAACGTCAAAAGTTTTAACCTCGTGCTGTCAACGAATTGACTCCTCTCCCCCATTTCCAATCATCCTTTCTGAAAAGTCTGCGGTGGGAAGGAGAGAAAGGAGTACGCCTGCGGCCGGCTTCCAGCTCAAAGCCCATCAAGGGATCACGACGACATGGCCAAGGCTGCCAATTCCTAAATATATGGATAGCGGTGTGTGTGTGTGTGAGTGTGTGTGTGTGTGTGCGCGCGCGCGCTACGTTGGTTTTCCGGCTGAATGGATGCCCATCGTGAGAGGGAAAAAAGTCATCATCCATACCTTTGGCCGCCGAGCTCGTTACGACAAACCCAGATTCCGGGCCAGCCATCACACACGGCACAATCACTGAGTTCGATCAAGCTGGCCTACATGGATTTGGGGTCGTTGACTTTCCCCGCTCGGAGCCACACATCACACTGCCCAGGTGGATGGGCACCATCTGTGCACATCCGGGCACACACATCATGCGTGCTGCTTCCGGCAGTCCAAGCTGACTGCCAGGGGGGTTAGAGGGGAAATCAGCCAACATTGTGTCCATTCTCATCAGTCCATGAAGGTGAACTTCCCCAATGTGGTCATGGTTTGGCAAGAGACCATCTCTCTAGCCCATTGGAACTGTCCGCTGGTCTGGTGTTCCGATGACCCTGGCTTGACTGGCTTGCCATAAAAGGTAACCCAGAGCAGACATCTATGATGTGATCGCCCCCCTCTGCATATCGTCGTGGCGTATATGGCTGATCCATGTCGTGTCCTGCCATGCTCTGTGGGGTGTTCTTCATGCGAGAAGGTGCGGTGGTGTGTCAAAACGTTTGGTTAGGGGTGGGGGGCCTCACGAACTAGGAATTCAGCAATGGCAAGCTCATTCATGGGCCTTGGTCGTAGGCAGACCATAAGATGACTTGTCGTTCATTGGTTGTGTGTGGCATACTTGACTGCAGCCGAGGAAGCCTACAAGATGCTTTCAGAGATGCTGCCTCCGTTGGCAAGTCGCTACTACCGTCCACGGGGCCCAGCGCCTCCGATGCGGTCGTCCTTCAATCCAGCACGTTCCTTTCCTCACCTTGAACCCCTCGGGTGATTGTTTGGCCTTCGGTCTACCAGGAACGCCGATGTACACACCATAGAACTGATTATGCCAGAGCGGAGCTTGACACTGGTGGTAATCCGTCCCAGGGCAAGCCAATTCACCAAGGTTTCACTCGGTAGAGCGGGCATGCGCATGATGCTGCAAGTCATGCAGGCGTACGCTAAAAGGCATCCCAAAAGTGTACATGACCCCTGTTGGTGTGCACAGGGATGCTGGCGCTTGCCGCACATCCCATGCACTTCTCTCACCCCTGAGCGATCTGTCAGGATCCTGGCCAAAGTCTGGATGTAACCGAAAGTTGAGAGCGGAGTCGTGCGGGGTGAACCTCTCCTGACAGGACTTCAAGCACGACTGTCCCAGGGTCGAGCGACCCGATGGCGATATTCAGTCCATTGGTGACAGCCTCTGGCGTGGCCCAAGCATTCAGGTTACCCAGGATGCCTGCGGATCACCCAAGGGATGAATATGTGATCAATATCAGAGGCAGGCCTAGCAGTCAGTTTGCGACAGCTTTTCCATTGCAGGTCGGCGTTGACAGGGATCTGTCTTAGTTGAGATACACAATGAGTCGCCAGTATTATGTGAAGCCCGTCAATCGCTCAGAAGTACTCGGCAGGGTGGTTAACGATATCGCCGAGTAACCCTTCACAGAAAATCGACCCTTTGGTGGGGGTAAGAGAAAAAAAAAGAAGACCAGCTTGAATACAGTACTGGCTCGTGCATATGTTGACAAGCATCACCAAGCAAAGCTGTTCGTGATGACGAATTTGGAGGACGCTCTTAAATTCCTGGCGTCACTGAACTGTGTTTGCTAGTTCGAAACATTGCTAATGAGACGATTGGCTCCTTGGCTCTCTGGTGCTGCGGCCAGGTTGTGAAAACATGTCTTTACGTGGAGAGTGGATCATGCTCGCCACTGACGGACAGAACATCGAGCCTGATTGCTTATTTCGCATCGAGCTGACTTCGAGAGGGGGGAAGGGTTGCCAGTTGGCACTACCTCCATCCAGCTGTAAGATTACACTCGAATGTAAAACTATGGCGCTTGCTGTGAAGGCTGTATCGCCCTCGAGTGATCGCCGTCTTCGCCATATCGGCTCATTTCTCGATGCTCGCCGGTTTTGTACAAGCGGTCCCTTTCCCTAGTTGGCTCAGAAAATGGTGGGAAGGTGAGGTAGAGACCCCGAAACCACTTCTTAGATGTGGAGCTGAATGCTGTCCATGTCTTCAAGGGAAGTAACAGGCTGACTTGGTGATACAACTACTGCCTGCTACCGTCGATTTCGTCTCAACGGACGTCCAGATCGAATAGACTTGAAGGGCAACCCGAGGTGAATCGAGGGCATTCATGCAGATTGCTCTCATGAACATAATGGGCACTGGCCAGGTAGGACGATGTATCGCTCATGCGGGCCTCTAGGGCATGCGTTCTTGCTGCTTCCGTCAATCGACGTGCGGAAGAAGTGAAGTCCAGGGTCAAGACATGACGTGTAGACGTAGTAGTATTTGGTAAAGTCGCACATCGTGATTCTGAGACTACCAAGTATAGTGGCTGAGCCAAAGGGTCAGAATATGGCGACAAGTGATAGTTTAGTGGCAGCGACTTACAATTGTAGGGTAACAAAGCGTGTTCATAATATCCTCCGGCGGGTTTATGACATGAAAGATTACCAGAAAGCTGGAGGTTCAGCCGAGAACGATGGACCTTGAGTTTGTGTGGTGCCTATGTCAACGCTCACGCGCATACGCTGGGGCATACATCGGATATGGAGGATCCTCCGTGGAGGTGGACCAAGGAGACATCCGTCGAAGCCGTCAGTACAACGAGACAAATAAGTCTTGATTTATACCACCACGTAGCAGGGAATGGCCTGCCAAGATGTTGGTACACCGGCACAAGAATCTGCTAGTGGCGGGCTGAATCGACAAGTCTGCACACGCGGGCAAGGATGTTTGTGTGCCCTGACTGCATCGTCATGACTTATCTGCAGACGGCGAAGATGAGATCCTGGTCAAAGACCAGGCCTTGTCCTTGACGATGCTGCATGAGGGCGGGCGGGAGGCGGCTGCCTGCCGTGCACGAGGGTAGGAGAACCAGGACTCCCTAGCTCAACGGCCAAAAGTGGGCAGCTCCACGGGCCAATGCAGGCTTGAGACAGCCGAGAGAGGGCCTGAGTTGTGCACCATGCATTTAATCTATTATTGTTGCTCCCCGATGCGGCGAACCCGGCAAACCCTGAGTGGCATTTGCGGGGGCTAAGTTCCATGGCTAGTAGCCGTTGTGGTGCATGCCTGTGAGTTCGTGCATTCTTCAATCATGGTGTGGGATGGCCTGTGGAAGCGTGCGGCTGGTTAATTGGCCCCGGCCCGGCTTGTTCTTATCGCGAACCCCGGCCAAGCATGGTGACGACGGTACGGTAGTGGTGTTCGTCATCTCACGACGGGGCTAGATGGCACGTTCGCTCGGCTTGTGTTCGGGACAGGGTGATAGGAGCCCAGGCTTACCACGCCATGAGGTCTTTGACAGGGTTCACATATAAGATTTGCAGGGCTGGAGCTCACGGCGATGGGGTTGGGCACTTTACATGACTGGTCTGATATGGGCTCGGGGGACGTATTAGGCCCGTGGCGCCGCCGTGTGCCCCACGAGATAGCTGGAGAACCCCGCATCGCATGCCGTGGTGAGTGATGCTGGTGTTGTCTGGAGCACATGCTGGCAGGTGTTGGAAGGACGGGCAGTGGGAGATATGGCGTCCACGGGGTGGCCTATGACGACTAATTGCAGAATAGTTGTGCAAACAAAGATGGCCATTGTGAGGTCCATCGAGTCATTAGAACCGGGCGTACCTGCCTCTGGCTGCATGCGAGTCACCGGCTGGGGTGCGCCCAGCCAGCGCGGCCCCGCATGCAACAGCACAGGCCGGCCTGCAGGATCCCTGTACCCCGTACCTAATGCACCTGTGCGGGACAGACGTTGCTTCCCGGCCCGCGCTGCTGCAGCCCGCCCGCTCTCTACACCTCGCTCGCTCATCGCCTCCCACCTCTCACGATCCTCTAATTAGGCCGGCTCTCCTGCTCGCACTGCCAAAGATGCAGCAGTCCCACGTCTCCTGGCCAGTCTCACGCTTGCTGTGCCCATACCATTGCCCATAGAGCATGGCTGCTGATGCGGCATTAACGGCCTTCACAGCACATCATGATGCTTGGACAACCCAGCCAAGTGGACCTGTGCTACATTCGCAACACCTCGTGGAAACACCTTTGCTTGGTAACCGCATGTCGGAACGGGGCGGGCGGGCCCGCATCAGCATCCAATTGTCCTATTCCGAGCGACCCAAGCACGGCAAATCCCGCGGGATCAGCTCAAATTGACCGCATCCAGCCTCCAAGTTGCGCACAGAGCCCAAGTTGCACGAGCTGCTTACCTGAGGTATCTAGTTGCGGCGTGCTGACGGCGGCTAACTCGATCAGGACTACCGGCACTCCTCTCAATCAGAAGCAGAGCTCCTGACGAGATGAAGTCCGAATTCTACAAATACCCGAGTCCACTTGTCCCGATCGAGGAACATGTCTCCGTGCTTATATCGTGCCACAATTTGGGCCACTTCTGTTGGTGCTTGTCGAAGAACGTGCTCATCTGCGTGGCTCATCAAATGCAATAATGTGAGAGTCTCAACCTCGGCCGTTTCGGTCACCTCATGGGTATTTCGGTCGCGACTCAGGGATGCCCTCCATGCGGATTGTGCCAAATCGCCTGTTGCGCTTGTTGTGCCCGCTCGAGACCAGCTCCCACATGAATCAGGAGCATCCTACGCAGGTGCGGCGGCCCTTTCAACATTCTCGTCCGGGATTTGTCGGTGGAATGGCCATGCCATGGATCAGGCCACTAACGAGCGCTTTATCGACAGGGTAGAGGTTCCCAGTACGGGGTCAAAGCGTTATCAAACTCACTCCGCAGGGCTCGTGCCCCCACGTTGGCCGTCAGGATGGACTGACTTGCTGCTCATCGAGCTGATGGGCTTGACCTTGGGTGACTGATTTTATGCTAGTGGCCTCAATCGCTTGACTCGGCGTCAAGTAAGCGTTTAAGCCGGCCATTGACTCACCATGCCCATCAGCATATAGCGGTAGGCTTGTGTTGAGCCAAAGCATGGAGTATTTCCCGTGACTTCTCGTCGGCTAGAGTATCGTAGTTTGCCATTGACGGGTAATGCATTACGCAAGCCCAAGGGCAGTTTCTGGCTCGCGGAGCTTATCTCGGAGCCGAATGCATACATTGACGCGTGCGATATGCAAGGACGTCGAGCGCCTAGGCGTCTCGGGGTATATTGCTGATGCTGATCTGCTACGTGTGCAATTGGTTCTCGATACTTTGTGTCTTGATGCTTTTTTTCTACCATGGAGGATTTGGTTTAGACAGCGCAGCAGTCTGACGGGTTGCCCAGGGCATCTATCCTTCAGCTCGGAAATACTTTATGTTTTTGTGCTTGAATGTGCCGGCTAGGTCTTAACAAAAGCCAACAATTTGATGTTCAACCTCTTCGTACAAGCAAATCGTTATTTAGGCAGAATTTACTTCGATAGAAGTTTCCCCGCTCGTCAGGAAACCCACGACAATGAGCAAGGGACATGTGCAAGTCGAGCTGGCGCGAATAGCCACTTGATGAGCTCGCAGACATGAGACGAGGTCGACTGGCAATGGATGTTCGAGCGCGGCGTCGCATTTGCGACGTCCGCAGCTTCACATCGAGGTGGAAAGCATGAATGCATAGGATGACACGCAGGTTGATCAGAGGACAACCCTGGGGGAGTGGGGACCATTCGAGCAAGTGAATGCAACATGCGTCTCAAGCTCCCCGGGGACTTTCCTCCCCATCGCTTGCCATGCCGACTTGGCACATTGGCAACAAGGACGGTCCCGCCAAGGCCAGCCAAGGCTGTATTGGCTCAAGTGATCCTGGGGCGGGTTCAGGGAACGGCAGAGGTCTGGATCTTCCTAGGTCCACACCGATTGCATGTTCCCTTGATTTTGCCGCAAGGACTCGGAGCCGAAAGGGCTACCAATGGCCCAGCTCGAACAACTACTGTCGTTTATTGAACTACAAACTCTTTATCGAGCCACGATATATGATAAGTTACGCGCACTCTCATGCGTATTGCATCTCTCCAAACCGCCGTTTGCAGGCCGTCAGAGGTTTATCGATCCACTCCGACGTTGGACACAATATTGGCAGAGACAGACCTACCAGAAAACCACGGCAAAACGACAAAGTCACGTACTACCACAAGTTTCTGACAAGAAGGCTCGCGGTAACTCATCTGGAAGATCTCCGAGTTTAGTTCCTGGCTTAAGTCTTGAGTTGACCAGGACTGGCCTCTTCCGTCCATGGTGATGGCGAGACAAGTGTGCTTCTAAAGAGAGGGCTTACTGGCTGCATTCTGGGTGACTCGACTTCGAAAGGTTTGATCGTATGGTTGTACGATCTATCCCTGTCCAATTAGCCGGTTTGAAACATTTACCTGTGCTCCCCCATTGTTCATGTCCACTCCCTCCCTCTATCGTGCTCCGGCCCTAGGCACATCCCCATCACTACCGGTATTCTCGCCCATCAGCCTCATCGTTCCACGTGATTCCCACGTCGACTCTCCTCCTCGTCTTGTCTTCGTGTTTCCTGGCGGGTGGATTTGCTACAAGCCCGTTGGGTGACGTGATGAAATCACCACGGGGTGGGCTATACGATGTCGGGGCGCGCGGGGGGGGGGGGGGGGGGGAGGGCAATGTATCTTTCCATGATACTTCTGCCTCTCTTCATTCATCTGGGTTTCCGCCGCGCCAATCACCTTACAACCATTCTGCCACCTTGGGGATGGGCCCGCCATTCATGTTGGCTACGACATCTCACTCCCTTTTGTCTGTCTGGACAAACGCCACGGCATGGCCCGAGCCTTGTGAGCACGTGGGTCACCTGGCGATTAGCAAAACATGGGCAAAGGAGCGCGTCCACGCCGGATCGTTGCAAGCCAGACAATAAAAATGAGAATCTGACAAGCAACAAGCCTGAAGGGGGCCTTCACTTTGACTACACGTCTTATGTATAATGTGAAGAAGAAAAACAACGGTTCCATGTCGAGTGGCTCTTGTCAATGCAGTAGAGAGGACGAGTAACATATGCACCCATGCACGAAACTTGCACGAATCAAAGTCCCCATCCTCACAAGAGACACGATGAGTGGGGAGTTGCGTTTATATGCACAAAGTGTAGACACAGAAATAGGCTCTGGAGCGCAAAGAGAGTGTGAACAAAAAAGAAATGGCTGGAGTTAGACAAACAGCAGCGAGATATCCAGCGCGTCCAACTCTGTCAATTACTCGGCCGCGGCATAATACCTTATTATCCGCTCTCCCGTGAATGAGACGTCAGACGAAAATCCTCATTAATGTCAAGATGCGGCAAAAACGCTACTGTCTGCCGAGCAGCGATGGGCATAGAGTGATTTCGTTTCATTGATTAATTGTAGCAGGTTGTGTCAGCATCGAAGGATCATGTGGCGTGCAGCCCATGCTGGGAGTCTGGACCAGCCAAACCTTTGGTATGTCGTAGCCAAGAGCAAGGAAGCGGTTCAAACTTAGAGCTAGATACCGGAGAAGCACTGGTATTGTGATCAAGTCTGAAAAGTCCTGCTCAGTGGAAGGGAGAAGACATGTGCAATGTGGCAAACTCCAGGTTTGTATTAAAACGTGCGCTCAAAAACAAACCGCGCGGCTTAAGAAAATATGAGTGGCTATATGGTTGTCGACCATCGCGTAAATCTCAAGGAGCTTGAGCAGTGTCTATACGGACTAAAATATCCTCTTGCTTCCAAAAATGATCATCTGAGGTCGGTGGCCGACTGCGACATGTGGTGCCACAAAGGAGCTGAACGACATTCCATTATGTAACGAGCGGGTCTCATTCTGAACCTGTGAAGCGGTCTCCCAATTCGCTCTGAGCATCGTCTGTCGCGCAGAGTCGCAGCTGAATTCATTGAGCACGAATATACCAACGGCCGAGCTTTTGTTCGCTCGGGCCAGCCCCTCCCCAGGTATTATGCTCTGGCAGCTTACAAAAGAGCCAGCGCAGCAAGCAGACCACCGATCAACTCGGGAGCGGGAGTCGCAAGAGGATGGGCGGCATTCGGGTGGCTGGTGGACGAGGCGGTATTGGCGCCGGCGGCGGTGTTTGTCTGTGAGGTGGTGGGGACGGCGCCGGTGGTCGAGGTGCCGGACTTTGTGGAGGCGGCGGAGCTGGAGCAAGAGACGGAGGAGGGCACGGTAACACCCTGGGCGCCGCAGAACTTGATGGCATAGTCGACGGCCTGGTTCTGGTCTGACTGGCTGCAGGCGCCGGCAAGGCAGCAGGCGATGCCGCTGAGAAAGTTTGCGTCCCTGCAGATGCAGGCGGCGTCAAGGGACTGGCAGCTGCCGATGTTGCCGCCTGTGGTGAATTTGGTGAGGCATTGGGTCTGCGCAAGGACAAGCACTGGTCAGCATACATCGCTGCGTCATGAGGCAGAATGAGGCAAGACATTGAGTGGGTGGAGAGGGAGGCATACAGCACAGCCGGGCAGAGCAGGCAGGTCCTGGGCAAGGACGGCGCCGACAAGGGCGGAGGCGACAAAGAAGGCCTTCATGATGGACGATGCGATGCGAGTGATGTTGATGGAGGAATCGTGTCGATGGGTAGAACAGGCGAACTTTGGAGATTGGGATGGCGGGCGGTTGAAAGAACCTTGGAAGACCTTAGGGTAGTTAAAAGTACGTAGTTAGTTACAGGCAGGCTGGCGGAAGAAACGGGCAAAGCAATGGGAGAGCCTGGTGGGTGGCGGGCAACGAGGAGCTCAGCTGTCCGCTGTACGACGAGGACCGCCCGATTCGGAGTGCTAAGAGGAGCCCTGCATGCCAAGCGCAGGCACAACCCACAGGGCAGGGAGCACGGGCCCGCACTAGTCTGGGGAAGCTCCACCAGAGGGTACAAGGCAGGCATGCTTTTTATGGATGTGCTCGTCAGTCACCGGCAGCGAGCACCGGGTGACTTGGAACCTGGAAGTTGGAGGAGACAAGAGACAGAGGGAGACGGGTACCATGGTACATATGTGCACAAAGCAAGGCCTGGGCACCGCTGTCGTCAACTAACACGTCAGCCACAGTCGCGGTCCAGGTCTTGCGGAACTCAAGTAGTCTTTGTCTTGGGCAGCGAGCTCCTAAGAGTCTGGTCGGTTTAGACTTTTGGGCCTGGCCATGATCCCTGTCGGCAACCCGCACAGAGCAGGGCGCGGCGCGTCATCACTAATACCTAGGTATGCCTGTGAGCGGCCAGTCGTGTGTGGTCTCTGCTGGTTATTCGAAGGTGAATGTACCGAGCAGGCAAGCGCCTGTGAGCACAGCAGCGCCTTTATTCTCCTCCTCGGGAGATGAGATGCGGCTGTGGTGGCTCGGACGGTCTGAGCGGACAGCTTTGGGACAAGCGGCGTGCCGAGGCTGCTCGGGTGGAGCCCTGCGTGGGGTCGCGACTGCCGCCTGGGATTCGCCCGCACGTACGACACCCTTCCCGCTCCTGCCGTCGCAACACCATTGTACCTACGACGGCGTAATTACTTACTGGACCTCGATGTGCACCTCGCCCTTTGAGTCTGCACTCATCCGGCACAGCCGTGCTTGAGAACCATGTCTATTGGCCTTAGAGTTTTCATATCGAGGCCTTTTGTGGGAGACGACAATCGCTTGTCCCCAGGACAGCCGGCTGCTGCCCATCGGAGTGGCGTTGTGTGCCCGCCAGAGAAGCAGTTTAGCCTTTGGCCCCTACTACAGTCTTCAGCCCGTCTCTTGCACGCCCCTGATTAGCCTAGCTCCGCGCGCCAAACGTTGTTGTGTGCACCCTGCGACGACACCTCCGTCCTTCGCCGCGCGGCACCTTTCGTCGTGATCCAACGACGACTTTGTCCTTTGCATCACCACCTCCCCCTTGACTCCCCAGCGCCATGCGACAGAGCATCGCCCGCTTCTGAGCAGCCTCCATCATGGGTCTCGGTGTACTCGAAGACACGGTCCTTGACCATGTGCCCGGCACAACTCGCTACTTTGATGACCCGGACCGGCCCCAGACTGCAGACACGGCCGACGCCCGTGGCCTCAAGTGCGACCACTCCGGCCCTATCCCCATCATTCTCGTATGTCGCTTCGTCCCTCGCCATCGCGTCGCATCGCCCGAGGTAAAAGACTGACTGGCTGGCTGGCTGGCCGCCATGAGTAGATACCCCAACCCTCGGACGACCCCAATGATCCTCTGAACTGGCCTCTCTGGCGCCGCGACCTAATCACCTTTATCCTCTCCCTCACGGCCATCTTTGCCACCTGTCTCGGCCCTATACTCGCCGCAAACACGCTCACCCTCTCCATTTACTTCAGCCTCAACTTCACCTACATCGCCCTTCTCACCGGATACTTCTTGCTTGGCGTGGGCGTTGCGGGCTTCTTCTGCGTGCCCTCCGGCAGGATATGGGGCAAGCGCCATCTCTTCATCCTCGGCACCTGCATCCTCATCGCCACTAGTGCCTGGGCTGGTGCCGTCGGCAAGAACTACACGAGCTTCGTGTGGGCTCGCATCTTTCAGGGTATCGGCTGTGCGCCCTTTGAGTCTCTGGTCAATGCCGCCATCGGTGACCTGTACTTTGTTCATGTTGGTCATCCTCGCCGGCTTGTTGATGCTGTTAGCTTCGCAGATTACGCCGTACTGACCATCCTCAAATAGGAACGTGGAAAGCGCATGGCTTTTACGAACCTGGCCGTGTTTGGAGGAGCCTTCTTCACCCCGATTCTCGTTGGCAAGATCACACATACAATCAGGTGGTGGTGGACTTTCAATCTCGTCGCTATCTTCAGCTCCGTGTGCCTGATTGCCATTTTTCTATGGGTTCCTGAGACAGCTTACGTGCGAGATGCCGCGCTCAACACGGACATCTTTCAGGAGTCTCCTGACTCCGAACCCAGCAAGGAACTCGCACGACCCTCGCCCACCGAGCAGGGCCAAGCAACAATCCCGGCACCCAAGTCTTTTGTGCAGCGGCTCGCACTCTTCGACGGCCGGAAGACTAACGAATTCTTCCCTGTGCTACTGTTCAGGCCCTTGCCCTTGTTCGTGCAACCGGCCTTCCTATGGGCGTGCCTCATCCAGGGCACAATGATTGGCTGGACTGTCTTCATCGGCGTCATTCTCGCAGCCCTCTTCCTTGGCCCGCCTCTCTTCTGGACCGAGGTGCCCACCGGATATGCTTACACAGGACCTTTTGTCGGCGCTGTCCTGGGCTTCTTGATTTCAGGAGCATTATCTGATTGGAGCGCGAGATACATGACCAAGCTCAACGGAGGTGTATATGAGCCAGAGTTTCGAATTGTGCTGATAATTCCTCAGCTCATCTTTGGCTGCATGGGCTTGTTTGGCTTTGGATACACAGCCGACATGACGCTACAAAGTCAGATTCATTGGGTCGTGCCCATTGTATTTTTCGGATTCGAAGTATGCGGCATGATTATTGGTGCTACGGCCAGTGCGTTGTACCTGGTCGATGCCTACAGTAAGTGGTGCCTGCTTCGCCAGCTTGACAGTCGGCGCACAGTCTTGACTAAACACGTATTGGTTTTTAGGACACCAAGCAATCGAGGGCTTCACGATGCTGCTCATCTTCAAGAACCTCTTCAGCTTCGGCCTCACCTTCAAGGCGTACGACTGGCTTGTCCAGGGCGGCGTCGTGTACGTGTTTAAAGTCCTAGGTCTGGTGCAGATTGTCATCTGTTTGACGAGCATTCCCATGTGTTAGTTGACAGCCAAACCCCCAGTCCATGTGTGTATTTTTGAATCTGCATGGCTCGTGTACTGACAGACATCCAATGCGCGAATAGACATTTACGGGAAGCGTCTACGCAGCTTCTTTCACAGGCACGACTTGCTCAAGATGACTGGACTTGCTTGAGAGGGCCTTGTATGCCTCTTAGGCTGGTTGGGAAATGTGGTGGAATTGAATAATGCCGGTGGAGCAATCATCACTACATTTGTTTTCCTCGATTTGGGCCCTACACTTGCATGCACTGTCTATTCGTTCTACGCATCGGCGAACATCAAAGTCAGGACTGATATCACTCAGGTAGCAGAAATCATGTTTGAAAGAGTCAAAGGCTCAACCTGGACTCTGCGCAAGTCGCTGATTGGATCTGGAAGTGAATGTCCGGAAGACTCAAGTGACCACAATCGTGTCATGCCAAAAAAAATTCAAAACAAAACCTGCGCTTCGAAATTGCCATGATATATATGATGCCCATAATGACCCTGGAAGGCAAGAGATACATAAGTGATAGGCTGGCTAGGATATATGCTCGGTAACGCCAACAAAGAACCATGGAAAAGTGGAAAAGCTGGTTGGCAGGCTAGCCGCCTACCTTGGTCATCTCCTTTCAAAATCGTACAATTGATACCCGCCCATCGTCATCTTCACCAACAATCCACCTCTCGTCTCCGGCAATCTTGCCCTTGCCTAGCAGATGTGTCCACATGTGGTCTCCAAATCTGGCCTCGTCGGAGCCATCACCGGTCCCACAGCTCGAGGACGGCTTCGTGCTCATGTCTGTTTCGGCGCTGTGGCTTACGTCATCGACACATATTCTCGGCAGCACGAACGCGGAAAGCGCTTCCATCATGAAGCACTGCCTCGCAACGATGCGCACGCCCGCAGCCCTGTCTACCATATCGGTAACGGTGAGGTAGGGAAATTCTTCGTGCCTCCAGCACGGCGCCCATCCCGGCCAAATCGGATCCGCCTCATCGGCAGAGTTTGTCCCTGGAAGTGACCTGGCATTTTGCAACAGACCACTCCCTGAGTCTGGTGTATCGCTGCTCCAGTTGTTGTACGCGTCATTGGGGAAGTCGTTGTCCTCGTCCTTGATAGCATCTTTGGTGCTCCCGTGTGTGTTGACAAACCGTGCTGCCGATCCGGCGCGAGGGCAGAAGCTCATGTGGATATCGCCATCTGCACAGCATTCGTCGACCCAGCGTGGGCCCATCCCATTGAATGGGATGCTCGTGCTCCTCACAAGGTGGTGCCTTGGTGGAGAGAGCGACGAGTGCTGACCAGAGAGCCAGCGATGCTCCTCTTCGTGGATGTAGACATTGGATTCATCAAGCTGGATTTCGCGCATGGTTGGTGTGTGGCGCTGGCGTAGTCCTAGATGTGCAAGATCGCGCCAGCTGAACCGTCGGACCACGAACGGGGCGAGATCTGGATCAGGATGATTGGAACCTGACGGATCTTGGGAAGGCAAGTAAGCAGAGGGAAATGAAATATCCCACACAGTCAACTGCTCCAAGGGATCTTCTTCCCCCCAAGGCGACCTATTAGGTTGCCAGAGGTACAGAGCGTAATGCGTGGCGGTATGCACGGAATAGAAGCGATCGTGGCGGTTGATCGGAAAGCCGAGAAAATGGATCTTCCATTCAGACCGGAAAGTGATATTCCAGGAGGCTGGAGATGTGTCAGACCGGACCATGGAGGCCTTTGGTGATGTCATCCGAGACGAGGCACGGTGCACGTCGAATGCTGTTGCAAAGTGCCGATGGACTGATTCTTGGTCATTGAGTTGATGGTAAGGCTCGCGCTCGCACCACTCAATGATGAGCACTCCGCAGGCGAGCCGGATACGCCGGACGGTCTTGTCAGTGCCGTCAAAGGGGATCGAGTAGCGGTGACGGGTCTCGAGATCGTAGGCGACATAGCGCCCGGAGATCTTCTCGCGGTATACTAACAGGCCGTCGTCTATAGTCCATGTGGGATCCCGATGCTGGAATGTGGCGGACTTGTCGTTCCAGTTGAGCCAGCGGTTCCAGGGCTCAACGCCACGAAGAGGCCCACGCTCTTTTGACTCCTGAACAACATCAATCTTCTCAACGATGCGAGGCTTTGCCAGGCGGAGATGGTGGTAACGGCGTGCCACGGCAGGGAAGACATAGGCCCAACTGCTGCTAGGGGAAGCAAACTGGCTGGGTGGGAAGTGCGGAGAGGCTGAGCTTGGTAGCTCACCCTTGTCCACCTTGTCCACCTTGTCCACCTTGTCCTCATCATCCCGCCTGCGCAGCTCACGGCAGCGGGGAAAGTGCCATCTCAGCAAGGTGTGGCAGGTCTCATCGCTTGAGAAAGCCGAGTGCCAGCTGCGACTGACCCGGCGGCAGAGGACGGCGTCCCGGGCCGAGAGGTACGGGATGACAAGCAGGAAGACGTCGTGGGGCAGATAGGTGAGATCTGTGGCAGGGGTCACTGGGCAGGAAGCAAACATCTTGGGTGCTGATGCTGCCGCTGCCGCTTCTGCTTGTGTTATGATGCTGTGCCGCTGTGGTGGTTCTCAGAGAGATGAGTCTGGGCTCCAAGGGTCGTTTTCGAGGGTCAGGGGGGGAAATGCCCTTGGCGAGACGAAGAACGTGGTAAGACGCCTTCAAGGAAGAGGATGCGGTGGTGGCTTTGAGGGCAGTGGGCCGTTGGCGCGAGGCTTCGACTAGCCGATATAGGGGAGAGCCGTGTACAATAGCCAGTATTTGGTGAGGTCAAGGCCTGATGTCAGCAGTGACACGCGGCGGGCTGTGCTGCGGCGATGAAACAAAGATGTAAACTGATCTCACAAGCCAAACCAGGAGGATGCCTGCCGGGCACTATAACGGCAACGTCGGCTGCAAGTCACTCTACAAGTAAGAGTATTAGTGCCTGCCTGGCCCTGGCTGGCTGTTAGGTAACGTTGGTGTGGGGTTGGGGGCAGCAGCAGCAGCTGCGCGGTCTCAGCATCGCATTGTGCAACAAAACTTCCCTTCTCCATTACACAGTCTCCGCCACTCTCGGCCTGCCACGCACGACACCGCACCGCATCACGCATTGCGCAGGCAGATCACGGCCATCGCCATCGGGGCGCGGTCGTTGTCGATTCTAGATGCTCGTGATGGGCGCACCCCGCCCCTGCCGCTGCAGCCACGGCACTGCCGCGAGCCCGCGTAGGCGCAGCGCGCGTGTTGGCTGAGACATTATGGCGTCGTCGAGACCGTTCCCGCGTGTCGCAGCCCCCGAAAACAGGGTCCTCGACCGACTCGTCCGCCCTCTGAGCAGTCCCGGCCAGCTGGATTCGGTTCCACTCGCCACGCCTCTGGCCCGATCCAAGAGTCATCGAGCCACCCTCCCACCTGGCCGCGCTTCCGCCTGCTGCGCTTCCACGGCCCCCGGGCTCTATCAAGACCCCGAAGACATCGTGCCCACCGCTCCTTCGCGCCTGCCTTGCGGCCTGCCGCGGCTGCAGCGTTTGCTGACCCGTGGCGACCTTCTCTTCCACCACGCCGCGTCAGTTACGTCGACTGTCGGGTCCATCTGGCTTCGCAAGCGACCAAGCCCATGACAACAGTCAGCCAGAGGGGGCCCAAGACATTATGTGAGATTACGCCTGCCTGCGTGTCGGAAGTGCGGTCTGGAATGACTCTGCGTGGCGCCCGCGTAGGATGCCCGGCAATGATCAAATGGTTAATCAGCAGCGCCCTTTGGTCACTTGCAAACTCAATCCAGGTCAGACGACATGGTGGAACGATTGCTTACCTAGGTAGGCAGTCGTCTTCATGGTGGTTGACCACTCCTGAAATGTCACGATGACCAAGACTGTACAGTCATATGACCTCTCTCAGCAAAGTTTGCTCACAGTGATTCACCCCATGCGAATATCCGACTTGGTATACAGGAGCCTGTTCCGCGTTCGACATTGGAGGTGAGACACCAGAGCCCATGTTGGCACTGCAGCATTGGACCATTCTGCTACTCAAGGTGTAAGACATTGGCCCATGAGCCATGTGCAACCCCAGGTTTACTAGCCTCCGGCTTGATCAGGGAGAGAAGTACGGACCATTGAACCCGAGCGCAGGCAGCTGCAGGCGATCAGGTGGTCGCTTCACTGGGCTGCAGCAAATTTTCTCTCACTCTCTGCCCTTGGCAGAGTCTATTTTCTCCCCAGTGATGTCATATGCTGGACAGGGCTACCACGAGACCCTGAGCTATTGACTTCTTCTAGACGCGTGCATCTTTTTCTTTTCTCTCCCCCGTGCTCCAAGAGGCGGACAGGCACGCTAATCATCCCTGTGTGTTGGCTCCTTGGTTCAGAGACAAGCCACCAATCAGCCCTCAACCTTTCGTTCTGGCTAGCCGCGGTCTCGACCAGCCACAACATCTCAGTCTCGTTGAGTCCATCCCTGCGCGCCAGGCCAGCCAGCCCAGCTATGCGGAGGATGGGGGATGGCTGCTTTGTCCCAGGCATCCGGCTTCGTGGGGCTCTCCGGACCTCTTCATGCGGTGGCCAGACCTCTGTTATGCTTTTCCCCAGACTCCGTGCGGGAATCTCCGCCCGATCTGAATGGCGGATCCTTGAAAACATGTACCGCTCTCGATCGAGCATGTTTCTCCGCGCGATATTCACGCAGATTACAACAAATGCCAACTAATACGATGACGGGGCACAGGCCGTCTCCGTGTTCATTCTCACCGAGCTTGATAAAGTTGGGATGTTTTGTGGGGGATACAGGAGATGATGGAGACAAAATGGACAAGAATGAAGGGGGAAAAGAAAAATAACACCGCCTCGGTGGATACCAGCTGGATTTTCGTTGGCCCCCTCTGCGGTCGCAGATGTAGCTCATGGAATGTCTTTGCCATTTGTCCAAACCAGCCTCCAAGGTTGAGGTCATTGCTGAATCGGAGATATCAGAGATGCACAGAGATGGGGCAAGCACATCCCCCCCCCGGTCTACTGACTTTATGCCTTAGGCAATGAAGTGCCCTCTTCTACTCTACCAAGTCATCATCATGCGCCTTGCTCGAATCCAGTTCAAAATAGGGGTGCTGGCCCTCTACTAGGAACTGCACGAGCACCATCGTGTACACGAGAAGTTGAGCACGGAATGGTGCTCAGAGAGGTCTCAGCACTTGGTTCATTCGGCGCACTACCAGGCTTATCCTTGTCCGCAATAAATCATTCATGGGCATGTTCACAACCTGCCTTGCTTGAAGTACCCCAGCCGTCCGCTTTTGGCGCCTACATATACAATTTCGGCCACGTTGAAATTCCCTGACGAATACTCCCGTGCAACCCCTTTTCCCATCCCAAACCTCACACCGAGATCTGTCCACCCTACAACCAAGCCTAACTGTGCGTCGGCATTGAGACATCTGCCTTTTTCGAGATGGCGTCCGCGCTGGACCACATCGTGGTGACCGTCTTCTGCTGCGTGTAAAAGTTGATGCCGGGACGCCCGTAAAAGGTGTTGGCACCACCACCCGCGATGCTCTTCTTGTTTCCAGTGAACGAGAACATGGGCAAGGGCACGGGAATGGGGACATTGATGCCGACCTGGCCGGCCTCGATGTTTCTGCGGAACGACTCGGCGGTAGCGCCGGAGCGGGTAAAGATGGCGGTGCCGTTGCCGTACTCGTTGGCGTTGATCAGGTCGATAGCCTCGTCGAGCGTGTCGACGTTCAGGCAGACCAGGACGGGACCGAAGATCTCCTCCGTGTAGCACTTCATATCCGTTGTCACGTTGGTGATGATGGTCGGGCCGACCCAGTTGCCATTGGCATACTGCGCACCAGGGGGCTTCGCGCCGCGCCCATCGAGCAGGATCGTCGCGCCCTCGGCCTCCGCGCTGGCGATGAGCGACTCGATGCGCTCCTTGCTCTGCGGGGAGATGACCGGGCCCAGGTCCGCGCCGGGCTCGAAGCCGCCGTTGATGGTGAGCTGCTTGGCGCTCTCGGCCACTTCGTTGAGCCACTCCTTTGTCTCGCCGACCATGACGAGCGTGCTGAGTGCCATACACCGCTGTCCTGCGGCACCGAACGCGGCGCCTACTACGGAGTTGATGAAGTGGTTCTTGTTGGCATCAGGCAGCACCGCGGCATGGTTCTTGGCGCCCAGGTTAGCCTGTACGCGCTTGCCGTTGGCCGAGCCGCGCGTGAAGATGTACTCGCCGGCCTTGTTGCCGCCAACGAAGCTGACGGCCTTGATCTCGGGGGCATCGAGGATAAAGTCGACGGTGCGGTGGGCGCCGTGGACCACGTTGACGACGCCCTCGGGGAAGCCGGCCTTCTTGACGAGCTCCATGAGAATCATGGCTGCGCCCGGGTCTCGCTCTGAGGGCTTGATGATCAAGGTGTTGCCAGTCACTGTGGCAATGGGGATGGACCACAGCGGAATCATGGCGGGGAAGTTGAACGGGCAGATGGCTGCGACGACACCCAGGGGCTCCTTGTAGGAGCGCGTCTCCATGTCCTTGGCCACCTCGAGTACCTCTCCCTTGAGCAGCTCGGGGGCGCCGCAGGCAGCCTCGGCAACCTGGAGGCCGCGCAGGACGTCGCCCTTGGCGTCGGGGAAGGTCTTGCCTTGCTCGAGGGTGATGCTGGCGGCGAGGCGGTCCCAATTCTCGCGAACGAGGTTGACAAACTTGAACATGATCTGCTGGCGGGCAAGCACGCTCATGTTGCGCCAGGCGGGGAAGGCCTTCTGGGCGCTGGCGACGACGGCCTCGAGTTCGGCATCGGTCATCTGGGGCACGCGGGTGACGAGGTTGTTGGTGGCTGGGTCGTGCAGCTCAATCCACTTGTCGGCCTTGCTGCCGACAAACTCATTGTCGATAAAGTAAGGCGTGTCCTCGGGCTTGGAGATCTTCTCGTGTGTTTGAGGGAAGCTCGTCGCCGTCGAGGACAGGGCCGAGTAAGCCCGCAGCTGTCGAGCGGAGGCGGTAGCTGTGGTGGCAGACAGCTTGGAGGACGGGGCAGTAACTCTGGCGGCTACGCGAGGCCCAGACAGAGCAACTGCCCGGCCAACGCTGGCCGTGATGGCTCTGGAGCGGACGACACGCTGCATTGTGTGTGTGTGTGTGCTGATGTGTCAAGGATCTTTGCCGCAGGAAGAGTAGATAGATGGACGGAGGATGGCGGGGGTTCAACGAAGCACTTTGGTGCTGGTCCAAGTATGTGCCTCCCTATTCGCCACGATGCGGCAAGTAACAATGGCAGGATTCCCCAGTGGTAGCAAACACGCAAGGTAAGCAATAGAACAAGAGGAGGTTTGGAAAGGGGAAGCAGTGGCAAGTTGATGCCGTGGTCGAGGGGTGGGGAGAAGGTCGTGGTGCCGTGTGCGCCTGCCCCGACATCGCTGCTGGCACCTCCCAAAAACCCGGGGCAACCCCTTCTAAGCCGGCCCGGTGCTGCGCGGTGTGGGGAATGCCTCTGCACTACACCGGCGCCCTTTGCTTGCCGGCGGTGATTTTTCCTCAGCGCTGCTATCGGGCCCCTCTCCCCAAGACAGCGTGGCGCTTCCAGCCGAGCCAGGGCCCGGTTGCCCGGGTGCGGTTTTCCACGCCGTCGGGCGCCCTCCCACCAGCCCTGCAGAGCCGGGGCCTATCTTCGGCTCTGCGTCCGACTCGCGACCCGGACGACAAGCTGCTTGTCACGTATCTTGAAGTTGTCCTGGGCAATCAATCAATCCATCAATCAATTCAGGCAATCCGCATGCCTGTTTCTACCTGCCCTTTGCTGAATGCCAGCCGAGGCTATGTAGGTACAGACAGACACCACCATCTCGTAATGCCCAGAGGCAGTGCCGGTCCTGCCCTTCCATAGCCGCCGGGGGCCGGAGCGGCACTGACAGCCCCTGGAGCCCTAGAGCTGCACGTGGGGCGGGGGCTCCCCCGCCGTCTCCTTCCAGCACCGCCAATCAGACTGGACTGCTCCTCCAGTCGGCAGGACTCTCCAAATCAGGTCAGTTGACATGATACGGCATGCAACGAGCTCGGCCCTTCCTGGAGTGGCGTTTGATAGTGGCGCCAGCCATTGATACAGTGGCTTCCATACCAATCTTTCTTCCATCCGACGTCGACGACACTTGTGGTGAGGACAACAATGACCATTCCATTTGGTGATGCAGAATGCATTCTAGCCACATCATAGGTAAGCGTCTATTATTGCAACTATAGGCCGGTCCACATGACCAGCCGGGCGCCGTCTATCGAGCACCGCGCGTCAACGACTTGATCGTCTCGCCTACTGCTCCTCGAAGCTGTACTTGAGCCAACCCCCGAGGGCCCGCAGACTCTCCCAGCGAACGTTCTCGTCAGAGTCCTGCATCAATTCCATGATGCGTGCCTTGATCCCCAGCTTCTCAAGCTGCACCCTCTTCTCGGGCACTTCCTTGACAAGACAGCCAATGTCGTTGCATGCAATCGCCAGCACCGCCTTGTCATTGTCCCAGGGCTTCTTCATAATCTCGGCCAGCTTGCGCGGTATCTGGCCCTGCTCGTACTCCAGGATCTTGCGCGCATTTTCCGCCCAGAAAGTTTGGTGCTTGTGAGGCGGTGACCACCGCAGGTGGCCAGACTGAACTTCGGCGGCGTACTCGTCAAAGGTCGTCTTGGTCTTGCGGTACTCCTCCAGCGTCTCCTTGAGATGCTCCAAATCCTCCAGAAGATCCACGTCGGTCAGGTGGCGACCGCTCACATTCTGCAGAACCGCAGGGAGCCTCGCCAGCACGGCAGTTGGCAGCAACGTGGAGGGGTTGGCGTCAAGCAGGTTCTTAAAGGTCGCTAGGATCAGACGGGTGGTCTTCTCCTTTGGCGACAGCTTCAGAAGCTGTGTGTACAACAGAATGATGTCGTACTCGCTACAAGTTCCGCTATTAGCAAGCATCAAAGTGCCGTGCAGAAGTGAAATACTTACTCGTCCATCTCATCGCCAATATCTTCAGCCTCGAAGCTCAGTTGCCACAAGATGAGCAGAACATGGTAGAGCAGCTGGAGACCGACACCACCGCCAATGCCCTCAAAGCCATTGGCTCTGCTCGATGTGTTTCCACTCCACAAGCTGGCGGAAGAGTCGTTGCTGACACCGGCTGCTTTTCGCAGAATGTCGATGAGGGGGGCAACCGTCTCGCTACGTTGCTTCCAGAACAGCTGCTTCATCTTCTTGGAGTACAGCATGGATGAGTACTCCATGACAGCTATATCCTGCAGGCTGGCATCGCTGGTATCCTTGACTAGGTTGCAGAGATAGCTGATGATGGTAGGGAAGGACTCTTCAGTGACCTTGGACTGGTCTCTTGATCGCGCCATGAGAAGGGATAGTACTGATGAGGTCAGAAGAGGGACGCGGTCTTCCGAGTTATCGGAATGCCCAAGCAGTGGCAAGAAGTGTTTGTAGGGATCCGGGTTCTTGAAGAGTGCGCTTGCGAGACTGGGGACAACTACGAGCACAAGATGAGGATGTCAGTAAGACTGTCTTGATGGCGATCGCGAATGCGCAAGCGCATGCAGAATGGAGATGTGTAAAAGTGATCGCAGCACGGAAAGACACCATGCCACGGGAGAAAATCCGGTGCATGTTGTTGAATAGGGAGTGATACGGAAAGAGCCATCTCCGACAGCGAGGCAGTCGCAGGAAGCTTCGTAGCCACCGGAACAGAACGCTGGGAGCTTGGGAGAGCCGTCCCACGCGCAACTACGATATGGATCGGTGTGGGACTCACCCTGCAGCAAGTCGCTGAGAAGCACAAGTATATATTTGATGACATCGGAACGCTTGCTGGCCGTTTCAATCACGCTGGGTGTGCCCTGCTCGCCCACGAAGAGGCGCCGGTATCCGTCCAGGTCGCCTTCCACGATCTGCTTTCGCTGCTCCGTCCGGACCTTGTCGACCGCACGGATCTTAGCCAGCTGGTCCTCTGTGATTGTGCCTGCACGAGCGGCGCCATCCCAGGGGATTGGTCGCTGGCGGATGTTGCTCTGCAACTGAGCGAGGTACGGCGGAGGGTCGAGAGACATGGTCGGCTCAGGAGCAGCGCGAAGGCTGACGGCCAGGCGGACGTGGGGATTGGACGTGCAGGCGTGCCGTTAAGCAGTCGGAAACCTGGAGGCGCTGAGTGTACGGCGGCGCGGCGGTTGCGGTCGTGGCGGCAGAGATGGCGGCAGGTGTTGGCTGGAGGTGGTCGCTGGTGCACTGGACTGGTTCCCAGGCTGCGACGTAGGTTGGGGGGCTCGTTGCTGAAGCTTGGATAGCGTACGTCGTTGCTGCCGGTGGAACATGGCGGAGCTCCACTCCTAGACAAGCTCAACTCGACTCAGCCAACCCGACCTCCATGCTCCACTGGCTCGGTGGGGCTCCTACTCAAAGAGCTCGAACCAATCACCCGCCTTGGGGCGCCGGCGGACGGCATCTCGAGTTCCAGCGCTCGAGATGCCAAAGCCACAAAGATTTGTACGTTTCCTGGCTCTGCTTCTGGAAGCGTAGGTTGGAAGAATGACGTCAACATCCAAGGAGTCCCAAGACAAGCCGAGAGCCAGCTTTGCGACGGGCTCTCACACGTGCAGCCTGGTCGTCAGAGGTGGCGAGTGCCCAGGCGCACGGTGGAAGAGATCATCGCTAGGGAATTACCTACATCACTCACTGACATCTCGTGTGCGTTTGCGATGAACCGGAAGACTGCCAGCGGCCACCTCAATTGGCCTTGGCGTGGCTTCTCGAGCTGCAGCCTTTGCGTCCTGCGATTTCAAGGCGACGGGCTCGCGAAGGTTTTCGGTGTATCTCAGATGCTCCCCGGGCCGATGCCAGAGTCACGCACGGCCGGCACAGTAACCAGCGAGCAGGAGACACCGTCTAGAGACCTACATACTTGTGATCCTGGGATGCCGCGCTATTCGCATTTTCTCGACATGCATATCGGATCGACAAAGCAAATTCCGCGAATCGCGGACATGGCAATGTCACTGCGGGGGACAACGAGATCTCGATGGATCGTACGACTATCTATTGGGATTTGTGCGCGGCATTTGTGCGCCGCGGTGGGTGGCCATCCTTATGCGTCAATGATGACGTGAGTCTTGCAGATTAGTGGTGCACGCTGCGAGACGCGGGTAGCCGACTGGTGGGCCAAAGACCATGCTCCACGCATCGCATTCTGGGCGCCACCACACGGGAAACGGATGGTGGCGGACGAATTGACAGTGCAGCAAGCGACTTTGCCATCTGAGCGCAGACGGCCAGCGAGCATGGAGAAACTCTTAAGACGAGGACGCCATCTGCAGCGGTCTAGACCAGCACCAGGCCCGACGTGCGAGGGCCTCTGCCTCGCCGCTGATTGGCGGCGGAAAGTCTTGGGGCGGGTTCCGAGGTCGACATTTGGCAACCATGATGAGAGGATGACCGGGCATTGATGCAACCCAGCTGCGGGTTTCACTGGCTGCCGCGGGGGAGATGCCCCGGTGCTCTCGCGGGATGGTGAACGGCTCTTGTCTGTCTACGTATTAATTCTCGGCCTCCCCCCCCAGGACGGGGCGCACGGTGGGTGCGGCCGACTGTGGATGTTGCCATCAAGCAGCGCTGGCTCGCGAGCTGTAAATACACCCGCCCTAGCCAGTCCTTTGCTGTGCTTCCAAAATACCCGTGGCTGTGCACAAAACCTGGTGACTTATTAGAGTCCCTCTCAAAGGTCTAGTCACTGTTTCCTGGCCGTCACACCGAATCCACGTGCCATCAGCTCAGCAGCCAATTATCCGACAAATACCGCGGAGAATGTCCAGCAAGAAGGCACTCGGTGATGCTGGCTTGGACCAGTCATGCAACAAGCCAACCACAACACAACGCCATGCCGGGTCGCATCGGCCTCCGGATAAGCCATGGAGCAACGACAGATACAGCTTGCCAACCGCAGACGAAGACTCGAAATGCCACCCGTGCGAGAGTCCCGGCACAAGCATATCCAGCCTCTGGTAAGGGCTCCCACGACGGATTAACCGACTGCTCACACCTTGGACTTCGCACACTGACGTGATCATGTATGGCAGGTCTCGCAGAAATTCCGACGCCTCGACAGCAAAGAGCAGCCTCAGCTCGACAGGGCCCTCAGACTCGACTGGTGAAAACCACCGAGCCACGCAGACGACGTTGGGCAGCAAGCAGATGTTGTCCGCGATGGCGGAGAACGAGGCCCTGCGGGCGTCTATCGTCCAGCTGGAGCAAGAAAAGACCAGGTTACGAGGGATACTAGCGGAGCACCAGCTCCAACGGCAACGGAGTCCTCAGCGATGCCTATGCGCATCAGGCGAAGGACGGACGACCTGAGACTGTGTTTAGGAATTGATGAGGAAACAGGTACGCGAACACGAGACTGGATACCCCCCAAAAGAAGCAACCACACACACACTTGCACCGATAGCCTGTGAGCCAAGTTCTTCGAGGCAAACGGAACAGAAGCAACAAAAATAATCGGCGAAATAGGGGGAGGGCATCGGCGCATAAATAGTGAACAAATACACACATGGTATACGCAAGCCAAAGGCCAGCGATGTGTCTATGTTGACATGTAGTGGTAATATGTGCCTTCAGCGGCCGTACTCTTTGGCAAAAGAGCGCTCGACAGATGGATCAGATGACCAGAGCCTGCGACTGTTTCGTGGTTCCCGAGTCTGTGATCCGTCTTCTGGTCATTAATTATGGGCTCGGGCACCTTTGCACCATTTGTGGATGAGCGAGGCCGACGCCGTCCAGGGCCGCCCGTCCGGAGGAGCGGCTCCTCGGGCGGGCCCTTGCGGTACCGAGACAATCGATTGTCGCCCGCCGCAACGGCGCTATGCCCCATCAGGCCAAGTAAACAGGTTTCCGGACTGGAGCGTTGGACTTGGAAAGTCGTTCCTGGCAAAACTCTACAGCCAAAGTGCTTGCATGCGCATGCACCCTCCTCTCCGTCCGTCTTGCCGCCTGCCTTGGGGAAATCCGCACGCACGCCAGCCAGCATCAAGCAACCTCGGGTGACTTTTAGTCTTTCGTGGCACTACATAATACTACCCGCGCCACCAGCAGCACGGCTCTCTGCCCCATCAACCCTCGCCTTACTCGGAGCGTCTTTGTACCATCACAGCCTCGCGGCCGGAGACAACAGGACAGTCCCTCCCTCCCACTCCTGAATCGCTGAAGCAGACCACCCAGGTGGCTGATGAACTGTGCAGAATTGACCAGCAGAGAACAGACACCACCGTCGCACAAGATTGAGACGCAGGCCATCTGAGCTTGTTGGTTGCGGGGAAGCAAGACATAGGTGGGTAAGAACAATGCCCATTCATTCTTCTGCGCAGTGGGTGGGTGGGTGGCCCGGACTGGACGACTAGACCAGGGAGTGGTGGTGGTGGTGGTGTCATCATTGAGGCCAGCCGGCTGTGGTGTGCACGAACTTGGGCCTGCCAGTCCTGTCCTGCAGGGCTGCGTGCAGCTCGAGCTGAGCTGGCAACCGGGCAAGGGGTCCAGCCTGGTACACCCCGACCCCGCCCTTTTCCGCCCTGGTCGTGGGTCACTCTGCTGGCTGCCAGCACCAGCCTCCAGCTCCAGGGCTGCTCAATCTGCTAGTGCAGAAATCAGAGGAGGTTGGGTATTCGCAACCCACCCGCGCCGGCCCTCGACCTGCAGCACTTCCTGCACTCGACACTGGCTCACCTCGCCGCGCATTCTCCCTCTCCCTTTCTTCTCTCTTCCTCTGCACTCCCTAGTCTTCTGTGTCACCCTCACCCGCCTTCAGTTCACCTCTCCCGTCGTAGCGTCGTCTGGCCGTCTCTTGTCAAGCCCGGGCGTCGCAGCTTCGCACCCCAGCTACAGAATTGTGGACAAAGGCCTCACTAACACCGCAACTCCTTCGTTGCACGGCGCCAGGCCTGCAACATTGCAAAACACCGCATTCCTTGGCTTTTGAGTTTGCGCTCCCAGTCTAGCCATATTAGCACCAGCCCGCATTCCAGCCGTCCGTCGCCAGAATGCGGTCCTTTGGTGGCATTGCGCCGCTCGCCGCGCTCTTCTTGTCCCCCGTCATCGCGCACCCATATCCTCGCGACAACTGGGGCGCCGTCACCACCACCTGGACGGTGACTTACACCAGCACCATCAGCTCATACTATGCTCCAGCCTACACCGCTCCTGCAGGCGAGAACTGCGTCCCACCTGCCGGCTCCGGCCAGATCGCTTGTGGGCCCATCTGCTGCGCGACCTGGCAATGGTGTTCGGACCCTATCAAGGGCCAGTGTCTCGCCAATGTCGGCCAGAACTCGTGGACAGAAGTCGTGACCACTGGTGTCATCACCACTACCCAGTTCTCGGCACCATACAGGCCAACGAGTGGCAGCTCCATGCCGACGGCCAGCTTGGGTAGCGCGACAACGGTGCCAACTGACAGCCCGCAACAGACCGTCCCTGCCGATACGTCGACCACGAGTGGCGAGCTCAGCAGTGGTGCCATTGCTGGTATCGTCGTCGGCACCATCGCTGGTGTCGCCCTGCTGATTCTGTGCTGCTTCTGCTGCATTGTTAGGGGCCTCTGGGGCGTCGTCGCGGGTATCCTTGGCCTCGGCAAGAAGAAGGATAAGAAGGAAAGAGTCGAAATCATCGAGGAGCGCTACTCTCGGCACGGCAGTCAGCACGGTGGCCGCCCGGTGCACAAGTCCTGGTTCGGTTTCGGCGGAGGTGGTGGCCGTCCTTCGGACGTGGCCTCGAGGAAGGAGAAGAAATCGGGCGGTGGCTTGGGATGGCTGGCTGCCGGTGCCGGTGCTGCTGCGCTCCTCCTCGGCTTGAGGAAGCGTGACGACAAGCGCCGCGGCAGCAGTCACAAGTCCCGAAGCGACTGGAGCAGTTCGTACTACACTGACTCTTATACGGGAACCAGCCCTAGTGAGTCTAATTTTGCCCAGAAATTAGAATCCCTGGGGCACTTTTACTGACCAATATTCTCACTCTAGGTAGCCAGAGCTCCGACCGAAGAACGAGAAACACAAATCGCTCGAGACGTTCAGGACACTCGAGAGCCACGAGGCAGTCGCGCCACTCGAGGCGGTCCTCGCGCATCTAAGACGGTTCCGGGTACTCCAGACATTAGATGACGATGGCTGGAAAGACCTCGGGCGAATAGATGCCTAGCCGTGTTCACGAAGCAATGTCAGATAATGTGCTCGTCGATCTCATACACCTGATGCGAGGCAACGTTTGTTCACAATTTTGGCCCCCTTGTTTATATTTTATTCTCGGATCATCATGTCAATACTGCAACCCTTGTATCTATCCCCTCCCCATGGCGTTTCTGCGGTTGGACACTCTTATGTGAAAAGTGGATGGACGACTTGTTTTATGAGATTTTGCCAAGATTGAGCCGATTTCCCCGATAGACTTTGTATGAGGAGGAGGATGCGCCGATGATGACGATTGAGCGGCGGTTTCACGATTTCTTACACCTTAATGAGAAACATGATTAGATCATACACCCATCAACTACCAAGCTTAAGAGAGGGGATTGTGGTGCGTTATAAAATTGTCAGCTGAGGCCCTTTGCGAGTGTGCACTGAGCTGAGCCGTGTGTATGAAAATGTAAGACTTTTGGACATTGTGCCCGAACTTTGAGTCGCGCCCGCACTCGAGCATCAATCTCGTCACTGCATATATAGGCGCATCGCTCCATTGCACGAGCACACACTGAGCAGCAGCTTGCTACCCCCCGTCTTGGGCTCGCATGCGGCGCTGCCGTGTACCACGTATCAAGAGGCAGCGTACTCTGCAACATGCGTAACAGAATGGCACCCATGTCCTCGTGCATGGTCGAGTTCTCGAATTGCTGGTTTCGTGGTGGCGCCCCAGGGTTTAACCTAGAAAAACAAAATGAGTGGGAGCGCTGAGCGGACAGCTGTGATGTTTGTGTTGTTATGAATAGAGAAAAATGCCGGCCCCCCGCGACTCGGTGGCTTGTGAGGAAAGGTGGTTCACGGCGTTGTGCTGAGTTACGTTTTCTCTAATTAGTGGTGGCGGTGGTCGGTCTGAGCTTTGGCTACTGCCCACGTCCTGCTTATTTGCAGAACCGGAGCCACAAGAATGTACAAAGGTCGCTAGTTTGGAACGAGCATCTATTAAAGCTGTACCGGAGTCGGCAAAGACAGCAGCAGCAGATAGACCAACATCAGATGAGACCCAAATAGTTCGTACGAGCACGAGACCCATGGCAAGACCGCAGTTTCATGAAGCTTGGTTGTTGTTGTTTTTTGTTTTGAGTTCCGTCATTTTTTCGTGACTTTTGGTATTTTTTGGTTTCATATTCTTCGTAGCTACCGATTTTTAATTTTTGTAATTCGGCTACGTCAAAGATGCAGATTGAACCCCGGCGACTCCTCTGAATGATTGAGACCCAGAAACGCAAAAAGAAACCACATTTCCCCACCCTCTAAGACTCATCGACGATGTTGCCCTTCTCCGAGACGTACATGCCGTCCAAGAACTGTGAGAAATGTCAGTATGATTCGAGTGTGTGTCACAGGGGGAGCCTGCAGGCGGTGATGCCCTGTCCCGCCAGCTGATTATGCCCGCAAGGCAGAGGAAAGACGCAGCTGACGGGGTAGTATCGGCCTGCCCAAGGACAAAAGAACTGTCTTGTCGTACCTTACGGATATCCTTGTTCCGGACTCTGCAGATCTGTTGGATGTCGGCGGCGCTCTGGGAAACGTTCTCGAGAGAGTTGCCGGACAGGATGAGCTCATCCTTCTGGGCCTTGGAGACCTCGACGTCGACGCCCTCGTGCATGGTGACCCTCCGGACGAGCTTCTCGCCGATGAAGTTGCGAATCTCGACCTCGTACAGACCGGTCTCGTTGCTCTTGTCGATGTTGACGTTGATGGGGAAATGGGCGTACACGTAACGCATCTTGTACTTGAAGCCCTTGGTGACACCGATAATCAGGTTCTCGATCAGGGTGCGGACGGTGCGGAGGCCGGCAACGGTCTTGCGGGCGCCGTGGTGGATGGTGATGGCGATGACATTCTTCTTGGGCTTAGAGAAGCTGACGGCCATGTGGCTAAGGTCCTTGACGAGCTTGCCACGGGGTCCCTCGACGGTGACGGTCCGGGACTTGATGTGGACCTTGACTGTTCGCGAGCGCCATCGTCAGTATATGGCATTTCTTGCAATTCGGGACAGTTGCATGATGCGCCAGCAATGTGGCCTGGTTGCGCTTTGCCCCAACTCTCTGCCTTCAGGTCTCCTGTGCTTGGCGTTTCGTATGATTGAAGACGGCTGCTTGATTCCAACTCCCATGTCGTATGTCGCCCTGTCGTCGTGCTTCTGTTCCTTCTCCCTAGACCAATCCCTCTTCTCAACTCCTTCCACTGTTCCGCAAGCGCTTCCTCAGGTACCGGGCCACATTGAAATTTGCTGGTCGCTGTGCGTTGTGATATGAACGAAAAGCATCGGCTACATACCTCCCTCAGGAATCTCCAGAGTCTCCTCGCTGTGAAGGTAACGCATCTTGACGGCTTAAAGGGAAGACCTGTAGTTGCGGTCGAACAAGACTGAATTAGTCGGACGGTTCCTTCTCTCTCTAATGCAATCGGCCTGCGACTACTGTTTGCGGTGCAGCGTGCTCGGGTGTGGGGGGTCGAGAATCGGTTGACGTCGACGTGGAAAAGAATTCGGGCTGGGCGAGACGACGACGGGTGCTGCGGTGTATCTGTATCTGGAGGCGTCACGACATACCTGGAAGACTGGCGTTGGCTGGGTGTGGTGATTTGCAACTTGCGCACTGCCTCGAAAACTCGCTGCTCACAAGGGGGGCGGGTGAGGTTCTCGAAATTTTGGGCCTGGCAAAAACTCGGTGGCAGAGAATTGTGCGCAAGCGAGTCACAGCACGCACGCTAGGGTTCTGGTGTGTGCTGCCAGGATGGGGCCTTAGTCAGCGATGCACGGGCCACTTCAGTTTTCCCCTCTCCCAAGCTCCGCTTTTCCTGGGCCTCGCTGGTCCAGCAGAGAGAGACCAATGCTGGCGGCGCAGCGCCCGAGGGTCCTCTACTCTCTGACTTCATCTTATGATGCGGCTCCGAGAGGACGATGAATCCCAATTGGACAGCCAGTACTTTCCCTCATGTTGAGGCTGTCGCTCCGGACCGTGAAGCTTCGACCAGCATTACTTATGCACCACCTCTAGGTCATTGACTTCGCTCCCATCCGACACTTTCAAGCTTGACAAGTCACGACGCGTGGTTCAACATGCGCAGTTGTCGACAGGATTGGCGGCCCTCTTCCCTGGGGCACAAGTGACGACGACCAAGTTTGGAGCCTTTCGTGGTCCACGATGGTGTTGCAAAGGGAGCTGATCCCCAGGCTGGGCTTGTCGCGGAGATTTTCTCTCTCAAGGCAATGTCAATTGCGCGTGCCTGACCTGGGCAATAAACTCCCCATCAGGCTTGCCGACATCTTTCGTGGCGGCACGACCGCGATTACTCGTGGTTGTGGTCGTGATTGTCCTCGTAGGGTTCGCACAATTTCATCGGTATGCATGAGATTTGGCCTTTGCTATGGCCAAGAGCGAAGCATCGTCCATTTAAGCGGACATGGATCTCGAGTGTCGAGGCTACAGACCTTTCGAAGCATCTCCTGTAAGCGGCAACTTGACCCAGCCAAATACTGTGCTAAGTCGTGCAGTGAGTGCGGCGTGGTCTATCAAGCATCTACAGATCATGTCAGCTCTTTTGAGTACCCGCAGGGAGACTGCAAGTTGCAGCCCCACCCAGGCAGGCAAAGTCACTCCGTACCTCGGGGGCTCTCAAAAGTGGGTCGTCCGTGCAGGCTGACGTTGTTCAACGACCGGCGCCCAAGCACTCGACTCCGTGCCTGGGGGAGCTTCCTTGCTGCTGCACCACCTGCAGTGGATCATCAGCCCAGAGCTTCAGGGTGCCGCACTTGTTGATGAACCACGACCGGGCGACAATCCCACGACGTCCATTGCCCCCTCCCTCAATACAAAGACAAGACAAGACACCAGCCAGCGACTCTGTAGCAGGAGGGCGACACCGCTGTCATGTCGTACTTCTTCTCCACCCCCGTCGACATCGACGTCGTCCTCGAGGACACGGACGAGCGCGCCATGGTCGACGTCCGCCTCGACAAGAACCGCCGCGAGAAGGCGCCCCTCTACATGGACGGCGAGAGCGTCAAGGGCGCCGTCACCGTCCGCCCAAAGGACGGCAAGCGCCTCGAGCACACCGGCATCAAGGTCCAGTTCATCGGCACAATAGAAATGTTCTTCGACCGCGGCAACCACTACGAGTTCCTCTGCCTCAACCAGGAGCTCGCCGCCCCCGGCGAACTCCAGCACCCCCAGACCTTTGACTTCAACTTCAAAAACGTCGAGAAGCAGTACGAGTCCTACAACGGCATCAACGTCAAGCTGCGCTACTTTGTCCGCGTCACCGTCGCCCGCCGCATGGCCGACGTCGTCCGCGAGAAGGACCTCTGGGTCTACAGCTACCGCATCCCCCCGGAGATGAACAGCAGCATCAAGATGGACGTCGGTATCGAGGACTGCCTGCACATCGAGTTCGAGTACAGCAAGAGCAAGTACCACCTCAAGGATGTCATTGTCGGCCGCATCTACTTCCTCCTCGTGCGGCTCAAGATCAAGCACATGGAGCTCAGCATCATCCGCCGCGAGACCACCGGCGCCGCGCCCAACCAGTATAACGAGAGCGAGACGCTGGTGCGCTTCGAGGTATGTATAACACAACAAAAGGGCTTCCTGGCCTTGCCCCAGCCGCTCTTGTGCAGATGTGGCTAACATGTCTCTTTCAGATAATGGACGGCTCGCCGTCCCGTGGCGAGACTATCCCTATCCGCCTCTTTCTCGGCGGCTTCGACCTAACACCAACCTTCCGTGATGTCAACAAGAAGTTCTCCACGAGATACTACCTCAGTCTGGTCCTGATAGATGAGGATGCCAGAAGGTACTTCAAGCAGTCGGAGATCTTGCTCTACAGGCAAGCGCCGGACGCGGTTAACAACGCCGATCCCGGGGCCATCGCAACTGTTCCCGAGTCGACGAGACCTGCGCATGTGCCAGCGCAGACTTAAAGACACACGAAATGATGACTCGCTGCGCGGCACGCCAGTGCACACTGGCCGAAATCCATATTTTTGTACATAGGCACATGCCATGGGTCAGATGAGCATTCACCGATACGCAGCGAGAGTAGTTGAGACTGTCTCACACCAGGAGGTTCGAGAAATTTTACAGCGGCGGGTTATTGGCGTTCACACATTCTGTTCTAGTCATTCAAATACAACTAGACCGCGGCTTTTTGTGTCGTGCTTGCAAGACATTGGGACTTTGGCCAGGCTGCCGCGATGTGCGTGAGATTTAAACTGACACGATGCTGCCATATAAAGCCGTGCAACAATCTCACCGTCACAAGTAATGAACTGCCACGGGAACAGAACCGACCAGACTTTTTGTTATGGCCATTAACGATCCTCCATAATTTGACCGACGACCTAGTGCGCACCAAACTAGAAGAAACAACTCGCTATTCTCTCTTCTTGACTCTACAGCCCTTTGCATGAAAAGGTCAAGAAGACGGAAAAAAGAAGATTGCTACAAAGAGTGGGTTGGTTGGCTCCGTATATATCTACAAAATCTCCATCTCGTCTCCAGCCTCGAAGCCAAACTGGTTGTTCTGGATCGCCGCGATGCGGTCCAGCTCGTCCTGGTACTCCTTGCGGATATCCGCCAGCGTGACGACCCTTCGCTGGGAGGAGGAGGAGGCGTGCTCGCCTCGCTTCACCTTTTTGTTCGCATTACCACCACCGCCGCCCGTTCCATTCAGGTCTGCCTGCTCGCTGTTTGCGGTGCGGTTCGGCGAGGGCACGCTCGTCGTGATCCACGCCTGCTTCGGTTCGACGCAGCTCAGCACGTTGATGAGCATTAGATATTGCCGCGTGACGGCCGTGTCGAGGACGTCGCCTTCGCCATCCTCGCCGCCACCGCTGTTGCTCGGAAGAGGCACATCGCCCTCGCCGAGCTCGCGCAGCTTGTGGATGCGGTCAAACAGCACGGCCGCGGCGCCACGGTAGTTGTTTGCCTTGATGCGCCAGGCGTACAGGATCTGGTGATAGGGGATGCCCGTGACGACGTCGACGGTGTCGTGGCATTTCGACTCGAGGATCTCGTCCACGTCGCTCTCCAGCCCGGGGAACAAGAGGCGCGCCAGCTCGGAGCTGTGCATGTTGTCGCACATGGTCGTCACCAGCTTGTGCAGGCATCCGTGCTGCAGGCGGCGGTTGCGCATCGTCACGAGCGTTGCATGCGCCGTCTCAAAGTCCGAGAGCTGCGTGGCGCCGCCAAACAGTCGGCTCTGCATGTCCGCGCGGATCGTGTCCGCATCGCGAGTCGAGCCGTTGATGAACTGCAATGCCAGTCTGGCAAATTCAATCACGTATGAGTAGGCCTTTTGCTTTTCAAAGAGCGCAACTATGTGTCCGTAGTATCGTGGCAGGCCCGCGTGCAGCTGATCCCACTCGATGCTGTCGAGGAGACCGCCACTATGCGTTTCCCGGCCCTTCTTTTTCCACGGCGCGCCTGGGTTCACACGTCAGCATGTGCCCCGTGAGGAGATCGGAATGTTTATCACTTACTCAAACAGAATGCCGCTTTCTTGAAGTTATCTGCAGCTGCGGCAAAGTCTCTGGTGGCGAGATACACCCTGCCTTGAACATACGTCGAGAATGGCTCCTGGCTACAGAAAGGGCTCAGGTCTGCAGCCAAGTCTGGCCGGTTCTGGACAAGGAGATTGCACTGCACAAGCTCAGGCACGAGCTCGATGGAGCTGTCGGGCGCACAGATATCGACCGCGATGTCGGTGATCCGAGATGGCGAGGCTTCAATGTCGCTGAAGCCCATCAGGTGGCTAAGATTGAGCTCAAGCGCAGAGGTCGCCACGAGATCATCTGTGCCACGTCGCGACGAAGTGAGAGATTCGCCGCCTGCGGTCACTTTTGCCACGGGCAGATGTAATTCGGTGTTTGCCAGCCACCTGATAAACTCGAGTCTCTTCATAGTCCGCAACAACTCACGGTAAACGTAGCCGATGTCAACTCGGTTGTGTAAGGCGTCTTGAGGCTGGTCGAACTCAAACTCCATATGAACAAGGAGGATAAGTTGACTGAAGCAGACATTCCAGTATAGGTTTGCCAAGTCCAGTGTGGTCTTGAGCGCTATCCGTTGCCCAAAGTCGCTCGCAGAAAACTCGGGTGCTGTGCTCAAGACTTCATTCATCCGATCCAGTAGGTGCTGGTATAACTCGGTAGTCACTTGGTTGAAGTTTTGCCCTAGCGCATCTGTGACCAGAGCACAATCCTCGTCTGAAATCTGCCTCCAAAACCCAGCCTTGTCGGAGAAGAACTGGATTCGTTCGTGGTCCGTCTTCGTCGTCTCCTCGAAGAGCTCAGCGCGGAGCACCGACTGACATACTTGCAGCATGCTATCTGAAAAGCCGTCGACGAAAGAGCGACCAGTATTGACCAGAGTTGTCAGAGCCGATCGATGCGAATCTGGGCGATGACAAATCGACTCCATGTCACTGCACTGCCTGACCGTCGACAAGCGATCGGCACAGACAATCCAGGGCATCTCAGGATGTCCTGGGTGTGTAGACGGTGTTGAGTCGAAGGCCAGTGAGAGCGCTTCGCCTCTGGGTTTATCTAGCTCAATGAGTATCCGATAGAATCGTCGCCATTGTGTCTCGCTCGAAGTTCTAAATTGGTCATGGTCTATATCACCAGTCGGTGATTTCGTCAAGGCTGAAGTTGAAGCAATTGCTGTGCAGATAGACTCGGCGAGGCTCAGGCCTTTGCGATGCCCCGTGGTGTCGCCAGTCTTACCGATCGCACGCTCATAAGCACTCAGCGCCGCTTCGATCGTCGGTGTTGGGAATCGTCCTGGCGCGAACACTTCGCGCAACCACTTCTCAGGCACGCCGGTTGCGTCGCATGGGCCGCATTCTGGAGCAGTCGAGTTCGAGTTCTCCGCAATGACGGTTGCCCAGCCATTCTGCCACAAGTTCCGTAGCTCGCTATGCTCCTGTGGGATGCTCGGCATCATGAATGATAGATATTGCACTCTGTATGCCATGTTGTTCTTCCACAACACCCACATGTCGATGCCCATCTGGTAGCCCCTGGCAGAAGTGCCCTTGACGATAAAGTCCGCTAGTGTCCAGACGTCGTTTCCACGTGGTGGCCTTGGGACGAGCTCGAGCCCTGCGAGGTGGTCCTCAACGCGGATTGTGTCCTTGTCTTCAGCTTGCACTCTCCAAAACTTGAATTCGCCGTGCCCGATGGGCGAATATGTCACAGCCATGCGCCGACCCTCGGAGTCGCCGACGAGGCGCAGAAGATTCGTCTGCGCCGGGTCCAGCTGCCACTTGCCAGTCTCTTGCGGGCTGCGCTCGGCGTTGAGGAGGTCGCACGCACTGGCCACCTGACCGCTATTGAGGTTCCATATTCGTAACCGGTGGTCCAGGCAGACTGTGAAGAGGAAAGAAGCGTCGTCGAAGCCGAAATCTGTCTGTACGGCCGCCGCGGCAGCACTGGCGTCCATGTCGCCTCCACGAGACAATATCGTGCGGAAGCTATGCGCCCATCCTTTCGCGTTGTAGAACGTCTCCTTCCATGGACCGTGTATGCCTTTCCAAAAAGCTTCGTCAGCAAACGTCCATAGCAATCAGACATCTATACTCCTTTGACCTACCACCAGACTTATTCCGATCTAATCGAATCAGTCCTCCATCCGCCAACGTCGTGATGAGCTGATCGTCGTTGACAGCGGTCAGCCGGTACGGCTGCTTGAAGTTGTTGAGAGCATTGGGCACGTGGACTCTACACCACTCGCTCACGGAGCTCTCAGCGACCGACCGCTTCCTGAACGAGTCGGCCTTGAGCACAATGTTGTAGAGTTGGTTGGCCGTGTCGAGGACAAACAGGTGCACGGCATCGTGCTCGGTGGATTCGTGAAAGGCAATGCAGGCTGGCCGTACGGCGTGCTGGAACTCGAAATTGAGTACGAGGTTCGCGGGCTGCGCGCTGTTGGGCTTCACAATGTCTGCCGACCGAATGCTCAGCACCGTATCCTCCTCGACCAAACGCCATAGAAGGCTCCGTGGGTACTTTTTTTGTTGTTGATGCTGCTTGTCGCTGTTGTCGTTGCCAGTGCTGGTTTCGCTGCGCCGGAAGATCGAGGAAGTTGTCGCGCAGGTGCGCGCCCGGCGGAACTCGTCGCCTCCTAGATGGCTTCCGTTGCTCGGATGAGATTGTGGCCTTGTCCGCCGAGCTGCCTTGCCTGGCGCGACGGTAGTCGGGAGCTTGAGGTCGACGACGTAGGCGGCCGACGGGGGCTCGAGGTTGAGCTGCACCTCGATGAAGTCGACCTTTGGCGCCATTGTCGATGTTCCCTCTCACGCGGGCATCAGGGCATCGATTGGGTAAGATCAAGAACTCCGCGATGTGGGTGGTTGTGCTTGAAGTGTTGCTGCTTGTGACTTGTGACGCGGATCCCTTCTGCCAACGAAATCTTTCAGACGCGCACTGCAACAACTTTGGGAAGCTTGAGCTCAGAGCGCCAAAGCCTGAAGGCGAAGGACCCGCTTTGTTGCTTTGAGCCTGGAAGGCAGGGCTGCGGGCCAGGCATTCGGACAGGGGGGCCTCAGGCGTTGGCGGGACGTCCTGTGCGCTAATCCAAGTACCGTACAGACATGAATGGCGGCCCAAGGTACGCTCCGCAAAGGAAAGTAAACAATCAATCTCGACAGCGTGCTGCAGATGGGTGGCAACTCAATACCAGTATCAAGATTTCGGGCTAGTCTTAAGCAACCAATGTAGAACTTTGGTGGCCTCGTCTTCGAGCAACTTTATTATAGTAATGCTAATATGGTACAGCCCACAATCCTGCCATGAACGCCGCAAGCCATGCATATGTCGTTAGAAAATTCGTCGAAATCTCACGCTACTCCTCATTGAATAGACCACTTGCTCGATTCCATTCCAAAAGTCGGCCATCCATCTACTCCTTCTCCATGTCCTTCGGCGCAGGGTCGCCAATACCGTCCTCGTGGATGGCAAAAAGCGTGTCGCTTTCGGGCAAGCAAGGGCTGTCGTAAATCTTGGCAATACGCGTCTCGGCGCGGCCCTTCTTCAGACTGATTCTGGTGGTGCTAGCGTGGGCAATAATATTGCCGCCGATAGGCTTCTTCGGATCTGGATTAAACATCGCGCTGGGTCCGCCGTCCACCTGTGCGACGACCTGGTTCGTGATGACGACGGCGATGCCAAACTCATCTGCGAGCCGCTGAAGCTGTCGCATGAACTTGGCAAGGTGCGTTTGCCGGGACGAGAGCTCTCCACGACCCAAGAAATCGGTGCGGTACAGCGCAGTGGCACTGTCGACGATGAGCAGTGAGAAGCGGGTCTCGCACATCATCGCCGCAGCCTGTTGGAGGAGCTGAAGCTGATGGTCCGAGTTGTAGGCACGCGCATAGGCGACATTGTCGAGAACCTCCTCGCCAGACAAGCCATATCTGTTGGCGACGGCGAGGAGCCGAACCGGTCTGAACGTGCCCTCGGTGTCAATGTACAAACACTTTCCTTCGCCACCGCCCATGTCGAAGGGGAGTTGGCATGTCACGGCTAGCGTGTGGCAGATCTGACTCTTGCCTGTGCGGAACTCGCCAAAGAGCTCAGTGACGGAGCCGGTCTCGACACCGCCCGCAAGCAAAGTGTCGAGGTTCTTCGAGCCGGTGGTGATTGAGATTAGCTCGCTGCGTCGCTGGTGCATCTCAGTGGCTGTTGTGAATCCCATGGGTACCAATTTCGAGGCTGCGAAGGACCGTCAGATTTGTAATCGCGAGATGACCAGTGGAGCACGCCTATCGCTTGACTGACCTTCAGCAAGAATCTTGGTGGCCTTGATCTCGGAGATGCCCTTTACTTGCTCCAGCATTCTTCTTGGCGTGTAGGCGATCGACTCGACTGTTTGGTATCCGCCATCCATCAATAGCTGGATGTCTCGCTTCGTCAAGTTCGAGAGGCCCTAATTGCAGAGTCAGAACACCAACTCGGCCGACGCTGCGGAAGTGTCTGAAATACCTCTAGGGCAGAGACGGGCGTGGGCGCACCGGGCCCGGTCATCGACTCGTCCCCCATCTGGCTTTCATCGTGCTCGTCCGCCATCGTCGCTAGTGTGTCCAGGTGGCTGATGGCCGTAGCTACGTATTGGGGTTGTCAAGAGGTGTGATTTCACGCAGCTGGATAGCGCAGAGAGACAACTCAAGCTCGCTTTTCTCTTTTTTCTTGTCGTAGTGACTTGTTGGTGGCAAGTGTCGATGGTGCCGAAGACGCGTCGCGCGTAGTGGCGGTGCGAGGAGGGGCGCCAACAACAATTACGGACAGCGCGCAGTCACGTGGTCGGTCGACCCACTAACTAGCAGCATCGGCCCACCTATTAAGGCAGCAGCTCGAACTGAACTCCACACGACCAACTGCCTAGGTTCCTTACCTTACTGCGTAAGGTACTTATGTGGACAATACATTTACAACAAAGCTTCACTGTGTGCTTCTGGCTGTTCATAGTACAAGTCAGGATGCAGCCTACATACCACGAAGAATAACCTTCTTTGTCCGAACGTGTAGTACCTTGAGTAGTTTATGATTATGTTTATTGCCTAGCTGCGGAGGCTTGTGGTAGTTGTGACCATTTTCGGCTGCCATGATCTACGAGGCAGCAATCTCGTCAAAGCTCGATGCTTGGATAGAAGAAGAAAAACAGGCTAAGCTAATGTGCAAAAACGCCACGCATATGCTGAAGGCACGTAGCCAAAATAGAAATTACGTCTGCGTTGTATCCGAGTGTTATTATCCTTCCTCGTCAAAACCCGGGTGTAAGCCCATGTCTCCACAATCATACAGGGGAGACGCAGCGTCTGAACAATTAATCTCGAGTCTTCCTCTGCAACCGGGTAGATCCCCGTGGTGCTTGAGCCTCGAGATCCATGTCGCTGTTCGTCCGACTGAAGGTACCAGCGGGCAAGACCTCGAAGCCCGCGTTCACCCTCCTAGATTGTGTGTTGGCATGGACGCTTCCCGATTGTGACGGGCGTCTGCCACGAGCAGATTCGGTAGCATCATTGGACCGGCGCTGCCGCGAAGGAGGGTTCTGCCTGTCGGGGCGTGGACTCGGCTCGTAAGTCGATGCGATAAAAGGGTTGCGCTGCGCCATAGCACTCGGAGCAAAATAGCCTCCATCCTCGAGGAAGTCCATGGTGGGGGAAGCCGATTCGGGGTCCTCGAAGGGACTACGCTTCCGTGACGGGGTGTCAGTGGTTTGTATCCTCGACGGCCTGGTGAACTGTTTTCCGGGGTTCTCGTCCGAGGAGCTGGAGTCCCGGCGATCGTGAGCCGGAGAATACAACGAGCTGATGTGAGGAGTACGTCCAGCTGATGTGGATGGCACGTAGGTGTCCAGCTTCGGCAGCGCTGCACGCCTCCCTTCGAGATCATCAAGCGCTTCCACCTTGCCTTCGGTACCACTCACGCGTCCCGATCCTGATCGTGTCGACTGTCTTGGCTTGTATGTTGCCGGAGCGCCAGTCGAAGGCATTCGCACCTCTGTGGGTGACACTTGTCCAGAAGCAGAGTTGAGGCGAGGGCTACTGCGTACCGACTCAGGGCGGTCCACAGACGACTTGGTCGGCTGTCGGGTAGCCTGGCTTGTGCGTGTCCTTTCCTTGCCTTTGGGCTCTGTGTGAATCGAGTGAGTCTTGCTGGGACCATCAGAGTCGGCAGGCGTGTTAGGCCGCGAGATCCAAATACCGTCGACTTCTACGCCACTTTGAATAGCTCGTACGCCGAATGGAATGTCGAATTTGCGGGGAAGAGGGAGGCCGGTGCTCTGCATCTCCGACTGTCGTGCCCTCTTCTCCTCGTCGAGCACTGTATGCTTGCGCACTAGCCTGTTCTTGAAAAAAAGCTTGACAAGACCAGCCAGAAAGACCAAGAAAATAGCCGAGCCCAAGCACTGGAGTGGTTGTCGTCAGTCGGAGATCTAATGAGCTTCAACTTGCAGACTTACAAAGGTGAGCTGGAGCCAGAGCTGCCAGCTGATGAAGAAGGTGGTATTCGCCATCTCGACTATGATTTGAAGCTCTTATCGCCGAGCAAGTGCCTCCCGCGACAGCTGTGGAAAGTGCTTGGTGGACAGGTCTAGCGGAAAAATGCCGTGTGCGAAGAGGCTATGGTTTTCGTGAAATGCGCCAGATCAGGCACCCAGAACACGGTTCGGGTTAAGAAGCCACAAAGAGCCGCCGGTGACGAGCAGTTGAGCTCAGATATATGAAGAGATTCGGCGTGCTTAGATCGCAAGTGCGAAGGGTACTGCTTGGGTTGCTGATCCCAATACGAGGTATCGGCTGCACCTGATGTTGCACGTGGCTTTCAATACCGGAAGAAAACCACGAGGAAGTTCTGCCAGCCGCACGTGGGAAAGTAGTACTGAGAACGGATGTTGGTGTAACCAAAGCTACAAAGATATTGCTCGGGAGGTTGTCTCGGCTTGAACCAGCTTGTCCTTGCAAGGCGGAAGAAGAGCCGAAAGATGTAGCTAGACGCTTCGGGATGGAGCACCGAGGATGCGTCTGGTGAATTAACAGGCGCCTATCAAGGTCACAATGGACTCAGTGCACCAGTGCACCAGTGCTCTGCTAGGAGATGGAGAAATGTCTTGCGGAATGTGTGTTGCGGGAGGCAAACAATGATGCGTGCCAGCCAGTTGCGAGAGTGTGTTGGCAGCCAGTGTCGTATGGCAAGCAAGACGCAAATGTCCAGAAAACGGCACGCCCAAAAAAGCTAATGGATCGTGATTGTCGACCAGGAGCAAACAAGTGAAGCGAGTGGGAGAGGGCGAGGTGGAGGGAGGCTTTGGACCACGAACCACGCACAGCCGAAGAACGAAAGGACGGGATCAAGGGATCCTTTTTTGATGACGAGGCAGGCTCCAAGAAAGGAACAAGCAGGTTTTCTCCCAGGAGAAACGAATGGGCGAGGAAGAAACAAAACCAAGAACGAGGGTTACGGTGGCAGGCAGACCGAATAAGAAAGAGCATTGGGGCAAACAGAGACCAAAGCCTCGTGCGTGTAAGTGCCTGACTTGGCCAGGCCAGGCCTCTCGCTCCACCGGCCATGGGCAAGACTTGCTCAGACCTGCAACACCACCAAGAGCCCGTCTGCACCTCAGCACCCGCGCAAGACCTGGATCCTCACGACACAGCGACGACATTGCCCGCGGCCTGGATGCCACGCCGCCCATGGATGCGAAGGAGGGCCCTGGTCGCCCACCTGAGAGAGCTGCAGCAAGCACTGCACCGTGGCATGGATCATGGCCGTGGCGGCCTGCCAAGCCGCGAGCAGTGTCGCAAAGAACCCTGCTGCGCACCGACGTCGACGCAGGGCGTGCCCTGCTGGCTGTTTTCACGAGGCTCTTGGCATCGCCAACGTGCAGCGGCTAGGTTGCCGTCGCCTCCTTCAACGGTCCTTCTGCCCCTTCGCCTGAAGCATCCCACCCCCGTCCCTAGCGCCCGCGACCCACCGGCATCCCTGCTGGCCATCCATAGCTCCCGTCATTATCGACGACGTCGTGCCAGCAGGACCATCGCTGGCAAGTTGCAACGCATAGCACGCGGAATATGCACCCAGCATGGCCAGAACCAGCCTCGGACATCAGACTCGGCTCGAATACTCGCCATCAGAACGGCGGCTGCATGATTCCTCTGGGCCGCGAAGATCGCCGCTCCCAGTGCAAGAAACACTCCACCAATCGCTGGCCTCGTAAGTCACAAGTTCGCTTCGCCTGGGCATCCTCCGTGACCGTATCAGGTTGTCGGCGGCGCTTGCTTTTTCAGAGCCCTGCTTTTTCTGGCCCGCACAAGCCTCTCCCACGTTCAGGCGCACGGCAGAGGCACACATTACGAGGAAACCTGTCGCAAAAACCCACGTATGCGAGCAGTCTTGAAGTGCTCGCATGTGCTGTACCGCTCCCACTCCGAAAATTGGTTCATCGCATTGCTGCCACAATCTTCTGCCAAGGCCCACGGCTACGACCCGGAGATTTCACTCGGCCCAGTGCGACCCTTAGGGACTTTGGATTCCGACCTCACGAATGCATCCCGGCCAGCTCTACTTTGTGGCAGGTGTGTCTGGGCCAAAGCCGCCACGATGCCCAGTCGTGAGCCGGGTCGAGAGACTTGGACCCATATATTCCCGGGGAGGCGAACCGTGCACCGGCACTGGACGAGGATCACGCCGGCCAGCCACCCATGTCTCGCCATGCGCAACCATGGGTGCATCGCTTCTGCAAAAAACAGAATGGCGAGGACAAGATCGACCCGAGCCAGGCCCTGCTACCCCGTGCTTGAGCGATACATACTTAGTTAGCCTCGCCCCGTCCTTCCACGTTGCGTGCAGCCGCTGGAGCACCACGGAGCGCCTTTGTGCGCTGGCAGGAGCAGAATACGAAGTTTCCTCGGCTGCCAAGACCTCTACGAGCCGTGGATGAGTTCACCGCAATCGCTCCACCACCAATGGTGGTGCATGGCTGGCTCGCCCCGCTGTTGTGCTCACGAAAATACGCCCTTGTGTTGAGAGCAGTCACTCTGCTCATGATGGCGCCACACTCCTGGCTGAGAATCCATGACTGTTCTCGGTATTCCTGCCGTTCAGCGCCACCAATGCGGGGCGGCACTGAGCACTCTGGGTAGAATATTCTTTTGCCCCTATGAAACACAAATAAGAGCACGGCCTGCGCGCCACGCTAGGCACTATTAGGTGGTCGCCTGGAAACAGCTCTTGTAGGCCAAATGCGATTTCTCCTGCCACCAGCATCAAGACCCGCGGGCCTCAGACATGTTTTGCGAATAGTGCAACAGATTAACCTTATCAGTGTTGCATCTTAAGCCCGTGGCAAGCACGGAGCAGCGGCCACGGAATGATTGGAACTGCTTACATACTACCGACAAAAGTACGCAGCTAGATGGGGGCTGGTCGCAGAGCCGAAAACCCTACCGCCAGGGTCTCTACACCCTGGTCACTTGAAAGCTCAAGAGCAGCCGACATACCGACGACGTCGCGCCTCTAAGCTCGGCTGTCATGATAGGCCACCGAGACGGAGTTTTCCAGTCATTGGTAGGCCAAGGAGTGCAGAGGTAACCAGAACTCTTGAGCGGGTCTTTGGATCGCACCAGGGGTGGTGTCGTCGTTTGACTCATGGTCACAGCGAGCTGCATCTTGTACCGTTGCCCCATATTGCTTGAGGCTATGCTTCGCAAATGACCGTCTCCGCCTTCGCATAGGCATGATGAGAGTCGGCAGTTCCCCCACGCATATACAAGTCATTTGATAATTATGATGCTTTCGGAGATTTGCTGTTCGCGCAAGAACGACCCCTATCGTGGGCGACTGGGACTCCGTTCGGACGAGCCTGAAGTCAACGGAGAGGAACACACAATCTGGCCTGCATCTCTGGGGGCGGGTATCCAGGCTACTGACTGGCGCAGTGCCAGACGTAAAAGTTGATGTAGATTGCAAATTGTGCCTACGGAAGCTCGGTTCCGCCGCGCTTTGGGAGCGGCAGTTCGAGGTTGGCCAACCTGACACAGCCGTTGAGCCTACTCGTCTTGGCCATTGTCTGTTCTCGAAGGGTTTTCCTAATTCTGCCTGGCCAAACACTACTAAATGGGCGCCATGCAACACGCTAGGCTCCGCATCGTCTTTGTTTGTTAGCGTACTTTAGCTCTGTGGCTCTCCCGACGTGCTACCGCCGCCAAGAGGTCCCTCCACTGACTGCGCTTCAGGGACACCGGGCGGCGCTAACCAAACTCACCCGTGAAATGCGCCCATCGAGGGGGGGCCCATAGTCACACCAAGCGACGTCGATCACGCTCGGCCATGTGTGTTTCGTCGATATTGTGCTGAGTGTGGCTTGGCTCGGTTGACTCCTAAACTGGTGATACCTGAAGCAGATGCTCAGGTTCACCATCCATGGCGACATTGCACCGGCGACCGTGGTGATCGGCAGCCAGTCCACAGGCGTGTGCCTCCGACATGTGTGAAGCAATTAGGCTATCTGTGCGATGACTCTTCTGGCTCTCTTGGAGCGGATACCAGCGATTGGGGGTGGCAGTCTCCTGATCATCGCTTACCGTACATTTGGTTTGGGCGCCGGCCAGTCCGTCCGGTCAAAGCGAGTGCTATCAAAACCCACAAGACATCCTGCCTGTCCCTTGAGCGAATATTGATGCATGCGAAGTGCTTCTACGCGCTCATTGCCGCAGATATCTGCGCCGTGTTTCGGCAGACTCAAGCGAGTTTTTTATCATTTGCAACTGCTTCCCTAGGGGGTCCCCGCAAGTGTTTCCACGACACATTTTGGCAAGCAAATCGAACTTTGGACACAAGCCTAGCCTTCCAGCCTCCAAAGAGCCATTGAGCACCGAAACTTGCCCTATGCAGATTTGTGCGGAGTATCCTTTTTGGCGTGGCTGAAGAGCGCCCGGAACGATGCAGACACCCTCGATACGTCTGAGTTGGGTTTTAGGCTTCGGTGTGCTTCCCGGTCATCTACTCACCAGGTGAACGGACCGTTCCGGTCGAGATATTCTAAGCCTGGGCTTGAGTGGTGCGCATCGCTTGCCTGTCTACCTAACGACCCGAAGAAGGATGGCTGAAAGCATGGTCGTTCATTATTGCGTCGTGCTTTGAACACTTCAGGGGGGGTCCAACCCACTTGGAAAACCAGGCTGTTATATTCCTTTCATATCATGGATTCTGTAATCCTCTCCTTTCCCACCATTTACGGCATGGCTCGATATGTGGTGTATAGATTGAGTTTGAATGGTTGTCCCGTGGTGTCGCAAATCTTCGGGATAAGAAGTGGATAAAAAATAAAAAATGAAAAAGAATATTTTGGAATCAGAAGGAATCTGAGCTTTGGCTACAGGACAAGCCTGACCATCACATGACTTGCCAGCAACTATATGTCGGAAACATTGTCACCAGCATCGTGTGGCAAAGTTCTGCACTCAATGCAGATGTTCGCGCGGAAGTGACAGGCAGTGGATGGTGACATGTCCGCGGGACAGCCTGGAGACAGGTTGATGTGAATGTCTAGATTAAAAAAAAAAACCCAAATTGTGACTCGCGCGTACCCGATTCTCCGGATCATGCAGCTCTATGTGCGTATACGCAGCTTGGTTGTCTGCCTGCCAACTATAGATATATACACATCTACCTCCTCCTCTTGCCACCACCGCCCTCCTCGGCAGCCTGCCTCTTCCTCCCCTCCTTGCGCCAGTATTCCTGCTTCTCGCGTTTCTCGCGTGCCTCCTTCTTCTCGTTCTGGTCGGCCATCTTCTTGCGGAACACGGCACGTTTCTCCTCCTTCTTGGCGCGCCTCTTCTCGAGCGCATCCTTGCGAATCGTCGTGAGCTTCTGCAGAAGGTCCCGCGCCTTGCGCTCCTCGCCGCCTAGCACGACCGCCCGCTTCTGCATGTACGTCTTCTTCTTCTGCGGGCGCACCTGCACAATCTGCGACTTGTACGGCAGCTCGGCGGCCAGCGCGCGGGGCACCTTGAGCGGGTTGAAGTGCCGCGTCGCGCGCTCCACGGTGCGGTACTTTGAGTTCTTGTCCTGCGGGGTGGCGATGCCCTGGTCGCGCCGGACCTCGCCGGTCAGGCGCATGGGCTTCCAGCCGCCAAGGAGGTTGGTCACGACGTTGTAGAAGCGGTGCGGCTTGATCGGGTACCAGGCGCGCAGGAAGACGAGGTCGCTCATGAGGATCTTGTCCTCAAACGTGGCGCGGAAGTGGCCCTCGGGCTTGGCCAGGGCGCGCTTGATCTGACCTCTGATGCCGGAGACTGTCTTGATCGAGGCGCCCTCGAACTTGGCAATCTCGAGCGAGGTGTTGAACATGTCCTTTATGAAGGCCGTGTTCTTGAAGATCTTGTACGGCGCACCAGTGAGCTTGAGCTTCTTGACAATCTCGGTGGACTCGTCGACCGAGAGGACTGTGCCTGTAGCAGCCACGCGGAAGCCTGGTATGGCGCCAGAGAAGGAGTTGAAGCAAGTGAAGCCCGTGTTGGGGGCGATCAAGGGCCCGTAGAAAGTGGCGAAGCAGTGCATATGCTCGGGCGTGTACTTGAGCATGCGATTGCGCGTCCGCGAGTCAGAGATTGCGTAGATGGGCAGCGTCTGGAATCGCCTCCAGCCCAACGAGAAGATGAGGGGATCATTGGTCTTGAGAATCTTCTTGTGCCATCTGTGGCGCTTGAGGCGCACCTGGACAAAGCCGAATCTGTCTTCCGTGGGTGAAAGTCCGCCGAGGACGATGGGCATCCGCGCCTGGAAGTTATTGACAAACTCGGCTGGAACACCCTCAATGACCACCTTGGCGTATTTGCCAGCCTTGAAACCCTCGACGGCAATTCTCTGTCGCTCGTCAAGGGCCTCAAACTCGGCATTGTTGATGTCGAGCTGCTTCTGGATCATGGCCTTTTGCGCGTCGTACCAATCGTCCTCGCCAAACTCTCCGTCGTCGCCATTTTCCCTCCGCGCATTAGCCTTGTCGTTGTTGAAGCCCTCACGATCCTCCTCTTCAAAGCGCAGCTTGAGCTCTTCCTTCCTCTTGGCGTTCCTCTTGCGTTCCGCTTCAATATCCTCTGCTGTGTCAGCCTTGACCTCGGCCTCGGGCTTGAATGATTCGCCAGTCTCCAGATCTTCAAAAGCGCCATCGCCTTCGTCGTCGTCATCATCACCGCCGTCGCTGTCCCCAAAGCCGCTCTCATCGTCATCATCATCATCGCTCGCTTTGCCATTGAGGTTGGCTGATGTGAAGCGCTGCCGGAGTTGCTCAATATTGTCCGACAACGACCACTTCGCGGCCAGGTCCTCATAGTCGTACTCCGGAATAGCGCGGTCCTCTGCCAAGGCACCCTCCTTTTCATGAGCGGCCTTCTTGAAGAACTCTTCGTCCTCTGAGGCCTCAATATCCTCCTCTTCCGCCTCAGCCTCAACCTCACCCTTCCACCTACGGAGGACTTCATCGGCCGTGATTGACTCATTGTACATGAGGCGGGCCAAGTCAGCTGTCCGGTACGAAGGCCTGCTACCGTGAAGCTCCTGTGCTCTGGCAGACAAGTTTTCTTTCCACTTCAGAGCTGCGATCTCGTCGTCGTCCATCAAGTCCTCATCATCTGAGTCATCTGAGTCATTATCCTCGTCGCCGGATAACGAGCCAAGATCCGAGTCACTGTCAGCAAACGCCAACTCGTCCTCGCCGTCGTCTTTGTTGTCCTTTTGGAACATCTTGCCAAGTTTCTTCTCGTTGAACTCTGGCACCTCATCATCAGAGTTGAAGGCATCGTCCTCCTCTCCACTGCCGAAGCCCTCATCGTCAAGCGGCTCAGCTTCGGTACCGTCACGATCGGCAAAGCGAGGTGTCCGCTGGTGTTTCCTTCCAGTGTCGTCTTCCTCTGCAACCTTGGAGATCTTCTCGCCACCACGGAACAGCTGCACGCCATCGTCTGTTTGTCCCAGCAGACGTCGTTCGGCCTGGAGACCAATGATCATCTCTTCGCCTTCTCCTCGCTCGACGTCCTCCTCGCCGTCCTTGTTGAACGTGAAGCCCTTCTCTCGGGTAATCCAGATGGCGTCGCCGTCAATCTTCAGACCGCTGCGATCGGACATTGGGGCGTGGAGCTTCTTCTCCTTCTCGTCAAGCCTGCGCCGGTTAGACTTGCCCGTGGCCTTGGCAATGGCAGCCTCCATGGCTGGTGTCGGACAAGGGTCTGGAAGAGCCTCGATACTGGATACGGCAAAGTCTCCCACGCCAGGAATGTGAACGCGCTGGTTCTCGGCCGAAAAGTTTGTGCCGCGCAGATAGCCGGACAGGACGATAGAGCGGTCGCATTTCTCGTCCTCCTCAATCTTTGTCGGATGGGTAATGTCGCGGAAGCTGTCGATGACCGTGTACGGGTGAGAGTTCCTCCAGATCAAGGGGCGCGGATTTTTCATGACGGACAGGAACCGGGACAAGTTGTGGATTTCGCGATCAGGATAACGGCCGTTGATCACACCCGACAGGTAAAAGAGATGGGCACCCTGGTAAAGTTCGCTCCAGAGTCTGTGCTTCAGCCTCTTCTTTGCATCCCTGAGGGCCTGTGGCTTTCTGAAGAGATCAAGGTGTGTAAGGACACCGAAGACGTTGCCCGGCATGCCAGTGGCCGCAAGGATGTTGAGGAACTCCATTGTCTCCATCTCGAACCCGTAGTTGCCGTCGATCATGAGAAGGACAATATCGGCGACCTTGGCAATGTCGACCATGGCCTCGAGCTCGTTCGGGCACTCGAGGAACGTCAAGCGCTGCTTCTTGGAGGTGACCACGGTGATGGGCCCCTGCGGTTCGGAAAGCGTTTCTTTGGCATAGCGACGGACTAGCGACTTCAGCAGTGTAGTCTTGCCAACACCAGGGGGACCAACAATGGTGACGAGCCTCGGCGGCGGTTCATCGGGAAGGCGGTCGACGAGAGGGACGTGCAGACGTTTTTCCTTGATCTGGTAGACGAAGAAGGAGGGTCAGTACGGAGTTGTCGGCACGAAGGGATCTTCTGGCAAGGAAATCTTACATCACCAGATCTTGCAGCAGCCCTTTGAAGCTTGCCAGGGTTTGAAAAAGCAAACGCCTTTGGGTTTTTCTCTGTGTGGCCAGAGTTAGTCAACAGTCGTCGTAGAGTCGCAAACGTGTCTTGGCTGCAGGCGAGCGTACCTCCAGAGTGTTTGGACTTTTCCTTCTTCTCCTTGCCCTTACGGTGCGGCTTGTGCTGCTGGTCCGACATGGTTGCGTCGGTGCAATGTCCTCGAGCAGAGCAACACTGTCACAAGCGATGTTGGAGACGCTGGGCGTGAGACGGCCTTGCGTCGTGCATCCTGGTGGTCGCGACAAGAAGGACGGGCCAAAAAAAAGTTCAGGGCCAGGGACTTATCGATAGCCTTCGGGTGATCGATATCCACAGCGGGCCTATGTGGAGCCCTAGCTGAATGTCCCGCCTGCACACCCCTGACTGGCTGAGCTATGCAGAGGGGTCTTTCTCTGTTGCTCAACCACTATCGTACAGGACAAGGGACACTGTAGAGGTTGAAGTGATGAGTTCTAATGAGTGAGATCTTTTGAACTCCGTGTCACAGGTTTCGACCTGCGGACCTCACCATGTAGCCGAGTCAGAATTTGTTGTAGGTAAAGGCGCGTCGTGAGTCCAGGGCTTGTCCTGGTAGCTCTGTCCAACCACCGAGGCACTGTGGCTTTCCGCGTGCATCTCAGCGGGGTTCAGGAAACGGGTTGCGTACTGGCAAGTAATCGAGTGGCACGATCGGAATAGCTTGGGCATGTCCTCCGCGCAGTTTCTCCACCCTCTTGGTTTTGGACTCCGAGAGCGCGGACGCGCTAATAGGACGGCCAGAGAACTCGCCCGTGAGACATGTGCAGCCAGCATGACATGACGTATGCGGGCGGCTTGTCACTGCTGCCTCCCCTCCTCCCCATTCCGAGTCAGCGGCCTCCGGCAGCCCAATCAATGGTCCTGCATGAGGGCGGCCACCACTGCACCACAACCTGCTTGTGACTTGTCGCGTCTCAGTCTTTGGTATCCGATGATACTTAAATCCACATGAGGCCCTTGTCGACCTGGACTCGACGTCTCTGTTCCTCACATCCACTCAAACACACTTTCAGGCCCAGACCTTCACTGCCCTTCACCACAGCATCAGCACTCAAAATGCCTACCTACATCGTGAGTTCGAGCCCCTCAAAGCCACCAGACAGCTGCTGTCCGACACACCCTGGCCTTTGGTTTCTGACAGGCATCGTCCGTTACCACCACAGATTACTTGCAAGGAGGACGCGAGTCCGGAGCAGGTCGAGGCCACCAAGCAAGCGGCCAAGGACCAAGGTGGGCAGATCGGCCACGAGTACAAGCTGATCAAGGGCTTCTCGTATGTATTTCCGCCGTCCTGGCACCCCACGAATCCACCGATCTTGGTTGCTAACATGAGGACCTCCGAAACCTGTAGTGTTTCCTTCCCCGAAGGCACCGTCCACGCGATGGATTCACACGAGCATGTTAAACACGTCGAGGCCGACCAGGAGGTTCGCACGCAGTAGTGTAACACAACGTCGGCCCGTGACAGGACCTCCTGCGTTCCAGAGCATCACGGCATTTCTAGACGGCACCTCTGCATACTTGAAAGACAGCCATAATACAATTTGAGCGGAGAGCGTGCTCTCATATTATCCAAAACAAATACTGCAAGTGTTTCTGTTGTCAGGACAAGACCGTGATCACAGTGATGCCTGGCGCTTGAATACCCCGCTGGTGCGAGAGGCGTGTCTGCGCGCCCAGTGCGGGGCATGACGTGCCGTCAGTCAGTGGCACGCACTTGGCTCCAGGCGCTCTTTGGAGCACATGCACACGCACACTTGAGCATGCATCAACACCAGCCCACGAGATTGTGCAAGGTCTATCAGACTTCTTTTATGCAAACAAACCTGGGAGGGCAAGTGCCACACAGTCCACGGCAGCAGCTCAAATTTATGGTGATGCCTCACGAGTCTTCACCGACGAGCTGTCGCTGCACGATGCCGTCATGAGCTGCGTGACTGGCAGGGTATACTCTGAAGCCATCGTCTGTTGTCAGCCAGGTTCGGCAACAACCCCAATGAATAAAGCTTGTACTTAGTGCAGAACATAGGTGTTGCTTGGGCACTACGCGCTGAGTACGCCCACACAAAGCTCCCGAGGTAAATTGACGGCATTCTATCTAGTATGGTCCTCATCCTCACCGGCACTTATCGCTAGAGTGCGGTTCACATCTCCGCAGGCCGCCGTCCAGGGCTAGGTAGGCCCGGATCGCTTCCGCCGCCGGGGAAGTATACAAGCACATCTGCGGGCGGAGGGGCGCGTGACTGGCATGTGCTGCAACCTGGTGCAACGGCAGTGGTATGCCAGGCCCCTGGCCTGCATGTCTCTGCCGCCGTGGCCGACCATTGCTGAGTAAAAATCCGTCACCGACAGTTGGATCGTCTGCTTTGCTTCTTCATTGTGCGATATGGACGAGCGAACGTTCTGAGGATCGTCATCCTCTTGCATCCTCCCAGCCCGGCCCAGGTACTTGAAGCTTCCACCCTCTGACTCGATTCCGCCAGGGTCGACCCACCAGAGACCGCTCCCTGACCCTCCGGCCATCGGTCTGACACTGACATCCTCCAAAACCCCAGGCTCGCTCACATGCCAACTACGGATCATCCGTCTTGATATTCTTTTCCACAACTCCCGCAGTCCCCTTCGCCAGCGCCCACTCGTGTCTGCTAAATCACAACATGCCGTCATGAGGGGCCCAAGTTCCCCATTGAGGTGCCTGGCCCTGCCCAGGGGCCTTTTCCATCCGCATGGCTCCAGCTTCTTCCGCCAGTGGCCTCGCCGCTTCATGGCCACCTCCCACGCCACCGGCACGTCGCCCTCTGCCCACGAGTGGTCACATCCTCCCACCACCGCAGCCGTCACGGACGAGGAGATTGCCAACCTCACCAGCAAGCGTCAGCACGCTCTCAGCCTGGCAGACTTAGTCAAGTACATCTCGTCCTGCCCCCTGCGGTGTGGCCCACGCTCGTCGTGTCTTCCAGAGCTCAAGCTAACATCGGCGATTTGCACGACAGGCACGGTCGTCCACCCCTCTCGTCCGAGGCTCTCTTCTCCTCTGCCAACTTTACTCTTTCCCTTCTCCCGATCCGCCTCGCCCACCGCATACAGGCCCTGCGCAACTTGCCCTTCATCGTCGTCTCCAACCCAAATATCAGCCGCATCTACAACAACTACCTTCACTCCCTCTCCACGCTGCTCCCCTGGCAGCACCACACAATCTCGAACCTCGACGACGAGATTCGTTTCACCTCGGTCCTCGCGGACCTTGTCGCCACCCACCAGGACACCATCCCCATCCTCGCAAAAGGCTTTCTCGAGTGCCGCCGCTACATCTCCCCCACAGAAGTCACCCGCTTCCTCGACACCCACCTCCGCACCCGGATCGGCACCCGGCTCATCGCGGAGCAGCACATTGCCCTGCACTACAGCAGCGTGCCGCACTTTGACCCCTCTGCCAGCCCGACCCCGTGCCCAGAGCACCCGAGCTATGTCGGTGTCATCGACACGGCGCTCTGCCCCGCGCAGGTCGTCGAGTCGTGCGCCCAGTTCGTCGCCGAGATCTGCGAGCTCAAGTACGGCGTGCGGCCCAAGTGGATCATCGACGGCGAGCCAAACACCACTTTCGCCTTTGTGCCCATGCACCTCGAGTACATTGTCACCGAGCTGCTCAAGAACGCCTTCCGCGCCACGGTCGAGAGCAGGCACAGCAAGGAGCCCATAGTCATCACCATCGCCCCGGAGCCCGCCGACACCGAAGACGGCAACGGCGACGGCAGCGACGCCTCCGGCTCCGCCACGGGGAAAGTGACCCTCCCGCCTTCCGAGACGGACAGGGGCGCCTTCCGGTCAGAAGACATCTCCCCGCTCGATGACAACGCGCCGGGCGTGACGATCCGCATCCGCGACCGGGGCGGCGGCGTGAGCCCCGAGGTCCTGCCCAACATCTGGAGCTACAGCTTCACCACTTTCAGCGAGGAGGACGAGATCCCCGGCATCAGCTACGGCACCCAGGACGCCCTGTCGGTGATATCCGCAGCGAGCGGCGGCGGCAGCTCCATCGCCGGGCTGGGCTACGGATTGCCCCTGAGCAGAGCCTACGCAGAGTACTTTGGCGGCGGCATCGGCATGCAAAGCCTGTATGGCTGGGGCGCCGACGTATATCTCCGGCTCAAGGGTGTCGGGAGTATAAGATGAAGCTGTCTTGGTTCACATCCTGCTCTTTATTTTCAATGAAAGAAAGAAGAAAGAAAACGGGAATGGCGCGAGAGTTTATGCCGGAGTTTGGGTCATGATTGTATGTTGCACTGTGTCTTTCCATCAGGTAGGTACGCGGTTTTCGAATGTTAAAAATGAGTCAATGGGGCTTGCTTGCATCAGGTCGACTGCAGTTACAGCCATACGTGTCGAATCTGCAGATGCCAAGAGCAGGCGTCGTTAACACTAAGGTTGCTATTGGCTTTGCTGTCCTACCAAGCAGCACACTGTGTAATGCGCACAGCCCGAGAATGAGCTCGGATTGCGTCTAGCATGACGATTCGGGCACGGCTTGCAGGGTCATGGGAGCACGACCAAATCACTCAAGGTTACGGGAGCTGCGAAGAATGCAATTTCGTCAAGTTCATTCCTGAAGTGTCAATTTTTCGAAAGAACGTGTCTGCCAAAATCTCAGTAGCGCCATATTACGCATCTCGTGACATGAGCATTCTCGGTGCGAGATTGCATGTAGGTCAAGAGCACACTGATACTGCTACCATCTTCCGGCCTTGCCTTGCTTCTTTTCGCCAAAATTGATTTCTGGTCTTATCTTCGGTGCTGTCCTGACCTCGGCCATCTGCGTGAAATTGTCCCCAAAACTTCTGCCAAAATCAACACACCTCGGGGGAGATGCTGCAGGCTCGTCAAAAGGTATGTAGATCTCGAAATCGGTCGGGCCTCGGTCAAACTGCATTTTGCGCTTAGGCAGTAGCAGTAGTGGCAGCAGGAGCGGCGGTCTCCTTCTCCTCCTCGCCAGCAGCGGCGTCAGCAGGGATGTTGGCCTCCTCATCGGTCTTGTCGGGGCTATCGATAGCGACCTTGACAGCGATCTCCCGGCCTTCAATCTCCTTGCCGTTCATCTCGGCCACAGCCTTCTGCTGGAGCTCCTCAGAAGCAAGAGTGACGAAGCCAAAGCCACGTCCCTTGCGAGCCTCACCACGGGCCTGCAGCTTCTTGATCATGAAGCGGGGGATGGGGCGGAGAGCAATCTTGGCCGAGGAGGGCTCGAAGTCCTTGAAGAGCTCCTTGAGCTGGATTCCGGAAATCATGGTCAGTATCGCGTAACAGAAACGGCGTCACAGGAACGAGCACTCAGATGGGTTCAGTGTAACATACCTTCTCCTCGGTAAGGTCGTAAGGAAGGTTGGCGACCATGACCTTGTTCTTGGAGGGAATGCCATCAGCGGGCGGTCCACGCTCACGCTTGGCAGGACGGGCGTCCTTCTTGGCCTTTGTAGATTCAGCTTGGTCAGTCGTGTTCTCGTTGGTAATGTCCTTCAAAGGCTGTTGAACCTCAGCATCTGCGGCAGGGGTCTCCTCCGCAGCAGTAGCCTCCTCAGTAGCAGGGGCGTCCTCCTTTCCATCCTAGAGTACCGCCTGTCAGTATTCGTTCGGCAAGTTCCGAGGATAGGATTGGGTCACAACATACAGCTCGGGTGCGGCCTCCGCGAGCGGCACGGCCACGAGCACCACGGCCCCGGCCACGGCCGGCGCCACGAGCACGATCACCATTGGCATCGTCGGTCTGAGTACCCTCCGGCTTCTCGCCAGCGGGCTGAGGTGTGCGCGCAAGCTGGACAGAGACCTTGCGCTCAAGGATCTCCTTGCCTGACAGCTCGGCGATGGCACGCTCAGCTTCGGAGGGGGTCGAGAGGTCGACAAAGGCGTAGCCTACAGGGCGGTCGGTACGGGGGTTCTTGGGAATAGAAACCGACTCACTGGTCAGAGATGAAGGTTAGCATGATACAGTAGCGACGGGATCCTGACTGGTGACATGTGAGTGCAGCGGCGGACGTCCTCGCAGCCCGGTGGCGAGAATAACACTGCGAGACGCCGGCGCGAATAGAGTGCATGGTGCGGGACCCATGATCGAGGAAAACCTCTGACGCGACCAGCGGCAGCCCGTGAACACCTGCAAAGACAGTCCACACAAAGGGTCGGCAAAACTCACACAAGGTAGCTCTTGAAGAACTCTTTCAGCTCCCCCTCGGTTGTCGCGTATGCGAGGTTGCCGATGTACAGGCGGCGACCCTCGGCGGCACTGGCGTGGACGGCATCTTTGTTCTCGTCCTTGCCGGTGAGAGAGGTATTGCTCAGGGCGGTGGTGACATTGTCGACGACGGTCTCAGCGGCTTCCTTGACTGCGGCGGCCATTTTGAATTGTCTGGTGGTTGAAGGCGTGGCGGGAGATTAGTGGAGACCTCGATGATGTACTAAGGGGAGAGGGGCGTGGAGAGGTGCACCAAGTATTGATGACTAGTATGCAGGTAGGAGAGAGTGGGCGAGGGGTGGAAGAGTAGACAAACATACAGATGATTGACGTTGAGGAGGACGGTCGGTTTGGAGGATCACAGAGGTTGAACACCTGAACAAATCGGGGGAGGGAACAGGGTGGCTACGTGCCCTAGAGACGATGGAGGAACTTGAAGGTGGAGGACGTTGTCTTTGACACAAGCAGCTTGAGTCGGTGTGGGTTTCTGAGAGGTGTGGGAGGAGAAAGGGAGCAAGAAGGCCGTCGACGCTGCGGCGGGCCAGAATTTTTAATAAGGGTGCTGCTTCCAGGCGGTCGACAGTGCAGGGTGTGCTCCTGGCATTTCTGGCGCTCTGCACCCACGGCGGGGCGTTTGGGAAGGAGGGCGCCTGCCACTTTGAGCCAATAGGCAGGCGTGGAAGGTGCGAGGCCCCCTGACGTGAACGGCCAGTGGCCCCCCAATCCAGGCACCATTGACACCGCTGTAGTCAATGCCGTGGGCCAGCTTCGTACATCTCCAGTGTCGAAATCTCCGCAGGTATGGGCAGACACAATTAGGGGTAGCCTCTTGGTCCGGCAGCATGTGCTGGCCAAGCTGGTTCCATTTATTTGTCGTGTACTACGTCTTGGCAGGTCCGTGGCTAGCAGCATGGCGAAGTACCTAAAGTACGTAAAAGTACCTACAATGGACGAATGTAACCAAATGTTCAAAGGACAGAAAGGCACAATAGTCAGCCTCTGTACCCAGCCGACCGAATCTGTTGTCCAAGATGACCTCGGGCCAGATTCGAGATGCACCCCAGACATCAGAATACACGCTCATGCTTCACTTGATGCGCAGCGAGCGGTTCCGAAAGTCTACCAGAGTTTCATGGAACTGAGAGTGCTTGCTGCAGAAACACAAGCATCGGGTCTGAGACCATCTCAATGTCCACTTTTGATGGTCACCAACACAGCTACGGGCGAGCACCATTCTCGCGGCCGGCCCTCCGTTCCTACACGGTAGCAACACGGATGAACCGTTCTAGAAATGATTGTTTGAGTTGGCATGCAATGGCAAGCAACAGCGTGCTATACTGGACTGAAATGCAGCCAACAGTATCCGCTAAACGAAGTGGCTGGGAGGGCGACTTTTGATCCTCGTGAAGCAGTCTGCATACCCGAAGGTACGGAGCCCACTCCAGAGGACGACTGCTATTTGAAGGATGGTCTCTGTATGTTTCCCTGCAAAGCACGGGAATGACTTTCACTCCTTGTGACTGCCGTCTTTATCACACTAGGCGAAGTGCCGTTCAAAATGGCCCATTATTGCCCAGCCAGAGTGTGGCTCGTGATCACTTGAAGATATAGCCCTCCTTGCAGCAGTGGTTTGCGGAGCAAAACTCACCGCCAGCTGCACCTTGGACGAGAGCCCGGAGAGAGGGCAGCGTGAGCATCGAGGCCCATCACCGCTATAGACACTCCCCCCTGTCCACTAGTCACGCACCTGCCCAGTTCCGTCTGTTCTAGAAGTAGAGCACCAGGCCAGCGTGTTATGAGTACGAAACCCCTTCATCAGCCCCTTTTCAGTCGTTACGAACAACAACGTCACGGACCAGCATCGAGTAATCATGCTCCTGGTGACTGGACGACAGTTCTTTTGGAGTCACTGAATGTGCACGCACGCAAAAACCGCCGTAAACGACAGAGGAGGCCCAGCTTGGTGTGCTAACAGAGCATGCTAGATGGATGGTGTTGACATGACTCGTCTCTGGGGAAAGCACGCGACATGTCTAATAGGTGAGCTGGTATGCGCCAACAACCAGACTTATGGCAGCAGACATGGGACGAGGAGTTAGGATGCAAGAAGCTCCATGCACAGCACTCAAGATGGCAATGACGAGGTGGATCCAAGACTCCTTGCCCGGGCTGTCTAGGTGAGCAGACGACAATGTCTGCATCTCCTAGTCCGCCACGTTTTGCACAGAGGCGCAAGAGGCTTAAGTGGTGACGTGACGCAGCCGCCGCTGGGGAGACCTCAGCCGCCCCAGGAATTCGGAAGCGTTGCCAAGCGCCGGGCGCCGCAACCGCAACCAAAGCCTGGTGCAGGCGGCATAGCACGGTAGCCCTGGCACCTGCCAGCCTGGACCCCGCTGACCGGCTTCGGAGCGGGTACGGCGCGGGCGAGCCGCCGGCCGTCTTTCTTTTTTTGTCTCCTTCAGTCCCGGAGCCGAACCATCAAACCACCTCCATCAAACACGGTTGTAAACTGTCAAGGGCGGCAAACTCGCACATACCTGCACCGTGAAAACTAGAGCCAGACGAGCATATAGGAGCCGTGTTGGCTGGATCCAGGGACCACCAAGCCAATGTGGAATTTCGCGAACATACGTCACCGAGGCAAGACGACCACGCTGTTCACACCACTTTCGAGGCTGCCGAGCTCAAACACCCCGCCGCTGGCGTCCGGCATTCCAGAGTCCTGGCGATGGAGGTCCATTCTTCAGGCGCCTTGCCCGGCATAACCGACGACTCGAGGCTTGCTGGGCGACGTCTTCTCATTGCCTACGGCTCCGAAACAGGAAACAGCCAGGATGCCGCCGAGACACTGGAGAGGCTGGCGGAGCGGCTGCGCTTCCAGACTTTTCTTTGCGAGATGAATGATGTTACCCTAGTAAGCATGCAAGATTTCCTTCTCTGGACATCCTGAATGTGCGCGGGCATCTGGGTTGGGCACGTCTGCCGCTTACACGGCCTCCATGTCGTGCCGAACAATAACATGTGCGAATCTAACAATGTCGATCACACTGGGAACAAGACTCACTTGCCGCAGGCTGGCCCTGATATTCCTTTCGACTTCTTTTGACCTTACCCGTGCAATACGAGACATTCAGTCCACAGCTGACATATCCTGCATCATCCAGAAAGGCCTGCATGACTTTGGGCTGGTCATCTTTGTCGTGTCGACGACAGGCCAGGGCGAGATCCCAAAGAACGCGAGGAAGTTCTGGCGAGGGCTACTCCGGAAGCAGCTGCCGCCTGGCTGCCTTGCGTCGGTGCGGTTCACCTCGTTTGGGCTGGGCGATAGCTCGTACTCCAAATTCAACTGGGCTGCTCGCAAGCTGCACAAGCGGCTTGAGCAGCTAGGTGGATGCGAGTTCTACCCACGCGGCGAGGCAGACGAGCGTCACGACGATGGGTAAGTCATGTTGCTTTCACGGGCATCATATGGGCATTGTCACTGCTGCTGGTCGTGCAAACCATCCCACTGCCGCCTGTGCCTGTCCGTTTGCACAACACGTGCTCTGCACATCCTGAGAGCGCGAAACGCACGCACACGCGCACGCACGCTTCCTAGACGCGCACCCCAGGCACTCCCCTAATGACACCATCTCATTTTGCGACATACCAAAAGTCCAAGACTGATATCTCGACAGTATCGACGGCGCTTTCATCCCGTGGTACACCAGTTTACGCACCCATCTGCTGTCAACCAATCCACTTCCTGACGACCTGCCACCGGTACCATTGGACGTCCGCCTACCACCAAAATATACCATAGAGATGGCGCCCACCATGCAGGAACACGATCAATCAGACGAGCTGGCCATCACAGCCAAAGCACTTGCACCAGATCACAAGAACACACCTGACGACACAGCGGCTCGCTTCAGCCACGTCGATGTTGTCGACCCAAAGAAGATGGAGTATGATCTTCGCTTTGCCAGACTTCGACCTGAGAACAATGTCGCCCTGGCCAGACAATCTGGACACACAGCTACGAGAGTAGTCGGCGGCATTGATACGTTGGATCGGCCCAACATCCTCAAGGACGACCCTGCCAAGTATGCGTTGACTGCGATGACCGACGCCCAGGAAGCGCCACCACCCGCAGATCTGCTTCCTATTCCAGACTCGTACGAAGCCTGTGTCGTAGCAAATGAAAGAGTCACGCCCGGAGAGCACTGGCAGGATGTTCGTTCCATCGCCTTGGACTTGGAACTGCCCAAGTCTGCAACAGCCCGAATGCGAAACTGTCACATTGCGCCCGGGTCTGTGGTGACGCTCTTTCCTAAGAACTTCCCCGCGGATGTTCAGCTACTCATTGACCTCATGGGCTGGGGTGACATTGCTGATGAGCCTTTCGAGCACCACTCGAGGCTGAACCTGGGTTTCACCAAGGCCCCAGAACCAAAGGGATGTTATCCTCTGCCAAGGTCGACGCTGCGACAGCTTCTCATCAATAACTACGACATCACAGCGATACCGAAGCGCATATTCTTCGAGCTCATCGCGTGGCACACAGACGACGAGACACACAGGGAGCGCCTGCGCGAGTTCGCGGACCCCAAATACACCGACGAGTTCTACGACTACACGTCCCGGCCCCGGCGCTCAATCCTGGAGATCCTGAACGACTTCCCGTCCGTCAAGATCCCGTACCAGGAGGTCCCCACCATCTTCCCCGTCATCCGCGGACGCGAGTACAGCATAGCGAGCGGCGGCGAGAAGTGCAGCCCGCGGCCGGGGATATTGCGGCTCGACATACTCGTCGCACTGGTCAAGTACAAGACGGTCCTCCGCAAGGTCCGGCAGGGCTTGTGCTCGCGCTACCTCGCCGCCGTGGAGCTCAACACCCCGATCGTGGTGCAGTTTGCGCCGGCACACAAGGGCCCGCCCAGCGGACCCGAACATGCCCAGCGACCACTCCTCGCCATCGCGCCGGGCACCGGCGTCGCCCCGATGCGCTCGCTGATCTGGGACCGGCACGCCGACGGTGTCCGGAATCCCGGGGCAGCCGGCCAAAACGTGCTCTTCTTTGGCGGGCGCAACCGGAAAGCCGACTTCTTCTACGAGGCCGAGTGGCGGGAGCTGGGCGTCGAGGTGCACGCAACGTTCTCCCGCGACCAGCGCGAAAAAGTTTACGTGCAGGATCTGCTCCGCCAGCAAGCGCCGCTGGTGTGCGATCTCATCTCGCGCAACGCGATCGTATGCCTCTGCGGCAGCTCGGGCCGGATGCCCGAGGCAGTACGGCAGGCGCTCTGCGACGTGCTGGTTGAGGGCAGAGTCGCGCCGGACCACGAGACAGCCAAGAAGCTGTTTAATAATCCGAGTCGGTATTGGGAGGAAGTCTGGTGAGCTGGAGGGAATACATCTCACGAGCGAAGACGGGATGGTTACAAGGTCGTCGCACGATGTAGAGGACGTCGAGAACTGCACACGCCGGGTCATATGCTCACTATTCGCACCGCAGCAGAGTGTTTGTCAATGCATAGCGTAGACTAGCAAGATCAGTGACTCGTCTCATATATCCTGCCCCCGAGGTAGATCAGGCACAATCGAGACATGACCAAGATATCACACCAACCATCAAGTTTCAGCCCTTTCTGGCATGCAGCCGAGGTCTGTTTGCACTACCAAACCACACGAGCAAGTGAAAAGTATCCGAAGGCATTGAGCAATGGACACAGCCAGTGGTGGCGTACGTATGCGTGGGTCACGGATAAGCAAATACAAAGCAGCACATTGTAACCTCATGCGGGTGCCTTGGGAGGTTTCAGAATGGAAAGACATATCTTGCGTCCCTACCTGGCCTATTATGCCACCTTGAGGTCCAGCACTTGGGCACCGTGAGCTCAGTGTTTGAGAAGACAGCTGTGGTATGCACGACGGTGAGCAGTCGAGAACATTCAAATGCGCTTACTGCGTATGCCATGCTTGTGCGTGTAGTCAAGGTCTTCAGGCGCGGCGGAGATGCGATGGGACTTGGGCGGTGGTACTTTGACGGCCATTCTCGAGCTGACGTGGGTGGTGGGTTGGTAAGCTGACTTCCGCCCGACACAGGCATCTGTGTCAGACTGCTTCGCCTGGCTTGGACGGGCTGCGCAGTCACAGAAAAGTGTTACTGGACAGGCCGGTAGTAATTGCATGTGAGTATTGACAACGCTGCAGGCTCGAACTCCAAGAGGAGCGCCGGGGACGCCCGACTCGGCCGAGTCATCCGGAGTGGCTGCGGTCTTCCTCCTTGATGCCACGGGGACTGAGTGATTGGGGTGGAATGAGCTGGTCGATAGGATGTTCACAGTGCTTGAACGCGCTTGTGTTTCATGAGTGCTGGATCGTGACGAATGTCCCTCGTTGTCTCAGGGATCCAGGTATGCCATCTGCGTTGTGGAAGGGACGGGTAAAAAGCGAACTGTGGTTGACTTTGGGCGAAGGTTCAGATGAGGGCCGCCATGTTTCAGCTAGCGGGAGCCGGACAAGCGGCGCTGGGTCCGTCCGCCAGTCTCGGTCACCGCGCGAGTGTCCCAGGTTTTGGTTCTATTGTCGTTCGTTGCCGACGGCGGCAATCGCGCGCAAAAAGGTGATGCTTCGACCAGCAGAGCGACCAGCCTGACGGAGCCTGGCGGCTGTGCTGCATGGTGCACGCGGCAGGGCCATTTCAGCTGGGACAGAGCTGCAGCTGAGATTGGTCCGTCGCACCTGGCGGCCTGCACGAAAAACATGGCAAGGCCGCACTCGACGTGGTACTGTACCTACTTAACCTCGGGCGGCGCGGCAGACCTCCAGCTCCGAATCCTGCGCCTTGTTTCTCGTGCAGCCGAAGGATTCGCTGCGGCCCCACCATGAATGAACGGGCGTGGGTGTGTGTCTGTTGGCTGTTCCAGGCTGCCTCTTAACTTCCTTCCTGCTCGTCCTCGAGGCGCAACACGATGTCACGCATGCTCAGCACGGCTGCTTGGCTGTGCGATTCCTGTTGGGGCAGGTGAGCGACACGGAACCTGTCCTGTGCGCCATGGTCCCCTCCCCCGTGCTCCAACTGCTGCGGCAAATCGTCAGCGCAACGTAGTGCCAATTCTGCCCGTGTGGCCTAGGACGACCACTGGCTGGTGTACCCAGGAGCTGGTCTCACGCAAGGCTCCCCGAGCAGCTCAACGCGCGGCATCGTCACCAAGAGCGGCATCTGTGACGCCATCCATGGCAGCTTGGGCCGTGTCCAAGAGGCAGAGCAAACATGACTGCCTCGATGTGGACCCTGGCGTTTTGGAATCGAGGAGAATGAGCCATCACTTTGCCAATATGCTGCAGAGACCACAAGCCTTTGGTGCCGTCGGAAGCGGGCTATCGAATCCATAGACTCTCTCAGGGAGACCGAGAATGGGGCGTTGATCTCTTGCCAGCAGCGAGGATACCTCCCAGTGTACACATAGTTGTATGATGAATATTGGAGACGGATGGAGCAGAACATGGGCAGAGCAGGCTGGGCCTGGTGCCCGCCGAGCCGGCTACTTGTTGTGCCCACTCTCTGGCAGGGCCCCTGTCGTGGACCGTCTTGTTAAACGCGGCACTCATGTCCGCGCGCTGCCAGGCACCTGGTAATCTCTAATAGCCGGATTGGATATGGTCAGATCTCACTGGTGGTCGATCAAGAAGAAGCGCGGCCAAGGCATGAATGACTCTGATGGACCTGCCGAACTGTCGACACGAGTGTCGCCTGGCTGCTGCTGTCTGCCCCGTGTCTGAGTATTGGCCATTTTGTCCCGGCCAGCAGGCACCGGGGCGGACCACCTGCCACAGGCGGAATCCATGATGATGCATCGAGATACGCGCGCCTGGGGCTGCCTACAGGTACCTGGGTTGCACACGAGGACAGGTGGTGCTGCATGGAGCCACGATGCCAAGCCGCGCCTTGCAAGTCCTGCGCCCCAGCGTGCCTCGCCCGGCCGGGGCCCGCCTGCTACAGGGGCCCTCCTGCCTCTGGGGGCAATCTGCACCACCTCTTGGCCCATCCATGCCCTCCCAGCCTGCGCAATGCGCCAGGCATCCCCTGCTTGCCCTCCAGGCCTTCCGCCCCCAACGCAGGGCTCTTCTCCCGCCGCATGTCTAGTCGCCTCCTCTGCCGCAATTCTCGACTCTTCTCCTCCTCTCCCCAGTCCTGCTTACCAAATTCGCACATCTTGCCTTGCTCGCTCGCTCGTTTTCTTCTTCGGCCACGGCGTTCCAGCTCTTGCCTTAACAAGACAGCTGGCCGAATAGGCGACCGACTGCCAACTCCAGCGTACCAAGAGCTTGTCGACAATACCAGTTGCAGTGTCATTTTCCGTGCTTCGTAGTGTAGTTCACACAAGGCGGAGCACGCGTCTTCAAGGCCCAATGACGGAGTCCTGCCATTCACCACGGCAAAGCTAGCGAGCCCTCAGCCAGTTTCTGCATGCGAGCATGAGTCGGTCTGCGTCGCCAGGAACTGCACAAGGACCATGTCAATACTCCGACTTGTAGCTCTATCCCTAACATTCGTACTCACTGGCACCCTCGTCGTAGCAGAACCAGCAGCATTGCCGCTTGCAGCATCTCCGGACTGGTACGGGGTCGATGGCGACTGGTCTTCGCTCCGCCTATACGTCGGCGAGCCTCCACAGCAGGTCGACGTCGCCGTGAGCACGACCCTTTCAGAGATCTGGCTGGTTCATGACCCCAGCTGCTCGCAAGATGACGTCTGCGTCCGACAGAGAGGAGGGTCCTTCGATGTCAGTGCGTCAAAGACATGGTCTTCACTTGGACCCTGGCAGCTTGGTCTCGGTGAACTTGGAATCAGTGGAAATGGCGATTATGCCATCGAGAATGTTGCGGCTGCTGGTGGAGCCGGTCAAGGGAAACAGGCCCTCAACGCACAACTCGTAGCCACTGTCAATGGCACAAGCCCTTACACAGGTTATCTAGGGCTGGGAATCGTGCCGCAAGCCTTCAGCGGCGTCGTGCAAAAGCCTGCAATCTCGCAGCTGGTGGAAAGAGATGGCCTCTCAGCGAGCCACAGCTACGGGTTCACGGCCGGTGCACGGCATATCGGCGACAAAGGCACCCCAATGTCGCTGACGCTGGGTGGTTTTGATCAGAGTCGCTTCGAACCGCACCAGGTTGTCTTCGGCTTGAATCGCACATCTCCCGAGCCTCAAGTGCGACTACGATCTATCACGACCTCAGTTGCCGACAAGAAACAAGCGCCTACCGTCTGGTCGGGCACAACACAGACGCTTCTCTTCTTTAATGAATCCGCTACTGCTACTATTGATTCGTCGACGCCATATCTGTGGCTTCCACGCAACACTGCGGACCGCTTTGCAGCCGCGTACGGCTTGGTCTGGAGTGAGAGTTTCAAGCTATACACATTCAAGGACAGCAACAGCGCGCTTCGGTTCAGAGACACTCAGAATCTGTCGCTTACCTTCACGGTATCTGGTTTCGACGACCCAGGGGACAGCAGTAGCTCCCTGACCGGACCAGGTGTGCTCAATTTGACGATCAGTGGGCGGGCTTTCTACCAAAATCTACGCTACCCCTTCACAAACATGCAGAAAGGTGCCGCCGCCGTACCTTACTTCCCATTGCGGAGAGCTGCGCAAGAAGACCAGATAACCATTGGCAGAGTGTTCCTGCAAGAGACCTACCTCCTCACCAACTACGAAACACAGAGCCTTTGTCTGTATCCGGCTCGGTTTCCTGGCGATCCAGTGGCGGAAACGAGCCTTACGACCATCCCTTTCTTGAGGACCAGCATGTATCCAGGTCCGCCTGACATTCATTCAGGTCTTAGCAGCATTCAGATCGTCGGCATCGTTGTTGGAGTATGCCTGTTCTGCATCATAGTGGTAGCATTGACCGTATGGCTCCGAAAACGAGCACAGAATCGCTCTTCATCTCAGCCAAGATACGACGACAAGACAGAGTCTGGCTATCATTCACAACGCAAGCCAAGCTTCAATTTCATGTCACTTCTGTCCTTCAAGCACAATTCGCAGACAGCAGGGCGGCCTCATGCGAACTTCAACCGTGCGCTATCGGGTTCGACCCTGCATTCTTCACAACAATTGTCCTCGAAGACATACGACCGCTACGAGACCCCAACGCCCACAATCCCGATAGAACTAACGCGATGGGGTGCGAAGCTATCGGACAATGCCACCGGCTATAGCACGAGGCAATATGAGGATTGGACAATGTATCATCCGGATTTCGAAGCCCAGCCTGTAGGCCAGGTGCCAGGCCAGTGGAACTTGCAGCAATCAGCTTTCGAGCCCGCCAAGAATGCTCGAGACATTACCCAGACTACCACTTATCGTGCACCAGATATCGCGCCACCACCGCTCGCGGCGCCTTCGACTTTACCCCCATACGGCAGTCTGCACGCACAAGGATTAGCACCTTTGAATGCGACAGCTTATGGATCAGCCAATCATTATGCCAACATCCCGTCCCCAGTGCCGCTGCTTCAAGCCGAGGACAGATCAGACGCAGAATCCATGTCTACGGATGAAGGGTATGACTCTGAACTCGATCGGCAAGCAGCTCGAGCTCGTAGCGTTGACGTCTCACAAGCTGCATGCTCCCTTGGAGCAGCTACCATTCCTGAGCGGTCCCAGACGGTGAATACAGTCGCTTCTGCAAACAGCAATGGGAGTTTTGAGTTCACTCTACCCATCATGCCATCTGCGAGGGCTGATGCGCGCCACTCGGTATCCAGCTCACTTGGCAGTGATTTCACCGTCGAGGAAGAAGAGCGCGAGGAGGCCTGGAGAGCGGCAGGCAGACTGGACCGGTTGGACGGACCTGACCTGGTACACATTCCTCAGCCAGCAGCAAGGCGGTATAGCTGGGAAGGCGAGCAGTAAATCCATTCCCTCGCACGGCACCTCAACAACGCGGCGTGTGACATGATATTGTCACCACCAAATGGGCGGCTGTCAGAGACCGCAACCATCATATTACATCTCCTAACGATATCTCTGCGTTTCACCAACAATCATTTTTTGCTTCACATGTCTGGGTTTTTAGCGACGGAGTTGATGAAACGGTCCAGGCGGTATCGTAAGGGAACGAATGCGCCTTTGTGCTTTTTCCTACATGACGAAAAAAGGGGGCGCTTATTCGTGGATATATAGATAATGCCTTATGTTCCGGGCCCGATTTAAATCACGTGTAAACACCTGCAAATACGGACAAATATATCTAATATATATAAACATACGATCCGGAGACGTCTGGCCTCTCTGGAGGCAAGAACGAGAAGTCCCATGAGCAACATCGACACCTTTGTCTGAAGGATAAGATGGCAGATCTTGCCACTGCGCGCCAGTCGTACGAGGAGGATGGCTTGGATTGAATGGCATGTTGATTGAATGCAAAGCAGCTTCTAGTAGTGATCTAAGGCTCTAGCTTTCAGGGATATAAAAAGGGCCGCTTTGTGAAGCAGAATGAAGAGAAAAATGTCAAGAGAGACAGAACAAATAAAGCGACTATCGGAATCAAAAACTGAAATGACAAACACGCGCACAGAAAAGGAAGTTTTCCAGTGTCCGCAAGAATCTCGACTCGAGTCGTGCGGCCCAAAACGGCGTTGAGATCACCACTGCGCACGGCCTTTACCCTTCCACGGTGCGGCGCCCTCGAGCGCAGGGAAGGCGTCCTGGTCGGCGACCGCCGCCGCGGCAATGCTTGCCTGCCGACTCTCCTCCTCTGCGAGGCTCAGTTTGAGCGCGAGCTGGAGGTCCTCGTCCTCTTGGTCGAGGGCGCTGGTGGTGCGCGAAGGTGGCGTCGGGGCGCGGCCGCGCGGCAGGCTCGCCGTGGTCGCCCAGTTCGCGGAGCCGAGAACCGGCGTGTGGCTTTCGGGCGGTGTCACGCCAGACCACGCGGGACTTTTGCCTTTCTTGTCCTTGTAAACAATGGAATCCTCGAACCCGTCAGGACTCTGGGTGGGGGCCGACTGGCCAGAATCACTCATGGACGACTCGAGCAGTGACAACCGCAGCGCGGTCTGGATTTGCAGCTCATAGTCGTCCTCGCCGGCATTCTGAGCCGGAACGTCTCTGCTTGACCCCGCAACAGGAGCATTGCGACCTGTGATACTCGGCTCTGGGGTCACCGTGTCAAGACTGCCTGTGGTCGATGTCGTGTCAAAATCGGCTGTCGATCCTGTGTCACTTGCACTTGTCCGGCGCTGCTCCTCTAGTTGTAAAGACTCTTGCGAGATCATCTCGGCATACTGCAGCGCTTCTTCCTCAGTCAAGTCTGCCAGGCCCACACCGAAGCGAGCTTTCAAGCGCGCAGTCTCCCGCGCGTTGTGCTCTTGCTCGTCGCGCATTTCTTCGGCTTCCGCGGCGATATAGCCCTTGACACCCCCGCCGTGGCGGCGTCCAGTGACACGTCCATGGATATCCGAATGCCTCACACGGCGCTTGCGGCGGCTGGTCTGGCTTGAAGAGCTATAGGACCAATAGCGGACGAAACTGCCAAATGAGACTATTCCCTGCAGGCTGGTCGAGTCTGGGTCGAGGAAAATGGCACCGACTGAGTAGTACAGGGATTGACGCAGCGCAGGTACGTGAGCCATGGTCTGGCGCGGGAGGCGGGCAATTGAGCGCGAATTGAGCGTCCGCACAGGCTCCAGGGTCGAGGCGAGGGGGTCCCAAGCTTGGACAAGCCCGTCGTTACCACCATGAACCACGTACAGCGAGGTCAACGCTAAGGCAGAGATCTCTGGCGACTCCGTCTGAATCACTCGAAGCGGCGCGACTCCGGCGCTTGCATGGCCCTGGCGCATGTTCCACATGAGTACTCTTCCTGTGCTTGTCCCTATCGCGACGAGGCGCGCCCTTCGACCAGGAACATCGGACGATGCTTGACCAGTAGGTGTACTAGGCATGTTGGATGGAGTCGATGTCCCGAGAGAGGAATCCTCGTGCGTCAGGGACAGAGCGACGCAGGAGTTGTCCAAGGCAGTGGTCGTAATGGTTTCATTCTCGATGTTCTCCATGATGAGAGTGGTGGTCTGCCACTCGTCCAGAATGAGATCTAGTCTGGTGACGCTTGCCGTTCTTGATGCTTGATACTCCAGCTTCGCAGCTGCCACGGCATCCACAACCGGAGCCTCGAATGGGCCTCCGAAGAGCGACTGTTGAGGCTCAGCTTGTGCAGCCGCGCTAACCTCCTCGACCAAAGTCGGTTCCGCACGAGACGGCGTTTGACTGGTTGCGGACCGGCAGAAGCGAGTGATGGCCACTGTCTGGTTGTCCTCATGTCCACAGCATACAACTAAGATGCTCTCGCCAGTACCTGTGCTGTTGTCGCTGGCAAAGTCTACTTCCAACCGACGTCGCATGTCCCAACCGGAACAGACCTTTCGGAAGTGCGCGGGCTTGTATCGCAGGAATCGCTCAATTTCGCGGGCCTCTGCAGCCATCTGGTCCTTGGTCAACCCCAAATCGTTCGAAGGTGATCTCGGAGAATAGGTGCCGCGCACCGCATTCTTCCCCATCTCGTCCGGTCGGGCCTCGCGCCGGGTGCTCTCGATCAAGTGCCAATATGTTGTACGGCCTGCCAACCAGGCAAGCTTGGTACTATCGTCCGTCTTAGTTTTGTTGGCCGGCGGAAAGGGCGGGTGTGTCAAGTAGTAGACCTCGCCAAGAGCGTTCAAAGCGACAGCCCAAACTCGACGACTGCTTTTGCGCTTAGCAGTATAGTCATCGTCCACCTTGATGCTAATGATTGGAACTCCAGGGCTGAGCACCCAGCGGGTGCTGATCTCTCCATTGCCGTACCTGGGACCTGAGGAATCTTGGCCAAGGGCATAGGCAGTCACGACTCCAAGTGTAGATCCTGCCATCATGCCGATCATCGAGCTCGTCACCAGTGGTACTGCGGCAGACTTGGCGATCCAGACCGAGGAGATGCCCTCCGACAGCTCCGGGATTTTCGGTATGTCGCTATGCGCATTGCTGATTTCTGGATCATGGTCGAGATATTTGCCGCGGAACTCGTTGCTGGGCCGGAAGTGAACGCGCCCACCCGGGAATCCCTCACCACCAACGATTCCATACGGCTGGCTGACGTCCATGACATTGGGGACAGCGGCAGGGCCCTCACCGACACCGTACGGCAAAAGATGAGGCACAACCTCGTTGAACTGAGCAAATCCAAAGGGATCATCAAGGCCCCACTTCTCGAGCTTGCCGTTCGTGGGATCACTCGCACTACCGACGCAGAAATCGGAAGTGCCATGGATGACACGAGGCGACTTCTTGCCGTTGGAGGTGAACGAGCCATGGATGTGTGTTACCATAGATGGCAGCCTGGTGTTGTAGGTAAGCACGGCGCTGCCCTTTTTGGTGGTCTGGCTGGAGCGTGAAGAAATGCCGATCCCAGCACCTGGTTTGCCGCGGGCAAGACTGCGAAGAAGTCTTGTTCGCAAGAGATATTCGCTGCGCCACGAAGCCTGCGGCGTCAGGCGCGTGAAGTAGCGGATCTCGGAACGCACCAGGTCATCCTCGTCCTCGTCCCACGTCCTGACGGCCGTCGGCAGCTCGGGTCCCACAGCGTCTTGGCCAGGGAAGAAGCGCTGAAAAGCCATGCGCCAGGCATGAGGTGACGTTACCAGCGAGTAAAACCGCTTCGATACGAGCGCCACCGAGGCATGTGAGTCGGGATGCAGGTGCGAGAGTATGTGAGTAAGGATTTCTGTTAGGTCGAAAATTAGTCATTGCTCCTCTTTGGGGGCGTGTGCAGCACAAGTCAACACACCATTTGGAAAGTCGGAGAGTAGCATGCCAGTCGATGGGCTGTCGGACCGCTTCGTAACCTTGAAGCCCAGGGCCTGCGTTGGGCCCGAAGCTGTCAGGGCGTTCTCATACTCAGAAATCCTCTGCCCAGGAAGTTTAGGTCGGTCGTGCTCGTCAAGGCCGCTCAATCGTCGGAGGCGGTCTCCCAGGACACCGGCATCGACGCCGTTGTCGAGCAGAACGACACCGCAGTGACCTTGGACGTGTTTCGGCGGCAAATGATCGGGCTGGGCTGGCTGATTCTGCTGCTGGTGGACTGGCAAGTCGCAGCCAGGCTCGCCTGCATCGCTGAGAAGAAAGCCATGTTGGAGGACGGTAGTCTGAGTCGAGGAGTTGGTTGGCTTTTGCGTATCGTCGGAGACCTCGGGAAGCCCGTTTTGCATAAAGGAAGATTGTAGAGTCGAGTAGAGGCAGGAAGGGCGACTGTGCAGTGTCTCGCAGCACAGTCAGATGGGAAAGATGGGATAATCGCGAGTGGTGACGTCGGACAGCGTGTATGCTTGCCGAGAAGGTCGATGTGGGATTATGAGTGACCTAAGGGGCGTGTGTGCGTGTCTATGTCGTGTCGTGTTCTGTGGCTATGCTCGTTTGTGCTTGCTGTGCTTGTCGCATCCACGGAGGAAGACGGGGAAGGTTGTTCACGATCCGAGAGGGAGGAGAGTGGTGCGAAGGAGGAGGCAACAGAGCATCAGAGAAAACCGGGGCCGAGAACGACAGCGCGCGAATCTGCACGCAGGCATCGTCACTAGCCGCATTAGCCCAGAGATTGGCCTGTATGTACCCCTACTGGACCGTACTTTGCCCCTCACAACCCCCAATGCTGGCTGCCCTGTCACAACCCGAATGCTGTGCTCGACTCGGCAGATTCTCTCAAAGGCCATAGACTGTATCTCATAGAAGGCAGCAAGAGACGCCGTGGTCCATTCGGCTGCGACAAAAGCCATAAGCACATTTAAACGGCAGAAGCAGGCATTCAACAAGAAAGAAAGCACTGGACCAAATCTGCATGATTCAATAGCGAGCTTTGGTAGCTTGGCCATCTTTTCTCGGGTAGCCTGACTACGTCGTCGAGAATGCCGAATCCATGTCCATGACCCAGTAAGCTACAGCATATACCTGAAGACTTCTCGACTGCGATCACGTTGGAGGTTTGCTTCGCGATCCAGGGACGCTACCAGGCCGTCCGCTTCAGACTCAAAGGTCTCGAGAGCTACATATTCAGTTGCCTCATCTTGATCCGCGGCGAGCTTCCTATTCTGCCACGCAAGGACAATTCTCAAGGCCAGCGCCAAAACCGCCACACCAAGCATAGCCGCGGCGCACGCTCTCATGCCGGGCTCAAAGAATGGACCGTCCTTCTTCGGGTACAGACGCGTGCCCACGATGGGACCGCACTGCCCGATGACTTGCAGAAGAGCGAAGCCACCTCCGCGCCGGCTTTCTGATTGCTGGTTGTTCACGGTCCAGGCTATTGTCAGGACTACCACATTGAAGAACCCCATTGCAGCGGGGTAGACTGCCAGATATCGTGCTGTGTGACCAAGGCTAAGCGGCTGGGCCAGGGCTAGCACAGCATAACCAGCTGCTGAGCACAAGGCATGGAATATGACGTAGCCTGCTCTGCTCTGTGATCGGTCAGATAGCCAGGCTGTCACGTAGACTGATATAAAGGAGACGAGATAAGGCGGTGCCGAGAATGCCTGTGCCTCAAGCGCAGTGAAGCCCATCTCCCTGATGATGGTTGGCAGAAAGACGGGCAACGACGCGTAGGCCATGTTTGTGAGGAAGAACATAAATGCCATGATCCAGGCCGTGTAGTCGACGAATACTGCAAACAACTCTCTAGCTTTGAACCCAGATTGCGGCGAGGCACCATGCGACTTTGTCTCCGAGGACTTTGCATGTCGGAGGCGGAGTCGGGCCACTTTTCTCTCACGTGGGGTGAGGTACGAAGCAGAGCCAGGCGTGTCAGGTATGATGCTCCATGCGAGCGTGGCAACAATTACGGAGGGGAACCCTTCAGCAAGGAAAAGTAGGCGCCATGGTGCAATGGGCCCTGCTTCGCCAACCTTGAGGATAAGCCATGCTAGGGAGGACGCAAAAGTGGTGGCCAAAGGAGCGGCTACATGTCAAGAGGCCATGTTAGCTTCCGCCGCTTGGGAGCTGTACAGGGTTGCGATGAGGCTCACCAGAAATGAACATGGCTGTTCGGTAGGCGAGTTCATGTCTCCTGAGATGCAAAAACAATCGTCAGCTTGCACAAAGTGGGCATGGGAACTCGTCCCGATAACCTACTTATAGAAGAAAGACAGGTAGAAAGGAACGCCAGTGAAGGCCGCCTCGCCAATTCCGAGTAGCGTCCTCAAAAATATAAGGATCGGATAGGACGTAGCAATAGCTTGTAGCGAAGCTATAATACCCCTATTTGACTTCGTCAGTGAACTTGTCCATGGCTAGTCTGAGCCGATCAGGGCCATGGCCGTCAGCTTACCATGACAGGATGACCGCAGAGACATAGATATGTGCCGGAATGAGCCGCCATAACAAAGCCATCCATTCGAAGGCGATGTAGGAGATATAGAAGCTGGAGAGTGACCATTCGTACCACTCATCCCGTGGTGGTGAGGTCTGCAGGTCCTCCTCCATGCCTGCGATGCGTGCATTGCCGATGTCTGATGATATGCAGGTGCGAGCAACGCGCATGTGTCAGTGATGGATCCATGATTGATCAGAGTCAGTTTGTTCGCCTTTGCAATTCCTTCCCGCAATATGGAAGACGGTAATGCGTAAACGATCATGAGCTCCCAGCATATAAGTCGTGGTGGCACACCGGGCGCTGGACAGTAAGCAAGGCAACCTGACCACCAATGGCACAACATCCAGAACTGATGCCGACAGGGGTTCGGAGCGCGAGGTGATTTTGATTCAAAGCAGCGTGTCAAACAGAATTCACGTAGGTTTAATTACTTACTTGACCGGTCCAAGAAGGAAAGCATATAGCACAAGCTCAAGAACAACACGAGCCGGCGGTCAAACTTGCGGACTACCGCATTCTCCTCGTCTGGCGTGTAGAGCTGGAAGCTGGCCACGCTGCTGGCGCGACTGTTGTGCCCGCTACTAGCCGTGTCGTCGCCGCTGGAGTGGTGTCCCGTCCTCATTCTTGAATGGCGGGGTAAGGACTTCCGACTGGCGCGCAGATCGTCGATATCGTCGGCGTGGTGATGACGAGCTACGTCGGCATCGTCGCTGTCAAGGCTGCCATCTGCGCTGTTGCTGTAGTCGCTGCCAGCGGATGCACCCCTCCCCAAGCCTGTTTGTGGGTGTAATGCTGACGAGCCAGATGAAAGCAATGATGGCGACGCCGAGCTGGCAACTCGATTCTGCAGCTCAAACCACGCGTCCCCTGAGCCCTCCAGACCCATGTTGGCATTCGTCTTACACGCGGCGCGGTCTGGTCGCGGAGCTCGCACAAACGACAGCCCAATTGGAAATGCCCTGGTCTTGGCGAAAGGGATGCTTTGTGTAAGACCTTGTACGCGATTGCTGATCGTTTCCGCCGGCTCAATTGGACATCTTTGCGCAATCCCTCGCGGCCAAATGGTGGTGGTGGTAGTGGTAATAGATGGTGGTGTGGCAGTTTAACGTGACCTACTGGGCGGAGACAGCGGGGATGGGGAGGTAGCTCGGCTCAGGAGGACCTCTCAGATTGAAGCTTCCGCGCATTACAGGACGCCCCCGTCACTGGCAACAGCGTGACGTTAAACCATCGCATCGCACTACTATGGTCTTATGGCATTGGCCATTCTGCTTGGTCAGGACATGCATCTTTCCAGCAAGGTTCACAAGCTTTGTTCCAACCGCAGACCAGTTGCGTCTGCAAGCGGTGTGTCGATATTGTCTCTTCACAAATGTCGCGTCGTCACAGATCATCAAAGCACGGTACAGGAAGAGTGCTTGTTTTCATAATGTACGTACGAGATTATGTAGAGAAGCACCGCGCGCGGTGCCGGTGCCACAGTGGCGCAGGCCCTACGCAGGCAGTACTTCTGATTTCTACTGAGGTTACTCATCACTCAGCGAGCAATGAGATCTAGTTATGTACACAACGAGGACAAGGCCCGGCATGGAAAGGGAGGGACCCCCCGTGTTATATCAAGCCTGGCAGCCACCCTCCTTGCCGGTGAGCATCACCTCCAGCAGGTCTCTTTGCTCAGCGCCATCCTCGTTGGCCGGCTGACACACTCCACGCCAATCTTCTACCTTGACCCTCGTCCCCTCTACCAGATTGTACAGCCAGATACAGATAGATAAAAGCATTAGATCATAATCTCCCCGGACATTAGGTCCCGGCCAGCAAAAGGTGGGCCGTGACCAGGCGCAATGCCGAGGGCCTGTCAAAAGGAAAATGTGCGGTGGTAGCTAAGTGATAGCAGAGCGTGGCCGACCGAGCAAGAAGGTAAATGACGAGGTACGCCCGAGCGACACTCAATGTCATGAATCCAGTCGGACAGTCGCTCGCAATGTTTGTCTATGTTGGAGAAAGCGAGCAAGAGCTTTCCAATGGGTATCGATGCAAAACAGAACGCTCGGACGTGCATGTCAGGCCTTGCTGGAAGGATTGCCCACAATACACCTGGTCTTGATGTACGGGGTCTGCATGATGTGCAGCAAGTTTTCAGTTCCATCCCAAGGAGTTCTCGGCAGCGACAGGAGCAGAGATGATCGCGGTGCGGGCAGAGTTGTGTCCACTATTCTGGCTGTGGCGGGTGTTGCCCTGGACGCCACCATATCCAGTGAAGTCCCTGCTGAGGAGAGCACCTCCCATGAGCGCAGGGCTGCCTGTCTGCCTCATCTCAGAGTTGGAGGAGATCGAGCTGTTGCGCTTGTGGCCCTGCCTCTTGCGCTTGTAGCGGCGAGCAATGATGAACATGGCAGCACCATACGCAGAGGCGACAGCGGCGGCACCAACAGCGATACCAGCAGTCTGCGCCTTCTGAGTGCCGCTTGTGTTTTCACCAGAGTTTCCAGCGCTGAAGGGCTCGTTGTTGGACGGGCCTGTGTCGGTGGGGAAAGGCCCAGTGCCACCAGTTCCAGTGCCGCCGTTGAGAAGCGAGCCGAGGATGATGTCAATGGCCGGGTTGATCTCCGCAGTCAAGTTGTAGACGATCGGGGAAGGGTTGTTGTACAGCAGCGAAGCCGGGGTCCTGACGTCCACCTGCAACTGAGGGATCTGGTCCGTCGGGAAGTAGACGAGAGCTTGAGAGGTGATGTAGCCGAGGGTGCTGATGGTGTCGTACGGAACAATGCTGTGCATGACCGATTTGGACTTGTCAAAGCCACCGGCAAAAGCGAGTGCTTCCGGCAAGTGCTGGAACAGCTGCGCAGCAGCCATGGGCTGCCCAACCAGGAACTGGTAGTTGACACCATACAGGAACGAGATCTGAATTAGAGACGTTCCGTCGGGCTGCTGAGGAGCCTCGTCCCAAGGCGAGAGGGCCTGGGGCAAGTTGCTAGGAATGCCAGTAGCAGTTGTAGGCAGACCACCGGTGCTCATATCCGTGGTCGAAGGCTGAACGAGAATGGTCGTAGGGAGCCAGGATTCCGAGTCGGTGATTGTGGCGGTGGGAGTCACACTGGTGCCAGTGAACGTGGTGCTGGGAACCAAGGTGGATGTCGGAGTGGTCTGGATCTGGACCGGTTCGCTCGAGGTCGACGCCGAGATCGAGGCCGAGGACGAGGCGCTCGCCGTGGAGTTTCCGATAGGTGGCGGGATGACGATGCTTGAAGTCGGGACAGGGGGCAAAGAAGTCTCAGAGGCGGTCGTCGAGTTGCCAGGCACGCTGGTAGGTGGCGGGAGGACGATTGAAGAGGAGCCTGTGGGAGGAAGAGTGATAGATGCAGAGTCACTTGCGGAGGCGGTCTGCGAAGGAATGCTGAACGTGGACGACTCGGTAACGTTGGAGATCGGAGGCGTCGTGGTCGGGTCCGGGACCAGAGTCACAGTAGGGAAAAGCGAGGTCACATCAATTCCGCTGCTGCTCGAGACAGATCCGCTCGTGGACTCAGATGCGGATGATTCGGTGGTGGTCGGGAAGAGGGTCGGCAGGAGGGTCGGCAGGGTAATACCCAAGCCCTCAGAAGAGCTGCTGGTAGCGTTGGCACCGCCGACAGTGGTCGACTCACTGGTGCTCGACTCCTCTGTCGTCGTGGGGAACAGAGTGGGTAGAAGCGTAGGCAGTGTGATGCCGAGACCGCCACTGGTAGTCGATGTGGTAGTGGCATTGACCGAATCCGCATCAGAGCTCGAGGCAGTGGCGCTGGCCGTCTCGCTAGTCTCCGTGGTGGTCGGGATCAGAGTTGGCAAGGTGATGCCGAGGTCCAAGCCGCCGGTCGAGCTTGAAGTCGCTGTCGCAGTCTCGGTACCCGTCGTCGAACCGGTGCCCGTCGTGGTAGCGGGATCGTCGCCATTGAGAATGCTAGAGATGATGTCGCCAAGGCTGGGCTTCTCTGTGGTTGTCTCCCCGGTGGTCTCGGTTGAGTCTGACGAACTAGACACTACAGTTGGGGCGATTGTGATGCCACTAGACGTGCGAGTAGTGTTGCTGATGCCAGGACCAGGAGCGGACGGCCCATCGCTGGGGTCGAGGATTCCAGGAAGATCGAGGGTGGGAATGTTGATCAATGGATTGCTGGGCGCTTCCTCATTCGCGGTGGTCGAGACGCCGTCGGACGGGGTCGAACCGGTCTCGTTGGTGAACCTGCGAATGACGTGGCGGGGGTAGTAGATCTTTGGTCTGTTTTCAGCGACGACGACCGAGCCAGCCGTCAAGACGGCGGCAACCATTAGCGAAGCGGAACGCATATTTGATGTCTGCCGCTTTGTCAGTAAATCTGTGCCGAGTAGGTGCCATCCGCGAGAGTCTTGCGTACAGTAGTATGTTTTCTTGTTTATAAACGAGCGTGTTTGGTGATTGTGAGCGGGTGCCGCTTCCTGTAAGCACACCACTCTCGTCAGCGTTTTGTGTTTAGATATGGCGGGCAACCCAAAGACCCGACCCAAATGTTGACCACATGCCGCCTCGGGCTTGTCCGACTATCAAAGTGGAAGGCGACGTCGGTGTTGTGATACAAGGTTGGTCGTGGTGGGCAGGTGTTCCGTTCAGGAAACCAAGATAATGAACACCTACTCCGAGAAGCGTGGGTTTCCCCCGAAAGCAACCGCGTGTTTGTTGGATAAAGAGTGGCAGGACGAGTAAAGTCGTCCTAGAGGTGTTGGTATTATGGCTGACCTGGAGGCGAGCAGCTCAGCAATGCATTGGCGAGGGCTGGGTCGTGCAACGGTCCTCTGCGTTCGACGAGATCGTTGCTGTTGCCGCCCGAAATGTCGATGGGCTATGGGCGATCAGGTTGAAAGCAGGCGTCGGCAAAGGGAAAGCAAGCGCCTGAAGGAGGGAGGCGGAGGAGGAAAGGGAAGAAAAGAGGGACGAAACAACCACAAGGCTGCGAAGAACGAGAGTGGTGGTGGGTGTGAGCGAGAGAGCGTGGGAGTGCACACGAAGGGGGGTGGGTTCCGCTATGGGTGTATGCAGCGACTGCACAGCACTGCACAGCACAGGGCAAAGGGGGCAAAGACGCGAGACAATCGAAGAGCAAAGACAGGGTCGGGGGTGCGTGGAGAGCAAGGAACGTGGGTGGGTGGGCAGAGGCCAGGTACGTCCGTCGAGCACCCGTGCCGTGGCGTATGCACGAGGATGGAGATTGGGGGGGGAAACAACGGGAGAAACGCGTCGACAGGGAGCAGAAGTAGTGAGCAAGCGCACAGGTACACGCTATGCAGAGCCAACAAGGGGCAGGCCCGACCCCTGGCTGGCCAGATGGGACCTTGCTCGCTCCCAGGGATCCCACTGGTGGAGAGGGCGGCTGGCGGGCGCAACACACGAGAAATTACCTGCGGTAGCGCTGCAGTGCTCATTTCGCAGGAGCGCGGGCCCAGCCCAGGTTGGGCAGCCCGGCCAGGGCTGGCGGTCTTGGAACCGTTTTGCACCGTATCGTCCGCTTGGGGGACCTTGAGATGATGGATTCCAAAACGGATTGCCCCAAGTATCCGCCCTGGGCCGACTGTCGCTCGCGTCATGCTTGCTTGCTCGCTTAGTTGCTTGCCTGCCACGCACGCTCTATGCAACGTGACGTGCAACGGCGTGCCACCACAATCTGCTTCAGAACAACCCTCTGTGCAAGGACGTGACGTTCCTCGACTTCTCTGAAGCTTCTGGATATTAAGTGCTGGAGATCTGAAGCCTGCCATGTGGCACGTATGTCTTGAGTCCCGCCACAGTGGGGGACGCGAACGCCCCCAATGCCCTAGGGTCAGCCACATCGCCATCTGTACAATACATTGTAGCCATCGCCAATGAGAACGTGCCTGCTTGATCGATGGACTAGATCTGGCCGAAGCGATTTCCGACCCTGTGCAATCGTCGTAGTCCTGGGTCGCATAAATTTACAATCTCGTTCCGTTTTGTTCATGAAAGCCGTTGACCCATACAGCACCCTGGTGGGCAACCAAGGCTGGGGGGTTCAGGGCAGCACGTAACGTTGGCCCCTGCGCTGACCTCGGCCAGAGCCGACTTTGAATCGGCTGGCTCGACTCATCAAGCGGTGCTAGCAGGCACGTAATCGGCTCCCCCCTGGCAGCAACGGCTCCCATGTCGGGGGCCAACCTTGCCTAAGCAGGTGTCGTATTCAGACTATCGTTCTGGAGGCGAATGAAAACGAGAGGGCGAGAAGCAAGGCGGTGGGCGTCAGGATTAAGCTTGTGGAGCCATGTTAGCAAAGATAGCTACTCGACGTGACAGCCATCCTCAGCAAGGTTGCCGGAAACCCAGGACCTTGACACGTCCACGGCTTGTGAAGTGGGATTGGTCACGACCGATGAGTTCTCCCAAGCTTGAGTTTGACTGGTTCAATCGGCCGCACTGGCACCGTTAGCATGCGACTCCGTGTGGTCGCAGCTGGGGGATGCCAGGCGCGACTGAAATGCTGCGGCTTCAGGGCAGTCAAGATCCTTGGCACGTTGGTGGACGGGCTGCCACATCTTTGTGGAGGGCACAGACTCTGGCTGCCACCACCAGCACGCATCAGTCGAGACGGACAGCGGCACCTTTGGGGTTCAGGTGGATGAAGGCCTGAGCACGATGCGCAAACACGGGGAGGTGTTTGGACGGCTGCTTCAGGAAGCGGCTAGGTCAGGCGGGACAAACGGTGGGAAGGCACTGACGGAGGCTCCGTCCGGAGCACTGGATGGAGTCGCCAACCGCAAAAGGCCCGCGTGGCGGCCACACCACATCCTCCTGCTCCACGTGAGAGCCTGGCCTTGCTGGGCTTTGCGAGGCGACTCTAATTAGTAAATATGCCGTTCCGTCATGGCCAACTCCTGGGGATATTGCCTCGCGACCCATGCCTCTTGAATCCTCATTCTAATAATCGCGAGATCGCCTTTTAAAGTAGTCAATTCTCCGCCACTGCCACCATCTGCTCTAGTCATATTCTCTTACGTTTAAAGACTCTGCTGGAGCCGTCCGCTCTCCCTATGCTGGCGTGCGCAACAATCCACAACTCTTGCCTCACCCGTGGTGGCACCTTCAAGCAAAGAGTCACTAGACCTACTGGGGAAGTCACCCCTCGGAACCTGGTGTCCAGGATGTCTTTATCGTCGTCCACTGTCCCTACATCACGCGCTCTCTCCAGGCATTGAAGGCCTAACCACACCGACAAGAACAGTAGACGATCGACGCAACCGACTGGAGTGACCTGAAGTCGTCATTTAAACTCGAGCGCCTGGGGAATAGCTAGCCCCCCCCCCTTCCCACCTCACCCCATGGCGAGAACCACATCTGCCGGCCCCAAGCGTTCCTTGTCCTGACACCTGCCTTCACGGGCGATTCTGCCCTGCATCCACTGCATCCACTGCATGGTATATCCTGGTGAGCGCCCTGGTCTGGTGGGCACGCGTAGCGAATGAGCTGCCGCCAGCTGCGCCCGGCGTGTCTCGGAGCCCTGCTAGCCATCACGAAAAGGGCCACGCCCAGCTCGCTGCCTCGATCCTCCGCTGCTCGAACAAGGTTCGTGATTGCAACCACACTCGCATGGCCAGCCGGCTCTTGGCAGGCAGCGCGAATCGGTGGTGGTGATCAAGCTCAGTCTGGAGTCCGGCGGCCTTGTCGTCGTAGCGGCTTCGCAGAGGCGCCACCTACTGCTCATTGCCGAGCCCCCTCTCCCCCTCCCCACAGGCTCAGGTGTGCTGTCGCAGCGGAACCTCGCGGTGCGAAGGCCAAAAAGCTGCAGCTATCATGCTGAGCGAAGTGACCCCGGCGGATACAATTCGATCGCCCTCCCCTGGACGGGAACCCAGCCAGCGTGCACCTAAACTGGGCCCATGACTTCACGACGACTCATTCTGGCGAGTCTAGAACCAGAAGTTGGCAGACTTGATTCTGGCAGTGAGAGAGACTGACGAATGCTGCTGGGTCCTGGTGGAGTGCTTCTGAGTCGTCCGACAGCGCACCGGCTCCCCGGCTGATGAAGATCATGCAGAAGGAAAAGCTCTTGTGGACCACTCTGGTGGATCCCGCTTTAACACCAAAAAAGCCTCCTGCTGGTTGATTCACACCTCCGTCACACTGCCGAGAGAAACAGACCCTTTCTGAGCAAATGAAAAAAGTAATTACGCACTTTCCTATATCAAGGACGATCGACCGCTAGCGACCTTGCGCTGACTTGGCAAGCGGGCAGAGCTGCTCTTGAACCGCAGCTCTCTGCACCCGTTTTACCCGTTTTACCCGTTTTACTAGTCTGGACAGTTGGGTTCTACCTTTCAGCACAGCTCCGTTTTCCACACAATAAGCAGCATGCTAATGTGATTTTGACGGGCGTCAGAAAGTGCCCAGCAAGCCAGAAGGCATGCAACCATCGCGTCGTTCGGGATGTCTGTCTCGGGCTCAAGTAGGTGGACCTCACCGAAAACCTAGAGCCGGAGATCCGGACGAGAAACTGGGGCAAATCGTGTCACAAGATTAGTGTTTGAGCCCACTTTGTGTGCGCCCGCCCGGCCGGGCTAGCTTTAGCCCATTGTCTTTATCTTCGCGGTTCCTGGCTAGGCCTATCTGAGCATTCGCCTTTCTCAGGGCGTTCTTCAAAGTTACCAGGCCGTCATCAGGTGACTGAACGGTTTACCACCTGTCGACTCGAACTCCCAAGTCCAATCATGCTCTGGCAGTGCAGCGCAGTGGGCATGTTTGGTGCAAGGACATGAGTTGCTGGGCTCGTCATTGAGACATGACAAGAGCCTCAAGTCCGGCCCCCCACGTCGTTTCCCGTCGTTGCTTGAGGCGGCAAATTATCAGCACGATCATTGTCATGCTAGTAACGTGTGACAGGCAAGCCCTCTCTCATCGTGGCCCAGCCTTACCCATGCCATGCCCAGGTGGTTTATCATGGCCACGGATAAGGGGGGCGGTCTTCGGCTGCCGTCGGAGGCGATGGCACTAACTTCTCGTGTATGCAGCTGTAGGTGATTACCCAGGAAAACCGCAGAGGCTCCAGCTCTGCGCCGGAACTCGTCATCATGGCAATACTGCAGCATCTTGGTTCAACTTATTGGCAGATTGCAATCGATCCATGTTAGGTTCTCCTGCACGACACTTGTAGGCCATTATTGGTACAGCGAGAGTGTATGGGTTCCTTTTCACCCGGCCGAGGGACCCCCAGCCAGAAAGCAGTGAGGGCAGCATGACGACGGCCGGGTTCATGCATGTCCCGGACGCCTGTGTCGGCGTGGAAGGAAGCAAGCAATCAACCAACCAACGGGACTGCCCAGCTCGCCCAGCATGACAGATGGGCGTCCGAAAAGCAAAAAGACCTGGGACAAGTCTCCCAGCCAACCGCCTTTTCCATGATGGAAAACTCATCACAAGTCGCCCATATTACGGGTGTCTCTCGGGCGTGTCTGAAGTCATGTCTTGGAACAGCTCGTATGCCCGGATGTCAAGTCTCGCCTTGTCATTCATTCCCAGCCACGCGCAGGCGGCAACGGTGTGAATTGGCGGGGCTTCTTGGGTGGCGCGTACGGTAATACTATGTGGCCTCGAAGCAAGGGATCCTGCGAGGAGCCAGCCAGGTCCGTCCGTCTGTTCATTCTGGGCACGCAGCGCTTATCCGGGCTCCATGTCACCAGAATGGGATGGGGGGCCCTTGGCTGACAGCAGCGATGGACGGGGATGCCCCCAGGGGTGTGTGGCTCAGCCTCTTCGTACTCGACCATCCTCTGACCACGAGGGCGCGTAATATGGGCTTTGGCATGTTGATGTTGGTCGTCGTCACGTTGGACAATTGTTCTGGGCTGGCTGGGGACAGGGGCTTTGCTGGGTTGGCTGACGTGCAGCATCGCAGCTTACATACTGCGTACGGAGTAGTAGGGGGCCATGGTTGGGAAAAGGCTACACTCATCTGTCCAGCCATCGGCGCATGCATCCTCCAGGATTGGCGATGCAAGGGTGGTAAGAGGCATGTTGACACTTAGGGCCAACTAAATACAGACGCCTCCGCTGACCAGCACGCCAACGCACAACGGCCTCCACTGGTGGATGAGCTGCACAGCAAGGGATCTCGCCTTCACGTAATCAACGACAAGTAATCGTCAATTGACGTGCTTGGTGTCATGGTAAGGCCGAAGGAGGCTTGTACAAGCCACGCTGACACGTAGCACATTCCAGCCAGCGCAGGCATCAAGAGCGTTGTCACTCCTAGCCACGATGCTTATTCGTCGACTGAGCATGTGCTTTCGCATGTTTAATGTGCCGGTAACCTGTGTAGTTCAGGCTGAGAGGCTGTGCTGGGTCATGTTCAGCGCCACGGCAGGTATGATGTGAAGCACGTAGCTTCTTTAACCCCCTGATAGCCAACAAGACCTCTCTCTGTAAGAGCCCGAGTTTGCACAGACGGGGATTGTATGGTGAAGATGTCAAATTAAGGGTCCTTCATAACTCCCCCGCGATATCCCTTGCCTCATCCATCACGTCACTCTCCACGCTCTGGAATGTGCGGTTCAAATCTCCGTCATATAGGTGTCTGTTGCGAGAGACACTGTCGCACGAATAGTTTGCATGGCACGCCCTCCTCGTTTGAAGTTGAGGCCCTGCGCATACCAGACTCGCGTATAGTCGCAGTCCGTGTCGCGATGAGGTTGTGCATTACCCAAGACGGTAAAGAACTCCGCGTTGACTATTTTGATGTTGATTCGGCTTCCCTTGCGAGAATCTACTCACAGGACTGGGTTGCGAATGTCAGTGAGATGTACAGCATACGTAGGCTGTCCATGTCGCCAAGCCCCAGTTGTTCATCCCGCGCAGATCTTGGCGAAGAATGAGGCCAGTGTCGACAGAGGGAATATTGTGCTTCCCTGCCCTCGGGATGAGATGGGCCCATACGTGTCTGCGTTCCCAGTCGTACGTACCACGTAACACAAGGAAAACGTGTCATCGACGCGGAAGATGTGCGATGCGGTGTAACGGAATCGATGGTGGTCCACTCAGCCGAAGGGCAGTCGGAGTGTTCCATGGCCATCCCGGCGAGAGTTCTTCTGCGCCCCTGCTGAGTTTCAAAAGAGGGCTGTGGTGTGCTCAGGAACACACCCCTGCAAGTGCGACGAGCCATGGGTTTTCAAGGCGCCAGCTTCGAGAGTTGAGGGCTTCGAGTTCCACGACAGTGGCGCGTGTCAGGTTGAGACAGGGACATTCTTCGGCGCGGGCGTGGCATTGTTTGAAGTGGTAGGGCTGTGCCGGAACTCGTACATTCCTGCGGCTCCTCATATCCGTGCCGGCATGACAGTATCAAGTGGAATCTTGTAGCTGTGCTACAGTCTGAAGTAGTCTGAGGCTGAAGAGGCACTGAATACCAGAGGATAGACAATGGACGAGATTGCAACTTGCATGCTTAGTGTGCTACAGGCCCTCGGTGAGACATTCAGGAATTGTCACGACTGGTTTTCAGTGTTGGCAATTTCCTGCCCGTTACTTTCTCTAGAAGTCCCAACAAAAATTACACAAAACAATAATCCAAGTATATTGAAAAGCTGGCGGAACGCATACTTGTCATAACGTAGAATAGATCACTGCATTTGCTTGCGTGAAGAGTACTCTGGTTCGGAAATTCAAAGACAGCGCCAGCTAAACCACGACGAAATACAGCCGTTTCATAACAGTTATTTGATAAAGTTGGAATTCCAGCATCTCAGTCTTACAAAATGTCTGACGAGTCGCATCAGTACCCACCCGAGCAAGGAAAGAGGAGCAACGATTTTGCGTCTGGTCTTAGGTCGATTCCAAAAGTTGCGAAGGAACGAATCTCCTTCTCATGATATGAAATTATGTTCTCAGCGGTACTAGAGAAAGATGTGATATGTGTTGGTTTTCTTTCTTTCTTGGTTGCATTCAGTCCGGCGTGTATTGATCAAATACTGGTTTTCGGAAGCTTTGATAAACATAACTGATGGCCACTAAGTACTGCGAGGAGAAGTCATGGATCTGCGGCAACCGAGCTCGGTGATTTTCACCATCATTACCCATTTCCACTTGTTCAGCGTCAGTTTCGATGTTCTATCCTTGTCTTGAAGGGTTGTTGTTCTACAACAACGGCTAATGATGCCGGACAACACGGAAGATCAACTACTGTTACCACAGGGTGTTATCTATTTTAGAGCTTTGGAGTCATTATTGATCTCTTCCGAACTCGGAGGATAGAAAACATACATGACCTTCCCGACGTCACTATGGAGCGAACATCGTCACACCGATGATCACAGAATGGGAAGGCAGATGACGGCTACATGTGATCAGATACTGATTAAAAAGTCAAAAGACATTTGTCAACAAATTCATCTCAACATTGATCTAGTGGCTGTGACAATTCGGAACCTCAATTCAAACTAACAGCACAGGGAAGTCAGTTGCGCACTTCAGGTATACTAGAAAGCCGAGACATGCCAGATCAGAAATATCAGAACGTCTTCTAGCCCAAAAGCCACTCATCAAGGAGCTAGTAGAGCGAACCAACGCAAATGAAGAATGGACCTGACCTGGCTTGTCCGTCCGGGTGCGGTGCGACCTCCAAGTTGCCGAACAGAAGTGGAAGCGGCTGAAGGCTGTTTACCCTTCCAACATTTGGCAGTCAAAAGCCTGCGTGCTGGACAACGACGCGTACTTTTCGATAACAACGATCCTGCCGCCCAAAATTTCAGAAACAACTTGCGGCCCTGCCCGCAGCTCGAGGTTTGATTGACAGCGAACTTTAGCACCGACTGTCCCCCAAAAGACCGTAATGTCCCCGTGCCTCGCAAGCCATCCATCTCTCAAGAACAATGGTGTATCAGAGTAACCTGCCTCTGCGACAGCATAGCAAGCATAGCACTTGATATATTCCTTTCACAAGCAAATTTTAATCTTTGTACTTTGAGGCAAAGTGGAGGTTCGTTTGTCGTTGTCTCTGCTGTGACAAGCCAATACAATAATGCAAATAGTCGCACTCTTTAGCCACCACTCTATCATGATACCCGCCCGAAGGAGGCAAAGGGAACAGAGTGGAAGAGATATATGGTTAAATTTACTTAGATAGAGATTCGTTCGATATTTCGAATCTCCCATGTTCAGACCGAGTTGGATTGACGTGATGCTTGATATGCCTCATGGCTACATCGAGCCGTCCATGACGTGCAATATGCTGAAGCATTTACAGCAATAATTCTGTCAGTGTATCCCATGTGTCGAAGCTATCACTGCGCTCGAAGCTGTAGACCACAAGAACCATGGATGCCATTGAACGAAGCGACTGAGAGTTAATCTCACGCTCTAGTCTTGAAACCTGAGTACACACGGGCACGATTGTCGAAGCAGACGAAATGTATTTGTGCCTAGCTTGACCAGCTGATCAACTGGGCCTTATTCTCTCCTGCCGAGGGACAACTGAAGACAATATCACTATTCCATCTGGCACTGAGGATCGTTGTGACGTCTGCTTGGCGAGCATGGACCAGTTTAGCTGCGAGGGACCCATGAGATCATAAGGCGGTAAGAAGCCCACTTCGATAAAATTTGGCCCGATTAACAGGGAAAGTGCTCAGAAATTAGTCCATCGACGTCTCAACAAGCAACTCTTAGCAATCCGTAAGAGCAGTGCGGCCAGGGCCAACAACTTTGACACCGAGCAGACAACAGTCGACTGGCTGCTTGCCCTCAAACTCGCCCACTCAGCTCAGCCCTGATGGCCGCCATACCCGCAGAGCCCGCCTCATCCGCTATGCGTAGCGAACATGGTGCCATCAGCCCCTCTGCCCAGGTACTACCCAATGATCGTCGGCAGGGGCTGAAGTGGTCGCGTAAAAGCGTTGCGCCCTGCCCAGGTGGCATGAATGGTGGAGGGAAGAGGGGAGCCAATGACCCCACCAGCTCTCCACCTGGCTCTTCATGCGCCACGCCGATTCGATCGTGGTCCAAGGTTCTCTTGTCGGTCGCAATACCCGACTGGCAGTACAAGATACGTGCTTGACACGATGTACCTTGGAGACAGCCCTGGAGCTTCCCAGTCGGAGAAGTGGGTGAGCGCCCAGGCACCCAGGTGCCCGGGCGTTGCCTCTGCTGCCCCCAACTTGCAAACCCCTCCAAGCGACGTAAATACCCCGCCCTGGAAGCTCCCCTAGAACTCGGAGCTCCCTCGAACCAACCATTACCATCATACAAACCTTTACAACCAAATAAGCCACTTGCCATCAATCACAATGGGTGTTCAGAAGACTGTTCTCCAGGAGGGCTCCGGTGACCAGCCCAAACAACGCCAGATCGTTACCATTGAGTATACTGGCTGGCTCAAGGACCCCTCTGCTCCGAACCAGAAGGGCAAGCAGTACGTTCCCACCCACCCACACGCCACTAATTCCAAAGACCAATTAATGGACAAAGGCACTGACATGCAGAACAGATTCGACTCGTCAGTCAACCGTGGCGATTTCAAGACCGAAATTGGTGTTGGCAAGGTCATCCGCGGTATGTAATATTACTCGTCATCTTTGATTCAAGCTCGAGAATGAATTGGACTGACGATCGACACAGGCTGGGACGAGGGTGTCCTCACCATGAAGGTTGGCGAGAAGGCCACTCTTGACATTTCCAGGTACGTCTCACGGCAGATCTTGAGCTTGCGTCTATTTCGTCTCACCCCACCACGAACACACCACTAACTTGACCTGCCATCAATAGTGACTACGGTTACGGTGCCACGTGAGTCGATCCAATAACCATGTTCCCACACAACTCAACCCGATTCGAAACACTCAATCGTGCATCTCCCACCTTCCGCAAGGCTGCGGCAGTGAAAGATAGTCTTCGCCTTGGAATCCCACTATATCTTCATCCACAGGACACTGACAGAAAAATGAACAGCGGCTTCACTGGTCACATCCCCCCCAACGCCGATCTCATCTTGTAAGCTTCCCTTACTGGCGATCGTTTCATTCAACTCGTTGCAGTTTACTGATGATGGCTGTCATATAGCGACGTCTACCTCAAGGGCGTCAACTAATTAGCCTGCCTGACTTCTTGATCGGATAATTATCGAGTCGAAAATGGTTCCGACCGAAGAGGCACGCAAGCACTGCGCCAAGGATACAGTAAAAGGAGGAACGGCAGATGAGCTAGAACTGCGAGAAGCAATGAATGCCTATGCGTTGCCTTGAAAACGCCACATTGAAGTGATCTCGGGACAATGTCGACATCTCTCCGTGGTTCCGACCCATGACCTAGCCCAACAAGAATCCACTCTCGCGGGCTTTCGCCTGGGCATCACAACGCCTTCAGTACCATGAAGTTAGACGTGTGATGCAGACTCCAGGTGCATTGCAGTGACTGCAAGGGCTTGTTCTTCTACACGTGACGGTAAATGCTGCAAGGCAGGAGACTCTGTCAGAGACAGCCGCCAGTGAGCCGATCCGGACCAGCGCTGCCGTGGCGCCTGCCGTGGGGCAAGCAGCGCGGAAAGGGTCCATGCAGCAAATCCGGGATCCTGTCGGGATGATCCAGAAGACATCCCTTGGCTCGAACTCCACGACCCGGTGGTTCAGCCTCTGGTACCAAGAGCACGGGCGAGTAAAGCCTCGAGCTTGTGGTGTCCTGGTAACTCGTCTCGAGTGCCGGATTGGTAACGGTTGGAGACGTCGCTGACCAGAGCCCGGTTGACACATGCCAGGCACTGGCATATGACCTTAACGAAGGCTGGTGCGCTCGGAAGTGCAGCCTAAAGGATTGGAGATCACGTCATCTGGCCAAACGGCTTGTTCGATGAGTGTCTAGAAGTCCAACGAGACCATTCACTTTTGACGATTTTCGAGAGAAGCGCTCAGCAAATAAGGACACCCACATCCACAGAAGGTTCCTCGGAGCCTAGTCTTGAATTGAGTTGGCATGTGCTCAAGCTTTATGCAAATGTGAATGGCTCACATGACTCTCGTCGGGCGCCCTTGGCACAGCCAAGTGAGCCGCCGTTTCGATGGTTTCGATGTCCTGCGATGGCATGCAGAGTTGGGAGACTGAGTAATGGCCTGGTGCTACCCTGAGACGGCTCAGACGAATGGCATGTGAAGGCCCGGGACATGACATTAAACAGCAAGAGCGACACCCAAAGCGGCCTGGCTGGCCGAAGCAGCGAATCGGGCAGAGGCAGGTGGGGGCGGACTGTGGCCGGGGGAAAGAGCGCCCTCCACCGCGCTCGGCCCAGCCGTTGCCAGTGCAGCAGTGTGCCTCGGCTCTTTTGGAGCAGCGCGGCCACCCGCCCATCACCAGCAGCAACAGCCAAGGGCGGGACTCTGTCACGGGAGCTCTCCTCAGCCCAGGCACTCGCGCTCCCCTTCTCCCAGGCCATTCCTACATGCTGCATTTCCCCACACAGCACCGTCCAGACAGCACCCGACTGCGCCATAGTGTTCCCCCCCAGACAGCCCTGGACCAGCTTCCCCACGCGCCGAGCACTCTGAGCAGCTCGGTCGGCACGTCGCTGCAACTTCTGGCCGCCGCTTCCTCGGATCTCTCCTCTCTGACCGTGGCCCATCCCCGTTCCCCGTTCCTGTCCCCGGACGCCCCGTGCCTCGTCGCCAGCTATTAATTCTTTCCCACCATCCCCTTCTCCTCACCATCGTCCGTGGTCCCTCCTGCTCTCTTCCCCTTCTCCTCATCATCCTCTCCCCCAGTCTCACACATTGCCACACATCACCATGGCAGACTTACTACGCTACGACGACCAGGTTGTCGTCGTCACTGGTGCCGGCGGCGGCCTCGGCAAGGCTTATGCCCTTTTCTTCGCCTCCAGGGGAGCCAAGATTGTCGTCAACGACCTCGGCGGCTCTTTCAAGGGCGAGGGTGGCGGCTCAAAGGTATGTGCTCGATCCTTCGCTATGGTCTGCTCTGTCGCTATCGTGTGAACTCAGCCCTAACCTGACGGCCTTCTGTTACTGCACAGGCTGCCGATGTGGTTGTCCAAGAGATCAAGGCCGCTGGCGGCGAGGCTGTTGCCAACTACGACAGTGTCGAAAACGGCGACAAGATTATCGAGACCGCCATCAAGGCCTTTGGCCGTATTGACATCCTCATCAACAACGCCGGCATCCTCCGTGACATCAGCTTCAAGAACATGACCGACAAGGACTGGGACCTCATCATGGCCGTCCACGTCACCGGCGCCTACAGGACCACGCGTGCCGCCTGGCCTCACTTCCGCAAGCAAAAGTTTGGTCGTGTCATCAACACTGCCTCTGCTGCTGGTCTCTTCGGCAGCTTCGGCCAGGCCAACTACTCTGCCGCCAAGCTCGCCCTGGTCGGTTTCACCGAAGTTCTTGCCAAGGAGGGCGCCAAGTACAACATCGTTTGCAACGTCATTGCTCCTCTCGCTGCTAGCCGCATGACTGAGACGGTCATGCCTCCCGAGGTTCTCGAGCAGCTCAAGCCGCAGTGGGTTGTGCCCCTTGTCGCTGTCCTTACCCACAAGAGCAACAACCACGAGAATGGCAGCATTTTCGAGGTTGGTGGCGGTCACGTCGCCAAGATCCGGTGGGAGCGTTCCGAGGGGCTGCTGCTCAAGGCCGATGAGTCCTACACTCCCGGCGCTGTTCTGAAGCAGTGGAACAAGGTCACCGACTTCAGCAACCCCAGCTACCCTGATGGCCCCAATGACTTTCTCGGCCTTCTTGAGAAGTCGATGAAGCTCGGTCCCAGCGAGCAGGGTGAGAACCCCGATTTCACGGGCAAGGTTGTGCTCATCACTGGCGCTGGTGCTGGTATTGGCCGTGCCTACGCCCACGCCTTTGCTAAGGCTGGTGCCTCCATCGCGGTCAACGACCTGGTCAACCCTGACGATGTTGTCAACGAGATCAAGAAGGCCGGCGGCAAGGCCGTCGGTATCAAGGCCTCCTCTGAGGAGGGCGAGAAGGTCGTCCAGGCCGTCATTGATGCCTTCGGTCGCATTGATATTGTCATCAACAACGCTGGCATCCTTCGTGATAAGGCCTTCACCAACATGACCGACGAGCTGTGGTTCCCTGTCATGAACGTTCACCTTCGCAGCACATACAAGATCACCAAGGCCGCGTGGCCTCACCTTGTCAAGCAGAAGTACGGCCGCATCATCAACACCACATCCACCAGTGGTGTCTATGGCAACTATGGCCAGGCCAACTATGCCGCCGCGGTAAGTCTAGTGTTGTACCAATGAATCCCCTACAATTCTCCAAAAGACTGACTGGTGTTGCCACGTCTAGAAATGCGGTATCCTCGGTATTTCCCGGACACTTGCCCTCGAGGGTGCCAAGAACAACATCTACGTCAACACCATCGCTCCCAACGCTGGTACCCAGATGACCGCGACCATCATGCCCCCGGAGATGGTTCAAGCTTTCAAGCCGGAGTACATTGCTCCTCTGGTCCTCGCGTTGGCCAGCGACAAGCTCCCCAACCCTACCGGTGGTCTTTACGAGGTTGGCAGCGGCTGGATTGGTCAGACCAGATGGCAGCGGACGGGCGGTGCTGGCTTCCCCATTGATGTGGAGCTTACACCTGAGGCCGTCGTCAAGGCTTGGCCCAAGATTGTCACCTTCGACGAGCGCGCTGACAACCCGTCCAAGGCGCAAGACGCCATGGCCAAGGTCTTTGCCAACATCCAGGCTCAGACCGAGGCCAAGGCTGGCAAGAAGGCCGTCAAGGCTAAGGTATGAGCATTCCATTGCCCCTAGGTCGTCGAGCCAATCGTGTACATATATATGCTAGCATAGCAATGAGAAAATGACTGACCGTTTGGTGATTCCGACTTGTGTAGCAGCCAAAGCCTGTAGAGAATGCGCAACAGTACCTCGACGCGATCGCGAAAGCGAAGACCGCCAAGCCAAAGCCGACTCAGTTCGACTACACCGATCGTGACAGCATGCTGTACAACCTGGGCATCGGTGCTAAGCGTGATGAGGTTCAGTACATCTTTGAGGGTGCCGAGAATTTCCAAGTCTTGCCCACATTCGGTGTCATCCCCCAGTTTGGTGCTGAGATGCCCTTCTCGTTCTCTGATGTTGTGCCAAACTTCAACCCCATGATGCTGCTGCACGGTGAGCAGTACTTGGAGATCAAGAAGTTCCCTATCCCCACTTCGGCCAAGACGAGCAACCACGGCAAGCTCATCGAGGTTGTCGACAAGGGCAACGCTGCCATTCTCAAGAGCGGTGTCACCACTGTCAACTCCGAGACTGGCGAGGAGCTCTTCTACAACGAGAGCACTGTCTTCCTGCGCGGATCTGGTGGCTTCGGCGGCCCTGCCAAGCCTCAGGACCGGGGGGCTGCCACGGCCCCTAACACTCCCCCCAAGCGTGCTCCCGATGTTGTTGTTGAGAGCAAAACAACCGAGGAGCAGGCTGCTATCTACCGCCTAAGCGGTGACTACAAGTAAGCCATTTCTGCAGACTTTTGAGTTTGTGCAAGCTCGCTAACGCGCATTCTGCTCCCAGTCCCCTCCACGTCGACTTCAACTTTGCCAAGATGGGTGGTTTCAAGGTGCCCATCCTGCACGGCCTGTGCTTCATGGGCATTGCTTCCAAGGCCGTGTACGAGCGGTTCGGCGCCTTCAAGAACGTCAAGGTCCGCTTTGCAGGCTCTGTATTCCCGGGCCAGACCCTGGTCACCGAGATGTGGAAGGAGGGCAACAAGATCATCTTCCAGGCCAAGGTCAAGGAGACTGGCAAGCTTGCCATTTCTGGTGCTGCGGCCGAGCTCGTTGATGGCAAGACCAAGTTGTAGATGTTGGAGCTGTGAATCCTTCTCGCGCACGAAAAGCGGACGGACACTTGAGTTCGGTTGAATCGATACCCATGCGGAGGGGAATGGTTATTTTTCATTCTTTTGCTTGTACTATGTAGATGACACCTGCTAGCCTTGGATTAATTTCAGTGATCTTTGATTTTTCAAGTTCCACCTTGGTATGTGTGATGCCTTTGTATGGAAGAAAGCGCTCGTCAAAGATTGATGGAAGCTCATGCAACCTGTACATTGCGAGGCAGTGTCCGCAAGTACGGGCGTGAAAGGCGTGCAATCGTCTGCTGCCACGCCGCTTTGACGGGACATCGCTAGCTGAGGAAGTGGTGGTGTGCCAGGTGGTGTTGAAGCACCTGACGCGTGACGCTAAGCCGGAGATTACTGGGGCGGCGTGCCACCACCACGACGCAGACCCTGATCCATGCATCATTTCCCTTGGCACTTGTGATGCTGTTGCGACTGCCTGGACTTTCTCGACTTCCGTCACTTGACCTGCATGCGTGGTCGAGCCTGCGCGATCCTCGACATGCTCCCCGACCTCGCCGAGTGCCTCTTCAACGTCTTTCCGCGAGCAGGCCGAGTGATGTGTTCTCGAAGCATTAACTGGGACTGAGCCGGCTCGCACTCCTGGGCGAAGTCACGACAACACGGACCGTCCCGTAAGCCGCCAACCCATCCAACAACCATGTTCAGCTTTCTCGGCTCCGGCATTGGACGCAAGAGCTCTTCAAGATCGCTCAAGCAGACCGGTCCGACGACACAAGACGGCAGCGGCTCGCCATTGCCGTCCCCGCCGCTCGCCTCCGCCGGCACCCTCCCGCCCAACTACATCTCGGACGAGTCGCAGCTTCAGCCGCCGGGACCTCTACCCACACACCTCGCCGATCTCAACCACAGCCTCGAGGTTCTCGCCACGATATTCCCAGATGTGCAAGTCGAGGTATTTCGCGAGATGCTCGCAAGCTTCTCCGAGGAGTCTCGGCTCGCGCTCGTGACAGATCTGCTTCTCAAAAGCCCGAATCAGTACATCAGGGGAAGGCGAATAGCTCCCAGACCGAGCGGGTCCCGCAGCACAGCGATGAACACCGCAACAACAGCAGAAGAGCCAGCCCGGGATTCGACATGGGCAAAGGCAGTGCCGCGGAAAGAGGCGTTTCGTGATGACGCTTACAAGGAGGCGGTCCGCGCACTGGCAGCACAGGAGTTCAAAGGGCTCTCGCGGTCGTCGGTCCAGGCGGTCTTGTCTGAATACAACTACTCATATCTGGACGCCCGGCCGACGCTGGTGGTCCTCTCGTCAAAGTCGTGGAAGTGCACGATCTCGTCACTGTTCTACATGCGGAAGCCCACGACCCCGAAAGATGCCACGCAGCACCCCTTGGTCATCTGGAGGTCAACGGGCATGGGGTCGATTTTCCCAATGATAAAGAGCACGGGTAATCCTGAGCTTGACCGCGAGCTGTTCAACGAGCTCATTGCACCACTCCAACAGCAGGAGCGCGGCAAGCGAGAGGCATCTGACCATGCGATGGCGGTCACATTGCATACGGAGGAAGCCACAGCATGCGACGCGCTCTACGAGTGCGCCTGCTGCTTCACAGAGTCAACTTTCGAGGAGTTTACAACTTGCAATACTGATGAAGGCCACATGGTCTGCTTTCAGTGCGTGCAGCACTCCATCAACGAAGCGCTCTTTGGCCAAGGCTGGCAGCGCAGCATCAACAAGGAGACCGGCACTCTTCACTGCCCAGCCGTCTCGTCAGCGGAGTGCCAGGGCCACATCGTCTCAGACGACATCTTCCGTGCCGTGAGTCAACAGAAGAACGGCGCTGAAATCATGCACAAGCTCGACCAGCGGTTGGCAGACCACGGACTGGTAGCCAGCGGTATCAAGCTGGTTCACTGCCCATTCTGCAGCTACGCCGAAGCAGACGACATCTACGTGCCTGCAGGCGTGGACAAGCTCAAATTAAAGGCGAGCAATTTCCCAAACGTGGTCTTCATGATACTGCTACCGTTCTGCATCTTGCCGCTGTTCTATGTCCTCGCAGTGGTGTTCTTGGTCGTTGCGTTTCCTTATTTGAGCCGGAGAGCGCGGCACTACCTCAACCGTCAGCTTCGAGGCGCCGTCCGCCGTTTCCAGCGTCGCCGCCGTGGCCTCAAGTTCAAGTGCCAGAACCCGACGTGCGCGCGCGAGTCGTGCCTATCCTGTTCCAAGGCTTGGGTCGACATCCATGTCTGCCACGAGTCGTCTCTCGTGGCGCTACGCGTGCAGGTCGAGCAGGCCATGGCCATGGCGGTCAAGCGTGTTTGTCCACGATGCAACACGTCGTTTGTCAAGAACGGCGGGTGCAACAAGCTCACCTGCCCCTGTGGCTACAAGATGTGCTATGTGTGCCGCAAGGACATTGGGAAATCTACCGAGGGCTATCAACACTTCTGCCAACACTTCCGGGCCCAGGGCGACGGGCGTCAGTGCGTCGAGTGCAACAAATGCAACCTCTGGGAGCAGGAAGACACTGCTGCGATATTGCGGCAGGCGAAAGACGAGGCCGAGCGCAAGTGGCTGCAGACGGAGAAGCGCGAGCTCTCTGATGCAGAGAAGGCGTACCTTCGCGATGTGGTCCGTGGAGACGACAGTTCCGCATCGTCGCCATGGTCAGCGTTTTCGCCCAGGGCCGTGAAGGAGCACCTGTTCCCTGGCCTGAGGCGTGTTCATAGCGTGGCAGACTTGTTTGACCTTGTTTTCGAGGCCGTGTTTGCGTGAATGGCAATGGCGCCAGCTTGGACAGTGACAGTATGACAAAGAGACGGGACTTTCGAAACACGAGAGATGACCAGATTGCGAGATTGGGTCAGTATGATGCGATATGATATCCGCCAGGGCGGTGTGCCGAAAGCAGTTGAGCATTTGGATATGGAGTTGCGGAATATGCCGGCCGATGCCTCCATTGGAATTTTGGGTTTCTGGAATAGAAAGACCGCGTTATGTATTTTCTGGCGATTCCTTGGCGTCAATATACCCTCCTCATTATTTGCTTTCACCTCATGGATGCTCCTGTCTTGGTTCTGTTGTCGCATATGTGCAACTCAGTGATATCAACTGTTGAAAAACAAACACCAAGGGACCATACTGGAGCATAAAACGACTTGTATAGTTGGTTGGAGGGAAATTAGAGGAGGGATGAACTAACACCAAAATAAAAGCGAAAGAGGCGTAGAGAAAATATAAAGGTAAAAAAAGGACAGAATGACAGAGCATTGGTCGATGAAAGACAATGAATGCCCAGCCCGTCCGCCACAGAGCGGACAAGAAAACCAAAAGAAATGGGCTCAGCCGGGATTTGAACCCGGGACCTGCTACAACTTCTTCTTTGAGGAAGAACTGGATGTTATAACCACCCGAAGCAGCAATCATACGACTAGACCACTGAGCCAATTTGTTGAAAGTGCAGGGACTTGTCATGATATATATTCCCAATGCAACATTTGGTGTCGGAGGGCGAGCCGATTCCATGGGTGGGCGTCCCTTCGGCTTTCCCCGCATTATGATCGAGGGTGTTGTCGGGTGTATGCGGGGAATAGAGGTAGCTCGAATGCAAGCATAACCGACGCGACGCCGATGCCGGGCCCTGGGGCGATGGTATTTGTTCGTCACTTCTTTTACGGAACAGAGACAATTAACTAGTCACGATTCTAGTCGTATCAGAAGCAGAAATTGCCACAACTGGCCGATTGGACGAACAAAGAGATCGTGTGTTATTCTCTCTTTAGGGCACCAATTGAGGCTGCAAGCTACCGTGTCATGCATTCAGCACATTCCGAACCCATCTCTCCGTGAGCACCAGGGGAATAATATACGCCAAAAAGGACAAGCATAACCTCAATCTTGCGGATACACCATGGCGTCTTCTTCTGCTCCTTCCTCGGCAGCGACGACGAAAATAATCGATGACAAATCTCCGATATGCATACCCTTCATCCTCGAACGGTTCAAGCTCCACCAACAGCGGCAACAGCAATCCCTGGCGGCCAATACGGCGCCAACGCCTAATCCTCCTCCTGTGAAGCCCTTCATCGTCGGCCTCAACGGAGTGCAGGGCGTGGGCAAGACGACGCTGGTCAGCGCTCTGAGCACGGCTCTGCAGGAGCGCGGCATCGAGACGCTCGTGTGCAGCATTGACGACTTTTACTTGCGCCGCGAGGACCAGCAGGCGCTTGCGGACGAGGATCCCGGGAACAAGCTGCTGCAGGTGCGCGGAGAGCCTGGTATGTCATAAAATTTACCCCAGTCCTCTGTCCTTCCGAGAGAGAAGAAGAAGAAGCATTGGGATCGGGGCATTATTGCACCACACACTTGTCCCCAAGGAAGGGAAAGCCATCATGTTTTCGGCAGAGCAGCTATTAATCTATTCGTGACTGGCCCCAGGCACGCACGACATGCAGCTCGCAGCATCCTTTTTCACGGCCTTGTGCAAGGGCGAGCCCGCCAAGGTGCCCGAGTACGACAAGTCTGCATACTCTGGCAAGGGCGACCGCGTGCCCGAGTCCCAGTGGTCGACGACAGTCAATGACCCTGCGTCGTCGCCGTCCAGGGGCCCAGTCCAGGTCGTCATATTCGAGGGCTGGTGCGTCGGGTTCCGCTCCCTCGACCCGACCGAGGTGAAGCGCAAGTACGACACGCCTGGGACGCGGACGCTCAAGGACCACTCCCTGGAGCACTTGCTGCGTGTCAACGAGTCGCTCAGGGCATATGATGCTGCAATCACGGATCTGTTTGACGCCTTCATACATGTCGATGCCGAAGACACGCAATGGGTCTACGACTGGCGCCTCGAGCAGGAGGTCAAGCTCCGGCAGGACAAGGGGACGGGCATGACCGACGATGAGGTGGTAAGGTTTGTGGATGCGTACTATCCGGCGTATGAGCTCTTTTGTGATGCCTTGCGGTCAGGACTTTTCCCCGGCAATCCGGGAGCGCAGCTGCGGATGATCGTGGGGAAAGATAGGAAGGTCAAGGAGGTGCTTGTGTTGTAGAATCGGATGAAGCCTATCATTTCGACCACTGCGGATGCACCAAATGGGTTTTCAACAAAGACGAGATGCGCACTTTGTCGTGACGAGCCCCATCTTGACGGCTCCGGCAAAGTTACTGTGATATTACACCTGACTTCACTCCCAGACTTTGACTCAGTCGAAGTCGTGCTTCATGAGGCCTTTGCCCTCCTCCTTCATACCTTCCAGAGTATTGTCAATGCGTTCAATCCTGCCTCGCACCAAATCTGCCCTATCCGCAACCTCGGCCTCGAACTTGTCGGCAAGCGCTCGCCTTTCCTTTCTAGCCTGCTTGAAGTTCTTGACAATGTCACTGAAGCGCTCGAGGAACCAATCCCCGGACTCTTCCCACTCGCTCACTGGCATCTTTTGGAACAACTCGCTCTGGGCCTCCTTGTCCCTGTTGGCGAAATGGCTCAGTTTCTCCTCCAGCGTGCCCTGCGGAATCTCAGCCGACAATGCTTCGGCCTTGGCAGGATCGAAATCAAAATCCTGATTTTGCAACTTGTCAAATGCCATCGATGCCAATGCTTGATCGTCATAGTCGGGCCCAAGAGGCCGCTTCCTCGCCGCCGCCATGAATGGCGCAAGCCCTATCGATGTATGGCCCACGTTGATCTGGGGGCCCTGCATGTCTTTCCCTGCCGAGGAGCCAGCGCTGAAGAGTTGCCTGTTGACCTGTGGCTTTGACACAGCTGCCTTGGTGGATACTCTGGCTGCCTTTGGCGTAGTTTCTTGCTCGACATGATCTGACTCTGTTTCTGCCGAATCTGGCAGGTATGAATCTGCATCTTCAGAGCCGTTCTCGGCTGCCGACCCCAAGTCGTTTTGTGGTTGCGCAACAGCCAACGGAGGAAGACTGCGGCTGGCTGGCTGCTTGTCACGCCCAGTCTTTGGAGCTTGGGTCCTGTGTGAGCCCCCTGCTGCTATGGGCCGGTTGCTCTTGACGTCCTGCCGAGGGCTCGCATGGACAGTCACCTGCCTGGGACGGTGCGATCTTCTGCTGGAAGGGCTCTGTGGTTCTGGTGACGACGGCAGACTCTGGCTGTCCTCGGAGAATCGCTCAAAGTCCGCCGCGACTCTACTGAAGTGGCTCCGGCGGTCTCGCGGGCCTGGCGTCGACGTTGGGCGGAACGTGGCGCTGCCAGCTCCGCCGATGGTGTTGTCGTCGCCAATCATGAGATCCTTGTCATCGGTCGTGTTCTCCCGCTTGAAGCGGATGCCTTGCGAAGTGTAGGAGTCGCGTTGCTTGTGTGTCCGCGGCACCTGTGTTTGCTGTGTTGACGGGCGAGACACTCGTTGCGAGGGACGGTCACTGAACTCGAAGTTGCTAGCCGAGTCGCTGAAGGCCTCGCCGTCGATAGTCGAGCCGTCCCAGAATGGACCCGTATCACGCCCTCTCAGCTGCTGTATAGGATTGGCTGATGCCGGCCTGCCGGGATTCGGAATGATGTAGCCATCGCCAGACAGTGGTATTCGCGCTGCGGCGGCGGATGCCGAGCGAGTAGTGTTTATGCCCAGTGGCAGTGGTGACAGTGGTGCTTTCTCTGTGGCTGGCGGCGCTGTATGTTGAGCTTGAAACTGCTTGGTAAACTGCCCCTGGGTCACCGTCTTGTCCTCTTCGAATGTGGCTGCCCCCGGCTGGGATCCCTCTGGCGGGCTATTGACGGGTGACTTTTGCATCACCCATTGTTGCATGCTATTCATGGTTGCTTGCTGTGATGGAGCAGGAGCAGCCGTGCACGACTGAGCACTGTGCTAGCCGCGCAGTGGGAGGCGGTCAGATGAGGGAGAGCTGGGAGAATGCAGCCCCTGGAATGACAGATGAACGATATAGGATCGAGTGACTCAAAAGGCTGCTCCGTGATGGATGAGCTTCCTCTCGCCTTGAATGTTTGAAGGGTTTTCGGCGCGGGTTGGTTTGCCGCCAGAGTGACCAGACGCGACATCGAGCGTGCTTGCGTGCCTGGCGGAATTGGTGACGATGCAGATCTGGGGGACCGTGTCGGTACAGTGTTTACACGGCCCTCACAGCTTCTATGATTGATTGTGGGAAAGATGAATACCCCCAAGCTGCTCAAATTTCTTTTCTACGAATAGCTGTATTCTGTGTGAAGGTTTTCTATGCGCCCAGATGACCTATAGGCTTACTCATGAATACGATATCAATATCAACATATACTCCAGGTCGTGCCTCCCACTGAGGCACCAGCAGCTCCTTTCCGAACGTCTTGTATCCCAGGCGAGTATACCACTGCTCATTCGTAATCTACAGAGTCATTAGCTTGTCTTCAAAGGGCGCAGTGCTATGCAGTCGACAAACCTTGGGTAAAGGATTGCCCTTTGAGGTAAACATGGCATGCAGAAAGTCGGGATTCGATTGTGTTCGGCTTGCCATAGTGTCGAGCACCATGATCTTGCCCTTCATCGGCCCCTGAGCTGCAATCTCCTCGCCTTTGGCCACGGCTGCAGAGCCATAGCCACCGGCGTGTAGGGCGTAGGAGATGTACAGTTGGTGCATCCACTGTCATCGAAGCAACGGTTAGTTCTACCTGAAGACGGACGCACTCCCTTCACAGTGACACTCTGATGTTCGCTCGGGTCTGGTGACTAACCACAACTCCTTCCCCTGGGAGGCCGTGCTTGGCATCTTCCTCTGGAGTATGGATGTCCAGAGCTATATGGCCAACGGGCCAGAATTGAGCCCCGGTCGGATCTCTAGGGACACCTCGTATCAACTGTGCAGAATCTCGAAGAGGAGTAGCTTCCTACGCTCGATATCAGCACGGAGACCTTTCCAAATCAGGCCAAATGATGAGAAAGCTAATGCTTGACTGACTGTTGGGTATCTTTCTGAGTGCCTTTGTAATACTGCGTCACGATCCGGCAAGTTGTCTGACAAGACCTGGAAAGCCAGCAAGACCTATGTCAGTAACCCCGGTGACTTCAGGACCACTCAAGAGCCGGTCCAGCTTACCACCCAGTAGAAGATCTTGCCGCCTTGTTTCGCAGACTCGACGTACTGTGGCACCTCCTCTTCACGCCATCCACAGGCGACCCGTTGCACGTAGAGCCTTTCCACGTGATCGGGATCGAGATGGTCCCACGGCAAGAGCTGATCACATCATCGTTTGGTTAGTGGCTGTAAGCAGACGTGCTCTGAAAAGACAGAGTATAGCCATCCCAAGCTTCTCCCCGCAGACGAGCAAGTTGTGCTTACCTCGACTTTCCACGCGTGTTTGGAAGCCATTGTTGCTACTACTCGGGGTACTTTTAGTTAATTGTTGACACCTGTTCGCCCTGAAACCATGCGAAAGGTACTGCTTGGTATCGCAATACTGGCAAACTGACGGCAGATGGGCAGATAGTGTGGTTCAGAAGCGGATGGTGTGGGTATTTCACACTACACTGTCCACCTAGGTGAACCAGGTGAGCAGTATGATTCATATCAAATCATCTCCTCACACCTTCCACATTGAGTGAGCAACCCATGCTTGCCTTTCACGATTTGAAGTAGGGGAAGAGGATGATGATAGAAGGAGGCCGATATCGCAGTCTTGAGAACAAGATAGCCTTTCAACGGAGAACTGCCCCAGTCAGGGCCACTCCCGGACGGTTCTCTCCATTGCCGTCGGAGAAGGTAAGCTGACAGACGCCGGCTAGTCGCGGGGTTTAGCGGAACCTGTACCCGCCCGCCGGCTCGCTGCTAACTAATACTTCTCAGCGCTCTGCAACGATAAGCTGCCTCGCACGAACAACTGCGGCCCCTCAAGAGTGTCGCTTTTCTCATTTGGGTATTGCTGCTCGACGCGGTATGAGCTCTGGAGGATGCACACCTGGCCCAGACTCCCAGGGGCCTGGTAACTTTTCCTACACTGTGCTGCCGCATCCTGGGCTGAACAAGCGTAGGACCTTGCACGATTCGTACGCAAACATCATGAGGCTCGAGACGACCTTGAAACACCTCAGCGTCAGATCGCCCAATTTGCAATTGATGAAGACCAGATCCGCTCGATGCTCGACCTATATACAAAGAACCCCTGGAAACAAGAATAGCATCACGTCCTTCAGGCCCGCGGACTCCTCAGGAAACCCACGACACCGCTGCAGTATCCGACCAGACCGTCGAGCCTCTCGCTTTCCTGGGCCTGCTGCTCCTTCCACTCCTTCAATGCAGCCATAAGGACCTCACTCTCGAGAATGAGATCAAAGTGCAGCCGCAAGAAGACTGTCATCCACGCCTGCGTCAGCTCGTAGTCTCGCCGAGCACGCAGCCGATTGGTCAGAGCGCGGATGAAATGCAGCAACTCATTGGACTCGTCGTCACGCGTCGAGCCAATACCCAAAGAGCGCAACTCCAGGTCCGCTGTAGAAGGAGATAGGGACTTCAGATGCTCAATGAATGGGTCGTCTAAGGACATGGAAAAGTTAGCCGCCAGGTCTGATAGTGTTATAATGTTGAAAGTTGGTTAAGCAGTCGACTTACACTTTCCACTGACAGCCCCTGCCCGCAGCTTGTTGCTAAAGGCCTGCTCCATGCGGTTGCGGTCGTACTTAGTAATTCTTGACTCGTTTTGAGCATCGGCGCTAGGCGTCGCGGCGGCAAGCTCATCGGCAGACTGTCCCGGCTTGCCAGCTAGGCCGAGAAAGAACGGTGCCTTCTCGGGTGCCTTTGGCGCCTCGGTCGGCTTGTTTCTCTGCTTGATCAGGTCAAGATGCAGCAATGTCTGCCAGCGGCTCCTCGGCACAAGACTGAGTGTCATCATATCTGAGCTGAGCTGCTCCAACGTTGGCGCTGCCAGGGTATCGTCTGCGTCGTCCGAGACCTCGTCCTCAAAGGCAGCCTCGAGCAGACCTTCACCACCTTCTCCAGAAGCTGTAGGGCCTGCAACTTGCTCGGCGGTAGATTCCGAGATTTGTCTCGTCGGTACGTGAGTGAAGAGTGTCCTATTTGTCCAGATGTTGACGCCAAGCTGGCCTTCCGTGGCGGCGGCCAAATACTCGCCTGTCTCCGAGAAGGCCAGTGCCGTACAGGGCCTCTCGAGGCGGATGGCGTCAATGAAGTGGCTTGTCGGCAGATCCCACACGCGAATGACGCCGTCTTGCGACGCAGCGACGATCCACCGCCCGTCATTGGAGAAAGTGAAGTCGTTGACCTCGCCCTGGCTGCCGTGGAACTCACGGATTGTCTGTTTCGTCTCAATGTCAACAACACGTACGGAGTTGTCGTCGCATGAAAAGGCTATCAGGTCATTGGCGGCGTGGTAGCGGCAGCCTGTGATCGACACCATGGGCGCCCAACTAATTTCCTCCACCAGCTTGCCCGTCAGGAATTCCCAGAACTTGATCTTGCCATCAAGCGAGCATGTAATGACATGCTTGTTCATTGAGTCGACGACAATGCCTGTGACCGCTTTGGTATGCTTGCCAGTTCCAATCATGTGCGAGCTTCCAGATCGGGCTTCCAATTGCACAACAGTGTCCGCCTGTTTCAGCTGCTGCATCCGGACTTGCCTCGCTTGCGCTGGGGTGAGTTTTGATGGGAACTGCTGTCGATGAAGGCCAGATTGCAGATTGTACATATCGACGGCACCCTCCGCGGAGCCCACAACCGCAAAAGTACCGCAGGAGCTCATCGTGACGGTTGACACATTGGCTCGGTCGCCCGTGGGGAACGCCCACCGGCCAGCACGCTTCCGTCCCCAGAACCATGTCCGCGCGAAAGCGTCGCCCTTGTGGGCAGTCACTACGCTCTCCCAGCCAGTCATGCCACTGATCTCGGCGTCGAGCTGCTTCTTCTGGTCGCGGCTCTTTTGCCACATGGCCTGCTTGCCAGGCATGGCGCCCATGCCGCCATCGCGGTTCAGCGAGCACGCAATGCATGTGATTTCCGGAGCCTTCAGGTCGTCGAGAGTGGTTGTCGGTCCATGCTTGAGTGCATTGTTTGACAAGATACCATATTTCTTGGCCTTCTTGAGTATGCTGCCTTGGCTAAGCTCTGTGCTCTGGCCGTCGCGGCGCAAACTCCAACCCCAGAGGCTGCGGTCCTTGCCGCCGCTAAGAAGCCACTTATTGCCAGCCTCGGCTCCCTCAAAATCTGACGGCAAAAACTGCAGACACGATACTGGCGCGGCATGGCCACTCCTCGTGTGCAAGATCCGGGGGATGGGTGAGAAGGGTGTCTCGTCAAAGATCCAAGTTTTGAGTGAGTTGTCTCTACCACTCGTGACGATGACTGGCTGTCCAGCCAAGAACTCGATCTTACTGACACCACCACGGATAGAACGACCGTCTAGGGCTGGGGGGTTGTGTGCGCTGCGCAGAATGCCCATGACCCGGCCACCTTTGTTCAAGTCCCAGAATGTAATGTCGCCGCTTGTATTCGTGGCGGTCGCCATAACACCATCCTTCCGACCATCCTGGCCCGCGCCAACGCCGTCGTCCCGGAACGAGATGCTAGTTACCGGTGCTTCGGGTCCGCCGGTGTTGACCCGGAGGAGCACCTTGTCGGTCAGAATGTTGTGCAGCACGAGCGTGCCATTGGTATAAGCTATTGCCATTACAGACAAGGCAGGCGAGGGCTCGAGGCAGGTCACGGGACCGCAGCTGGGGGAGGGGGGCAGAATTGTGTAGATGAGCTTGCCACTCGAGACGTTCCAGATCTCTACCCAGCCGTCGCGGCGCCCGACGAACACCTTGTTCACGTACGTGGGCATGGTACAGAGTCCGCCACTGATCTCGTTGTCTCCACTGGCCGAGGCCATGGTGAAGAGCGTGGTATAGTGCTCTAGTGTCGTGGTCTTCCATACTTCGATGCGTGTCCGTCCGCAAGCAAGGATCCAGGAGCCGAAAACGATAATGTGGGAGAGAGGTTGGTTCAAGTCCGCTGGCAGCTCGAGCTCAGCAACCTGCTTGCCTCGCTGGAACACCCAGAGACCCTGAGCTTCACCGCGCGAGGCATCACCCCAGGCAGCTAGCACGTTCTGTTTCCAGGCGCACGTTGCGGTGATATCGTGTGGTGCCTGTGGCCGCGTAATGAAGACGAGGTTGAGACCACGCTTAAGATCGTAGGTCTGCAGGGATCGGCCGATCGAGGTGGTGACCTGGAAGGTAGTCTTGCCGAGAGGAACTGTCGTGAAGGGAACATCGGTTGGTGACACGAGGCCGACAGTCTACGGAGCAGGGAGCTAGCAGTCAGTATCTCGGTCGTGCCGGCTTCACGCAGGTCCACACAATTCCTTTGGCTTACACGATACGGCGCAAAGATGCGTGAATGTCCGGGCGCTGCGGGCTTCGCCTGAGAAGCAGCCTGGACCTTCTGCCGCTTCACAAGCGGTCCATCCTGTTGGGCGTGAGGCATCGCGAACTGTTTGGCTTGCCCGGCCACTGTGGTCGCTTGAGATGTCTTGTCCTGGGCCCCTGGTGTGTCCTTCTGCCTCTGACACCGTGGTCGGATGCCTTGCGCGACGAATAGAAGACCCTCCTCGCTGACTGGTCTGGGTGTTTGTGGTATGCGCAGTATCACGGGTTCCAAAGTTTTGAGCTGATAAGTGCTCTATCACAGGCGTCCAGGGAAAAAAGTCTGGCGCTGGGAGACTTGGCCAATCAATGGGGCAGGATAAGCCCCACCACGGTGCAAGCTCCATACGCGGCGCAAACCAGGCCAGGATCTGGAAAACAGGAACAGCCTCGCCCAGCTGTCTCCACAGGTGTTGTCCTCTGCGGATGGAAACACTCAGGTCGTGATTTTAGATATAAATGACCCGATGATGCTGTCCTCGTAAGACTGACATCGCCAGAGCGTCGCGGCTCTGCTGAAGAGCCCGTCTTTGGATGGGTCTGAGGATCTCACGTTCTTCGACAGACATGATGAGGCTCACATGTGTGTGCAGGCCGTTGTATGAGGAACAAAATGTAAAGCCATGGTTATTGCAGCCACGGGTCTTAGATGCCTTTGCATCTCAGGTCGGCAAGAATCAACGGGGCGTGGGGGTGGTGAACTTGTCAGCTTGTCGGCAATCGAGACAAACTAATGAAAGCAACTTCAAGCCGGCATTCTGAAACATCATAGCACGTTTATGTCACGGTGCCACTAGACCAAACGAGATTTAGAGTTGTTCCAAAGAGCATGCTCGAGGAACTTGAAACTCTCCTAGCCACACGCAGCCACTATTCTCTCTGAGCACCATGCTTAGGTTGAGGTGTTGCCACAGAGTCATCAGCGTCTCAAGGCAGCCTTGTATGGATTGCGACCTTACCAATGAACGGGTATAAGCCAAGTGTGAGGCAACGCACCCTGTAGGCAAACTTAAATACTCTCGTCTGTTAGCTCGCCATGTGTCGGACTTGAATTGCTTGCTGCTCTTCAGCCGACGGAGTGTTGCCAGTCCAATGGGTGACCAGTGACTCGAAATCAAGTGAAGTAAACGAGCAAATCCGGCAATACGATTGCTGCCCGTCGGTTCGAATAGAGCGAACCAGGAAGGTGATCACGCGACCGCTCACCGGCATTTCCTTGGTGGGAACGGTGAAAGGATGTCACTGGGCGCGCGCAGGGATGTTGTCGAATAGGACTGCACTGCAGGCACCATGCATCACATTAGCTCGGCTCGATGCGGCCGAGCTTGTCTCTGACGTGTATCTCGTACAATCATGATACCTAGGTACGCCTGGAGCCTCTGTGGCCTGCACTGTTCAAGAGTTATTCGTTCACCCGTGGTGGCGCAGGCAGACGACCTCGGGAACCAGGCCAAAGGAGCTGTTGCTCCGCACAACCAAAGGATCAACAGCCAAGAAGTGCAAGAAGTGCTCAAGTGGAAGAGGGCGAACAGCGCCTGGACCCATGTGCCTGGGATTGGGCTGGAGCGGCTCTAGAACTCTGCAGGCCTGCAGCCGCAGGTGCAGGGGCGGCCCCTCCACCGGCCCCGCGCTGCACCGAGAAATCTCGAGCCCCTCCAGGCCTCCGATGGGCGGTGGACGGACGTCATGGCCTGTCCATGGACTTGCACATGTAACCCCAACCACAGCCGAGCAGCACGGCTGGTGGTCCATTAACCCGCCAGCAACCCACCAACGATAGTGGTTTGGACAGCAGGGCCTCGATAGTGCAAGCCCGTGCGGGGAGTGTCTTTCTCTCTCGAGAAAGCATGTAGTTCGTTGTTCGGCACTCTCGACATACCCAGGCTCAAAACAGAAACAGAAACAGAAACAGGATCGTTTCCCGCCATCGCCTGGGCCCTCTCGTCAAGACTCGAGTTCTCCTCCCCGGTACACCCCGGTCCGTGCAATCCTGGTTAGGCCGATGACCATTCGCTTCTGTTGCCGTCTTTTCCATTCAGACTGGCAGCCAAGAGCCAGTGTCTCGAGTGCCGCACAGCTGGGCTCGCCCCGCCGTCCTGCCCACCCACTGTCAGCGACCGCCCTGGCGGGTGCCGGCACCGCTTGGCCCTAAGGTCCTGGACATCTTGTCTAACGCAGACCGACTGAGAGCGGGTCACAGCTCGCAAGCTCTCAAGGTTTTCCGTCGAGCCTCCCCAGGGAGGGCGAGGGCGACTAGGCGGGCTGTTCCTGAAGTGGATCCGAGCCGGCTGGCCCGACAAGAGTCATGGACACTCCCGACCCCCGGATCCCTGAGCGGCCCTCCGCAAAGAGGTTCTCGGCGTCCCGCGCGGCCTCTCACTCGTTCTCTTTTGCTTCCTCCTCCAGTGCCGTGAACCCGGGCATCCTCTCGTCCCTCACCGCTGGCAAGAGTCGTCACGCCGAACCCATTGGCACCACCGACGTCTCGGTCGAGCCTGCCAGCCTGTCCATGCCGCCGCCTGCCTCCCGGAACAGCATTGGACGTCCTTCGCTTCCCGGCAGCAGCCGCCGCCCTTCCTCCTTCTCAGACTATCGCGCCATTGACCTGCCTGACGTCGCAGTCGACGACCACGCTATTGACGACACCCCTCGACTGCTCACCGGCCACTACTATCCAGACGGCAGCTTCTACTACCAGCTTCCAGAACCGACGCCTACAGACGAGGGCCGCAAAAGAGTCTCGATATCTTCGTTCCTCTCCGTAAATTCTGTGCGCGGCCAGCTCAGCTCATCTGGCTCAGCCACCGGATCCGACAGTAGCCAGCCGATCCCTCGATCCGTCGCAGGCATCATGACGTCGGCAAAAGGTGTCGGCCTGCCTCCATCGCAGTCCGAGGCCGGCCTGTCGAATGTGACCATCACCACATCGTCCAACCCGAACGGGCACTCGCCTCAACCCGGCGCCGGTCTGCAGCTTACACCAAAGGATGCCCAAAGCAATGTTAGTCCTGCCGACCTCGTCAAGCGCAACCCAGCCCCCGTCAACACGAGCACGGTATCGCGACCACAGCCTACAAGGTCTAGGAGCCGGGCCAAGCGACGATTCAGCGGCAGCACAGCAAACAGTAGCCACAGCCCCAGCAGCGACAGAGGTCCGCAGAACAGAGAAAGGGAAGAAGTCAAGCCCGCTCCATGGGGTATCATTGGTGTTTGTGCGCTCGACTCGAAGGCGCGGAGCAAGCCAAGCAGAAATATTCTCAACAGAATCATAGCGAATCGGGAGTTTGATGTCGTTGTCTTCGGCGACAAGACTATTCTCGATGAAGGTTAGTCACATCCCGTATTGCTGTTTTCCCCCCTTTTAGTTCCACAAGCTGACATTGCCCGCAGAGGTCGAAAACTGGCCCATCTGTGACTACCTGATCTCGTTCTTTTCCGACGGCTTCCCCTTGGACAAGGCGATCAAGTATGTCAAAGCTCGCAAGCCATTTTGTGTCAATGACTTGCCTATGCAGAAAGTGCTCTGGGATCGACGACTTTGCCTGCGGATACTCGACCAGATTGGCGTGCCTACCCCCAAGAGAATCGAGATCAGTCGTGATGGGGGACCGGAGTTGTTGACGTCCGATGTGGCAAAATACGCAAAGGATGTCTCTGGCATCACACTCGAGCCTGCTGACTCTGCTCACTACCAGTCACCACAAAAGGTCGAACTGTTGGAAGACGGTGACGTACTAAGCGTCGATGGCCAGCTTTTGAGGAAGCCGTTCGTAGAGAAGCCAACTAGCGGAGAGGACCACAACATCATTATCTACTTTCCCAAGTCGGCTGGCGGAGGCGCCCGAAAACTCTTTCGAAAGATTGGCAACAAAAGCTCCGAATACGTCGAGGATTTGATGGTCCCCCGTGCCATTACTGAAGGAGAGAGCAGTTTTGTCTACGAAAAGTTTATGCAAGTTGACAATGCGGAGGATGTCAAAGCATATACTGTCGGACCTCAGTTCTGCCACGCCGAAACTCGCAAATCCCCCGTTGTCGATGGCGTCGTGAGGCGCAACACACATGGCAAAGAAATTCGATATGTGACAGAGCTCAATGCAGACGAAAAGGAAATGGCCAGCAAAATCGCCACGACCTTCGGACAACGCGTTTGTGGCTTTGATCTACTCCGAGTAGGCGGCAAGAGCTACGTAATCGATGTGAACGGCTGGAGCTTCGTCAAGGACAATGATACTTACTACGACCACTGCGCCAACATCCTCAAGGAGACTTTCAAGAAGGAGCGTCTCCGCCGTGGTGGCGTGACTCCGTCAATGCCCTCGCCAAGTCTTTCCGATAACAGCGATCCTATGGCGAGAGCCATGGCGAGCAGTCGCGACAGAGACCAGGCGAGTGGCACGCTGGCTCGAGACTCAACTCGAGCAGCCAGTACTGCTTCTGTTACGCCGGCCGACGGCCGCCAAGGGCCGAAGCCGGAAAACGCAGGTGCCGTTCTGCCTCAACAGGCCAAAGCAGAAAACCTAGGCACTGGCGTGCCAGCCAGCCATCAGAGTGGTCGAAACAGCCCGTCACAGACACCTGTTGGAGTTGCGCAAGCAGGTACCTTGCCTATGGATAAGCCTTCAGCAGTACCTGTCACACCCTCAGAGCTGTTTGAGAACCTTGAAAGCCTGGAACGGGAACAGTCGACGCCGCCTCCACCGCCTCCCAAACATTCGTGGAAGATGAAGGGCATGGTGTCCGTGATCCGTCACGCCGACCGTACCCCAAAGCAGAAATACAAATTCACTTTCCACACACAACCATTCATCGATCTCCTTAGGGGTCATCAAGAGGAAGTTCTTCTTATCGGCGAGGCTGCCCTGGCTAGTGTGCTGGAAGCCGTGGACACCGCCTTGAAGCAGGGAGAAGAGGATCGAACGAAGCTTAAGACGCTCCGAAATGTCCTGGCCAAGAAAGGCTTCTGGCCCGGAACGAAAGTGCAGATCAAGCCCATGTTTCGTAAGAAGAAGAACGCAGAGCCTTCGCCAACAGCCGAGATCAGCAAGTCCTTACCAACAGCCCTCGTCATGACCGCACCTGGCTCTGAGAATGATAAGGCGCCCAAGCCGACCGCTGTGGATCAAACTGTCGATACTTTGGATGATATTGCGAACCAAGCAGTTCAATCTGCAGATGAGGCTGATCATCTTGTTCGAGGTGCACCCCGTCGGCAAGACTCCATGTCAGGCGTTACCATGTCCAAGTTCACCGCAGCAGAGAACAGCCTTGTGCTCGACAAACTTCAGTTGATTGTGAAATGGGGAGGAGAACCTACGCACTCCGCTCGATATCAAGCCCAAGAGCTTGGCCAGAACATGAGGACCGACTACCTTCTCATGAATCGTGCTATCCTGGACGAGGTTCATGTCTTCAGCAGCTCTGAGAGGCGTGTAACGACGAGCGCCCAGATCTGGGCTGCATCGTTCCTCGACAAGAAAGAAATACCAGAGGATTTCATCACGATTCGCAAAGACCTGCTTGACGACTCGAATGCGGCCAAGGACGAGATGGACAAGGTTAAAAAGAAGTTGAAGGGTTTGCTGCGTAAGGGCAACGAGCGACCCCCACAATTTGCTTGGCCCGAGGGAATGCCAGAGCCTGCCGAAGTCCAGACCCGAGTCGTTCAGCTGATGAAGTTCCACCGCCGTGTGATGCAATACAACTACGGAAGGCTTTACAGTGGCAGCGCGGTGCCGTCTTTGTCTGCTATCAATAACCCGGGACACGAAAAGACTCCTGGTGACACATCCAATACTTCAATCGCCTCCTCGCTGTCGCAGGTCAACTCTGTCAACTCTGTCCAATCTCGTTGGTGCTGCGGCGAAGACGCTGAACTGTTCCGCGAACGTTGGGAGAAGCTCTTTGCCGAGTTTTGCGACCACGAAAAGGTGGATCCTAGCAAGATATCCGAATTGTACGACACGATGAAGTTTGATGCTCTGCACAATCGGCAATTCCTGGAATGGGTCTTCTCACCCCCTTCCAACATGCTCGAAGAAGAATTCGGTATTGTATTCGGAAAGGACGGAAAGTCTATGTCGATGACCTCGGAAGATTTTGCTGCCAGACCAGTGCCGGACGACAAATCTGAAAAGGGTGCCAACCTGACTTCTCCACCTTCGGAAAGAGCAGACAGGTCAGAGCGGCCTGAGCGCACTGAAAGAGCCGAGTCTGAGGCTCAGAAGACCGTTCGCCGGCTGTTCAGGAAACGATCGTGGATGAAACATTCTAATGAGACCGCTCAGGCTGAACAGTACTTTCACCTGCACAAGGGTGGCAGTCCTACCAAAGCCAAGACCGAGGCTCGATTTGAGCCACTCAGAGAGATGTATCAACTCGCAAAAGTACTCTTCGACTTCATTTGTCCGCAGGAGTACGGCATCTCCAACAGCGAAAAGGTAAGTACTCTGGTGAAGATGTTCCCAATATAAATTGAAGCTGACTTCAATCACGATGTAGCTCGAGATTGGCCTCCTTACTTCTCTACCGCTCCTCAAAGAAATCGTGCAGGACCTGGAGGAGATGCAGGCATCCGACGATGCCAAGTCCTTCTTCTACTTTACGAAGGAGTCCCACATCTACACCCTACTAAACTGCATTTTCGAAGGTGGCATAGAGACAAAGATCAATCGCCGGACTATACCCGAGTTGGATTATCTCTCCCAGATCTGCTTTGAGCTCTACGAATCAGAAATTACGGTCGCTCCAGGCGCTCCTCCACCGGAACAGCCGACATTCAACTACAGTATCCGCATCACTGTCAGCCCTGGCTGCCATATATACGATCCGCTTGACATCCAGCTGGATAGCAAGCACTGCATCGGGTGTGCACCAAGGAGGAGCCTGACGCCGCACAGCGACTGGAAACAAGTCATCGAAACGCTTCGCGCCAAATTTCATCAGTGAGTTTTTATCCCAATCGGGACGCGTTTTTGTTGGATTGCAATGGCTCATCAGACATCTTTGAATTATTTAGAGTCAAGCTGCCAAAGAGCTTTGTAGCAGTCAACCTGTCCGACGCCTTCACCTTCCAGGAGAAGGAGCAGCATCATTCCGACACCGAGGCCGCGCACAAAGGACAGGAAGATGCTGAGGCAAATGACGACGGGCTCGAATTCAAAGCCGTTGAGCATACCAAGCAGACTACTGCTACTGCTACTCCAACTGCTGATGCTCAATGAGCGTGCATTGTTCACACCAACGATACGCCGCTCGTGTTGAGCAGATTGGCCATTCCGTGGCAGCGGCCCTCTGGTCCTGACCACTGGATCGTCGTTAGCGTTCTTCGAAAAACCAATGATTCCGATCATATCTTTATTTGCAAGTAGATATTACCATCCAGCGCAAGCACATCGATTGTAGTAGAAGTATAGGATCATACGCACAACACGGGATTATACAATAGAAAACTGGGCGGCACAGCGCTGCGCGACGCCAGAAGGAGGCAGCATAGTTTTACACTGTAGCGATAAATCTACCATTTCTGACCCCAGACCGATTTGTACCGGGCTGTCGTTGGGCAGGACTAGCCTGATGTAACTTGGGCTGGCATTTGCGTGCAGTGACAGCAAGTGCAAGTCTTGAACAAACCTTTACGGGTGTTCAAGCAAACCCATGCACGTTCTGTCACAGAATACGAACAGCTCCGATGATACAGCTTCACATGCACCAGGAGGAACCACCGACCCCCGGATCTCGCTACTGTTGCACACAAAGAATTCGGTCATCTCGGGGGACAAACGTCTTCAACCCCTTTTCATGACAACATAGAGAAGGGATATAATTAAGGTTCGGGTTTCCTCCCCCTTGGACCCCTGGACCTTTGCCTGATCTGCTTGTGGACGAAGGGCACCTAACTCTCCTGAAAACTCACCCCCCTCTTTTTGTTTTCGCGAAAGTCAAGAGAGGATGGGCTCGAGGGGAGGGAACAGACTGAAGGATGTGGAAGGCAATCAAGGACGCGGCCCCCCAAGAACGGCGCAGACTGGTTGGCGGTCGGCAATTTTGTCTGGACCGCAAGCCTCTCCGTGTGTGGAGAGGTTACATGGAAGGACGGAATATGTTATGCCGACGGAAAGTTTGAATTGCGTGACAGGCATGGGATGGGGCCGGCATGTACTGGCTCTGGGGACCGGTCAGTTCCCCCCCTTCTCGCCTGCCTGCCAGCCACATGGCTCAGGGAGGGAGTCGGGTGCGAGAGGACAGGTTTCGTCCTTGCTAAAGGCGCTCTTCAAACGGCTCATTCGAACGGGGGAGCAGCACAGCCTTGATCGAAGAAGGTTCGGATTCTAGGATACCTAGGTGGCGTCCCCGATGTGTTAATTTGCAAGGGTCAGGCCGGTATCAGTCATTATCACGTGGGAGGGCAAGGGGGAGGATCCTTTGCTCCGCTGAGGATTTCGAGCGCGGCAAGTGAGGTGCCGTCCAAGGCTTGACACAATGTTTCAAGCCTGTGTAATGGGCGGAACGGAGGATCCTGATAAGGATCGTATGGTCTCGTTCCAGGGCGCGAACGCCGTTTTGTGAGGCGCCCCAGCGAGAAATATATTGCTTTCGTTCTACAGCACGTAATGTCCCAGCTCTGTGTAAGCCACACGCAAGCTTAGCACATGTGGGAGCACGGGTGCAAGTTTGATTACGTGGCCGAAAACCTCGACAGCTTCTCGCCAAAGAAGGTGCCGACCGAGACCACACCAAACAGAGCTCGCCAAGAACGGCTGACGTGGGGATCAATCTATAAGCATGTGTTCTTGGTTGTGGATAGATGTATTCTTGTGGTATTTTGGCTCACTGGCTCACTGGCTCACTGGGCCAGGGTATCCCCGTTTCCCGATCACGAAATAGACAGAGGCGCCTGCCAATCTGGATTTCGTGGCGAGCAGGCATGCACAGACACATTCCTCGAGCTGTTCCAGCGGCCACTCACCTCCCGAGGTTGCAAAGCGATCGATCGCGGAACGTCGTCGCAGGTCGGATTACATTGGGCGTCTTTTCCCACGAATGGTGGCAAGGCGCAATGGGTTCTCCTGGATACTGCGCTGTGCCACACATTTGACCGCTTGATGAGCCCAGCCTTTGGTCGACTCGGTCTTGCAGCGGGCCATGACTTTGCTTGAACGAGGCATCCCTTGACGTGGGTGCAGACTCCCCATGGCAGTCCCAATTGACTTCGCGCTTGCCTGCCAGGAGGTCTATGGAGGACCGTAAATGGTGTGGGACTCTGTCAACCGCACGTTCGACTTCCCGGGATGCCTTCGGAAGTCGCCGCCGAACTACAAGCTCTTGAAACGCAGCCCAAACACGCACGAGAGCTCTCTTTATTGCAATTACGTGGCGACCACCGCCGCCTGACGCCGTCGGGGCTCTAGGTTCTTTGAGATCCTTGGCAACCGTATGGAGGGGCCCATGCCTCCCACGAGCGTCGACGAGGAATCCTGTCGGGCAACGGGAAACAGGCGGCTATACCATGTGGGGGTTGCAAGGACAGCCGTGGGTGGTGCCAGCTGGGGGTTCTGGGGTTGCCAGGGCGTGAGATGTGCCGTCGAGGTGGCCTGAGGTTGTCCATCTTGCCCGCAAGTGCGGCCACAAAGACTGCGCGAAAGCCAACGCCAGGCGCGTGGAGGAATCAGCTTCCCATGACTCTTATGGCATCAGGTCTACCGACGCTGGCAGTGACCTGTTGCCATCCTCTAACTACACAAGACGTACAGCCATCTTCTGATGTGCCTTTTTGGGGCGACTTGCGTGATGCGCCCAAGGCAGGCCCCACTTGCCGATGCAAGGGGTCTACGGCCTCCGCCGGCCCGGTGCTTAACGGTGTCTCCACCGCACAGAGGTGCGTGCTGCAGGTACTGGAGGAGCACCGACTGGCCGGGACAGTGTTTGTCGCCTCGCCGTCCACGTCCAGCCAGCCGTTTAGCAAGACTTGGTCTCAGGCTACAGAATGCAGTATCCGGATCCCTGGTCGGTGGGCCCTGCCCGGCATGGTCGGTCTCAAATCGTTCCCTGACAGCAGGTCTCGTTCGTGTGTGGTGGCAGGGACGCCAGTCGCAAGCAGGGTCCCGGCACAGTTGGGGACAGGGAGGTCGAGATTGGGCAGCAACAACGGCGTGGGAACGCGCCGTCTCTTGCGGCCAGCGAGTTGCGACCTTCGCCCAGGGTTGCTGCTTTTCGCTAGACCTGGGACGGACGCGCCGCCGTCTTGTTGCTGGGAAGAAGGGTTGGCTGTGGGCAAGTTTGCCAGCATCCGCACCAGGAATGGGCCGCTGTGGTACGTGCCGTGTTCGAGCAAGCGAGGGTGCGCGGGTGGCCGAGCTGGACGGCAGGAAATTGGGTTCCTGAGCACTCCGTAAATGGCCTCAGGCGCGGGCGGTCCTGGAGAGCCCGTCCGTCAGAATGGTCGTCGCGGTGATAGGTATAGACAAGTACGTAGGCAGGCGGGCAGGAGACGAGGATGTGTGACGTCGCCTGCACCCCTGGCAGGGGGTAGCAGAGCAGCAGCCCTGGAGGTGTGTGGCTGACTGACTGACTGACTGGCACGTCGTCGATGGAAGGTTCCCCCACCCATGCAGCAACCAGCAGGTGCGACCGCTAGACCGGCTTGGGCAGCTGCTGACGCCGCCAGTGGCCAAACCCCGGTCCTCCTTAATTGCCCGCGACTGGCGTCGCACCCGACTAGGAAAGCTCGCACGATCCGCCCTACCACATGCCCTCAGTCGTCTCGATGGAGTGCCATTTCCCGACAGTCACTCCGCTACGATGTCCTTGCGCGCGTGCAGCCACAGCACGTCCTCTCCTTTGCGCCACCACTGCACGGGATGTAGTGGCAGCCGTGTGATGGCCGACCGCGTGCGATCGCAGGTCTCCCGGCAGCCCAAACCAGCGCAAGCACAGAGGAGAGCCTTGGCCGAGCATGGCTAAGCGCGGCCGCCATTAGAGTTTGCTTAACGGCGGGCTCGACGGGACTTTTACTCTAGCGCCTGGCCGAGAACCACTACATACGATGGAACAAACGCCCAGGTCCCGTGCTAGGCGGCGCCTGCGTTGGTGCCTCGCTGGGCTACAGCCATTCTCCCAGTTAGGCAACGACGCCAGGCTTCACGTTTTGGCTGGCGAGCGCGTACGACGACGACGACGACGACATCTACGGAGTACAGCCGTGGCTCGTGAGCTTGGACAATACACGCGCCAGAGCACCCCCTGCAGGCACCGCTGGTTCTGGCCCTGTGAGACCGCCAGAACCCATGTGGCGTTGTGACACAGAAAAGCCAAGATTCCGCAAGGTCCACGCAGGTTTATTAGACGAGGAACGGCGCGGAATTACTGCGTAGAGGCGGACAACCCCGGCCTCACCAAAACTCTGGAACAGTCCCACTTTTGGATCCCGCTCGCGAACCTTGAACGTGCTGACAACCCAGTCCTTACCTCCGGTGGGCAGAAGGCCATGTTTCGTGTCAGCCGGTCCAGCAGCCCACTCCCACTGGCGATCAGAAGAGACGTCCCTAGGACTTCTAGACTACCTCCTTGTTCGTCACCCAGCGAGCCAGAAATAGGCCTCCTGCTTGGGCCACTCTGGGTTCCTCCACGTTCACCCTCGAACCTATGGAGTATGCACCCTGCAACTGAGACATCAACTTTGACTCTGGTCATGGGGGTCACAGGCTTGTCGTGATGGCAGAGCCCGAGAGTCGTGACGGTATTAAGGGGTCCCAACTTAGACTTTCTGCAAGCATAAGAAGCTAGCGTCACATGTTGCCATTCCCCCCTTTGTTCTTGCTAAACAACTGCTTGGGACAAACACTGCACCTGCCCTGTCCTGCTCGAACCGACGACTCTTCACGGTGAATCATTCCACATCTCCGCAGCGCCCTCCCGCCTCTATCATCGCATCCAGAAGCCTTGCGGAGCAAACAGAGCCTTACCGGTCCATGTTGTACACGATAAGCTTGCTTACGGGCCGCAAGATCGTGGGCAGCTTCAAATTCTGATTCCGCACCAGAGCCGCGAGATAAAAACCTGCCCTCTTCCTCGGCTACAGTAGCGGCCGGTACACCAACGAGACAGACGACCAAGAGTGTCACAGTGATCATCGCGGCCCTCCCCGTCTTTGAAACTCGTTCTCCACAGTCACCACGTATCAGTCCAGGTCAGGAGAGACGTCGACTTGTGTTCGACGTCCTAAATCATCATCTCCTTACGCTAGAGCATCAGCACTCGATCCCTCGTCGACCGGCTGTTCCAAAGTACGCACGATCCACAGTCATCATGGCTGTGGCTGGCACCTGCGCGCACTCTTTTCGAATCATCAAGTCAGACAGCACACTCGTCCAATGGGTCTGCTACATGTGCCACTCTGGACCACATTGGTGGATTTTCGAGTGCCGCTATTGCAGGATACACACTTGCAGAGCATGTGTCCAGGTCGTCTGAACACCAGCTCAGCTCGCCAGCTCAGCCCAGCCTACCCACGCCACGTGGGAGCCTGAAGAGCTGGTGTCCACAAGTGCGGCTTGTTCACAGGCGGCGGGTTTCGAGCGATCTGGCGACCTGGAACAAAGCATGTTGCCACAATGGCCAAGTCTGTTGGGGCAGGAGCAGCCGAAGCCAGCGTCGCCCTTTCAGCATTGTTGAGGTCTCCAGGCGAATCTCAAGCCCCCAAGACTCCCTCTCCATGTACATACTATCTCTGGATTAAACACCATTACCAGCCGATCACAGAAACCGATTACGCCGAGCAGACTTCGCCACATGCGACAACGCTTGACGCAGCTAATGGCTGGGGCTGGAACCCATCGATCAGGATTGATACTACACACAATGGCATTATCTTGTCTGGAGCTCGAGAACGCAGCAATATTGTCCAATCACCGCGATTAATGGGGCCGGCCTGATCACCGAGTGGCTTACACATCCATACGACACGGCAAGAACATCCGGTGCCAATCACGGAAAGTCCTGTCGCATTGAATGCCATAGCATTGGCCATTGAACAGTGCGACCAGCACCAGTCCACCACAGTATCTTTGTTCCAGCTAGCTTGGTCCCTGGCGCTGAGATGGCGAGCACCCCGGCAGATTAAACACTCGCTTGCCATGATGCGCTGCGCAGAGGCTATGCTAGCGGTGAGATCGGAACCAACGCCGTGTAGATATATGCTAGTGCTGATCTTAAATCTCGGATCGACTCGGAAGAGTCTGACACATCGCGACCAACATAATTTGTGGTCAAGGATGGACGAGCGCCCAGATTTCGCCACTGCCCATTCACGCTCCCAGGGGGCTGTCAAAGCGTTGCATCAGACAAGCCAGGGGTGGCTCTGAGCAAGGATTCATCGAGTGCCACGGCCTGTCTCAGCTTCTGCTACTTCTGCTGAACGTCCTCGTTCGAAGCAGGACTGTTGTCGCTGAATTCGTGAGGCACAGGCACTTGTTGTGACCGAGCTAGCCCGGATCAGACAGTTAGCAACTTCATAAAACAGGAGTGCTTCTTAATGCGGTAGGCATGACGTAAAGGCGGAGGATGGAGATGTGGTCCCCTGCGGCAGTTGCCGAAGCAGCGTTGCTACCCTTGCTTGTGTGAAGGAGATCTCCAGGGACAGCGAGGAAAACGGGACGAAACACGGTCATCAATCTATGTGCGGATTTCGGGCATTCCCATGCCACATCTTTAGCTCAAGCAAGATTCCGGTCATTTCAAGCAACAAATGCATCTCTAAGCTCGCCACCTGACGTCTTTTTGGAAGGCGCCGGTGCTTTGCGATTAGACATTAGCACCCTGGGCCTTGATGACGAAATGCAGCAGAATGCCTCGGTCTGCCGTGGGTTCGGGAGAAGAATCCCCGGCCGTTCCTGACAGGTGTCTTACAAAGCCAGATCTCCAGATGACGCAAGTTGGAGAACAAACGGAGAAATCGTGCCATCAAGTCTTGGCTCTGAAAATACTGGTGTGGACTCCCCCCCCCTCCCCGTCTCCAGCCGCAACGGGTCTCCCTCTTTGATTCGACCCCAAAGGATTCCTCAGACCTGCGCCCCGATTGCTGGCCGCCCGATTGAGCTCTCTGGGTCCGATGCTTGCATGGACGACATGCCGGGCCTTTGCTGTAGACATGTGCGATCCTCGCCCGTCCAGTCGATGGCCGCCGCAGCGCCGTGCCGGCCTGGGAGCGCACGCTGCCAGTCAGTCGGTGGTGCAAGAGCTCTCGCCACGCCGACATGACGCCATCCGGCAGAGAGTCGGGAACCAGGCCGAAGGGATTGAGTCCGTCAGCAGGTAGGGCAGGGCAGGCTCGACTACACACGGAGCCGCAACTGCAGCTTGGGGCAAGGCTTCTCCGCTGGAGTTGTCTGTGTGGGCAGGACGTCGCCATGGGAGGGGCTTCCGTCTGTAGCGACCTGGTGAGTGGAGAACGGGGCCATGATCGCGATTGTTGTGTTCTGTGTTGAGGAGAGCCAACTAGGGCTATGGATAGTCGGCACTGATGTGGCGATGGACAGCATGGCTGAGAACACTTCCATGACGGCGCTGTTCCGTTCTCCTTTGGGAACTGGTTTCCGGTTTGGGTCATTTGCTTGGGGTTTGTAGAGATGCACTTTTCCAAAGGACAGTGGATTGGAAGTGCGAAGCCGCGGATCAGATGTGATGTCTTCTCAAGCAAGATGCAAAGTCTTTGGGGCTCGGCTCTTTTGCCATGGCGATGTTATCAAGTGCCATTGGCTCTGTACATGTGAAGTCTGTGTGGAGCGCATTAGTCCTTGTACTTGGGCCACGCCCACACGCCGTGCTCCGTGTTGCGCCTCGTCACGACGACCTCGTCACCAACATGAACTTCAACGCCCTCGCTTTCTATAGCACCGGTCCTCCTGTTATTGTCCTCCACAGCACCTCCAAGACCACCACCCTGCTGTCCGGCCACGGCCGCGCCGACAAGGTAGCCGTAGCGCCCAAAGATGGGCGTGTACTTCTCCCCGACGTCGACGCGGCGGTCGCGCATCAGTTTCTTCAGCGCGGTGCCTTGCTCGCCCTTGGCTGTGCGTCCCGTGGCGTAGTCCACGTTGATGGAGTTGCAGCGGCCGCAGTTTGCCGTGAGTTCGAGCGTGCACTGTGGCCGGCGTGCGGCTGTACTCGTCGTGATCGCCGTGCTCTTTGCTGGTGGTGATGATGATGTTGCGGCGTCTGTAGGTGCCGGCGAGATGACAAGCTCGGCCCAATAATCCTCCTCCCATGGCTGGAGCTGGTCTGCCTTTGCTACTGTGTCCATCCTGACTTGTCCGTCTTCCGGTCCGGCGGCGCTGGGGCTCTTCACATCGTTCGCCCTGTCGTCGTCGTGCTCCTCATCTACGACAATGTTGGGCCGGAACTTGGTCATGTCCATACCTGCGCTGCCCTCATCTTCAAAGCGTCGGCTAAAGTCCCGTAGCGAGGCGCGGTTGGTGACAAGGAACGGCGCGCTCTCGTTGTACACGAGCGTTGGCTCGCGTGCTGATGGTGACGCTGATGCCGAGCTGCCAAAGACAGACTGAAGCAGGCCGGCTGGAAAATATGACGACATTGTCGACGATAACCCTGACGGCAACAAGCCCCCTCCCATTCCGCCATTAACATCACCACTACCGCCACCACCGGGAAGGTGCGCCAGGATCTTCCTCTGGAAATCGCCCACGTACACCAGATGCGCCTCGTAACCGAGACATGCAGAGAACCACGCGTCGTAAGGGTCGCCCATGCGGTAGCCGGCGCCTCGGCTGCCCATGAGGCTGACATCCACGATGGCGCATCCCCGGAGGAAGTCGGCGGTGGGCTGCAGCGGGACGAGCAGTGGTTGGGACTGGGAAGGGTGAGACGGAGCGACGGGGGTTTCTGGGATGTTGTAGGTCACTTCGATGGTATCCGGCTCCGCGTCGGGGTCTTGCTGCTGCTGTTCGTCCTGGTCAAGGGGCCGGTGATGATCCGACCCGTTGACGACGAGGCGCTGTGAGAAGAGCGCCGCCTCGGGCATCTTGACTACCTGGACGGGTTTGTAGCTCGTCGTCGCTGCCGCCGCCGCCGACGACGACGACTTGCTGGCTTCAGATGCGCCATCGGCGCCGGCGTCCTTGGGAGCAACGACCTTGAGCAGCATAAAGCGCCGGTCATGCTCGACGCCCTCGACCCTCAGGCGGGCGCGCTGGACGGCGCATGGCCGGAGGGACTTGATTGGGTAGATGTAGAGCTGTCACGAAGAGGTTAGACATAGTTCGCCCCCCCGGGGTGGACATGCGTGTGTACGTAGGGATGTATGCATGCCCGGGGCATTACGCACTTCTGATATCTTCATCTTGGTCTGGCCTTTTGCGGGTGGCTGTCGTGGGATAGGAAGTGAGATGAAGTGGGATAGTGGGATGCAACCGTGGCAGGTGGCTGCAGTCAAGGCTCTGCTGTCCGGAGGTGAGACGTGCCTAGTCGAAACGGGTCGGTTTGGGGATATTTGCCCAAACAGGCAGGGCCAACCAGGCCACGCTCCTGGTTTCCTCAACAGAACAAAGGACGCGGGACGAGGCGGGGCGACGAGAATGGAAGGTCTCAAGTAGCTCGGCTCCGGCAGAGGATGATGACTCGAGCTGCTTCTTCAGGTGCGAGATCCACCAACCCGACTGTAAAGCACTCGCAAGCCGAACCAGTGGTGAGTTCGGCATTTCCTCCGCCCGTCGGCACCGAATCGCGGCCGTTCCGTGGCCGACCGACCCCGCCATGTCCGATGCCCGCGGGCACTCGGCACCCCGGGCTCACCGGCAGGCAGCTCCTTCGCGGCCGGAGCAGAGCATCTCGGGTCACACAGATACAACTCCACATCACACATGCTCTTGCTTGCTGCATCGTAGAATGGCACCGACATGCATGCTTGTTACGTCTGCGGAAAAGAAGGAGCCCACCACAAGTGTATGTTGTGCACAAATGAAGAATATCCCTTTGACCACTATTCAATCTCCAGCCGTAATGCATCATACTGCACATAGACCGACCGCGCCAGCACCGCGCTCTCATAGTCCGTGGCGTTGTACGGCAGGCTCAGCACAATCTCGTTTTCCACACCTGCACGCAGCAGTCCGGCATCAAAGGTGAACTTGTGCGCGAGATTGTAGCAAATCACCGCCGACCGCACTGCGCAGGAGCTGCTCTGGTAGTACCTAGGTATGTAGGTTTTAGTATGCGCGGCCTCGTCATGACCACTGCAGGCAGATACTTACGGGATGACCCACGGCTCCAGGTCCTGCCCGTTCACGCTGATCGTGTACCTCAAATTGGCGTGCGGCTCCGTCGCATTATACACGTCCGTGTTGCCCGCAGCCGTCTTTGCACCGGCTAGCTGCACCGTAAATGTGGCTTTCCGAGACTGCGGTCCTCCCGGCCCCGGCCCCGGCGGTTTTGGTGGTCCCAGAGCATGCTTGTCGACATCAAACTGGATAGTCCAGTTGTTCACGTCGCCGTTGCCGATGTACGGCTCTGTGCGGATCGAGTTGCCGTACCCGCCAAACACGCTCCAGTGGACGTAGTTGAGATCTCTTCCAACATCGCTCTTGCCGACCTTGTATTTGATGCCATCAGGGAAGTCATTTACAAAGTCATGAACGGGCCTGTAAGACGTGAGTCAGTGATTCAACTGCGCGAAAGCAGTGTTCGCAGTTCCTTTCAAGCACGGCGGCTAGGCAAGGAGACTCACCAATATATGCGGTATTCCTCCAGGTGAGCCGGGTGGCTTGCATCACGCTGGTATCCATGACGATACTCACCGCTACTCTTGTCTGGAGATCCGATGCGGAAGATCTCCCTGCCCGCACTCTCCTCCTTCCACGTCGCAGCGAAGTTCTTGGTCTTGCTGGCAGCCACAACGACATTGTCCTGCACGTACTGCCCAAAGACGCCATCTGCATAGACGGTGACGCGGTATGTCCCGGCCTTGACACGAGGAATCGTGGCTCTCCCCTGCTTGTCTACCTCCGCCCAATACTGATACACTTTCGAGTCGTAGACGTTGTCCTGGAAATCCACTCCATTCTCAGATAGCACTACAATGGCATTCTTGGCGTTCCTGGGGAGGTCGATCTTGGTCTTGAACACGCCACGCGCCTTGCTGGTGACGTAGTTTGGGATGTGCTTTGCGATCGAATCATAAAACGCCGTGTTCCACTCGGGGTTGGCATACTGAGCTGCATCAGCGCGTAGTTTTAGGATGTCCGTGCCGGCTGGGAAGTGGTTGAAGTGGTAGTATTGCTATCACAAGCCCATCTGACATTAGCATTTCAGCTTGCATGACGATCTTGACGCTGGCTGAAGTTACGTACTGGTCCAAAAGTACGATCGAAACCATGGGTAATGTTGGGCTGTCCCAACCTTCCGTCAGTCTACACTCAGCACGCAGGAGAAGTATTTGAAGACTCACGGTCTGATCACCATGGTGATTAGACACTATGTATGAAAGTTAGTGCCAGATTCGACGACCTGACCAGACACCGGAAGAGTGCTCACCCATGTAGTCGTACACAATACCATCCACAACCAGGTCAGAGTGCAGCGGGCCACCGTAATAGGTCTCGAGCGTGTTCATCACCAGCCACGACCCAAAAACGGATCCATCAGCAATCTGAGATCCGTCGGCGTACCTGCATTTGGGTTTACGTCAGTGCTTTGTCCATGTTCGGTTTTGAGTCCTGAACAACACTCACATGCCGTGAACTGGGTGGTCGCGCCAAGTGTCTTGGAAAGTATATTTCGTAAAATAGTCTGCGACTTGCTGCACGTACGGGTCTTCGGGGGTGTTGCCAAGATACCATGTCGCGTCCTGAACTACGACCTGTTTAGCCTTGGCGGCAGCTCCAGGCAGCGGTCCGTAGGTCTGCTCGTTGGTCAAGAGGTGCGTCCACATGTTTGAATTTGGTCTGAAGAGCGTGCGGAACTCTTGTAAATTTCTGAGGAAGGGGACGGAAGAGTTGTAATACGCAATGCGTGAGAACGAGTGCAGGCCGGTCTCGCCATCGCGCAAGAACCAGTACTGCTCCAAAATCTGGCCCGTGGGGATGTAAGTATCGGTCATTCTGATTCCGGCATAGCTTGTGCCGGTCGAGTCGACCCCCGAGTAGAGCTCATACTCCGGGTTCGAGCTCCCAGGCGTCCAGAACCCCTGGGGAGTGCTGATAGAAGTGTTACTTCAGTCTGGCTGCAAGTGACCTCCTTGTCAGACGGGACATACCAGTAGCAGTCGAGATACAGAAGTCCCGTCGAGCCCGAGGGTACCCCTAGAAGATCCTGGCCATCTAGGACCAAGGCATTGATAGCTCCCTTCGCCTTACCCACGCTGGCGAATAGGTGGTCGTTCTGGATGGTGATGCGCGCGGGATCCTCGGTGGCATTGATCTTGGCAAGTGTGCCACACGCAAGCAACGAGACGAGAGTCCCTGCCGTGATGGCAGAGAACCTGGATATCACCATTACCAAAGCTTGCAACCCCAGAACCTTTTTTGGTCTTTACAGATGGATGCTAACGAGTGACGAGGAGCCATGCTGTCGGTGTTTGTGGGTCGAGTGCATGGTTATATACTGACTAGCCGGGTGAATAGGACCCCTGGCAGGCTGATGTGGTGATGTAGTCGTGTGCTGCCAAGACTGGACTATTATTGACTGTAAATCCGGGGAGTCTTGTCCAGATTGGTCCCGATCTCAGAGCTCTCCACACACTTGCCGCTGTGGCAGGAACCCCGGTGCGGAGAGATGTGCTGGGAAGACTGTATTGTGTCTCCCTCGATGGCCAATTTCCGCGTCGCTAGTCGAGGCATGGGCGACACGGAGAAACCCTTGAGAAGTCAATGGGGCTCGGGGTATCACGAACCGAGCTGCCTGTGCAGGGCCTAGTGCGTGCCTGAGGAGAAGTTCCATGACTGAGTTTCTTCAGGGAGAGCACTGAGATTAGCGTCAAGGATAAAAGCAGATCAGCCAGCTTCGGGAGACAGTCGTGAAATGGCTGGGCGCCCTTTGTTCCCTGGTTTATGCATTTATTCGCTGCTCGTGGCTCATCGGCTGTGTCGTTCTCTCAGTCTTCATGTAAGAACCTTTAGGAAAGCGACACGGCAGGGCTTAAGCATGGCTTTGTCGTTGGATTGGGGCCAAGGGGCACTAATATCGAGCTTCTGGAGGGTCGAGAGAGCCCAACGTTTTCATCTTCATTCGGCCAGTTCAACATTGCATTGGCAGTAGGCATGATCGGCAAGGTAAGCGTAATTGGGAGGACCCTGAGAGTCGCAGTGGGGCAGTCACGCACCTCAACCAGGCACCCCACCGTGCAAGGGTGTCGTTCTCCTAGCGGGTACACACTGGGCTATCACGACGGGTCTGGCTCATAGAAGCAGCTCGCACGCAGAGATGCTCATGACTGGCTGACTGACTCACTGCCCATTCTTTGGCAAGGGCACAACATCACCTCTTGAGGTTCCACGGCAGAGATGGATATTTCCGAACTAGACCAGGATGTGATTGTACAGCAGAGCTCGGCAGGCCTCATTGCAGACTTTGACCGCTCCCTCGGCCCATTCCTCCGCAAGCCGAATGGTCACCTGCGAACCCGGGTCAGAGTGCGTGAGGTGGCCCGTTTGACATCACAGGTCAGTCCCATGCCTCTTGTGTGGTTGAAGCTTTGCGAGGGCTGACTTGTGTGCTGAAAGCATAGATCCTTGAACCATTTCAAGAGTTACCACAGCTGCTCGACTCTCATCTGCCGCGATGGCTGCCTGCTCTCTCAGAGGCATACCTCGCATGCCTGTCCACCCGCCAGAGGTCTCGCTCGCTGTCTGCACGATCCCAGTGGCTGACCCCCCTCCCGGATGCAATCTGCAAAGTCCTCTACACCTTTTGCAAGATCCGAGGGGACAAGGTCATCGTCAGGTTTCTCAATGTCGAAACTAGGTATCTCGAACTTCTGCTGCATTCTCTTGAGCAGGCCGAGCGACAAACCGCCGTCCCTGCTCAAGATGGAGAGTCACAACCTCCGAATGGGGCACAATGGTCATGGCACGAGAGATACATCGTCTTGCTGTGGCTATCGCAGCTGTTCTTCGCCCCTTTTGATCTCTCGACCATCTCTACTGGGGATGCCGATGATGTGGAGCAGCCTACCATTTCAGGCTTCGCGTGGCCCGACAGTGTTCCAGGCATCACTTTAAGGGTCATCCCTCTCGCAATTCAATTCTTGTCCTGCCCCGGCAAGGAGAGAGATGGTGCAAAGGCACTTCTCGTGCGCCTAGCCATGCGAAGAGACATGCAGGAAGCGAGAATACTCAATGCTCTCATCCACTGGAGTCTCCACACACTCAAGACCGCAAGCGATCCGACTTCAAGGTCACCGTATTACTACATTGGGAGTCTCAGCTTCATTGCTGGCGTTCTCAGATCGTCGATGGATACGTCCATCATGGACTCCCACCTCTCCGAGATCTTTTATGCCATAGAGGCCATCGCATCGAGCGATGACGAAATTTCGACTTTCATCAAAGGCTCTGCGTTGGCACGGAAGATGATGATCAAGGTGATTCGTTCAACGGCTACGCTGGTACTACGAAAGCAAGATCAGTCCATGAGCGAATCTGAGTTGATCGAGACGTCGATAGGATTTCTGCTGGAACGACTGGCGGATAATGACACACCTGTCAGGCTGGCTGCTTCCAAAGCCCTTAGTGTCATCACTCTGAAGTTGGAAGCCGACATGGCGTCGCAAGTGGTCTCAGCTGTATTGGAGAGCCTCAATCGCAACGTACTCTGGCTACCCAGCAAGATCAACTCAGCGACTGCTCCGCCCAATCGGGATCTCACGGCTGTTGACCCCCTCGAATGGCATGGGCTAATGCTCACGCTAGCGCATCTGTTGTATAGACGATCTCCACCGACCGAGGATCTGTCTGACATTGTACATGCCCTGTTAATGGGTTTGACGTTTGAGAAAAGAAGTCCATCGGGCAGCCTGATCGGCAGCAACGTCAGAGATGCCGCTTGCTTCGGGATATGGGCTTTGGCTCGCCGTTACTCTACCGCGGAACTTCTGCAAGTGCCCAAGCACTCTGTCCAGATTGCAAGGGGCCACGATGCCTCAGTTTCCATCCTTCAGGTTATAGCAACCGAGCTCGTGGTCACGGCATCCCTTGATCCAGCGGGCAACATCCGGCGCGGTTCCTCGGCAGCTTTGCAGGAGTTGATCGGCCGCCATCCCGACACAGTCGACCACGGAATAGCTGTCGTTCAGACAGTCGACTATCATGCTGTTGCACTACGGTCTCGAGCCATCAATGCAGTTGCATTACAAGCCACTCAGCTATCCCTCCACTATGGTCGGGCTCTGCTTAATGCCACTCTGGGCTGGCGGGGCATAGGCGATCTTGATGCTGACGCGCGGCGAGTGGCTGCTCAATCGTTTGGGAACTTGACGGCCGAGCTTGCGCGAGCTGATCCAACGGCGACCGTGCTGACCTTTCAAAGTTCAATTGAACTGCTCATCAGCCATCTGAAGTCGTTGCAGACCCGGCAGGTCGAAGAACGGCATGGCTTGCTTTTGAGCTTGGCAGCAGTCATAGATGCCCTGCTGGTCATTCTGAAGCAAGAGGCACAGAACAGTACCAATGGCATCATAAGCTTGCCCTTCGTTGATCTCCCCGAAGCTCTGATATCGATCTGGTCGAATTCTGCCACCGTCAAATATCGCAAGCCAGAGCTCATAGCGGAAGCTGCAAGTCAGCTGTTCGTATCGGCAGCTCCATTACTGGTTCTGCTGGGCAAATCGCCGGATCAACTCAACTCATACTTGAAATCTGACCGTTTAAAAGCATCAGAAGTGGCCAGAGAGGCTACTGCGTCCACACTGCATGATATGACACTGAAGCTGGAATTTGCGGTCGATACATGGTTGGAGAAAGATGGAGACGACGTGACGATACCAGCATCAACCGCAGCACTTTGGTTGCTCGCTGTATCCTCATCGGAGCGCCGTCCTCACATTACCTCAACCTGGTGTGATGTTATAAGCCGTCCCCTGAGTGGGCAGAACTTCTACCATAACGGCCACTTCCGCGCACTAGTACGCGCGTATGAGATTCAATCTGTAGGCATCGACGTTTGCCAAGTGTTAACCAACCGTTGGAAGATCGAGCCATCTGTTGAACTCAGAGTAGCCATCCTGCAGAGCTTGCTTGAAAGGCAGATCCTCCAAGAAAACCCTGATGCTTTCTTGACGTTGATTGCAGAAGGACTGGATGACTACCACACCAACGCTCGAGGTGACGTCGGATCTCATGTGAGACTGGAAGCAATCAAGGCTACCAAGACCGTGTGGGCTACCAGGCAGGTCAGCCAAGAGTTTATGTCGGCCATCTTCCCGCGCATTCTGAAACTCGCCGCGGAGAAGCTTGATCGGGTACGCCTAGAGGCGCAAGCGGCACTGGCCATGGTATTGCCAGAAAGGTAAGTGTTGTATCCTCCAGCCGCTGTTTTTCCACCTGGAGATCAGGCAAGATCTTTGCCGCCACGTACTGACTTGATTGCACACACAAGTTCTGCAAGCGCGATCCGACACATGTCTTTCGCGTCCAAAGAGTACTTCACGCTACTTTTCAGCCTCTGTGACACCACGCAGCTCGATCAACAGATATGCGGCGAGTGGCACGCCGAGCCCGCCGACATGATCGCCAGCCTTCTTGCAGGCCTCGTGACGTCTGCCGACACAGGTAACGAGGACCTCGTGGTGGTAAGTCGCGCTGCCCTTGCTTTCTTCTGCGAGGAAAGCCCTTCCGGGAGTAAGTCAAACGGCAGCAATCCAGCTGGAGGCCACAACGATGACGACGTCTCGCGGCTTCGTAGCAATCTAACCCTTGTGGCCGATGCTCTCATCAACAACCTCAGGCGGTACATTCTCGAGAACCAGGATCGTGTCGTGCTCCCCACGCTCGAAGTCATAGCTTACCTGTTTCACATTGGGATTTTCCCGGGTTTTGACCAACACCAACCGCAGAAGAGCCAACAACAATTAGGCGGACCGGGACAAGCCGCAGCAGTTGCTACAGAAGATCCAATCAACCTCAAGAGACTTTGTCTGCTCGTGCAGAAAGCCGGCTACAAGACCGGCAGCGTGCGCAAGCTCGAAGCCTGCATCAGAGTCTACGGCGAGATTGCCCGACTCGGTGCTAGCAATGGGGGGAAGGACGACGCCGCCTCGCCCGTCATGGCTGTACAGCTGCAAAAGAGGTGCGAGGGCATCGCCGAGGCAAAGAAGCGCCTGGCGGCGTTGCTGGTGCACCCGTGGCCGAGGGTGCGCAGCGCAGTGGTGGACGAGCTCTGGGTCATGTTTCTATGCGAGGGACCGCAGCAGCAAGAGCAAGGCCAGAAGCAGCAGTATTTGGCAGGGATTGACTGGAGCAAGGCCGACAGGGCCAAGATCCGTAACCTAGTGGAAAACCTGGGGCTTGAGCAGCCTATGCAGCAGCAGCCGCAGACGCTCCCAGTTTGAGCTGGCGTACTGGCCGGCTAGGTCCATGTAGGATGGGGGATAAAGCTCCATGATATCAACCAGTATGCTCCTAAAAAAAGAGCGGCAATTGAAGAATCATAAATTCACATATAAATACGAATGAACGGTGGCGTGACCAGTGTCCCGGTCTATGATCCTTCAGTGGAGTTGCCTGATCGCAGTCAGCAACGAGGAAGAAATCTCGAAGCCGTGGAGCCTTATCTTTCCTAACATTGCAAGCAGGAAGCGCATTGATCAACCAACTCTGCCAACTTGCCTACCTGGGGCCCCCGTCTGGTAACCAACACAGAAAAGTGTCGCCTTGCGGGAAAAGACTTTTGAGGCGGCGGTGGCTGCCTGTGCCACACATGTGCCTAGCACAGAGATAAGCGCGGTACCGTAACGGCGGCGTGCAGGGTTGACGGTGATTGCCATCCATGTATCATACATATGTTAAAATTGTGGGTGCACCCCCCTCGATACACAGGGTAATAGCTCAGTGCAACAGTGAGACAGGACGGAGTACCAGGGGCTGTCTGCGGCAGGCGCACTTCAGCCGGAGACGGCAGGCAGGAGGAAAGGCGAACACCCCGTTGGAGAATGGCAGGTACAATGATAGGGCAAGACCCCTGTGTCGCACTCTAGGGCTCGCTCCTCCCACTCGCCCGGTCATCAACGCGTGGGGGACAGCCCAGCCAGCCGAAAATGCATGTCTCGTTATCGCAGCTTACTCCTGGGGGCTGCATCCCATCCCAACCATCACCGCAGCCCAGCTTGCACAGCCAGCCATGCGTGCCATCGGGCACAGGCAGCTGTCCGCTGGGCACTTTATAGCAAAGACCAGGAGTGTGCTCTCCTGGGAAGGGCGCGACGAGTACTCTGTACGCAGCCAAGAGATGACACTGCTATGAGATCTTGGGAGGGTGGACCAGGTCAACACCGTACCAAGGAGGCGGAATCACGTCCGCCTGCAGATCGCGCGGAGCATCCCGACCCGAGCCATTCGTCAACGCGGTCAGAGCCTGTGGAACAGCCGTCCACTGTCTGAAGCACAGTGTTGAGGGGAGTGCTCCATCACGGCACAGTACTGTACTCGCTGCGTGCTGGTGCCAATCAGGTTTTTGCAGGTGATGGTTGTGGTTATTGCTATTTGGAATGCACAGCGGCATCTTTACGGAGCGCGATTCGCCCGCTGATGGTGGATTCGGCCTGTTATTTGAAACCCCTCTTCCAGCAGCACCTGATCTTCCTGTTTGTTACTAGGCCTGCTGACCTTGGCGTGCTACGTGCCGACTCGCCCAGCTGAACAGACGAGCCCGCCGAGCGTGAATTCCAGGAACATGTCGAAATTCCCTCACATACAATCTGTTGGCTTATCACTGATTATAGAGCTGCTGCTTCGGTGCGGCAAGCCCCAAAGTCTGAAAGCTGTCCCGGCCGAGACAGAGATGGAGCCAAGCTAAATGCTAGCCCGCACTAACTTGGCGCGCATGCAACTAGGCCTCAAAAGGGCTCGGTCCCGGGCTCGGTGTCGCGCACAGACGCTCCATTCACACGTGGTCGATGCCAGGGCACTCGTGCTCGATGTTCTAGCCCATCATCCGTGGATGGCCAGAATGCAGTAGTAGAGTTGGTACTGACGCCTCAGCACGAGAGCAACGGAGACGGCAAAGCGATTACTGGCATTCAAAAGTGGATGGACTTGTTGCTTGCACTCTGCGACAGCGCGATGATCCAGCCATCGTGTCACCACATCTTGAAAGTAGCCGAGAACAATGGGACTCGGCCCTTTTCTTAAGCCTCCGTGGCTGCCGTGGTGGCTGCCGTGGGTGTCTGGAGCGCCAGCTGTCCAGGTCCCAACATCCGTCGAGGGCAGGCCGTTTCGCCAACTCCCAGACCTGTGCTGCCACACGCCCGCGCGTCGACGCCTTTTCACGTCTGTGTGATCCCTTGGTACCGTGGAGGCTGTACCAAGAGTGAGAGCACCAACATGTCTCGGCCAAAGCACAATATGTGTCACACGAGCCATTCCGATCGTGCTCAGAGATTCCCGCACCATCATTCAGGAAGTTGTTTAAACGGCCCCAGTCGTGGCAGCAAAGGGCGGCGGCGTCTGCTGTCTTTGCCAGAATTCAACTTTTATCATGGTCTTGCTTGTCGGCTGCACGAAGCTCGATTAGGGGCATTCATGATTGACTTTGTTTGTGCCTGTAGTGGCCTTTGTTGCTGTAAAGTTCAGCTTCCTCGGCCATGCCCCATGGTTTAGGTTGATCTACGCCACTAGCCGCGTGGGTAGCGAAGCAGCCAAAAGGTTCATCTTCAAAAACTATTGCGCCACTAAGCATTGGAGCAATCACTCCGCGCTGGTGGGGTGCCACTACAACCCCCCGCGAGGGCTCGACAACATGTAGTCATCTCGAGGTTGCGAGTTGCGAGGGCAGGACGGGAGTCAGTGCGCGGCAGCGTGCGATGCATGTACGGCTCGCTGCCTTCTTTTTTCTATTCCGCCTTTTAAGGTTGCCGGTCACGCCAGGCGCTGTGCCCTAATTACTGACCAGGCACACTCGAGTTGTTCCGTGGCTGCTTGCTTTCCCCTCGGGAATCCTCCAATTTTCGCTATCCACTCCAGTGCCTACGTACCTGGCCCAGTCAGGCATTGTGATAATCAACCAGGCACCCTTTATCTTTCGCCGGATCGGGCAGCCGGATCGGATGGCATTTCCTTTCCCCAATCTCGGATCCCCCGGTCCGAGCACACAATCACACACACACACACACAGATGCACACAACATCAGCCTTTGGTGCCTCTTCTTGTCTCAAGCCAGGCTTCGTCCAATCCATCCACGTGTCGCCAGAGTCAGCATTGCCGCTCCGCGCCGCTCCAGATGTCGCCCTCAACCAGTCCTGCCGAGACCCATCAGCTGCTCCGCCCGCGCAACCTCCAGGTCTTGCCACCCACTATCGCATCGCATCGCACCGCATCGCGTCGTTCCACCCTGTCAGCATCACCCCAACAGGGCCGACCCTGGTCCATGTCGAGGCCCGCCGTACGGGGCAAGGTCACCTCAGTGCAGTCACGGGGGGTAGGACACCGATGAAATCAGAAGTGGGCTGGGTCCAGCTGCTCCTCAGGCGGCCTGCCAATCAGTCATGGCTGGCTGAGGGCAGCGTCACCACGGCTGCCATCGAGGCTGAGGGAGCGCTGCGCGCTGCCCGCACACCACCGGCGCGACGACAGACCCCGCCCCGCCCCAAGCCCCCAAGCCCGGCCTAGCCCAGCTCGCCCAGCTCCTCCAAAGCTGGGGTCCTGGTGGGTGGCGCCGTCGTCGTGTGCAGGGCCCAGCCTGCCCAGCTAGCCTGCCGCCGCGCCTAGTTATCGCGGCCTGTGACTGGCGGGACCATGGCGACCGTTGGCTGCCACCCCCATCCCCGGGCTCCAGCACCGCTCCTCGGCTGCCCTGCCTGCTCCAGCGAAGCTCCTCCTGCTCCTCATTACTTACCCTCGCTCGCCCTGCACCTCGCCCGCTCGGCCCTGTTGCTCCCATCTACATCCCATATCTATACCGCACTCACGCCTCACCACCACTGCTCAGCCCGGGGAATCCATAGGCCACGACTACTGCTTGCGCAAGGGCATACAATTGCAGGCTCGAAGCCGTTCGTCTCTTCTCGGATAGTCGCACCACACACACAACAACCACATGCTGTGGGCCGGTTCCTGCGCACGGCCTCGGATCTGCGCTGCAAGCAACTATTGAGCTTCAACGCCTAGCTCCCATCGCAAGCCACTCATATGCCCGCATGAAAGAGACGTAATACCTGCCACCCGCCGCAGTCCATGTCATCTTCTTCAACTTCTCACCGGTCCCCATACCCCGAGCTGATGAGTTCGCAACATAACGCAACAACACATTCCGCCTCCGAATACTTGAGGCCTAGCCTGGAGGTATAGACTTTACTCCCGCTCGTCCCCTCTACGGAGGTTGACGGGCGAGGCCGTCGTCCGCACAGTCATCATGTCATCGCTTTATTCCTCACCACCACGGCTGCATACTGCAGTCGAGGACAAGCCATCGCTGCTGGTGTGCTGGTGGATCACCTTGTTCTGTGCCACCATCATTCTGCTTCGAGTCTCAGGACGCTTTATACGGTCAGAGCGTCTCTTCCGAGAAGACAGAATCGCGGGCTTCGCTGTCATACCACTTCTCATGCGCATGGCATGCGTGCACGTCGTCCTTCTTTGGGGCACAAACAATGCAGACTTCACAGTACCTCTCACCGAGGAGGAACAACGCAGAAAGAGGATCGCCAGCGGTCTTGTCCTTGCAAGTCGCATCTTCTATGCATCAACGTAAGCAAATCCGTTGGATTTGCCGTCTGGGTGAACTGTTTCTTTCTGGATCCTGGCTAACTTCTCATAGCTTATGGATCCTCAAATACGCCATTCTCGAGTTCTTCAATCGTCTTACCAGCACGACCTGGACACACACTCACGAGGTGCTGCTCAGGGTGATTCGGTGCGCTCTCGTGGCCACCTTTGTAGCAGTGTGTATCGCCGACCTCGCGGAATGCCAGCCCTTCCAGAACTACTGGCAGGTCTTACCTGACCCTGGCGGCCAATGCCGCCAGGGTTATGCCCAGCTGCTCACCATGGCAGTCTGCAATATTCTCACCGATCTCTTCCTTGTGTTCTTCCCAGTCTCGATTATCTTGACAAGCCACATGACGGTCAAGAAGAAGGTGCAGCTTGTCATGCTATTTTCGCTCAGCCTTGCCGTTGTTGCGTCCACCTTATACCGTGTGCCCAGCGTCATACAAGCACATGGAAGTCAACAACTGCGCTCTTTACTCGCCTCTGTTGATCTCCTCTTCGCTACAACTGCGGCCAACGCCCTGGTTCTAGGCTCATTCGTTCGAGATCGCGGGGTGAAGAAAATCAAGTTCCGCCATGGCTCAACTGCCGCAGATTCGTTGGATCGCGCCTCGGATCGAAGACCGACCATACATCGACATTGGGGAAGTGATGAGGACCTAGTTAGGGATCTTGGACTTGGCGTCAAGCAAGAATTGCGTGATGACAATCACATCAAGAACGCCAAGTTGGATACTTCACCCCAGCCTTCGCAAAGCTCGGGTAACAACCTGACAGTCGACATGAGCAATTGGCGTTTCCCCCAACGACAGAGGAGCAATGCAGAACGCAGCGATGACTCTCTGCTTTCCCGAGACCCGTCAAAGCTATCTCGAAGCGACTCGTTCGCAAATACACGTCGAGTCTCATTCTTTGACGTCGGAGGCCTACTCGATACCGACTCTCCGGGACCGGACCGTGAGAGTCCTCGCGCCCAAACCGACTCGCTGCCGCACACTGCCCCGCCGCCAAGTCTACCTGCCAGCACGAATGGCTTCAGACGCGGTTCTCAAGCGATCTTGCAGGAGTTGGGCGGTATATTTTCAAACAATAATTCCACACAGACAAAGCCTAAGCCGGCCACCGAACTCCGCCCTGTATCGCAGCAGGCCGAAACGAACGGATTCACCCGTCATCAAAGCTCACCGAGTTCACCGCGTTCAGCGCCCACTCTACTTGATGTGGGTGGTCTGTTGAAGTAGGGCTCACATATTTGAGCTTGGCTGCGGTCTTGGTGCCGAGCGAGAACGAAAAAACCGTTCTATAACGACCTCCACGACTGATTACGACTTCATGACATTTCCTCATACGAACTTCACTCGTTTCACTTGGACAAGGCTAGGCCTCCGGGAATTCCTTTCCCAGGTACGGCCGTTGTACCATCCTTTACGGTTTGCTGCCTGTTGACCAGGCCACCAGCATTCACTTCGCATCATAATCTATCGTGACCACCAACCATAGAACCTCGCGATCTCATCGCATGCAAATCGCAATTGCAATCGCTTGGACATCCACTACGGCTACTACATTGTCACGACTAGCATTTGGTTGCATCAATTCCTACACGGAAACCGTATGCTAAGAAGCGTAGCCTCTCAACCTTTATGAACGACCCTGAGAGTTTACTGGTCACAGCGCATGCTGGCCACGTAGTACCTGTCTTTGCGTTTCAATCATCTCACGTAATCATTCTCACACCAACTGTATTCTGCAATATACCCCATCCCGCGTTGCTTGATATAGCGTTATAAATTCAGAGAATTAATATTCACCTTGGCACCTTCTCGGGCCGCTCATGCTATGTTCCCGACTGGGCAGTGTGACTGGTTTGTAACACAGGCATTGGTGCAGGTTCCCACACCCGCGCCTTGGAGGACTGATTGACCGAACGACTTAAAAGGACTGCTGAACAGACAAGGTCTTAGCCAGGCAGAGCCACTCTGATGTCAAGATGGTTCAGACATGTCCTCGAACTGAATCTACCCAAGCCACGGAGAGCAGTCACGCGGTTCACAGACGCGAGGAGTCCAAAGTGCAACAATGTGGAAGAGGTAGCAGTATAATGACTGTCGAATGATAAAACGCCTTCTCCTGAGCTTAATTTCTTTCCTATGGTATAACATTGGTGCAAACTTGCCTGTAAGGCTGTGTACATTGTCTATTGGGTGGCTTCCTGAAGCGCCTCTCTGAACTTCTCCTGTGATTGTAGCGCTCGCCCACCCTGCTCCTGGCGTGATATTCAACATTGCCGGCGCATAGCTCGGCTTGAAGCTGCCAAGGTCACATCTGGGGTTCGACGAAAGGTGTATATGTCGCGCGCCCCGGACGCAGAAGCTGACGCGGTATGATTTTTTGTCTTTATACACACAACCGGTAACTGGCGTAACGACCGGCCGTCTCACTCTTTCGGATAATCTTGACGACCTGGCCCCTCTTCATCCCGAGGTATTTCGCGACGGGGTCCTTTTGCAGTATCCGGGGCAGTTGTGTCTCCTTGAGGCGGTAGCGCTTGAGGAGGGCGAGCTTCTCCTCCTTGCTGAGAATGACGTGCCGGGGCACGAGCTCGTGGTGGGTGATGTTGATGATGAGGTCCTCCTCGAGGAACCACTCGATCGAGGTCCACTGGCTGAACTTTGCAATCTCCTTCTTGGCCGAGGACGAGACGGCAACGTGGGAGATGAGGATGCCCGTGCGGAAGTTGCCCTCGGCGCAGGCCTTGCCGAACTTGCGCATCTGCTCGGCTCCCAAGCTACTATCGTTGAGGAACTCTACCCAGATGGTGCCGGCTTCGGACTGGGGGTCCGGATTCGAGGGCGTCGCTGGCGGTGTGTACTTCTTGATCATCTCCTCGCTCGGGCGGGCCGAGAACTGCATCTTGTGTCTCCTGCAACACCATACCGCACGGTTCGTATCAGCGGTTTCGGGGAACCAGAGACATGCCCAGGAGCTTTAAAAACTCGGGACCTGGCCTGTGGGGGTCGTCGCCAAATCGGACAGTACTCACATGATGGTGCCGTCAGCATTGAGAAACTCCCTCTTGAACTCGTCCAGTGTGATTTTGACTTCTGATTCGGACAGCTCGTAGCCCTGTTCACCACAACGTTAGGTCCTTTGCGTCAGGATGGATGTGCGAGCGGCAGTCGCAAGTGGCCGCCAGGCTGGGTGTGTCTTGGTTGTGGGGGACGCGGCATACCCTGTCGTTGACCATCTCCTTGACTGTGCGCCATGATCGCCATGTCTTGACGATGACCTTCTCGTTGGCCTGGTGGCTAAGCTCGTCGTCGGCCATGGCGGCAAGTGGGTTTTTGGATTGCTCGGTCTCTCGTTGATTGCTCGGTCGCGGATGAAGCAGTGTTTGGCGTCGCGAAGGGGTGTCGATGGGGAGGAAGAAGACGAGCTGGGCCGTGTCGAGCAGCTGCCGCCTGGTTGGAGTCGAGGTGTGGTTGATGGGTGGACGTGGTGGTGATGGTGATTGATTGGCAGGGCCGGCTGTCGCAAAGAGGTGCAGCCTCGCGAAAAATTCATGGGCCGCCTACTGCGACCAAGGCGCTGCTGGACTGGCTTGCAGGCGCGCTTGCAGCAGCGCAGCAGGAGCTCCACTCCAGACGGACGGGCAGGACAGGACCTTGTACCTAGGCTCGACCTGGCTTATGTAAGAGCACCGGCCATCCATGCAAGGCCGTCCTGGCAGAGGCTGGTGCGGTGGACACACGACCCTGAAAGTTTGAAATTGTCCAGGCAAGTGTGGACAATTTCAAGATCGCCCTGACTGTCTGTCTTGCCAGCTCCGTCCGTGGGGTGCGCTGTGCATGCCAACGTGGTGTTCCGTTCGATGCTCCTTCTTCCTTCAAGGTCCGACCCGCGTGTAGTATCGATGGGCGAGCCATTGGCCCTCAATGTCTCCTGCCCGTGTATCTCGAGCACTTTGCGGGCTCTCCATGTGGCCACCTAAGCTCCCGTCCCGCAGCTGGGACTGAACATGCTCGTCGTGATGGCTCCATGAACACACACAACAACAACAGCACCAACAGCGGCAGCAGCAATGGCAACGGCATGTTGTCCAGGTGTAGGTAACCATAAAGATAGACTTGCCAGCCGTCATCTGGCCAGGTTTCTTCACCAACTGAAAGAGGTGGAACCGCGTGAATGCAATGCTGAAAGACTGCGAGTCCGTGGCTTGTTGGCCGAGTAAGTGTCTGCCCAGCCAAGGCTCGCCGGTTGTCGAGTCTTGATTCAGCCAGTCCAGACCACTGGCCCGTCCCCACACGCACACGGCTCCTTCCCTGTCTGTCCGCCGTGTTCTGGGCGGTGCAGTCCGCTCCATTGTGTGTGTGTGTGTGTGTGTGTGTGTGTGTGTGTGTGTGTGTGTGTGTTCTCTCGTCCAGGGCGGCCCTTTTTTGCCTGACCCCTGCCGCCTCGACCTCACCTGCTCCTCCCGTCCCCTTTCCCTCTCTATACACCTCCAAGATCCCTTCGCCGCCTCGCCTCTGCCCATTGCGCCCGCGTGCCACCATCAGCCATGGCCGAACCCTCCAACGCCCCCGCGCCCGCCGTGGCCGACGCCGAGAAGAAGAAGTTTGAGAAGCCCGAGCGGCCCAACGCCGACCTCTTCAATGAGCAGTTGGCCAAGAAGGAGAAGGAGTACCAGGACGCCTTTGCCCGCTACGTATGTCTGATCATATCCCCTCCCCTTGCGGCAGTTGCGCATGCCATCATTGCCCACAACTGTCCCCCTTTTCTGCTGTTGGGCTGCCGCCGACTGACCTCGTCCCCTCTGCTCTCCCCAGAACGCCGTCAAGGCCAAGGTCGACTCTGCCCTGCCCAACAAGAACAAGGATGTTCAGTCCCCGACGCAGAAGCGCCGTGCTGAGCTCATCGCCAAGGCCAACGAGATCCGCAACAAGCAAGGCGCCGGCAAGTCTGCGCGCAACTCCAAGATGGACCAGATCAAACGTCTCGACGACCAGCTCAAGTCCCGCATTGCCGAGCAGAAGGCGGCCCGCGGCAAGGTTGCCTTCAAGAGCACCGAGGACCTCGACCGCGAGATTGAGCGCCTCGACAAGCAGGTCAACAGCGGCCTCATGAAGCTCGTCGACGAGAAGAAAGCCCTGGCCGAAATCTCCAGCCTCCGCAAGCAGCGCAAGAACTTTGCCGGGTTCGACACCTCGGAGAAGGCCATTGCCGAGCTCAAGGCCAAGATCAAGGAGATCCGTGACAGCATGGACGACTCCGAGGCCCGCGCCCTGAGCGACGAGTACACAAAGATCCAGTCCGAGCTGGACGCCATCAAGGCTGAGCAGGACGAGGTCTTCAAGAACCTCAACTCCCTCCGCGACGAGCGCTCCAAGCTCCAGGCAGAGCAGCAGGAGAAGTTCCAGGCAGTCCGCAAGCTCAAGGACGAGTACTACAGCCAGAAGAAGGCCTTCGCCGAGTACGAGCGCAACGCCCGTGCCGCCATTGCCGAGCGCAGGAAAGCCGAGCGCGAGAAGTACGAGAAGGATAAGAAGAAGGAGCGTGCTCAGAAGTTCCTGGAGGAGGCGTCCGACCTTGCTTACCTCGAGGAGATCCGGAGAGCCAACAGCCTGCTGCACTTCTTTGACCCTTCCTCCGTCTCGACCGAGAAGGCTCCCCTGCTCGCCAACAGCGGCCTTACCGCCGAGGCCTCCCGCAAAGTTGATGACTCTGCCCTCAAGGGCACTCGCCTGGTCAAGAAGGAGGATCGCGAGGACGAATACTTTGCCCCCGTCAAGAAGGGCAAGAAGGGCAAGAAGCCCAACGCCTCGGCCGAGAAGAGCACCTTTAACTGCCCGCCTTCGGTCATTGATGACTGTGCCTTCATGAGCATCGACCCTCCCATGAGCGCCGCCGATGTCCCTGCCGTTGTCGAGAAGGTCAAGGCCAAGCTTGACCACTGGAAGTCTGACCAGCAGGCCCAGACCCAGCGCGTAAGTCCCCTCCCAGCAAAGTTGGCTCACCGAGAGCACACCACTGACCCATCTCCACGACGCAGAACATTGAGAAGGCAAAGAAGGAGCTCGAGAAACTCGAGGCCGAGGAGGCCGCCGCCGAGAGCAACGGCACCAAGACCGACATTGCCGATGACCTCAAGGAGACCTCGCTCGAGGACAAGGAGTAGGACTCCGCAGTCTCGAACAACGGCGTACCTCGGCGCAATTGAGAGAGGTTCATCATCTGCTGAATTCGCCCGACATCAGCAGACGGCACGTTGCAAGGCACATTTATCATATGTGGTAAGCGGCACAAGTCACCAGGGCACCAAGGCGGGTAAAAGAAAATGGGAGAATATAGGGATAAATAAAAGAATAGATGGCCACGCCTTCCATTTTTTGCTTGCGCGTTCTCTTCTACTTTACATCACTCAACTCTCCGTGTTTGCTTCATAGGGTCATTTGGAAAGGCTGCATGGCGGTTTTTATTGAACATGGGTAATATCTTTGAAGGTGTCCTTGATTCAACTCCATCTTTCCTGCCGACCGCGCTGAACCTTAGCTTTATTCAATGTTTCCATATGTAGATTGCGGTTCTTTGTTGTATATGTACAGACCATACCCGACGACATTGCTAGATCTCGCTTTAGATGGTGAGTACCTGATTCTCTTTTGAGATGACCGTGCGCGAACGGCATCACGCTTCGTTGTCCGGACGGGTTGAGACCGGTACGCCCGCTCGCCTTCTTAGTAAGACTCGTTCTCCATTCTCGTGGCACAGCTTTGAGTCAGTGGTCAAAGCCGGCCGAGATGATCTATGGAAGCCGGACGGCTAACTCATCTCCCATTTCAAAAGCTATGCCAAAGGGTCCGCGTGGTAATCGAGCGCTGCGCGATGCTGTCCTGATGGGTGTGTAAATGCGAGCAATATTGATGTATGCGATGAAATTGTATTTGATTCAGTCTGGTCATTAAGTTCGTGATTTCGTGGACGTGTGTGAAGAAGCTCAACGTCATGAGAAAAATTCGAGAGTCGTGTTATGTATGTACAACATCCCAGACGAGCAGTTTCGAGGTCATTAGTTTGTGATGGCAATCTCGACGAGGGAACTCAGTAGTGAGGATGGTAGTAGGCTGCTGGTGGCGGTGGGGGCGCGTGCCTTTCGCCCCTGAAGGCAGTCCGTGCTCGACGGTCTGGAGCAGCCATGTGCGGATGAGCCATCACGGGTCCTGGTGTCAACCTGTCTCGGCCGCGATCCCGCCGGCTGGCTGGGGGGGGAGGAGTTCTTCGTGCGAGCGCACCCGCTTGAGCACGGTCGTAAGGCACCTCAGCAAGGGCTTGCGTTGATCGTCGCTGTGCCTTACGGGAACCGTTGAGTGCACTGAGCGGTGGATCCTTGACGGATGGATCCGAGTCAGGCGGGAGGGACAAGGTGACAAGGCTATAGAAGTACTCGAGCACTTCGGGATATCGTTGCACGCTAGCTCTCCAGTCCTCGTCGATGCCACGCTTGAGAGTTGCCTGTGCACTGGCAATCTCGTTGGGATGCGGAGGTGCACGGTAGTGATAGTAGGCGTGTGAGGTGAGGTTGTCGAGGTGCTCAGCATGCGCTGCTTTCCGGCGTTCGGTCAAGAGCTTGAAATATTCGAGGATATAGTCTTGGGCATGCAGACGGACCCAATTCCTGTTTCTCGAATGTTAGCACAATGACTCCGGCTCTCCGTGTCTGAAGGGCGGGCACTCTGTTAACGCAACCGAGGCATGCTTACCTGACATCGTCATAGACAGACTGCATCATCTTGGTTTCTGCTTGCTCGACGGCCACCTCGAGGCTACGAGCTTCGCAATTGCAGGCCATAGAGGCAGGGGCGTGGCATACGGCACAATCCGGGTCCATCTTGATGATACACTTTCGTGGCTTCAGATCTATTGAACGCATCTTAGTCGAAGTCGCCGAGCTGTGGCAGGAAGGAGAGATTTGGAAAAGCTCGAGACAAGGAGCATGCGAGGATGAGGGCGTGCTTGAGCTGGAGGTGAAGCCTGCGATGACGAGATCTGGGGAAGACCCATCACGGAAGCCGGGGGTGGGAGACGGCAGGGTGTGGAGGAGGTCAAGTAGGGTCTGCCCAGGTGCTTGGGTGGTGCAGGAGGGGATAGTTGGGAACAGACGTACCTTTCTGTCGAGGCAAGCTAGGTGACGATGAGTATGTAGCTGCGAGGGGCCTGGCCTGCAAGAGGTGCGTGCGGCAGAGAGGGTGTGCCTGCTGGCTGCTTGTGAACGTCGACCAAGAGGACCAATGCTACTACTCAAGTTGCCAGGCGGAGGCGCGTCGCGTTGAGCTCAGGGCGCCGAGCTAATCAGGAGTGATCAAGAGGTCGCACTGGAGTAGTCGCCGCGTGGGGGTTGAAGCTGGATGGCACGACACGGAGGCCGAAGAACGAAACGTGAGGGCCTGCGTAGGGCGACGGCCTTCTCAGCAAGGCCTGGCGGGAGAGCGGAAGAAGGGCTCCTCCTCACTGCGGTTGGGACGGACGGACGTGACAGCCGTGGGTAAAGGCTAAGGAGATTGGACAGAGGACAATGCTGGCTGGCAGCAGGAGACGCTCTCGGGGTGCGGGGGCAAGCAAGGTGGGACGCAACGAGGAGAGGGAGGACGAGGGACTAAGGGGTACGGCGGCACGCGGCGTGGCAAGACCAGAGCCCTCGGGTTGAGGCTGCAGCAGCAGCAGAGGAGAGGAGGACGAGGACGGGCAGGCGATGGGGAGGCAGGTGGTGGAGGTCAGGAGCAGTAGCCCGGCCGCGGGCGTCCCAGCGGAGAAGACGGGGTGAGGTGGCCCGGCAGCGGAGACGGCGGTGGCTGCCACACGGCAGGAGCTCCACGGAGGCGGTCGCGCGGCAGGCCGACCGCACCTTCCCTGTTCAGGTCACGTCCAGACTCGAGGAGCCAAGCTAATAATTAGGTGCATAGGCACGGCAGTGCAACCAGCGACAAGGAACGACATCTGATGGACGCTCATCACCAGATGTCTTCTTCTCGTCACGGGCGAGCCACGCCAACATCGTCATGTCTCTCACTGTCACCTGCTATCGCGAAACAATGCCAGATAGCACACCCGCACCCACAGAGACACACAGGGGGCTTGCAGGTCCGTTGCTGACAGTGCCGCCTCCCAGAGCTAGTCGTCCGTGGGCAGGGAGCAGCCAGGCATGAAGCACGTCTGCCCATCGGCGCCCGAAGGCACGCGAGCAGACCAATGCTCGCCGCCCACCTCGACATCCACCACCTCGAAGTCCGCAACACCCGAGTTCAGCACTCCCGCGTCGGTTGTCACCTGTCTCATCGGGCCCCAGGCGGGGGTGGCCACACGACCCGATCTGTCCATGTCGTGGCTCGAATGAGCTGGCACTGCCCAACGCCAGAGCGCCAGCTCCATGCTGCCGCGGCCGGGGGTGCAACGAGCGTGTCGTGTCTGCTTCATGCACTCCAAATCCTGCATCGCAGACTGCCCAGTCCTTGTCGTGACCTGGTCGCACGCAAGTCTAATCTGTCCGAGGTCTGACGCCGCCTTGTCGATTCCTGGTGGCTTGTCGACACTCACCGCCTCCTGCCACCCACCCCCAACGCTGCCTGCCCACTTTCGGACCGAGCTGCAGGAGCCTCCCGACTCTGCGTGCACAAAGATTGTGCCAATTGCATCGGCGAGGGCATCCACAATGCCAATGTAGATGCTTGTGCAACTCCATGTTGACTTGTATTTAGCGCCATGCCATTTGCTATTGTGGCCGTGGATGCTACTTCGTCCCGGACTCCACCTTGGGCATGCCTATCGAAAGCTAGGTAGGTGGTGGGGCCCAGGGTTCATCTTATCGTTTCTTATCTGCCGTGAGAAAGTCTGGGGCTCGGATGTCTTGCTTGGCACGCAGCATGAGAAATCGCCCGACATTCTCGACTACTCCGACAGCATTGGTCTTTGCGCTCAAACGAGCCGACAATGTCTCCGCGATGTGCCCATAGTGCAGCACCCTTTCTGTCCTTTCTTTACCCCTTGCTTTTCCGCCCGCAGACAGCCCGAGCACTTTGTGTGTTCCCCAGGCGAGGCGCCACGTATTCGACCTCGTCATCGACTTTGCCCCTCAACTCGAGCACGGCAACCGAAACTTCGCCCACGAGCGGCACCGTCCCGATATCTCGGCTTAACCCAACGCCTGACGACTACGCAATAACTTCCTTTGCCGACAAAGCTACCATCACGATATACGCCGGTGGAGGTGGCCACGGCTGCATCTCATTCTTGCGAGAAGCTTTCCTTGCCGAGGGTCCGGCGAACGGCGGAGATGGCGGCCATGGCGGCAACGTGTACATCCAGGCTGTCCACACCGAGACATCCTTGAACAGAGCCTCGAAGCGGCGCATCGTTCGCGCTGGGCGTGGCAAGTCAGGCCAGGGCGGTAACCGCGGTGGTGCCAGAGGCGAAGATGTCATCATACAGGTCCCCGTGGGAACAGTGGTCCGCGAGCTTGAGCGGCGCGACCCTGTCGTCGAGGAGGCTGCGCAATATCGTGCCGCACGCGAAAAGGAAAGAGCATACCAGAAGGTGGTTCGCGAAGCTGAAGTTGCGGCTGCGGCTGCTGCGGAGAGCCGAGGTGACGAGACGTACACACTCCACGATCTGCCAGAAGCCCCCGAACACCCAAACCTGCACAAGTTTATGTTGTATCCAGGCATTTCGCATACAGAGCGCCGCGCCTTGAAGCTCCCACGGCTGCCCAGACGGGAGAGGCTCTACGCACAACCGGATCCTCCCATTCACCTCGACCTGTCAACCCCGTCACCAACTCCGATCCTCCTGGCAGCTGGTGGGGTTGGCGGGCTTGGAAATCCACACTTCGTCTCAAAGGATCGCCCGAGACCGCTGTTTGCGACTCGTGGCGAGGCAGCTGTGACCATGAGACTCGAGCTCGAACTGAAGCTGCTGGCTGATGTCGGCTTTGTGGGTCTCCCCAACGCTGGCAAGAGCACACTCCTGCGTGCATTGACGAACAGTCGGGCCCGAGTCGGCAATTGGGCATTCACGACACTTCAGCCAAACATCGGCACCGTGGTGCTGGATAACAATAAGGGCAGGCCCGTCCCAGTACCCAAGCCCAGATCCCCTTCACCTCACACCGTTATCAACGACGCCACCTACGGCTCATTAGTTGTCTCGCAGCCGGAGCAGATTGGCGCCGGCCCAGAGCCAAGAACTCGATTCACAATTGCGGATATTCCCGGCCTTATCGAAGGGGCGCACCTTGACCGTGGACTGGGCATAGCGTTCTTGCGACATGTCGAGCGTGCTGGCGTGCTCGCGTTTGTCATTGATCTGAGCGCTGGTGATGCTGTCAAGGCGCTGAAGGCGCTGTGGCTTGAGGTCGGCTCATATGCCCGAATGCGCAGTGAGGAAGAACTCGAGCGTGAGATGGAGGAACGTATCGACTGGGAGGGCGATGGCTTCAGCAGCAGCCAAGGAAGCAGGGCCCACCACAGCCATGGGGACGGTCGTATGATGGTTGCCGACTTCCCTGAAGCTCCTGAGGCCGAGTCTGGTCTGCATATTGCCATGAAGCCCTGGTATGTAATTGCTACCAAGGGCGACCTCCCAGGCACACAGGAGAACTTTGCACAGCTCAAGGAGTATTTGGCCAAAGTGACCGATGGGCAGGAACCACATCCCAGCGGCGTAGAGGATGCATGGACAGTCGACTGTGCTGCCATTCCGGTCAGTGCTATCCATGGCCACGGTGTAGACCGCATCGTTCATTGGACCGTTGGGCTACTGGACGGTTAAGAGGATGCATGGGCCGTCACTTTGGATAGAGCGATGTATTATGATGTATGTTAGTGTATGGATAAGGGTCTTCAAAGTAGACCTGTGATGGGCACAGAAAGGAGTTCGTTACTGAATAGAAACAAGATGAACATGACAAAAAGAGGAGAGGCTTCATGACAAGCTGACCTGGTCGTTGCGAGCTACACCCGTCCTTCATAGGCATGTTCTATGACAACAGTGACCATGAATCCGATAACAAGGGTTCGCTGCAGGTGGAAGCGTCCTGGACCATCCTCCATGTCTGAAGGCCGTTGCTTCGCTGGGCGGGATGAAATATAATGGCTCATTTATCCTTAGATACAGCCCCAAGATGCGCCACATATTATATCGTTGCCCACGGTGGACCCCCGATTACAACCATGTGGGGTTGGCCTGCAGATGGCGGCGGCAAGGAACGGACAAGCTCTCTGCGCCGCCCGGCAAGTGGGAAAAAAAGTTTCAGTGGCACGCAGCAGCTTTGCGACCACGTTCGACTGCGCAACCACAAAACCCGTCCCGTGGCTGACAGACTCAATTGACATTTCCAATATGGGTCGCGGCAACAAGAAATTCAGAGTACGTTCCCCCTTGACAGGAGGATGCCTGCCAATGGCACAGCAAAACCCACAGGACATTACAGAGCAGGTCGCTAACCTTTGGCTTTCAACGTACAGGGCGGAGGCCGTGGCAGGGGAGGTGGTGGTGGGCGAGGCCGTGGCGGCGGCGGCGGCGGCGGACGAGGTGGCGATCGCGACCGCGACGGCGGCGGCTACCGGTCGCACTCTGAAATCAAGAAGGAGAACGAGAGGCTGGAGCGCTTCTACAACAGCGCGCTGCCGCTCGAGGAGAGCGAGCGGGCCGAGTTCTGGGCGGCGCTGCGGCGCGAGCTGCCCAACTCGTTCCGGTTCTGCGGCTCAAAGGGCCACGCGCTGGCCGTCAAGCGCCTGCTCGAGACGCGCTACATCCCCGAGATTGTCAAGATTGAGCGCTACGACGGCGAGCCCGTCCAGGCGCCCCAGGCCGTGCCCTGGTTTCCCGACCTCCTCGCCTACTCGATGAACACGCCCAAGCACGTCATCCGCAAGTTCCCACCCTTTGCCGCCTTCCAGAAGTTCCTCGTCTCCGAGACCAGCGTCGGCAACATCTCCCGGCAGGAGATTGTCAGCATGATCCCGCCCTTGCTCATGGACCTCAAGCCCGGCATGACCTGCCTCGACCTGTGCGCCGCTCCCGGCAGCAAGGCTGCCCAGCTGCTCGAGATGATCCACGTCGGCGAGGAGACGCGGATGCGCAAGGTCATGGAGTCCTTTGGGGAGGTCAAGCCCGAGGCGACCTCTTCGAGCAACGACGACGTCGACCTGTCGATCGACTCTGGCGACGATGGCCGCGCCACCGGCCTGCTAATTGCCAACGACGCCGACTACAAGCGCAGCCACATGCTGGTGCACCAGCTCAAGCGCCTCTCATCCCCGAACCTGCTCGTCACGAACCACGACGCCACGCTCTACCCGTCCCTGCGGCTCCCGCGCGACCCGGCCCACCCGGAGAAGGGCAACTACCTCAAGTTTGACCGCATCCTCGCCGACGTGCCGTGCTCGGGCGACGGCACGCTGCGCAAGAATGTCGAGCTGTGGCGCAACTGGCAGCCGGGCAGCGCGCTGGGCCTGCACACCACGCAGGTCCGCATCCTCGTGCGCGCCCTGCAGATGCTCAAGCCCGGCGGCCGCGTCGTCTACTCGACGTGCAGCATGAACCCGATCGAGAACGAGGCCGTCGTCGTCTCGGCCATCGAGCGCTGCGGCGGGCCCGCAAAGGTCGAGATTGTCGACTGCAGGGACCGCCTCCCCGCCCTCAAGCGCGTCCCCGGCATGCACCAGTGGAAGATCATGGACAAGTCCGGCCGCGTGTGGAGCAGCTGGGAAGAGGTGCAGCAGTACGCGCTCACCCAGGCCGACGGCGTCATCCCCGGCAAGGTCACCGAGACCATGTTTGCGAGACCCGACTCGAGCGAGTGCTCGAGCCTGCCGCTCGACCGGTGCATGCGTGTCTACGCCCACCAGCAGGACACGGGCGGCTTCTTCATCACCGTGCTCGAGAAGAAGGGCGAGATCAAGGCCAAGCCGGAGGCGCCCCCGCGTGGAGCTCAGACCTCGGCTGCGACCACCACCGCCAACGGGTCGAGCGAGGCCGCCAAGCCAGAGGCGGAGGAGGGCGAGGATGCCCTTGCCGCCGACGAGGCCGAGGCCAAGATGGAAGTTGTCAAGGAGACCGAGGAGCTCAAGGCGGCCGTGGGCGAGCCGACGGACGTCCTTCCCGCGGTCGGCGAGAAGCGCCCACTGGACGAGGAGGAGGACGCGGACCAGGAGCAAGCCCCCGAGGCCAAGAAGCAGAGGACCGTAGAGCCCGAGGACGGCGGCGACGACGTGCCCGAGTCCGGCGCCACCACCACGGCGGTCGACACCCCCAACAACAACAACGGCGGCGACGACGACAACAGCGCGGCCGCCACTCCCGCCGCCGGTGCAACCCCCATCACCAACCCCAACCAGGCGCGCCGACGCGGCGCGGACGGCGCCTACGAGGAGCCCTTCAAGTACCTGCCGCTGGGCCACGAGATCATCAACAACATCGAAGCGTTCTACAAGATCTCGCCGCGGTTCCCGTCGGACCGGTACATGGTGCGCAACGCGACGGGCGAGCCGGCCAAGGCCATCTACTACACGTCGGCGCTGCTGCGGGACATCCTGGTGGAGAACGAAGGGCGCGGGGTCAAGTTTGTGCACGGCGGCGTCAAGATGTTTATGAAGCAGGACGCGCCGTCGGCCGAGGTGTGCCGGTGGCGCATCCAGTCCGAGGGCATGCCCATCATCTCCGGGTACGTCGGGGCCGAGCGGGTGGTGACGCTGACGAGCAAGGAGACGTTCCGGACGCTGCTCAAGGAGATGTTCCCCAAGTTCATCAACGAGGACTGGCGCAAGCTCGGCGAGATTGGCGAGCGCGCAAAGGAGATTGGCATGGGCTGCTGCATCCTCAAGGTCGAGCCCGACGGCAGCGACCCGGATTTCGCCGAGAAGATGGTGCTCCCGCTCTGGAAGAGCTTCCACTCGCTCAACCTCATGCTGCCCAAGGAGGACCGCTCCGCCATGCTCCTCCGCATCTTCAACGACACGAGCCCCGTCATCAACCAGAGCCTGAAGGACTCTGCTGCTTCTGCGGCGGCCAAGAAGGACGGCGCTGCACAGGCACCTGCTGAGGAGGCCGACAGTGGTGCTGCTGCTGCGGCCAAGTAAGAAGGGACCGAGACCAAGGATGAGGCTATGACCGATGCCCTCGAGGAAGACCAGGAGGTCGGCGGTGCGCCAGTGGTTGCAGCTGAGACTGACGGTGCTCAAGCGTAAGGCTAGGACGGCCTCGAAGTGGGAAAGAAACACGACCAATAGATATCACGAAATGTGGTTTTTGGGAGGGTCATTTATCTGGAGTTCAAATGGCATGATTGTATTTCATTCCGTCTGTGCGCTGTGCATCATTGTGAGCAAGTGAGCATGATCAAAGTAGAGTCAAGACATGTCCGCTGCAAGATTTGGCACCAGATCATGACGTCGTGAAGAATGGAGGCAATCATTCATTGATGTACAAGCTTTCCCGTCTCGAAGACATGTTGTCAATGTTTAGCACCCGATCTGATCAAACAAGGTGGATTCTCTCTGCCTTTTTTATGTAAAAACACCCACATCCCAACAAGCAGCACACACAAAGAAATCACATCTTGTAGTCAGCACCAGACTCGTGCTCCATGACCGCAAACGCCGGCCGGGCACTAAACCAGCCGGCCTTCTCAGACCCGACGGCCCGATACGTAAACTCGGCCTCCTCGTCGCCAATCTTGACAGTCTGCCCGCCACCGCCACCGTGGGACCCCCTGCCCGCCGCCGCGGCGTCGGCGAGGAGCTGGACCTGGCAGCACTTTTCGAGGCTGGTGAACCAGAAGACGCAGCTCTCAATGGTGGTGCCGCAGGTCAGCAGGCCGTGGTTGGCGAGGATCGCGGCCTTGCGGGGCCCCAGCGCGGCGGCAATGTTGCGCCCTTCGTCGGCGGCCAGGACGATGCCCCCAAACGAGTCGTAGTGCGCGACGTCGTTGTAGAAGGCGCAGCTGTCCTGCGTGATGATGTCGAGGTTCCGGCCCAGCGTGCTGAAGGCTCGGCCGTAGATGCTGTGCGAGTGGGCGACGCAGTTGATCTCGGGCCGCGCCGTGTGGACGGCCGCGTGGATCATGAAGGCTGTATCAAGATGTGGTAGGTCCTTGGTTAGTAAAAGGGGTGGTCGAGATAGAGTTCTTACTCGAGGTTTCGAAAGTTTCGTGGGTGGGTGCGTTTAGAGTTCTGCAGGCAGGAGAGGGTGTTTGAGTATAAGGTGCTTACCAGCCTGGTTCAAGAACCGCACTGAGCCGCCCTCGACGATGCGTCCGTTGTGGTCGACGCGGATCAGGTCAGACGCTCGCAGGAGCGGCCATGCTACGCCAAAGGGATTCACCCAGAAACTCGACGGGTCGACGGGGTCCTGTTGTTTCCAAAGGTCAGCATTGCTGACTCGAACGACTCTCAACTTAAGACTCGTTGCCCAGTGGCTTCGCAACTGGAGCCTGCGGAAATGCTTTCAGGCAAGACCTTGAAGGCAGAAACGCACCCGAACGGTGATATGTCCCGCAACACTAGACGAACAAACAATCTATCAGTCAGTAAGAGTTCTCTCGCCAGTGAGAGATTCTAGCACACGCAACCTGGACACAGCTACTAGCTCTTGAAAATCCGCCGGCTGGAAGATCGGAAGCTCACCCTTCGTCATATCCCTGCTTGGCAAAGATGCGGAAGGCCAGTGCGAGCCGTGCCTTGAGGTAGTCGCGCTCCTCGTAGGGGTCCTTGAACGTCGGGGGACCACGGGGCGGTGTCTGTATTACATCTCCCAAGTGGGTGAGGAGGGAGGACATCAGTCTCATAAAGTTCTGTTCTAGATGGCTTGCGGGATATGTGAAGTGGTTGCATGTGGAAGTTGCTGACGTACCGAGCCGGAGGAGGCGTCGGCGTCCAAGATGCCCGGCTTGTCTGCGGAGGGGGACATTTTTGGTTGCTTTGCGATTTCGTTGTGCCAAGGCAAAAAGTCTCAGGACTCCTTTCTGGGGGGTTCCGGTCTGATCGCGTCGAGGACTTGGTCAATATGCGCTTCTCAACAGCCCACGAGACCATGAGGCAAAAGCGAGGTTGACCCCTCGCAGAAGCCGCTTCTTTATGTACCCAAGCGGCAGTCTTCTCCGCATCTGCCTCCCAGATGCCCGCCGCTATTTCCTACCGTGAAATTCCCCGCCCGGGAGCGTTCGGTGGCGTCAGCTTGTGCCACTCTGGGGGTCCCAGGCCGGGCATATCTCCAATAAGCCCACAGGACTTATTCTCGTTCCCCCACACCACCAACACGGCACACGGCGAGCTAACGGACCATGCCGAGGTGAGGGGTAAGAATGGAATAAGGTGATCTGGTGCGACACACGCGTGGCCAGGTTCCGCTCAGGCCATCCATCATGTCCTGCTGCGCCTTTGGCTTGACATCGTCTTTGTCGCCTCCCCAATGGTCAGAAAGCGGCTCAGCACTTTTTCTTGTTGTTCCCGCCCACTGGGCTTTTGTGTCGGCTGAAGCTGGCCAAGCTCTTTGTACTGTACGCCTTCCAGCGTTGGGCGACCCCGCAAGACGACCCTTGAGAGGTTCCCCGTCTGGGGAAAAAATGGAGTAACCCTTAGAACTCATGGGTGTCCGCCACCACTTGGAGCGCTTCCATACGCCGCCCCAGGCCTGCTAAAGCAGACCCTGCTCCACGGAGCGGGTCCTTGGGCGCATATCGTCTGCTTCGACATGGCCGTACATTACAACCAGTTGGACTCGCCGGGTGTTAGGTCGAAATGTCCAATCGTAACCTTGCAATTATAATCACTCACACATTCAAAGTCAACACGCCCAAGAGCAGTCACGCACATCAAGAGCAGTCACGCAAATCAAGAGCAGACTTTTCGTTTGATTTTGCGTCTCTATACGTTGTCTAATGAAGGTCCGAGGTTGACGCGTACTGCAAAAACTTCACAGACCCTTACTGGCTTTTCTCGGCCGCCGGTGTTGTTGTACCTCGCGATTGAGACATGCTATACGGCGCCTTGAATCCCATCCATTGTCAGCATACATCATCGAAACATCATCCAGAAAGACAAGATCGTCACTTACAAGTACTTGCTTGGCGTTGCATATTCTCCACGCCAAGTTCCGCACATTCCCGTCCGCAGGAACCACCGCAGGCGCAAAGTCTATGCCAAACATCTGGCGGATGGCGTACACCAGCCGCTTGGCGTACTTGCCATCCCTCGCAACCAAGCTGCCAAACGACTCCTGAGGATCGTTGGGTGCAATGTCTGGGTCTCGGTCCAGGCAATTTTGAACAATAGGCAACAGCGCGGACTCGATCGATTTCTGGAACAGTCCGTCCGAGTGTACCTCGACCTCCTCATCGTAGAACCTCGAGATCTGGATCTCGAATGGCTGTGAGATGGCCATGACGTTGTGGTTGCCGTTGTGGTGGTATCTGAACTCAAATACACCTTGCGTCCACCACAGCTTGTCTCCAGAGAACACTATCTCGCCTTGAATAAGATCGACATCGGCGTGCTCTGATGTCGTGCAGGGTTGTTCCGAGATGAGAATACCGCGGTCGGCCGTGATGGACTCGTATTGATTCGGAGTGGTCGGCACCCAGCGTCCCAATGAGGAAACCTCGCTGACGTCACGCGAGCGGTTGTCGGTAACCATGTACAGTCCGATCCAGTCCTTCTTGCCATGATTCGCGGGAGCCGTCCACTTGACCTTGATGGGGGCCCCGTACTCCAAGATCATGGTGTTCGCCTCGTTCGGGAATCGACCAGAGGTGCCCTCTTTGCCGCTAGCACGCTCATTTAGGGCAGACAGACTAGAGGATTCTCCTTCGACCGTCACAGAGTAGTGCTTGGGGTTGAGTCCGGCGAGATCGGGTGACAGAGTCGTCAGTGTGAGCCGGGCCGGGTAGTTGTTGAAGAGCGCAGTCGTGTCTCTCACAATCGTAGAAACACCAGCCGCAAGCTTCGGCCGCGCGGCATCGAGGAATTCTTCGACGAAATGGGATGTTCCATCCACGACCTTGTTCACGCTCGAGGACCACTCCTTGACATACGGCGGCATTGACTTTTTGAAAAACTTGGTCAGACCAGCTTCCTCTCTCAGCTTGCGACCATAGATCTTCTGCATGTGTGGCTGTTCGACAAACTGCAGAAAGGCCAAAGTAAGGATGTGGCTTGTGAGAGCGAGAAGAAAGATGGAACGACTCCACGTGATAAGCGCAGAACCCCAAAGTCCCGCGGTGCCAATGATGCGCTCGGGGTTGTTGAGAAAGCGGTAGATAGACTGGTAAGTCAGTTTGTTGCCATGGTCGAAGAAGAAATCGCCAAAGAACCAGCCAAACTCTCCAAGCGACTCGTAGATGCTGATGGCAGTCCACATATGCAGTGCTGTCAGCCCGACACCGAGGACATGGCGGAGCAGCGCGAAGCCGTAGTTCCAGTCAGTCGGGACCGAGTACATCTTCCAGCACGCAGTGATAAAGGACGAGTAGCACAAGACTTGCGAGATGTGGTACATGGCCTTCCACTGTCTCCAGCCCTCGAGCGTGCTCTCACCAAACTTGACGAAGTGGCGAGTCCACATCTTGTCGCTAGACTGCCGATGCAGAATGAAGCCGAGTCCAACCGAGTACCATAAACGCCAGAAGAAGGCATGGGCGACGAACAGGAATTGCCAGACGGGGGTCTGAGGAGTCGCAATGACAAGCACTATCTGATAGGCGATGAGCAGGACCGTCGAGTAGTCGGTAGTTCTGAAGAAATCGAAATTCTTGAGGCCCAGCATCTTGTGGATTTGCGAAGGCGGATCGAGTTGCGTGGGAGGAGTGCTGTCCGCCTTGGAGCCATCCGCCAAAGGGAGCTGGCCTTGCGACTGCGATTCCCCACGTTGACGCGGAGCAGGGGGGTTGTAGGTCTTCTCAATATGCGGGTTCTCGACGAGCACGAGGAAGGCGAACTGCGCCGCATGGGCAATGATGGAGATGAAGAGCACCGAGTAACTGGCGGCCATCATGGAAATACCGTAGTACCCTGCGTATCCAATTGAGTACATCGGGTGAGGCGCCATCTCAAAGACGCCGTCGAAAGTCAGCTCCTGGTCGATCAGGTAGAAGAAGTCGCCCCAGTACCACGCGTAGTCCTTGACCACACGGTGGGCGTCAAGCTTGACCCAGAGGTTGAAGGCTACGAGCGAGAAGCCAAGCACCGTCCTGGCGACCGTGATCAGGATATTCTCCGCCGGGGGGACGTGTGCACACGCGATCGCGAACAGACAGTACGAGACGAAATCACACATGAGGATTAAGTCGACAAGTCTGCGGAAGACGAGCCAGGTGTTGTACTCGAGAGGAGCTTTCTCAAACTCATAGTCTTCGGGGATCTTAGCCTCGAGCTCCCGCTTGAGCAGGTCGTACAGCCAAGGCCGCGGGTTCTTGCCGGTGGAAGGGTGCTCAAAGAGCTGCCACTTCTGCGCCCAGGTCACCAGCCTCTTCTCGTTGGACTGCAGGCGCAGGAGGACGCCGATGCCGACATTGTACGCAGCACGCCAGGTCATGAAGATGAGGGCAAAGGCTGGCCTCTTGAGAGCGGACGGTAGCAGGTAGAGGGCGGCAACATGGGCAGCCAGAATGGCAAGCACGACTGCATCCGAGAGGTTCTTTGGCTGCCGAGGGTCCAGCAGCTGCGAGACCATGTCATGGGTAGTGGGCACGGTGAAGACTACAAGACTCGCACAAGCACCGGAAACAGGGAATCAGCATGACGATACATAATGTCGGGTCTCGATCCAGCACGTAGGCACCAAGCTCACTGCCTGCAATCACGAGGGGCTGGCGACTCACCTGTGCCGTCCGGCGTACGCCCAAACGTCTTGTGCGGTCGTTGATCCGGGCCATTGTCGGTGTTGTTGTCCTCTTCAGCCTCGAGACTGGCTGTATGCGAATCGACAACTGGCTGGCCAGGACCTGCAGGGGCTGCGTGTCTCTGCCGCAGCTCGCCTGCAGCGGCGGGAGAGGTGCTCATCTTGAGGGGTCAAGCGTTCCGGGCTCGGGCTGAAGTCGACGTGGCCTGCAGTAACGCGGCTCGGACTTGGCTGCTTCAGGTCCCGGAGGAGTAAGAGAGGGAGGTCTTGAGGTTCCAGTTGCCAGCGAGAAACCAGTAAGGCAGGTTGAAGAATTAGAAAAAAGATGCTCTGAAGCGCGGGTTTGAGAAAAGTCCAGAGAAGGCAGGTGTGCTTCCGCGTGGGTGCGAGGCCCGACAACTGCAGGAGGTGTGCCCCGGCACTTGGGGACAGCTCCCAGTCCCGCGCCGGAGCAGCACTCCAATCGTCGTCGAGGGTTTGCTGGCCGAACCGCTCCGGCGAGCCGGGTCGAGCAAATTGCAAGGCCACAAAGATCCGCCAAAAAGGTCACACGTCACTCGGCTGCTCGCCGGCTCAGGCCGGAGTGCGCACGCCCCCGAGCTTAGAGGCCTAATTACTGGGGGGCTGGAGCCAGCCCTGTAGCGCGGGTCCTCCTGCGCCGTTGTTAGCCTCTTTTTGCCTGCTGGCGGGCACGCGCTTAAGCCGCAACTCAAGCCCACGCACGTCGTTGCGATCCTGTCAATCCGGGGAGCCACGCCGCACTGCCCTTGAGAGCAGTCGATTGCGAGTACGATTCCAGCTGAGAGACTCGATATCGCCCAAGGACATGATGACGTGAGTTTAGGGGAGGGCCAGATCTTGACGCGGTCGGTCTGGAATCCGCAACGTGGGCACTTGCTGGACTTTGTTGGAGACGACTGGGGCAATGGCAGGGTCCGCGGCCACACTTGCTGCACATCGCCCCTCTCCCAAGTGAGGGGCATGCCCCTCCTCCTCCTCGTCCAGAGGGGACCCCCCACTGCGCCCCCATGCCCTGACAGCAACATGGCAACCTTGGAAGATGCAGGTGGGACAGGCACGGAATCCTCTTTCTTACTTACCTAAGTGCCTGGCCAGAGCTGTCCAGCATCGATTGCTCTGCGCTCCCAGTTTTTCGTCTTTTGATCCCCTGAATCGGCTCGTAGCTTTTGTGCCGACTGGTTCGGATCTTGATAAGGCCAGCCGACACTGTCCATATCTGCAACCACTTGATGGCTTGCCTTGCCCCTCCCCAACCTGTCGCGCCGCGGATAGCCCAGCAAGAATTTCGAGGCCGTTCTTCCAGCTTCCCTTCTCTCCGAGCCAATCCGTGGACGATGTCGCATGCAGTCCGACTAAGCCCCATAATTTTTGCAAATTGGCCCTGCCACAGCTGCCAAAGGACATCCATGGATCTCTCTGACATGTGACAGGGTTTCTGTCTCTGTTGCAAAGACCACACATTTCAGCCAGGTTGACGCTTATTCTTACACATTTTCGTGACCAATAGATGCAATAGAACCAGGAAAATTGCATTCACTTCCATCCACGAATTTGCGTTCGTTTCTCTCGTTCCAGGTCCTATCATCTTGACCTGCGCCAAAGAGACCACGCATGAGAGAGTATCACTCTGGCAGCTCATGGGCCAGGTCTCCGTTGCAAAGCGAGGTTGACGCACTTTCTCCTCAGAGCACCCCGCACATGAACCACCTTCCCATACAGATCGGGTTTGATAGCCTTACCATGAGGGTCTGAGCTATTGACAGGTAAAGATGCCAGCCCCGTTCAATCTCTCTAGCTAGACGGCGAGGTAAGGGATCATGAGGAGAACTTCCAGTAGCTGGTTGACACTTTGCTCCCTTGTTAAGCTCGAAAGGGGCGGAAAGTAGTCGGGCGTGTTGCTGCTAAATGGCTAATGGACCCTTGGAAATTCTCCGCGAGTCCCCGGGCTGTACTTCGTGGCCTTTCCATACGTTTCTCCCGCAAGGACCTCGCGGCAGCCATGTATTGGCGAAGAGGTTTAGCCTGAAAGAGTCAATTGAACAGGGGTCTTTAGCTCAGACCCATTGAGGATCAGAGATTGACTTGGCTGGTCTGCGCCGGGCAAGAGACAGCTCGGCGGTAGTTGCTCCCTTCCCTTGCTTTCATAGAGTCGTCTGCAGAGTTATCCGGGGTTCTCTATGCCCAGGTCCTCACATCAAGCCTCAAAGATCTGGCGAAAGAGCACTTTCTCGGTTTTCGCTCGCTTGCAACCCGAGACTGTTTCAGAATGCGAAACGTCTTGAACAGCACCAGGTTCTTCGCCGATTCTGCAGATGGCTGCCGTCCCAACCGCATTTTGCAATAAACCTTGGTTCGGCACAAAGCATATTTGACCCATGCCTTGATGCCGCTATGGCCAAAATCCGTGGCAACGTACTCAGAACTCGAAACATGATGGTTGACTTTCGTGAGCGGCGGCAACTCATCTATCATGCTATCGCGATCATCAGAAACTGAAGATACAGCCGCGTTGCAGCAAATGGCGGCGTTTGCCTTGAGCTGATGCTGGTTCATTGACAACTTATCGGCATCGTGCCATTGACCGACAATTGCATCCGATTCCCGCCTGGGGTTCTCGGGGAGGAAGTTGGTATGGTTCATGTCGTCTGTCACTTCCGCCAGCAATTCCTTCACTGATTCTCTTTCGGGCACCTCTCGTAAGAAGCTATTGTCGTACAGAAGCCAGATAAGATTGGCTGTGGAGGGCAGTGCACTGCCTTCTGAACTTCTCTCACGCCGACTATTTGCTCCATGCGAAGAGATCTTGGATCTCGTCTGCAGGTACAGGGCATCTACTTCGGTGCTCCTGGTCCCGCTGCGAGATGGTTGAAAGTCAATTGAACTCCCAGCCAGATCCAAGATGCTGGTTGTATGTGTGGTGGAAGTCTCCATTGCCGTTGCTGCAGCGGCAAGTTCGTCCATCAGTGTTGGTCGGCCCTGTGACACATCCATGGCGTGCTTCTCCGAGTACAGGGCATCGAGGTACGAGCCAACATCTGACGGAATGTTCGTGTAGGCTGTCTGGTTCGAGCCGATGCTCATAGTGTAAGTGGTTGGCTGAGGAGAGGAGCACTGTCCGGGGGCAGGCGAGGGGAGATTCTCAGAGCGATATGATGATGAAGAGCTACGAGCGCGCTCGTTATCTTCGTGATGGGCGTTCAGGATGTCAGACAGGCTTTCAAGCTCGTCTGTTGCCCGCTTTGGTGCCTGCAAGAGGCTTGTGCCACGCAGCTCGGTTGAGGGGCGGCAGTCGAAGAAGTCGAGCCCGTAATCCCCAGACACTGTGGACGTCGTGGTTGGGATGCTAGGTGACAATCGGTCTACTGCTTCAGGCTGCCGAGATACAGCTGGCTCTTGAGCCGTTGTTGACTGTGCGGGCCGTGGTTGTCGAGGTTCTTGTTCCTGGTCAAAGTGCTTCGTCAAGACAGCGTTGAGATTGCTCCGATGTCTCAGATGAGGGAAGTCTGTGGTGATGGAACCCAGAGTGGATGACAAGAGGTGGTCGGCCTGTGACAGGCCATGGCGAACCATGGGCCTGCCTGAAAATGACCATCTGTGCACCGTCATTCTGTTGATGGGTGTATGTTGAGCTACTTGACTGTGTCGTTGATTGGAAGGGCGTGAAAAGACTGAAGATGAAAGATGTTGTCACCCATAGAACTATTATTTCATGTATCTTGGCCGTGGCGTAGCTGATCTCATGTTTGGAGGGCCGGCCTGGTGTGATTGATGGGCAGGTGTGAGCAGCACGGCAACCAGGGCACGGTGCAGAACACGCGACTGTTGAGCTGGTCGGTTGAGGCGTGACTGAGGACGGGCAGCTGCAGCCTGCAAGAGATGAGTTCGCGGACGGAGGCAGCTACGACTGGTCATGTGCCGTGCCGTGCAAGCAATGACTCTGGCATTCCGTGTCCTCGCTGGCTGACGCATGAACTGCTACCTGAGTCTGCTTGTCTGGCGCTGGCAGCTTCTGTTCCATGCAGGTGCAAGTATTCCCAAGTTCAAGCACTCTCACAGCATCGTGTCTTGTATGCACCCGCCTCTGAAAGTGTCCCAGATATGATGCTGAGGATATCAAGCTCTATATTATCGACGTCGAGGCTGCTGCATCGATGGGTGAACCAGATGACGGGCTGCTCATCCCGCCCAGGGTACCTTTTTGCCATGACAATCACAGAGTGTCGATGAGCCGGCCTGGGAGTTGCAGTCGTGATGGCAGGCCGTGGACTCCCTCGGGCCGAAGCCTGCATCAGTTGACAATCATGAGATGAAGGACGATGCGACCGTGATCGGCCGGCAGCAGCCGAGTAGTGCAGCGGTGTAAATGCATGGCGCCTCCGGGTGTGGGCCGGTGCCTGGATTATGCATCTAAGCATTCAATCAAACCGTCGCTGGTTCCGTCTGTGTGACATCATGGAGTTGTCGCAAAAGGCCCGCAGGCGGCATTCCAAGGCTTTTCTTGCCCGGGCTCCACGACTGACACCTCGAGGCCGGCAGATGGGCGGCAAGCACATGTCAAGAAAAGCCCAGGCGTGGTCGGGGCCAATTGACTTTGCGCTGTTTGACGCGTGCTTTTCCGCCTCCTGACGACGACACTTTGCAAGCCCTGTGGTGAACGCTCACGGATGCCAGACGGCTGTCTGGATCTCATTGAGTCTGCCTGCCTCCCTCAGCCGGGTTCTCAAGCATCGACCAGCTCTACCAAAAGACCCCCACGCCAGAGGATGCGCTTGTGTTGGGCAAGCACACCACCCACGGCCTCTCAACCACCACCGCCACAATGAGCCTCATCCATCGGCTGCAGCTTGGCCGATCCAGAAACGTGTCGGCCGTGGCCTACCAGCCACGGCTCTTCTCCAGGACTCGCCTTGCGCCCATCTCAAGCCGAGTAGCACGACACCACCCACGTACTGTATCAGCGTCTGCTGCGCGGCCCCTTCGCGGCTTCTTCAACTCGGCTGGACGACAGGACACCGACGGCGCAAAGTCTGGTAAAGGCCCCTCCGCTGTTGCGCCCGCCCTCCTTGCTCTGTGCACTTTTCTCATCTATTCGCTCTACCCAGCCGACGAACTCCGCCAGGCCCGGCTGCTCCGCCAAGAACACAAGAAACGGCAGAATCAGCTGCAGAACGAGCAGCAGGAGAACGATCGCGAGGTCAGCGGCGGCAAGGAGCCCGCCTGGTCGTCCTTCACGCGCCGCTTCGAGAGCTTCTCAGATGTCACGGACATCGAGTGGAAGGTCCTCTCCGACCGCATCGTCGACCTGATCCTGCCAGAGTGGTCCAAGAACATCCCCATGCAGATCAGGAAGCTGCAGCGGGAACTCTCCTTGGCACCAGGGTCTCTGGCTGACATCATATGGCACGACGCCCACGACCCCTTTAGCAACCCAGAGATTCGCTATTCCGCCTCTGTGCGAGTATCGGATGAGCTTTGCGACGAGGAGAAGGAGTTTCTGGCTCGTCGGAAGCGGATCGCACGTGCGGCTCTAGCTCGGTACCTGGGCATTGATGAGATTGACATCCACCCGGATGACGTCCCTACGATCGCCATGTGTGGCTCTGGCGGGGGCCTGCGGGCTCTGGTGGCCGGTGCGGGCTCTCTTCTTGCAACGCAGCAGGACGGGTTGTTTGACTGCGTCACCTACACGTCAGGCGTGAGCGGGTCGTGCTGGCTGCAGACGCTGTACAACTCCTCCATTGCCCAGGGCCGCTTCGATCTCCTCCTTAATCATCTCAAAGCACGTCTTGGAGTACACATCGCGTATCCCCCAGTGGCATTCGAGTCCGTTATCACCTCGCCGACAAACCAGCTTCTCCTCTGCAGCCTGGTGGAAAAGCTGAGAGGTGACCAGAATGCCGACTTCGGCCTCGTGGACATATACGGTATCCTATTGGCGGGGAGACTGCTTGTACCCAAAGGCGAGCTAGGAATCAATGCCAAAGATTTCAAATTATCGAATCAACGCGACTACATCAAGTATGGCCAGAACCCCATGCCAATCTACACGGCGGTTCGCCATGAAATACCGAATGTCGGCACAGACGCGCCCGTCTCCGAGGCCGACAAAGAAAAGGCCAAGCAGGAAGCGTGGTTCCAGTGGTTTGAGATGACGCCATACGAGTTCTTCTGCGAGGAGTTCAATGCTGGCATCCCGACCTGGGCCATTGGCAGGCGTTTCGATGGCGGAGAGGACGTACCGTCAGACAGTGGCCTGCATATGCCCGAGGTCAGGGTGCCGTTTTTGATGGGGATTTGGGGAAGTGCCTTCTGCGCGACGTTGAGCCACTACTATCGGGAGGTTCGGCCTCTGGTGAAGAGCCTCACGGGCTTCGGGGCCATTGACGGCATGATCAGCACGCATAGCGAGGACCTCGAAAAGGTCCATCCGTTCGAGCCGGCGACCATCCCCAACTTTGTATACAACATGGACGAGAAGCTCCGGTTCACCACTCCAACGCAGATCCACGAGCAAGAGTACATCCAACTTATGGACGCTGGCATGTCCAACAACTTGCCAATCTATCCTCTTCTCAGACCGGGCCGGGATATCGACATTGTCATCGCCTTCGATGCTTCTGCGGACGTCAAGACCGACAACTGGCTTTCGGTTGCCGATGGTTACGCACGTCAGCGTGGCATAAAGGGGTGGCCAGTCGGCGTAGGGTGGCCTAAAGCCTCGGACTCTCCAAAAGAGGTTGAAGAGCAACTCGAAGCTGCTGAGGCACACTCTGCTGCCGAAGCAGACGCAAAACTGTCCCGTGCCCAAGGCGCCGATCTCGAGGACGACAAGTCGCAGAACACGGTCAATAACCCGACCGCCGAACCATCACCTGAAGCCGAGCAAGCCATCTCCCACCCGGAGGTCTCCGACCTAGGATACTGCACGATCTGGATCGGCGACGTCGAGGAGCGCTCATCTGAGCCCCCGCCGCCTTCCAAGGCTCTCGGTGCATCCTTTGCCAACGACGAAGAAGCATGGCAGACCGTCGTTCACCCCAAATCAGGCCTGGCCGTCGTGTACCTGCCGTTCTTGACGAACCCCAAGGTCGAGGGCGTCAACCCGACCAAGAGCGACTACATGAGCACATGGAACTTTGTATACACGCCCGAGCAGATCGACAAGGTCGTCGCCCTGGCGCAGGCCAACTACGACGAGGGCAAGGAGCAGATCCGGGGCTGCGTGCGCGCCATCTACGAGCGCAAGAAGAAGAACCGCGAGACCCAGGAACATGCTCTCCGCAGGGCCAGAGACCGCAGACTTACGCGCCTCGGTATTGTGGGCAAACTCGGCGAGGGCGATCACTTCAGCTGAAGGTGCAGGTGCAGATGACATGCCCGAAATGTGCGGCCATCATGGATGAGCACAATCGCGGGTCCTACTTCTTGTTCTTCTTCCAAACGCGTGGATTTTGGTGTTTGTGGAACGTATGATGTTTCTTGAGGTGTACATATGTTCGATTCATCTTGGTTTCCCGGTCCAGCGATACCCTGCAAATACGATTAAGTTTAGACCAACAATAACACGAATACATTTTCAGATGAGCCAAAATATAAGCAAGACGCAAGGACACCGTGTTGTCCACTCTGACCCTGAAATATTACACGAGGCTCAGCACGGGGTCCGGCGTGAAGTTGTGCTCGGTAACTGCACAAGTCTTCTCAGCCGCCGCAGTTGCCACTGAGGGTTTGTGAATTTTACGGTCTTTATTCTACAGACTCTGCTATGGTACAACAATATGGTATGTGTGAAGTAGAATGGACTCGTATGGGTATGCGAAGCGCCCCGGCAGCGCATTCACCTACTCCGCCAGTTCAGGTGGTCATCCAATCCCATCATTTGAAAGACGTCGTGTTGTCGCCGCATAGATCGATCGTACATGATGCGCCTCCGACGATCATCGTTTTAAAAGTGCCGCCTCTCCTGGTTCGCAATACCGATGACTGCTACGTGCTTCCTATCTCCTGCTTATGCCGCTCTCATTTTTCTCTATACACTATCTGACTGGCGAGTCCGTCACGCCAGACCAGATGAAACTTTCCGATGGAGTGGAAAATATAGGATACATATGTCGAAGTGAACAAAAATGCAAGGATAATGACCATGTGATAAATGTTATTGAATCGATGCACCCCAATCATGATATTATCTCGCCAATGTCGACATAGGCAGGTTTCCATGGCGCAGCGTCCTCGAGGAAGGTGTCACTGGGCACAGGCACGCGATCGCCGGGGCTGTAGAGATACCACGACTTGAGCGCGTTGATAGAGGCGGCAACCCTGGCGGAGTCGAGGCTCGGGCCGGTGCCCTCGCCAAGCTTATCACGGCCGCTGAAGATGCCGACGACGAAGACGGGTGTTCTGCTCATGCGACCAGTCTCGTTGAGTAGTCTGGCCACGGGTGCCTCAAAGTCCTCGCGTGCGCACAGCCGCGCCAGCTCGCGGGTCGGGAGCTTGAACTCGAAGAGATTGGACAGGTCGAGGCGCCTCGAGAGCACGTGCGCCTTGACAAAGTCGTGCGCGGCATCGCGGCCGTGGTGTAGGTAGATGGCGCCGATGACAGCACGGACCATGTTGGCGTGCGCGTTCTTTGCCGGGTCTTCGACGAGAACATCCTTTGTGTTCTTGGCACTGCTGACCTCGAGCCCTTGGTTCTCCACGGGAGTTTCTGGCTGCTCCTCCGCGACCACCTCGCCGAAAGCGTCATCGTACAGCACTCTGCTGCTCATCCCGCGGCGCCACTTGTACTTTTGGAGCTCCTTTGCCTCGGCGCGGACGTAACCCCACCGGTTCATGACGACCGTGGGCTTCTTGTCGGTGAATTGAAGCAGGCCCGGGTCGACCTCACCGCCGGGAGCATAGGCTTGCTCGACACCCCAGGCCCGGCCGATCTGGTGCAGCGCGGGCACGCCAGCGTAGCCCTTCATGGCGGCGAAGAGGATCGCCATCGGCAGCCGTGGGTAGTGCGCGATGAGCCACTCTGAAGTGTGGTACTGGAGTATCGTCGATCCGAGGAACGCAAGGTTGGCGTTGTTGAACTTGGGGTGGGCATCTGCCGACGGGTCTACGAGGCATCGCGCCAGTGTCTGGAGAGGTACTTTGGAGGAGAGGTAGAGCCGAGCATGCAGGGCGGCGAGCTTAGCTGAGCGCAGCGCTCTGTCGGGATGTGGCGAAGGTAAAGACTGAGGGAGGGCCGCTTCAGGTACGGAAGTGGTGCCTGTACTTTCGATCTGGATGGCCTCTGTGGACTGGCATCGTGCCTGGGCCTGGAGGAAAGTCCGCGAGGTGTGCTGCAAGGCTCTGGCCCTCAGCAGGGCGCACGGGACCGTGCTGGTCCTTATCCTCTTCATGGCGGCTGTTTCTTCGTGCTCGGAATTTGTGTGCAGCCGCAGTCAAGGGCAGACAAAGCTGGCTGCAAATTTATGTCGGCAGGCACGCCCGACAGGTGGCGACACCGGGGAGAGCACCGGTTATGTCGAAGAACTCTGGCTCAGGGCTTTCGTCGTGGGCCGTCGTCGTCGATGTGGCTGCCGTGGGCTGTCGTCGATGCGGCCGTGTTCGCGTGTCGTGCGGCCCAGGAAAAAAGTTCGAGCGGCCGCTGGATGAGCCAGCAATTGGAGGTGCGCAGGCAGGGCTCAGAGGCACTGGAGACTTGCGGAGTGCAAGGGTCATTTCCCTTGGTCTGGCGGCTGCCAGATTTGGCGTGCAACGCTGGCGCCTCACAGCGGGCCACCTGCCTGCCGGCTGCGCTCCAGGGAGCAGCGCGTGGGGCACGGCAGCCGAAGCCAATGGGGCAAGCTTCAATTCGCATCCAGCGACGACATCACTGCTCGGTCTCGCGATAGCTGCAACCACCCCAAGTCAATTGACACAACACCTCAGACCCCACGTCTCTCACAAGCATCGGTCAAAATGGTAAGGCGCCTCCCCAAGACTGTGATATATACTTGAGCCATCGCTAACCAGCTTACAGGGTGGCGGTCCTAGAGTCCCGTAAGTTCCTCGTGAAAGCTCCATCCATCTCCTCTGGCGACGACGACGACAACGACAACGACAACAGAAGACGAAGCGCTCCATCACACCGGCACGCATAATCCTGGCCGAAGACTCCTAGCATCCGCCACGCTACCCCACAAACCTCCAACCACGACTGTTGCTAATGCGATCGTCCTCCGTCTCAGATACCCCAAGCACGTCTGGTCCCCAGCCGGTGGTTGGTACGCGCAGCCCTCGAACTGGAAGGCCAACACTTTCGTCTTCATGGGCGTCATTGCCGGCATCAGCGCCCTCACCTGGAAGTTGTCTGCCGATAACGAGCACAGGCACAAGATGCCCGAGCCAGGCCGGTTCTACCCTAGCCGATAGTACGTGGTTTTCCCCAACTTCCCTCCCGACCCTGGCAGCCAATGCTCCAGCCAGCATTCAGCGATGATAGCCACCAAAATTTATCGTGACGTAGACTAACAGTAGTTGCAGCTGGACCAAGCAAATCAGGGAACACGAGGCCGCTCAGAGAGCCAGCGGCAACGATTCATAGATGGTGGTGGGTGATGGACGTGGACTAAACCAGAGAAACTGTACATATATACCCGCAGTCAGCGAAAGAAAAACAAAATTCTAGATGACCCAAGAAACACCTTACCGGTGCAGTCCAGATGCAGGCAGTGCCTGGTATGGATCACCATTGAGGAATGGCCATTCGTGATTTGATTACATCGTTGTTGAAAGGCCCCGGCCTTCTGAGCACCAGCCTACAATACCAATGAGACAGCCATTCTGGATGAAGCTGCAGATGACAGTGGTGCACAGGTTTTGTTCGGTGGAGCACACTGAATGTATCGATTCTGTTTACGAGCATATATAACAAGTGCTTGATCGATCTATCTTTCCGTACTCCAAGAAGACGTCGCCCCAATCAGTCAAACGCCAGGCTCGCACTTTCTCGAAGGCGTGGAAATGCTCTATCCACAACACGCCGCAATGTCCTCACTACATGTAAATAGACCAAACAACGACCAGACCCCGCCCAAGCAAACTGACTAGCCCTTCTTGAGGCCCAGGAAGTGCCGCTTCTTCTTCTCTTTCTCGAGCTTCTGCGGCTTGTCCACGGAGGACACAGATGCGCTGGGCTGGTGTCCTGCGCCGTTTGGTCGCGAGTTCAGGGTCATGTTGCCCATCTGCTGTGTTGGCGGCTGAGGAGGAGCGACCCCAGCCGGTCTCGTGGGAAGACCTCCGGGCACACCCGGCCGGCCTGGGCCACCTTGTCCGCCTGGTGGCTGCGAGCTCATGGGCGGGGCTGGTCGCTCAAACAGATGAGCTGGTGCTCTTGGAGGAGGTCGCTCAATAGGGAGATCTAGGCGGCGTTTGTCTACGCTCAGATCGCCAAGCTGGCGGACAAAGAGGGCCGGGGTGAGCATATGACTACTGGCCAAGACGACCTCGCGTCCCATACTCGCCCCTACTTCATAACAAGCCCGGGCTTCCGAAAAGGTGGCACCACCAGCCATGAACACAATGATCCTTTGCTTATTGTCCGCAGTACGCCGACCAGCGCCAGCCCAGCTCGGTTTCGCGGCTCGCAGCGATCCTTGCCCTATCAGGGCATCCTCATTCGGGTCGAGAGGTGGCTTGACGTATGGGAAGGTCGTTTGGTCTAACGTGCCCTTGCATAGGTTCAAAAGCATGGTCTTTGTCGCAGGATTGAAGCGAGACAGGTAGCTGTCCTCGTCGACAACTTGCTTGGGTTCGGGTGGAAACAGTGGTGGCAGCTCCCTTTTCGGGTCTTTGAGCCCTCGAGTCGTACGTCCTCCTAGCAACTCCAGATTCGAGATAACCTCGCCATCCGATTGAGGGAGGGCGGCATGAGCGAGAAGCCTCTTGATGTCTTCTGAGATGACGCCGTCGCGGTATAGCAGATACATAATGATAAGACGCAACCGGTCGGGAGGCCTTACTGCTTCATCATCGAGCAACCGAGCGACTTCATCCAGGACGTTCTTGGGTTTCCGACCGTCCTCGTCCGTGCCCGTTGCCATGTTCTGCTCGACTGGCGACATCTCATTAAGCTTGTGATTCTGAAAGATATTCATACTCTCCTGTGCCATGGTAAGATGTAGTGAGTACGTCTCCTTCATCTCTTGGAACTGGGGCAGTCCGGCCATCATGTCCTTGATAGCGTTCAGGCTTGTCGCATTGTTCGAGTCGCGAAAGTGGGGGTTCTGGTCGAGGAACTTCTGAAAGTCACCCATAAGTTTGTCGATCGTGTCTTTCATATGCCTGTGGCGGTTGTCCACCCAAACTTTATCCTTGTCGCTTAGTTCCAGGTCTTTTTCTTCCGCCTCTGGTGTGTTTTCATTGACTGTCATGTGGAAGGTGGTCTTGTCGCCATCCTTTATTGGGAGAAGATCGAATGCCATGGCTTGATAGGTAAATTCGTGGATCAGAGGCGCCATCAGATCCATAGACCGGTCGGTGACAAGCAGGACACCCTGTGGGCGTGAGCTTGGTGGCGGAAAGTCAGGATTCCACTGCGCGTATTCGTCCAGCTCTTCGGAGATGAACCGTGCGAGATGGGAGCAGAGTACGCTCGCCTCGTGAGTGGCGTTTCTGGGCCGATAGTACCGGACCTTGGGATACTCTCCAAGCGATACACATAATCCAGTGATCTACAGGATGTAATGAGCATTTTTCGTTGGGCCCAAGTAGCTTATCAACATACCTTTTGCGCCAAATCGGCCATGTGCTTCCGAATGAGAGCGTTGCAGGCAGGATGGTATAGAATAGGAAAGCTCCATGGGTCTCTGAAAGTAACAAGGTTGGACTCTCGCGGGAAGAAATCGACGGAGAGTGTTTCAAAGCCTGCAATGGCTTGTTTCGCGAATGGTGACGTGTCGATCTTGCGCCTAAGCTGGGGATCGAGGACTGTAGTCCATACGAGAAAGCATCGTCGGTATCTCCGACGATCTATGTCCGCAAGCAGGCAGTCCACGATATGTGATTGTGGCGACAACAGATAGATGGCGTCCATTGTAGGGTTCATCTCCCTCCGCTCTTCGATCTGCTCAATGTCTGTCTGGGAGTTAGCCGCTGTTCGGGCCCTGCGACCCTTGTCCAGTAGATTCCGTACTTGCGATGTTGTGATTCAAGATGTCATCCTCCTTGAGAACATTGTCCACAATGCGCTTGGACGTTTCGTCAAGAACCAGAACCTTCCACTGTATGTGATATGCTAAGGATCAGTCTTCCCTGCTCCATTCTGCGGTACACAACTTCGATCGGAGATACCCACGTCGCCAGATGTAATGCGCTTGATCGTACCGAGGAGCACTGCATGAAGCCGAAAGTGTGTCAGCGTGGTCACTTCAAGAAGCGGGCTCATGTGGGCGGCTTACAGTCGCGTTGCTCCTGGATAATTGAGATCCCCATCCTCGCGGTTTGAGTCGTCTCGCGACTCCAAGCTGCCTATTTCCGGCGCTGGTACAGAATTGCTTGGCCGGCCCGGGTTGCGCTTCTACGCCGATGCTCCTGTCATGTACGTTGCGCAGTCTATAGCTGGCTCAATGCCCCCGTTTGGGCTGCAGTAGACGTTCCTAGGCTAACGAATGTTGGAGCCAGCTTCCGCTGCGGAGGAGCAGTGGATGATGTAGTGGCAGGAGGATCGTGGGGTGTTGGAGCTGACTCCTTGGGAGCGAAGCGCCTTGCTGCGATCGGGAGACGTCGGCGGCCCGCTCTGAGTGGGAGAGAAGAACGCAGGACTAAGCAGGCTGCAGAGAGAAGTGTGGTGGTAAGGTAAAATAAGGTTGCGTCGCAAGCTTGGAATGCTGCCGAGCTTCAAGTTCCAACGGTGGAGTAGGATGGCATTCCCCTATGGCGGGGTTTCGAAACCTGGGCCGGCGTCAATGCACAACAGCTCGTGGTGGATCGCATGACAGTCCCTGTTCCAGAGCCGCCCAACGTGGTGCAACTTCGCTCAGCACCGCCTTTCGACCTTCGTGCTGTTGCCTGAATGGCAGTCATGGGCATTTACTTTGTGGCATTGGCAGGTTGGCGAAGTACACACCAAACATCTTATACTGCAAGCGGTCACTCTTTCATGAGGTGAAGTGGTGACTGTGACACTGTTTGGATGAGCTCAAAGTGCTAGCACAAAGTGACGCGCGCGGAAGCGGTCACTGGTACAGGGTCCCGAAGGTACGTCATGTGATTTCTATGAACACCTCTCAAGGCCTCACAATGGACAGAAGCTTTAGCTCCCCAGATACTTGTCGACTTCTGTGCTGCTGAAGAGCTGCTGTCGCAAGCGGTCGTTTCGTTTCCTGTCCTCGGCCGCTGCCTTGCGGACTTTTCCGGCGTCCAACTTGGACGGCTTCTGTTCCTTCTTGGGAAGATTCTTTGGCACCTTGACGCCGATGCCCAGGGTATCATCCTTGGGCAGAGCTTTGATGGGATACTGCAGGCCCTGCCCTTGCGCGCCGAGTCCCGTCCGGGCATCTGGGTCCCAGCCTTGTGTCTGCAGCACCTGCAAACCCATGCGCGACCGATTCAGGGCAGATGGTGGATGAGAGTGAGTTAGGCACACCTGGTGCGCTATCGATGCTTCATGCCGGCGAGATGCTGACTGGGCATCTTCATTGATCGGCAGGTTGCAGACCTCGCACACCGTCGGCGGTGGTGCTGTAGGCTCTGGACTTTCGTCTGGCGTCTCGCTCTTTGTGGCATGGTTTGGCAGGACTAGGCTGAGGTACATGTCTGCAATCGACCTGGCTGGCTTGGCTGGGACCGCATTCTCTGTGGTAACCAAGGGTCCTGTTGATGCTGGAACGAAGGCGATGTGTTTGCGTTTCAAGCCTGAGCCAAAGGGTCGCTTCTGCTGGAGTGGAACATCGTCCTCCGCTGATTCCTTGTGCTCATGGATATCGTCGGAAGGCATCTTGATGAGGCTTGACCGAGATGAACACGTTCGGTGACTTGTCAGGAGGTCCAGGCACCACCCGCGCCCGCGCTTGGCAGACTTCACTTGTGGTCTGTCATGCACAAAGCCAGCCCAGTCGCCATGAACTCCATCCAAGATCTGTTCACACCTACGGTACCATGGCAGGGGAAAATGGAAAATCTGGTGGTCGTTGCTTCATGAAGCAAGAGTGCCTGCGAACCGCATGCCTGGAGGCCTAGAAAGGGTCGGCCCACCCGCTACCAAGTGGATCCGCATGAGCTTTGTCAGCCCACATGGAGCCTGAAGCTCGTTGACACGCATGCACGATTTCCTGGAAAACTAAGTACCATCTCTCACCTTTCGTCTGCCTGTTATATCCTCTGCAGCTCTTCCGAGCTGGACTCGGGACATGGAGAGACATTAAAAATCCACTCGCTCTTTCTACACGCTCTCTTCTTCCAATAGTCGACAAATCCCCCAAGATGCTTCAGCTCGCTTATGGCATCCTCACGCAGGGCCCTCCAGCATGGGTTCCTGACGCCCTTCGAGACCCATGGCGCAACATGACCGTCATAGCTGTGATGGTTGTCTTGCTACTGCTTAAGCGATACTTCAATGGCTTTCTCAACCCTGCCGAACGCGACATGCATGGCCGTGTGGTTATGATCACAGGCGGCACGTCGGGCATAGGGGCTGCCGTAGCGAAGGACCTCGCCCGACGGGGCGCGCAGCTGGTGCTGCTCACACGACTCCCGCCTTCGAACCCGTTTTTGGCCGACTATATCGGCCAACTCCGCCAAGAGACGAGGAACACGATGATCTACGCCGAGCAGGTCGACCTGACATCCCTCCACAGCATTCGCCAATTCGCGACGAGATGGATCGACAACGCCCCGCCCCGACGCCTTGACATGCTGATCCTCTGTGCCGACACGTTGACACCACCCGGCCAAAAGCGAGTCAAGACGGAGGAGGGCATTGAAGAGACCTGGATGGTCAACTACCTGGCCAACTTCCACCTGCTCGGCATCCTGAGCCCTGCGCTCCGAGCCCAGCCTTTTGACCGCGACGTGCGCGTCATCATCCCGACCTGTTCTTCATACATCGGGGCGCCGCCATTGAGCGAGGAACTTGACAAGAAGAAGTGGAATCCGAGCAAGGCGTACGCGAGGAGCAAGCTGGCCATGCTGGTGTTTGGGCAGGCTTACCAGAAACATCTCGATGCGTACAAGAGACCTGACGGTCTGCCCATGACGTCGCGTGTCATCTTTGTCGACCCTGGCCTATGCCGGACGCCTGGTATGCGGAGATGGCTGTCCAGAGGCTCTATCTGGGGTCTTGTTTGCTACGTGGCGTTCTACGCGGTGCCGTGGTTCTTCCTCAAGAGCGCAGAGATGGGCGCTCAGTCTATCCTCTATGCTGTCCTGGATACAAGTCTGGTGCGGGGTCCTGGAGGTCAGCTCATCAAAGAGTGCCAGATGGTGGATTTCGCGAGGATGGACATCAAGGATGAGGCGATCGCGAAGAAGCTGTGGGAGGCGAGCGACAAGCTGATTGTCCAGACAGAAAAGGAACAGGCTGCTCTGAGAAACCTAGAAAAGAAGGCGGAAGAGGCCAGGGAAAAGGACAAGAAGGACGCCGCCCAGGCCGAAGAGATCGACGAGCTTGTGCAGACAATCAAGAAGGGCAAGGAGGCAGAGAAGAAGTCAACATCGAGGCGGAAGAACAAGAAATAGACCATGGCAGATGGAGCCCCGACATATCAATTGTAATCAATAGGACTGACCTCAGCAACAGACGGCGCAAATTTTACTGCGTGACCATATTCAGACTCGACTACAATTGTCAATGGTAGCTGCATGTCTTGCGAGTCTCCAAAATCAAGATGACGACACGCGCTGTGCCGCCCTTGGAGAAGCTCACAAGAGCTCCCCACAAGCGGGGCTCCGAACCACCCCCGGAAGACGGCGAGCCTCGGATCCAGCCAGTTCTCGAGGTGCTTGCCGCAATCATTCCACGCAGAACTAATACAGTACTTGACAACGAGCCAGCAAGTCAACTCATCACGTCCGTTCGCTCCAACCTAGGCGCAATTCCAATACCACATTGCCAACTCCCCGGACCCCCCGATACACTTCGTGGAGATAAAGCATACACTGGCAGGCTAGCGCGCACGAGTACACCGTTGTCTGTTCTGAACCTACTAGCAGCCAGGCACGTAAGCCTTGTGCAAAGGGCAGCTATATCGGTTCAGTGGTTTCGCCTGTTGTGTGTTTGACCGCCCCATGAAAGAGTCAGATGGCGACATCACGACCGCCACAGCAACAACAAGAAGCACAGCTCCAGCAGCTCCCCCATTCGGCGACCTCGGTACCATTCCCAGGAGCAGCAACAGCGGCAGCAGGTCTACATAGTAACAACATGCGCCTCTCAGTCCCGGGATCGTTACCACCACGGCCTCGCCTGGCTCCGCCACCACAGCCTACGTCCTTCGCAGCAATCCACCACCCTCAAGCACGTGACGTTTCCAGCCTACACCCAGTCTTCTTCACAGAGCGGCTGCAAAGAACGCCATTTCCTCAAGCGCAAAGCGGTGGTAGCGGTGGTGGCAGCGGCAGAGGCGGCGGAGGGTTTCCGGCAAGTCATCACCACAATCCTGTAGCGCACGGGTACATGTACCACGAGACTCGGCGGCGGGCGGAAGGGAGCAGCGTGCCAAGGTTATGAACACTGCGCAGGCTTTCGATATAGGGTAATGGCAAAGAGAGTATATGGCGTTCTGGCTCCGGGCAATTCAACTGTTTGTTTCTTGGCGTGTCCATTGGGTTATCTCTCTCGGTGGTCGTTGCAAGGTCTAAAATGTCTCGTATGCTGGTGTTTCGTTTCATGGAACATGTATTGAACACATGCGCGAGCGAGAATGCGATTTGCATTAGCGTTGTTAGGCACTGTCACATTGAATCGAGCAATTCCTGACTCGCACTTCTTCGGATAGAAGGGAAATAAACGAGGCAAGTGAGAGAATGGGTATAGATGTATATTGGAATCCTTCGAAATGAGATAACAAACGCCTGTGCTAAGGAAAAGACCCCTTCCGAATGTATGCTTATGGGGCAGCGACGTGGCCAAGGCATGTCGGGAGCTTTGTGGTGTGCTTTCAAGAACATCGCCACCAGGAACTCCTAGCAAGTGACCCTAGAAATGAAACCCCGAGTATCGTGAAAGAGCAAATCACACTCTGCGTGATACTTGTACAATAAAACCCCCCCGAAACATTAATCCCCAGTTCCTGTAACTTTTCAACAGCTCACGGTAGAGCCCCTCAGCTAGCAGCGTTCTTGACTGCAATGACAATAGAGACAATGATGAGGATGATGACGAGCGCCAGCAGAGCCATGAGCTTGACGTTCTTCCACCACATCTGGCGCTTGAGCCCCCTGCTACGGACACGAAACTCGCGAGCGCTGCCGCCCAGACGGTCCGTCTTGTCGACGAGGAGATCGATGCGCTCGCCGCGCTCGAGCAGGCCCTCAATGTTGCGCGTCATGATGCCTCGCACGTCGTCCATCTCGCGCTTGACGTTGGAGATGGCATCCTCGCGGCCGCCGCTTGTGGTACCAAAGTCGACCATCAGGCTCTTCAGCTCGCTGTTGAAGGACCCGGCGCCATAGTTAGGCATGTCGCTGAAGTCGGTGGTCTGCGGCGAGAACTCCTCAAAAAAGCGCTTGCGGATCTCGAACAGGAAGCCGAATGGCACGCGACGACCGAGCGCGGAGTCGGCAATCACGAGGAAGGTAAGGCCGCCGGCCGAGGCGTTTGACTGATGGGCCGAGGGGGCCTCGGAGATGTAGTGGATGTGGTGAGAGCCGTGGGTGTACGTCAACTTCTGGGGCGAGTCGTGGGCGATCTTTGGGAGGATGAGCGAGGCCAGGGAGGAGGTCTGGGACGAGGCGGACGTGGTACATTCGGAGAGGATCGTCGAGTTGTGCGCGATGCAGGAGCTGCGAATCAGTTCACGGTCAGCGATTGTCGAGCGGCCGGCCGGTATATCCAGAGAGGGCGGATGATGGCAATGAACCTACTAGAGGAGAGGGGTTTGAGATGAGGATGAGGCAGCCATCTTGCAGTCGTCTCGGTATGGATCGTGATAAACGGTGGCAGGCAAGAGTGCTTTGCACCCGGTAGTACAATGGCGCTCGAATTTGCACTGAACTGATAGGTGCTGGGAAGTGCGATGCAGGCGCAAGGTCGTGATGGCTCTTTGGCTCTGTGTCGATTTGGAGATTGGCGATGGGGAAGCAAGTTTGGCAGGGCAAGTTTGCGACGATGCTGGCTGAAGAACGGGTTCCACCTGGGCTGCTTGCTGGCTGTGCCTGGAGATCTCCACAGCGCTGGGAGCTGGGGGGGCGCGTTCATGATGACGATGGTGCGGACAGCCTGCCTCACTTGCATGCGCTGACCCCGGCCCGGTGGAGCTCTCAGTTCCCCCAAATTCGACGCCATGGGGCGGGACTTTGGTCCGTCTCGATGGTGGCGGGCCTCTGCTATTGGCTGCAGCAGCGTGGTCGCAGAAAAAGTTCAGGGCTCTGCCATCAACTCGTCAACGCCAAAAGAAAGCGTATCCATCACTTTTAGAGATTCCCGATAATCACCAGCCGAATCTTGGTTTGGGCACCACCCCTAAAGCTTGACATACACAACAACCTGCGACACCTCTGCTCAACTCGACCTGCCGGAGCCGACGAGCCCAGGACAAGCACGAGGCCAGCTTGGCGCATGGCCATGGCCGCAGCGTTACCGTAGAGCCTGCCCGCACCGCGCAACTATGCAGTCTTCTCTGTGCAGAGCTGCGTCGCCTTGGCTATACAAGCCAGCCCCAGCATCATGGCGATCTATTTCAACATCGAGGTTCCTCGCCCGGAATGTACCGGCCCCTCATATCTTCCTCTATTTATTCTTGAGGCTGACATTTTACTGATTTTTGCATTAACCCCCCTAGTCCTCTCCGAAGCTTCCTCGTGCCCATAGAGGCCATAATCCCCTTGCAAAGCTACTTGGATCTACTCCGCTGCCAGGGAAGAACCCGAGATTCAAAGCACCGTATGGCGTCAGCAATCAGAGCCCTCTGAGCCCTCCCCGTGACGCCAGTCACACCTACGATGCTTTCAAGAGGCTCGTGCTCACGCGAATCGACCTCGTCTTTGCCAGAGAGGGCTGGGCTCATAACAAGGCTCAGTGGAGGGCTTTCGGCCTGAACACACAGGAAGACTTTGACAAGGAGGCAAAACTGTTCCGCCTCGCGGTGGAAAAAGCTTGTGACCTTGCGACCTCGGAGAAGGCGATTGGGAAGAACAACAACCCCTTATTCTGGTCGCTACGGAAGGGCTTTGTCGACGGCGACGTGTCTGGGCTCACCGGAGAGATACAGTACAGCTTTCAGAACTTCTTGATGCGCACCAGGTTCCCAAAGAACATTGTCGCCACGCAACAGGCCATGGCGGACTTCCGCTTCCCCTACGAATGGTTCCCAGCCACGCGAGCGATGCAGCGGACGATACATCTTCACGTGGGACCGACAAACTCCGGCAAAACGTACAATGCTCTGAAAGCCTTGGAGAATGCCCGGTCAGGGATATACGCAGGACCGCTGCGACTTCTCGCTCACGAGGTGTATTCTCGTTTCATCGCGAAGGGCAAGAGCTGCGCTCTCGTCACGGGCGAGGAACAGCGCATCCCGACAGATTCGGACACGTACTTCCGAAGTTGCACAGTTGAGATGACACCTCTTAACAATCCAGTCGATGTTGCAGTCATCGACGAGATCCAGATGATTGGCGATTCGGAGCGCGGCTGGGCATGGACTCAGGCCGTGCTGGGTGTCCAGGCGCGGGAGGTACATCTGTGTGGAGAAGAGCGCTCGGTCGACTTGATCAAGTCGATATGCGCCACAACAGGTGATAAGCTCGTAATACATCAGTACAAGCGTCTCAGTCCCCTTAAGACGATGGATGAGAGCTTGAGGGGAAACTTCAACAGCCTGGAGAAAGGAGACTGTGTGGTCACTTTCTCGCGGGTGGGCATCCACGCCCTGAAGAAGACTATTGAGCAGAGGACGGGACGAAGGGTCGCCATCGTCTATGGTTCCCTTCCACCCGAGACAAGAGCTCAACAGGCTGCTCTTTTCAATGATCCTAACAACGACTATGATTTCCTGGTCGCTAGCGATGCGATAGGAATGGGACTAAATCTCGAGATCAAACGGGTGATTTTCGAGCAGACACACAAGCGGACTGCTACGACATACCGGCAGATGGAGATCTCAGAGCTCAAACAAATCGGCGGTCGTGCTGGTCGTTTTCGGACAGCTGCTCATGCGATCAAATCAGGTGCCTCCTCATCTGCGAAGGAGGGTGATATCAACGTCACCCCGCCAAAGCAGATAGGACTAGTCACGACTCTCGAGCCTGATGATCTCCCGATTGTACAGAGAGCTTTTTCCCAGGACGCCGAACAGCTGAAGACAGCAGGCATCCAGCCGCCCCCGGCAGTTCTGGAGCGGTTCTCCAGCTATTTCCCACAGAACACCCCGCTTACGTATATCCTTATGCGGCTGAGGGACATTGCCCAAGTTTCTCCTCGTTATCACATCTGCACCACCGGCGAGATGCTCAAAATAGCCAATTTGATCCAGGCGTTTCCTATGCCCATCTACGACAGATGCGTATTTCTCAATGCTCCAGTCTTCTTAAGGGAAGATGACGGAATCAAGATTCTGCAGGCTTATGCCAAGTGCGTCTCAGATATGAGTGGAGGCCATTTGCTGGACATTCCCGAAATTAATCTGGAGCTGCTGGATCAGCCAAAGGACGATGATCCATTCGTCCGTGCCCAACACTTACGCAAACTCGAGACGCTTCACAAGGCCATCACCCTGTACCTATGGCTCAGTTATCGGTACTCTGGAGTGTTCCATAGTCAGCATCTTGCGTTCCACGTCAAGCAGCTTGTTGAGACACAGATTGACGAGCATCTGGCCGAGGTCACCGAGTCGGACAGTGCACGCAAGAAGAGACTCAAGCAGATGCGCCGGATTGCCACGAATGTGCAGCGCAAGAAGCAGAAGCTCTTGGGCGACGACATTCCAGCTGAAGGAGAGCAGCACCACGAGGTTCCAGGGGACTGGAACGAACCCGGTCACGAAGAGCCCCTGTACGAAGATCAACGAGAGCTGGAGAGTGCTTCCTCTGCTAGTGAATCGACGAAGTAACTTCTGCCTCCCGAAGGACATGGACCGATGAATCATAACAATTCACTCGGCTTGCGCGGTCTTAGAACACCACGCGCTGTAGAATTATCTGTACACAATTTTTATGACTGATGTATATACGGCTAGGTAGATGAAATTAGAGCCCAAGACCGGCGCCATTCATTGAGAGGTCATATGGATAAAAGCGCACAATGCATTCGCCATTGTCGGCAGTAGCGATATGAATGCGACTTGCCTCAGCCAGGCTGGACCAGTGACACAATATCACTGGAGGGCGATCGCTCTTGCCTTGCTACGCCATACACTGGTGTAGCCTGGGGCTGCTTGTCAAAGGAAGTAGTGTCGTCGGCATGCGAGACGGGAGCCGGAGGTTAATGCAAACCAGTTTTCCTATATCCCGACATCTACAGATATCTCATCTCCACGCAGCCCTTCTTAACAATCATATTCGCATCGCCGCTGCGGCAGGGCCGCCGTAATCAATAACCCTCAGTATTTTTCGGCTCTCAAGGAAGCGCGACAGCAACGTAGTCGAACTATGGAGCTATACGAGGCCGAGGACAGTCCCACGGCAGACATGCCTCGCCTGCGTCCTTGCAAGTCGTTCCCAATGGACGAGTTCTCGAGCCGTGCCGGTTCTGATATGGAAGCTTTGGTCTGCGGCTCTCGGCATCTCCACTCGGCGAGCTGGATCGGCGGTGATGGGGCTATGAGCAAGCCGTCAACCACATCAGGATTCTCAAACACCGCAAAGACCACAAAGACGGCCTCCCCTACCAGCTCCGTCTCCATCACCCCGTCCTTAAGGAGACTGGCAAGCAATACTAGTGCTCGCCACAGCAGCGCCGGCGCGAGAAGCAGCTTGCTCAATCCTGAACATTCGCCACCTGTCCAGGAGAGAGAACTCATCGTCGACCCTCCTCGCCCAGCGAAGCAGGGCATGGAATGGGTCTGGTATCCGGCAGGATATTGGGCTGAACGCGAGATCATAGCGCAGCCAGCACGAGAACGAGGGACCAGACATCACCGATGGGGCAGGCATAGCAGCGACAAGACATTGCCGACAGACACGCACGATGACGCGCTGAAAACTCTGGCACTGCCTCTTGGAGCCCTTCGCTTGCGAGCTCTGGCGGGATCAAACAACACACTCATGCCGATGCCGAGTCCGTACATGAGTGAAGAAACACATGTCCAGAGCTTGCAGAACTCTGATTCGTCTAATTACACCACTTACAACCGCGACGGAGGACTCACTGGAGGGACTGGTGACAGCTTCCCATCAGACACAAGTTCCCGCTTCCCCTTTCCTCTTGCACCACTGCCAACGCCGCATTCCACGGACGACCAGTCGGAGCCTCTGACAAGCTCAGGAGCATTCCCCATGCCTGTAGTCGAAGAACATGCCTCTGCAGAGGGCCAGTCCACGCGCACGAAGATGGTCGTCTCACCAGACATCGTGGAGTCCCAGCCAACCTCGAACACTACATCGTCGAGCACAGTAAAGAAGCCTTGCTCGCCAGCAGCAGTTGGGAAAGTCAAGAATTCCTTCATAGCCCGCTTGCGCCCCTCAAGAAAGAATTCGGTAAGTTGCTTCTGGCTTGGTGAGATCGTTCCGTTGTTGTTGCTTGGTACAGTGTCGCTGGGACTTGGTGACCTAACAGGCGAGTCAGAGCGCCTCCGGACATTGTAGCGATTCGGCAAAGGACAGCAAGCCAAAGAAGAAATGCAGTCAACACGACCAGTCGTCGTCTCAAACTCCAAGTATAGGATTGGCTCGAATTGCCTCTATACTCCGAAGCGAATGGAAGGTGAACGGCAGGGTTGGATCGTTCAGTCTGAGAGATTTTGGCAAGAGCCCATGGCACCGCAAGACGTCGACTGGATCATCGGCGAGCGCACCTAGCTCAGTCAGAGAGGCTATGCGAGGCATCGTTCCCCTGAGCACTCCTGCTGAAGAGATCGGTCTGTGAATCCCGCTGGGAACTCTGATTCAGTGTTGGTGCTAATCAATCAATTAATATCAGACCGATTTGTGTGGAACTCATCCTATCCAGCTGGTGTAAGTCGACCGCGGGACGTGTGCCTGGTGCCAAACATTCGCCAGTGCCCGTACCTTGATCAACTATTGACATATTTCCATCGTGCGGCAGGAAGCCCAGCGAATTCGTACGCCGCCTCTGAGAGAAGATCCGAGCTAGCTACAGTTACCATTATACTCAGCGCATCACACAGAGCACAATCACTACTGCTGCAGAGAGGCACGTCTGGGGCGCAATTGCAAAAGTGGACAAGATTGACCTAAATGTACCCTAGGAAATGCAAGCCGAGAACGCCAGATCAAGTCAATGCTTCGAATGTTGTCAAACCTCTGCAGATTCGGCCTAATCCATTGTCCTTGTGGAGTTGGGTTTGGGCTGAACTCTTTCCCGTGATGATACAGCGGAATCCAATCTCCGCGGGAGTTTGTGGCGGAGCGTAATCCGGGATGCCATCGATACCAGCCACATCCGGGCCCCATCAGTTGCGATTGGCCGTGCAGGCGTTGGTTACTCCTGCGACTGGATCTTGTGGTCGCCCTTGACAGCCTCAGCATACGTTGGGGGCGCGCTCGCGCCGGCGGCAGGACCAGCAGACGAAGAGCCCGCGCCGTTGTTGCTATTGCTGGTGGCGCCGTAGTTCTGCGGGCGGCCGGCGGATTTGTTCTGGGGTTGGGACTGCGGACCATTTTCGGCAGCAGGACGTTGCTGGGAGCCGGGCTGGTGGCTCACAAAGACGTAGGTGACGCGGCCGGACTCATTGTGCTGAGGCACCTGCTCGTAGTCGTCGTAGGGGTCGGGGAACTTTGCGATGATATACCAGGCGTGGAGGAGGCCGGGCAGCCAACCGAGAGAGGAGAGGAGGATGTTGATGAGAGAGTCGGCGGAGCAGATGCCGCGCTTGATCCAGACTGTTATAAAGACGAGTTTGTTAGTATCGACTGTGCGACGCATGCGCTGATGGGAGCACGAGCGAGGGAGGCGATTGACGAACCGGGCAGCGGGGGAAAGAGGATGGCGAGGAAGCCGAGGAAGATGTCTGCGTTGCACATGGCGGGCGGCTGTTGCTGTTGCCGGTGTTTTGTCGGAAGGAGCACGATGTGGTGACTTGGGGCCTGTTGTCGCTGGTTGCGATGGGTGCTATGTCGTGCGTGATGGTAGTGGCAGCGTGGTATGTGGGAGGGAGGGGATGGTGAGGGAGGAAAAGAGTGACGACAGGGTCATGCGACGGGGCTTTGATTCATCCATGGGGGGGCGCTTCCCCAGGCAGCCAGAAATGGGGCCGGGTCAGATGGCCGTGGCGGCCTGCGTGGCTTAGCGCACTGCATTTCGCCGCCTCGCCAAACCCTTCCTCCAGAGTCCTTGCACCCACCCACCAGATGTGCAGTGGTGCGATGACCAGCGTCTATTGTCCCTTTCGTGATGGCTGTCGAATCGTCATGTTTGCATTTCTCATGGTGCTAAACGCGGCCCCATTGTCCCCAGGTACTGAGACAGGACTAGGTAGGAGTACGTACCCTCGTACCTCACTCGCTACCCCTGGACGTGCAGACAGACCCCTTGACGTCATCCTGCAAGCGGCTCCGGTCGCGGTGATCCAGGGCAGGGGCAGGCCGCTTTGTCCCGCCGGTCCGCTGCCCCTCCATGCGTGGGCAGGACAATTGGCCATCCGGCGCCCATCGATTTGGCATCCATATTTGATTTGACCAACAGCTCGTCTCATTTTTTCCGCGATTTTCAGGGTCCTGTCCACCACAATAGAATAGATCTCACGATTGGGCAGTTGCTTCCTCCACAAGGCCACACCACACACGATCCGGTTTCTCCTGTCGTCCCACCCTGATAACAACGACCACCACCACCACGAAAACAACCGCCTCGTCCACCAAGTACTTAGTCAAGATGGGCTCGCAACAACAGCCCGGCCCGTTGCCGGCCCTGCGCACGCAGCCAAAGGCAATCTTCTTCACCGACTTTGACGGCACCATCACGCTGCAGGACAGCAACGACTTCCTGACGGACAACCTGGGCTTCGGCCGGGAGAAGCGCATCCAGGGCAACAAGGACACGCTCAGCGGCGCGCGCACCTTCCGCGACACCTTCCAGGAGATGATGGACAGCGTCAACCTCCCCTTTGACCAGTGCATCAAGCTCCTCCTCGAGAACGTCCAGCTCGACCCCAAGTTTAAAGAGTTTTACACGTGGTGCCGCGCCAACAACGTCCCCGTCGTCGTGCTCTCGGGCGGCATGCAGCCCGTCATCAAGGCCCTCCTCGCTCACCTCGTCGGCGAGAAGGAGGTGCTCGAGATGCAGATTGTCAGCAACGACGTCCAGCCCAAGGGCGGCAAGGGCATCAATGAGGAGGGTGGCTGGGATATCAAGTACCACGACGACAGGTAGGTTGGAAGAGAAGAAAAAAGACCCCATGGGAAACTTCATACGCGCTGAACCGGCTCCGGCCCGTTGACGCAGAGGAGAAAAAGGGGCGGAACTCCACGCGGGGCAAGTAAGCTAACGGGAAAATGTAGTGTGTTTGGCCACGACAAGTCCCTCGAGATCCGGCCCTATGCGGCCCTCGCGGACAGGCCCATCATGTTCTACGCCGGCGACGGCGTGTCGGACCTCTCCGCGGCCAAGGAGACGGATCTCTTGTTCGCCAAGGCCGGAAGAGGTACAGTTGTCCCCCTTCCCCTCCACCCCCTTTTTTTTCCTTTTCTTTTTCTTCGCAGTCTTTGCTCTTTCCTCTCCTTGGCCTTTCAATGTCTGCAGGAAGTATCTTCCGGCTGCCGTAGCATATTTGTACTAACCGATGGGGATACTTTTGCGCCGGACCGACATAGACCTCGTCGACTACTGCGAAAAGGAAAACGTCCCATTCACCGTGTTCCACGACTTTGGCGACATTCACAAGGTCGTGGCGGAGGTGGTCGATGGCAAGATCTCGGTCCAGGAGGCCGCCAAGGGTCGCAATTGAAAAAGCGATCCCATATCGTTCCAGTTACGAGGCTTGGTCAAACACAGAGGATGTGGTATAGACATGGGTTTTGGAGACTTGGCTGCGGCCAGTCGTGCGTGCTTGGCACCAATGGATAAACTCGGATAACGTAATCCACAAGTGGGTGAATCACACAAGTGGATGAATCAGTTATCGGGTACTCGTACGACAATATATAAGTCAATTCAACCATAACGCCTCAAATCAATTCAAACTATTCGGAATCCTCTTCTTCAGAGGCAGATATAACTTTCTGACACGTACGAGCATTATGCCCGGGCTCGCCGCAGACGCCACATCGTCGCGCGCGCGTTTCGGGCCTCCTCGTACGACCACTCTTCTGACTCGTTTCCGCTATTAACTGCTGCGTCGCATCGATTTGAGCCTTCAAATCCTTTACCTGATCAATCGTGAGGGACCCTCCTTTCTACAGCTGCTTTCTTTTCGTACGACGACGGCGGCTGAGGCGGTCGTTTGCATCTCGAAGTTCAGCGAGCTCTTAGCGCATAAGGTCCTGCTCGTGTACCATCATCATAACTCCTTTTCTCAGCTGCCGTACGCTCTCAACAATGGACGACGGTAAGCTATTCTAGTGTCGTACGATGCGATTTTCAATATACTTCGTCTACGATTCGGTCTTAATTAGGTTGTTCGGCGTCTTTAAAACCCATGGGGGTGGTAGTCCAGCAGAGGAACCTAGCGGTGTCGGCGTATGAAACTTCACATCTAGCTGTAAAATCACATAATTCAGGTCGTACGGTACTAGGCCTGTCGCTCTAAAGCCTGCCTGGATGTTTGATTTAGTCATTGCAGCGTTGTACACCTTATAAAAGGCTGGGAGGAAGTCCTCCTTTGAAACGTGGGTTACGTACGCCCGCATTAGACCTTCGATTTCTTTACCGTACGCCCGTTTCAGAGGTCTAAAGCACCTAACATCGAGAGGCTGGAGCTTATGCGACGAGTGAGCAGGCATACAGAGCGTCACAATGTTCTATTCCTTACAGTAGAGCTCGAAATCGACCGAATAGTAGCTCTCGTAGCCGTCGAGGATAAGGAGGCGGTAGGTACCCTTCGTACGACTCTTCGTATGGAAATCGAAGTGTTTTACCCACTCTAGGCCTCTCTCGTTCGTCGTCCAACCGTTCTCTGAAAGCGCGATTACCTAGTCGGGCGGTAGGGGGCTATTTGCGGTCCAGGAGTCGAGGTGGACCTTCCCGGCGAAGATGATATACGGCGGGATTAAATAGCCGTACGACGCGATACCCTAGATTACTGTAACCCATTCCTGATTCCCTTGTTGTACAGCTCTTGGCTTCCCACGTCGATCGGAGGTTGTAACGACAGTTTCGGCGGAGATTTTACCTATCGCGAAGCCCGTTTCGTCGAAGTTATAGATGTCGTCATCGTGGATCCCGTATTTCGCGATTATGTTTTGTACGAGCTTAAACCACGCGCGATACGCGTCTGGATCTTCGCAGAGGACTCTCTGGTAGTCGATTCTTCGATTAAAACGCGTACGGAGCTCTGGTCGTCGTCGTACGAAGTTTGAGGCCCAGTTCGTTCCGACGCGTGGCGCGTCGCGCACGCGGAGGAGTCGATCCGCCATTTCTCGAACACCACCTAACCGCGGTGGAAACGATCGCGAATCTAGGTCGATTATATATCGTACGATACTGTCCTCTTCGTACGAGGTCAATTTCTGGCAAGGTGGTCGGATATCTTGTTGCGCAGGTCGGCCGTGTTGTCGTCGTTGGAGGGTTGAGAAGGATACATTATAGATCTGTGCAGCCTTTCGTACGCTCAATTCTGGGTTCGATTGAAGCGCATTTAGCGCGAGAACTAAATCGCTTTCATTTGATTGTCGTACTATAATTATCGGTGGAGAAAAGGGGGAAAGAAGACAGCCTGTACGAAAGTGGCGGGGGACTGATTCATCCACTTGTGTGATTCACCCACTTGTGGATTACGTTATATATTTAGAATTTGGGATAAATCATAGAGGATAAACACATGTGAATATGAATAGACATGGTTCGAGTCCTACCACGACTTTCAGCAGAAGTCAACACAAACTATTGCATGGCGAGAGCCGCATATCCTCCTTCGCACAGTTTCCAATTCATTCTCAAAAATCACTCCGTATGCCGCCCATGAGGAGAGCCTCGACGGTGGCGCCCGATTTCAGGGGTTCACTCCCCTGCGGCAGACACAACAACGCATTGGCACCTTTCAAGCTGCCCACCTTTGAACTGCGCTGCCCGCCTGTGCTCGTCGCCCGGATGACTCCGTCTTTGCTCACGGACACGATGGCGCGATGATACTCGACTCTCGACTTGTCCAAGGGGAAGTCGTGCGCAAGGACAACAGGCAGTCTGGTCAGGCCGGCGGGTTCGACACCCGACATCTGCTGCAGCGCGGGCAGGACGAACAGGTGGAACGAGACGATTGCAGATGCAGGGTTTCCGGGGAGCGAGAAGATGACCTTGTCCACGCGGGCTCCCGACTCTGTCTGCTTGACGGGCACCGTGGCAAAAGTCGTCGGCTTGCCAGGCTTCATGGCCACGCGGCCGAAGTGAATCGTCCCGCCGAGGGCGCGCTCGATCGTGGGCTTGAGCAGGTCCAGCTCGCCCATGGAGACGCCGCCCGTGGTGATGACGAGGTCGACGCGGCGCAGCGAGTCGCGCAGCGTCTCCTCGAGCGTCCCCGGCTTGTCACCGGCAATGCCGAGGTCCACGACGGCGTAGCCTGCCTCCTTGGCCGCCGAGATGAGCGTGATGCGGTTGGTGTCGCGGACCTCGCCGTATCGGAGGTCGCCGGGCCGGTCGTGGTCGACAATCTCGTCGCCGGTCGAGAGCACCCCGACCACGGGCTTGCGGTACGTCTTGACCTCGCTCACGCCTACTGCGGCCAGCAGGCCAATCTCGCCGCCCTGCGCGGAGGCCTGCTCGCCTTTGGACAGGATGACCGATTCGGCCTTTATGTCGCTCCCGACTTCTCGGATGTTCTCGCCTTCCTTGACGTTGTCGGCGAGGATCTCGACTTCTTTCTCTTCCTTGCCATCGTCTGTCATGGTCTTGAGTATCGTGTCTTCGACCATGATGACCGATGTGGCGCCGGGCGGAAGTGGCGCACCGGTGGTGATGCGGGCAATCTCTCCTTCGTTGAGCGGCTTGACTTCGCCTGGTGTGGCGTGAGACACCGACACGACGGGGAAGACGCCCTTCATGTTGCCGTCTCTGGGTACGACAACGGCATAGCCGTCAACGATGCTGGCTCGGAACGCAGGGACGTTCTCCCTTGCTGTGACGTCTTGGGCCAATACGTGGCCAGGGAGATTGCTGTCGACCTTCGAGGTGATGATCTCTGGTGCGGGTGTGTTCTCGCTGATTTTGGCAAGCGCATCGGCCACCGGTAGCATGGGGAATGGGGATTCCCGGTTCCTTCTGCTGGGACCTAGACTCGGATCGTTTGAAATCGGATTCGAGCCTGGCTTGGTGTGTCTGACGAGACCGCCATGGCCGTGTCCTCCATGGCCGTGGTTGTGCCCATGACCGTGAGCATGGTGATGGTGGTGAGCATGAGGCTGTGCTGACGATTGCTCAGTAGTTGAGCTCAGTCCGGCATCTGCCTCCAGTTTCTTTACTCCTCCTGCGTGGATCGCACGGGAATTCGCTCCGGCAGCTTGGACGCAGGCATGCGGCAATGTCTTGATGATGGCTTGTAGATTCTCTTTGGCACCTTTGGGCGACCCGGGGAGCGTGACTATAACAGATTGGTGCCGGACACCGGCGACTGGCCTTGACATCATGGCAACTGAGCCTGGTTAGAAATGGCTGGATTCGCTGGACAGGCGGAAACGAACTTACACGGTGTTACGCTCAAGGACGCAGCAAGCATTGCATGGACGAGGCCCGGTGCCTTTCTGTGAAGCAGAGCAGCAACAGCCTAAGACCTGGTCAGCTTGTGTTCGTGACTGGAAATATTCACCCCGTGATTGTCTACAGTCCACGCACACACCTCTGGAGTATTATCAGACACGGCGAACCCCGTCCCACCAGTTGTCAGGATGAGGTTGAACCTGTGAGCGGCAACATCAGCCCACAGCATGAGCTGACGCTGTATCTGCGTCACATTGTCGGCCACAATCTTGGTCTCGACAAGCTCCCACTTTCCGGAACCCTCATCGGCAAGCAATTGGCCCAGGGCCTCTCCCGAAGCATCGGTTGACGGGTCTTTGGCAGCAGTGTCCGAGACGACCAGCAAGGCGACGCGGAGTGGGCTCGACATTGTGCCTGTATTGGTCCGAGATCAGCAACAGAAGTCAGAAAGGGAAGGAGCCGTGGAGGGGCAGTTTCTGGGTCCCGTGAGTTCCGTCAATGCCAAGCAATCCCTTTCGGGCGATCAAGGGGGTCTGTAACTATCAACTTGTTCTATTCGAGCTTGGAGTATTGTGAGAGAGAGTACAGAAGGCGAGCTCGGAGAGCTAGAGAAGCTACCCCACGTCCCCGGCAGGTGCCGGGGGTGCCGAAGCCCCGCCAAAACCCGCTGCAGGCTGCTGATAAGATAAAAGCTTCAGTGGGCGCGCCGAAATCTTTCAGGGATCGCGCATGGACGGAACCATCGCACGCGGCTGTCCCCGCGAAGCTTCTTGCAACGCCCACGCGCTCGCCAGACCACATCAAGCAACATGGTGCGCATCAAGGAGCGGTACCTCCTGGTCAACATTCTCTACCCCACAGAGCTCGGCTCCAAGCGAGGAGTTCCGGACCTGGTCCTGCTCAACTCGCCCACCACCGACCAGCTTACCCCAGGAGCCCTCATTCGTGCTCTCCGCGCAGAGATAGCCATCAACTTTGGCGACTATGGCTCCGGTGCGATTGAGGGAGGCAGTCTTTCGAGTTCGTCATTCCTCATACCCACCCAATTCATGTCAAGAACTAACAGAATTGTCCCGACAGTCAAGTATCTGTCTCCTTCGACGTCGACTTTCATCCTCAAGATCAACCGACCGTACTATCGGCTAGTTTGGACCGCCCTCACTATGATGAATGCGGTGCCCGTGCGTGACGGCAAGCCGTGTGTTTTCCGCGTGACCCATGTCAGCGGTACAATCCGGCGTGCCGAGGAAGAGGCCATCCGCAGGGCTCGGGCGCTATGCATCGCCGTACAGGAAGGACACGATCGCAAACTGCAGGACCCCCTTGGCAACATTTTCGGCCAGGCTGGGCGACCTATGCGCCGTGCCAAGCAGGTTGTGAGCGCCGAAACTTCTGTTTACGACACCAGCGATGTCGACATGGGCGAAGCCAGCGAAGGCTGAACCGCCAGAAGCTCATGGTCTTGCTCTCCGAATAAGTTTGACACCACTGTCACCCACGGGCGGGGGCAAACCGTCATATTCATCGTCGTCCTCGTCCGGGATCAGGTCGGGAGTTGTCGCCCCAGTGCCGGCGTCCGCGTTGCCGGTCTGCTCGTCCCACTCACGCTGTTCGGCGGCGTCGTATGCCTCCTTCGAATCGACCCATCGTTCCTGGATGTCGGCCACCTCCATCATGGATCCTTCGTTGCGCATGGCAATCTGCCAGACAGTGTCGTTCGCACCTTCAGCCCCGCCAAAGATGTAGCCACCAGCTCGATCAATGACGCGAAGGAGATGCATCATGCTCTTCTTGTTCTCCACGGCGAGCACCTCATATCGAACGAGCGAGAAGTTCTCGACGAGGTCCGCTACGGCTTGGTTGAGCTTGGCGAACTTGTCGCTCCGCATTGCTGGCGATTCCTGCTCAAGGTGGTGTGTGAGATACGACAAATCCTGCACCTCGGTATAGAAGTCGAGGTTGAACGGCAAAGGATCGTAGGACGAAATCTTGTCGATCTTGGTGAGAACGTTGATATGCGGAAGGTCCATTTGCAGCATGGCCCGTAAGGTCAGGAGGAGGTTGGAGATGTATAAGGAGGGTTGCGTCAAACAGAAGCTGTCTGACAAATGGACAACGACAAGCTGTAGGAGCCAGGATTGTCAATTTCAAGTGGTAACGCGGGTGACCTAGTTTGGTTTATGGAGTGACACTTACTCTGTATCCGAGTTTCTGAAGCTTGAAGAAGATATTTCGTAACGCACCATGGTGTGTATATAACTCGACCTGACCTGGGCAGTCGAACAAGACGTAGGACTCTCCAAGCTCTTTGAGGCCCTGCTCGAGCCACTCCATGTTTTGCTCCAGCTCTTCAAAGGCATACAAAACGCCGCCGTTTGGTCCAAGCTGGTCTTCGGCCATGATATCCTCGAGAGTGACTAGGTCGCGGATGTCGAGGGCGCAAGGGTAGTTGGTCTTGTCATTGGCGGGATCAAGGTTGACGACAGAACACTCACGACCGATCGCGCCCATGAACTGGTGCACTGTTGAGGGACGAAGAAACGCGGTCAGTCTTTGCACGATGCGTCAAGAGCACATGAACCAGTGCGACGACTCACTTCCATCGCAGTAAGTGCTCTTGCCCGATCCCGGGCTACCTAGTATGAGCTGGGCGAAAGGCATGGCTGGGTCGGATCACCCGGATCTTGAAGTGGAGGGAAAGCTGCGAAGGGGAGGCTTCGAATCCGCCGGAACAAAGAGACTAGCTCGCTGGATTTGCGAAGCTCCAAGACGAAGGTCGGATGCGCTCTTTGGATTATCGCGAGTAGGTTTTCTTGAAGGTTCGATGCTCGTTGACGTTTGTTGCACATGTCGAGCCCTCGCATGCGACTGCGCCGGTGCCCCTCCAAAGAACCCCAGAGCTGCCCCCAAAAAGAGGCGGGCAACAGCGGCAGAACCTCTGGTGTTGCAGGGGTAGCTTGTTTATCGCGGCCTGCTTGTTGACTATCGGTCGGCCTAACGACAAGGCTTCATGCGAAGAAGCAACGCCGACCTGCGAACCATCCCTAGAACTCGAAGGAACAACGACCGTACTTTGGCAACCCACAACCCCTTCCCTCCGACTACTCCAGCCACGACGGTAGTCAGCTTGTAAGATTCAGCCCACGTTCGCCGGCATTCACAATGGCGCCGTGTAAGTCCATCAACCCTCACCCAGGCCCCAGCATTGCCGTTCCCGCGTACTCATTGCCTCGCCTTACTCCAGCTGCTCAGTTTGAGCTCGCGCAGCCTCCAAGCGACGCCGTATCCTCAGTCGCCTTTGCGCCAGGCTCATCATCACGCATCATCGCCTCGTCCTGGGACAAAAATGTCTACCTGTACTCGATCGATGGGGAGCGCTCGGAGGATGGTGTTCAGGGCTCGTTAATACGCACGTTTGAGCACCGCGCGCCCGTCATGGACGTATGCTTTGGTGCCACAGACTCCGAGGCTTTCAGCGCAGGCATGGACTGGCAGGTCAGCAGGATTGACCTGGAGTCGGGCGAGCTCACGAGCCTCAGCAAGCACGCGGCTCCGGTCCGTCAGGTCGTGTATAGTCGCGAGCACTGTACGTATACCCCAGCGAGCGGAATTGGGGGACATCGTGTTGTAGTAGAGGGAGTTAGGCTAACGTAGAGTGCAACAGCACTCCTCATCTCGGCGTCCTGGGACAGCACACTGCACATCCACAAGACTGCCGACCCGTCAAGTACACCTCTGACGATCCACCTGCCCGCAAAACCGCACGCGCTGGCCGCGAGCCCTTCCAAAGTTGTCGTCGCTATGACGGCGCGCTTGGTACACATCTACGACCTTGCCACACTATCTGCCGCTGTAGACACACCAGAGCAGAAGCCACCTTCACCATGGCAAACCCGCGAGTCGTCATTGAAGTTTCTCACGCGCGCCGTGGCTGCGATGCCCTCGGACGCCGGATACGCGACGTCCTCGATCGAGGGCCGTGTCAGTGTCGAGTGGTTCGATGACTCGGCCGAGTCGCAGGCCAGGAAGTATGCGTTCAAGTGCCACCGCCAGACCTCGCCCGAAGGCACAGACGTAGTGTACCCGGTCAACGCGCTCGCTTTCCACCCGACGTTCGGCACTTTTGCTAGTGGTGGCGGCGACACCACGGTCGCGCTGTGGGATGCTGAGGCCAAGCGCCGCATGAAGATCTATCCCAAATTCCCTGAGAGCGTGGCTGCTCTCGCCTTCTCGTCCGACGGACGGTACCTCGCAATTGCCACGTGTCCGGGCTTTGAGACGGGTATGGAGGACTACAGCGGGGAAGGTCGAACGAAGATTCTGGTGCGGGAGCTCAGTGAGACGGAAGCCCGACCGAAGGGTGCGAAATAGACAAAAGTTGAAATACAGGCCTATTCTAACAGCACTACGCATCGCGACAGACTCAAGCGCAAGCTCGACTTGGTCGACAAATCATAGTGGCCTGATGCTACATTCTTGCCCAGTGATCTATGCGACTGACCTGCAAGTGCCATTGTTTCTTTTTTTCACGAGTACCGACTTCCTGCCAAGCTTTTGCATCCGCGTCCGCGTCCGATTGTCAGTGGAGTAGTCCTTTTGCAGAATGTTGGAGGCACTTGACCGCACAATCCCAAAACAGCACGCTTGAAGCATATGCTGATTGTGGCAAGTCAGGTAGTGTACTGTCGCGACAGGCGTGGCACATGAGCCATTGCGCAATGTGTGCTCGACTTTTCTTCAAGCCCTAGCCTGTCGCTGTGCCACCGCTTCATTTTGTGCTGGAGGGGCGACCCGCAACTTACAGCGCGGCGTGCCTGGATCATCTTTAGAAAGTCCTGCCCAGCGGCAACCGTGTCTCCGAGGTCTTTGCACTCGCCTTCTTGGTTCACGTTAGTCGCCGTGTGATCCAGTGAGCCGAGCAACCCGAGCTCGCGGCCGTCTCTGTCGTGTCCCAAGATAGACGACGCATATGAGTCCGAAGTGAAAGGCTCTTCTGATGCGATAGACTCCTCCTCCATCGAGTTTGACTCCATCTCCGCCCTGTCACCTAGTATGGCTGATTCATCATCTTCACATTCATTACTTGACTCCCCGATGCTGGATGGTAGAAACTCTATCTCCATGGTCGACTCGCCATCACTAGCCGATTCTGAACTCGCATCGACTCGCCAGGCACAGATGCCAAATAGTGCTCGGGGAATCCTGGCATGTCCCTTTTCTGGAGGAGTGTGAAGCCGACGAAAGTTTTCGAAGTCCACAGCTCCGTGGAAGGCTGGTGGCGACACATATCTGAAGTCCAGTGGATCCATAACGTCTGAACAAGCTTCTCGGTGTCCGGATCGCGGTACAAAAAGTTCTGGAGCTAGTTCTTTTATTTCGCCGAGAGAGCTTTTCGTCTTAGTGACTCGAGGCAATCGTTGACTGAAGACAGCGCTATCGTCGGCGAAGTCGTGCTGTGTTGGCCAAAAGTCGATCGCTGGGCCTCGTCTTAGTTTCAGCTGATGCTGCGTCAACCGTTGGATCTTGGGTCGAAGCGGTGCTCTCTGTGTCCCGCTCCCAAATTCCTCTGACTGAGCCAGTTCAAGACGTCCGAAAGAGGGTGCTGGTCTCGTACATCGCCTTTTGTGTCGGCCGGTTGTGAAGAAAGTAAAGTCCGGCACTGCTTCAGTTGCTGCAAATCCATCACCCGGTGCCCAGTTTGAACTTTTAGGAACTGATGGTACCAAGTCTCGAAACTTGGCCTGAAACACCTTTTGGGACGAAAGAAACAGCTTGTGACCAAGGCCGGCGGTCTTTATGTTCCCGTTTGTGAAGGAAGCCTGAAGTGAGCTATGTCCAGGCTGTTGGTCTACCGGCGAGCGGCGATCCTCAGAACGGACACTCTGCCTCGCGTCGGCGGTCACCTCAAGAGCTTCGTCCGCGCAATTATCGACTGCCGTATCGCTCAGCGTGTACGATTGCAATTTTGTATTGTCCCTAGAATGAACCGAAGCCTCCTCGACATTGCTCATGTTCGTGACTAGTACAGCACTGAGAGAGTCGATGGTGGTCTGCCGAGTTTCCAGACTAATCATGCCCAAGGCGGTCTATCAGTGTTTGAAGTCGGGACATACACTGTACGCATATGTGGCTTGCACTGCACTTACACGGCGATGAGCTTGTTCGAGGTGGTGTTGTCCGACCCTGAACGTTTTCTCTTTTGCTCGGATTTGGTAGACGACTCGAGCGACTGCGGAACGCGGGTTTCGTGTTGTGCATGTGTCATGGCTTGACTCGGCAGTGTGGCTTTACCATCCGAAGGACTGCGGGCTTGCCGCTGCTGAGCCGTGAGACTGATTTGGGAGACGTTTCGTTCCATATTCATGCCAGCAGATGGTTGCAGGATTGCAGTCATCTTCGACCACGATGCCCAGACTGTATCTGCCAGTCTAATCTGCGCTCATAATCGAGCTTGTGGGCAGCGTCCTGAGCTCATGGGCTGACACGAAGTCGCGAACAGGCGGAGCGCCGAATAGCCCAGAGTCTGGCGACAAGGCTGATGACAGTCAGTCGTTCACGTCCAAATGGCCGTGTACCGAGAGTCCTGGATTGGGAGTTTCTGGCAGGCTTTCCAATTTTAGGCAGGTTGCATCTGGGATGTCCACGAAAATGTCGAATGCCTGGAAGGTGCTAAAGCATCCGTGTTGGGAAGGCGCACGCGGCATCGTGACTCCTTCCTGGTATCCTCAGGCAAACGCGACATGTTTTGGAAATGCATGCCCTTTAGGTGATTTTAATGCACAAACAACCACTACGAATTTGAATCCTTCCAATGCACCTTCCTCTATAACGCGCATCATACGGAGGTGGCAATACAAAGTCTAACTCCAGAGCAGCTCAGGCATAATTGATTTCAACCAGCTTACTTACAGCAGCGCAAAGACTGGCAAGACGTGGCACAAAGACCTTGGCACGACACAAGTACAGCGAAGAGATCTGATTGTGCCCAGGAGACGGCTATAGGAAGATGCAATCATGCTATCTAGACGACGACGAACATGTCCCAGAACGACATTCGTTCTTGGACGAGGCCCAAGTACGCCAGCGGATTAGTCAATCGCTGGAAGACCAAGCACGAAGAAATACAGGAGAAAAGAAACGCTTTGTTCAATGCTGACTAGCACTAGCATGCCGACGCTGCTCAACAAGACCACCGGAAATGCGGGGGATTGCAACGTGAAAATCACTCATTCCGAGGCAGCACGATGCACTTCATTACGAATAGACGGTCTCAATCTGCGGCGCAGAAGTCGCACACTGTCCGGTAGTGATGATGATAGTCGGCAAGGACAATCCCATCGCCACCAACGGACAATATGAGAGAGTGTCGAGCACCAGAGACTTGGGGGGCCCAGGCAGGACCCCTTCAACTGGCAATATTTCATTTTCTTCCTATGCGTATGTATGCAGGACTGGGAGTGCAGACGGTTGCGTCCTAATCTGCATGTCGCTCTTTGGAGGAAGCTCTGGCCTGGACGTCCACATTGGCGAGGAACAAACGCAATCCTGAACCCAGTCGTCTTCTCCAAAAGGTATGCCTTGCAGGAGGTCATGAGAAGTCCTCGAGTGGTGCGCCTGTGAAGCAGTGCAGTTTACAGAGGCGGGTTCTGCCGATCCGGTGCCGTGGAATGCAACGGCCAATATTACAGAACGAACTAGGAGGGGCGTGTGCAGCGTGGACTGCACTTGCAGCCGCAAGTATCACGTAACAATATCCGACGTGGCCTGTACGCCAGGCGGAATACACTTGCATACATGCAGGACCGGTTGGGTTGTAGAATATCCGCCAGGCGAGTCGCCCAGACACAACAAGTGCATGGCGAGGTTGCAAAACGCGAAACGCCGGGCTTTGGTACAGCATGACCTGCACGGCCGGGATTTGACGCAGACGACGACACCACTTGTCATTTGTGGGAAGCATTCCAGAGTGGGTGGCGGTGCTTTGTCTGCCTGTGACCCTCTTTACTCCAAAGTACATAGTACGGAGATCGAACCTCTGACGTTGCATGTTGTGGTAGTAACCAACATGCCCATCCCGTGCTGATCAGAGGCGATAGCAGCAACTTGATGCATACCATGTCGTCATGCCGAATCAAGCCTGGGGCGCACCAAGCCTTCGGGAACAGCCCAGCTGTTGCTCAACTTCGGAATTACTGCCGGAGTGTGGTGATTGTCCGTCCGGATAGCCTTGCCAACTCTGCTGGCAATCATCTCACTACGCCACTCGTCAATTTCGGGACATCGTCGTTGTATGTCCTCCTGTGCAGTCTCTCTTGACATGCCAGATACTCAACTTCTTGACGTTGGAAGCATGGTGGTCCAGCACACCTTGAACGAAAGGGCGCCCATGTTCTTGACACAAGCCGACCAGCTTAGTTCGCACCCTTGACTGCCAGTAAGGACGCTCGGGGCAGGTCGAGGGAACAGGGCCGGGGTGGCGGAAAGGCAAAATGCGCGTGGGTGGCATGGAACAAGGATACACACGGAGAAGCACACCACATTCGGATTTCCTGAAATGCCGGGGTGTTTCTTAGAACCGCTGTGATCGTCCGGCCAAGTTGCTCCATCCGGACTGCCACTCTTGACCAAGAGTCGGCATAAGTCCATTGCTTGATACAGGATGGAATTCCTTGATCGCGAAGGACACTCATGCCCTCATTGTGAAAAGCCAGTTAAGATCAATAAAGCGGCGTGAGGATTGCATAATGAGATTGATCTGACAAATTAAAGTCTTTACGCAAGGCACAGCCATCTGCAGTCAAATTGAAAATACCCGAGACCTGCTCGGCCACGAGCTCGGCACAACTTTAATATGCAGTCGAACTTTCCGCGATGTGGTGAGACGTCTGACAAGGAGGACTGGTGAGAAAAGCAAAGCAAAAACAACACCCCAGTCCCCTGCCTGGTCGCTCCATCCTCCAGGTTCCAGGGCCCGACTCCGCGCGCGTGGCCCTGCTCTCTTCTCTTCTCCCCCACTCACTACACCACAGCAGGACCACGGCCTGGGAGCAGAGCCCGAGACCCGCGCTCGCCGCGTTGGGAACTTCAACGGTGGCCTGGCCTGGACCCATATCGTACGATGGCGGGGGGGAGAGCTTTGGAAGTATTGATCCGATATGTTGAAAACAAATAGGCTCGCGCTCCTCGACGGTGTGGGCACATGCAACCTAGCCAAAAGTTCTTACGGCAGTGGTTTCTCGATGCGACTGTGATGTCATTCATGTTGGCGCTCTCGCTTCAAGTGGTACCGCAGCGGTCTTTGGTGTGTCCTGGGGGACAACACGCCCTTGGGCACCGATTCCAGAGCACGAGCACGATCTGCGTTCCTGATCAACAACCGACTCGGCTGGCGGGCACACCCTTGGACCCTGATTTTGGTTCGCCTCTGACAGGCCGTCAGACTCTGACGGAGCAGTAAAGGCGACCTGATTTAGGCTCACTTCACGACAACACGACTCATGTACGCGCACATCCACAAATCAAATAGCCAGAGGAATATGCGCCAGGTCATGGCCATGGAGGTGCCGGCCAGCACTGATGCCACATGTCTGTTTGTCCATGTACCAGCAGCCCAACATCCCCACCCCGCAACGGTCACGGCGGGAACACCCGTGATGCCGGACTGGCGGCTCGCTCAATGCGCTCGGTGCGAAGTTGGCGCGATCCACCTATCTAAGCAACAACAGGAGACCCCTCGGGCGATTGCTATATCAGCCGAGATTATTACCTCAACCCACCCCCTGTCCAGACCTCCCATGCCAGAGTGAGTGGGCAGGCGAGCTTGTTCCCGAGGGACCGGAAAGGAGGGTTGACTGTTGCTTAGCTGCTGTGGTTGGTGCTCAACCGTGTAGTATTACGGACTACGTGCCAACAGAACTTGCCTCCTCCATCCATTTGTCTATCGGCCAGACCAAACCGGCCAGGGTGGTCAGGGATTGATATCCTCGGGGCGTCCTGGAATGGATGATTCGCTCGGAGACCCACCGCCACCTGACAATAGTCCAGATTCCCAAATTCAGCCGACCCTTTCACCTTTGCAGTCCTGCGTAGAGGTTTCGCCTCTGATGATCAAGTATCCCCGAGGAACAGGTCTATTCGAAACTCGCGGCGTCGAACCTTAAGAGAAGCAAAGGCCATGACACCCCACAGGACACGCATACCCGTGCTGCCGGGACTGTTTCCGAACGTACGGTCCCACACCGGTGGAACGATGGCATACAATGCATATTTCAGCGAGCCCACTTCCCGAATTGAAAGGATCGACGCTGCAAGACGCTCGATACAGTTGCATTATGATGTGTCAGAAACTGCCAGGCGATGGGTGCCGGCCGTCATATTGTGGTAATCCCATTCGATTCGACCGCGGCGACGGACAAATGGATCGGGCGTGGGAAAAGGCACTGCACTGCAGCTCCCCAGTCGTCCGACCCAAACCGTCGTGTCAGCAATCTCGAAAGCAATGGTGGTGGGCGGTGGCCATGCAGCATGTCCGTCACGCTTTGACTCGTTCACACGGTGCATGATTTGCTCTCTCTCTGTGTTTGATCCCCACGATTACCGCCGGTGGGCGGGCATGCGTAACCACGCACCTCCCCTGCTAGCCGGCCCGTTGGGAGAACAGCTGCATGCATGTCGTGACCAGTCGGCTCGAGTTTCCACGGGCGAAATTCCACAACTCGTCCGTCAACCAACATTAGGCCACAGGTTGCAGGCTCGCTGTGTCGCCAAGCTCCGGGTCCATGTTTCTGCAACACTCGTGTAGTCCGTTCCAGGTTGCGTGCGCCATCGCTTGAAGCGACGGCGGAAAGATGGCGCCAGCTTGGTAAGAGATGTTCCACGGTCTGTACCAGGTGTCAAGCCATGCTGGCGCGCGACGGCGATGTGCCTTGACTGTCAATCGGCTGCATTGAGAGCTTCTGACAGGGTCAGCAGGCAAGCCGCGACAGACTTCAAGTCAGGCATCGTCGCAGCGGCGAATCCCTTAGATCATTCGTACCTGACCAAAAGGAAAATTCCGAGCAGCATGCGCACTCCCGCTGTGTCCATGACCATAGCGTGCTGCAACAGACACAGTACCGCCTGCCTCTTCCCGCTCCTCCGTCTTGGCAACGACAGGAATCATCTCTCGAGCCTGCAGTGCAACGTCTAGTCTCGCTTGCCTCCAAAGGAGAAGTCCTAACGACGGGGTCAAGAGACGTCAAAACGTCCAATGAGTGCCGAGCGCGTTGTTGGGTAGGCCGGTGGGCGGGTACTGCGTTGTTGCTGTTAACATTGCGACACGACATGCGCTAACGTCCGCATGAAACCACATTGCAGGCATTAGCGAGGAAAGCCGGCCGGCCGCGTAGCGAGGTTGATGATATTCCCATCGGACGCCTCGACCATGAAAGGGCATAGTTGAGCCCTTTGTTGGCCTCCTAGTGGACTTGCGCGAATTGCCCCTGATATCAGGTCCCGACTCATCAAAACCACCCGAGACCCCGGTCCTTGCACAGGCGCCGCCCCGTCCCGGGCGGCGACGCACCAGCCACCAAGAGACGCTCAGACCACACTTTGTGTGTGCGAAGAGAGCGGCGCCGAGAGGTTGGTGCAGGAAGTGGAAGTGGCAAGACGGAACGGGACAAGGTGAACACTTGACATGACATGTCCATGACCCCGGCCTCCGTTGACGT